ACTTCTCAAGCAGCGCTTCCAGCTCCTTGATACGGTTGTCCTTGTCTGAGGTCTGGGCTGGGGAATCACCAGTCGATGTGGGAGCTGTAGAGGTACTGCTAGGTGATGAAGAATTGTGGTCAGGGCGAAGTCTCTCGATCTCCTTGTGAGCGTCGGCAAGATCATTCTGAGTCTTTTGGAGCTGTCTGTTGGCTTCGTCGAGATCACGTCTAGCCTCATCTGTTTCGTAATTGCATCCGCGAATCTCGTTCTTGCGATGTCTAAGCTTCTCTTCCAGTTTTTTGTTCCGGCATCTGGCAACGTCCAACTGTTTCGAGGTGTGTGCACAGTTGTCACAGTACAGCGGGTTAGATGCTGTGGCAGCTGCGGCGGAGCTTGGGCGTGAACCCGAAGGAGAGGAAGGAGAACCTGCTGGCATATCAGGTGTGTCCCCTGTCTCTTTGGTCGGCGAGGCGGGCAATGGAGTGGAACCAGGCATCATCTGTGCCAGTTGACTCTCGAGGTCATCGAGTTGCTTCTGGAAGTCTTGCCTGATGTCGTATACATAGCCGTCAGCTTTCATAGTCTCCATAAAGACAGCATTCTCCAATTCATCTGTTGCTCGCTTCTTCTGCTCTCTAAGCTTCTTGTGCAGATTTGCAATATCCCTCCTCATCTTGTGACAATTAGGACATGCTGGAGAGTCAGGCATCTGGGCAGATTCAATCTGTTGCTCTCTGCTGTAATGATCGTTCTCCTGTCTGAGTTGCACAAGCTCTGCCCAGTAGTCGTGAGGTTTGGATGCAACCTCAGCGTCGCCAGTATCCTCTGCGTCAGCATTCGAGTCGCCTTCTGCCATCTTGTTGCTGAATGCAGCAGCAAGCTCCCGCTTCTGCTTCTCAAGATCACTTATTCTTGCCTCGAGATCGCGGTGTGCCAATACGTTGCAAGATTCTTGGTTGCTGGAGTTGTCATCAGTGAAGCCCATTGAATCAGCCTCTTTACGTGCTTCGGCAATCTCGTTCTCGTAGTATGCAATATCGTCCTTCAACTGCTTGTTGGAGTCTCCGAGCTCTTCGAACTCTTTGCGAAGGTTTGTGTGCGTGGTCTGAAGCTCAAGCAATTCTCTCAGTGCACCTTCGGGTTCATCATGGTAATTCTCGAATGTCTCCAGAGCTTGCCTGGCCTGCTTCAACTCGTGCTCTTGATCCACCGACTTCATCCATTGTTCGCGATCTCTCTGCTCAAGCTCGGCCACTCTGTCCTGTGCCAGCTTGAGATCGGTCTTGGCCGTCAACAACTCGTTGTCGAGTCTGGCCATCACCGTCATAAGATCGGTGTGACGAGCGAGGAACTCGTTGCGAGAGAAAGGTTTGTCGGCAAAGACGTAACTAGAGAACACATCGTAGTTACCATAGCACAAGCCTTGCTCGAGGAGAACGCGCAGAATATCCCGTTCAGTTTCCTTGTCTAGGTGAAGATCCAGAGCACGAATCTCCTCGAAGATCTTGCGTAATCCCAAGCCTGCAGCAAGCCATGTGACAACTTGATCTCTTGTCAGCAGTCCAGGGGAGGGAGCATCTTCGATCAGTCCAGTAAGCTCAAATTGGAGGTCACGAGCGGGACGGCCCTTCAAAGCAACGTCCGCAGATGAGGCAAGCTGCTCGGTAGGTCTTCTGTTGTCGTTGACGACGGTGACGATCAATTGAGCAATTGTTTCTCTGGAAGCGACAGGCCATGGATCTCTAACAGTTGCATAGTGAGCAAAGGACCAGACACGTTGATTCTCGGCTGAGCGGTACAGTTCCTCAAACTTCTCAGACTCCTTTCTGGTAGTAGCGAGAAGTCTCTCGAGAGCAGAGACCTTGCCCGAGAGCGAGGAGTTGGCATCTCTCAAAGTCTGCGGGTCTTCTTCGGATTCGATGGCTGTAGTCGAGATAACAGAGTCAACAGGCGAGGTAATCGAGTTGACAGGCTCTACTTTGGGGTGGGCAGCAACAAGTCTTTCCTCTTCGAGGTCCGCTTGAGCGCTCTGACAAATGTCGAGTTGAATCTTGAGCTCAACATTTTCCATTTCGAAACGGCGTCTGGTGCTTTCCAGATTCTCGACGCGGCTCCTCAATTGAGTATTCTCGTTCTGGATCACCTTATAAGCTTGAGTGATTTCGTCGTTCTCCAGGGCTTGCTCGTCCATCTTCTGCTTGAGCTTCTCATTCTGGTTGTCATAGAATTCTATCTGATTTTCCAACTTGTCCATGTTTTGACGAAGCTCCTTGTTGTCATCCTCGAGCGCTTGCACAATATCAAGGTGAGAGCGGAGACTGTCGATATCCTTGTCCATTTTCTCGCGCAAGTTCTCGAATCTTTGAGCATGCTTCTCTACCTTTTTGAGCGACTCGACAACCTCAGGCGAAAGCTTATCAGGAGACTTCAAAATGGCTTCGCGAGTCTGGTCGATAGTTTGGGAAGCTCTCAGGCGTTCGATCGTCGCATCAGCATTAGCAAGTTCGGCCTCGAGCTCTGCTACTCTTTGGTGATCGGCGATGGATTGGCGCTCGTATTCAGATTTGATCCGCTTCACCTCCGACTTCGCGAACTGTCTCTCATTTTGCAAGGTTATCATACCCTGCACGTCGGAGTCTAACTTGTTCTTCTGCAACACCTCGGCGATAGAGAGGACTTTGTTATCTTGCACACGTATAAAGCTCCAGAGGTCGTCTCTTGTCCATCCTCCGACACGATGGCCAGGGTTGACTGCAAGTCTTCTCAGATCGTCGTGGATCAGGCCAAGTCTCTTCTCTTTCAAGAACTCGCCGTGGAGCTCCGTGGAAGGAGACTTACGATGAAACGTGCCAGTCTCAGCAGGGGCGCTGAGACCTGGCAGTCTGGGTTGGTGATTGGTAGGAGTGATTCTTCCTTGGAATCGCGCCTCTGCATCAAACGAAGACACACCGAATTGCGGTGATCCAGGTCGTGCAGGGACAGGAGGTGGAGTATGCTTAGGTCCGTTCTTCCAAGCCTCAGCAATTTTCAGAATCTCCTTTTCTTGAAATGCCAGCTCGATAGCGTCTTGGGCGTCCTGAGAAATCTCCAGAGCTCTCTTGACAGGGGACAGAGTAAATTGACCATCTTCCATAGACTTGTCCAGTTCCTCGACGATTTTGGGATCCGTGAGGGTAATGGTGCCATGTGTGGGCGAGGTGACAACAACTGTGTCACCGTCACGGGTAATAGACTTGATGGCCAGAGGACTCTTCGATTTCGGTGCTTGACGTTTAGTCCCCCTTGGAAGTCCCTCCTTGCTACGACGGCGTTCGCCAGTCTCCNNCCTGTCGATATGCTCCTGGCCGAGAACACGAGTGATGAATGTGATGGGAGGAGACATATCCCGATCTCTCGAGGATCTGCGAGCGCGGCCTCTTCTCTCCTCGTCAGAGTCAGAGTCAGAGAAGCGCGAAGATGTTACACTCTGCTCGTCTTCTTCTTCATCTTCGATGGGATAGACGGGTCTCGAAAGAACGTCCTTGCTGACTTCGAACTCGTCATCCTCAGGAGAGACCAAAGGCTTCTCCTCGGACTCGGGTTCGCCATCAGCTATTGGTTCAGAACGAACCTTGGGCAATGCCCCGTCGTCTTCGGTGTCGTGCGATGCTTGAAGCAAGTCATTGGGAGACTTGGCTTCTTCGTCCTTGATCGAACCCTCGGCAGGCGTGACAACGATGCCAGGAGGTGAGTGGGTTACTGGCTCCTTTTCGGGAGCCTGCTCGTTCGAGCCAGATCTCGGGGTTTGATCCCCTTGGTCCGCCATGCTGTTGTCAGTCTACGCAATCAGGAGTGGAATATACCTTTTCAATGTCTCTCTTGTTCTCTTCTAAAGCAAAGAAAGAGGTGATGCAGAATATTCGACAGAGACGAACACAAGAATAGCATACGACAAGTTAGTGGTTTCGGATCAAGGAGAAAGGTGATTTGGCTGTAGTGGAACTCTCTCTTAGTCGTTGAAAGAAGAAAGAGGTCGAAAGACCTGTGAGTTCGCCTCCATATGTGCTGAAAGCGTGTTAGGTCGAAAGCAGCCTTGAGGATATCCGCATCCGGATGTGTATGTGTTGAACATTCACACAAAGAAGTCTTGATATTGACAGTAGCATCAGTGCATACCTGAGGCATACTTGACCCTAAAAAGAGCTGTCCATGCACTATAGCCAAGTAGAGACGCTCTCAGTCACCTCTTGTAGTCGATATGCTGTATACCGACCGTGTAGAATGGTTTTTAAGAAGGCCCATGTAGATGCTAGTCGTCAATCAACATTGTCAGGGCGGAGCTGGTCTCTGCAAAGTCGAGGAATGCAGATCTGCACAAAGGATTGTTCGCGACCGAAAGCGGAATTTTTACAATCATATCCGCTCCCTCCACTTTTGGTCATTGTCGTCGCCATCGTGGCGAGATCCATGTAGTCCTGAGGTCCTCGAAAGACGTGAGCGATGGTTGAAGATTAGATACAATGGCAGAAGGTGATTACTCGTTGGAGTCGAGGACTGAGTGGTGTCTGCAAAACCTGGTGCGACCGAGAGACTGAGCGTTCCTTCCGTGACCAAAAATACACGCCGTGATGACTACTACGCACGTGGAATTTCGTCAGGGTGCTCCCTCTTTCGAAGATGAAATGCATCATAAAGCTAGTAACTGAGCTGTAGAAGACTTGAAGATCCCATGAAACACCTTGAGAGTGACTGATCACCGAGTTCAAGTTCTGTGCGGAATTCACAGTCGTGTGCTCAAAGATAGGAGGGATTTGTGATTCCGGAAGCGAATTTTGACACCTGCGTCACAAAATTCTTGCAGAATGCCTATACTATCGTCGATTCATACAGTCAGGTATCAAGGACTTGGATATAGACGGAGTGAATATATGGAGTGTGCTTGTGTCATTCAGATTCATAGGATACTAACATCGAAGCCTATTTCGTCGTTGTTTTCTGTAGCGCGGTAGTCACCAACGAGCAATCGTCGAGATGCAGCCTCACGCTCGACTCTCGATCTCAGCACACCTAGCCCGAACCCTTCTCTCCCAAGTCCTATACGCCTGCCTCCTATCTACACTCAACCAATCCACCGAATCCTGAAACATAGTTCCCAGCCCCGACCTCAATCCAGCACCAGGTCCATCAAAATCTTCTTCCTCAGCTTCCGCATCCACATCTTCCATGACAGTATCCATATCTCCATCTTTGCGTGTTGGTCTAGGAGCATGNTTTTTCTTTTCTGTGTAGAGGTGTTTTGGCGGGCGGTTTGTTCTTTTGGGGGTTTGGGAGGCGGGAGCGGAAGGTAGGGTTGCTGCTTTTACGGCGGTGAACCAGGGGAGTTCGAGCCAGCCTTCTGTTTTGCTGGCGTGCAGGAAGCTGTCGATGTCTTTTGGGGCTGGTGAGGTGGGGTCGAGGGCGGTGATGGCGGAGGAGCGAGCGGTGGCGTAGGTTGTGCCATCGATGACTGTGTTGCGGAGTGTAAATGTTGTGACTAGGGAGATCGCTGCGACGAGGGCTGGAAGGGATGATGGTGTGATGGATGAGGAGTCCTCGAGTGCTTTAACCTCCTCTGCATCTGTGGATGTTCGTTTTCGCTTCTTTGCAGAGGAGCGAGGAGTTGGTCCAAGAGCCATTGGCTGGTTGTCGTTCCAGCCTCGTAGACGCAAGATGGCAGACAGAGCAGCGCAGACGTGTGGTGTGGCTTGTGGTACATCGAGAGCATCGCAGACGGCTTCAGCCATAGGGCGTGCTTGTTCCGGCAGATTGTCCGTCTCTTGCTCTTGTGCTGTCGCCCTCTGCCTCTCTTCTTCCGAGTCTGGTATCACCACCTCCACTTCTGTAGCCTTGACTGCTGATCTCGTCCTTCTTCCAGACGCTGTGACGCTTTCCACACTCTTCGCGACAGAGGCTGGCGTCTTCGATGGTGTAACACCAGCACTCTTCACACTTTTCGCGGGAGTCTTGGACGGCGTGCCCACAGGTGTACCCAAAGCACTTCTTCTTCCTCTGCCACTTCCAGGCGTGCCGACCGCAGTCACATCCTTCAGTCTGTTCGTCCTCGGTGTGGCAGGCTCTTTCAACGCCGCATCCAGATATCCATACAGTTTCTTGTAAATGCGTGGCGCGACTGGTGGTCTAGCAACTACTTTGTCGATATCCAAGCGGTGTTTTAGTCGTTCGACAGCGATGTGCGCGCAGGTGTATGTTCTTCCAATCTCTTCTTCTGGTTTTAGGGAGGAGGCTTTGTTTCGTGATTGGGCGAGGAGGGAAGTTGAGAGATCGATGAGCTCTTGCGGCAGGNNGGAATTGAGAGTCGGCACGAGTGTGATGAGAGCTTGTTCAATTGGTGTCGGCATCTTGGGCGCCTTGTGATTGATCGAGGACTAGAAAATGTGTCGACGATTTAAAGCTCTAGACAACATTCGAGCCCTCGCATCGCGGAAGACGCGAAGAGTCGGCCGAGGCACGTCGCGTGCACGTGCCTTCGTGAAATCAAATCATCCTTCCCAAAGCGGATGATTCTACCATTGCACATCATTCAGAAGACAGAGGAATGTGATACGAGAGCTTGGCTTTGTCTCTTTGATCAGACAATGAGAAATAATGAATTGGAGCTTCCAACCTTCCGGAATAATCTATACTATACTAAAAACATCTCGACTTTTAGCGCTTGCCAGCAGCGAGCATCTCCTTTCTTCTCATCTTGTCCGCCGTTCTTTGCAGTGATGTTCTCATATCTCCCTTCTTGAAGTCCTCAATGTTGTAGTACTTGGGTGCAATATCCAACAACCACTCAGGACGCACGGAAGTCACTGTACGGATGTAGTTCTTTGTCGTGAGCACAAATTCGTTGTACAAAACCCATTCGCTGTCAGTGCCCAACACTGTTGAAGGGTGCAGCAACACTGTCTGCTCGTCCTTGACTGTGATGTACTGCTTCTTGCCAGAATCCTGCTTGGCGCACTGCATGAAGTAACCACACACCAAAGCCTTGCGGATGTTCTCGTAGTACTTCTTGTCCTCGAAAGGTGTCGACATGAGCTCAATCTCGTTGCGCTCCATGATTCTCTTGAGTTGCATGCGCACGTTGTCGGCCTGCTGCAGAGCACGGTATGACAGGAAGTGATCGTGACACCACTGCTTAGGGTTCTCTTGTGCTGCTGGTGACTTGAAGGCGTGGTACACGTTGAGCATGGTAAGGTGGTCTCCGTCAGGGTGTGCGAACAAATCCTTCATCTCGTCGGCACGCTTGCGAGCGCTGTTTGGTCGCACGAAAATGTTGGGTACTGAAAGCAGGGCTGTGAGGGAGAGGATTTCGTTAGAGCAGTAGAACTCAGGTGATGAGATGAGCATGACTGCAAGAGCAGGGTCGAGAGGGAATTCGGAAGCCATACGACCAAGCTCGGTCAGCTCACCCTCATCGTCAAGACATGCCAGGTAGTTGAGCTCTTCCAAAGCACGCATAAGAGTCTCGGGTGCAGGCGGGTCCATAAGATCGAAATGTACCAAGTCATCAACACCGAGCTTCTTCAATTCCAGAACTGTTGATGACAAGTTTGAACGCAGGACTTCGGGGTATGATTGGTCAATGAGCTCCTTCTTGAAGGCAGCCTCGGTGTACAGACGGAAAGCCTTTCCAGGCTTGGTACGTCCAGCACGACCAGCACGCTGTTGAGCTGAAGCCTTGGAAATGGGCGAAACGAGCAGAGACTCAACTCTGATTCTGGGGTTGTAGACCTTTTGCTTGCTGAATCCGGGATCGATAACGTAGACGATACCGTCAATGGTAAGCGAAGTTTCGGCAATGTTGGTAGAGATGATGACCTTGCGACCAGGACGACCACCAGCACGGAAAGGACCAGGAGCAGGATCAAAAATGCGCTGTTGTTGGGCTGGAGGGAGCGAACCGTACAGAGGGTAAACCTTCAACGGGCCGGCATCTGCTTCTCTGATCATCTCATCCGACTCCAAACTGATCTTTCTGCATGCGTCTTCAATCTCCTCCTCACCAGTCAAGAAGAGCAGGATATCTCCTTCAGGCTCGGTGGCGTGAATCTGCAGAACGGTACGAATAGCGGCTTCGACGTAGTCTCTCGGGNNTTCGGCAGTGTAAAAGATCTCGACGGGGTGAGTACGACCAGGAACGGCAAGAAGAGGAGCATCGTTGAAGTACTTCTGGAACTTCTCGGCGTCCAGAGTGGCGGACATGATGATGATCTTCAGGTCGGGTCTGCGCTGGGCGACTTCCTTGAGGAGACCCATGAGGATATCGGTGGCAAGAGTACGCTCGTGAGCTTCATCGAGAATAATTGTGCTGTAGCGGCTGAGGTTGTGGTCGTTCATGGCTTCGCGCAGAAGCATACCATCTGTCATGTACTTGAGAATGGTGTTTTGCGAAGTCATGTCCTCGAAACGAATGCTGTAACCAACTTCCTGACCGAGTGTGACATCCATCTCTTGAGCGACACGTTGGGCGACCGACATGGCAGCGACACGACGAGGCTGTGTACAAGCGACCATCTTACCCTGCTGGTGTGGAAGATCATCGTAGAGGACAAATTGGGGGATCTGTGTCGTCTTTCCTGAACCAGTCTCTCCGACAAAGACGAGGATTTGGGTTTGCTGGAACATTTGGAGGAACTCATCTCTANNCGCGCCTAGTCAGCAAGCGGCTTGTCTGATTGCAACAAGAGTGACGTACCTTTGGGCGTGGACAGGCAGATTTCTGCGAGTCTTCAAGATGCCAAAGTAGCGCTCTGAGAGGTTGTTGCCGTTGAAGGGGTTGGAAGGACCGTCCTCAGCCTTGGCTGCTTGGGCGGCTGTGGTGGTGTGGCGCTTGAGGTGGGTGAGACCATCAGTTGCGCTTCCATTGGATCTTCCATTCGAGTAGCCATTGTCGTCTCCGTGGTTCATGTGAGCCAAGTAAGGATTGGATGCGGGATCGGATTCCATCTTTTGACGTTTTGCGCGCGACTCATCGCCGGATCTTCTGTCAGACATCTTGTCCTTTGGGGGGAATGCGGCGTGTGTGATGTGTCTGGTCTTCGAGTGCCGTCGAGATAGTTCGAGGGACGGCTGGACAATGAGTGCGACAGGAGCGATAAGGTGGTTGTCGTCGAAAAGTCAAGGAAGACTCTTGGGATGGTTCAAAGAGTCGCCGCTGGACCAAAAAAGTCCCTGCAACTCCATCATCATCTCGGTCTTGGCATCGTCTGCGCTCCGCTCTCTATCTCGCTTTGCCTCGCGTCTTCCTCCTGCTTTCGAAAGACAACCTTACATTTGTGGATATCATGCAATCCAGTTCTTATTGAATATTCTCAACGGATCTTCGAACACTGTTGCGATCCTGCGTTTGTTTGCTGTGTACTTACCAAAATAGAATTGAAGAGCAGTTGTGGCGCATTACTCGCAGCCCATCTGAAGCAACGCACAGCCACCTGTGCCCCTCCATCCTTCGTGGCTCAGCCTCGTATAACTCCATCCCACCTGCATCGTCATTCTTGTTTGATCTCTTCACACACTGATACACACACACACACCTATACCTCATAATCAACATGGCAAACACCAAATTGTTACTGTTCTTATGCTTGGTGGCAGTCTTGCTCTTCGCAACCCCCACCCATGCCTTTGGCGCCGGAAACATTGCTTCCATCTCCAAGATCGAAGGCAAGAATTGGCGCCATGGTGACATTGAAGATATGCTCAAGACGGTCGATTGTCTAAAGAAGCACAAATGGACTTCGATGATGATCAAGGTAGGCTTCATCGCCGTGATTTGATAGCTTCACATTTGTTAATGACCATAATCCTGCAGCNGTGTCTACTTTGGAAACTGGCTTAGAGACTACAGTCAGGCTGTTGATGTGGGCACTCTGAAAGGCGTTCCTGCAAGCACTATTCGCATCCTGGTTTGGGTTCTGGCTTTCATGACCTTTGGTTATGCTACTGGTGAGTTCGAGGTCACCGATGAGCGCCTTGGTGTCTACCGCCCCGAGGAACATATCGACAATCCCAAGGACTACGCAAGTCCGTGTCCTGATGCGAGACAATATGATGAGCGTCTTCGTGGTCCTGTACAACCAGAGGAACTCGCCATTGACCCTGAGACTGGAATGAAGAACTACATTGCCAACGAACGTGGTGGCTGGGCCACTTCCTCAGGCTATGTCAAATACAGCTTCAAGAGAGCCATCCGTTTTGGACGCATGTATACTCACGGTAGTAACAAAGGCGATGAGAAAGATTTGTGCGAAGCACTTCGCTGTCTTGGTCAAGCTTTGCATTGTATGGTAGGTATCACACTTGCTTCTACCGTCCGTAAGACGGTTGCATTGCTTTATGCTAACCAGACAATAGNNGAGGACTTTGGTGCTCACACCAACTATACTGAGCTGGCTCTTCGTGAGCTTGGACATCACAATGTCTTTGCTCATGTCGGTACCAATACTGAGATCAATCTTCGCGGAAAGCGTGTCTTCCCTTTAGTCACTGGAACTTTTGGTGGTGTCGATTTCATGCATTCTGTCCTTGGAGAGGCTACCGACCATGTTACCCAGAGCGAAGTTGATGAGATGCAAAGTGCTCTGAACAACGCTTCGGCCGAAGGAAAGCGTTCTGGATCTGGCCCATCTGGAGAAGTGTCTGGTCTGGTTAGCTTGTTGTCAAAAGTGCCAGGCACCGGTTCTCTATGCCAGGAAGCTGTCCGTCTGCAGGCTGAGTCGGATCAGTATGCCGCTCAGAATGCTGGTGCAGGCGCTCGTGGTTTCGACGACGGTAGCTACAGTCAGGACCGAGCCTGGAATCCAGTCGCTTCTGCGAACAACACCGCTGATCCTCAAGCAATCGTCGCAAAGATCTACCCCATTCTCGTCTTCCGCGACAATGTTGTTCGTAGCATCAGCAACATTGTCTCCAAGATTCCCGGACTTGAAAGTCTCATTGAAAAGATCACCGAGAAGGTCACATTGACAGTCATGGGTCTTCTTGCACCTTACATCACCCCTCTGATTGCCGCCGCCTCGAACAGTCTCAAGCAGGGCAGCAGCAGTGTTGTCGAGGCCAGTGGCAAGCATCAATACGAGGTTTGGACTGATCCTTTCAGCACAGACCCTACTCATTCTTTGCTATCTAAAGACCACTTCAGCAATATCTTGAACGAGCCCGCGGGTAAAGTCGCTGCTTGTATCCTCCAATACGTCGCACCTCGTGTCATCTACGCCTTCGATCATCCAGATGTACCTGAGGATGAGGTACTTAACGATGTCCTTCGTGCCTTCCATCACCCTGCCATCCGCGATCCTCACTGCGAAATCCAGAAGAACATGTTCGCGGTTGTTGAGAATTGGGCTCGTTCGCGTCCAGACGGCGGTCGTGATCTTGACAGAATCCTCAGTTCTGAGAGTGTGAAAGCTGGACACAACCACACAGGCGGCGCGAACCCTCATCTGCACTCTCACGGTGGCCCGGGCGATATGCAAAACGTCTTTGGCATGGGTCAACCTCAGCGCGGCATGGATGCATCTGATGCATCTCAACAGTCAAACTATGGTCAACCTGCTTCACAAAGCGGTTGGGGTGCTCCTCCACCCGCTGATTACAACCAGCAATATCAACAGCCTTACCAGCAACCTGCTCCTGCAGGCTTTGCCAACAATGACCCCTCGGCGTACCCTAGTGCTTACCAGCAAGGCTACGAGGTTCCGTACAATGGTGGAGCACCCTACGGAGCACCTCCTGGACCACCTCAGCAGTACGGTGCTCCGCCATCTGGTGCCCCTCCACATGGACAGTATGGTGGGTATGATCAGCAGCAAGGATACGGGCAAGGTCCTCCGCCTGGTTATGGTCAGGGACACTCGTCTGGATATTACCAAGGTGGCGGCTACTAAGATCAACCGTGATGATAGCAAGGTCCGAAGGCTTGGAAAATGATCCTAATAGGTATTGGACTTCATTAATGAACCAAAATTCACCTTTCCCGAATACTGCCATGTCATAGTGAAGACAGTCATTTTCAAACCTCTAGGATACACAAGGGCGCTTCATGCTTCGATCTTCATGTGACTTCGCTCAGCGTTTAGATCATGCAACATGTGTCTTGACATACCAACGCTGGAGGACTCTTGAGCTCGGTTGTGGGTGTCATGGGGATGGTTTGTAATGCCAATAAAGCAGATTATGGTCGTCACACGTTCAATGTCGCATAGTTGAGATGATCTTCCTTGTTCTAATCCTTCGCCAAGACTTAGGCAGCAACACCTTCGTGAAACCAAGAGCTTGCAATCACATTGTCATCCCTATGAGATTCTGGTGCACCAAGATCACAACGAACGACAGTTCACGTCCACTGTTTCATTGTCGATCGTCATTATTGCCTACCATGACAGACTACCTCTCCAAACTGCCAGCGGAATTGCTGTTGTGCATTCTAGCAAAACTGCCTGATCTCAAAGCGTTGTATGTAGTAATCCTCTCATCACCAGATGTATACGCTGTGTTTTGCTTGAATTCACAGCTCATCTTCAACACAATCGTTGGACGCAGTATGCCAAAGGAGACGCTCAAACCAATGCTCACGTACATGCGCTTACTCCGCGAATGCTATCACGGGAAAAATTGTATGCGAGAGTGTACATGGCAGCAACTGCAAGCAGCAGCATCTGCAACTAGCGATACCCAGTCACTGTTGGATGATATGCCTAGACCCGTTGTATGGCATACCATTGCACAAGCGATGCGAAACCACAATCTGGCATACTCTATCCTCCGAACCAAGCTGGACTACCTAGGCACTCTGCGATTTGAGAAATTGGCAGACCCTCGATATAGATATCGACCTGTGGAGCGTCTGCCACATCCTGTTCCTCCCGGAGAAGTGATGCAGGTTTCTATTCCACTACAGGACCCCAGCTGGATTGAAGAGAATCGCGTAGTCTCTATACTATGGTTTCTGGCTGCCGGATGGCGCACATCCAGCTTGTGCACTTACATCCCAGATGATGTGTTGGCAGAAGGACTTGAGAAGATACAGAAGGAATTCTTGGGTTCTGCACTCAGTCCGGATGATAACGAAGATCTGGTTACCGAGATCGAGCAGAGTGTAGCTTGGAGTCCTACGTTGAAAAGTAAGGAAGTACTCGATGACGAAGCAGATGAGCGGTTTGAGTTTGACGCACTTCATACTTATCTCATTTCGCTGCCCACTCACGCACCAGTTGAGTCTATCACAAACGAGTCTACTGCTTCGCCCTTGTTTGCGCGATCTATACCCATAGCCCCAGAAGTCACTCTCGAGACAAGATCATGGCATCAAACCCCCGAATGTCTAGAAGACAGTAACCCCAACGCACGCTTCCTCAAAACATTAAGACGGTATCCAGGACCAGGCAATGCACTCCAAGGCACAAACCACTACGAACTCGAGCGCCTGGGGTTCAGCATTTGGGATACCTGGCGTGTGAGTTCTGAGCTACATATCCTAATGCCGCCGAGAATGTTTCGTCCACCACGTGAGACTGGAGTTAATAGGTTTATGATCGGAGATCCTGGATATATAAGTCGAGATGATATGACTTTTCGGTGGTTTAAACTTCATGAGCAGGAGGTTTTGCTTGAGCAGCAGGGTTGGCATAGATGATTGTATGAATTGTGTGTTGGAGTGTTTGTTGTGGTTCACTTGGCTGCTTGCTTGTTTCATCATTCGAAATGTCAGCAAGCGATCAAGGCTATGAGTAGAACTGCGACTCGTCGTCTCTTCACCGAGATTCATCTCTGCGCTCACGGACCGCACGCACCTCACTGATTTCAAAATCAGCTGGTCAGGTCGCAGATCTGTTGTGTCCGATTGCGTGCTCAGAGTACGTTTTTACGTGACAGGCGGGGTTGAAGCATCGCACTTTCCCACCTATTTGTCTATCCGGCTGACACCACTTCACAAAGCTATTGCGACATTTACAAAGGCTCCCGTTCGCTATTCAGAATCACTGTTATCGACATGTGTGGACACTGCGCATCCTATGGTGATCCTTCGCTGCATGTGCGAGGTTACGTGCTACCCAGCCCTGCAACCCTGTAATCCATAAACACGTCTTTGCTCCCGGATCTGTGCTCATGTGTTCTGAGTTGAGATCAAGTGTTGTCTGTCATGAATGTCAGAACAGTCGCCATCATTGGTGCTGGCGTTAGCGGTGTCACTTCTGCCATACATCTGAGAAATGCTGGACTGGATGTTACGGTATTCGAACGAGGAGATGTTGCTGGAGGTGTTTGGTTCGTGCTTCCATCTCTGAATCGACCCTTTGCTCGGAATGTGTGTCTCAAATTGAGAACTAATGGTTTGAGTATAGGGNTCTATGATTCTCGCACTGCAGTGGAACCAGCTTATCCAGCTACTTTGCCTTCAATGGGTGATTCTCCTGCTTTCGACTCTGTTCTCGAGACGCGAGATTGCAAGGCTCGTAGGGACAGTCCAGTCGTTCAAGAGTCCTTGGATGCAAACCGTGTTTCTGACAACAAGGATTTGGAGATCCTGCATGCACCGCCAGNNGGTATGTGCGTTTGCTTACCAACTCATTCTTGTATCCGAGAACATGACTAAAAGCATTCTAGACCATGTTACCAAGGCCTTCACAACAACGTCTCGACTCCAGAGATGAAACTGCGCACCCATGACTGGAAGCCAGATACTCCTGACTTTGTCCCTCATAGTGTGTTGGCGACGTATATTCAGGATATAGCCGCTGCCAACGATATCCTCTCTTTGATCTCTTTTCGTACACGAGTGACCAAGATAGAGAAGAAAGGAAAGACATGGGAAGTAAAGACTGCGAGACTGATTGAGGAGGATGGTGAGAAGGAAGTCCGAGAGTCAATACAGGTGAGCTCAAGCCAAGAAAACTCCAAACAGGAGATACAAGGAAAGTGATAACAGAATTTTANNCAGCTATTCGATGCAGTCGTGGTGGCGAGTGGACATTACCACGCACCCAACATCCCCAACTATCCAAATCTCTCTGCTTGGAAAACTGCTTTCCCAACGCGAATCTCGCATTCGAAATCTTACCGCTCGCCTGCACCTTTTGCTGGCAAGAATGTCTTGGTAATTGGTGCTGGTGTCTCAAGCACGGATATATGCCGTGAATTAGGCAGTGTGGCGAATAAAGTCTGGCAATCGAGTCGAGGTGGAGAGTATGATCTCTTGCCTTCGATGTTACCGCATAATTGCACGCGCATTGGGGCTATCGCCAATTTCTCCCCTCTTGCATCTAGGACCAAACTTGAAGATGAGGAGGCGCTTCCTGGCCACGTTATCCTATCTTCCGTCGACACAATCAACAACATCCACCACATCATCCTCGCAACAGGCTATCACATGTCCTATCCTTTCCTCTCTCATCTCCACGCCGATAACTTGCTTCCCTCACAAGCTTCAAACACCGCTCTGGTCACCACGGGAAAAGTAACCCACAATCTCCACAAAGACATCTTCTACATCCCGGACCCCACGCTCGCGTTTGTAGGTGTACCCTACCACGTAGCCACTTTTTCGCTTTTCGAGTTTCAAGCTATGGCTGTGGCTGCCGTGTTTGCAGGGACTGCGGATTCACCAACGGAAAAAGAGATGAGGAGTGAGTATGAAGAAAGAGTAAAAAGAAAAGGTGTAGGTAGAAAGTTGCATTCGTTGAGAGATGATGAGGGTGAGATTATGTATGCGAGGGAGATGATGGCGATTGTAAATCAGGGGAGAAAAGAAGAGGATATGATAGAAGGACATACGAAAGAGTGGTTTGAGGCGTATCAAAGACGGTTGGTGAGGATGCAGGAAAGACGAGGGTGGGCATCAACAACGAAAGAGATTGTTGGTCCTGTAGATGGCAACAAATAGAGCATAAGAGATGAATACAGCAAGTGAGACAGTTCACCTATTCCTGGAGGCGTAAGGAGTCCAAGATGAACGGTCTCAGCAAGACGTGCAACCTTGGAGTGACTCGAAGAATACAGCATGATTTATGGAAGCACGCTGCGATGAGGCTTGAAGACGAGGATGGGGTCCTGCTCCAAGCAGATTTAAGGTCCGACTAGCGTCCGCATCTGATTACATAAGCAATCTCCTTTCCCGACCTCACAACCACGTGAGTCACATTGATAAACAACCAAGATCGAGTCGAGATACCAGAATCAATGGCAAACAAAAATTCATGGCTATACGCAGGCCTGGCCTCCTCATTCCCCAACATCTCACGCGCAGAAGACAACAAAACACGCCTCTGCCAACCCATCCCCGACCCCTGGGACCCACCACAAACAATCCCTCAACCCTGCAAAACATTCACAAAACCCTCTGCAGACGACTCATCAACCACAAAACTGTCTGAAACAGCTCTTCAAAACGCACCCACAAACTCAATCCTGGTGTTTCGCTACAAGGACAAGATTCATGCTATTGAGTCGGCGTGTCCGCATCAAGGATATCCAATGACCAGAGCCACTCTCTCGGATATCGAGGATTTTGGGATTGTGTTGAGTACGGGGATTACGTGTCCGAAGCATGGGTGGATGTTTGATTTGCATACAGGCGAGGCGGATGTGAGTAGGTATAAGTTGGGCTTGTACGAGGTTGAGTTGAGGAAAAGTGGGGATGGTGATGAACAGGTTTGGGTAAGGGNNAAGAAGGAGAGGAAGAGGATTGGCTGATGGCAGTTCTTGTAGTTGTTGCAGCTGAACACGATAAGAAGAATCTGCTGCTTCGATCTTCCGATAGAGCTTGGAGCATGAGAAGACATCATTGGCCTCCCCTGGAGGTGTAGAAGAGCTCGCATGCTTGTGCTTGAGACAAGCCCGACAACAGTGATTTCCAGAGGGTAGTCTGCGTCGACTCTGGTCACCACTGCCAAAAAGCGAACAAGTATATGTCATCGTTGAACCATGACAGTCCCTCCATGAGAGTTTGCGGCAGAAATCTTGCACTCCGGTGCATCAAAGTGTTCATGATGTCAAGAGGCAACAAAGCAAACTGAGAAGGTCGATTGGGCTTCAGAGATCATCCGACAATTGAACAGTGAATTTCTGTCGTTGATGACCTAGTATCGGATGCTTCACAATTCCTAGGGATCAATAATGCTTCACAGTGAGGATGTCAAATGAGGTTGATCGTGTTGTGACGGCCATCCGCACCGACAGGAACAAAACAAGCTCGGCGTTTCGGCGTCCGAGCTCCGACATATCACCAAGCTCCACCACCAATTTCAGACCACCATATCTCAACATTCTGAGCATCAAATATCACAAAAATAGCTCAAAAGATGCGTCTTGACCTCCTCTACACTTTGACATAGTCAAAAGGGCAAAAGCTCGACGCCTGTGTGATTCGAACACACGCTCCCGAAGGAAATGCCTTAGCAGGGCATCGCGTTAACCACTCCGCCAAAGCGCCTTGACAAGATCCCGGAATTGGTTAGATCCCGAAGCTGGATGGAAAGCATGGAAGATTTTACGTATATGAAGCTCTCTCTCACAGTGCCGCCTATTAACATGAGACGCGGCAGTCGCGCTGCCGCATGTGCCTCAGTGCCCTCGCGAAACAGTCATCTAAGCCATTAAGGCTGCCTAACTCGACGTTCAGGTGGACAGACCGTATTGGGACTGTGAAAAGCGAGGCAAAGGGTTGTGTTGAAGAACAAAAGTCGAAACTTGCGAGGCGGGAGAGAAATTTTGTCACAAGTCAAGTTTTTCTCTTTTAACTTAACGGCGAAGATTAGCCTTCTGACCACTACATCTCCTCTTCGATATCCTTGACTCGCACATCATCTTCCTGGAGTCATCACTTGTACAAGGAGCCCGACGGACATATATGTCAGGAGCAACAGTTATTCTGACAGTGGATAAGTCGCCATCCTTCTCCGAGACGAGGTAAAAAATGTTTACCACACTCGAAATTACTCCGGCCAACCTCAGCTTTCCTAGCAAGAGGGTTCATGATGATTTATGGGGATGTAAGACAGTGATGCCTTGACCTCAGATCCGATTATGTGCGTCCCGATGGTTGTGCTTGAGTCACAGAAGCGCTTGCAAGGGACGCCTTCTATCTGGCCTGGACAATTGCCTCGCAAAAAGCATCCTCGAGACACGGCCAATGCCTTTAATGCAACAAATGGTATGCCTTAGTCTTCTACTTCGAGACGACTCAGTTTTCTCGAGTGATATTTCTGGCCGCCCAAGACAGGAGAACAGAGACATCGGTCGAGAATGTCTTTCGCTGTATGTAACAATAGAGTCGAGGTGAGACTTCTGCTTCTTTGTCTCTTCCTCGAGAATTTTGGTATAAAGCTCAGAGGTACAGCGGAGCGATAAGAACAACTGACAGACAGTCTCTTCGTACATAAGTTTTAACACATTCGTTTCCTTGTTCAATTTCCTTCTTCGCTGCTGGATTCAGCAATATCTACATCATCAATAGCAACGCAACATGAACATCATCATGGCTTGGGAAGGTAAACGTCTGAAGCATGATGAGGTACTAAATGTGAAGCTTCAAGAAGCTAGCAAGAACGTCCCTAGATACTTGTTCAGAATGTGGCATCCAGGCTCAGGTGGTAATTCGAAGCTTAACACAACCGATGCTGTTATACCACACGCATTCCTTCATCGACCGGACCATGACCTCCCAGTCGTGTACCATATGACTGCAGAACAATTCATAGACAACACCACCAAACATTTGTGTGGCGACCGCACAGTACTCTCTGAGTTTTCTTCATGGTCTGCATCACCTAGATTTGTTCTTCACTATGCGACTACTCAGAGGGATAGTGCTTACGTCGCTGTCATCGACACGGCGAAATTCCAAAAGGGTACCACAAATGCAACATTTCATGTACCTGCTCTAAAACCAATCTTTGGATCCCACAAGTCGTGTCAGGCCTTCAATGGTGGTCGTGGCTTCGATTATGGAAAATATGACTGGGAGTATCTGGTCCACGACGTTATAAAAGGCAGACACTACAAGGCTGTCTCATTCCGAACGCTCTGTCAGCACGGTTTGATCGATCATCTACCCGCATTGAAAACCCCTGTCAACGCCTGGTGTACTGAGAGGTGGTTACTGCCCGGACCCAGCTCGTTATTCGATGCACGAGAATTCTCTCGACTACACAAAATCGTCGAACTCTTCGGTTTCGATTCACGCTTACACACTGTCTTAACTATCACCTTGTTTTGTTGCAAAAAACGACATTTTCTGGGGGCTAGTATTCCACGAAATGATCGGTACCACGTTAGCCGCACATTAGGAAACCGGGACGATATCCCTTACGATTGGTCTGACTCACACTTTCTCCAGGACGAAGTCTACGACACTCGATACGAAGAGAATCGGCAAATGGTCAATGTGATGAAACTCGTACATACCTACTGCTGGGGAACAAGGTTCCAGCCCATGAAGATCTTCGAGACAGGATTATACAAAGCGAATTCTCAACATGCTCACATATCTTTAGAGGTCTCACGTTTGGTTGGACCTTTTGACAATGTCTACCATGTCCCATTCTCGATTATTCCGAGTCCTCTCAGCAACATGTTTCACTTGTGGAGATTTCCCGGTATGTCTAAGCACACGGATTCGCATATAGAGGCAGTAAGAAATTGCCCAAAAGATGGAATTATCTACGTTGCAGGTCCGGATATTCAAAAGATCATTAGACCAAACCGAGGAATTGATCTGTAAGTACATACATGGACCTTGTCTTTGGGTCGACTGACAACTTTCAAGCTTCAGACAACCCGAAACATGCAAACACATCATCTTTAAGACAATCACGAAGAACCATGAAACCTTCTGGTTCGCACGCATCAGTGCGAACTTGAATGTCCATGTCAATGGGCAGAGCTTCTTGTGTTCTCGCCCAATCACGATTGGTCCAATTCCTGTTTTCTCCGTCTGGAGACTTGGAAGAAAGGATGGGTTGTATATATATCGGGACTGAAGGTCTCAACTATGGAGGTGAGTTGTAATATGGTGAGGTATTGGGCGGATCTTGCTCTTTTTTTGTCTTGAGTAATAGTGCTTGTTGTAGGAATATTTGTGAAGCATTTGTATATCATCAGTGTTGAACAAGTGCAGAATCGTGATCATAGCAAGGCACCTGCTTCATACATGGAATTTCTATGCCATGTCTACAACACGCTCATCCTCCATCTACCACCTGCGGGCATTCCCAATTTTCGTCACCCAAGCACTTCCAGTGGGTACATGACCATCAACAGTCTGTGTGACCGTCTCCGTGATCTTGTCCACATGTCCTCTCTTTGAGATCCTCTCGGTCTCATGTATGATCGCAGTAACAGTAGCCGTGACCGTCTCCTTCATATGCTGCATCTCATGTTTTACCTCCTCCAAGACTTTCGAGTTTTCCTTGAATGCCGCCACGTCGCGCTTGAGAGAGGTTGCACAGTATATCATGGTAACGAGCAGCGCCACGATTGCAAGAAAGAAACAAAGAGCGGCACAAGCGCAGCAGGTGTCATCCTTGTTCTTGGACTTGGTGGGTTCGGTGGTGGAGTTGTCGGTGAGTGCTTCGTGAGCTTGTCCGATGTTGATGGTTGTGGATTGGTTGGTGAGCTCTAGGCGGTCGAGACGCTGCAGTGGTCGAGAAGGAGGGAGATCTCGAGAAGGTTGTAGAGGATCTTCGTGAATTGAAGTGTAGGCTGGAGCTGTGGTAGCCTCACTTGATGGCGGTATAGCTACATGCGTAGGATACGCTGGAGGCTGATCGAATTCAATCTCAACCATTGGAAAGAATAGTGTCAGGAGACAGTGGATGAATCTGAACTGAGCGGTTTCTGCTCTTTCTTGTACCTCGATACGGCAAGAACGGCAGCATACTTCACAGTCCAAGTTTTGGAGCATGACCATTAAAGTTATCTGATAGAGTGAGTTTCTGAAGAAGCTCATCCAAAGCTTTGGAACAGCTCATGATCATTCGACCGTTCGGCACATTTGCTCGAACGATCGAAGAGAGGATTTGCTGGTTCGAAGGCTGCTTGCTAGTTTGGTATTGGCGTTTTGTCGCTGATGCACGGAGGAGAAAGGATTGTAACACGCAGGAAACATCACTTGAAAGCTGTACAGACTAGTACTTCTCACACACTCTCCATCCAAAACATCAACTACACCAGACGCATCCCCAACATGACCCGCAAGACAGAGCTCAAAGCCGAGGAAGACATTTCGACACCAGAGAGCATCCAAGAACTCGAAACGACCGCCCCGAAACCAGAAGACGACTCATCACCCTCATCAAACAACATCCCTGGATCCACACAAAACACCTTGTCCAAGATCCGCAACTTCTTCTACGAGTTGACGCAGCCAAGTATCAGTACGATGGACGTCGTTGCCTATGTCTTTATCATGGTGTTCATCGCCTGGATAAGTCAAGATATCTGCAACCAGTGTAAAAAACGGGGGAAAGCAGAGGCTCGCAAATCGTGTCAACTACCGTCTGTATCGGTGATCCGTACACCATGGATTTATTCTCTGGTTGATAGCCACTATAAGAAAATTGGCAATGTAGTATAGTTGTTGTACTTACCGTGACTATGGTTAGTGTTCATGTCGTGTTGGAGTTTGAGAACTGAAAGTCTGAGTTTGACTTGTTCGAGAAGTGCACCGAGAGGCTTCGAGGAAGGTCAAGTCACCGGAGCGTTTGGTATCTACTCGAATGACCGTAACTGGGAAAGCTGCTGTGTCGAACGATCCTTCCTCATATACAATTAACTTTGCATCGCTGAGGCTTGGTCAAGAAGATCTCAAGCTGGGAAAGTCACTTACCTATTTAGCAACATTAGAGTCTATAGACCAGAGACATCATTTGACGAGTTTGCAGACTTCGACATTGCGATTTCTCTTCCCTCTTTTACACTTGCTCCCTTTAGATCCCCAATTTCAGCAGGCGAACAACCAACACGACCCTCAAACCAAAACCAGGACCCGAAGCTGAGGAAGACACAGAGAGTGTCTCGAAACCGGGAGACAGCTCAGCATCTGACCTCAAACAACAACATTGCTCAATGCGAACAAGAGCATCCATCAAAGAAAAGCCGCGCTTCCGAGTCCATAGATAAATCCAAGATGAGGGATCGGTTTCCTCGAGCGTGTCACACTGTACTCTCCAACCAAATCCAGTAAACATGCTCAAACAGCCGGAGAAGAAAGTCAACTTCAACCTCGCTCTTTGTCATATGTTGCTCATCTCCGCAAAAAAAAAGACATCTCTCGACGAATCCGCAGACTCTGAACTCCATCCTCCATTCACTTTCAAATCCTCGTTGTGGAGATGGCCAAGAATAACAGACCACTTCCCATCATGACTTTCGACACAGGACTCAAACTCGACAACGAGACGTTAATGCGGAAGAGACCCGGTAAACTCGACTCGACAGTCTCAGAACCGAAAGAAGACTCACCACCCAGAACCAATGACATCGTTCAAGCCAAGAAGAAGCGTGCGTTGCAGAAAAAAAGCTCCAGATCTTCCAACTGGACGGTGCCAAGTCGCAACACGATCAAAGGCGTCTTATGCTTAATCGGCCTGATTGCTTATTTCGCAAGTTTCGTCTATGTTGTCGTAAAAGAACCTTACGATACTTCGACAAACCAGGAACCCTCGAAAAACCAGGAAACCTCAACAAACCAGAAAACTTCGACGAACCAGGCACAATCAGAGTCTGCAAAAGCACACCCAGGTGCCATAACACTGACGGCCGAACAACCAGGCACCTACACTTGGTCTGGGACGGTCGAAGAACCGGGCACCTAGATTTGGGCTAATGGCACGCGCACCAGGGGTTATTGGGGGCACGGTGACCGTGACGAAGACTTCTTGCGCGGCATGTGGCTAGATAACAGGTCTGCCTTCGTGGTTGCACTGTAGGCGCGACACTGTCTTCCGGAGGGATAGTTTGATGGCTTCTCGAGCTTTCTGATGAGGGGAGAGGGAGAGGAACGCGGTCTTTGATGAAGGGGGAGCCAGTTTTTGTGTGTTGTTGTAGTCGCCAAGCGAGTTCTTTATACTTGCTCAAATAGCCGTATCAAAAACTCGATGACACCAATTGCAGTCCTTCATTGTTCGCTGTTTTGACTCACAGCACAAGACTCATCATCTGCGTGACTACAGAACTGAACATTTTTCATGCGCTGCCCTCTTCTCAACATCACATCGTGACTTTCTTCATGGCGTGGACTCGAAACGACTTGCACTCTCTCGAACAACTCCTCGACTCCAAGTTGAAAGACAAAAGCACCCGCCCAATCGAAATGAACCAACCCGAGAGAAAGCAACACCTCGCAAAGCAAGAAAAGCCCGAACAAGGATGGATTGATCGTATCTCCGGTCAGCTTGAAATCTTTGCAACTGGATCAATTCGCCCGAAACAGAACCTGAGGAAGTCTGGAAATCGATCACTTTTCAACTAGTCCTGGCGCTCGCAGTCTACTTCATGGTCTCTTTATTAGTCGACAACTCAGAGTCAACCACACCATCCATCAAACCGGAAAAGCTTCAGCAGTCATCACCGAATACCATATCCAAATCAACCAGCCTGGAAATTACACAGTGGCTGTGCCTAGTATATGGTCGGTGACTTCGACTTCAGCAGTGACAGAAACCGTCACCGCAACCACAACACAAGAAATCACGAAAACAGTCACAACCACAGCGACAGAGAAGATCACAGCGACTGTAACGGAAGTCCGCATTCCACCCAGCGTGACGGATTTTCACGTGCATGTTAACCAAGGCTGCATGTCTGTGATGGTTGGAAATCGCCAGTGGTTGGGATGTCGTGAAAAGGGCGAGAACATTGACGATCTGATCAGGCGTTTGATGGATGAAAGCCGTGGTGTGAGTGGTTGAGATGGTCATACACGTCTGTGTAGATGTTGTTGTGACGGTCGTATAGTGGATATGTAGCCCGCAGCTTGAGGTTCCATCTTTCGATTCCCAGAAGTATTCGTCAAACTCTATCACTTCCGAACTTTTATTTGAGTTTCTTGTGACCATGACATGATTTCCAGGGAAGACTCGGTGAAGTGTGATATGTGGGGATTGGTGTGGCATGATTAGACAGCTCGAGGTATTGCTCGATTTCAAAAAGCAAAGTGCAAGGTGCGTGAGTGATATGCTCTCTCTCACTGCTCTGCTGCGAGCATCCCATCTTAAAGCTTCCGTCTTCTCAAGACAACTCTGAATGATCCGCATTCGATAGATTGCTCACCAAAGCGCCACGAAAAGTCCAACAATGTCCAACGATAGCCACTTTTGCAGCTATGGGATGATCCTCCTGGGCTTCATGACCATCATCCTTGCCCTTATCCTCAGCGTATTCACGTTGGTTCTCACCAACGACAACCACCACATGTTAAGTGACGCGACGATCGCATCTGGTTACAAAGACACAACCTTCAAAGTGGCATTCTGCGAGATTGGTACCTGCAAGGAAGAGAAAACATTCTGGAAGACGGTGCTTATGCCAGCCTCGACGATGACCGAAACAGCAACCGTGTATGTGCCGGATTATGATGGTCCTACGCAAGCAGCGACAATCGATATGGATGTCCAACCAACGACTCTTGCGCCTCGTGTTCTGCCGACAAGCAATGTCGAGGAGGCTGAAAAGAAGAAGTTTTCGATCAGAGGAATGAAGCATGGAGATATTGTCGATGTCAACAAGCCGGAGATGCAGATGTGAGAGGCGATTGCTAGGGTCCGACAGAGTTCGGTGATGAATTCTGGGTAGAGGGTATGAAACGAAGGGAAGTGTGTGGTAGCAGGAGTCTTCAGGCGGGATCGAGCTTTGCCTTTGCTTCTTCAATCCAAGTCTCAAAGACCATATCTCCAGCAGAAACGGCACGTAAAGGTGTAGTGCGACTGTTTTTCTTTGCAGTATTAGGATTGGTGTTGCGCAGATCAGGTTGAGCAGGAATCCAAGGCTGAGGGTGACCGATGGGAGGGCTTGTATTGTCACGCAATTCTATAGCGACAGTAAATGTACAGTTCTCGGGTAGAGCTTTGAGTCGGGAGCCACAGGACGACAGTCTGCTCATTGTTGCACGCATCTGCTCTTCCAAGTCGACTCTGGGTAGGACGGCAACAGTCTCTCCATCGTCGGTGGTACGTGACATGGGAGTAAAGTGGTATTCCTTGGGGACGAAAGGGAAGCGGCTGAGGTCAAAGACGAAGCGCTCGAGGGGTATGTCTTGCTGCGAGTAGATGACAACAGCGACACGATCAACAGTGCCTTTCAGCAACTCGGTCTGAACGGCAGCGACAGCATCGGTGATCCATTGGCAGACTTTGGGGTGACGAGACTGACGGACGCTGTAATTGTACTTCTTTGCCGACAGGAAGGATTCGCGAGGGTAGATGTCGCGCTCGTAGAGGATGGTGTGAATGGCGACTATCAGAAAGTCGCTAAAGACGCCGACGAAGGTCTGGAAAGTGACAACGACATCCGTGTCGTCCATGTTGATGGAATGGTTGTGATGGTGGTGAAAGTGCTAAAGTGGCACGCGTGAGTGGACGCGTCTTGGCGATTGGGCGCGTCTCCAGGCAATCTTGAACGAGTCGCGGCCAGCAAATCATTCGACAGCTCCCCAAACTTGATTGAATGCTGTTTGTCGACTGCCAGCACATCCAGGCAGCTCTTTAAACACTCGAAAAGCCGAAGCTGATCATATTGTACATGAACCTAATCAACATTTAGCGCTCCCTTGCTGCCGTGCCCCTCGATTGTGCCTGCTACCCCGCGATACGCTAAAGCAAACCAAACCGCCCATACCATGGAGCAGCAAATAGTTCAGCTCCTCCACGACACGCAGTCGCCCAACGATGCTCCTCGTCGCAATGCCGAACTGCAACTCCGCCAGCTCTACACAAACACTGCCTTCGCTCCCACCTTGATCGCCGTCGCTTCACACCAATCCATCGACCTACCTACCCGCCAAGCTGCCCTGCTGTTCCTCAAGCAGTTCGTCCAGCAAGTATGGTCTCCCCAATTCGAAGAGTTCAAGGGCGACATGCTCGTCTCTGTCGAAGACCGTGCAAAGCTAAGACAGGCCCTGCTTGATCTGGCCACGGATGCACACCAGGAGAGAAAGATCAAGAGCGCCGCTTCCATCGTTGTCAGCAAGATTGCTACTGCCGATTTCCCCGACGAATATCCAAACCTCCTTCCTACCTTGCTACACATCATCAACAACGGTCAGGATGGTCAACTACATGGCGCCCTCAAGGTCCTGCAAGACTTGGTTGACGACTGCTTCAACGATGATCAATTCTTCAACGTTGCCAACCAGATCGTCTCATCTGTCTTCGCCGTGGCCACCAGCTCACGACCCACCATTCTTCGTGCTCTGGCTGTTTCCGTCTTCCGATCATGTTTCGATATGCTGGAGATGGTCTTGGAGGACCACAAGACTGCCGTCAAGTCTTTTGCCGAAGAGACTCTGAACAACTGGTACCCATTCTTCCTCGCTACCTTGAACATGCCCGTACCACCAACTCCTGTCGAGCAAGACGAATCCCAGAACCCTGTCGCTGAAGAATACCGTGGTATCGTCGCTCTCAAGTTGCAGGTCGTCAAGGTCTTGATGCGTGTCCGTTCCATCTTTCCCTCCGTCATAGCTCCTCAGGCTCCTGCTCTCTTCGCTGCAACTTGGCAAGAACTCAACAACCTACGCCAGCCATATCATGAGTCCTTCATCCTGCAGGATCGTCAAGGTAGACTCGAGGACGCTGATGGTCTGCCATTCACTCTGGACTTCCTCGTGCTTGAAGAGCTCGACTTTATGCAGGCCTGTCTTCGTGCAGCCCCTGTCCGAAAACAACTCGAAGAGCAGCTGCAGTCACAGTCAATGCCAGACACTTGGGTCACCGAAGTCATGAAGCTCACTGTCACATATGCCCACATTACCACTGAGGAAGAAGGCTTGTGGGACATTGACCTCAACATCTTCCTTGCTGAAGAATCAAATGTCACGGCAAACTACACTCCTCGTACTGCATGTGCTGACTTGGCCATCAAACTCANNGCGGAGTGGATGAGTAATGCTACCCTCGAGGGTCTGCTGCATTACACGCACGAGCTCTACTCGACTGACTCGAGTTGGAAGGCAAAGGAGTCTGCTCTTTTCATCCTCAATCAACTCTTGACCGACTGCTCTGATGCTGAGCGACCAATAGCTCCTGAAGTTGCTAATGCTTATATCGACTTTATCAGATACGCAATGCAGCAGGAACACGTCTTCCTTCGAGCTCGAGGCCATTTGACTGCTAGTAGTCTCGTCCGCACGGCTGATTCTGCTCTTGGTGGCGTTGCGTCCTCGCTCATGGAACAATCGCTGCACGCCATTACCAACGATCCTTCTGACGTTGTCAAGGTGTCTTGCATTCGTTCCATGCAAGCATACCTCACTGGCGTTGCTGCTGCTAACAGCGCCTCCATGCAACCTGCTATCATCAATGCTATCCATACTTTTGTCACCGAGCTTGACTTCAGCGACATGGACGAGTCGGAGGATGTCATGATCGCCATTGTCGAGACGTTGCGTGATGCCATTATGATTGACACCCGTATCTGTTTGACTGGCTCTGGTTTGGACGTCCTATTCACCATTGCCAGTTGGTGCGCTGTCAACTACCAAATCTACATTCTCATCGCAGAGACCTTCGAGGACATTTCGGAAACTCTGTCGGGTGCCGGTCCCGAGGTCTACACACAACTCTGTGCCAAAGTCTTGCCTTCATTATCGGGAGCCTTTGATGTCGCTAATCTGACTGATGAGAACTCCTTGACCAATCTTGCTGCAGATATGCTCTCCGATCTTGCAAAGAACGGTCCCTCACCACTACCTCAAGGATTCATCGTCACCATCATGCCCAAACTTACACGTCTTCTCCTCGAATCTCCCGACGAAGAGCTGCTGAAGGCAGCAACTTCTGCCACTCGATACATGCTGGAGAAAGACCCCGAACAGATGTTCAACTGGGCGAATCACGACGGCAAGAGCGGTCTCGAGGTCATTCTAGTCATCATTGACCGTCTTCTCGGTCCATCTGTCGAAGATAATGCCGCTGGCGAAGTCGGTGGTCTTGCTGCTGCCTTGGTCGAGAAGGCCGGATCTGAAAGACTTGGTCCATACTTAGCGCAACTCTTGAGCGCTGTTGCCCACAGGCTTAGCACCGCTACACAGACGCAAGTCATCCAGAGTCTAATTCTTGTGTTTGCAAGATTGTCTTTGCTTTCAGCCAGAGAGGTAATCGACTTCCTCGCTCAACTTGCTATTGGCGAAGAGAGCGGGTTGCAAGTCGTCCTGACCAAGTGGCTTGAGAACTCTATCAACTTTGCCGGCTATGATGAAATCAGACAGAAGTAAGTTGCCCAGCGTTCATCCGCACGATTCAAGACTGACCACTGTATANGCATCATTGCCCTTTCACGCCTATATGACCTTCACGACCCCCGCCTCGACACCGTTCAAGTAAAGGGCGACATGATCATGCCAACATCCACGCGCATCATGACTAGAAGCCGTGCCCGCGCCAACCCCGACCAATACACCATCATTCCAGCCCCTCTCAAAATCGTCAAGATCCTCGTTGACGAACTGCTCGCCAACAACGTTTCGCGTAGTGTCGAAACGCTGGCCCCAGCCTCTGAACTCGAANAAGCAGAATCCGTCGGTAGTGGCGACTCGGATTGGGAAGACGACGACGGGTTCTTGGATTTGGGTACTGGAATGACTAAGGAGGCTTTGATGGGGATGGTTGCGGATGATATGCCTAGTAGAAGCAGAGATGATGAGACACAAGCATATCTGTTGGAGTGGTTTGCCAGTAAGGCACAGGAAGATGGGTTTGGACAGGTGTTTGGACAGTTGAATGCTGCCGAGCAAGAGAAGCTGAGGTCGATGGCGTAAAAAGGAGCCAGGTCAGTACCGAAATTCTAGTTGAACATGGAGAGGTACATATCCAGGATGAAAAATAATCACAAGCATAATACTCAAGAACCATTGATCAGAGTCGATCGTTCTTGCCGGATGTGCTTGGCTGTATGTATACATTATCCCTGCTCTATCTTGATGGAGAACAGCTGTCAGGGAGCCACCAAATGCGTTCATCGTATAGAGCCGCAAATCAGATCTGAGAGCAGAAAATACATGTGATGTGATTTCTGTTTAGAATCACGGTGGGATACCTGGAGGCTCAGAACGGTATGTCATTCGGATGAGGAGCGATGTTCACATAAGATGTTTTTTCCATGCGCCGACCTGCTTGAATAGCTCATTCCATCTTGCAAGCAACCTCCTGGCGATGTAACGCGCGTGATCGATGTAAAACCTACTCCATATATCTTCTATAGGCATAAGAAGGAGTAGCATATTCGTTTGATGTTTCTTTTACCAGGCAGTGCAGCTTAACATCACTCTTTCCATCTCTATTTTACAATTTGGAGAATCTTTCTGGAGATGGGGCGGGACAATTGATGTTTTGGATGTATACTTCTTCATACACTATATAAACAATACGTGGAGCGAGATTCACAGCCTTGGCTTTTGGGAGGTAGAATTACGAGGTAAGTAATATCTTGGTCATTGGTCGTAGCAGGAAGTGTAACCAATAGCGCCGGATAGTTAAGTAGGTCAGCTAATGTGGCGAGAGATAATATCAGTAGGATACAAGATCCAATACCATTGATAGATGAATAGCCTTTCTAGTTATCGGATACTAATAACATACTCGAAGGTCGAGGCATTAAATTGTTACGATTATGACCACAAATTCGACAGAAAGGGATTGTATACGCGGCTCTCTGATTAACCTTCCATCAAAAGGCTCCACTTTCTGGTAAAGTTTTGATAGCATCAAGAACTTTGTGTAGTGGGAGATATTGATGAGTGTGTTTGTATCGTGGTTGCAGTTGCAATGTTTGCGGTGTGGGTTTGTTTCTCTGTTCATGCTTTTCATTCGCTGCAGTTTTTGTTTCTATATATTGTGGTTTTATAAGGTGAAATATGAGGTAAATCTTATGATTCGTTGATCTAATCTTCTAACAAAAGGCCCAAGCCGATCCCAATCTATATTCGTTATATGTACAAAGAAAATGAGAAAATGAGAACAGAGATACAAATCCGAGGGTTGGAGGGACTGGTCCTGCCAGTCTCCATAACCGACCCCCAATCCCATTCTACCAAAAACACCAAAAACTCCTTTCTTTAGCTATTGCAACCAAAAGAAAGTAAGCACTCCCACATATCTATTCCCAAATCATTGAAAACTTCAATTTCTTCCCAGAACCCGAGACCAAAACTCCGCGGAAAAGAACAGTTCCCATGCCTTTTTTACTCTACAACTTCTTTGCAGCAAAGCCCAACTGCGGTGTGCTAGACATTTGCGAAAACACCACAAACTGAGATTTCAANAACACGTCTCCGAGGAGGCAGAACCCGATACCAGTATCAGATTGCAAGCCTCCATAACAAACATTGTTGCCCAAGTTTGCAAAATTGATGTAAGAGCCTGGGACGGTGAATTTGTTGCCACCGATGACGGTGCTGAAAGAAGGCATTGCAGCATTGCAGGGAAAAACCCAAGCGCCTTGGTAGTTACTGAAAGAGGCACCGGGGACTTTGGCGTAGTAGGCGGAGACCACATCGGAAGGGAGAAGCATCAGGGTTGTTCCTGTGTCGGCTACACAACTGATGGTCTTGGTTACCTTGGGATTGCTGCCGATTGCATAGCCTCCCACGTTGAATTGCCAGAATCCGTTGTTGGTGTTGAGAGGTACGTAGGTGATGCTACCTGTGTACTTTGCAGGATCGATCCAGCCAAAGTCGTAGGTGCCTGGTGCTCCNCTTTTGAGGTTTGCGGTAAAGACTTGCTTGGCGAGTTGGGGTCTGACGGTGTCGAAGAAGGTGGTTTGTGATTTTGGAGATATGGTGTTGAGGTTGGACATTGCTAGCCCCAGCATGCCGTCGCTGTCGGTATTGGAGGTGAGACCTGACGAGACTGAGGTTGCGGCTTCGACGGCTTGGGAAGTTGCGGTCACGCCTCCGACGACCACTTTGTCGGCATAGACTTTGCCGCTTGCTCCTGTGCCGTCGCCGTACTTGATGTTCCAGGTGTATCCATTCATCAGCTTTGCATTGTTGGCTGTGTAATAATCATGACCAGATCGCTGAGCCGATGGTTGCAGGTTCGAGTAAACCCAGAGATCAGAACTGCCAGTGTCAAAGTCGAGGTTTAGTGTCTTGCCTCCAACATTGACGGGGCAGAGATACATTGCATCCATAGGCTCTTCTGGTGTGTTTGTAACTGTTCCCGAAGCCATTGCTGAAGCTGCTGCTTTTCTGACCACGCTCGGGGCTGATGCTCCTGCTTTTGCATACTTTGCATATACATTTAGAAGCCTTTGTGCAGGGTGTTGGGCAGTTGCATTGGTGTTGAGAATTTGACCAATGGTGAAGGTAGCTTTATCTTTGATGTCGGCAATTGTCGTTATAGGCTGAGCCTGAGATAAACTGTACAATGCTGTTGTAGCAGTCAAGATCTGAGAAAGATGCATTTTTGAATGATTGTCGTAGTGGTGAACACTGACTCCAAATAGCTGAGATGATAACTTCCAGACATGGCTTTCATCTCAACTTAAGTACTCACTTGAAGTTTCTTGAGGTTCTCGAGAATTTTATGATTAGTATAAAGAATTTGATACAGACCAAAAGACGTTGTGCCCTGGTCGTCACGGCCGTTGAGAATGTTTTGGATGCCATGCGCTCCCATTACTTACCGAAACAAGTCTCAGTTCTGCCAAGCAGCTGGAAGTCGGCTCGGTTCTGTATCCGTGTCTCTGAGTTGCCAAATCGTTCGTCGGTATAGCGTCATAAACGATCCAGCACATGGTGTTCCTGACAGTTTTTTACCCGGATGTTTCACTCACTCTGCAGAGGTCGTTTTGATCTATGCTGTGAGAAATTTGGAACGTCAAATCTTTTGTTAGAGATGCGGTTTGTCGTTTTTTTTTCTCTCTGAAAGTCAACAGGCGCAGTACAAAATGTATTGAACCTTGAAGCCAGTCCTGGCGATGGCCGTTATACGCGACGCGGTCCGACCTTAAAGGCGGCTCGGCGTGTGAAGAAAATATCGTCAATGGCGCTTTATGCTCTAGCATTCTGACTTTCTCGAATCGGCATCCGTAGGATAGTAGGACGAGAATGACAATAAACATGGCGGAGGTGCTCCTTCCTGCAGATGGTCGGATTGATGTAAGTTTGTCACTGTCTGGGGCGGCTTCGTGGAGGTGACCACTTGTCTCAAACTCTCCACAATCTCACAACACTCTGAACTCTGTATGATTGAAGTGGCAGAGAGCCAAAGATACACGATGGTAGTCATCTCTAGAGATGAACGGAGTTGTACACCACGCTGAAGGCTGCGCAAGAGTCGAATCGCTACTCGTCGAGAGCGTCGGTTGGCTAGCGCTTACATAAGAAGCGTGTTGGTCAAAGCTTCCTCTGCTTGTGCGCCCCTCTGACCCTGGACCGAGTACCTTGAAGCTTCTACTTTTCGGCCAGCCAGCCAGGAAGGTCTTTGAATATCGCTATATGCTAGAATTCTACTCGTAGGCGCCCTGGCAATCATGATACGTGTGGTACGAATATCCTCAATCCAATCGACTAAGCTGGATGTTAGAGTCTCGGCCGTGGCATCAGATACGTCTACGCAACACGTGTGAGAAGGATTATGATCAGCATGCGCACCACTCCGCACACGGTAACACATATACAAACCACACAGCGGCACACGACGAGCGCGCTTTAGCATACAGTCAGAACTCATCAAGCTAGCTCACGGTAAGAATTCGCTAGGAGTGAAGCAGGCATAAGATCCTACCACCTTCTTGTTCTATGCGACGTCAAAGAGGGGTTGAGGCTTGGACATGCATGTCTAAATTGCATCGCGAGTTCTTCTGCAACCTGGTGGGGTCTGGCCCAAGGATGCGAATAGACCAAGCTGACAGCGACCGATATGCCAATGCTGCTACCCTTGTAGCCAAGCATTAGCTATACACGGCTCTCTTGCAACCACTATGTATAGAGTCGTTCTACTCCCCACTCGATACACAGTACAGATCAATCACCGAGATGGCACCCACCACAAATTCCAATGGCCCAGATGAGGGTTTGTTTGGTATCGACAATGCTTCCAACCCTCTTCCAGCACTGGCCGCTTGCGCTCGAGGCTTCTTATCGGAGACCTACGACTTCATCATCATCGGTGGCGGTACAGCTGGTCTTGCTGTAGCTGCTCGCCTGACAGAAGATCCTGAAGTTGTCGTTGGTGTACTCGAGGTCGGCAAATCACGACTTGATGATCCTCTCGTGGACAATCCTGCTGCTTTTGTACAAATGCTCGGCAACCCTGAATACGATCATTGTTTCAAGACCGTACCGCAGGTTGGAACCCTCACAAGTTTGACTTGATCGTTTGTTGACATAAACTCTAGCNAAGGAAATCGTGGCATCGAACATCATTTGAGCCGTGGAAAAGCTCTGGGAGGCTCGAGTGCCATCAATTATATGCTGTTAGCGATTTTACATTACCCCTGGACTTGCATAATATGTGTATACTGATGGTTCCAGGNNTACGTTCGAGGATCTGATGCCGACTACGACGACTGGGCAACTCTAGTGGGAGATTCTGGTTGGTCTTCAACGGCTCTCAAACATTACATGCGCAAGCATGAAACACTTGAACCCATCGATGAGTCAATCCTAGACCAGACCGACTATCCTCACATCGGCGAGCATCACGGCACAAACGGCCCAGTTCACACGTCTTTCAACGAGAGCTCGCTCCCAATCGGTGACACTGTGATCAAAGCCTGTGACGAAGCTGCAGGTCTATCCAAANAGCCAACAGATCCTTGGAGCGGTGATCACATTGGCTTCTACAACACACTCGGACTTGTGGCACGATCTGGACCTCACAAAGGCAAGAGGAGTTATGCTGCTCGTGGCTACTTCGAAGCTAATGCTAGCCGACCCAATCTGAAGGTACTCTGTGAAGCACAGGTAAACAAGATCGTTCTCGAGGATGGCATTGCCAAAGGAGTAGAGTTTGTGTGGGACGGCATGCATGAAACTGTTTATGCTAAGAAGGAAGTGATCCTTTGCGGTGGCACGATCAACTCGCCACAGATCTTGGAACTCTCTGGTATCGGCGATCCTGCAATCCTCGAACAGGCTGGTGTCGAGTGCAAGGTTGAGCTTCCTGGCGTCGGTCGAAACCTCCAGGATCATGCTGTTGTTGCCATCGGCTTGGAGCTCAAGCCCGGTAACATTACTTCCGACATCTTGGGCGACCCAGCCACGATGGAAGCAGCCGTAAAGGCTTACACCGAGCACCAATGTGGACCACTAACATCTATATCATGCACGCAAGGTTTCCTTCCCTACGAGAATGTGGTCTCCTCCGATGAGTTGGAAAACACTGTCAAGACTATTCGTGAGATCCAGAATGCTCCCCATACCACGCCTTTCTACAAGCAACAGCTGGATCTGGTGATTGCACACCTTGAGAGCGACAATTCCGCAAACCTGCAGTATCTTATGATACCCGCTGGAGCAGACCTGACTGAGGAGGGCCTCCGCACGCAANAAGTGTGGCCACCGCCTGATAACACTCGGGCTCACCGAATGGTCCTAGGCTCAGCCTTACAATATCCCGTTTCTCGTGGCTCATGCCACATCAAGAGTTCCGGTAAGTTGTCCAAATCAGCCGAAAGTTGTGCCAAATGAGCTAACAAATTATTTAACANNGATCCATCAGTTCACCCAGTCATTGATCCTGCATACCTGAAACACCCCGCTGACGTTGCAGTCCTGGCAGCTGGACTCGACTTTGTGCACAAAGCAACCAAGACCAAGCACCTGGCTCCAATCATCCAATCACGTTTCTGTCCAGCTGCATCAAGAGACCTTGATAATGCTGCCGACCGTGAAGAGGCCGTCAAAGATTGGGTCATGGGCGAATATCACCTCATCGGCACTTGCGCGATGGGAGAAGTTGTGGATAGTAGGCTGCGTGTCAAGGGTGTCAAGGGACTGAGAGTTGTGGACGCTAGTGTGTTCCCGAACCACGTCAGCGGCAACATCTGCAGTAGTGTATACACTGTGGCAGAGAAGGCTGCCGATCTCATCAAGGAGGATTGGGATATCGCGTTGGAGGTGCCGGAGGTCGCCAAGTTGCAGCTGTGAATATTCCGTCCGACTGGACATTGGAGTTCGGCCTCCCAGATAATGTTATTTCCAGTCGATCTGCACACTCTCTTACAGTGCTGGCGCGAAAAAGTGCTTAATGCGTATGAGACTGTAATAGGTTATTGAGTTGCATCGCACAATCTGCTGTCATTCCCTATCTTTGTTCATATCGCGAAGCTGACTAATCGCCCGAAAGATCGCGACATCACGGCGGGGTCTTGAACCACAATGAAATGCTCTTCAGAGACCACACGCTCTATGAACTTATCCTACTCTGAAAACTAATCATAAAATGTCACAACTGACAGGCGACCCGAAACAACATGACCTGTCTTCCTTCAAGGACTCCATGACAGGAAGCTGTCTATGCGGCAGCATCACAGTAACAATCCACGACAACCTGTTCACAAAACCACGCGGCCACCTCTGTCATTGCGAAAACTGTCGGAAAACGAGCGGCTCCATTGCAGCTACGAATCTTACCATTGAAGAAGAAAAAGTGGATGTCGAAGATGAAGATGGCACTTTGAAGCTGTATGAGGACAGAGCTACCAGTAGCGGTAACGCGATACATCGGTGGTTTTGCGCCGTGGATGGAAAGTAAGTCATGATGTTCTCACAGATGTGGTACAAAAGAGCAACGGGTTGTGATGCTGACTGTCGCANNAGTCCAATCTATTCAAAGGTCGATGCGATGCCTCGCCAAATCACCGTGTCGATGGGCATGATGCCTGTGATTCCAACGCCCCAAGCGGAAGGCTTCGCCGCACATAAGCATACTTGGCTCAAAAGTCCCGATAGCGTGCAATCGTATAAGGGTCTTCGTACTGGAGAGTTGATGGATGAGTAGTTGTCGTGGCTGCCTGAGTCACGACCACCGATAACGACCTCAAATCACCACATTTCTCATCGCATCTTTCTTCATGCCGCCCCTAGAGCCCAGGCAGCAACCATTACTAACCACCGCGATGACTCGACCTTCAGAATATATAATCGTGCTGCAGAACCTGGAGTCTCTTGCTTCACACATCCAGATATCACGAAAATAATGGCGAGCCAACACAACACTTCGTCCACGCAGTCGCTGAAAGACAGCTTCTTTTCCAGCACCACCGCCTACCACAGCAAACCTATACGTCCACCGAGATCACAGGCATCACGCTCACAAAAGACTGTGCCAGAACCCACAGCCCTGTCGCCAGAAGCCTTGAGCAAACTAAAGCCTAAGGATGAAAACCAAGCCACTTTGTACACCCACGCTCGCATCGTCCATTTCCTACGTGGACTACCTGATGTACCCACAGACCCAACAGGGGAGATCATCCCAACACCAGACTTCAGCAAGTCAGACTCCCAGGTGCATTACTATACACCACCTTTCCATCCCCATCACATGCACATTCTCAGACGCTTTCAAGAGATGCAACGTACAGAACCGCATGCGGAGTTTCATCTTCACAAAGCATGGTTAAGTTTGGAATACTCTAAAGATGACAAAGTGGGTATGCATGTAGGCGTAGAGGATGAGGAACACGGATATAGAATTCATAAGCACATGCGCTGGTTGAGAGATAAATGGTTGGGATATGAGGTGGAATTATTGTATTATATTATGGAATACGAGGATGATGGCAAAGAGCCTGATAGGGATCAGGGAGGTCTGAAGATTCAGGTAGCAGACAGATGATCTGAAAGTTGGTAATTTCTACGAGCCTATAGCCAGAATCTTACATCAGTCTGAATTGAACTCAGAAAGAGAATTTCTATCAGTCTGTGATCCCTTGCGCATATAGTGCTATGGTTCTCCTTCTTCATCCTGCGAGCTCCGTAGCGTATGTCGCAGTTCAAGTATGTTGCTATACTGACGTTGCCACGCCTGGCTGATAATCTGCCCGAGCACAAGATCCCGTATATCAGGAAAAGTGTCAGCCGACGGCCACTCCTCTTCATACACACAATCCGTCTGAAACTTCTCCCAGCGAGAGATCGAGTAGATGACGTTGGCAACATGCAACAACTCTACTTTCGATGTGTAGCCATCCCAATCTGTGACATCTAGATCGGCATCCAATGGCGCTGCTGTACTGTTGGCAAAATCGATTGCTCTGATAGTCCAGTCATCTGCAAGCAATATATTGCGCAATGCGATATCAAACCATAGCACCTTCCTGTCATGGCAAGCCGCGACAAAGTCAACAACTTGCATAATCCAGTCTAGCCTCTGAGTCCATGCCGGAGCAGGATTGTTCTTGACAAAATCTTCCAGATCTCCGTTTCGATAGTACTCAAGTTCCAACCCATTTGTCGAAATGTTTAGACAACTCGCAAGCCCGATCACTCCGTGTAGTCGTCGATAAACTTCTTTCTCGATTTCTAGACCATCGACTTTCCAGGCGTTGTCTTTGTCTGGCTCGAGAGATCCATCCGGAAGAATTGTCGCGTCCAACTTTGGTATCTTCATAACGCTTGCAGGTCCCATGGGAATGATATACCCATCCATGCCAAACGCGATTAGTCCCCTCCCTGTGGGTTCTCCATTTGCGAACAATGGCTGAGTAGTGAGTATCGGTACCTCCATGTCGTGCTGGATGATTGTTATCGAGTTGAAGGGTTGGCAAAGATCAACAGATGTGTTGATAGTGCCCGTGCTCTTGTGTCACTATTGACAGGAGCGCGTGCCAAAGCCTCGGGTGTTGCTTCCGAAGCGGACCTGCAGCTGACCAATGGCGCAACACTGTGACGCAGAGGATTGTAGGCTTTTATATCCCGATGCGCACTTTCATCTTCCAAGTCGAGTTTTGATCGTCTCGAGCAGATCAGACACCAAGAACGGCTTGGCCATGATTGCATCAATACCCGCATCGAGTGCACCGTCGACTTGGCCCTTTCGAACATTCGCAGTGATAGCGATGATCTCAACATGCCGGGTCAACTTGCCACTTTGTTCCAGAGACCTGATTTCTCGGCTTGCAGATAAACCATCCATGACTGGCATCTCCAGATCCATGAGCACAACATCCAGCTTATGACCAGAACCAGCTGCTTCTTCCCATATATCGGCACGGCGTAGGGTCTCCAGAGCTTCCAGACCATGATTGGCAACGTATACGATACATCCGGCTTTAGTGAGCTGTTTNTTGAGAATCGCTTGATTGATCAGGTTGTCCTAAATCTATTAGTGTGCAAACTCAAAGGAGCGAACATGATTACTCACCTCTACCAGAAGGATATGATACGCTAGCTCGGGCAAAGCAGTCTGTTCTTGAGGGATCTTGGGACTTGGCACGATCTTCTGTTGTTCACTCATCTCAGGATCTTTCATGACTGCAGTATCTTCAACCACTCTCAGTGCTTGGGTGTTATCCAGCTGTCGAAGCACCAATTCTTGTGTTGATTGAAGAGTGGGCTCAGATGATGGTGTTGGTGGGTTGGTCAATTGACGAACTTTGACGTAAAAGGCGAAAGTAGAGCCGTTTCCTGGTTGAGACAAAACACCCATACTTCCATTCTGCTTCTCGGTCAAAGTGTGAGATATGAAGAGTCCAAGACCAGTGCCACCATATTTGATCGAGGTCTTTGGACTAGCTTGTTGGAATCTGTTGAACAGACGAGCACGTTCTTCCTCGGTCATTCCTGGTCCGGTATCAGTGACGCAGAAGCTGAGATAAATTTGCGGGCCATCGCCCCATTCTTCTCCGATGGTGACATCCTCATGTTCTTTTTTGGTTGAAGCCCAAGCTAATCCTTCTTTGAAAGAGTTCTTTGGTTCTTCGAGCGAGGCGCCATACCGCAGAGTTACACGTCGATGACGCTCTAACCTGGTGAATTTGATGGCGTTCGATAACAGATTTATCAAGACCTGTGTGACTCTCAAAGGATCACACATGACCCAAGCGACTCCAAGTTCAGCAATTGATTCGTGTGCCTCGATTTTCATCTCAATATCTGCCGCCGAGATATTGGCTTGAAGCATATTGACAGCATTATCAATGAGATCCCGTGGCTGTGACGGACTTGGTGAAAGAGTCAAGAGCATAAAGTCCATCTTTGAGAGAATCAAGACATCGTCAAGCACCTTTTTCTGATGGCTGGCGCAGAAGATGATCGTCTTGGCTGCCTCGATATTCTCTTGTATGATGTGCAGATATTCTTCAACGCTCGTGTTCTTTTCCTTGTGGTCCTCGAGAGATCCGGAAATGCTGTTCGCAAGTTGCAGCATTGCCGTCAAGGGGTTGCGGACTTCATGCGATATGGCGTCGGTGAATTCACTTTGCTGTCGTTTTGCTTCTTGCGCTTCCTGAGCTGCTCTGGCTTGCCAGGCCTCAGCCCATTTCAGGCGACTAACTTCTGTCATACAAGCCATGATAGACTTGATCTCGCCATCTTCTAAGTATGGCACGGCTGATATAAGTACAGTGGCAGGTACCGGAGGGCCAAAAGGTGGATTCCATAACCTTTTCATTCGGAATTCGGTTGTACTGGTTGTTACACCTTCCAATACCGCTTTCCAGGCAGTGCACATCTTTTCTTGGTCCTCTTCAAGAACATGATCTTTGAATGGAAGACGCAGCTCTGAGAAGTCGTTTGTGGGCTTCTCACCGATGAGGTTGAAGTAATGCTCGTTGGCCCAAAGAACGTTCCCATCCAGGCTCAAGTGCTCAAGTCCGATGTCAAGATGGTCGGCCATATATCTAATGTGATGTTCGCTAGCAGCCAGTTTGTTCTCGAGGCGATGTTGTCGCTTTTCCGATTCTTCCATGTACACTAAGAACGCCATAGATGAAGACAATTGCGATGCAAGATCTCGCATGAACTGCTCGTGATCGTCATCAATAGGTCTTCTTGGATTTGTACCGATGAGCAAATATCCGTACGAGCGTCCGGCATTCAATAAGGGTATGACACAGACATGCTCTGATGGCTCCCTGAAACCTTCCCATTCAACACCATCAAACTCTGGTCCACATGGTGAGGTTGTAGGATCGGTTCTTGCTTTCTTCAACAGCGGATATATGCCTTCCTCGCTATCAAGAGATCCCTGTTGCTCGGCCAAAAGATGACCTTCTGGCACGCCGAGGCTTGCAAGCAGCTTCAATTTGCGAGATGGCTGTGTCGAAAGAGAAGCGTTGTCTATCTCCCATACAAGAGCGAGCGGTATATCCTCCGAGTTCGTCCGGAAACAGTTGATGAAGTGAGAACCAATAGTCGATGAAGTACAGCCCTCGGGCAGGACCGCAATCGCATTCAGCATGTTTCGTCTACGGTCAGTGATCTTTTGTCTCGTCCTCTCAGTCAATGAATTGTACCATCCCTGTACTTGACCATCATCTCCTCTGAGCGGGACAAAGTTTCCAGTAAAATAAGTCTCCTCGAGGAAGCCATTTCGCCTGACCATAAGAGGTATTTCTATGACTGGGCAGTCTTGTTTCGTCTTNTTGGCAGTTTCAAAGACAGGCATAATATCATCACATATTTCAGGAAATGCTTCTGCAAAGGTGTGGCCCATCAAGAAGGGATGGGCTCCATCAGCAGCTTCGGCGAAGCCTTCATTATAGATGGCGACCTTTTCCGGTCCCNNCTTATAATTTCGTCAACACAAGAAATGATGATTATAGAATGAAGTCGGTACACACCAATATACGCAACTCGGTCGCTTGTCAGCAAAGACCTGGTATGTGTAGAGACGAAGCGCGTTGCCCCAAGACTGCACGGGTCCCAGAAGCGAGTCCTGCCATTGTGTTGATCGGAAGAAACGGACGTGTTCAGTATCAGGAATATCCTGCGTCCAGTCTACACCATCTGGAGACGCAGGGTCTAGCGGGGTGTCGTGCCTATCCATGGCATGGTTGTTGAAAGGAGAATCTCGCCGCAGCTCGCGTCTCGACTTCAAAGGGAGACTCGTGGATTATTGTTTTTCATGGCATCGAGATCTGTTTGCCGACCGTGACCGGGAACATCGACGATTTGTGGCTGGCCCAGTGGCTGGCCACTAAGATCCCGATATGCGCCAACTGCCAAGTATAATCCCAAACTAGTGCTGAAACCGCTAGCATTCGAATTTATGCCCGAGTTATGCAGAGCACGGGACACATTCCAGTGCCGGATAGAAACCTCCGGTCGGGAGATTTCGAGAAACATGCAACACCGTTTATTCGCTGACTCTCTGACTCATTGCAGCAACAACAACCTATTACAACACTTCTCTCGGGCATCCATTATATGAAGATGATATGAGGCGCTCGAAGAGCACAAGTATTGGCTGCATACTTCTTGATCTGCTATTGGCATCTTGAGACATGAGTCAACCAGAATGGACGCGACGAATCATTCATCGCTACGCTGTCTAGGCAATCATGATTGTATTGTTCTATCCAATCATGGCGGTAGGATTCTGTTCAACCATGGCTGTATGGTTTTGGTCAGTACATGCTGTATATATCATGGTAGGCCATGTCTAGAGGTGAGATGCAGTCTATCGCATTTTCTTCTTCTCATCTTCCATCTCTTGTATCCAATATGGCCACGACTAGCAGCGCAACTGGAACTACTGGCGTCACGAGCCAGTCTCTGCTTAAGGACAATATAACTCTCCATGACACTGCAGATGTCGAACCTGAGCACAGGCTGCACAGCTCTTCAAGCGATGTTGATGATTCAACAGAAGCTTCGAACGGCCCAGAATTTGACCCAGCACATTGCCTCTTCTGCCTCGACATCTCCGAAGACATCGATACCAACCTCGACCACATGTCCAAGTCTCACGGCATGAATATTCCGTCACCACACCAGCTTACCGTTGATCCGACAACTCTTCTGGCATACCTGAACCTTGTCATCTCAGTCTACCATGAATGTCTAACCTGTGGCACACAAAGACGCAACACCCAGGCAATTCAACAACATATGCTTGGCAAGAAGCATTGTGCTTTCGACATCTCTGACGTGGAGTCTGAGTATCGAGAATTCTGGGAATTTGAAGGAGATAGTCCAGAAGTCGATGTTGACGGCGATAACGTCACATTGCCTTCAGGGAGAGTGATTATGTCTCGTTCTGTGAGATCTACTCAACAGCGGCAAAGATCATCAGTTCAACATGTGGCTCCACTGTCGCTTTCATACACATCATCCTTAGAAGCTTCGGACCTCAACGACACATCAACCTCCGATCAACCTTCTCACAAGCAAGCACTCACGAGACAAGACCTTCGTGCATTGAGGATGGACAAACAGCTCGGCACACTTAATTCCAATGATCGTCTTGCTCTGGCGCATCTTCCTGCTCCTCAGCAACGTGCCATATTACTTGCACAACGCAGCCAATTACAAACGGCCAGAAGACAGCAGAGGGCGATGGAATCAAGGCTTCAACGAAAGAACAATCAGACAATGATGAAGCATTTTGTGTCCGATGTGCCAGGTCCGAAATTAGGTTGATTGCTGTCTGTAGACTAGAAATGGAATGGAAGATTCTTGGGCCTACAAGAAGTGCCAACACATTCGTGGCTTTTGCCTACCTCTTTCGAGATTCATATACAATGTGCTAGTAGAATAGAATTGTAGAAAGAGTTGCAACAAAGAACCCCCAACTCCATATATATAACTTTCACTTGGCGCATGTCATGTCTTCACCCCTCCTCCACACGCGACACACTCTCCACTTAACGCGTCTTACACCAGGCGCACCACAGACCCAAATGCCGCGAACATTACCATGGCTCGCCAACCCAGCTCCTCCCGATCGCACACCGCGTGCTAAAACCACAACAACAGTCAAACGCCGCAAAGTCGACGCATCACCGTCCTCTTCCCNNCCTCCTCTAGAGGAATTCATCCGCACACCAAAGGATGTCTCTCGTCGTGGACTGACTACAGTCCGCTCGCCCTCGACGTCTCCTCCGCCTGCGCCTCCAAAGCAAGAGTTTATGCGACCGGGCTGGGATGCGGATGATGGATGGAGAATGGTGACTGATGAGTTCATGGCAACTGCTCAGCTCTTCACTGCCCATCTCGCACACGCGGAATACAGGCGCCAAAAAGAGCTAGCCAGGAACAGAGAAAGAGCATTGGGAGGTGCAGACGCGATTGCCAGACCTGTGGTTGGACAGCTGAGCAAAGATGGACAGAGGAAGAAGTTGCGAGAGTTACAAAGAGCTGGCGTTAAGGCTCTTATGAAGGCAGAAGAGGATGCAGAAGAGGCTGATCCGTGGGAAGGAACACAACTTGCTGGTTTGATGATGAGTCCGCAGAAGAGGGAGAGGCTTCAGCCCACGAAGGTTGTTGGACGCAGCAGTACCAGAGCTGCTGCTGGTTTTGATCGAGCACAACCTCTAGATCTACGAGGAAGACCACTGCACCGCGAGAAGAGTCCGGATGTTAAGAAGGAAGCCAATCTTGAAGAAGACACGACAGATGACGATCTCGATGCTCCCAAGCCGTCTAGATCATTGTCACGTCCAGCTCGACCATCACAACAGCCTACAACTCCTACGCCAATTCGTCCGAACAACATCTTCAAGCAGTCCGCAAACCCTCGCACTGCAAACTCGAGTAACACCAAGCAGACATCCCACAGGCATTCATCCTCTACAGCCTCCTCAGACCTCTACGACAGGTCCTCTCACAAGAAGTGCAAGAGCATTGATCGTGAGATATCTCGACCTGCACCAAAACGTACGACGCGCGATCCTTCTCCACGCATGAAACCGGAACTTTCTCAGCTAGCAGAGATCAAGATGGAGCCAGACTTTGGCTTCCCCTCTATCCCACAACCTTCCCAATCTGCAACGTCGGCAGTTGCAAGACGCAGAGAAGCTCGATTGAAACGTGAGCGAGAAGAGAAGAAGATCAAGACCGAGGAGCAGGAGGAGCATGAGTTGCCCACGTTTCTCTTTTGATGACACTTTTTGGTTTGGACATGGCGTTTTTGATTCGTGAATGATACCCCTTCCTGTTCTGCAAAGCGTTTCTCATAGCATTGGTTACTGCAATACATTATACTCCTTACCACTTCTCTAGCATGGGTCTGATATCAATCTCATTGGTGAAAGCCCTCTTGCCCTGTGTATGCAAGTTCCAGTATGCCTCAGCAATAGCATCGGCCTCAATCTTTGCCTCTGGTGGCATGTCCTTCAACCACTCCTTCGTCCTTGGAATGTCAATCACACCATCAATGATAGCATGAGCCACATGAACACCCTTTGGCGCAAACTCCCTCGCAATACTCTGAGACAGCGCACGCATTGCGTACTTGCCAGTACTGAAAGCCGACATCAAAGCACTAGACTTTACAGACGCAGTCGCACCAGTAAAGATCAAAGTACCCGGATACTTCGCACCCTCATCATTGGTATGCGCCAACAACAACGGCAACGTCTGTTGCGAAAACAAGAACGCTCCTTTGCAAGAAACCTCGTATCCACCTGTAAATTCCTTCTCCGTCAATTCGAGGATACTCTTTCTGGCAAATGGGCCACTGGCATTGAAAACAGCCGCTGCACACTTGTCGCCGTACTTTTCTTTGATTTCGGAGATGGCGGATTGGATGGAGGGTGAGGAGGCTACGTCGGTAGAGATGCCAATGGCTTTTCCGCCTGATTTGTTGATTTCGTCGACGAGAGAGGTGTAGTTGTCGGGGTTGCGGGCGAGGAGGGCGACGGGGTAGCTGAGAGCGAATTTGCGGGCTAGAGAGGCTCCGGTGCCCGGGCCTACACCTGCGATGATCGCGAAGGCTTTCGACATGGTCGTGTCTTTCGGTGTGTGCTGTATGGCGGATTGTTCGAGCAGCGAAGGCTTCGAAAGCTCAAGTCGAGGTACGAGGTGAAAGGATCAATTGACAGCTTGTGTCAGGCAGTCGAACGGAGGACGAATATATCTCTGTTGTTGACTCAACACATCAAGGTTGATTTGAAAGCAATTCGAAGCTCCGAGCTAGAAAGTAGTGACGTGATCAACAAGGAAGCAGGGGTCCTGTTGGGGAATGTCCTTCCTAAATCCGAAGACTCGGAAGCGCTTACTTCTTGCGCTCCTGTCCGTCAACCTGTTTCGAAGAGCATACCTGACTTGTCCCCCTCTTGTTAGTAGAGGCCAAGGCATCTCGCTCCAAGCAAGTATGTTATGCCTGACTAGCTTATCGGCTCACCACAGCCTCGAATAGTACGCATATCAACGTGCCTGCATATCCAACAATGGCAGCATTAGAGGTTGTCCAAAGCAATACAACCCACGCCCTGTTAGAAACAGATACATTCCATGAACATTTTTGAAAGACGGGCCAGCCGGAGTCCTGCTCGAGGCTGCATTAGGATCACGCGGACTGCATATTCCTGAACGCTATTGGCCGTCATGCATGCGTTCAGCCTGGCGACCCAAGCTCGGTCAGCCACGATGTGACTTGATTAGTACGGAGGAAGTCTCTCATGGGTTTCTTTCTCTCCCTTGTACCGCGACAGCTTTCCCTGAAGATGGCTGACCTTCAAGCTCTGAAAAGTGGTAATTTGTACACTGTGGGATGGATTTCTGCACTACCCCTGGAGCTGGCAGCGGCCACCGCCATGCTTGACGAGGAGCATGCCACCCCGACGGACTTTATTCCCTCGTCCTCGGATCAGAACAATTATGCCTTTGGTCGTATGGGAGAACACAACCTGGTAATCGCATCACTCCCGGCTGGTGTTTATGGGACAATATCTGCCGCTACAACTGCCCAACACATGCTTTCATCCTTTTCAAACATCAAAATCGGACTGATGGTCGGAATCGGAGCTGGAATTCCGAGATTGAAAGAGTATGACATACGCCTGGGAGATGTTGTTGTCAGCAAGCCTGAAGGCACGTCCGGAGGAGTTATCCAATACGATCTTGGAAAAGCCAAAGCAGATGGAAGCTTCGAACGCAAGGGCATGCTCAATCGGCCGCCACTTGCACTGCTGAACGCATTGAGCAGTCTCGAGGCACGACATATCAAATCTGGTTCCAAGATTGCTCTATACGTCAACAAGATGCTGGAGAGATATCCACGCATGAAGAAAGGACGTCCTAAGATACCTAGCTATATGTTTCAAGGAGTTGACAACGACAAATTCTTCGAGTCAGCGTATCTACACATTGGTGGCCCAAGCTGCACAGCGTGCGATACAGCCAGAGAGATAACTCGAGATGCCAGAGATTCGACCGACCGTAAGCTGTGCAGCCAGTATTGGTCTCGTCCCTGCTGATTGTATATTCTAGCCGAGATTCACTACGGTGTTATCGCTTCTGGTGATACGTTAGTGAAGGATGCGGTCCGAAGAGATGAGCTCGCCAAAGGCACTGGGGAACAATGCATCTGCTTCGAAATGGAAGCAGCAGGTATCATGAACACGTTTCCTTGTGTAGTAATTCGAGGCATTTGCGATTATGCCGATTCACACAAGAATGATCGCTGGCAAGGATACGCTGCTGCGACCGCGGCTGCTTATGCTAAAGAGTTGCTTGAGGTCATACCTCGTGCGGAGCTGCAGCGAGCAGAGAAGGCCATCAAAATTCTACAGGAAGGTTAGCACAACCATTGTTTGTTGGCATGGGCAATCATTTGTGTGTTAGTGTTAATTCATTTTGCAGTCCAGGCGACAGTTGACAACACCAACAAGAACGTGGAAAATCTTTGTGGCTATGCCTCATCGGACAGGCTCAGGAATTGGCTACGTGCCCCCGATCCATCAACTAACTATAATCGAGCGATTCACCAGCGTCATCCAGGAACAGGATCCTGGCTTATACACCGTAAGGCCTATGGAGACTGGAGAGTTGAAGGAAACGGATTTCTGTGGCTTCATGGACTTGCAGGTTGTGGCAAGACCGTCCTCAGCTCCATCATCATCGAGCACCTGCAGCAAGAGCCGCCTTCACCACACACCAATCTGCTTTATTTCTTTNTCGATTTCAATGATAAAGAGAAGCAGTCGCATGAGAACATGTTACGGACGTTCATTCAACAGCTGTATGTCCAAGAGGAGGCGTCACAACATACCCTAGAACATCTCTTCGAGAGGCATGCTAGTCGGAACGAACAACCTAGCCTTACATCCTTGGAAGATACTTTTGCAACAATGTTGAACCAAGCTGCTCACACCAGAGTCGTGATCGATGCACTTGACGAATCTTGTCAACAGAAGGAGACGCTAGAATGGCTTCGTCGAATCTTTGCGGACCAAAGTATCGCACCGAACAAGTTGAATGTTATCATCACATCTCGCAGAGAGTATGACATTGAATCTGCGTTCCTCAAATGGCTGCCCGAGAGAAACGTGTTAGCTATCAAAGCAGAGGATGTGAACAGGGACATCAGCGATTTTGTTCGCAGCCAAATTCGACTAGACCCAAGGCTCGAGAGGTGGAGAGAACGTACAGATATTCAGACCGAGATCGAGTCGAAACTTATCGGGAAGGCAGGTGGAATGTGAGTTACCCTGGTCAAATAAAAATGGAAATGTCACTGAGATCATACTAGGTTTAGATGGGTCACATGTCAACTCGACACTTTAGAAAACTGTCTGTATCCCGCGGGCCTTCGGGAGGCTCTCGATGATCTACCCAACGGGCTTGATGAGACTTATTCTCGTATTTTGGCGAGGGTCAATGCCAGGAACCGAGAAAAGGCTATGGCAATGCTTCAACTGCTGATTTGGGCAAGCAGAACACTCACCCTGAACGAACTTGCCGACGCGCTAGCTATCCGGCGAGATGGAGAGAGACTTCAATACGACCCGACAAACAGGACGCCTGTTCCAAAAGAGCTAGTCAAAATGCTCCCAGGCCTCATCGTTCTCGACATCGTTCATGTTCCGCGGGATGTACCCGGGCAACCTACGCAAATATTGGTCGAAGTATTGGTCCGGCTAGCTCATATGTCTGTCAAGGAATATCTCCTGTCGAACAGCGTTCACAGGATATTCAAGCGGAATTTGGAGAAGCTTAATGCACATATCGCGATAGTCGATATATGCATTGCGCATTTCTACAATAGCTACCAAAAATCCTATGTTTTGGATGAGTTGAAAGACATCCAAGTGACAGACGGTGAGCCAAGTGACCCGCCGGATTTCTTGCGATACTTGAAGCACTGGAATAGCCACGCCACAATAGCGCAGGCTGATGACAGTGCTTCGGAGAGAATCGCCAAGCTGTTTACAGATATATTGGTCCCTGGAAGCCCTTTCGTCAGTTGTGTTTGGTTCGGTCGAGTGGAGCAGATGCACCAGATTGACCGGAGCAACTATAGGAACCGATGGAAATATGCGAAGTGGGTGAACAATAGAGTCTCCCTAGAAGAGGAGATCAAAGACATGACTGCTTTGTTCTTTGCTTCCCTATGTGGTCTGGATCGCGTTGTCCTGAGACTACTTGAAGTTGACGCACAGGTGATCGACACTGCCTGCTGTTTTCGACTCACCCCTCTCGGAGCCGCAACACAATATTGTCATGAGGAGACTGTGCAAATACTACTGGCAAATGGCGCCACACCCATCATGAATACGGTGCCAGACCACTCGAATAAGACAGTAACGGCTTTGCGAATTCTAAAAATGCTGCTTGATCATGGCGCGAGGCCTACTTACGACGCTCTCGCAATGGCTGTCGATTTGCAAAACAATCGACTGATTCAGTTCCTGCTCGACAATGGTGCTCCCATAACAGACAGCAGCGAACCTTACTCAACCCTGCTGCATGTAGCATGCGATCGTGTTGAAGCCGACGTCGATATAGTCGAGATGCTCCTGAACCACGGTGCAGATGTTGATGCACTTGACAGAGATTTCATGACTGCGCTGGACGTGGCTCAAAGCTCTGAAGTCAGGATGCTTTTGCTTGAGTATGGCGCCGATACCAATATCCCTAGGTATGGGTACGAGGGCCACAATCCACTTCATGCGTCAGTGATGTACGAGAGCGAAGACGATTTGGTATGGTTGTTGTATGGTGATGTCAACATCGATGCTCGCAACACCTGGGGCCAAACAGCGCTTCACATAGCAGCCATATCCTGCAGCCCTTCATCTTTCTGGTTTGTGGAAATACTTCTTCAACATGGTGCTAATGCACTGATTGAGGATCACTCGGGGTCGACTGCGCTCGACAAGGTCCTAAGCAGTATATCGTCTTATCAGAGCATCGAGCATAGAGAGTGTAAGTTGCGTATGTGCTATATGTTGTCAAAAGCCATGTTGGATCAGTCACGCTCTGCACAGCTAGTATCAAGAAACCGACGAAAACGACCCCGACCTCTGCGCTATAAGAGGGAGCTCACGTCACGCAAGAGGAAACCTTATGGGTTGGATTTCAAAGAGTGATCCTAGAGCTATGGTTACAGGACACAATCGGAACAAACCATTTTCAACACGATATTCTCGACTCATCTCCCTGCTCACCCACTATCACTTTGACTCCACACAGATGGAAGGAATGATGTCCTGGTTCCCCTCAGCTCAACCTTCCATTGGACAGGATATATTGTTTTCGACCCAGCTGTCTAACATAATTGGTTGCGTGGCCCAATGGCAAGGCGCTTGACTACGAATCAAGAGATTCCAGGTTCGACCCCTGGCGTGATCATTTTGTTTTGGTTTCATCACGGTGGATAGATGACTTCCCATTTGTCGAGTCCTGGCAATGCTCTATCTTCTTTGTGGTGCAGTTGATATGAGAGTTGGCTTGAGAAACTTGTTTTTTTCTTGCTAGATCTTCACGACTACACATCATTTTTGCGTATGAAGACTTCAATGCCTGGACGCAAAAAGAGTCAATAGTCGTTGAAGACTGGAACAGTAATGACTCTTGACTCATGTCGAATGTAATTGGTTTATATCGGTAATCAGTTTCCAGAATTCTTGATATTCTTGCAAAGCTCGCGGTACTCCAAAATTTTAAGGTCAGGGTCGCACTCTGTTAGAACGGTGCGGGCGTGGCGACCCTGTCTTTTCTGTCGAACAAGAATACCGACTATTTTGATGATGGATACCATTATTTTTATACCCTGGCAGTATCCGAGAGTAACGAATGGCGTTTCTACGTCGAATTTATCATGTTATTGCCGGGAAGTGGACTGGATGCGAGTTTTGCCTTTTTGGTTGACAGCTTCAATATCAGCCAACACATATTGCTCGCCAGATAGCCGACGGTGAATCGGACTAGCACGATCAATCCTCAGTTGTAACAATACACTAACAGCGCATGTATTCGATCACCAGAGACGAGTTTGGTTTGCAGTGCTAAGATGCCCTCTAGAAAATTTCATCGTTGGTTAAGATACCAGAGTAAAGATCTATGCTTCCCTGTACGGGGAGATGGCAGGTCATAGCTGCACCACAACTTGCAACGGCAAGAACAGTATGATTGAAACGAAGTGCCTATAAAAGCTCTCGAAAAATGTTCCTCATAATTTGGCATCAACGAGAAAGACAGTTGCTTTCCAGGTTGTATCGTAGCGAACAATGTAGAGTTCAGTCGATGTTGAGTATGATAGCAACAGCAAGAAAGATAATCACACCAAAAGGATTCGGAAGGCTCAGCAAAAAGTATGAAGATGTACGTTTCGAGTTGATTGGAATAATATATTTATACAAGACTGTACCTTTCCTGTTAGACGACAAGACTACAACATCTTTTGATTGTAAATGTCGTTAGACATCAGCAAGGTATGCAGATATGTATCTCACCATCAAACCGGTTACCCTACTAAAATCTAGAGCAGACGGTCTGCAGGCGAGAGGGGTTTTCAGCCCCGGGCATTCAATCTTCGCTAGTCGTATAACTCTTCCAGGCCATGGTTTTGTTTGGCTTGTGAGTAGATATTCTAGCGGTGGGTGGGGAGAAAGGAGAAGAGAGGGAAGAAGAAAATAGGAAAGTCAGTCACATGGGTCGAGGAGAAAGAGCATGCCTCATAATTGTCTCGCGCTTGTTGTCGGACAACGTAAAAGTGTCATTGTCTTTTGAAATGATTTTATTTCATCGCCGACAAAGATTGATCGAAACCTCCTTTTCATAACCATGAATTGATGATCCTCATTTGCCAATGAAGAGAAAACCCCGGAAACGCGCTAGAGAAAAAGGAGGAGCAAGGAAGCAGGAGGTGGTTCGGTCGTGCTCTCAGTGAATCGAGTCCAGCAGAGAGTGGTGGGATATATGAAGATTTTGGAGAAAGACAGCAAAGCTTTTTTCGTTTCATACGACAGACTTCAGGTCAAAGTATTTAAGCCTTCTGGGTCTTCTCCTTGTTGAGCTCACGGCCCTTGGCGATGCGAGCAAGGATCTCCTCACGGTCCTTGTCGAGCTTGAGGGAGGTGATGACGACCTTGGAGGGGGCGATGCCGAGGGGAACGGACTGGCCGTTGGACTTCTCGCGGGCGACGCGGTCGACGTGGATGACCCACTTGAGACGGTAGACAGATGTGACCTTGCCCTCGCGGCCCTTGTTGGAGCCACGGACAATGGTGACCTCATCGTCCTTGCGGATGGGGATCGAGCGGACCTGAACGACACTTTTATTAGCATCATACAAAGACAGCCGATCGACGAGCATTGTTTTTGGTTTGTAGGGGGTTGTGGTGCAATAGGTCTTCTGAGAGAAACAACGGCATCAGATGGTCGTGTGGGTCATCGAGTCGAGGTCGCGTCGCAGGAATTGGCGCTGTGTGGTGGCAGTACTGTGGTCGACCGAGGTCTGGTGTGGTAGGTGCTGGTCGTGTGCGACAGGTGTTGATCGAATGCAGTCTGATTTTTGGTGCCGTGTTTCTCCCAATGCCTCCATCTCTTTCTTATGCGAAAATGCGTCGTCGTCGATTGGATCAGGGCGATCATACGTTGTACTTCTCACGGAGCTCCTTGGAGAGGGGCGCTCATGATGGTGCGGCGGACGCTGGAAGGGGCAGAGAAGTGCGCTTTGCGCGACTTTCTTCTGGAAGAAGACAGGGCTGCGCGGACGAGAGTCAGTATTGGAACACATGGCAGGCGTGTCTGTTCAATCAAGGCGCATACAGGTGTTGATCTTGGTCATCTTGTCGGTGGTTGGGCGAGTCCGGATAGTCTGTCGGGTTCAAAGTCGCTGGTCGTCACAAAGATCGAGCAGCAGAGCAAGCAGAACTGAGAATTCTGTGCGCCAGTGCGGCAGATCCTCGGTTTGCGGACGACAGCGAGCGACAAGTTAGCGTGTCTTGGCAACTGACCGCTCCGCGGGTCCGTGCTTCGACATCTAGGGCTTCCGAGGCTTCGCGTTGTGCTTGCGCCGACAGATGCGTGATGTCTTGACGAGGCGAGCAAGAGCATGCGCCGGAATCATACTGGAGTCGCGACTGCTTCATTGGACTACTGTATATCCCAGAGTTGTACATATATCACTTTGGTAGAATGAAACACGCGAGCGACAACTGTTTCCAGGCCTCATCGCTGTGGACAGTGCGGCGCGTCATTTCGTTCGGCCCCGGTGGTCGCGTCTTCGACTTCTTGATTGAGCTCGCATACCTGCACTCACTTGCTGTTGCATCGTGATGGCCCCGTACAACAGCCACTACGGCACTCGTTACGATCCTGTCGGCAGTCAATACAATCAGCAACATCACCAGAATTATTACACCCCAAACTCTCAGCAGCAACCCGCGACGCAGCAGCGACAGACGACCCAAACTCCTCAGCAGCCACAGGCTTCTGCTCCTCCTGGATACCAACCATCCTACACTGCAGGCTACTCGAATCAGCCGTACTACAACTATCAATCGACAGAGAGCCGTGCTGCCGAAACTTTGAGCCATTTGAGCGCCCAGGAACACACTTCTACCTCCACCCGCCAGTACGAAACAAACTCTCGCTCAGACTCCTCATGGAACACGTCCGATCGACGAGCCGCCAATCCCTCCCCACTCTATCAGCAGGAACAACGACAAGCTAGCAACACGGCCAACTACAGCCCCGCGCAATCTTACTCCCAGCCCACATCTAACACCGGTACATATTCATACTCTTCATACACTCAGTCAGAACAGCCAAGAGCTCAGACGACCACATCCAACCAACCGACATCCTACGACTACTCCGCCTCCAACTTCCGCCCAGCCAGTCCCTACTCAGCGCGCCAACAGCAACAGCAGCAAAGTGGTCATCGCTCGAGCATTTCCTCTGTCGCCTCGACCAACCCTCGCGACCATCACTTGAAGACAACCGCTTCACATACGTCCGCTAACGTTGGCCAACCCCGTGCCCCAAGTGTCACTCCGAGTTCAGTTCACCAACGAGCTAGCTCTTCATACGCTCGTCAATCCAACCCTCCGGATCAAGGCTACGGTTCTGGACCCATCACTGTAGATCCTGTTCAGGTCTACGATCCTTGGCCGGAGCAACAGCGCAAACTTGCAGAAGCACGCAAGAAGGCTGAAGCTGAAGAGAAGCGCAGAGCTGAGGAAGAAGCAAGAATCAAGGCAGAAGAAGAAGAAGCTAAACGCAAGGCCGAAGAGGAAGTAAAGCGAAAAGCCGAAGAAGAAGCAAGGAAAAAGGCAGAAGAAGAGGCTCGCAAGAAGGCAGAGGAGGAAGCAAAACGAAAAGCCGAAGAGGAGGCCAAACGAAAAGCAGAGGAAGAAGCGAAGCGCAAGATTGAAGAGGAACGCAGAGCCGAGGAGAAGCGCAAGGAAGAGGCCAAGAGACAAGAGAGCTTGCGCCTCTCTCGAGAGCTTGCCAACCAGGAAGAAGCCAAGCGAAGGCAATACCAACAGACCATGGCTCAGCAGCGTCCACCAAATGGCCCTCCTGCGGTAACGACAGTCCAGGACACTGGACGTATGATGATGGCTGCTGCTATGGCCGCCGGAAACTCTGGCGGCGGTAATGGCGGTGACCTTGAAACCGAGATGGCTGCAATCTTCAGGAAAATGCGCGATCTCAATCAGGCAGATCCTCAGATGTTTGCACGCATGTGGGAGAGCGAGAGGCAGGCTCATCTGTCAAAGTCACAAGGCAACACTCCAGCCNCCAGCTGCAGCTCCAGCTCCAGCTAATGCTCCGGCACAACGACCTCAAGGCCCTACACGCCCANNGTTTTCACCCCAGCACGGAGTCAAGCTCCTCAAGCTCCTATGGGCTCAGCTCCTCCTGTACAGTCAGCTGCTGCTGTTCCTCAGCCTGCTACTGCTGGACCTAGTAACACTCAGCCAAACTCTCGAAAACAAGTGAACGTGCCTCCATCTCCTGGGGGCCCAAATGCTATCTGGCCTCCTGGCAAGAAGGCAACTCTGGCTGAGACCGCTACAAGGTGGCTGAATGCGAGAAAGGAGAACGTCAACAAGCTGGTTTCGGTTGAGGCCATTCATGCATTGCTTGCACCAAATCCTTCGTACATGACTCTGTGCGAGAGTCTCGAACGCATGGGTTTGTACGTTGACCGCGCCCAGTTCGCTCGTGCTCTATTGTCAGTCGTTCCCGATTCTGCAAAAGCAAACCAGAACAAGCCGGCATCTCCTGCTCTGCCCTCAGCACAACCCCCAGCACCTGCAGCTGCAGCACTTTCGCCTCAGCCTCCAACTCAGTCCGCAGCTGCCCCACAACCTGTATCAGCATCAAAGAAGTGGCCTAACATTGGCAAGTTCCCGGGACAACGAGGTCGGCCCAGTCGTGCTGCAGTGGCTGCTCTCCAAGAACGATCGAACGTGGTTGATCTTACTGGCCGCGACTCTGTACCTCCGAACGTATCAGGTCCACCCGTCTCACAGCCATACTTTTCTGGATCGCATTCTGTTGACGCCCCAACTGTAAACTACCAATCGCAGTGGGCTCCTGTAGATGACTCGCCATCATACCCAACATCGTATACACCACCTCAACCTCAGCATCAACCACAACACCAACAACAGGGCTATCAACACCAACAGCAGCAGCAGCAGCAGCAGCAGCAGCAGCAGCAGCAGCAGCAGCAGCAGCAGCAGCAGCAGCAGCAGCAGCAACGAGAGGTGATACAGAATCTGCAAAAGCAGCACGGCAAGTACTCCAGTCCATACTTCCAGCAACCCGGCCAAGCGTCCAACATGGCAAGACCGACGCCTCCTGCAGTACCAAGACCGCCACCAGCCAACAAGGGAGAAGCAGCTCGCAAGCGTAACTTTGATGAACTGGTCGACATGGCAGCATTGTCTGACTCTGACGAGGACATGCCTCCAGCAAAGCAGGCCAATACTGGACAGTACGATATGAGCATGGCTTCAGAACAAGTCAACAATGCTCATAGCAACGGTCACTTCAATCCTCCTGCGCCTAACCATCTCCAACAGTACTACTTTAATGGCCAATTCTGGCCTGCTTCTGTTACTGTACCCTCGAATGCTGCTACAGCTGCACGTCCGATGATTGTCAGCAAACACGTGGAACTTAAGAACCAAATTCTCGTTGAACCGGTCAGGCGCGCCAAGGTTGCGCGCAAGTCTAGATATGATCCACGAACGATCTGTAGGGATGTTCTCCTGGCGACAGGACGTCACCCAGACATGCGACCCCTAAATCAACATCTCAACGTCATGCACAACTTCCTCAAGCTGCATTCCAAGGACGTTGAACAGGACAAGTTTGATCTTGACACGGTTCGTTGGGATCTCATTGACCCTGGTGAGCCGATAGTTGAGCCTCAGGAAACTGCAGAGGCAGATAGAGAGTCGACTATCGAAGCGGAGACCACCGAGAGGGCCGCAACAGACGCTGATGATGAGGGCGGAAGTGAAGACGAAGGAGGAGCACCACTCACTTCTGATGTCCCTACTGCAATTACTGACGCAGCTTCTACAACTGAAAACACACCAGCTCCTTCAAAATCTGCTCGTCACACGTCAACCAGTCAACTCGTTGCTGTAGAGATCGAAACGAACAAGGGCAACCAAGGCCGTACAAGAAAACCATTCCCCAAGGGCAAGCCTGGTCGACCCCGCAAGAGCCTGCTTGTCACTGCCAGTGAAAGTGTTGGCAACGGAAAATCTCCGGCTAAACCCTCGACCCGCCGACATACCGACATCCATCAACGCGCGACATCGTCCATCGCGACTGACACACCTCGTAAACAACAAACACAAAACATGTCAGCGACACCGATCCCAGACAAGCCGGTCGGCTATGCAGCATTCCGCTCTGCAGTCACCGAGTATGATGAGAATGGTAACCCGATCAAGAAANAAGGTCGCCCCGTCGGTTGGCGCAAGAGCATCCATAGTAAGGCGGCACTTGCAGCAGCAGGCGAGAGTGGTGACGGCGCGACTCCCAAATCATCATCAGCTCAGCGAACATCTCGAGGTCAAGCAGCGCCAAGCTATGCGCCACCAAAGCAGCGTCGTAACAGACAACCAAAACCTGTTGTCGAAGTCAAGGAGCCCGAAGTCGAGTTCAACGTGTACAAGTGCGAGTGGGAAGATTGCGGTGCGGAACTGCACAACATCGACACACTTCGTAAACACGTGCTCAAACTTCACGGCAAAAAGACGGCAGAGGGCGACTACGAATGCGCATGGTTCGGATGCTTCCAAGAAGACGAGGTGACTGCTTTTGATGACATGGCCTCATGGATGGAGCACATGGAATCGCAGCACGTCAAGCCAATCTCGCGCACTCTGGGTGATGGACCTCGCTCAGGACTCTCAGGTGGCTCTTAAACCCCTTTGATGCATTTGAAGAACTTCACCCTTTATTGCTAATCTTTGGCATTTNCAGACCGCTATTCTGAACAGTCAGATGCATATCTTTCCGACTCGCGCGGCAGGTTGGTGACGCCGATCATCTCAATGGCACCACCCAAGCAGGGAACAAAGGAGTGGGAAGCACAGCAAGAAGCAGAGGCGGCAGCTAGAAGACTCACCAATCTCACTGGATCTCGACTGAACGATGAGAAGCTGCTGCAGCAGATGGAGGAAAAGAAACGAATCGTTGGACCAGCATTGACAAAGGCAGGAAGCGTTTTGTTTACCGAAGAGTTCAAGCGCAACTTTCTTGACGACGAAGACTTTTTTGAGTTTGTGGATCCCAATGAGGATGGTCCTGCTTACCCACCTGATGGTTAATCAAGGGGTTGTCAGATGTACGATATGGAGGAGGAATTGACACAGAGGTATAACTCAGGAAGCATCAATAGCTTGGATGAAGGCAAGCAGACCATAAGTCTTGTCGCATGTGCATAGCTCAAACACTCAAAACAATCAAGATATAATTCCACAACAAAACAAAACTCTTTTGGTATCCCCCTGTACTTGAATCGAAACCAGCCGGTCGCGCGAAAGCACATCCGGGCCCAGCATCTTGTGAAACTCCATCAAACGCCTAGCCATGTAAAAGCAGTCATCCTCTTCTACTCTATTCCACTCCGATCGTATCCTCGATGCATGTGTGTCTTATGATCTGACGGGCTTTGCACCAGGCACAGTGTCTGCTTTGCGCTCTGCGGACAGAGGAGTCTTGTCGTCGTTTTCGGCATTGACTTCGAGGAAGTGGTAGAGGACGATCAGGAGCATGCTGACGCTGCCAAGGAAGATGGCGAGTTGGTAGAGTTGGTCGTCGGTGATCATGATTGTGTTGTAAGAGTGGAAAGCGGTAAGCTCTGAGTGGTTAGTGAGCTTGGGACTGTTTAGAAGGTGGACTGAGAGGACTTACGGGAATGTGTGTTGACGGAGATATGCGATGTGTAGAGTCTGATTCAAACTCAATTGGTGACTGGTCGTTCTGAGGATTGAATGTTGTGTATTGAAGTAGGTAGTCGAGTAAGTGGTATAGGTCGTTGATCAAGGTGTCCTGAGCGTGGAGTACGTGTACAGTGGCTGGCGGTCAGATGGGGAAGGTGCAGCGAGCAACGCCAAGATTTCACAAATCTCTCGAGGGCTCTTTCCCTCGAATGACGAGTGACGACAAGGTGGGGACACACAAGCGCAAAGAAGAAGCAGCAGCCACCAACTCACAATTCTTTCACCTGTACCAACTACCCCTCTACCACGCCAACGTACCTACCCAACCACGGGTCTTGCACTCTTCCTCTACCCATCTCCCGCATCGCCACAACTCCTCTCCAACCATGCCGCCCAAAAAGCAGGACAATGCGCCCAAAAGGTCGCCGTCGACAAGACCTTCGGCATGAAGAACAAANAAGGAGGAGCCGCCCAACGCGCAATCAAGCAAATCACCGCCACCTCCAACCTTCCCGCCGACGAAAAGAGAAAAGCCGCCGAAAAGGCTGCCCGTGAAAAGGAAAAGGCCGCCGCCGAAGCCGCAAAGCGCGAGGCTGCCGAACTCTTCAAGCCTGTTCAGATCCAAAAGGTGCCTTTTGGTGTGGACCCCAAGACTGTGCTGTGTCAGTTCTTCAAGAAGGGCGCTTGTGAGAAGGGAAGGAAGTGCAAGTTTTCGCATGACTTGAGTCAGGGTATCAAGGGAGAGAAGAAGAGTTTGTACACTGATACGAGAGAGTTGGAGAAGGAGCAGCAGGATGAGGAGAGGAAGAAGGATGACATGGCTGATTGGGATGAAGAGAAGTTGCGTAATGTTGTCATGTCCAAGCATGGTAACCCCAAGACGACGACCGATAAGGTGTGCAAGTACTTTATCGAGGCTGTCGAGAATGGAAAGTACGGTTGGTTCTGGACTTGTCCTAATGGCGGCGACAAGTGCATGTACAAGCACAGTTTACCACCAGGGTATGTTTTTTTCTCTACTCACCACCACTTCTGCCTCTTTACTAACACTCCACTAGCTNTCGTCCTCAAGACANAAGAACAACGCGCCGCCGAGAAGGCTCTCATGGACAAATCTCCTCTCAACACTCTAACACTCGAAGACTTCCTCGATTCCGAACGCCACAAACTCACCGGCACCCTAACCCCCGTCAACGAAGAGACATTCACAAAATGGAAGAAGGAACGCATGGACAAGAAGGCCGCCGAACAAGAAGCCCAAAAGATGAAGGAAGCCACCGGACGTGCTCTCTTCGAAAAGGGCGACTGGAACGACGAAGACTCGGACGCCGAAGACGACGATGCCTGGAACTTGGAAGCCATGAGAAAAGAAACCGAGGCTGCGAGACAACGCAAGGAGGAGATTCGATTGGGAATTAACCTGGACGAGGCACAACAGATTACCACCGATGCCTCTGAGGGTGTGGGTGAGATGGTCGAGGTTGCTGTTGAGCCTAACGGTAACGTTAAGGATGACGAGTAGAGGAAGAAAGGCTTTTCGAAACAAAAATTGCTGCATTTTGGTTGCGCGCCTGCATCGCGGATTCTAGGTAAACCGTATCCAAGCACTTGAGAAGGTGCTGGAGGCGGCTGGACCGCAAAAAGGCGGATTTTGGGGAGTTGGATCTTGTTTTTTTTGTTTCCATCATCTTTTATACTCCTGGTCTTTTACACCTACCTCTCCGTCGGGGATTGCTGTTTTAGAGCGATTGCCCTGCCTGATATGACATTTATGTTTACATTTTCTCTCTCTCTTCGGTATCCAAAAGTGCGAAGGAGTGGCACTAGAAGGAATCAGAATGCGTGTGCACAAGCTCCAGTGTTTTTCATTAAATTTGATTTCAAAAGAACTATTAGTGTCTGAATAAGAATAACTCCCTGTTCCACCCTATATGCTTTGGGAACAAAACTGCTCTCCTAGAGCACCACCATACCAACAACACCCATGATCAAAGCAACAAAGGTATCGCCTACACCTCTCTGCACCAACTTTGCCGCTCCTGCAGTCGATGTCGAAACTGTACTCTGCATCCCAGAAACACTTTCCCCTTGACTAGAAGTGATAGTTACAGACCCCATAACCCTACTTCCCTGTACCCCACTCGAACTCGTTCTCTGCAACCCACTAATCACAGCAGCACCCACACCCTGTGTATTCGGCAACGTAGAAGTTCTACCATTAACAACCACCACAGGTTGCTCAGAATTTCCAGACACAGAAGTGGGGATAGAGTAAATTGTTCCTTGGACAGTAACCCCTTCTCCTGGTTTTAGCGTTGTGCTGCCGATGGCGAAGAGAGGTTGTTCTGCAGAAGGAGGTGTTGGTAGAGAGGAAGGAGTGCCGTTTATGAGGATGGAAGTGCCAGAGGGAGAGAGTGAGTAGGTTGTTCCTTGGATTTGGAGGGCGGTGTCTTGGGATAGTGTTTGGCCGGCTATGATGATTGCTGTTTTTGGGATGCGGAAAGTGTGTTTGTTGCTCCGTTGATTAAGATGGCGGAAGCGGAAGGAGCGAGTGAGTAGGTCGTCCCGGAGATTTCGATAGCTGAGTCTCCTGGTGCGAGTGTTTGTGTTCCAATCACGTACTCGGAAGCTGCGTTTGGAGTGATTATGCTGGAACCAACAGTAATCACTGGCGCCACAGCATCGGTATTGACAGAAATGACGAGAGAGCCAGAAGCGACAGGCAAAGCAGAAGTCACACCATCAACGAGAACAGCAGTAGCTTCAGGAGCAAGCGAGTAAGTCGTTCCTTGCACCTCAACAGCGTCACCACCGGCCGAAAGAGTCTGTCCAGCGACCAAATACTCAGAAGCGGTATTTTGTGACACAACACCAGAATCGACAGTGGTTTTCGGGTTCAGAACACTAGCGATGACATGCACTTCTGCAGAAGAAGCAATAGCGGGCGAAGAAGTTGCTGTTACTCCATTTCTACAAGCAAAGTTTTTGAAGCGGATGTTGCGAGAGAGTATGTCGTTCCTTCCACTTCGATAGCAGAACTTCCTGGTGCCAAGGTTTGGTCTCCGATCACGTATTCGGAAGCCGAGTTTTGAGTGATGATGTTTGAACCGATGGTTATGGCAGGAGCAACTGCTGCGGTGCTTCCTGCTGGCACTGCAAGAGCTGAAGTAATGCCGTTTTGCACTATCAAAGTCGATGATCCGGAAGTCGCTAAGGAGTAAGTGGATTCTCCGACCACGATTGCTGAGCCACCCGCGTCTAGTGTTTGCGAGTCTACGACAAATACCGAGTCTGAATCTGCAGTGACAGCAGAGTTTCCAAATGCCAGTACTGGAGCTGCTGTCTGCGAAGCTGAAGACTGCTGAGTTACACCGTTCTCGACCATATAAGTCATAGCTCCGGATGTTGCAAGCGAGTATGTATTACCATCAGCAGTCACTGCTGCCCCTCCTGCTGAGATAGTCTGAGACGCGTAGACAAAGCCATTACTGGGATTTGCTATGATGACAGAAGATCCCAAAGTGATCTGAGGTACAGCAGATACCGAGACCACAGGAGCAAGAGACTGGGTTTGTCCGTTTTGAATGATCGCACTTGCAGAAGGTGCTAGAGAGTACGTGGTCTCCCCAACTGTGATGGCTGGACCACCGGGTGCAAGTGTTTGCGAGTTGATGATGTATTCGCTGGAAGGGTTGGGAGCTATTGTTGTCGAGCCGAGAGTGAGTACTGGTGCGACTACGATTGTTGTTTCAGGTACCAAGGAAGACTCAACAGGCCTGTCGCTCTGCGCAGCTTCGGACGTGGAGATATGGCTCGCATAGGTACCCTGAGGTGCTGTACTCGGTCCAGAATCACGGTCCGTTGTAGTAGCGTCCGCTTGCTGAGGCTCTGTATAACCTCCGCTAGTGATTACTTGGCCGTTTGTTGGGATAGTCATAACAGAAGATGTCTGCGTACCATCTTCAGAACCTGCGGCAACAGTATTTTCTGACGACCGTGAGGCAGCATCAGAGACGGTATTCGCTCCCGATGTTGCTCCTCCATCGTTCTCAGTGTTGGTAGGCTGAACTCCTGATGGTGAATCTATATTGTCCACTGCACTGCTTGATTGCACAGTGGGCAGCTGAACAGTCATTGTCTGGCCTAATTCACCTCCGGTAGAAGGAATCTGCTTTGGAGCGGTAGAAGAGGCTTGCTGAGAAGTGGCGGGCGAGGCTTGTTGTACAGTCGTTGCAAGAGAGCCAGTCGCAGAGTTTTGTAAACTGGGTGCTACCGAAGTCCGCTGGATATCGCCTGCTGATGTCTGTTCTGTCGCTGTCGTAGTCCGAGCAGTAGAAGGGGAAGCCTTGTTCTCAGTCGATGCATCAGACGTCACTTGTGCACTAGTCTTGCTCGTCTTTTTACTTGATGGGACAGGAACAGCCCCGCCAAAGTTTCCAGGCCTAGTCGCGATGATCGAGCTGGTTTTGTGAGTGAGCGTACTCACCACAACATGTACAGTCGGCGCTCCTGTGGGTCGCTTGCCCACATAATTTGTGCATTCGCTCAGCCAAGGGAAGGAAGAGGAGACGCTCTCATTTCGTTTGACCCATTCGATGAACTCCGAAGGGATAGAATCGAAGTATACTTTTGCTGTTTTGTCCCAGTGGTCAGTGACTGAGTGATGTGAAGAAGACTGCAGCGAGTGGAGAAGAACCTACAAGGCCAATCGATGTCTGATTCCGGCCAGATGCCGCCAGTATAACCTAGAGTCTGCAAGTCGGTATAGTTCGTAGCTTCGACAACATCTCCAGACTCGTTCAGATATTTGACGTTGAGAATGCCAACCATGGGCTCCGCGTATGGCGTGGGGATGCTCTTTATTGCATCCTGTTAGTCAAAGAAAGCGCAATCATTGGCATGAAACTTACACCACAGTTTTTGTCCTCGTAGCCTCAATACCCCATTCTGTTGTAATTTCAGAATAAGTGTGCAGCCTGGTCTCTGCGTAGGTAAACTCATTCGTAGTCGAAGGCAGCAACGAGATCAGATCCGAAGGAACACCAGGGAATTCCCACTGCATGCTCGCCAGAACACCCATAGTTGCGAGTAGTTCAAGATCCGTGTAGACTTGGGTAACTACTTCTCCCGAGTTGTCGCCATCAGTAGCGGTATAGGAGCCTGTAATCCCCCCATAGCGAGAGGTCGAGTTGGCCAAAACGAGGGTATTGTTGTACTGAATGTAGTAGTCCACTTCAGTTGCAACCTGATATGATGAACATAAGTTATTGCTCTCCGCGATACAAGAAATAAATACTGACAGTATATGTTGCATGTTGAGTCCACCAAGAGTTTAGGAAAATCTCATTCGGCAACCAGAACCCACAAGATCTGGTAAGGCTGGGACCAGGTGTTGTTTCTGAGCTCGAAGAGCTGGAAGTTTGCGTCGCCCTTGATATTGTCGAATTTAGGAACGCAGTGCCTTTTCATGCCGTTAGAAGAGAAACTGATAACAGATGAAAGGAAGCTTACGCTGTGGAAAGGCGAGGGCGCCATTCGCGGCGAAGAGCAAGGCTGTAACCACCCAGCGTGAGAGTCCACCCATTTTCGCGCCTATGATTTCGAGCCCTGAATTACAATAGCGGTTAGTCCCTTGTGCCCTGCTTTGTAGACGCGAATATCAGTGTCACAATCCCTCCAAGCTTAAGTCGAGATGAACGAGAGACAATCTCGACCACAAGCAGAAAATGAAGCAGGAAGCAGGAAGACTCACCTCTCTGCCCAGCGCTTACGCTGCCAACTCATATACGCGAAGGCCCTGCTGGAGGATTTGACTACCATATGCATGGCACCGACCCAGCAATATCATCCATGCACATTACGGGCCGTGCCTTGAAGCCCTGCACCAAGATTACAAGATCATTGGACTGTTTTCGAGCAAATGCAATACTCGCGGATCAAGAGTTGATTGCAAGTTCGAAGCGAGGTGATTAGATGAAAAGGCAGACTTGCCTATAAGCAAGTGCGGTACATTAGATGAATGATTGGTGGATGCTGTCTCCGAAGGATCATGTAGGTGCAGGGACCAGGAATATCTGTAACACTCCAGGCACAAGGTACAGCCGTGTCTGCGGCGCAATGCTGTTTGCTGGCCGAGGACTAGATAACGCGATAAGAGCTCCGTGGAAGGAGATTTCTGGTCGCTAATCCAACCGAATATATCAACGTAGAAGAATTACAAGGAGTTCACAAGGATAGGCGGCGACTTGTTGATTGAAGATCGAGAGGTGGAGCCGCTGCAATGCAATATATCCAGTCTTGGCGTGCATGACCTTCAATATCGACTCTGCTTTCGGATAAAGGTTTGCGCATGTGCTCAAACACAATTGCGATGTTGAGATGATGCTCGGCAATATTCGCAATAAATGCGGTCGAGCATTGCCTCTTTTCCTAAAGTCACTGCGTGCTGTGAAGTCAGTGTTTAGCCAGGAAAAGCAGGGATGAACTTCTTCTTTCCCCATCAATCTTCAGATCAAGTAAAAGCTGAGATTTGGCTGTATGATTGTTATCATTAAATATGTACATCGGAGGAGAGTCATGAGTGAGTTGAACTTATACGCATGTGGAGCTCTACCGTCTTTTGCGCCGCCTGTCCATTTGATCAGCAACAAGAGTGGAATGTCGCTCGCTCAGGTCGGCAGAATTCACAGTCAGGAAGCCCTGCACTGCTTGAGTAAGCCAACCAGATTACCCCTCAACTCCTCCCAAGTAGGGCACCGCCTCTCGTCCGCCCCAATCATGCCCAGAATCCATTTGGCCATTCCTGTGCATTTGATCTTCGTGTCCAAGCTATCAGGAATATTGCCTTTCTTGAGTTGATACAGCATTTCATGCCTTTCCATCCGAGTACCAAAAGGATGAAGTAGTTCAAAAGCGATGATTCCTAGAGCGTAGACATCCAGACTAGGATGATTGTCGCGCGTTACGGTGTAAGGACGGTAGATCTCTGTGCCCACTGCCTTACACGATGCACCTGTCATGGGAGGTGTATCTTCAGGTCTGGCGATAGCAGAAACAAGTCCGAAGTCACCAATGCAGATACTGACATTGTAAGGACGCGAAACGTTTGGACCGATGCAGGAAGAACAGTTGTGTAAGGACAGGGCACCGGGAGGAGGTTTGGAGCCTTCGCGCACGGCAAGGAAGATGTTGCCAGGCTTGAGGTCACGGTGGACTATGCCTTCTGAATGAAGGTATTCGACGCCTTCAATAATAGAAGAGAGGATTTCTAGCGATGAGTGTGCGTGAAAACAGTGGCGGAGTGAGGAGATGTTGTCGCTAGCGATCGGGTATGTGACGGGAGCGAGAAAATCGGAAAGGGTCATGCTGTATAACGACATTTGAATATGTAGCGCCAGAGAAGGCGAGGAAGAGGTATGATGTTGTTGGTTAGTGCTGAACGATGACGTGTCGTAGCTGCTTTCTGATGGTTCGTCCTTGCGTGTGATAAGTTCGACTTCGCTTTCATCGCTTACGCTGGCGACTGTGCCGCGACTAGGTATCTTCTGGAGAGGTGTGCCTTCGGAGTATGANTCTGTTTAGAGCGTCAGCCTTCCTAACTCATGGAGTTCGCAGCCTGTACTCATGACTTACCCTGGCTGTAAGGATTGGGTGTCAGATGCAGTTTTNCCTGATCTTCTGGAATCCTCAAATATAACGTCTTCTTCTTCCTGAGTCGCGAAACGTTGGTTTCGACCCGTTGACATCTCGAAAGGATTTTCGTCCTCGTCGTCATCATAGCCAAATTGGACATCGATAGCTGGTATGTTGCGGTCGAAGCTCTCCGAGACGTCATCCTCCTCTGACTCTTTTGGTGCTTCAAGCAGCTTGTGACCATTAAATTCAAGCACTTGCTTGTTAGATATCAGAGGTGCCCATTCAATCCAGCCGCTATGATACCGAACGATATTCGGGTGCTCCAAGCGTGCCAATGTACGTACTTCGACGAGAATGTGATCGAGTTCGGCTTGCCCGTTCTCTTGTATCTTGCGCATGCGAGTCGGTCCCAACGGTATCTTCTTGATTGCGTAGTGTCTACCGTCCAGATTGTGCTTGCACCGAAACACAGTGCCATAACCACCTTTACCGAGAATGCCAAACTCTTCGAAGTCTCGCGTGTATCGCGTTGAGTTGAGCAATGGGTGTCCAGGAAGTATACCGTTACCCAGAAGTTTGGGTTGAGCATGCAAGTCTGCACCAGCGATCGCAAGGTCACTAAACCGTCGGCTCATATCAATGGTTGCAGACTGTTCTCCTCCCATCAAACGAAGCAATGGTCCGGGCAGATCGTTGCCTTGAGATTGTGCCAAGATATCCTCAATTGGTGTTTGGAGATCGACGGACTTGCGTGTGATTACAGATAGACCATCTCGATAAGTTTGGCGCAGAGGTCCAAATTGGTCGGAATCCAAGTCGCCGGTTTCAAGACCATATCTGCCAAGCTGTCGTGAAAGTCGGGAGTACTTTTCCTTCGCTAGCGCTTGAATTCGTGGATCGTCTTTGCTGTTGATTCCCGCGGCTCTCAAGTCATCTAATGCCTCATTGTAGCAGCGTTCCTCAAGTAAGGCGTGTAGTAGGAGGTCGCGATGGTAGCTAGAGCTCCGAGAACCCTCTGCAAGTGCCTGTGTCGCACCAGGTGCCGATTGTTCCTCGGCCGCGGTACTTGAGCCCAGAGTGCGCACCCTTGTGATTTGTTGATCACTGCTGTCTGATTCATCGCTCGTGTCGTCCGAAGTGCTTTCTCCGCGAGAAGAGCTGATGTCTGCCGCGGACCTGAAGAATGACGACATTATGTATTTGCCGGATCAATGGTGTGCTGTTGTTTCAGTGACATGAGATTTAACATCTTATGTGTTATGCTTGGCCGACTGAACGCGATTGTCGTTGGCGATTTGTCTTTGACGTTCTTTGAGATTCTCCAAAGGTTTAGGCAGTAAAGCGCGTTATCGTCAACAGGTCTTCCAGCATAACGCTACTCAATCCAAGAAAAAGGCAATGGCCATCTCCATAAAGTGACACAAGGACAATGTTATAGTTGACTCTATTGATGAAGGTCTGAGAAACGTTGCACTCATTCAAGACATGGGTGGTCAAAACTCTGTGCTGCGACTGCTGACCAGAAGTCTTGGCCAATACAATCTTCGCGTCGCACCTTCCATTCAACTTCAATTCAATGTGTCAAGACAAGATGGTTCAAATTGTACTTCGAATTTCATAATGATTCTCACAGTCTTATATACAAGTCTCAACTTTCTTCAACTACACGACGACTGGCTCACTCGTTCGCCATGCCGACCAGATCCCAAGTCACGCGACTGATTGGGCCTTCACCGAAAAGCCAAAGGTCCTTTCTTTCAGGTCCAGCAAACTGGATATTGTTGATCGTGAAGCCAGCCTCAATGCGCAACAGTACCTCACCATATGCGCTTAGTACAGTGACACCACCACCTTCAGCCCCCAGTAAATATCCGTTCTGGGCAACGTGGAAGCCGTCATCTCCGAAAGTCTGAGCCAAGTAGATAGGTCGCTTGCTTGTGATATAAGATCCTGCTGGCGAAGGCAGCACATCGAAGGCGTAGAGTGAGTTGCCTCCAAGAGGGTTGTATGTGTAACGAGGCAAAGTGCCGTTAGCCGGATAGTTCTCAAAGTCAGTGACACCGGTGTCGCTGATGTACATGGTTCGACCATCTGGAGACATGCCGATGCCATTGGGCTGAGCGATGCTATCTTCAACAATCGAGACACGCCCAGTGGAAGGTCTGAAACGGTAGGTCGCTGGTCGCAATACAGGATATTCAGTCACGTTGATTGCATAGCCATACCAGGAATCGGTGAACCAAATGTCGCCCTGAGCATCAATCCAAAGATCGTTTGGGCTGTTGAATGCCTGACCGAAGTAATTGTTGAGCAGAACGGTGACCTCGCCGGTAGAAGGATCGAGCTCGTAGATGCCAGGTCTTTGAGCGACTAGAGATCCGTTCTGAGGAGAAAGGAAGGAGAAGCCTGCTTCAACAGCCCAATAGACCTTTCCATTGAAAAGCTTGCCTCCATTTACTGCATATACCGGAGGGGTGGTTGTGTAGTTGTCCAACCGAGGGGTCGAACCGTGGTTGAGATGGATGATTTGCTGCTCGTAGATGCCTTGATGAGGCAACGAGAAGATGATTGCATCTAGAGAAGGAACATATACGGGGCCCTCGTGAATCGAGTCATTCCGGCTAGCGAAGATATGCTCCAACTTAGGAGATGGTCCAAGAATCTGGCTACCTCGTTCATCAAAGACAACAAAAGTTGCATTCTTCACAAGTTGCCATGACGGGTCAGAGGGGATTTGGGTTCCCACAAAGGTATCGTTCGGGAAGAACACTCCTCCGCTCGAATGCGGACGATCGAAGGTTGGTGGCATGGCTGACGCATAGTGGTTGATGCATACCACGTCAGAGTTGTTAGAATAGCCAGGGCATGCTCGCGCAAGAGGGCTGATTACACCAGGCTCAGCCAGAGCTTGTCCAAGAATGACTGACAGCACGCCGACACCTGTGAGAAAGGCCATGACGTAGTCTGAAATCTGTACGAAGAGAGGAAACAGTTAAGACAAAGAGTCTGCTTGATTCTTTGAGAGAACTGTTATATACACAAAATCGACGTGAAGGACAATTTGTTGAGTTGATCTACGACTGTGATGCTCATCCTCACTGCCTATAGTCGAGAAAGAGTAAGTCATCATGGTGCGTTATCCCAAAAGAGAGCGAGGGAGGCTGGAGGAGGAGCCGAACCGGCCCCGCATTTTGGCTGACGACATTGATGGAGTCTTTTTCAGGAACAAGGGGAAACAGGAACAGTCGCTGAGTTCAAGAGTGTTTCTTGAGCTGCTCTAGAAGACAGGTGACTGTGTTTCGCGATGTCTTCTCAGGATGGTGCTGGAACCAAGGTGAAAGTGGGCTACACGGCCGTGAGCTTACCTGAGTTGCATGATGGAGACGCGCATAGAGCGGTGTAAGCTCTCATCGGTCAGAGGGATATTGCAACCATTAATGTAGACATGGGTAAGCTGACCTTATGATCAATTGTCGTTGTAGATGTAGACATGAAAATACAGGTAGACCGGCGCCACTGATCGATCACATGTGGTCGCATGCCGCTGCCATTCAAACTCAATCCAAAATCGATCAGATTCGCCCAAAATGGCTCATGTTTCCATTACGATAGATTATGTCGTTGGTTCGTCGTCTGGAGGAAATGAAGTTGTCTTGCGTGATTTTGGTGAAAATGGCTCAAGAATTTGGTGATAGACGTGAAATCGCGCAAAGCCGCAGGAGCGATGCAGATCTAAGTTTTGAGGAATGTTTGGGGCGGTGTTCGATGAAGCTGGTTTTCTTTGAACTTTCACGTAATTGAGATGCAGTACGACGTGATGCTACTCACTGCTGTGTACACCACATGCCTCACATAAAGAGGAGTTCCCCTCGAGAAATAAGGTAGGAACATTATTCTGAACTCACAATCTTCATCTGCATTGCAACACTTCCACTCGACAAACGCACCTGCACTCAGCAAATAAACTCAACCATATCAAGATGTTTGAATCAACAAATACCTCGATGACATCGTCTCTGCAAGTGCCATCATCAAACGCAATGACATCAAGTCCTCGACCAAGTATTGGTGCATTTAGATGTTCCACGAATTCAGAGACGACTACACACACAGGTGAGTTGCATTCTCGAGATTGATAGTTGGGTCGCTTCTGATGTCAAGTAGATTCCGCTTCATCGACAGCGCAAATATCGTACGCGTACAGAAGACGTTATGCTTCGTACCTGGCGGCATCTTTCGGCATAAGCTTCGAGGCAGCACTTGCAGACACCGACGCACAATTGGCACCTCGACGACCTTCATATGTATCAGAATCTGAGGTCGATCGCAGAGAATGAGTTTGCAGGCATGCATGGCGTTTAGGTCGAATGGGTGTTTCAGATCAGGAGTTCTGGTCATTCTGGTCAAGCATTTTGGCATCATCGCATTTAATGGCAGTTTCCCTTCTCAGACCGGTGACGATGTGACACGAGATGTTTACTGCCAAAACAGTCGTGAAACATCAGACCGCGTTTCCACACATTTAACACAGACGGCAATGTGATATGTTATAGCCAATCGCTGCTGTATGTGAGAAAGAGGTGCTTGTAAAAATGCTAGAAGCTGTTATGTAACCTCGGCAAAAGTTGCGGTCTGTGTGGCCTGATTTTAGACGCGAAATCCTGACTCGCACCAATTTCCTCAATCAAAAGATCTTACAGAAAACCAAAGTGGCCCGCAACGTGCTGAATTTTGCTGAATCAACCTTAAGTGTCTTCCTAAGAGACGTGCACACACAACGAGCTACATCAATACGAGCTTGTGCTGTCTCTAGAAGGATCGTGAGCCAGCAGGCAGCTACGAAGCTCAGCTGTGCTCAGCGCAAACATGGCCTCAACAGATGACTGGGCCTCTGAGGCTTCAACACAGAACGGAAACACCACGCAAGATGAGAAACGACTCCAGGACACGAAAAGTGACGACAAGAAGCAAGTCGCGAAGCAGAATAATGATAGCGGCAAAGTACTGACACCATGGGTGTACGATCTTGGTCTGGGAACCTTTAACCTTGCTCTGGATGTTTTCTTCAGAGAGATTTATCCTAGAAACACTTTCAGAATCCCGAAGAAGGGCCCAGTCATTATTGTTGGTGCACCGCATGCCAATCAATTTGCTGACTCTATCATCCTCATGCGACTATTGAAGCAACACGTAGGACGCCGCATGTCTTTCTTGGTTGCCGAAAAGTCAATGAAGGAACCCTATATCGGTGCTATGGCTGGCAAAATGGGCTCCCTGCCGGTCACCAGAGCTATGGATCATGTCAAGCCTGGACAAGGCTACATCTGCCTACCGGATCCTGAGAACGACCCCACTCTGGTTCGCGGTGTAGGAACGAACTTCCTCAATGGTCAATACATGCACGGAGGCAGTATCATCATGCCAAAGCGTCCAGGCTCAAAAGCAGCACCTGAAAGTCAGTACATCGAGGAGGTTCTTGGACCAAGAGAATTTCGTCTGCGCAAACCTTTCACAACTGAGGACGCAATTATGCAGCTCACTGGCGAGAGCAAAGCTCCCGATGGAAGCATGATCAAGGGCACGAAATTCAAGGTCGCTCCTCACATCGACCAGAATCGTATGTTCGATGCTGTTTACCGCGAGCTTGCTAAGGGCGCTTGTGTTGGTATCTTCCCAGAAGGTGGATCTCACGACAGAAGTGACTTGCTGCCATTGAAAGCTGGTGTTGCCATCATGGCTTTGGGATGTTTGGCCCGTGATCCGGATTGTGGACTTACTATTATCCCGGCCGGCATGAACTATTTCCATGCTCACAAATTCCGCTCACGAGCGGTCATCGAATTTGGTAACCCCATCGACGTACACCCTGACCAGGTCAAGGCATTCAAAGCTGGAGGTTCTGAGAAGCGCGATGCCATTGGATCACTTTTGGAGACCATTTACGAAGGTCTAGCAGCAGTCACGCAACCAAGTCCAGATCACGAAACATTGCAACTTATTCAGGCTACCCGTCGTCTCTACAACCCTCCTGGTCGCAAACTTCCTCTACCTGTGGTCATTGAGTTCAACAGACGCCTTCTCAAAGGTTACACCAAGTACCAGGACGATCCGCGGACGTTGAAGCTGAAGAAAGCAGTCGTTGACTACAACCGTCATCTTCGCGCGCTGGGAATCAAGGATCACCAGGTAGAATGGGGTGATGCTTCTGCACGCCCTTGGTGGTGGTGCTTGGCAACACTTCTTTATCGCCTCGGAGAATTGCTGCTTCTGAGTCTGGGAACATTGCCAGGCATCCTCATGTTCTGGCCGGTGTTTGTGACTTCCAAGATGATTTCGATCAAGAAGCAAAAGAAGGCCCTTGCTGGTTCAGTCGTCAAACTTCAAGGACACGATGTCATGGCTACTTGGAAGATTCTTGTGGCAATGGCTCTGGCTCCTGCTTTGTACATCTACTACACAGCGCTTGTAAGCTTCTGGCTCTACTACAACCGTATCGGCGGGCAATACACATATGCCCTGCCATGGTACCTGCGCGCACACACCTATATCCCCGACTTTGTTTCCCTCTGGCAGTTCTCTATCTTTTTCTTCGCTCTCATGGTTTCCGTTTCGTTGGCTGCCCTTCGTATTGGCGAGATTGGCATGGACATCCTCAAATCACTCCCTCCGCTTTTCGTCGCCCTGAATCCTGCTTCCTCGGCATCGCTCACCCAACTCCGCGCTCACCGCAACGCTCTTGCCAAACAGGTGCGCGAGACAACCGATGCCATCGGCCCTGATGTATTCCCTGGAATGGTCGCTCGTGCTATGGAACAATCGGAAGACGAGCATGAAGGTGAAGCCTACCAGTCGAAGATGAGGAAGAGTTCATTGGCCGAAAAGGCTGAAGACAGAAGTAGAAGCCGTGGACCTCGTCCATTCTGGTTGCCTGGCGCTCTTACACCTGGAAGCAGATCTACCTCTTTCTCGATGGAGTCGCCTGCTCCCGAGAGACGAGGCAGAGGTAGAGCACAGGAGGAAAATGTCGATGACAAGGCAAAGGTTGATGAATACATTGACTATAGTTATTAGCGGTTCAGCAGAGTCTCTACATAGTTGTTTAGCACACAGTACATAACGAATAATTCAACGGCCAGGTTCAAATGCCTTTGCGTCCCTGGTGTTGTCCTGCGTCGCGGATGATGTACCTGGTTTCCTTGAGCAAAAAGGGATGTAACAAAAGAACAAAACGTACAGCAGCAGGGATTCCCACGTGGTCACCCACCGTAGTACTAATCTGCCGTTCAACTGCTTATGTATGGCANNGGAGCGGACGGGATGCCCAGTTTTCAGCTGACTGTGGCCGTACGTGAAAGATTACTTGATCTCAGCACATATAATCCATCAATCCGACAAGACCACCTGGAATACGATATCTCGAGCTTTCCAACCATCTCATTCCTCCCGCATCAGGCATCCAGAACTCGGTCACACGACAAGGTGAAGGTCAGATCTTGACCCCAAGAACGAGGATCATGCGCGCCAAGGCAAGTGCTGATGACTAAGCAGTGCTTGACAACTCTGCTCCCGCGAGCTCGGTCCTGCCCCAATTCATGCTATAGACATAATTGTTCGAAGGCGCTTCGGCATGATCTGTGGAGATCGACTATATACTGATGAGTGTTTCGCATGGTTACATGATTGACACTGCCATCGATCGGACATCTCCTCATCTTGTGTCCCCAACCATCATCTAGTCATCACTGTTGCCAGTATGACCGGTCGCGGTCAAGCTGCTGCTCCTCCTACAAGGCCAGTCACGCCTATAGACCAGACACTTACAAGTCGTCCTGTCCCACGACGCCGTAATTACATTCCACAATCTTTCGGGCCTGGCGCCGCCAGCGACATTCACAGTCGTGTCAATTCTATTGGCGACCTTATAGCTTCAGCAGATGAGGCAACTTACATACCTACACGTGCTCACGGTACAATTGTGAATAGCTACCGGCCGAACGGCGACGATGTGCGTCGTCTTCTCAAAGACTGCGCGCGCTGGGAATCGTTGAGCTTTCGTTCTGACGAGAAAATGCCACTTCCCGATCCTACTTGGGGATTTACGGTTTTTGTCACTGCATATGATCATTTGTCTAGAGCCCATCTACCGCAAGCCATGCAGAATTGGATTCGCGTACAAGAGCGCAAGCTCGAGAATAGTTACACATTGCCAGCATTCGCGGCGGAGGCATGGAAACGTTTCAAACTGGACATCATCGAAGATCAAGAAACGCTCGATGGAGCTTCGGATGATCGTGTTCGTGCCGAGTTTCGCGCGCTTGTGCGCAACAAGGAACTATCGGACGATGAGGAGCAGTTTATCNCCCCAGCACGCAACCTGGCATGTCTGGTCCTCGATGCAGCTGCCATCATAATGTTGGCTGAACTCAGGTTTCCCGGAGAACTTGAACATGATCGAGCAGCTTTTGAAGACAAGAAAATCAAAGTGATTGATATTCAATGGAACAGACCGCAGAGCACATCAAGCAGCTACAGGGGAATAGGACAGTTACGTATTGATGCTCTCGCTCGTTTCTATCATCTTCTCACAGATGGTCCGGACTGCGGGTATATGGAAGGAATGCATCCTCTCGACGGAGCTCCATAGACATATCACGGCTTGATCAACTTGGTATTTGACACTTTAATGGAACGTTCAGACCTGTTCAACCATGATATCAGAGTAACAGAGTACCGCCAGACCACCTGCTTTGCGACTCATTGAAAAGTTACAAGAAACACGCCGGACCTTGTCCAGAACAGCTGAATCCGTCCACATTGACAACCTGGTTCACCGCATCTGCAACCGATCCGCTACTACAAAAGACCGACTGATTGAAGGTAAAGGTAGTGCCCCCTCCTTGAGGATCCTGGCAGTTAAAGTTGGTGACTGCCAAACAGCCACCTTCGTTTTGCAAGACATCCTGGAAGTTTTGACCATTGACGGTCGCACCGCAACCACCCTCGATGCCGCTGAGATTTACGATCNNCTTGATTGGAAGATGAGAATACAGTCGACAAAAATGATGAAGAATTTTCTACCAGGCAAAGAACAAGACATCATTTGTCGCTTTGCAGAAGTCTGCTCGAACCAGAACAGGAGCGATTGGTACTGCAACGAGGACAAGTGATTTGAACATGGTGAGTCTGTGTTTTTGCGTCTGTATCGATGAATGATTGATGAGGATGATATAGATTTGCAATGGCTGCTTGCGTTGATGATGATGTTGACTTTCGATCTATATATCCTGGAGTCTCTTATATGACCAGTGTTCTCGCATGATCTTTGCTTGTTGCTTGCGTATGCTCTGGACGACCAACAACGCCGGTCAGGATGCTTGCGTATGTTCTTGAACAGCCAACTCGAAAGCTTCTACGATTCCAACATGAGGAAACAATAGAATTATGAAGTCTGTTGTAGACATAAGACGCAATCTTATTGCACAAATGTCGAGTGTTGGGTTCAGATCATTGGTCAGTAAGTTTGGCATGTCAGCATAACATTTGTGGTAGTACAGATTCTCACGCACCTGAGGCCGGATAAATCTCGTGATTCGCTTCCTTGTTGGAGGACGAACTCGTCTGTGTCTCCTTGCCAAGAAGCCTTGTTCATGAGTATCCAACAGGGTGGTGACTTTGAGCTATATTCATATATGCATACGCGGCGAAATGGCGTATAGGAGACGACGACAGCTTCTCATCACCATTACTGATCCCTACATATATCCTTGGCTCGCCTTCTCTCTAGCTATCAACACACAACTCAATAGTTTCATTCTGGTCCATCAAATTCTTCGTTCAGCACTCCAACCAATACAAGATGAACTCCAAGACAATTTCCCTCCTCCTCGCCATCTTCGGCATGACCGCCCAGCACGGTGTACTTGGTATGCCCGCCGTCTCAACCATGACCATGTACCACGGCAGTTCCGCCACGCAGACAACCACTATGACGACCTCAGTCGCCACGGACACTCCCACAGGCACTGTCTCAGCAGACACGACAAGCCTCAGCTCCGTCTTCACCGTCAAATTTGCGAGCATGAGTTCCAGCGCCATCATGTCTGTTTACAGCAGCGCCACTTCCAGCGTCATGGACGACATGATGTCTTCGATGAGCTCGGCTATGGGATCCGCCATGGACAAATGCAGCAATTACTTGACATATGCGAATTACTATGTCACTGCTAATGCAGCAGGCACTACGACTAGTGGTAAAGGAACAACTACTTCGAAGACTAGCAAGACGCCGAAGTCTTCTACCTCGAAGTCTACTTCCAAGACGACCAAAACTTCTGGGAAGGTAGCTAAGACCACTTCTACCCAGACTTCTGCTACTACCAGTTCTTGAGGCTGAAGATTCAGGAACATCAAGGGACACTGTGAAGGTGGGAAACTACGAGAAGTTGGTTGAACACAGTTTCATTATTTTATAGGTTGGATAGCTAGTTCAAGTCTGTATCGGCAAGCTATGATATCACACCTGTTTGTTTGTCATGCATCGAGCACTCTCCAAAACCTTCTTTATAAAATTCGTTCGATAGCACAGGATGATATTTTGTCGAAGAAAAGCAAGATACTGTACTGTGAAGCTGTGTTGATGATCAGGTAATTGTCACTTTTGTCTGACTATCAGGGAAAAGTAACAAGACTATCATTTGCTGTTTGTTCGAGTTTGAAATTTCGAGTGAAAATAATATTGTTGGCCAACAAGAAAAGTAAATATCAGACTAACAAACATGTGAGAAGCAGAAGATAAGAAACAAGAACAATCAACCAAGGAGATACGAAACCGTGATGTTCACCTGAAACATCTATGCAATGCCACCACCAACACCTGCGCCAACATTTGCAGCTGCATTGCCTGCACCCCGACCTGTTCCGGAGAATCCATTGCCAGCTCCGAGTCCAAGGCCAAGGAGTCCGTTTCCTGAGCCCTGACCAATGCCGTTGACGCTGCCTCCGAGGCCGCTACCAAGACCACGCTTGCTGCGTCTGCCCAGAGCACCACCCAGGCCGCCGCCGATGCCAGCAACAGCGCCTCCTGTGCCCTGTCCGACTCCAGACACGCCTGAGCCGGTTCCCTGGCCGATTCCAGAAACACCTGAGCCTGTACCTTGGCCGATGCCAGAAACGCCTGAGCCAGTTCCCTGACCAATGCCAGAAACTCCTAAACCAGCGCCAGCGCCTACTCCAGCGACACCTGATCCGGTTCCTTGACCAATACCGGAGACGCCTGAGCCGGTGCCCTGGCCAATTCCAGAAACGCCGCTTCCTGCCCCCGCACCAACTCCAGCGACACCAGAGCCTGTTCCTTGCCCAATGCCCGAGACACCAGCACCTGCTCCGCTGCCGATGCCGCGCTTGGAGACGCCGTTGCCAGTGCCCTGGCCAATGCCATTGATACCAGCTCCGGCGCCAACTCCTACGCCAGAAACCCCGGATCCAGCACCTTGGCCAACTCCAGAGACACCCGAGCCGGCGCCCTGGCCGATGCCAGAGACACCAGAGCCTGTGCCCTGTCCGATACCAGAGACGCCGCTTCCAGCGCCAACTCCGATACCACCGACGGCGTTTCCGGCACCATTTCCAATGCCGCTGAGAGCACCACCAAGTCCACTACCAAGACCTGCTTCGGCGATAGGGAAGGCGGTAACGGTGGCGGCGGTAGCAGCGCAGAGGGCGAGAGCGAACTTCATTTTGATCTGCAGGGCAAGTTAACAAAGGGTTGATGTGGGTTATGATCTGTGATCTCGTACGGGTTGAGTTGTTTTGGAATTGAAGAGAGAATGAGTGTGATGAAGGTAGTTGTTAAAGGATCGTGGTGTGTTAGTTGGTTGCTTGTGGTTGTCGATGGGCGAACGAGTGTTGTGGATGAGGAGATGACTTGGAGTGATGAGGAGCTGGTATTTATGTAGAAACTCAGCAGTAAGGACGATGGGGCTGTGAGCGAACTTGATCCGAAAGCAGGTGCTGTTTGAAGGCTGGCAACAGCATTGCCCATGACTCCGAATACTAGGGCTTGCCTAACCGTACGGACGAAATAGCATAAGGCGTAACTGCTCAGTATCAGATCTCTAATGGTATTGAGTCGTACTGTTGTTTGAGATTGTGGCGAAGCGTCTGCCACGTGAACAATGGCCTTAACATGGCTTTCGGCGTACTTTGACAGCTCGACCAGCTGCTGATTTGTGCTCTCAAGAGTATGCTCAGCTGAAGCTCGCAGACATTATTCTGAATATTTCACTCGATCAGTGGAAACCCAACGTCAGAAGGCTCCTATGAGCAACGCTTGGATTTTGTGACTCAACGACAGTCGAGTGAGATCGTAGGTAGAATACGTCCTGTTTGAAGTCCAGTGATGATCGAGTTCGACTTCGGAACTTACAGAGTCAGAACAAGACCATAGTCTGAGGTCATAGCAAGTGTCAAACAGCTATGACGAGTAGCGATACAATACCTGGAGTTGGGGCTACGGGCACGTCGGGCGGGAGAAGGCAGCCATTCCGCGGAGCCTCGAGTTGTGAAACATGACGGACAGCCTGAGGCAGGAACGATGTCGGATGGCCCGTACAATCGGGTATAACGAATGTCCTTCTTCTTTCTACTGTTATGCGGAGTCAAGAAATGTCAGTGCGAGGTTTCAAATTCACGTGTCATGGAGAAAAGCCCTCGTCCATGCTGGAGAAATTGGTGGCCTGAAGTCTAGGTCGACCATACGCGTAATGGAGTCACAGAGCAACATTGCGACCTTGATGGCACGACTGTTGCGATTGTAATGAAAGGATTGGTAGATTCAAAACGTCACTGGCAGCGTAGACTGTCAACACACAAGCTTCGGTCAGAAGACGCCGTGGTCGCGCCTTCCCGCTGTCTTCTCGGAGTAACAAGCCAGAACAGTGTGCATCGCGATGGAAAGCAGACAGATCTGAATCGTTGCTGCTTGACCTGATCGCGCTGTCGGGCTCGAGCTTGCAGGTGGCCGGTCTTCAGTCATGCCACTGCAGTTCGCGCGTGTTAACTCGAAAGTCGCGTCAACGACTCACACACTCGTTTGATTGTCTGCTCAATCTCGCGACTGTATTGTAAGCGTCCCATCAGTAGGATCGGTCGAATACAATTGTTGATAGAGGCAGAGAGAACGAGAGAAGCCTGGTCGGAGGTGCGTTCGGTAGAATGTCCACGTCATTTGCGGTATTCTTGGCGGCGGTCTCCTCGTCCAACGTCAACTCCCTTGCCATTTACATGAAGAGATACATTTACAAGCGGCAGATTGCCATCGCGATCAGATGATATCGGACTGCTGTATTGATGCGGACCGATGGCTCTCCATCTGTACAGGACAAGCGCGATGGACCTCTCGGCGAGAACACAATGACCTTACATTAGTATACGAGTCGTTGTGCTCAGGAAGTAGTATCCTAATCATGTATAGACATGAGTTCTGAGAAGACTTCATGTGGGATGGTCTGATCTTGCTTTCAAAACTCTATATCGAAGCAAGAAATGCGTGAGTTAGTTTACGACCCCCGAGCTCAACAACTTCGACCCTTTACATCTGAGGCTTCCTCGTTCAAACAGCACACGATCTGCTTCCATTGACTCCAGAATGCCTTCATTGACACTACCAGATCTACTTCTAGAGATCATACTCAATATCGCCGACCTCTTACCACCTCGAAGCACGACATGTTTGGCCTTGACATGCAACAGACTGTACAGTTCCGAAAAACTGAGAAACATCTGGACACGTGAATTCATTCCAAAAGAAAATCGCTGCGGGTGTAGGCATGAAGCGTTGGAATCGTCAACCTGCCCACCACTCCTACTGGTCAATCATGAGAAATACCTCTTTCTGCAGGTCTTGTCACGAGATCTGCCTGAAAAACAGCTCTGTGACAGCTGCCAGATGCTTCACCAACAACACGAGATCAATATTCCCAGGCCATGGCACAGAGCCATACACTTGTATGAGGCCTGCGGCTGGACATCCGTGAGAGGCAATTGTGTTTGTGACTGCCAAGGCTTAATAGAGTGGTAAGGGTATCTAATCAAGATTTCACGCTACACTATCAGACGGAGAGAGCAGGCTGCCGTGCACCTGAAGTAATGTGATGATACCTTCCTGAATTTGCCTTGGATTAGGTGCCCGTCTTGTGCACTTTACCATTGTGGTTGCTGGGATTGATCGTCGGTCAAAACATACAGCTCCTTCTTGAATTGGCAAAACAAATCCCCGCCACAGGCTCAGTCGTAGAAAGCCCATGCGCGGGTGAAAGCCACCAGACACACTGGTTTCATTTCCCGAATTGGAGAATCAGCATCTCCGAAAGTTTTAGTTCGACTGCCAGAATCGAACCAGTGACCTTTCAACGGAGGTTCGCCAACACTGAGTGTTGGCGCAAGACCGTTGGCCAATCCACCGCTTGTCGGTAAAGCGATGGAGGCAGGTGGAAGGGAGACGGGGATGCTGGTATATAAGGTGTGCGAGTATGTGTGGTTGGCTTGAGTTACATCAGTGTGGTGCTAATTGGTCATGCTTGGCTCGATTCTTTCACTGGGCTTCCGGTTTTGCATACTACTGCTAAGTCTCACGAGTAAGCCCTCAGATCGGGCGCAGACACTGTCTTCATCTCTGCTGGCCATCTGCGTTCAACATGGCGTTGACAATCGAAAGACAGCAACCAACCGCCAACACCGTACCTTCTCCAAGCCAATGGATTATCACCCAATCTCAATCCTGGAGGCAGATCAACACTTCGACTGCCAGTAAGCCTGACGCCTTCCTCCAGCTCTTCGAACAGGCGGAACTTAGCATCTCGTGCTTGTTGTTCTGGCCCATCGTCAAGATGATAGAGCTCTTGCTGTAGATTGCCTCTTGCGACAATGCTCTCAGTACGCACCCGCCTACAGTCCTCATACACGCTCAAGGCTTTTTTCTTCTCCTGGCGCGATCTATCTTTGATCTTGCTCAAACAAACCCCAAGCGCTGCACCATCTTCAAGCGCCGTGCCTGCCCCCNNTGATGCCAGATACGGCAAAGTGGCGTGTACGCAATCTCCGAGAAGGACAAATGTCGCGTCCTCACTTGACCATGATGACTCCAAGCCAGCACGGAAACACAACTTCCATTTTTGCACCGATTGGCACAGTGCCAGCAGCTTTGGTATGCGCGGGTCCCAGTCTTTGTATAATTCAGTCATCTCTTCAACATTGCCGTCCAAGGTCGTTGCGTCTGCTGGCATGTCGTCGGGTACAAGCAGTACCATATTGAAGAGCTCGCCATCTCGAAGCACGTAGTTGACAGCGTGTGCTCCTGGCCCCAGCCAGTATCGAACTTTGTGTGGTTTCTCAAGAAGTGGCGCAAGCTCTGGATCTTCCTTCATGGCTTTTGTGTCGAGCAGGACACGGTATGCAAGGTCGCCAGTAGGGGTAGGCGGGTTAGGAGTGCCGAGAAGAAGTTCTCGACATGTCGAAAGAATGCCATCAGCGCCGACGACAAGATCAGCAGTCAGACGTTCTCCAGACTTCAGGATGACAGTGACAGTATCTCCATCATCTGCTTCGTATCTGATATCAACAACCCTGGCATTGGTTGAGATGTTGGCCCCGAGCTCCACAGCCCTGTTTAAGAGTGCTCTGTGCAAGTCTGCTCGATGGAAGTCCCAGAACGGAGTCCCATACTCTTTAGTCGCATCCTCAATGTCCATGGAAGACAATCTCTCGCCTTTCCAGTTGATCATGATGACCTCAGCAGGAAAAGTTGCATGACGAAGAAGCCTTTCCTCGAGACCCCATTGTATAAGGACGCGAGAACTGTTTGGCAGGATTTGGATACCAGCACCCACTTCTGCAATCTTTGGAGCGCTTTCAAGGACGTGTACTTTGTGGCCGGCGAGAAGAAGCGAGATGGCAGCNACCTAAACCTCCGAAGCCAGCACCAACGATGATGATCTGAAGCTTTGTAAGCGGTCTTGGTACAGTCGGGACGGTATTCGAGTGCTTACATTCAGTTGAGTATCTTCGTCCCGGACTTGCTGTTCGAGTATCGGAATGTTGAAGCTCCCGGTCGATGTCATCTTATTGCTCGGGTCAAGGAAATATTGTTACAAACAACCAGAACTTGAAAGTTTCGTTCCTGCTGGTGATTGGTTTTGTCTTCTTGTCGCCTTCAATTAGTGATATTTTGCGCACGAAAGCAGGATACTATCAAGCTACAAGCACAAAGAGCGGTTCCAGTGTTGAGCTGGTTTTATGCAGTATCACTCTAGCTTCACAACGGTTGGTCAAGGATTGTCCTACCAGCGCACAGCTTCCGCATGGGGTGAATGTACTATTGGTCTATTCAACGCTCTACTATGAAAGAAACAAATCTCTGACCTCGAGATTCCGAAAGCTGTCTTGTTTAATCAAAGCTTGGAGATTCCAAACCCGTCCTTCTTTACGATACCCAAACTGTCCTTTGTAATCTCCTTGATAGTCCTGACGCCGGCCAGAGTCATTGTGCGCGAAAGCTCTCTTTCGAGGATGTTAGTCACGGCCTCGACTCCCTTCTTTCCATCGTAGCTCAAGCCCCAAAGGACAGGACGGCCAATGAGCACAAGGTCGGCGCCCAGTGCGATTGCCTTGAACACATCGCTTCCACGCCTGATACCTCCGTCGAAAATGACAGGGATACGTCCAGCCACGGCATCAGCGATGGCAGGAAGAACCTCGATCGTAGCTGGGACCAAGTCCAATTGTCTGCCACCATGGTTCGAGACGACAATGGCGTCTGCACCGTGCTCGACTGCTAGCTTTGCATCCTCTGCAGTCATGATACCCTTGAGGATGACCTTCATGGAGGTCGCCTTTCGAAGCCAGGGAATGGTGTGTTGCCAGGTGAGGCTCGAACTGTGCATGGTGGGTCCTGCTTTCTTGATGATCTCATTTGCCTCGTCGACTGTGTGAGCATTCAGGTAGACACGCTCGGTGGCTGGTCCTTTGATGCCCTCCTTAGGACGTGCATAGTTTCCCAAATGCATGCCTTCAGGGAGAACAAGAGGGGTCTTTCTCTCGTTGATGCGATTGCCGAGGATTGGAGTGTCCACAGTCAGTGCGAGAGCTTTATAACCAGCCTTCTCGGCACGCTTGATCAACTTGAGACTATACTCGGGATCCTGAGTGAGATAAAGCTGGAACCAGAAATCGGGGCCATCGGGATTGGAAATGTTGCATGCATTTGCCACATCTTCAAGACTGGTCGTAGATTGGGAAGAGAGTGTCATGGACAGACCAGTGCTTGCTGCAGCTTCGGCGGCTTCGAGCTCACCTCTGGGATGGCAGAGCTTTTGCATAGCGCTTGGAGCGAAGGCTACCGGGAAAGGATGGCGCTTGCCAAAGAGTGTAGTGCTTGTGTCTATCTTTGAGACGTCAATCATGACGCGTGGTGTAATCAGAAGTCTNACGAAGAGTCAGTATCAGAGCCTCGTGAAGTTCGATCTTACTGCGTATTACCTGTCAAACATGTAAGAATTTCTGGCCAGCGCCTTCTGTTCATCCGCACCGCATGCATAGTAGTCGTAGACATTCTTCGGCAATCTGGTTTTGGCGATCTCCTCAATCTCCGTCACTGTGATTGGGACTGTCGATGATGCTGCTTTTTGACTCATTGTTAATTATTTGCCGACGAACTGCCTCTCCCAGGTGTATCGATATGTATTAAGCGATGGTGAGCTATGTAGATGTTGTGGTTGAAGTGAGTGATGCGTTGACGGCCGCGCGTTGATAACCACCCCGCTCTCAAAAACGATCTTCCTTTAGCAACAATCGACTCACTTCGCTCCATTCACATCAAAATTGATCATCTGCGTAGCTCGATATGAGCACCAGGTTCACCTGTAGTGAAATGTCAAGACAGGCAAAGTTCAAGCAAAGATGAGCAAGCAATCTCGCTGGGAACGGAAGAGGTGACAAGGTCGTCCCTTCTGCAACTTCGGCTAAACACGGCAAAGCCGGCTCCGCTCCTTCCCAACCTCCTAACTTTCCCGCAACCAAGCATCACTGACGATGATATTTGACAACTCGAACATCTCCTATCAAAGCGCTTATCTCTCTGATTCGATTCGCTTACTTCTCTATCATGTCCAAGTACTCTTACGTCAAATGGGCCGTGATCGTGCTTCTAAGCGCACACACCATACAGTCCTACGTCGAGTTTTCACCACAGATCGGTGGTGGAACCATGGCTCTCACCGGGTTCTTTGCTCATACAGGAGTGCATCAGATTCGAGCAATCAACAACACCTGTAACGGTAATTGGCGACATGGCAGGGTCAATGATCTCGAATGTTCTTTTGCATTGGCTCAAACAGTGGCATGGCATGTTTTTGCGACCTCTGTAGGCATTGCCTTACAACAGCTCCTAAGACCTTGGATCGTCTCGCATGGGGCAGATCAGAGAGACAATCGTATGAAGCCGTAAATGCCAAAGAACAGGTGAAGCATTTCAGCGCCATGCTCGGTATCCATTGATGCAGCAAGCCCTGACGAGCAACTGTATGTTATCGTCAACAACCCATTCAGACAAACAACACGATGATCCTGAGCGGTGTCTTTTCGAAATTGATCTGCTTTAGTCAATATGCAGCGCTCACAAACGTAGAGGAATTCTTGGCAAAGGCGGCCGTGGCTGCAGGCAGCCTGATTACTGCAGCTGCGACGACCTGTGCGTCGGTGTCAGATGGGCGCAACGCAGACGAATCACTGCAGAGTACCTAGCGGGATCAGGGAAATCAATGATTCCAATTCATGCGACTTGGTGATTACGATTTTGTCACGCGCAAAGCTGGCGGCAGAATAACATACAATAATACGGCATGCCCACTCCTGCGTTGTGTTGTTGTCGGGCATGTCGGTTGACCTTGAAGACTGATCGACTCACAGAAATGTCTTCTACAACCATGCCTACGAACCCCGAAGATTATACGATTGCATGGATCGCGGCCTTGCCACACGAACGAGCGGCAGGAGAAATGATGTTAGACCAAAAGTTTGACCAACCAGAGAGTTTTACCAAAAATGTCTGTGACCCTAATAGTTATTCCTGGGGCCGGATGGGCAAACATCTCGTCGTGATTGCTTCCCTGCCGGCTGGAGAATACGGGACAACAACCACAGCCATAACAGCTCAAGGACTACGCTCTTCACTACCTCATATTCGTGTTGGTCTACTTGTTGGTATCGGAGCCGGCATCCCCGGAGAAACATGCAACACCGACGGCGCTGTCACAGTCAGGCACGACATTCGCCTCGGCGATGTGGTGGTGAGCAATCCTGACGGCAGCAACGGTGGAGTGGTGCAGTACGATCTGGTCAAAGCAAAAGACTCATTTGAGCGAAAAGGATCACTCAACAGCCCGCCCCTAGCACTTCGCAGTGCTCTCTCGGCTTTACAAGCAGAGTACGAGTATCAAGATTCCAAGATTCCCAGCATCATAAATGTCGCAATGGCGAAGTTCCCTAAGGCAGCACTAAAGTACAGCCGCCCAGCTGAAGCACCTGACAGGCTATTTCGAGCCTCTGTTAAACACGCTGGTGGCGAAGACTGCACAAATTGCGATCCAGCAGGACATATCAAACGTACTCTCCGCGAGGACCCCGAGATTCACTACGGAACAATTGCCTGCGGCAATACTCTGGTCAAGAATGCTGCACATAGGGATGAAATTGTTAGCTGGCTGCACAAGGAGAACGTGGACCCCCTGTGTTTTGAGATGGAGGCTGCTGGACTGATGAATGCTTTTCCTTGTCTGGTGATCAGGGGCATATGCGATTATGGAGATTCTCACAAGAATGATGCGTGGCAAAGATATGCTGCAATCACAGCAGCAGCCTTCGCGAAAGAGTATCTCGGTTTTGTGGATGTCGAAGAGGTCAAAAGACTGGATGGACTTCACAAAACGCTCACGGATAGTAAGTCAGTCCGAATATCTCACCTAAATCCCAAATTTGGCAGTGCTAACTAAGCTTAGNTCGAAGGTAAAGTTAATGACGTGATCGAATGCAACCAGAAGATACGGTCCGCTCTAGAAACCTCAAGAGAAGTCTATCATCGAAGGAGAATCGTTGAATGGCTATCACCTCCAGATCCATCGTTCAATTATCATAGGATGCTACAACAACGACATGGGGAGACAGGCCGCTGGTTCCTCGAGAGCAGTACTTTCGAACAGTGGAAGGCAGATTCAAAGTCTTTCTTATGGCTTCATGGTATACCTGGTTGCGGCAAAACAGTCCTAAGTTCTACAATCATAGAGCATCTCGAGCAAGAAACGACCTGTGGATTACTGCTTTATTTCTACTTCGACTTCAACGACAAGAACAAACAATCATTCGACAATATGCTGCGATCTATCATTCTACAGGTCTACCAATCACAGCCAGACAGCCGACGGCCGCTCGAAGAAATGTGTGATCTCTATTTCGAGGGATCTCGACAACCGTCTACGGACTCTCTGCAAAAAGTGCTACAAGCCATGTTAAATAGAACCGACGACGTAAGTATCGTTCTAGATGCCTTGGACGAGTCAGAGTCAAAGCCAAGAGATAAACTGCTTGCTTGGCTCAAAACCCTTGTCGAGAGTACGAGCACTGCTTGTCGGCTTCTGGTCACTGCTCGAAGGGAGGAGGACATTGAGTCAGCCCTCCAATGTTGGACCCGTGCCGAAGACAGGATACCAATTCCGCGACATGAAGTGAACAGAGATATTGGCGTATACATCAAACACCAAGTAGACAATGGACACAATCTTAAAAGATGGCGTTCTCGACCAGATCTGCAGGCGGAGATCAAGACCAAACTCACAAACAAAGCTGGCGGAATGTAAGCAAGACTCACATCAAGAAGTTTTCTTTACAACATCGAAGAGACGCTAAGCGAAAGACAGGNNTTCCGGTGGGTGGCTTGCCAAATAGAGACACTGAAAGACTGCTTGAACCAGCAAGATCTCCGCAGCGCGCTGGAAAATCTGCCCGAGACGCTTGATGAGACGTACCATCGGATTCTGAACAACATCCCTAGAATCTACCACGAACGTACGATGACCATCCTGAGACTTCTAACGTGGTCCGAGAGGCCTCTGCGGCCAGAGGAGCTGGTGGATGCAGTCGCAGTGCAGCCGGATAACCAACCGAGTTTTGATCCCAACAATCGTATGCCCGAGCCCGGAGATATCATGAAAATCTGCTCCAGTCTTGTGGTCTCTGTACGAGGGTTTTATAAACCTTATTCTGGCATGGAATATGGCAGGAACTACGTTGGGACCGAGGTGACGGGACTGCAACTGGCGCATTTCTCCGTCAAAGAGTACTTGATTTCTGATCTCGTACCACAATACATCTCCGGTTGCCTTTCAGAAATCCCAGCAAGAGCAAGAATAGCGTCATTGTGCCTTGCTTACCTTTCAGATTTGGATCACAATCTATCATCTTTCAAGATGCGAGCAAAATTTCCATTCGCCCAGTATTGTGCGAGATATTGGCCGGGCCACGCCAAGGCAGCCGGCGGAGTGGACGAAGGACTACACGCCCGAATTCTGAAATTCTTAGATGAGAAGAAGGCCTATCGAACATGTTATAAACTTTGGGATCCGGAANAAGCATGGGATCAAGAACAGGCATCGTGTCCAGAAGGAAAGCGATGGGCACGGTGGACAAGGGGGATGCAAACGCCTAGTACCTTGTATTACACATCTCTAACAGGACTAACAGAAATCGTTGAGGCATTGCTTGCGAAAGGAGCAGAAATCAATGAGCTGGGTGGAAGATACGGAAATGCAGTGCAAGTAGCTTCTGCATACGGACACGTCAAGATCGTGCGGATGCTGCTAGGGAGGGGTGCCTTCCTAGATGTCTCGAGTGACTGCTTCTGCGAGGCACTGCTAGCAGCTTCAGACAGAGACCATGCCGAAATCGTGCAGATACTGGCTGCTAGAGGCGCAAACCTCAAGCCGCTGAAAAGACAATCAGCTGCTCGATACAGGCGCAAATATCAACCCTGGTACATCGCAGGCGGCTGCAAAACCAGTTTCTCAGAGACTTCGCATTTCATGGACCCCGATCTACGACCCTAGGCAGCTTCTTTCTGGTATCGCAACCAAGCCACAACAAGTCTGGTCTGCTGTAATGCCCACAGATGTCCAAGAAACTCTTCGCAAAGATGGCTGTTGTGTGGTCAAGATCAGCGAAGACCAGACCCTCTGTCGCCGAGTCGAGGGGTTCAGACAGCAGTCTGCCATCGGGTCCAAAGACGGCAGAGTTGCCTCCTCCAGGGCTATCCATAAGGAGACCAGCTTCAGTCGACATGGTCTTAACACCCTTGTCCGAGATCACTGTGGTGGCGTGCAGCACAAATGTCTGCGACTCGATGGCATAAACCTGAGAAAGACTTTGGCATCCTTTGAGACCCGTTAGTCGCTGCCTGAACACAGAAGAGCATTATAACATTCTCACCCTCTTTGGACATGGACCATAGACCAGGGCCACCGTCATGAGGCACAATCGGAGGCCAAGCAGCACAATGTATCTCTTCCTTCTGTGAGATAGTATTGTACTGCAAAATCTTCCCAAAAGATCCAAGACCCAATCTTGATCTGCAACCTCTCCTAAGTCTCAAAGTCCTTGCATGGCTGTATCTAGCGCACTGTCGTCGAAAATGTTGTACACACTGGACGCCTTTCCAGTCTCAAGCCCGGCACCATGATCGGTCGCTTCTGCTGTTCCGTCGCGAGATCGTAGTTAAGAAGCAGGTCTGACCCTTCCGATAAGGCATCGGGCTACTGAGTATGCGTACCCCACCTGGACCCTGACGTGAACCACCAAACTCTATTCGACATGCGGAAGTTGAATCCGCACCCCACCTCAGGACAAACAACACTCTTTCCTTCACACCCAATCTGCGGATTGTGCATCCGCATGCTGGATGATCATGTGCGGGGATGCTGTCAGATGGGTCACAGTGCAATTAACTCTCCGGCTCGATTTATATAAGTGACGATAATCACGCTGACTCGCAGTGAACCACTAATCACCTTCTTTCTCCATCGATCAATCACTTACTTTGTCGTTGAACGATGGTTATCCTCGCTGACTGGGAGGGAAAACAGTATCTCTTCGTCTATGGAGTTTTCGGCGTCCAGCATGGTATTTCTCTGAACGACAGCAAGAAGGCCATCATTGATGAGCTACACAGGCTTTTGACTGCATCAGCAGGACAAGTGGATATGCTCGTTGACGAGAGCCATGATCTTGAAGCTGAACATAAGCCACATACCACGACCTTTGTCACTTACTGGCTCGACGTCAAAACATACGAGTCGTGGGCTGCTTCAAGCCTTGTGCAACATTTCTGGACCAATCTCGCCGATGATGCTGGAGTCTGGCGCGAAATTATGACGGTCCCGACTTCGCGATACATGTATGCTGCCAACCAAGATCTTCGCTGGGGTCTCACAAGTCTCATCGACAACCTGCGAGCAAGTGATGACGAGGGCTACTGGGGCGTTTATCGGCATAGGATCGGGTCCAAAGATGACACGTTCACATCGCCCTACGTGACAGCCTCGAAAGTGAAGAATGCTCTGAACAGTCGCATCCTCGACATTCCAGCGACGGGTCCACGAAATTCGAATGAAGTTAGACTTGGCCGTGTGCGCGTAGATGGCGTCCCTAACAACATCTGCTTTGTTCGAGAAGGACAACGCCAGCCAAACGTTGCTCAAGAGGAGCTAGATCTCTGGCTCGAGAAAGTCTCGCCACACGCGAAATTCTGGATTGAACACCTTGATTCGCATCGTGAGAAGAACGGTGTGCTTGCATTTTCGACTCACGTCAGCCAGCAATCGAAGCTGAACAATTCCGATGCTGCCGAGACCGATCAGCTAGCATATTTTCTTGACCTTGCTCACTTTGNNGAAGCATCCGGACGTGCTTTCAAAGGCCATGTACAGCTGCGGAAGACTGTCATGGAGCTGTATGGTCCGGGTGGTCCCCTGGAGGGTATCGGCAAGGCGGAATTGTATGTGGAGCTACTGATCCTGAAGTCGAACGAGTTTCAAGCTGAGTATATCGGATGTCTAGAAGGGACTGGACTGATGTATCTGCAAAATGTTTAGCAGCAATGAGATAGTTCGATATCACTTGTCCGGGTATTCGAATTGACATGTCTGCCTCATCATCATCGTGAAATTTGTGCGTGGCAGGTGCAAAGCGGCAGACGACGCTTCCTAAAATTGTTGTCCGCACGTTGACAGCCGCGATGTGATCCGTTGCCAACGAAAATCGTTCGTCAAAGCTCATGCAAGCGCTCGCCGCGCATCCCGCAGCATCCTTCTCCATCTGCTTTTGTTTTCAATTGGTCTCACAGAAACACTCGCAGTATCAATGGATTCGAGGAAGCACGCGATGGCTTCCGATGATGATGCCGGTGCTGACGCACCCCGTATGCAAATTGGTCGTGCTGTGAGTGTCGACTTCATCGTACCCCGTATGGACGCATTGTTGATCTCATAGTATTGTTTAGTGCGATCATTGTCGGGCACGTAAAGTAAGTTATGAAGCAACCGAATGCACTGCAATGTTTTTGTTAAGCCAAGATCAGATTCGGTGCGACCGATCTACACCTTGCGCGAATTGTGTAGCTGCAGCAGTATCATGCATTACGACCAGGGACAGACCTCAGGTCAAGCGCCAAAGAGTGCTGATCTCAAACGAATACGAGCGGAAGATTGATGCGATGGAAGAACGTCTGCACAGTATTGAGTCACTTCTGACAGACACTAACAAGATGCTTCAAGCTCTCATGAACAAACAGCAGTCGCAGGTTTCTGCGGATTCGACACCTTCCACACTTACGCACCTGCCGAGTGGATCGGTAGACGTTGAAAGCGACCAAAATACGTCCTTTGTTGGTGGAACATCGCTGCTCGCCCATTCTCNNAAAAAAGCCCGACACGATGTCGAGCATTTGTTGCAATCGAGTCCAATATTACTCAACAACCCAGAGATCAAGTCGGCCCTCGACGTCTTGCGCAGTACTACGCGCCGTCCACATGCAGGTAAATCCAGTCTCTTGCATGCTGCTCCCGGTATCGACTCGACAAAGTTTACGGCGGAGTATCTGCCTCCCTACTATTCTGTTTTAGGAGTTGTACACGAAGCCCAAGCCTGTGACAGTCTCTTCTTTCTGATCTGGTCACCTTTCTTTACGCCTTCGGAGTTTTTGCACCTCTGTGATCAGTTGTATAAAGGCTTCGACACCTGCTCCTTGGCCACCAAGACGATTGTTTGCGGTGCACTACATTACATGTTGTGTGAGCATCTGACGGCGCGCAAATTCTCCCAGGGTTCCATCTACTGGATGTACAGCAAGTACTTCCTCGAAATCTTCGAGCACTGTCTGAGATCTTACAGTGTGCTGTCTTGTCCATCCACAGAGAACATACTTGCAGTAGTGTTAGGTGCCAGTCATGCAATCCAAAAAGGCGATCATACATCTGCTTGGCCCATGGTCTCGCAAGCATGTACCATGGCTCGGACTCTTGGATGGTACAGGATGTCTGATCAGAATCTGGAACAAACCCAGGCTCAAAGGATCCTGTTCTGGGTGATTTACTACTATGACAAGTGTTTATCTTTGCGACTAGGTCGTTCAGCTGTCTTGAAAGATTACGATATCACGGTTCGCTACCCGAGAGAGCCTCTTCGACCGGATCTTAGGGGCTGGTATCTGTGGTTCCAAGTAATGATCGCAATCGCTTGTGCACATAGTCTCATTTACGATAAGCTTTACAGTCCTGGCTCACTCAAACTTTCAACTCAGCAAAGGCTTGAACATGTTCAGGAGCTAGCCGCCCGCCTGGAAACGATATCGAAAGACAACTCAACAATAGCCGAAGAGACTGTCTACCGAAGACAATATATGTCGTTTCTCGTCGGATCAAACTCAGTCGTAATCGGCTGCTTACGAACCCTGATATATCGAGCTGTCGTTCCCCCAGACAGCGAGGTATCGCTCAGCCTTGATCCCAGATGTCTTTCGGCTGCACGAGCAACCATCCACAGTCATCTGGACATGATGGACTCCATAACCTTCCGCGAAGATGGCAGCGCCAATGATTATGCCAGCTGGGCCATCTTGAACTGTCCCTTCACACCCTTCATTATCCTCTTCTATTCTGTCATCAAATCTTCAAACTTAGGAGACCTTGAGTTGCTCGAGAATTTTACAACATCGCTCAGATCCATGCAGCTCAGATCGCCCGAAGCAATACAAGATCTGCGGGAGATGTGTCAGACATTCCCCACGCTTGCCAGACAGTACGTAAAAGCTGCCATCAGCGATACAAGTGCAGATACGACAGAGCAACAAGCCAGTGAGCTCGTCGACAACCTCAACTTCACGCTTCTAAGCGGTTTCGAGGATTGGTTCTCTGGAGTTCAAGATTTCGTCAACTTTGATTGGACAACTTAGATGCTCACAAGAGAATATAAATATTGCGATCGCAGCAGAACCGACCTGCTACGCAATACCCACCAAGTCTACGTTGGCAATGTGGCAGAGGTACACATTACGGCTGCTGAAGCTCTTGTACGTGAAGCTACACAGGGAGCAGAAAAGGGCAAACAAGTCGGTGGAGAGTCTTTCTTCATCACCAACGATGATCCACGCCATTTCTACGATTTTATGAGGTTGGTATGGCAAGAGGCAGGATATGACACTTCGAACTTGGCACCAACCATCATACCGAGCAAAGTCGCTCTTGCAGCAGCTGGTGCCAGCGATCTCGCAACTTGGGCGTTCACTTTGGGGAGCTCATCGAGTTCTTCTCCGTCCAAGGAAGATATCGAGCATCTGTGTTTGAACCGCACGCACGACATTGCGAAAGCCAGAAAACTTCTGGGCTATACACCTACCGTCGCGATTGAAGAGGGCATCCAGCGTGGAGTCAGGAGTCTGTGTTATGATTATTGATGATGATGCAAAATATCTTGAAATGTTAATTGATGAAGCTCGGGAATCTAGCTGTGGACAAGCTGCTTGAGGAGATCGAGAACGTATAATGATAATATCGATTGACACGAACATCGCTAAACTACAATACAGAGAAAACCAAAAGCACAAGATCACATCACTCCTCCCCTTCCTCACCAGAAGAAACCTCCAAACTCGGTCTCCTCTTCTTACTCTCCTCCGTCTCAATAATCTCCGCCCCAGGCCCATCACTAAACGTATAAGTCCTACACTCCGCATTCTCCCACATGCGCGTAGTTTGCTCTCCCTCCTCCGTAAAATTACCCGTGAGCGCATGCGCAAAAGTGCCATGGCTAACAAGCACAATATTCTTTTCTTCTCTGTCACGGATATACAATCTCAGCATTTTGGCTCTGTCGATCATGGTTTCAGGGTCGGTGTCGAAGCGTCCGCAGTTGGATGTCCAGTGTGGGTAGACAGAGGCGATACGGTGTTCGTCTACCAAATCGCCGAACAGGGATTTTATTTCGGAGACGGAGGAGCCGGTGTCCATGGGTTCGTTGCTGCTTTCTTGAGCTAAGGGCATAAGGAGGATTTGAAGGCCTTTGTCGACTGCGGGCTTGAAGCTGAATTTGCAGGTTTGGATTGTGCGTTTCATGGGACTTNNTGGGGTTGAGGTGTCAGCATTGGAAGTGTCTCTGGTCTGTAGAACCAAAGCTGAAACTCACGAGGCCATGAGCATGTCGATTTTCTCGTGGTGGGGAAAGTTCTTGCACAGTTCGGCGCATTGGGCTTCACCTTTNTCGGTGAGAAGAGGGTCGTGGATACCTTCGCCGTGCCAGGCAGCGTTGTGGAAGCCTTCGGCGTGACGGACGAGGTAGAGGGTTGGTGGCATATTGATGCTTGGGGTTCGCTTTGGGGGAGGTGGTGCTTGTGGAAAGGAAGTGGTGCTTGTGGGATGATTGATGCTTTTGGAAGAGAAGTGATGCTTTGGGCTACGCTGATTGCAATGCAAGAGATGGAAAGTCGAATGGATGGAAATGGAAAGTGCCTACTGAATAGGATGAAGATGGTTCTTGTAGTCTTCTGGACGAATGAGGCTCAATTTGTCTTTACCGTTTCGCCTACCTACGTCGTCGGTCTTTCTACGATCTTTTGCAACTTCGAAGAAAGCATACTTCTTGCCTCTGGTCTCTATCGACAGCTGAAACGATACGAAGGTTAGTAACCCACACTCCCTTTCGCAACTAGACATAAGCTTGCGAGATTCCTCCGCGGCCACTATTGTAGACCAAACGATTCCATACCATGCACAGCAACTGCATTAACACTTTACACTGGACTTGCCCCACACAGAAACGAGTGACATACCACAACCTCAAGATCTACCCCCGCTCTTCGACGGCAAGTCACTGCAAAGCAAACCATAATCCCCGATGTGGCCAAGCTAGAAGTCTTCTCCAACCCCGCGGGTCTGCCGGAAACCTTATTCTACACGTGTCTCTGCACGCGGAAATAATCGTCATAAAAGTGTTCCGGCAGATATCAAAAGTCGCCTCTTGTTGAAAGTGCCTTTGGATAAATGTGAGGGAAGGCTGGGGGTTATGCCATCATCGTTGGTTCCGCCGGGTGCTCCGATACGACAGGAAGGCGGCGGAACAACATCCAAATCGATGTTGACTCCGCAGTTGAAACTCTGCTTCTAGATCTTTGCGCTCGGCAGATGAGACACTACTAAGGGTATTGCTGCGCCTCAATGGAGAGGAGGTATACCGTGTTGCGACCTGTGAGTTGACGCAGTTGTTGATGTCGATGATCGTTGCAGAGGTGGAGGAAGAAAGGATATCGAGACCGTGAGCGTCATGCGCCAAGCACAACCAAGCACCTCCCGCGGCGACCACAGTGCTTGGCTAACACTCTGAGGTGCAAGGAAGGTTCGTTGTTCAGTCTGGGAATCAATTGAGGATCTGCGAAGAGCAGAATGACTGAACATCAAGCCGTATCTCTGACCCTAGCATCAAGACGTCTCGATCACACGCTTCCCTTTCACTCATTTTGGTTTCAGACGCTGACTTTACAATGAAAAGAGTACATTTTGGATATCTTTCGAACAGTAATGCAGACAGTAGATAATGCAAGAAAAAAGGTCTCTAACCCAACAATCCAGCAGCCAAAGCTTCCAGATCCGCAAGTGTCTCTGGAGCAGCTTCTTCTCTGCCACCCATATCTGTCCTGCGACCTTCTCCCTCGAACCACTTCTTTTGCTTCTTCTTCGGCTGCTCGTCCTCTTCTTCCGCTTCTGACCCATCTTCTGAACCAGCAAGGAACTTCTTGAAGTCTTCTGAGGCATCGGCGAGTTGTGGCGCCTCGTCTTCGTCTTCGGAACCAGCTTCTTCTCCTCTTTCCCTTTCCTTGCGCTTCTCCTTCTTTGCACGCTTCTTTTCTTTGGCAAGTGCTTTGTCCAAGAGATCTGATTCGCGGACTCTTTGTGCCTCCTCTTCCAAGAACTTCTTGCGTTGCTCTTCTGCTGTTCCCTTGGCCTTGAAAGCATCTTCGTCTTCGAGTTCGTAGATTTGGTGTGCGTTTCCTTCGTCGTCGAAGACAAGTTTCTGACCACTCTCCTTGAACTTGAGTAACTTCTTCTTGCTCTTGAGTAGTTTTTCTCTTCTCTTGCTGTCGATGATGAGTGCATCCTTGGCTCCGGGAATGTGAACGGCCTTTGCGCCGGGTGGTAGATCCATGTCTGCCACTGCTGGTGTGGCCTCCTCGTCTGATGAATCCTCCTTCTCTTCTTGAACAGGAATACGGCGCTTGACACTGAATAAATCGTCGTCGGACATTTGCGTGCCGTCCAAAGCTTCAATATCGTCGTCGCGAACCATTTTGGCGTAGTGGTCTGCCAAAACATCCTGGTTCTTGCGCTCGAACATGCGGTCGTACTTTGTGCGGACTTCTTGCTTCTTCTTGTCTCCCTTCTCGCCTTCGCTTTCGTCTTCAGAGTCATCCAGCTGTGCTCTGGGTGCGTTCTTTCTAGCCTTTGCGTCATCTCCAGCAATAAACTTAATCTTGGGTGCACCAGGAAGACCAAGACTTGCTGCGTATTCTTCGAGGTTCAATTTGTCGAGTTTGAAGGTTTCTTTGTCCTTCTGGATGTGAATGCTGCGAACGTAACTTGCAAAAGCCTTTTGACCCAGATACTTGAGCGTAGGATCCTTGAAACACATGTTTTGTAGTTGAGGCTTAATAGATTGTTGTTTCTTTTGCTTGACGCTGATGCGTTCGATAGGGACCTTCTTTGCTTCGAGACGAGACAGCATACCCTCTTCCTCGCTAGGATCGAGGAAAAGCACAGCTTTACCATCGCGCTCATAACGGGCAGTACGACCTACACGGTGAATGTATGTGTCGGCATCTTCAGGAGCATCCAGCTGAACGACCCAGTCGACGGCGGGGAAATCCAGACCTCTTGCAGCTACATCTGTTGCAAACATACAAGAGTGTTGAGCGTGTGAAAACTTTGTGGTAATGTCGAGACGAGCAGTTTGCTTTTGACGGCCGTGAAGATGTAGGAGAGGAATACCAGGTTGCATGTGACGGAAGGCTTCATAGACAAAACGGACCTGCTTTCCAGATGACAAGAAGACGATGATCTTTGACTTCTTGCAAGTCTGGATGAAAGACCACAGAGTGTCGAGTTTGTCGGGAAGAGGAGTAAGGACGTAGTTTTGTTGCAGAGATTTGGGAGTGGCAGACTCGCCCTGTTCCGAGGTCGAGACGTATTCGGGATCTCTCAGACTAAGACGAGCGAGGTCGGAAACACGCTTTGTCTGGGTTGCTGAGAAGAGTAGAGTCTGGCGGTCTTTGGGCAGGTATTCAAGAATGGCATCCAGGTCACGCTGGAAGCCCATATCCAGAATTCGATCGGCCTCGTCAAGAACCAGCATCTGCACGTTGTCGACAGAGAAGAGAGCGGTTTGCGACAAATGCTGGAGCATACGACCAGGAGTGCACACAACGATGTTCATCCTCGCGAGAGCATTTTGTTCCTCTTGCAGACTCTTTCCACCGATGACAAGACCAGCCGAGAACAAATGACCCTTTCTTCCAATCTTGACCAGGACGTCGAAAATTTGAATGGCGAGTTCGCGAGTAGGAGCGATGATCATGGCACCTAGACCCGCATCTTGGCCGACACACTGCTTACGATACAAGTTCTCGAGAACGGGGACGATGAAGGCGAGAGTCTTTCCAGAACCGGTTTTGGCGGCACCAAGGATGTCAGAGCCATGGAGGGCGAGAGGAATAGCGCGTGCTTGGATGGGAGTGAGGGTGGTGAAATGGCAGGCTTTGAGACCTTCCTGGGTAGGTAGAGAGAGCGGTAAATCGGAGAAGGAAGTGTAGCTGCCTTTGGGATCCTGTTCAGATGTTAGACAGATTGGTGGACAGAAAGTTTGGGCAAGACTGACCAGATCCTGAACCTGCTGCTCTAGCTTTTCAACATCGACGTCGTCTCTCTTGCGCTTGGTCGAGCGCTGCTGCTTCTTTGGCTTGGTCGGCTTGGTGCGGCCAGTTACGTGTGGCGCCATGTCTGTGTGTATTGAATAGGCAGGAAGGAAAAAGTCCAGAGTTAGGAAGGACTTTCACATGCTTAACTCCGCAACAACTTTTTGGGTGCACGCGCCACTCGGTCGTGCCTTCCGTCACCCGCGCCCGCATTTCCCTTCTACAGCCAGACTGAAGACTTGATCTTGTGCACACGACCACAACCACCCATCATGTCAGACAAGAAGCCTGAGCCAAAGGAGCTTTCGGACGAATACATCCTAGCCGCCATTGCAAAAGAATCAAAAGAATTCGACAAGGTCTGTCTCTATCGTTCGACTCTTCCATATCTGAACTCACTAACCCGTTCGTAGGACGCTGAAATCGATCGCATCCTCAAAGCCTTCCGTCTCGATGCCTATGCTGTCCTCGATCTCCAACCTGGTGTCCCAGATAACGACATCAAGAAATGTTACCGCATGAAATCCCTCCTCATCCATCCTGACAAAACCACAAATCCTTCGGCACCTGATGCATTCGACCGTCTCGCAAAAGCACAACAAGCGCTACTGGATGAGAAGGAAAGAGCAAAACTGGACGAGTGCATAGCAGATGCACGTATGCTGTTGATGCGCGAGCGCAAACTCACTGTCGACAGCGAAGAAGTCAAAGATCCTGATGATGACTTCCGCAAGGCGTGGAGAGAAAAGACAAAAGTCGTGTTGGTTGATGAAGAGTTACGGAGGAGAAAGAGAATGAAGGCTCAGATGCAGGAGGAAGGTCGTGCCCAGAAGAAGGAGGAAGAGGAGATTGCTGAGCGCAAGAGGAAGAGAGAGTTCGAGTCCAAGTGGGAGCAGTCGCGTGAGGAGCGCATCGGTTCCTGGCGTGACTTCCAGAAGGGAAAACAACCCGACAAGAAGAAAAAGAAGATCAAGACTTTGGGTTGATTGCTGTCAATCTGCTACGAGCCATGACCCTTCTCTACATCTTTTCACCATCATCATCATCATCATTTGAGCATTCATCCAATGCACTTCAGCGAGGCGTTAATGGCGTATAGATTATCTTCTATCCTGTATTCGAAAAGACTCCATGAACTCCACCATTACCCTTCTTCAACCATGCAAATGCTGCTCGCTAATCTCAAAGCATAAGCACATATGTGCAACAATCCCATCTAAGATCTCGCACTAGCTCTCTTGACATCCAGCTCGACCTTGCTGTACCACCCCGCTCCTCCCAGCGCAACAAGCATACCCACAGCATTCATCGGTCCCACATTAACATTAAACAGCACAATACCCAGAATGACAGTCAAGATCTGCTTGACGTTGCCACAAACAGACAATGTCAACGCGCCAGCAAGTTTGTTGGTTTGGAAACTGGTGACGTTGAGCATGAAAGCCAGGAATCCGTTTCCGAGCAATGCGAGAATGAGCCCGGTATTCATTTTGCCTTCTGCGGTAAAGTCGAGGAAGGCAGACACTTCGCCTGTCACAACTGCCCAGAGGAGACTTTGGACGGCAGCTAGAGGCGACATGCGCAAGAGAAGTTCCAGAGCGGGGAGTTTGAGGCTACCGGTGAGGAGTTTGTTTGTCGCGACAGTCTTGAGTGCAGCCAANAAGACACCCAAGAAAGTGAGGGAAGCACCGAGTAGAGTAGCGTAGTAATCTCCATAGGTGCTAAGGCCAACTCCAGCCACGATGGGGATTAGGGAGACGTAAGTCATGGTACCGTAGCTGCGTCCAAGCCAGCGGTAAATCAAGATTGTAGCCACAGGAGTAGTGGATCTAACAATCTGATGGAAAGGAACCGAAACCATGGCGAGCGACACATTACTGATAGCAATGTTGACAGTGAACAACATCGAAAAAGCCACCAGTACCATCTGCTCTCTCCTTCCGACATGGCTCAGCTTCAATTGATCAGGAGCCACAAGCATAATGGTCCAACATCCCAAAGCCGCAGAAGTGGTATGAAATGTCGTCAACAACCAGGGAAAGTGGAAACTGTTCAACACGCGTTTGTTGTAGAGCGTCAAGCCTAGGTTCATCATGAAGTAAAGACCCAGGCAGATCATTTTTGTTCTCGTTGCGATTGTGTATTCGTGTCCATCGTTCTTTGGCGGCTGAGCGTCAACAGGGCTCTGTTTCTCTGCATCGTCCATTTGGGAGAGGAGGCCTGCCGAGGGAGATGGTTCGTCCATTTCGAAGGACTCGGCGAAAGAGGCCGGACTGCGCAGGTCAAGTGACTGGGATTGAGAGCTCAGGCGTGGGGATGACGCAGGGTCCGCTGGTGGAAGGGAGGTCGCCATCTTCGTCCCTCTGTGTTGTGTGTTGGTAGTTGATGATTGTTGTGAGTGTGAGTCCTTGCTCCTTTCCTCCAAATTCAGCGACTCTTGTTCACGATCCTTCTATGTTGATAGCGAAATTTGAGTTTCCTTTATGACGAAGGCTTTCCAGTGATCGTATGTGAAGCGCAAGTGAATGTCGATACCAGAGCACAAAGATATTTCAATCCTCAATCGCAACCGGAAAAATCAAGGCAAAGAGAAAACCTGGTTCCCTTTCCCCGTTCCTCCAGACAGCGCATGGTCCTGGTTTTGGTGTTTCCCTAGTCATAGCCTTGGTTCTCTGTGCCGACAATAATCTGCTGGTCTACCAAGCCTTGGGGATCGGTTGGTCCGGCAAGATCAAATCTGCTTTGCTTGGCAGGGCCAACCCTTGTTCGCTGTTTCCCGCCAAGAAGGTTTTCGTTCAACCTATCATTTGTTGCCGAAGGATTGGCCTTTGTTGCAGGGGGGAATGCTGTTCGTCGCTCATGCGCGTCGTAAGCTTTGGTTTGCGAGCATGGGATATGTTGTGAAGAATGCCCTAATGGCACTCGTTCTGTTGTTCTGGCTGATATAGATCTGTTTGATCTCCATAGCACGCCATTAGATGATTCTCTGGCATCATACAGAAATGGGGAGAACTGTTCCACGACTCATGGGTTCGGGGAAGTCGTCGTAATACACGTCTTGGCTCTCTATTCTCAATGTTCTGTATTAGTATAGCAACAGCGCCGGCCAAGTCCTATCTGACCATCTCTATCTGCTCCTTCGCAATGTTCATACTCTGCCTGGTCATTTGATTCCAAATGCTGGACGAAAGGTCCACATCTTACCTCATCAGGCTGATATCTCGGACTTCCTCGCCTGCTCCGAGGAGCCATTCACGATCATAAGATGCCCTAGTTCTGCATGTGTGTGACAAACAAGTTCTGTATATGTAGGCCAAGACATGTACAAGTCAGGTAGGCCAAGCACCGGAGAACCAACTTCTTGCTTCCTCTGGTGACCAGGAGTGCCGTTATTCCCGTTGTACATACTTTGGGCATTACCCGCTTGATCACATTCGCCTCGGAGGCGCGCATTCTGATCTCTCGATGAACATCTTGAGTTGTTATACAGGTTATATACAGTTTGCAGGTTATTCAATGGTGAGCTAATCATCTTCTCCAACCTCCTTGACCGCCGCTCTCCGAAAAGTCGCCTCCTTGACGCTCTCTTTCCACTCTTGCGTCAAACTCTTTCTGGGCTTCGACCTTGGCTAGTTGTCTCTCCTCATCTGACGAGCTGAAAGAGAATGAATCGCCCAGCGTTGAGCCTTCTTGCTGTTCGTTTCTAATCTGAGGGGTGTTGGTGGGTGATTGGCGGGGAGAGCCCTTGGAGCTCGCAGACTCTTGTCTAATGCGGTCCCATGCACTGCCTGAAGAGCGAGGAGCGGGTGCAGGCTGTGAAGTGCCCAGTGGGGATGCATCGTCACTGCTGTTGTGGTTGTTTCTTCGCGACTGTTCAACACGAGATTGTGCCTGAGCTGCGACTCTAGACTCCTCAAGTCGTTCAGCACGGTCTGCGTTTGATTGTTCCTTGCGGGCGCGGGCATTAAGTTGCTCGTCTGTCAAGAGGCCAGTATCCTGAGTTTCCTGCTTGTAGTCGTCCATCCAAGCACCACCAGTAGGACTCATGTCGTCATAGTCGGAAGCCTTGCGCTGAACATCTTGACGCTTCCAGGCATCTTCCATTCCAAGTCTTTGCGATGCTCGTTGTGCTTGTTGATCCATGCGACCTTCTTGACTCATTATCGGATTGCGCTGACCTTGAGGTTGCAGCTGACCGGTATGTCTTTGCGCGCGCTCCTTGAGCGCCTCAATATAATCTTTCATACGAGGATCCGAGCCAGTCTCGACTGCATTTACCGAAGTGGCATAACTGGCAGCAAACAGACCGCCGAAAAATATGCCCACAGCACCATAAAGCTGGAAACGCAGCGTGTGCCAGGCATAGCGAGCCATCTGTCCACGCACAGGACCAAAGCGCTCAGGGTTGAATGAACCACCTTCAGCCTCGGTCTTAGGAGTGTAACCAGGGAAGCGGAAGTTGTTCATGCTGCGGTATGCGGCGACAGCACCACCAAGGATACCGAGTGGCGGACCCCATGATACCGTCCGTAGTGATTTTGCAAAGTGGTAGCTGATAGCGTCGACTTCTTCCTGGCGCAGTGGGCGGTGTATGACTGATTGGGCTTCTTGACAGCTTCTCAAGATGGTCTTGACTATAGCATCGTCTCGGACTGGCACCATGAATATGTTGACGGGTCGAGGCAGCTGATCGAGCTTGATGTGGTAGCGAGTCGGTGTTTGGCCGTCATTGCCATCGTCTGGTGTAGGGAGCTCGCCGAACGAGTTGGGCTCACTGTGATTTGTTGCTTCTTCGAGAACCATGTTTTGGGTGTATTGGTTGTTGCTGTCGTGAAGGCAAGAGAGTCAGGAAACAGACTTGAAGCTCTCGCTGTCATGACATACTAAAACAAAAGTCTGGGGTAATGAGGTCATGGCTGGTTTGTGTACTTTGCATAACTCAATACCAGAAGCATAACATGTCCGATTCGGTCACCTCGAATTCTCCTCCTCTTCTACTTCTCTGTATGCCTTGCTTAACATGACACTGCAGTCTGTGTGGCTATGTGGACCGTCCGGTGACTTTCTGTCGTTGCGCTGAGATGGCTATCATGGTACAAAGTTGACCACCAATCGCAACCTTGATCCTTCGAGGGATCGAGGCCCACGTGCAACACCTCCTTACTTCCAATCTTTAACAGCAGCCTTGACTCGACCTTCTTGACATGTTTTTGATAACTCGATATGGGGTCCTCCCTTGATCAAACAATCACCGAAAAATACTCGAAACTCCCACACCTCGAGCTCAATCCCACAGCCAAACAAACCATCCTCCTTATCCACGGTGCCACAGGCACTGGCAACAGCTGGGATCTCGTAACACCTCACCTCCCAGGGTACCACCTTCTAGCACCAGATCTACCTGGCCACGGCATAGCAAAACACCACCACTTCTCCATTGCTGAAGCCGCCGATGCACTGCACGCTCTAATTCTCAATCGCGCACACAATGGTGTAGCTTATGTGGTAGGCTTCAGCCTTGGTGCCCATGTAGCAATGCACCTAGTCTCCCACTACCCTAACATCGCAAACTGTGTTTTGGTATCTGGATTTCAGGTTTTTGCTACCACGGCTTTTTCTGCTTATTTGCCGTATGCCGTTTGGTTGGAGCAGCGATTGGAGTATCCGATTCCTCGCTCGTGGATAAGGTGGGCCATGGATGGTATCGATATGCCTCGCACGGATCTGAAAATGTGTACGGTGGAGTACTATCGTCAAGTCTTTGCTGCCACAGACGAGGCTGAGAAATGGCCTAAGCCGTGGCCTGCAAGGACTCTTGTTATTGCAGCAGGAAAAGGTGGTTTGATTCCTTCGAATGATCGGCCGCAGGATGCAAAGAAGTTGGCTGGGATTGGGCGTGAGGCAAACACTGCTACCAGAGCAGTTATGCATCCTGATATGAGACATCCCTGGATCTGGCAGGCTCCAAAGTTGTTTGCAGAAACAACAAAGCTGTGGTTTGAGCGGGAAGCTGTTCCAGCTGGCTTTGTTTCCCTAGAGTAGGGTTCTCTAAGACGTGGGAATAATGGGTATACAAGTAATAGTACTATGATCATGAGAAACATAAGTTTATAAAGTCATGACATTCGTTCAGAGCAGAGTTCAACCCGCCATCTTCAATTCTTCATTTAAGAATAACCAGCAACAATACCAAAATCAGGATCAGGACACCAATCGTGACCCAACTCCAATTGTCCTTGGCCTTTCGCGCAACCTTGCCCAGTCTTCCTCTTGCACGGTCGAGATTGCCTTGGAAGCGATCCACGCCGCTTTCCAGGTCATCGAGCATGACGTTCTGATCATCCATCTCATCTCCCATTTGTATACCCAGCATCCTTTGACGTCCTATACTGCTTGATAGCTGATCGAGTTGAGCATCTTGGTCTGATAACACTTGTTTATGGTATTCGTGAATTTGCTGGTTGGACAAGTCGGTCTGATCCGGTACGGCAGGCTCATCGTCGGTGTATGGTTGTGAGGAAGACGAGGTAAAGAGTTTCCCACGGTTGGCATCATCAGGCGAGGTATCACGGTATGGTTTATCGAAGCGGACGGATTTGTTACGCGTGGGTGTGGACTTCGCAGCTGCAAAATCAGGGGCCCGCGTACTGTCGTTTGGCGTTGTGGTAGAGGTTGTCGTTGTGTGGCCATTGAACTGCGCGTTCAGGTCTTCGTATTGTTTGCGCAATTTGTCCAGTTGAGTGTGCAAGTCGGAGACACTGTTTCGCGCTTCCATTAGCATTGATCTTTGTGAAGTTCAGCTGGACAGCAAAACGTACTGTTCGCCCGAAGACTCTTGCTCTTCAGCATTGGATGTCAAGGCTTCTATGCCAGCGCGCAGAGACTCCAATGACCGTGTCAGGGGCCCATCATTCGTGCTGTTGCCTGGAAGTTTGAGGGATTGGGCGCGTTGGCGTTCGAGGAGGGAGAGTTTGATGTGGTCGGCGAGGAGGAAGAGTTGATGCGGTGATGTTGACATGATCGCTTCTGTATGCTGTATGTGTTGCTAAAATGTATATAGTCGAGGAAGAGTAGTGGTTGAGATGCGTGGTTGATTGGGAGGTTATTGCCTTTCCCCAGAGTCGATGTGATGCATCATCCGAATTCCGAGCGCTCAGCCACCAATGCAATTGCCAAGCCAGATGGTTCCTTCCATGACAGAACATCAAGGTGTTCGCTTTTGAGGTTCCATCATTGTTTTCACCAGAGCTGTCATGAAAGCGGGACTATCGAGTAGGTTTGATGAATTATCGCATTACCAATTAGGACTAAAAAACTACATAACTGGGGGTATTGAGCTACTCCATGACCACAGAGGAAACTTGTTCATCATCATTTTTAGTAAGGAACATTCTCCTCAAAGATGGGAGCCTGGCGAATTCTCTCCTGGCTCCACTGCACCTTGGCCTTCTCGTCCAAAGAAGCCTCCTCGTCTGTGGCTTCAATGTCGTGCTCCTTGCAGCCAGCAACTTCCTGCGACGACAGACCATACTCATCGCGTGCAATCCACACAATCTGTTGCTCATTGGCCAAACTTGGAGGCTGGAAAGCAAGCTCAAGCTCCTCGTTAGTGTAAGGACGAGTAGGCTCGTTGAAGTGAGAAGCAAGTTCCTTGCGAACGGTAAGCCACTTTTCGGCAAAGCGTGAGCTGAAGAAAAAGTGCTGAAGCTTGCCCTTGATGCCTGATTTCTTAGGCTCGGGAGATGTGGTAGATCCGGCAAGTGTGGGCGAGGTATCGCGGTTGCTGGTGGTGCTGGGCTTGCCTTCTTCCTTCTCTGCCGCAGAGTATCCTCTGCTGCTGTCTTCGGTTCCAGGCATCATCTCAGTACCGTCGACAATAGGGCCAAGTGTCTTGCTCAAGATGACATGGTAGATGACGGTGAAAGCTGTAAGGACAATGGTGATGATCAGAGGACCAATCGCAGCTCTGTCCGAGGAGATGCCAATGGCGAAGAGACCAATCAAGCAGAACTCGAGAAGGTAAACACCGACTGTGAGCTGCTGCATAGCACGAGCGTAAGCACGGCCCTTCATGTCGATCGAGTCGTTGCCAATAACGTATAGGAGCTGGTAACGGTAGGCAAAGTACAAGAGAGCAAAGCCAACTGTTGCGAACCCAAGAAGCAGTGGGGCAATGCAAGAGTAGGCAATAGCAATTACTCCCAGCATGGCGAAGGCAGGATAGTCTGAGCCCCAGCCAAGGCCGATCAGGTTGATATAACGGTTGTAGACCTTGCGGGGTGTCGAGTCCAGGATCTTACCCAGGAAGGCGATGAACACTAGAGGAGCAATGTTGAGGACGAGCATAGCGGCTTTGCTCAACATGGTGATAACAAAGTAAGCGGTGTAGAAGTTGGATGCTGTTGGCAGGTTGCTAGCAAGCAGTGTAGGTGCAGATGCAGGCTGGTCAACAATCTGCTTTGCAACAGCGGCAGCTCCGGATGAAAAGGTGGTGACAAGGAAAACATCGACGACTTGGAAAGAGAAGTACCAAGCCTGGACTCTCAATTCGACTGTAGATCTGGTGGGTTCGAACATGCCTGCAAGCAGTCTCAGGACGATGGGGACCAGAGCCATGAGTACAGCGAGCAAAACGGAGGGTAGCAGACCAGTGACGACACCGAGGATAACGTCGGGAATGGCGCTGATCCAGGTCAAGCCAGGAATGGTCTCGAGAGTCTTGACGTTGGAGATGGCACCGACGAAAGCGACAGGAATCGCCCAGAAGACGATCATGAGGACGACAAAAATGGTCGACGCAATCATAATCAGGCGAGTGACTGTGTTTTTCTTGTTCAAGTTTGCCCAGATGACGTCTTGAGGCTGAACGCCGACAACCTTGGGAGTGAGCTTGGCTCCCTTGACCTTCTGCATGGTTCCTGACATCTGACGATGAGCAGCCTGGGCATATTCAAGAGTCTCGAACTGGACAAAGACAGCAGGAACCTTGTCGGCGTTGTGGGTCTTGTCAATCTCTTCGTTGACCTGCTTGTTCAGGCGGACAATCTCAGGACGAGCCCAGTCGATGGTATCGACCTTCTTGCCGACAAGAGGGATCTTTCCGAGACGGTGAGTGGGACGGATCTTAGAATCGACTTCGACACGGCCGCTCTCACGATCAATGGTAGACTTGTCCTCTTTACCTTTCTTCTCGGCTTTCTTGTGGGTTTTAACGAACTTCTGGACGAGCTTGTTCTCAGCAGCTTCGAGCTTTGTCACTGCTTTATCTCTTTCGTCGACAACGTCGTCAAGGTCCTTAGTATTGGGCTGAATCCAAACACGAGATACACCGCTGAACAGCTCACGCAAGGCGCTCTCTTTGAGGTACTCTTCGGCGACATTGGTGAACATGACTGTTCTGGCAGACAGACGACTGCTGTAAGCTACCGAGGTGATGATGGATTGGCGAAGACTGATAAAGTAGATGATCTCGCGGGTGATGACAATCATGACGAATGCAACAAAGACCCAGGCAAGAATGGCGGGCGCGTAGTAGTAGTTAGTGTGGCTAGGAATCTGAATATTGCTGAACGAGAGAATGTTGAATTGTGTGTTTCCAGCACCACCNTGAAAATTCGTTAGTCAAGAGAAAACACTAACCTCTATAACATTCTTACCAGTGGCATTAACAGGGAAAAGGATAGGCCAAGTCATGATTGCACCAACCAAGCAGATAGTGAAGAGGATCTTGAACAGGCGCAAGAAAAGATAGTTGTCCAAAGAAGAGTGCATCAAGATGTGATCATCATTGAGACCACGGAAGTTTTTGATCCATCCGAACTTCGCGTCCGAAGGTTGTGGTGTGTATTCACTATGGACGGTCAGAGGAGAGGAGGGGAAGCTCAGAACAAATATTGAACTCACTATNTTCCTGAGGAGCGGCAGATAGGTACGCGGCTCGTAAACTCTCTTGTATTTGGGACGGAAGATCAGGAAAACTGATAGAACAACTGCAGCAACAACAGCAACAGGAATCAAAGTCGACAGAAAAGTTGATGCCGAAGGCGACTGGTTTCGGTGACTGCCTGCCTCAGTGGGAGCCATGATAGTGGTGTTGTGATGAAAGCGCTGTGTCAACGCAATCGATCGTGCGGGAGGGGTGTCAAAAGAATGAAAAGAGAAATGATGGGTTGCGACGATGGAAATACTTGTAGTCGCACACCGCAGATCAGTCTTCGGGCTGCGCAAACACACCCTCGATAGCTTTTACTTGTTTGGACGTCAAAACGGGTGGTGTTTGATCAACCTGCAGCTCGGCTGAACAATAACCTTTTCGTGGCTCTCCCTGTGGCGCGAAGCTTGAAGGTCCAGAACGAGTTGATGTTAAGCCCTCTGTCAGATGAACGTAGACACACAGCCACGATGAGATCAGTGTTTTGATTTCGCAAAGCAGTTGTTCAGTATGTTTAGGGCAGCAGGAAGGAAAACAATCAACTAGGCGATGCCATTGTCCTTGCGTTGATGGAGGTATGCAAGCTATCTTTGTTTCATTTCCAAGTGTTTTCACATGAGTGTAGCGTCATCGGCGTCATATACGCCAGAGGCGTTGATCTCACAGCACCACCAATTTCTTGGAGCCGTCAGCGCGGTTTGACAAGGGTTTTTTTTTTTTGCTTTCTGGATCGTGGGGATCAAGGATCATTCGATGATCATTGATCACCGCTCACATGGTTCAGACGCTCGGATCGATTTCACTTTAATGGTACTGCCTTCGGGAATACGCAGGAACAGTTGCTGCGAAACCATGCTGTGCGCCATTGCAACTTGCGCTAGGTCGAGTGCTGTGTCACACTTGTAGCATGCAGAAAAGAATTACAAGGAGACAACGTTGCGTTGACGGGCCACCTGTTGTAACGCACACGGGATTACAGCAGATTGCTGACGCACAACTGTCGCTGGTAGGGATGAACAGAACAGAGCAAGAAACGGCACGCTAACGTGCGTATCGCAATCATCACTGACCGCCTTCGAGTCCAGGGCTGAAGCTCTCTGTACCGCAGCCACATTTCAAATCTGGCCGTGGCTGAGCTTTCTGTGGCTCAAAGCTGTAAGAACTTCGTCGCATACCTTTACCTGAATACAGCGATTGTCTAACGGTATCTGACGGGCGCGAGCTTTGAGGCGGTCGAGCTCGGAGGAGTATCTCAGTCACTGGTATTTCATGGTTGTTGGGAAGTTATGAACGTGGTTTTGAAGAAACAATTTCTTCGTGTGGAAAACGGCGAAGCCGACAGGCAAGATCAGACACCACTCAGCGCACTCAGCGCACTCAGGAGAGTTCGCAGGTGGCCCATGTCCCGAGGACCTCGTGGTCAGAGATGTCGTCGAAAACACCGACTGGGGTTTGAAAAGGATGAGCGGATCATTGGAGATGTTCAGGGACAGAAATAAAGTGATGGTTGATCTGTCGCCAAGTCATGCACGAGCTCACTCATGAATCGCGAAACGGACAACGTCATGCCGCGGTCGACGTGATACCTTCGCATCGCGTCTTCCCAGCCGTCTTCCTACAGACACTGACCCTCAGACATCGAGTTCGTAACAGCCATGGATTTTGTATCACAGCACAAGGGCCAGCTGGGCATCATCACAGCATTGGTGGTCTATTCTGCCGCCAAAAACAAGCTGACACCTGGCGGCATCATAGCTGCGATCGTGACAGCCGGCATACACATGGTACATCCATGGGGAGTCTTCTTCAACCTCCTCGTAGGTTTCTTTATTGCCGGCACCCTGGGCACAAAGGTTCGTCTTCCCTGACTCTTCTCTTGCATCCTCGGGCTTGGTGTTACATGTGGTTGTCATGTCGCGAGTGCGAGGAAAAAGCAATATCGTCATCAGCCGCATTGTCACCCATATCGAACAATCGAATTGACAGCAACAACAGNNATCAACCACACGGCTAAGAAAACTCTTACTCAGTCAGCGACTGGCGGTGTAGGGGGTGAGGGTGCTCGCAACTATGCCCAAGTGTTGGCCAATTCGGGTACTGCCTCGCTTTTGATCCTTTGGCATCTGTATGCCTCTCGAAATGGTGGTACCAGTCTCAAAGATGGGTTCGGCTTGATCGATGCTATCCCATTCGGCATTGCTGCGTAAGTCAACTTGGCTTCCTGCGAAAGTCATTCAGAAGAGCTGATGAACACAAGCTCCTACGCCGCTGCTGCCGCCGACACTCTCAGCAGCGAACTTGGTATCCTATCGCCAACATCCCCTGTTCTCATCACAGCACCATGGCGCAGTGTGCCTCGTGGAACCAATGGAGGTGTCACCATAACTGGTCTGCTCGCTGGTCTGGCAGGCTCTGTTTTCATCTCAACTCTCGCATACTTCAATCTGCCTTTTTCCCGAATGGCATGGACTGGGGACTCCAAGTTCCTCTTTTGGGTCGCATTGACGGTTGCAGGATTCAGCGGCACATTGCTAGATTCACTGTTGGGTGCGCTGGTCCAAGCTACAGTGGAGGATAAGACCAGTGGTAGAGTTGTTGAGGGTGACAATGGCAAGAGAGTCAAAGTCACTGCGGGTGGCAGTAGAGTGCAAAGAGGCATGGATCTGCTCAACAACAACGGTGTCAACTTTGCTATGGCTGCCACCATTGCTGTTGTAGGCATGGCAGCTTGGAACTCGATGGTGCAGAAAATAATCTTGGCTTAGAGTAGAGCTTCCGTATAATTAAAACAGATCTATCGACTGCTATACTGTTTATAATCCTTGGTACTTGCGACTAACATGTACTCGGGTTGTTTCAATCACATCTTATGATGATCGCCCAAGACTTTTGGCTGGGGCTGCCACCCTGTCTCGTATCTTCCTTATCATCTTACTCCCATATAGTGATTGATTCAATGTTGTGTGGAGGAAGATCTGTATAGCTGAATGCAAGAGTATCTGTCGCCTTGATTTCAAGAGTGTACTATTGGCATGCGACTTGTTATAAGCCATTTCGAGTTTAGCATCGTTTTATCCAAACTTCGGCTGAGAATCACCATGTGCCCCCAGCCCTTCACTGCTATCCTTACCCAACACCAACTTTTAAACATCGACATCCACGATATATTGTTTCAGAATTATTCGAAGCTCAAATGTAGGCATCACCAAGTCTTAGCTCGTTCTGACCACCATTCAACATATTGCCGGAGATGGAAGACGGAAGGCACGAGAGACGCCAAGTCCTCTTGACGTAACCTCCTTCCCTTTGTCTCGTGTCCTCTATTCTTTCTCCGCCAACCTCAATTTTCCTACATCGAATTGTCAATGAGACGGCTAAGGCCAAGGCCAATATCATCCAGAAGTCGTCGATATGAGTCGCGTCAGGTCGACGCGATGTTGTGATTTACATGACAAAGGGCTTCGTTTGTCATAAAGAGACATGGCCGTTTGCGGACGAGATGCGGGTCCCTTTGTCTTGTTCAAGACTTCAGTGCCGCCTTATGCTTGAAACCTGAGTATTCAACATTCACTGGTTCAAGATCGGTGACAAGCTTAACGCTAGAGACTGATGATGGCAGAGACTAACGCAACTGACGCTGGGTCTGGTGAGGATACTCAACAGCAGCGTGAAGCAGATGTCCCAGCTGTGAACGATATGTCGGACTTCGATGAGGACCAAGTGGAAGACGATGCGACGAGCTCCGTTTCTCACTATTCTGAAAGTCTCCCCGACGACGAAGAGGCCATACAAACTTTCAAGCAGAAAATCATAGCGCTGGGTACCGAGCTTCACGTTGATTTTGAGGATATCGATTACATTCGAGAGGATGACAGGATTCGTGCTTTTCCACTGACGATGCGAAACCCTCCCGAGGGGGCTAAATGGCCGGATGGAACGCGTGCCGTCCTCCGTCTGAATGGGTGGTTCGACCTGAATGACGACTCAAGCCATGGGAGTGACTCCGAGGATGACACCGAGCTGTCTTCCGACGAAGCTGTCTCGAGCGAAGCATCCGACAATACCGAAGAAGCAGCCATACTCGATTCAGCTTCATCCGATCAAATCAACTCTTCTCAAGCCACGGAGGGCGGGAACGAGAATGTGTTTTCCATACAAGAAGTTCAGGCCGAGAACGAGGAAGATGCAAACGAACCTCAAAGCCCTGTATCTACCACGAGCAACTCGTCTGTGAGCAGCAATCTCTCTGGAAGCACTCTCTTGAACGATTACTATGACAGCGACTCCGGTTCTTATGACAGTGATGATGATGAGGATGATCAATGGGAGCGCCTTGACGAAGCTCTTCTTTCGAACCTTCTCGGAGATCATGGTGTGCCGGCTCCAAAAATTCTCGCTTTCGACATAAGTTGGCACAATGCACTGAAGAGACCGTACTCCATACAGACCTATCTGCCAGGAAATCAAGTTTCGAAAATTCATCGTGAGAAGAAAGAGATGTCTCTCGAAGACAGACTCTGGTTAGCTGGCGAGGCAGCAGAACTCCGTGCACGTCTCGACACAATTCGATTCCAGGGCACAGGCAGACTCCTAGCTCCCGTTGATGAAAGCGTGTCTGCTGGAAGGCTACCCTTACGCATGTCTGTCACTGCGGATGTTAGTGAGAAACTTGAGACTTGCTCTTTCCTCATCGACCCTGTTCATCCGGAGTCGAATAGATTTAGTCCTTGTGGACGCCTCTACTATTCGCTGTACGATGCGATGTTCTGGTCGGTTGAAGATCTGATGGCTACAGCAACAGTCAAATATCAGGTGAACTTCGAAGGTCCTTTCAGAGCATACGTCGCCATCAAGGATATGCTCCGAGATATGGATCACCTTGGTTGGTTTTCTGAAGCCGACAGAGCTTACTCTGAAAGTGCGCTGAATCATGGATCTATTGATGATTCGCAGATTGTTGTCGAGCAGAATGAAGACACATCGAAGCCTTGGCGTCTAGCAGGTATCATAGGACTCGATGAAGCAGACACTGTGCCCTCAGTGTTGACTAGGAAACCATGGAACTTCTTGTGGGACGTTTATGATGCTTCCGAACTGTTGCCTGAGGAGACGGGCTTCAGTTGGAACGGCGATGTCGATGAGCTTCCTACGGAGCTGCCTTACCTTAACTTTGAAGGTTTGAGGATTAAGCAGCACCACGAAGATGTGCTGATAGAGAAGCTTTACACCCCTCAGTACGGTGATAAAGCTAGGGAAAGGTACTTTGACGATACATATGGCAGAGGCCGTTGGCTCCGTCGCTTGTTCGGATTCGCACGAGAGGGTGTCTCATCCCCTGGTGACCTGCATCGTTTTAACAGACTCCTCCGAGACTGGAACCACTTCAAGGAAAGCCAGAACATTCAGACAAGACCTCTGAACTTGTGGGAAGGTCTCCCTGACTACATTCATGGTAATGATCGATTGTTTCCACAACTTGTCAAGCCGCCGCAGACGCCGCCAACCGCTCCAAGCTCTCTTCAACACGTCTACTTCATCGATCCGCCACCATGCCCGTCTCCTGGCGAAGCAGCTGCGATCGAAATTCCTGATACTAGCGAGGAAACAGAAGCAATTCCTTCAAACACACTCAACCCTGTTGACTACATTCAATCGACGGCATGCTCATCTACCGCTGAGTCAACTGTGAACGAAGTCCACGACAAGGCTGAATAATCTTTACTCGGTTGTGGCCTATCGAGATGTGGTCCCTCTAGTTTCAGACATGTCTACCGTTTCTTGTGATTCTCAAGTTATATAGTCCAATTATTATCGATTCAAGTCTTCTTATTATATTACTACTGCTATGAGTAGGTTGATCGTGTTTTGAGCAGGTGCTTTAGAAGGAAACTTGTTGCGCTCGGATGCATTCTTGATGCCAACACAGCGAAGCTGCCCCGATGCCAACGAAGGGAACAGCTTGCCAAGTGTTTATCTGTTGCAAACTGCGACCAAGGGATTTGAGGAAGCAGCAGCCGACTCAAGCTCTTCTTTGTCCTCTTTCTCCCGTGCCATCGACCACTTCATTACGCGGAAAGGTTCCTCATTGGCCATACCTGGAACATGAAGCTGTGGCTGGTTGACTGTGCGCTTGACGCATGCAAACAGCAGCTGCGTTGCAAGGGCAACAAAGGAATGTGAACGTCCGCTTTCAGCCTTCACGGCTAGAATATTTTCGAGATGATGCCTTTCTTTCCTCGAGCTGAAGGCGCAGCGAGAATATCCATCCTTTGACTGGTATTATACTCGACTCCTTGACAATATGGACGAAATCGTTGTAAATCCTTCTTTGGCGACTTCTGACAAGCAAAACATCAATCTTAGTGACAAGATGGGGAGGATGATACGAAAGACTCGATGCTCGACAGTGGCGAGGAGGATGACTCGTCTTCATCTGTATCGAAATCAACTGCCGCGCAGGACCACGAGGCTTTCGAGGCACTCCGAAACAAAGTACTTGCACTTGGTTCAGAGCTTCGAGCCCAGTTTCTGAACGTTGAAAATCTGGAACACGGCTGGGTGGCACGTACTGTTGACTTGACCTTGCAAGATACTCCTAGTGAGGCAGGGCTCCCAGATACCACAAAGGCTATCCTGCGGATCCCACATCTTTTCAAATCGAAGTCATCTGGGAATGAAGTTCATGAGCATGCAATCGCACCTGAGACCTCTTCTCGACCTCAAGATGATGAAGCTGAAGCGACAAGTGACACCGAGAGCCCTTACGCCTGGTTTAATAAGAAAGAATCCAATCGTCCGGAGAACGCCCGTCTGAACTTGCTTGACGAAGCCGCCGTCCTGAATTTGCTCGCAAGCTCTAAAATCCAAGTCCCAAAAGTCATCGCTCTGGACATAACCAAAGACAATCCGATAGAGTCCCCTTACTCACTCTATACTCGCCTACCAGGAATCAAGCTTGGTGAGGTCTGGAAGACCATGTCTATGGACAACAAGATGAACATCGTGGAAGAACTAGCAGGTATACTCGCTAGCCTGGACGCAGTTCGATTTCCCGAAGCAGGCACACTCCTTCACGATGATACTATTTCCGTCACGCAAATGCCGCTAGATCTCGTCAAACGCAATGACATCGGTAATCAAGTGGTGGTTGGTGGCTTCCACAGAGGTGCGGGCCTCGACCTCTTCCATGCAAGAGATCGACCTAGCGTACCAAGAACCTCAGCACTCTACGACCTTCTCAGCATGCATATCGACGACCACATCCAGTACCACGAGTTCATGTCCCCCAATGGTCCCGATCCAGGAATTGCTAAGTTGAAAGATATCCTTCAGGATATGAAGGACATGAATTGGTTCAAGTCAGATGACGACAGTGCGGATTACAGTGTTACGAATCGCTGGTATACTGTTCCTGAGCATTTTATGGTCGAACGAACCAATAATGTTGATGGATCCTCTGGCTGGCATATCACTGGCATCATCCATTGGGAACATGCTCACTGCGTGCCACCAGTGCTGGCAAGACAGCCTCCCATGTGGTTGTGGGATTTCTTTGACGTTGAGCTTCTTCCTCGCTCGATTCGGAAGTACGTCGGCATGGACTATGACATGATGCCACTTGAGTACTACAAGGAGATCAACTCCGATCATCTGACTGCAGAGGGCGCACAGCTCAAGGAGCGCTTTGAGCAGGTGATGGTCGATAAGATCTATGCCTCTAGATATGGTGCTAGGGCCATGGAAGTCTATAAAGACGATGCCTATGGCAGGGGCCGTTGGCTCAGACGCGTATGGCGCTTTGCAAAGGAAGGCATTACCGATATGATGGATGTTTATTCGTTCAAACAGGTACTGAAAGAATGGGCCGAATTCAAACAAACAGGTCAAGTATCTTACAGTACGGTGTTCGACAGCGAAGACGACTCGCTCACAGACTCCTCGAGATCGACCATTGCCTACGACCAGGAAACCTTCGATACCTTTCACTACAAGGTTAGCACGTTGGGCTCCGATCTTGGCGTTGTCTTTGAAGACGTTAAACGCATGAGCGGAGGATCATTTGACCGTGTAGTTCCCGCCACTCTTCGAAACCCGCCAGAGACAGCTTCATGGGCTGACGGAACGAAAGTTATCATACGCATCCCTCGTGTCTGGGACGGGGACCTTGCTAAGGCTCCTGCTCACAAGCATGGGCGAACCTGTAAATGCGACGCACATCCCGAGCGCAAGGTCAATGATAGCGAGGAAGAGGAAAACAAATCGCAGAACACTGGGACAGATAATGGAGAGACTGCCACAGACCTCACACCAAACGAGATCACGACTTTGCCTGTAGGATCAGAATCGTGCGCGAACGATACTTACGCAGACAATGACACTTCGCCAGAGGAGGATGAAACAAGTGACACCAGCGAAACTAGTGATATCAGCGATGTCAGTGACATCAGCAGCAGAATGAGTTTGAGCAAAGAGCCTTATAGGTGGGAAATTCTCGATGAGACTGTGCTCTACAACCTACTCGAGGACTCGGGTATTTCTGCACCACGTATCCTGGCGTTCGACATCTCACGCGAAAATGCATTGCGACTTCCTTACTCGATACAAACCCGTTTGCCTGGCGTTACATGGATCAGTGTCATCGAAGGCATGCCTCTCAAGTCCCAGCTACGTCTAGCGGAAGAGCTAGCCGATGTCATGGCTCGCTTGCAGACAATCCAATTCGACTCGTCCGGAAGACTACTGTGCGACGAGCAGGCAGAAACACCGCTAAGCTTATCTCTCGGCTCATCAAGCCGGACTGAACTCAAAGAAAAACTAGAGACATGGGGCTTCCCGAAGAAAGTTGGACCACTTATGGACAGTGAAAGAGCCGTACCAGCGCAACCTGTCTGGGACTCTTTGTACGACCTTCTGTTCTTCACGGTGCACGATCTCCTTACTCGAGAGCTGCAANAAGTTGAACCTCAAGGTCCATCAGAGCAGCTTGTGCGGATGTACTTCAAGTTACAAGATATGATACAAGACATGGATCGTATTGGGTGGTTTTCAGAGACGGACAAAGCTCCATCGAAGAGTGTTCTACACCACTGGGACCTTGAAGCGCGCAACATCCTGGTCGAACACGAACAGGCAGTTAACAATCCTTCAGGGCGTTGGCGAATCACGGGTGTCATTGACTGGGACCACCCTCATGCCATACCTGCAGTTTTGTGCATGAAGCCTCCAGTGTGGTTATGGGATGCATCAGATGATAAAGAACTCCCCGGGAAAGTTCAGGAATACTATGACAACGACTTCGATTGGATGCCTTTGGAATATTACCAANAAGAAAATGCTCAACATCTCAATGCTGATGGTGTCAAAGTCAAGCAGCGATTCGAGGAAGCGATAGTCGAAAGACTGTACAGGGCGCAATACGGCGCAAATGCTCACGCCAAGTACCTAGACGATGCATATGGCAGAGGTCGCTGGCTTCGGCGTATATGGCGGTTTGCAAGCGAAGGTATCACCTATCATCCAACGCACTACCGACGCATGGAACAGCTTGATCGTGAGTGGACTGAGTACAAACGAGTCAATGGCATTGAGTACGATTGCTTTGAGAATGCCGAAACACTGCGTGTACACTCATCGATAGTGTGGCCCAATAGAGCCCGCGATGGTGGCCAAAGCGAATTCAAAAGTATCTTGCACGATGTTGCTCCAGAGATCGACCAGAATACGGAGGGCAAGACTGTCACCGAGGTAGAGACCGATGTCGTTGAGGAGGATAAGCTTGATGTTGTCGCTCTTGATCCCACTGCATCAAAAGACAGCACCGAAGTCCCAGAACAAAAGCTACCACGCTCTAAGACCTTCAGCGCGTATCTGCACGCTTTCAAATGCCCTGTTTCTTAGACTGTCTCTCATACTCAACATTCACATTATCTTCTCTTCTCGCTTGCACGTTTTCTACTCCTTTCTTGCAGCACTTTCATCCATACGCCCTCTTGAAAGTCCTGCTTCAATTTAGTTAGTATCTTATGCATTTGCATATCCTTCCTTTCCAGACTTCATCTGCAGTAACTTTGAGAAATGGCAAAAATATGCATAGTAAAACATATTTCTACAGTGTGTAATTGACTTCCATTTCAGATCGTGCAAATGCAACCACTGCTTGCTCAACTCATCGGCCTCTTCGTCCCCTACATTCTACTAGTGTTGACTATTTCCTGTTCTTCTTGTTCGCAGCGGCTGCCTCCTGTTTCCTCTTCTTCATATCGCCGACAGGGTCCTTACCCTTTTCTCGCACCTTCATCTCTTTCTGCTTTGTAAGCTTTTCTTGGATCACACAGGTGGGACAGGGAGCATCCTTGAGATGTGCTATATCAGGGTGTTTCGGACATGGCATGGAGTGGGCATGACAGTACAGTTCGCCTTTGGGCTTACGACATGGCCCATCTTCTCCATTGTCTTTGGGATAGTGATGGACTGTGCGGGTGTTTGTGATTCTAACCATGGTACCGCTGTTTCTAGGTTCCTGAATCTATTTGTGGGTGGGTGGTGTATAAGTGCTATCTCATGGTTAGTATCGTTCTTTGAGGCCTTCATGATACAGTGACCATACTTACGGTAATGATAGTAGTGATGCTCGATATGATATGCTCTTGGATCTCCTACCTCAGGGGCAGGGTCGCCTGCTTTTACATTCCTCTCTCCTTCATTGTTCTTCTTCATCAATATGGTTCAGCATGGTCGAATATCTTTGTGCTTTTTGATGGTCTTTGACATCCTTTGATCAAGATGAAGCCACTCACCCGAGTAAACCTCGACAAGCATACTCATTGCCAATTTCAGATACTCAGCGCTAACCAGAGCCGGTGGACGGAGTACAAAGGATAGATCAGATTGATCATGGATTTCATCATAACAAAGAGGACTCGAGAGAGGCCGCAACGGGGAAGAGTTCAAAAATGGATCTGTAGATTGAGAATCGGCTAGAACTGAACTACGCCTTATGTCCATCGGAGATGGGACAGTCTTTCCCTCTAGCTAGATTTTATCTGAATTGAACGACAAAACTCCCTTCCCGTCCGGCAAAACAAAAACCAGCAAAACAAACCCTCCAATTCAGACTTCTACAAGTCCTTTCAGGAGGGGGAAAGCCACCAAGTCGCCTTGGTCTTATTTCAGTAAGAGCATCTTTGGCTCTGGCGAAACTCATGACGATTATGAGAATCGAACCCATGGCCTTGGAAGGCCAAATAGTGGTAAGCAATGCTAACCACCTAACCACTAGACCACCACCGCCTGGCGATAAAGCGATGGATGTTGGGTGCAGGATGAGGAGTCTGGTTGGCACATATGGTGTGGAGGGCCTTGAGGTGGTGATGGTGAGGGAAATTTTGATATAGGAGAGTGGGTGATGGCTCACTGAGGATGAGTGTCGCGCCTTCCTTGTTGGCTGGCGCGGTCGCTTCTCAACCTAGATCTATCCATGAACAAAGTGACCGTCGACACATGTGTAGAAGATTTATGTCAATAACTCAGACGCCTATATAAAGACCTCTTGGCTGGCACACCGACTACATCATCAACCCAGCCGACCATTCCTTACTCATGGTGTCGGTTATGGAGCAAGTCATCTTTGTGGGAACGCGAAGTGTGCAAACCTACAGCATGTTGTAGCGGAGAGTAACCCCCAGGAGAAGTGATCAGGTCCGTGACGCTTTGTCTTTCGCTACCTATCCCCTACTTTGGGGGTTTGGAAGGTGTATATAGTATGAAATGATATGAGGTTGTGATGGTGTGTGGACTCGAGAAAGGAGGAGGCCCTTCACATTTGGAAGTCGAGGACCCTGTCGTCCTTGGTAAGACCAGAGCCATCCTTGTGCAGCGTGTATTCTAAGCATTGTCCCATGCTCCTAGCAATATAGGCATCAATTGCACTACTGCTTGAACCCGCGGTTCTGGGGTTTGCTCCCTCGAAGCATTCGCTTAGAATGATCTCTATATGATAGTAACATCCTCTGCGAGTCGAACAGAGATCTTCTGGCTTCACTAAGCGGGAGAGCTTCAACTGAGGGTGAGTGTCGCTCCTTCCTCATTGCCTGGAGTAGTTGCTTCAAACGTGAATCTATCAACAAAGTAACCTTCAACAAATGTGAGATACTGTCAACTACTTTGACGTCAACTCAGCTAGTTCTGCTGTGTATATAAAGCTTCTTTGGCTGGCATTTCATCTAAACTACACGCCGAATTCCTGGCTCGATTGGATGCTCCCATCTGGCTCGTCTCACTCTGAGCACAGTTCTGAGGAAAAGAACTGAAAAGGATTGTACTAAGCGAAGTAATCAGGTCTGTGACCTGCGATTTACCCACTGTATACCCCGTACTTGTTGATTGCAAGAATATATTCATAAAAGCATCGGTCTGTGAGGGGCCAGGAGTTTTGACAGGAGTCACTGACCTGGCTCATCGCCTTTGAATTCGCGGCTCTCATCGCAATGCTTTCATATGCGCTCAGCATTGCTTGACGTCGACTTCGGGATCATCAGGGTAACTGCACTAGGGGCTTGAAGAAGTGACTTCAGGGTCAGCGCCCACGAACGTTCTTGCTTCCGATCGTGATCGACTGCAGGAAGACAAGAACACTGTATGCAAGACATGGAGAATGCGCAAGAATGGAGAGTTATTAAGGAATACTCATACTTCATATGCAATTATCATTAAAACTATGTAAGACAAAAAGAGAAAAGGGGTATCAATATGCATCAATATCACTGCACGATAGCCCTCAAGGCCTGCAGAAGCACACCAAACACGACACCTCTTCCCACACCTTCTACCTGCAGACAATCGAACACTCTGCCTAATGCCTCTCCGCTAGCAGCAGCTCCCATGACGCTAGTTAATGCAGCAGGCATGCCTCTCTCGACAAGCAATCCTCTGGCTTTGATTCTCAACTGCCCTTTCTCTTCTGCTGTCATTTCTTTTGGCCAAGCTTTCAACTCTTCTTCCGTAGGCAAGGAGTTCTCTCGGATCTTGAGGATGTGGGCGGCGATGGAGGCATCAGAGGTAGAAGTGTCGATGACGTTGGCTTGAATCATTTGGCGGATGGCTTCGAGCTGAGGATTACCGGGCCGGAGAAGGAAGGATTTTGCGGCGTTGAGTAGAGTGCGGCGAATGTTCCATGCAGAAGACAAAGTGTAGAGTTCGGTTATCACTGCGAAGAGCAGTTCCACGGCTACTTGTGTTTCTTGTTCTGAGATGGGTGGAGTGGCTTTCGTAACCTTCGTGGCAGCTGGAGTGACTGCAGGCGTCGTTCGTGCAGTCAGCGACTCTGGAGACCTGGATGTGCGTCGTGACCTGGTACCAGAAGTAGGATATCTGGATGTTGACGATCGTGTGTCAGGAGAACTGTAAGTCATATCGTCACTGATTCTAGCAGGTTGGTGAGATACTGCTGTCGGTGAAGCATAGTCATCAGGGATGTCCGATGGTGGAGGTGGGAGATTGAGTTTTGTGTCAAGCTTCGACAGACCTGCTGATGATGCAGGACGGCTGAGCTCTCCACTTCTTGTACCTTGGTATGAAGTGCGAGGAGTCGAGAAGCTGGGTCTGGTCTTCAAGTCGACCGACTGCTCGAGTTTGTGGCCTGGTTGAGTAACTGATGGTACCCGTTTGGACAGCGATGGAGTGCGAGACAAAGGTGCGGGGATACTTCTGACACTGTCTGTGCTCTGCCTTTCGACACCGACATTACCCATGCTGCCCATATAGCTGTCCTCAAGGAAGGCACCAGGGTTCAGTGAGATTGATGAGCGGCTAGCGTTGTGATTTGAGGCAACAGAAGTGCGCTTGCCACCAAGAATGCTCGTAACACCTCCAAAAATTGCCTTTCCACCACCAGCAACCTGTGTAGGGGCTTTGGTCAATGTATCGATCATGCTCTTGCCCATCTGATCGAAGGCAACAGGAGTTGGCCATCCGAAGCCCTTGCTACCGCCAGGTGAACGAGAAGCACCGCCATCTTTATCCAAGAATCGCTTCATACCCTCGCTCTCAGCAAGGGGCTGCAGGCGGACTGCATCGTTCAGGTAGCGTTCTAGCTCAATTCGGAGAGTAGACTTGGTATTGTTCTTCCATGAAGGAAGGTCGGCATGAGAGTCAGTGAAGCGAGTGCCGGTGATAACCGAGATACGACGAAGGACTTCATGCAGAGTTTCGAAGTCAGTATACTTGCGCACAATCATCCAGCCTGGGAAACTGGAAGAGGTGGGCTCAATCTGAATCATGTAATCGATGTTGGGCTTTGATCGCATGACTGTCCTGTTTCCGGGAGATGCATCATCAAATATGTTGATCGTGGCCTTGAACAATGTTAAGACTGGTGGGGGCTTAAGGCGGAGCTTGTCCTCTTGGCTAGACAAAGCAGTAGGACTTGTGGCAGGAAGGATTTGGTCGAAACTAGTGAACGGCTTCTTCAAGTCTTCAGATGCCCGTGGGGGACTAGCGCTCGCGCTCGGTGATGATTTGGTCGCATCAGACTTGACACCCTCATCAGCATCTCCTTGAGATGACGAAGGAGTCATGATGCCCTGGGTAGTGGTTTCAGAGACATCACCACTACTGCTGACAGTCGATGGTTCGGTCGTGGACTTCTTTGCCTCTTCCTCAGCGATCAGCTGACTAAGCCTCTGCGCCTCTCTCATAGCTTCGTCCATGGCCTCTTCAGCTCTGTTGCGACTGGCCTTGCGTTTGTGTTCGCGAACAGCTTCGGGACTCGAGACTGGCTTATCGCCCTGTTCAGCAACAGAAACTTGCTTCTTGGCTGCTTGAGAGTTGACAACAGCAGAACCCTCGACGCCAGCATCAATGACCTCCATCAACTCGGGCTCTCCCTCTTCAAGCAAATAAACAATCCATTGATTGATGAATTCCGGCTTGGAGCAGCTGTCAACGGTCATAGACAAGACCAGCTTGGCCAAAACTTGTTTGAGAAAGATCTGGGCGGGGCCACACATATATGTCTTGTTGTCGAGGTATTTCAGGAGAATGTCGTTTGCGACAATTTTTAGCTTCTTCTCTTGGTGCTTGGAGTCCATGATGCTGGCGAGACTGCTCTCGGGCTTCATGTCGAGGTAGGCGTGGACGGCTTCTTCAGGGGTAGCATTGGGCGAGGCGTTTAGAGCAGCGGCGAGCTCGTTGAGGAAGACAATAACGATCGAGGATGAATTGGTGACAAAATCGAGGAAGGTATCGACAGGCCGCTTACGGGACAGGTGATTGGAAAGGGAAACGATGAAGCCGACCAAAACCTGTCGACAGGCTGAAGGGAACGAGTCTTCACCAGGAAGAACAGGTGCATACCACCAGCTNGCATCAACGTCAGTCAGAGAATGAGGACAGCGGAGAACGAGGAAAAATGCATACTTGACATAGTCGCGAATGATGGCATCCGTAAAGACGTTCAGAGCAGCTTGAGTGTCAGGACGGAAGGAAGAGAAGTCAGCGGCCCTGGTGGAGACCAATGGCCTGATCTCATCATCCGACTCGTCCATGTCTGCATTTTGCCTCGTCTTCTCTCTCGATAGCAGCAGACGCTGAACTACGTCGAGACCAACCTCTTTCCGCTTCTTCCGCTCAGCCTCGTTCGCATCGAGTCTATCAGGCGACGAGTGTGAAGCATCCCATGTGGCATGCAGTGCTACACCACCGACAATACCAATCAGGACCAGACCAATTCTCCCTAGTACAAAGTATGTAGTAGCAGCCAGACCAACAAGGCAAGCTCCAAGAGTTTCGTTGCTTGCATGCGAGAGGAAGTGTAAAGCCTTGTCGGCCATATCTTGGAGCTGCATAGATGCGGCTGATGCCGTTACTGCAGATGGCTTCTCTCCATTGGATTGTGTATCATTGTTCTCGTTTGGCGTAACCTTGTCGTGGATAGGCGTGTTGTGCTTCTCGTCATGGTTATTGTCGGTATTTTGCATAGCGTCATCCATGGAAAGCGGCGGATTCGCTGTCGCGTGCTGTGTATCGTCCATTGTCGTTCATGCAGGAGTATTAAAGAGGAAGACAAGATTGCAGTGTTTCATTTTCTTGCGCAGGAGATTATAATAAAAGAAATGTTCCGACAGCTCCTGAAACGGCTGTAACTGTCCAACAAGATGCACCTGCGGATTGTCATCATGGCCATGTTCCTGACTGCCGCCGTTACGCGTACACGACTCGCGCAACATTCCGCCGCTGCAGCATAACTCGCCGCATCGTTTGTGTCGCTTTGTGCAAGCTTGCACATTCTTGACTCACTCGTCTCGAAGTCTTGGCGCTCTCCTCCGCCGACCTCACTCCCGCAATTTTTTGGTTTTGGTATACAGCTGTCGTCTGCTCTTGCCATTTTTGCCAGTTCTTAGTTGATCGCGCAACTATTCAAAATGCCTGGAGTCAACGTTAACCCCCAAACTCCTCAGGAGAAGTACGACCTGAGTACGTCAACCACTTGCCACAACTTTTCAACACATACAGCTGCCCAATTTCTCCACAAAACAACACGAACATCGCCAAGTCTTATCTTTTCAGTCGAAATATACTAATGCTCCTTTCCCAGTCGTCTCGGGCTTGCAGGAGGTGCTCGGTGCAGACATCTTGAAGGCCAAGCTTGATAAAGGCGTATGTCAATTATGTTTCGTACAAGTGTCTGACTTTCTCACTGAACTTGTGACAGGAAACTGTGTCTCTGTACTGGGGAACTGCAACTACTGGCCGGTATTGAAACTGGACATCGATTGCATGGGCTACGCTGATTCATCTAGTCCTCACTGTGGTTACCTAGTGCCCGCAACTCAGATCGCTTCTTTCCTCCAGGCTGGATGCCGCGTCAAGGTTCTCCTTGCTGATGTGCGTTGATATTGATCATTTAATGCTTGCCAACTGCTAATAACCAGAAAAGATCCATGGCTTCCTCGACAACTGTGAGTACTTCCCGTCTATGTATGCCCATCAATTTCGGGCATTTCTTTTATCAAGATAAGGACATTTACTGACAATCTCACAGTGAAGGTAACTTGGACTACAATACCACCCAAGGAACAAAACGTTGACTTTTTCTCAAGGCACCTATCGAGCTTGTCAAGTTCCGTGCTGAATAGTACGTGGAGATTAATCAGACTTGCTTTGCATAAATCTAACAGTTCTACAGCTACCGCCACTGTATTACAAGTCTCCTGAAGGCCGTCGGAGTGTCCATCGAGAAGTAAGTCATTTGTAGAGATAGCATACTGTTTGTTGTGACAGCCTCTGCTTTTCTTCCCTCCAGATTTATCAAGGACAAACGCTGACATATTGATCTAGGCTCGAATTCGTTCTCGGTTCTTCTTACCAGTAAGTGGTTCCTGTGACTGCAGTCAGTGATGCCGATGAGTCGTGCGTCCTCTGACGATTGTTTGTCCTCGATCCTCTCGAGACGGTGCATCTTTCCCTGGAAGTTACTTGAGAGCTCAAAACCAAGGCTTCTTTGAGATTACTGGCTGCAGTTCGCATCATAGCATCTCTAAAACCCGTCTAAAAACGTGACTGACAAACATAGGCTTACTCCTGAATTCAACATGGACATGGTATGTAGAATTGAAGACGCCTAGCAAAGCATTCTGCTGACTCTGCTCAAAGTACCGTTTGCACAGTATCGTCAGCTCACACGATGCCAAGAGAGCTGGTGCTGAGGTTGTCAAGCAGACTGGTGAGTGAGGATACCGTTGGTAAAGCATATCTTGGCTAACAATCAGATAGACAGTGCTCCTCTGAGTGCCTTGATTGTACGAAAGAACCTCTACATTCCATGAAACACTTATCGGTAGCTAATCTGGTTGCAGTACCCTATCATGCAATGTCTCGATGAGCAGTGTAAGTTGAAGAACTCCCATAACATGACCATTAATGCTGACTTCTGGCAGACCTCGATGTTGACGCTCAGTTCGGTGGTGTCGACCAGAGAAAGATTTTCGCCCTTGGTAGGTTTTGATGCTTGATGCCCAGTTGTTGATGCTTGACTAACGACATCTCTCAGCAAAGGAGATCCTGCCCAAGGTCGGCTTCCGCGAGCGTGCCCATCTGATGAACTCTATGGTTCCTGGTAAGTCCAAAGCTCTAGTAACATGATGATCATACTGATTCTCGCTCAGGTCTCACTGGTGGCAAGATGTCGAGTTCCGACCCTGACTCAAAGATCGATCTTTTGGACGCACCCGAGATCGTCAAGAAGAAGCTGAAGAAGGCTGTAAGTTTTTGATTTGCAATTTAACCTGCTTCCGTGTCTACTCCTACTGACATGTACTTCCAGGTCGCTGCCCCCAAGGTCGTCGAGGAAAACGGTGTCCTCAGCTTCGTCGAATACGTCCTCCTCCCCATCTCCGCTCTCCAAACCGGCGAGCAAAAATTCGTCGTCGAGCGCAGAGAAGGCGAACCCCTCGTCTACACCTCCATCGACCAGATGCACGCCGACTACCGCGAGGACATCCTCTCTCCCCAGATCCTCAAGCCTGCTGTCACCGACGCCCTGAACAAGCTTCTTGCACCCATCCAAGCAGACTTCCAGGCCAACGAGGAGTGGCAGAAGGTTGAGAAGTTGGCTTACCCTCCCCCTCCTGCCCCTGAGAAGAAGGTCAAGGTTAAGAAGGACAAGGGTTCTAGATTCCCTGGTGCTGCTAAGAAGGATGTTGTTGCTCAGCCTGATGGCCATGTTGAGGGTCCTGGTAGTGCTGAGGTGAATGTTGGTAAGGCTGAGGAGGGTCTTAAGAACCTTGAGGTCGAGGAGAAGTAGATTTTGTTCGAAAAGCCTTTGTCCGATAGCAAGCAGTTGAAGCAAATCAAAAGACATGTTTCTCGTTGACTTATATCGATCGACCTTGTATCATGACATGCAGATGTTTCTAACAGGAGTGCCCATCGTATATTATGCCTTGAAACCTCGAGATGAGTTCATAAACACCAAGAAAAACTTGGGAACGACAAAGGCTGATTATAATCGTCGACACTACTAGTCTCAACATATCCAAGTATTATATTGCTATACTTCTAACCCATCCTCATATCTTACATTCTGTTCTGCTTCAGGAAACTGCCAATAAACTTATAAGCATCCATAGCAGTATAATGCAAATTGACTCCATGCCCAGTCAAAGGAGCAAGATACGTTCCATTAGCCTTGGCATTTGGATACAGCATCTTGACAGCAGCCTCCGCCTTATCCATCGGATAACTGCAATTTCCATAACAGAAAGGCAGATCCGCGTCACCGTTTACAATAGCAACTGGACCTGTAAAGTTTGCCGCAACACCAGAGATGGCAGCTTGGGTAAACAGTTCTCCGAATGTTACAGTTCCTTTAGCAGCTTCGGCTGCTGCGAGAATCAAAGGGTCGAAATTGGGAGCGCGGAAGAAACCGTATTGGTTGCTGACGGTGGAGTAATCGACCAGATATCCATTATTGAGGTTTGAGAATCTGTAAGGTTGGTTTTGAGATGCGATCTGCAAGTTCAAAGCAGTAAGGAAAGGTGCAATTGCAGATTGGTTGGTGGAAAATCCAGTCAAGATTGCAGCATCGAAAGTGGATGGGTGGTTGTAGGTTACGGATTGAGTGATGGCGCTACCGAAACTGTGGCCCACGCCAATCACGGTGGTGAAGTTGTTGTTGGCGAATGTGGAGCTGCGCAGCATGAGGGCGAGTTGGTTGGCGATGCTGACTTCGAGGGGTCCTTGGACGGTCTTGATGGGATCGGGNGTTGAGGACATGCCGACGCCGAGACGGTCGTAGCTGAATGTTGCGTAGCCCTGCTCGATAGCGTAGTCGACGTAGCTGTAGCCGGGTGCAAAGTCCCAGTAGTAGCGGTCGAATCCAATGCCGTGTGTGAGAAGCTGAACAGAACTGGGAGTTGTGCCGTTGGCAGGCATACACAGAGTTGATGCAATAGTGTAGTTTCCAGTGACATTCTGCATGCCTCCCATAATGCTCTTTGAGAATGTCGAGCCAGCAGAGATGAGCTCGAGGAAGGTATTGGTCACGACGGACTCATTGGCGGGAACGCTGAAGTTGAACATGACATTCTGAGCAGAAGCTTGAACGGCAACATCGCCAGAAACACAGATCGCAGCACCACCACGCGAAGGCTGGACAGTAGGGTTCTTAAAGCCAGCAGTGCTAGGTGCCTGAATGCCGGCAGGCAGGGCACCGCCGAATGTACTTGTGTAGTCAGCCGCAGCCAGACCGGCGAGAGCGAGTAGGGTCAATCCAGACATGATGTGCGATTGAGGATTGATTAATCTGATCAAGATAGTGGCAGGCCATGGTGTTCTTATAGCTCCAGACCTCGAGCTCCAGACGTGACGTCGAGGACGATTGAGACTCGCATGTGATTTGGAATCTCGACTTCAAGCAGTCAAACGGTACACTACAGATGTCGTCGAAGGCTGCTTGTGAGACATTTGAGGATTGTCTCCGCGCAGCACCAAAACCTCAGTGACGTACCCTCTGGGGTCTAACGGGAACTAGAGGTTATGCTCTTTCGACCTCACCTGTTCCTGAACCGTATATATACTGAAGTAATTCTTGTAGATTGAATTTGCACATTTCTGGTTGATTTACAATACTCCGGGATTGCAAGCCAATCTTCTTATAGTGATCTATAAAAATTGCAATATGTTGTCCATATATTCAGACTGAGTCGAAGTGATGATCGTCCCACGGCAAAGTGCGGAGAATTGGCGTTCGAACCTCGATTCTTCGATAAAGTTGAGCCTCTTAGATATTTGTCAAACCAGAATGACGTTCAAGAGAACTTGAATATGATTGATCTGATCTGATCTGCATAAGACAATTGTGAAGAGACAGAATAATTAATTCGGTTCGGAAGAGTTGTGTATAGCCATTGCGAGAATTCATGGCTTCGACGGCCTTCCTAATTTCGCATGCTATAGAATTACATACCGAAGGTATAAAAGCAGGAAGCTGTGTCTGTAAGGCTCATGGCCGTCGCGCCGAAGATGTTAAACCGCAAGAATGCACTATGCCGACCGTTCTCGGCCGCTGAGTCGTGATGCAAATGCTGTAGAGAGATAGATTTGTTGAAGTGCGATGGTTGCTCCAGATGGAAGTACACTCCCCACTCCATAACGTGTCATCCCTAGTCTTCGTTATTGTCGTGGTCTCGTGGTGTGCGTATGCCCTAAGCAAAGCCTAGAGATTGGGGTGAATGTTTGGTGAAATACAGGCACATGGCTTAGATGTAGCGGAACATGTTGTTCTTGACAGAGCGCTTCATGGAGACAGGTTGACCGTCTTCATATTCAACTCCAGCGTCACCACCATCACCAGAGTGGCCAGCCATTTTCTGGCGAAGCTCCTCGTCCATCTCAGCCAAAGTCTTATGTTTCTTGGGCTGCTCAGGTTGAGACTGTGGTGTAGATTGCTTTTGAGTCTGCTATGGTTAGAAATGTTGAAGATGAAAGACGGATACGCGAAAGTGCGACTCACGTTTTGTGTGTCTGTCNGGAGAAGAGGCGGATTTAGGGTTGGAGCTAGCCAGACGAGTCTGCCTCAGGCATGGTGCTCGCAGAACACACGCTCTTGAGAAAACTCTTTGCGATGACTTGAGTGAAAGCAGTGACATTTTCGAGATATGTGTTTGTAGGTATAAAGGTTGCACTCGATATTCCTCGTGTTGACAATGCCTCGCCATGATTTCTGAAACGTCATCACGAAGTCATCAAAAGAAGGTGCTTTCACGTGACTCGTCCAGAAGTCAAGCTTGGCATTGAAGTCGGTCGCGCGTGCTTGTTCGATGCGTCGAAGCCAACACTGTTGCTCGTTCAGTCACTTTTGTCGCAACCGCCAGCATGCCCGTCGTCAAGGGAGGAGTCTGGACCAACATCGAGGATGAAATTCTAAAGGCCGCTGTGTCCAAGTATGGACTCCAACAATGGGCTCGAGTCTCTTCGCTGCTCGCGCGCAAAACTCCCAAGCAGTGCAAGGCAAGATGGTCAGAATGGCTGGACCCAGGCATCCGAAAGATCGAATGGACCAAAGACGAGGATGAGAAACTTCTACACCTGGCAAAGTTGATGCCCACCCAATGGCGCACAATTGCTCCCATCGTCGGAAGAACTGCTACACAATGTCTGGAACGTTACCAAAAACTGCTCGACGATGCAGAGTCGCGCGAAAACGATGAGTTCGGTCTTGGAGGTCCTGCTGGCGGCGAGGCTGCTGCTCCTTCAGCTGAGGATGTCCGCAAACTTCGCCCTGGAGAGATGGATCCCGATCCCGAGAGCAAGCCTGCCCGACCCGACACCATCGACATGGATGAGGATGAGAAGGAAATGCTGAGTGAGGCTCGTGCTCGTCTTGCGAATACTCAGGGAAAGAAGGCAAAGAGAAAGGCAAGAGAGAGACAACTCGAGGAATCAAGACGTTTGGCTGTCCTGCAGAAGAGACGAGAGTTGAAGAATGCTGGCATCAATATCAAGGTCGTCACAAGAAAGAAGGGCCAGATGGATTACAATGCCGACATTCCTTTCGAAAAAGCTCCCGCTCCTGGATTTTACGATACTGCAGAGGAAGTCACCACAAACGAACGTGAGCGTGACGCTTTCGATCCCCGCAAGCAGCAGCTTCAGCGTAAACGACAAGGCGACCAGGACGATAACCCCGAAGATCGCAAGCGTCAGAAGAATGACAAGGGCGGAAACCAAGCTGCTTTTGCTGCAGCCGCAAAAGCTGGACGTGAGCAAAAGTTGCGTGAAGCCGAACGCAGCAGTAGACGTCGCGGTCTCGTTTTGCCCGCTCCTCAGGTCAGCGAGGGTGAGCTGGACGAGATTGTCAAGATGGGTATGGTCGGTGAACGCGCAAACCTACAAGCTGGTCAGAGCGACAACGAGGCTACTCGTGCCCTGATTGGGAACTACTCAGATGTCGTCGGCTCAACTCCTCTCCGCACCCCTCGTGCACCGCAAGAAGAAGACCGTATTGCCAACGAGATTCGCAATGCCAGAGCGCGAACAGAAACGCAGTCTGCCTTGCTGGGAGGCGACAACACCGAGCTCTACGAAGGCGATGCTACAACTGGCTTCTCAGGCGTCGCTCCGAGCAAGCAAGCTACTGCTACACCGAACCCCATGGCAACCCCTTTCCGTCAGAATGGCATCGCTGCAACACCACGTGGCCCTGGCGCTACTCCACTTCGCACACCTCGCGACACATACGGTCTCAATGCTGGCGACGGCATGCAAATGATCGCACAAACACCACGGGACCTTCGTCTGCAACAAAATGCTCTCCGTAGCGACATCAAGAGCAAGCTGTCCGCCCTTCCCAAACCGAAAGAGATGGACTTTGAACTTGAACTACCTGAAGAACAACAAGAAATGGGCCCTGAGGTTGAGTTGAGCGAGGAAGATGCTGCACTCCGTGATGCTAGAAACAAGGCAGCGCAGGAGGAACTCGCGAGAGCAGAATTCAAGCGTCAATCACAAGTCATCCAACGAGGACTACCACGGCCGAGTGTGGTCGACGTGGATGCCATGCTGAAGAATGCCGCGGATAATAACGATCTCATCAAGAGCAGCATTAATCGTGAGATGGCGTTACTTATTGCAAACGATGCTCTCAAATTTAGCAATGCTAAGGTCAGAGGCACGCCCAAGCCCACAACATCGTTCTCAGACGAACAGGTTCAGCGGGCACGTCTCGACATTGCGCTGGAGATGGGCAAAGACGAGAGAGGTCGCGCTTTATTAGCAGAAGGCTTTGGTCAGGCTTGGGAGAAGGCACATGAACGAGGCATGCTTCCTGGTCTCGCGGGTTATGCAGAAGATGAGGTTGACGAACACCAACTAATGACTGAGGCTTTCGACGTAAGAACTTCTCAACCGCAACAAAACAACATCTACTGACCTTTCTTAGNNAATGTCCGATCGCGTATCATCTCTTCAGCCGAGAAGGGCAACACATTAGAACAAAAACTCGTCAAGCATCACACGGGTTACATGATCAGATCAAAAACCCTGCGGCAGAAGATCAACGAAGCAGCAGACTTCTTAGCAAAGACAAGTATCGACGTCGATGTCAAGAGAATCGCTGCCGCTGCTGAAGAAGCTGGTCTGAACGAGAGATTGGAGAAGATTCGCGAGGAGGTCAATGTTGTGGCCAGACGCGAGAGGGAGGCACAAGGCACTTTCAGGGAAAGGAAGGAGGAGTTGGCCTCGCTAGTGACAGCATAGAAGGCTTTGCCATGACATTTGACAAGCACTACAAATCTTATACCCAGAATTTAAACGTTGACAAATGTTTGTTCGCGGTCTATGCTGCGCTATTCCGTAGACCCTCTAGTCCTGCTTTCCGTTTTTCGATTAACTCCTTCAACCGATCCTGCTTTCTTGCGACACCTTCATCTGGTGTTATACGAGCAAAGCTTAGTAAGCCGAGGCTGACAACAAGGTACCCCACCTCCCGTCAACTTCAACCTCGACCTCTGACTATCAATCAACTGATACCAGTGACTCTTTCTATACCGTCTATGGGCCTATGTTAAAGCATTCATCTCCTCTTTTCCACTCAGCAAACCAGTTTCGCAATCATGACCTCCGAAATCATCTTCCATGACTTGACATCCCAGAAATGGCCTTACTCATGGTCACCATTCGTTCTCCGCACAACACTTAGTCTGAACTATCTCGGACTTTCTTACGAGCACCATGAAGTTTCGTATCCGGATATCGCAAAAACACTCAAAGATTTGGGTGTGAATCCCGAGCCCGAAGACGTTGGCAAGGACATCGAGTACACTCTCCCTGCCATCTCCATTGGCGGCGAGACAATCATGGGTTCAGGTGCCATTGCCAATAAGCTCGCTTCTCTAAAACCAGAATTCGAGCAGAAGCTGTTTCCTCAAGGCGAAAAATCAAAAGAAGCGACGAAGAAATTTGAGAAAGAGGTTTTGGGCAAAGTGGGTAAAGCCATGGGCGGGATGGTAAAACATGTCATTGCATTTGTGCCTTTGTTTCTGGACGAGAGGGGCTCTGAGTACTTCTATGCCACCCGCGAAAAGAATTTTGGCAGTCTGGAGAAATTGAGGACACAAGCACTGCAAGAAGAAAAAGAAAAGGGATGGAGGGAGACAGTCAAGGATGCTGTCATGCCCATGTTGGAGTTCTACAAGGAATTGGATGGGGATGGCGACAGCAAGGGCGTCTTTGCGTTCGGAGGAAATGAGCCACAGTATGTCGATTTCTGCGTTGTCGGCATTATTCAGTGGTGGATTTGTTCTCGAGGTGAAGACAACATCATGGCTGCATTGGAGGAAGCTGGAGATGGCAGGCTTGCAAAGATCATGAGGGGCTGCGAGCAACTGATGAAGCCTAGAGAAGTATAGAGGGTGCGCGGGTATGTATGTCTCCAAAACGTATCAATCCTAATTCTACACTCCCGTACACTAAAGCATTTAACGCTTGTAGCTATAGAAATGCACAATAGCAATGGGAAATAGGACGATGCCCACTGAGAGCTGAAAATTTATCGACTCCCCGAGGACATGCTTTTGTTTCCGAACAGAACTGTGCATTTATATAGTGCATACTTTGCTCTCTGTGCAGTCGGAGTACGATGCATAGAAGGCGCGCTGGGTATGTATATCTCCAAAAACGAATCAATCTGAATTTACAGAAGGCACACTCTCTTACGACTTCCATCTTTGGCTCGCAAGGCTTAAGTTGGCATCGGACTTAGCTTATCATCTTGGTAACAAACTCAAAACTCCTCTCGCAACAAGTTCAGCCGCTGACCACGAATGATTCACGGATTCGTATATGGAATATGACTCAATATCCGGACGCTCGGATTTATTGACATCTAGAGGTCCTGACTTACTGCTTCTCCTCATCTCTGCTTTCGCATATACTGTCTCTGAAGAGTATGCCAGTCATGCCTACACCTGATACACACGTCTGCAGTCTATGCAACTCTGTTCATCCACAACTCCCATTCTGGACACCCCTTCACCCTGGCCAAACACCGATACGCGTCAAAGTCTGCCCGAAGCCTGGATATGCTAACCCCTCCTATGGTCCTCCTCCAGCATACGAAGCTTTGACGTTCCAGTCTCCTCCAACGTGTGCATCTGCTTTGTTCGATGCGCTTGGAGAAAGGATATCTAGACTACGAGAACAACTGAACGAAGATTGGACGCCTCAGTCTCGCGAGGATCTGGAGTCTCTGCCAGCGTATACAACTCATCCTCAGAGCCTCGAAGTAGAAAGAGTAGTGAGTACCTCACGGCCGATAAGCGAGCAACCGGGGCTTTCGCCTCGTGCGCATATAGAGACTTCGCCTCAAGAAGTCTTGCCGCCTGAGTCTCTGTCGCTGGATGAATTGCTACATCAAGCGCGACTAAGACCGAGGCCTAGACAACAGACAATATCAACGCCTCGAACAGCGATGGGAATTTCCCCTCGAGAGGATCCACCGCCTCCGCCTCGGCGTAGGGCAGACTTGCCGCCTTCACCTCGAGCGCAAACAAGACCAATGCCACAGAAACAAACAAGACCAATGCTTCCAGGACAAGCACGACCAGAACGTCTGCGCCCACAGTACGATCACTATGACCGAGCTGCTAATTTCGAAGACAACATCAAGCTCGTCTGCGAGGGCGTGTCATGGCTATCAAAGCAAGTGGTCAAAGTCTCACGGCTCGTGAAATCGAAATATCAGCAGCTACGGCAGCAGAACTCTGCAAATCCAGGACCAAATGACCATAGGAATAGATAGATCATAGAGACGTACAGACTGGTCTAACTATCAAATCAAGCTCTTCTGTATGGTAATCAATTCGTTCAATACTACTTTCCCTTTTGACCATTTGCTATGTCGACGTCCGAAGGCTGGCTCGTTTCCCGAACAGATTTGGCATAATCGAAAAGCATTGCTGCATACAATCAAAAGACAATGCGGTGCGGTGTGTGTGTCCGAGAGCTTTGTCTTCACTATGGTAGCTCCTTTCACTTGCAACTGCTTGGCGCACCTGCACCTTCCGTGATAAACACTAGCTTCCTTCCGGCTTCTTTCTTTCTCCACATTCACTGTCGAAACATCAGGAATATCTTGACAACGTAAATGCTGCCCCGTAAGTAATTCTCGTCAGAGATCTTTGACGAACACTTCTCGATAGTCTCGATTCGCATCATCATGAGTCAGATCAAGTCTCCTGAAGAGGCAGACGCCACCAAGATCAACAGAGATGGTGGCGCGTCTCGTACTTCGGCTGGAGACCATATGTCTGGCACCAAGTACGAGCCTGGCATCAAGTCGGAGTCCGGCATCAAGTCCGAGCCCGACGCAAGTGTTGACGATTCCCTCAACTTGTCCAACATCAGCCGACCTTCCATGTCCCTCAAGAGAAGAAGAGTTTCTACAGGTTCATGGACCAAGTTCAGCACCGTCCAGGGGCTCGGTAACTCCAGTGCGCCTTCCGTGTCCCGCTCTGCACGAATTGAAGCAGACAGCACCACTGGTCAGGTGCCCAAGTTACCCAAGATCGAAGAGCACTTGTCTGATGAGCCAAGAACTCTGCCTCAAGCTCCGAGTCCGTCCTCACTCCACATATAACTTTAACATGCTGACTAGAACATTTACAGCTACCGGTCAATTCTCAGCCAAGCCACCTTTCCTTGGTGCCACCGAGGCCGACTTCGAGCAGCTCAAGAGCGAGCTCGCAAAGCTACGTGAAGAGGAGGCGAGAAATGCCATCCCAGGCGTCGACATGCAGATCTTCTACGATCACTACGACAACATGGATCACTTCATTGAAGAGCTATTCTACTACCATGATGCCGCTGAAAAGGCTATCCCCGCTTCGACCATCGCTAATCTGCCCAAGTACAAGAAAGCAAAGCAGGACTTGAATGTACGCATCTGGAACATGGTCAACCATGTGGCTGAGTTGACTGACGAAGCTACCACCATGACCTACATCGATGAGATCCCCGAGCGATTCAAGTTCCCCACTTATGAGAGGGTCATGGCCATCGTTGATCCCATCGATGACAGCAGCGATGAAATGGACGAGGGCGAGCGTTGAATTAGGACTTGAAGGATGAGATCGAGATTGAAGACACTCGGGGATGCCTAGCAAGGAGCGATGGCCATTTGTACTTATAGCACGACATGAAGTCTCTCCATAACTCGAACGATCGACTGAAATAAATCTCCTTTTTCTTTGGAACTTTCGTAGGCTCGTGCAACAGAACAGCTTCGATATTCCTTTTCCATCCTCGGTACTCTTCTAGCTTTCTTTTGCATCTCCTTTACTGCTTCCATCATCTAACAATTATCGCCCTTGTCAGTAATACTGAATCCTTCGTTCGCTTACATACGCTCCAACGCATTCTCCAACTGCCAGCAAAAGAAGTAGAACGTCACCGCTGTCTATAAAACTCAACTGTTTATTACCCATAACGCCATCAAGAAGCTCATCAAGACTCTGCCCGGTATGAACCTGTCTAAGACTGCGATCGACCGGCAGCCTCCGATCTGGGCCTTGCTTGCCTTTGGAGTAGTACGACTGCCCTTAGCAATGTCCAACTTGACTAGGTCACTGTTCTGGTTTTGTACCCCTCTGATGATCCTCATGGCCCATCTTCATTGCCCAAGCGACAGCGAGTGATGAGAATGTGAATAGAGTTTCTCAGCCTCTAATTTCCTCCCATGCCTTTATGACAATTCAGGGGTAAAACATCATTACTGCAAACCAAAAGACCTGCCCAGTATCTCTCAGACGAACACCCTCCGTGGACTGAAGACATTTGTCGTCAGTCTCTTCTGGTTCTTAACCTCTCTGCGGGCTCTCAGAAAACCACTTTATCCCCCCAATACCCTGCGCATGACTGGACAGAATAAAAGAAAACGGAGCTTCCTCTGTCGCGCAAGCGTCTCCGACTAACCGAACGTGCTGTTGCGGGCCCGCAGCCTCTAATTGGACCTTGTTTGCCTTTTGGGGTAGGACGACCACGGTGCCAAATCTGACTGGGCCACTGGACCTCAAGTAATTGTTGTTATGGCTTGGACGCTGGGTCATGATATGATGTACCATCAACGAGCTTATCAAGACCTGTGAATTGCTGCCTGATGTGGTATACCTGCTTGTTGAATGAAGAACAGATGGTGTAAGCTTCGGTAACTAGCCGAAAGCGAGGACCAGTGGTGATTTTTATACATGATAGGGTCGAGGGAGTTCTCGGTATAGCCATGTATGGTGAGTGACATGCCTGGCTTTATATAATCGCAGCTACTGTCAGTAGAAGTATAGTTGGATCTGTAGCAAAATCGAGCTCCGTCTGACGACAGAAGGTCGTGAACGGTACGAGAGGAGGCAGGTGCATGTATGGTTAGACGGGTCAGGGGATATGCAGCGTCTTTGGCGGCCTCAGCAATAGCGAACATGGTACTCTAAGGGGAGGTACCGCGATGACCTCTTTTTCGAATCCAGAAATAGCCATGATCTTGGGATAAAGGGTGGCTTTTTAGGTTGATGTAGGAGGCTTGAATTGGAGGACCGAAGGCACCGATCTGGCTGAGCTGAGGGTCGAACTTGAACCTCTGACCTGTGATCGGGTTGGATCAGGAGCTAAACAAGTGAGAAGACTTAAAGAGTCCACCGAACGCAGGCTTGAGAGGTTTGTTGGCGGAGAACAGGTTGGGAGCTTGGGGCTGAGATCCGTCGACCTGAGATTGAGCCGACATGATTGCGGGAGTTTGGATGAAAGTCGAGAGAAGCCCAGATTCTTTTAGTAGTCAACCAAAGCCCCTTGGTAAAGACCTGTAACGATATCATATATGCGTGACCACATTCGATTCGAAGTGCGTCAGTGGCCTCCCTTCTTGCAAGAGGCACAATTTGAGCCCTCTGAAATCTGCGAACTGCGGTCATGTAGTCATTGTCAACAGAGACGGGCTTTGGACACAGAGTTCCAGCAAGCTTGTTGTTTGGGTTGGTTTGTGCGGTTTTGTTGTAGATATCGTTGTAGATTTGATTGACATCATCTTCTGTCAGCATCTGGAAGATATCCTTGCGGATGCAGAGGACCCGTCCGACCATTTGTCTGAGCACCATGAGTAGACCAGCGACATACTTGTAGGATTTGCTGTCGTCGGGATTTGTCAACTTCTCCTTGGCCAGGTGTTGGAGGCGATCCACAAGGTAGAGACAGATCATCTACTCCATGATGAAACCTAGCGAGGCCTTCTTGTTCATGCTCTTCCTACTCGATTTCCTTCAAGCCCTCTTCGAATTCCTCTTCTTCCTCATGTCATTATTCTTCTCATTGCCTCGTCATCCTTCTGCTTCTTGCCTTCCTGCATCTTGAGAACAGTAAGACCAGGCGCAGCAGGAGGCTGGCATCTATATAACTCAACGTGATCACGTTAGGGTTGGAGATCTGGCCCCAAGTAAGATATGATGGATTCTCTACGCCATGGTCTGGATGGCGAAGGTCCTTCATGAACATCGAAGGGGCGATCCGAGAACCTGCGACGCATGTCTTGGGCAGCTGGGGAGTCTGCGTAGCCGGGGGCGGGTTTGATGAGGCCCGGAAAGCGTACGAGCACCTTGGCCACACTGAGAAGAATGGTATTCTGTATCTGAGCTGCGGCATGAGTGGGCTCATACTGGCTGAGCTTGAACAAGCGCTCGAAGGGTTCCTCCTATTGGATTGAGTGACGAAGCTCTTCTGCAAGAACCGCTTCGCATGGATCTTTTCTGTCTTGGAACAGGGTGTAGAAAAGTTTGATCTTTGCATTGGAGATCTCCCGTCTACTAGAGACTGACCGGCCCAGATGGGAAGTCGGGCAGTATAGCAGATGAAGTGGCCGGCCAACATACGTGGCTGACTGGAGTAGCCAATATATATACGAAGCGAAGACATCCGTGAGGTTGGCAGTACATCTTGATCTTGACCTTAGAAGCATCGCCAGTGGCTGATGACCAGCCAGCCCAGACTGGACACGGTCCTGCGTCGGTGCCGATGTGGGTGACAAGCATGCGCGGCTACCTTGGATGTCCAGCGAAGTGAAAGTCGAACTTGAACTCCTACAAGAAGGCATATACCGGAAACCGGAGCCGGGGAGTGATGTCCATGGTGTTGGACACTTTGATAATCCAGTCTACCAGATCAAGACTAGAAATATACCCGAAGCGGACACTCAGCTGATAGGGATCTTGGAACCATGGGTTGTGAATCGTTGCCAGGACGGAGAATGTTCTTTGATATTCCTCAGACTTCGTGCTCTCGAAACTGGTTTCTGATGACCTGGAACTCAGAGACGCGAGTAAATGTACCGGATACTGCGCCCACCGTGTTGGATGAAGGGAAAGCCATGCTCTGGGATTCTCGTTCATTGTGGCGTGAGATAGAGCTGTGACAAAATTGGCGAAGCTATGGTAGTCTGGTGTTGAGAAGGAAGATCTGATCAATCTTGGCCTTGCCGTCGGAGATATGAGTCGATCCAGAGACTGAGTAGATATATATTGGTGGGAAACAGAGGTTAAAGATCTGCAATATGTATAAGTTGAGTTGCGAGTGGAAGATGGAACGGTGGAAATGGCAAAACGTCTCGACTTATGTGTTCAGCAGATGCGAGTAGACTGTGCTTGCGAGAGAAGGTTGCTTCGTGCTGATTCTGGAAGATTGAAGACAAACCTCCCCACTCTGAAGTCGTGTCATGAGAAGTAAACACGAAAGAAAGAGGTGGGTAGTGGGATGAAAGCGAAGATATCAAGTGAATGGTTGTTAGGCACGAATAAATCGTTGCTTCCCACATGATAGATCCAAGGTGAAAGAGATAGGGAGCTTCTCTTCTTGGAAACGCTTGATTCGCGTTGGCGTTTGATGCATTGTCTGTTAGTGCTAAGGGCCATCCGACAAACAACAAACAAAAAATGATTGGCCATAGGCACATATCACCAGTGGATTGGTTACCGCGTCACTTCAGTGAGAGGTTCAGTGCTCTGCTCACTAGAATCTGTTTCACTCGACTGAGATTGCTTCTGCGTCGACCCTTCAAAAGCTGACCACTTTCTCGAAGCTGTCTTCTCTTTGTCCTTTCAAGACAACAAAAAATACCTCTCTCCGAGTTTTAGTATCTCTAATTACCACAATCAAACTGTAAGTCTCTAGTAGCAATGCGGCGCGCGATTTGCCCCCTTCTTTCAACCTACCTCTACTAACCCATCCGGTGTAACAGTCAAGATGGATACCAACGAGCCCTGTGCCGACAAGGACAAGAAAACGGATGATGAACCTAAAACCCAGAACGAGGTCATGGAATCCTCTGCAGCAACTGTTGCACCCAAGGATGCCACTTTTTATGTTCAGAGCACCGGTGAAGAAGAAGTATGCCACAGCATGACCTAAGATCTCAAGGCCGGGCTGACCATATGCAAACAGAAGCAACGCCAGCCCAGAAACAAGTTCATCGCCTGGCTCGAGGAGAGTCACATCTATGATGATTTGTTGGCAACAATCTCTAAGAACAAAGCTCTCCTCGCCTCTGAGCGCTCGAGCTCCCACTCGCCCATTCTGCCTATCAGGCGCCTCGAGTGCCCTATAGAAGCAGCACCAGTACGTAGGTTGTTCACATGTTCCAGTCCCCTTACTCATAGACGATACAGATCATCAGCGGAAAGATTCCCGCCCTCACCAAGATCTTGAAGGACGATTCAGGAAAGGCTGTCGAAGACTTCAAAGCCCACTTGAGAAAGCAGTATGAGGTCATTGAAAGGCTCTTGGACCCGAAGGAGGAAGCTAAGACAGAGGTCGACTCGGTTGAGCTGAACGCGAGCTAGAAAGAGCCCCTGAGAGCAAACCAGTCAGCATATGGGGAGGAGACACTTCGTAAACAAAAACAGTTCAGTCTAGGAATATACATCATCAACTTCTTTTCGTGCATCGTATCATCATCAGGTCATTATTCTCTCCATGCCTCCAAGCCCAGACCGCAGATATCATATCTCCTGCCAGCAAACTCGCCATACATTTTGGTCCACAACCAATCTGCATCCTTATCTTTCGGACGAGCTTGTACAACCCTGGCATAGTCAACCTCCCACTCTGGGCCGGGGAGCTTAGGGTCGTTGAAACGAATGTATGAAGTCTCCAGGAAAGTCGTTTTGTTCGGGTGGATAGCATTGTGCAGGCTACCGATACTAGCGATGGTATGCGGCGAGGAGAGATAAGCCGGATGCAAAGCAGAGCTGATCGTAGTGAGATTATGTAGACCAGTCGTAGTAAGAACTCTATGTGTCTCTTTGGCTGGGGTTGCGAGGATGAGGTCTTCGTATGCGAGGCTTAAATCTGCATCTTGCTGTAGCAAAGTCATAGGGGCAGGATTGGTATATGCCAGAACGGCATCCAAAGCTTCGGCATCCTGCACTAAGCCCGGCGTTTGCAACAACATGACTCGTCCAAGATCCGTCAGAGACCAGAGATTGGCAAGTGAATTCTCTTCCTGTCCAGCAGAAGAAGGGATAGGTCGCAACTCGACATTATAGCGTCGAGCAGCTCTGCGAAGAAGGCGTCGCGTGATATCCATATAAGGATCTATCAGGTCGTGTTTGGCAGCTTGTTTCTCCATTGCCCAAGCCTGTGGAAAGAGAAGAATACGACGGGCTGGAGATTTCAGATGGGCGAGATCGCCGAAGAACATGATGGTACTACAGACATCATGGTGATTTGTGACGATCTGAACGTGTGCGAGCTTTTGCCAATTCACTTGCTGTGGTCGTTGGGCAGCAGTATGTTCAGATATGAGAGCATTTTGTTCAGGATTGAAGAGGCGAGAGGGGTGCTGAGGCCCTAATAGGGGTTGTTGTGCAGATTCGGAGATAGGAGCGATTGGGATGCGTGGTTTGAGCTGAGATTGAAGGTCGGCTATGGACCGTTGCTGGATTGTGTAACCAGCGAGGAAGAGGAAGAAGGTTATTGCTGCCACTGTGAAGCTTGTCAGCTGCTGGAATGTTGATGTGACGGAAGTCACATTACCGAACGCTGACGAGAGCAAGACCTGAACTTGGCCGCTTGTGAGCAGTAGCTTCCCCATATTGAGCTCTTGCTATATTCATTTGAACACAACGGCTGTGGTGTTCGCTTTATCGCATGCCGCCTCATTGTTGATAAGCAAGACATCTCCACAGCAACTTGCAAGCTCCACACTTTTGTGCACGACTTGTGCAACCTTGGCATAACTTCGTCACTCTCTTCCCATCTTCGACTGTCCGTCGACCTTTGCGCCAACTCGCCTCTGTCGCTACATACCTCTCACACATACCCGTCATGGCGCATCAAGCAGATGCTACCCGCATGCTCGATGACCGCGGCTACACCGGCACCCTCATCCGCGGTCAAAACCCTCTCCTGCTTTTCGAAAAAGCCGTCCGCGATCGCATAGTAGACTCATACTACTGGAAAGAGCAATGCTTCGGTCTCAACGCTGCCACCCTCTGCGATCGTGCTGTCGACCTGAGTTTCATCGGCGGCACTTACGGCGTCGGTCAAAAGCCCACTCCATTTCTCTGTCTCGCTTTCAAACTCCTCCAACTCACGCCTGAGAAAGAAATCGTATTGCATTATTTGCAACAAGAAGATTGGAAGTACTTGAGGGCTCTGGCGGCATTCTATATTCGCTTGACTTGGGAACCTAAGGATATCTACGAGACGCTCGAGGCATATCTAAGTGATTTCAGAAAGTTGAAGAGGAGGACGAGGGATGCATACACTTTGAGCTATGTTGATCAGTTCATCGACGACTTACTCACAAAAGACCGTGTTTGCGCTACATCGCTTTGGAAGATGCCGAGCCGTACACAACTGGAGGATCTCGATGTGCTGGAACCGCGCGTCAGTCCTCTTGGCGACGAGATCGATGAGCTGGATGCAGAAGATGAAGACATGAAGGATGGAAGTGATGGCGAGGTCGAAGAAGTCAGAAACGGTGATTCGAGATCAAGGAGCCGGAGCTATGACAGCAGGAGCCGGAGTCGAAGTTACGAGAGAAGAAGAAGCAGGAGCAGAAGCTACGAACGCTACGACAGACGAAGCAGAAGCCGTAGTTACGAAAGAAGGAGAAGCTACAGTCGCGACCGCGACGATCGGAGGAGAAGTCACAGCCGCGAGCTACCAGACAGGAGAAGGAGCCCACTATCAAGATCCAGGTCACGTTCGAGAGGTTGAACATTTCATCAAAACCTCATTGACCTCCACGAGCAAGCTTGCCGTGATCTTGAAATTCTCCGGTCACCCTGGGACCCTGCCCGCTGCAGATCCCTAGACGCATGACTCTCATCGCATAACGCCATCCGAGTGGGCACAGAAAAACGACCTCTATCAGCTGCTAGATACAAGACCCGCGCTTCGATGTCGAGAAGAGCACAAGTCTCACATCAGGTCGGCCAATGGCTGCATCTTCATAACCATGGACGTTTCCATCGTACAAAAGCGCGCACGAACACACATTCATGTGTTCTCATACCACGGACGAAGAACAATCAAGCCGAGAAGAATACTAAGACAGAATGGCCAAGATCTAATAAAGAGCTCTTGTATACAACGTATAGCTACCAGAACCATGGGCCTCATTCTCTCATCCTGGTGTATAAGAAGATCGACAGTTTCTGATTAACGAAGTAGAGAAGGAAAAGCTTCGTGGAGCCATTGGGATCTGACTTGTGGGGAGTCTAGAGTGAGCCTCCTGTTTGTGCAGCGGGTTCCCTCAAGACCTTCAAAATCAATCCCAGTTTGGCTTAAAATCACGTACCTGCCCAGTATTCCATCTATCTTCTCCGGTACGGTAAGCTCCAATTTCTCCTTCACAACGAAAAGTCACTCCCCACTCTTGCAACTTGGGCACCTTGACCACGGAAAGCCCAAATCGATGTACTTGATCCTTCCACAGATCATCAGAATATAGCCAGTGTACCCAGGCTTGTGGCACAGGGAACACGCGCTCTGGTGGAAAATCCTGATCGTCTTTTCGGTCCGAATCCATAACGTGTCCAGAATAACCATTGTTTTGCATCCAGAGATCCCACTGCTGATGGGTGTAAAAGCCAAAAGGTGCCGCGACGCTTTGGAGATAACCCGTGAAATTAGGGTTCATGGGCGGTATCCCAATGGTATAGGGGTTCACCACTCCGCCAAAGATGTAGTTCTCGAAAGACCAGCCTTGTTCGTTAGCTCTGTTACCCCTGACCCAAGGCTCGTAAACATGGTCAGGATCCTGGGTATGAGGAATTTCAAAGTATGCCATGGCGAAAGCGTGAGTGAACTCGTGGAGCAGGGTCGATGCCAGAAGAAGGCCGGTACGGTAGATGGCCGATATGTGATTTATTGGTGCTCGACGTGATGTGTGAATCCCAGCCATCATGTAGGTATCTTCCAGGATACTACTGTAACTCTCGTCGTCTGGATCCACACTGGCTGCGTAATTTTCAAGAACACGAAGAAACTCCGTCCTGAGTCGGATCTTCGATTGGGCGGTTTGTCTAAGCGTCAAAGGAGCAATCAGCCTTATATCAAACAGATGAACATCCCGTTCGCCGATGAAGAACATCGCAAACGAGTCTTTGAGAGGGATAGAAAATGTCTTTAGACTCACGGTTTAGTTGCCTCGATATATCCACCAGCTGCGGTCGTGATTGCTTCGGTCCAGCCTATATCCCCTNGCATCGTTATCCTCGAACGCCCAATGCGTGAAGTTTCGCATGGCGCATAATCTCCGGTAAACGGTATGCTGTTGGTCTGGAGACAATGTATCTGGTATGTCCATGATTTTACAGTCTGCCGTGAGACTTGCAGAGACATGTGATACTGTATCCATGGAAGCAGCTGGCACAGACAAGGCATGAAAATAATTTAGTGTGACCGGATCGTCCAAGACAGCCGATGCTAATAGTAAAGCCGGTTTTATCAGAGAGTAATGATGGTCTGTGAGATTGATCCACATCTCTGATCTCAAGACTGGATGGATCCATTGATCAGCATCACGGGTTGGATTCCTCCAGTCAGCGAAGGCGAGACGCCCGCTTATGTCACCGCTGGTTACTGCAACTTTGTGGTTGAGGAACCCAGCGGCGTCCAAAACTTGTATACCATACTTTTCGATGATGTGAGGATAATCAGGCATTTGACTGGGGGGTCCAAGCTTGTGCGCGGTAGGGTCATTGGGATCAAATAATTTGACATCGAACCCATTTTTGTTCCTGTTGAGTTTCGCGGCATATCTTGAGGAGAATTCAGACCAATGCTTGTCTTTCATAATAAAGGCAGGTTTTTGTGGTGGATGAGGAGCGCCGAAACTGCGCGGCTGCTCAGGCCAAGCTCCTGGCATAGTAGTATAAGCCATTCTGATACTGTCGAGAGTGTTCGAAAAGGCAGGTTGATCCATACATGCATCATGAACGACTATCGCACGTTCGACTTGGTATCAATCCACCGGAACCGGAGTGGAAGATACAAAGAATCGAAGAACATTCCTTACGTAGGCCGACAAAGCATCAAAGAAATCTTGAAGCTGAACGAGACAGGTAATTCTCCATATCACATGATTGGGGAGAATGGTCGGTCAGAGAGTTTCACCGCAGGTGTCGGTAAGTAATGGGTGCTGCGGTTCTGCTAGCCTGCTGTGCCCAGTCAGACCTCACGAGGGGACTTCGATGGTCGAATATGATTGTCGTCGCGTCAACACGGGAAACAGTCAACCACCAAGCTCCAAGCTAATTTACAGAATCCTGTTGTTCGTGTCATCGGATCAGCTGGTGGACATGGGCCAGTCCAATAAGACGAAGAGGTCGAGTGACATGGTTGCATGGTTGATGAAGCTGAAGGATGGAAAGGATGCGCCTCGGCTCCGAGCGCAGTCTGTCAGCAAACAGGTGCAACTTCATCTCCCATCACTCTTTCCTTCTGAACATTCTGTCAAATTTTACAAAATATTTCGAATTTCGTCAACAACCTCATATTCCTGCCCGTCTTTCCTCGTAAACGTGTCGTGCTTGTATTTGCTTAGTAAAAAAGCCGTTGTGAAAGCACCAATATTTGTTTGTGTATGGACTGAGCTGAATTACTCTTCTCAACGATTTAATTCTCAAATCCATCCTCCACATAATGGGCCTCAAGCTCAATATCGTACGTCTCGATGCGCATCCAGTAGCATATATTTTCTGACAGTGGTAGCTTTTTTTTGCTGGTAGCGGCCTGTATTCCGCACATCTACTCCCGTTTATCTCTGCTGTACACTTTGGAAACAAACAATCATCCTGCCAAGCTCTCAACACCTAGAGGGTGGATCACAGAGAAAGGCAGCTACGAGATCAAATATGCCACCCAACTGAGAAATTGTGAAGACTTGATTGTGGATGAGAAAGCAGGGTACGTGGTGTTGGGCTGCGACGAAGGCAGAGATGTCTGGAACACCGTCATGGGAGTCTTCGGCAAAACGACACCTCAGAACGGTCAACTCTACCTCTATGACTACTCTCGATCTCAGCCTAGTCTAGAGAGTATCCGTCTGCTCAACACTCCTCCAGGCTATTCCTTCCATCCTCTGGGACTGTCTCTCCACTTACCGAGCGACACTCTTCTTGCAGTCAACCACGGCACCTCTGGCAGCACAGTAGACCAATTCCACTTTTCGCGCCTCGGAAACTCTGCAACGTTCATCAAAAGCATTTCGTCGCCATATCTGAGAGCTCCCAATGCTGTGGTCCAGATCTCGAAGACAGAAGCTTTGGTTACCAACGATCACTTTTTCACGCCTAAAATCTCCCNNCCCTGGCTGAACAAGATCGAGAATTATCTTGGACTTCCTCTGGGTGGTGTCACATACGTGGACGTTAAGACTGGACAAGCGCAGCAAATTGCAAGGATGCCGTATGCCAACGGATTGGCGGTCTTGAACAACACAGCTCTTGCCGTGGCTTCCAGCTCTTCGGCCAAAGTCTTCCTCTACGAGATGGATAAGGCAACTACACCGCCGACACTCGTTTACAAGGAGGCGATCACCACTCCGTTCTGGCCAGACAATCTGCACGTATTCAACGGCAAGCTTTTGATTGCTGGGCATGCACAACTCTCCGGCTTGGCCAAGTTCGCAAAGTCGAGACAACACTGTGGTGCTGATACGACCTCTGCGGGTTGTGATACAGTAGCACCTAGCTACATAGTTCAGTGGACCAGAGAGAAAGGTCTTGAGGATGTTTACGTGGGTACAGAGATCTATTCTTCCAGCGGTGTTGCCATGGATGAGAAGAGAGGTGTCGGAGTTATCTCCGGACTGTACGGCAAGGGTCTGCTGATCTGGAACAAGGAGAAGAAGTAGCGGGCTTTGGAAACCATACAGTTGAGCTCTTTCTCTGGACGAATTATCCGATTGCAGGATATTCTGCATTTTGACCGATACTTGTTACGTTACGATCGAGCCGCGGGTCATTGACCACGACCCCCAAACACACCTCTCCGCCATCAATTTCAAGCTCTGAAATCTAATGGAAATGTATCGGCGTAATTTCATGCACCAGTCTTATATACAGAGATGTGTCTGACCGTAGGTCACTACATGCTACTCTTGAGCACACTTCTTCGGTATATATCTCGTGCTGTAGATGTTAATGGGCGTGATTCAGCGTAGATTTCCTATATCGCTCGTATGTGCAGATATGTCAAAATTATGTACGACGGTCATCGACGCCTTTAATATCGTTCGCGGTCGTGCGTAAGAGGAACATAATATCCATAACTCTCTCTGAGCATGTCATCTGACTTTAGATTATTCTGCATCTCGACCGGTATCTAATACAGGCTACCATCGAGTCGTGGGCTCATTATACGAAACCCCTAAACACTTCTCCGCCGTGGATCTCGTGCTTAAACGTTAACGGAAGCACTGCAGCGTGGAACCGCTTGCTGTTTACTTGAAAGAGATGTCAAGCTCCTACTAAACGGTCACTGACGCGGTTATCGTGTTTTGTGTGGATCTCTGTCCTTTGAGGCTGTAGTGACTCTTGCCCAGGTACAGGTGTCGCACGACTTGTACTTCTCTGCGTTGGAGTCCTTGGTTTGAGGCTCCTTCTTTTCGTGGAAAGGTCGAATCAGCCCTCGGGACACATTCATATTGAGGCACAACTGCGTGGTAATTCTATTCACAAGCAGGAACAAAATGTTTCATATACGAGTGTGAGTTGTATTGTACAAGGTGATTTTACATGGCGTCTAGTATTCGTACAGATCCTTTTGAGGTATTCGTATGCAGTTTCGTCTAGGCAGACTTGTCGATCTTGCCCTTCCAGTCTGCAACGTGGTCATTGATGACCTTTGATGCTTGATCGACGGTGAAGTTTCTGCCAATGGCTTCAACAAAGTCACCCTCGGGGTCNTGTTTTTGAAAGTCAGCGGTTGCCTTCTGCATTTGTAGGACTAGAGACTCACCCATCAGGTAGAAGTAGATGCTGTGATCGACGAGATAATCTTGACCAGGCAAGACATTCTGAGGAGTCGAGAAGTAGACACGGAAAGCCTTGCAGGTAGCCTTGACATCCTCGTAATCTCCAGTCAAACCAATCATGTCCTCGTGGAACTCCTTCAGATACTCCTTTGTGACCTCAGGAGTATCTCTTGCAGGATCGCAAGTGATAAAGACAGATCTCATAACATCGCCGTGCTTCTCCTTGACATTGTCAATCATGCCAGCCATCTTGTCCAACTCTTCAGGGCAGATGTCCGGGCAGTGTGTGAAGCCAAAGTAAACCAGCGAGTATTTTCCTTTGAGGTTTTGTTCCGTGAAAGGCTTGCCGTTGTGATCGATCAACTTGAAGGGGCCACCGACCAAGGGACGACCAACACCTTTGCTGTGTTCGGCGATGCGCTTGCGAGCCATGCGTTCNTTCTCGTAGCGGAAGTAGAAGGCCATTCCGACACCAGCACCCAAGAAAAGAAGACCGGCTTGCCAGCTGAAGGGACCGAATCTGTAGCGCGACTTTGCCTCTTCTACAGTCTTATAGCGCATTGCTGAGCTGTTGGTGAATGTGCGGGTAGTGGGTTGGCTGACGCGGGAGGAAATGCGCTGGGACAGACATTGCGGCGAAGAACGAGCGGAGAAGAGAGAGCGCTGCAGAGCAGTTCGTGGTAGTGATGTTGCTGCCATTGTGATGGTTGTCGAGCAAGAAAATGTTCAAGTCGTGATTTCTCTTTTCTTGGTCGCCGCTGCTTCATCAGCATGATCGACCTCGAGATGCGGCGAGTGCACGGACCCCACCACCGAGCCGCCGCCGCTTCCCTTTGCCCAAAGACCTTGATGTTTCTTGTCTCTTACAGGAAACTGCCTGCTTTGCTCTTTCCACTTGGTTGCCTCGAATGTGGGTCAGAGCTTGATCGTTCCTGCCTAAGGTTCAGGATAATTCCCTGTATGAATCAAGACATATCAGGAAGTGGCGAATGATTCCCCATCGAGCATTGCACCTAGAAAATGGTGTGATACGCTCTGTCGTGAAACCATCAACCTTCATCTTTTCTAAGCACACAATACCCATCAGAAGTGGCCGCCGACCTCTCAGCTTCCTCGAGGCTACCGCGTCAGGGTCTCGGCTCAACAACTCCGACTTTGAGTCTGTTGCAACCATACAGAAAGCCCTCCCGAACGTCTTTGTTGCCCGAGAGGTGAAGCCGCCTATCGAAGTAGCTGTACCCGAGCCTGAAGTAGACACCATGAACGCTCAGAAAGAGGCAGAGCTGTTGGCTATGCAGCATATCCTAGGTCTCAAGGATGCATCTGACGAAGCAGTCAAGATCAAGCCTAAGGAGCTCGAAAGATTACAACGTCTCAAAGCAGCCGATCCTGTTTTTGTCTGTATTGATCTCGAGGCATTCGAGTTTGCCCAAAACAAGATCACAGAGGTTGGTATATCCGTACTAGACTCTCGCCACCTTGCAGGCATCGATCCTGGTCCCGATGGGAACGAGTGGCTCTCCAAGATCAATACTCGCCACATACTTGTCAAGGAACACAAACATCTGGTCAACAAGAGATTTGTTCATGGCTGTCCTGACAAGTTCAACTTTGGTACTTCCGAAGTCGTCTCGTTAAAGCACATCCATAAGACTTTGACTCAAATATTCAACAATCCTTCATCCAGCTCGCTACTAGCATCTGACTCAGGATCGAGGAACCTCATCCTCGTTGGTCACGGTCTCTCCAATGATACTGCATACCTGAGTAAGCTCAATTTTGCCCCCCATGCCAAAGGCAACATTATTCGGGATGTCGATACTACAAAGTTCGTTGGTACAAAGAAGCAGACTGTTGGCCTGAGCAAGTTGATGGTCGGTCTTGGTGTCGACCCTGAGAACCTCCATAATGCAGGAAACGACGCAGCATACACAATGCAGGCCCTTCTTCTGATGACAATTCAGCACACAAACAACCCTGGTGCTTTTGTCAAGGCTGTTGCTGATGCAAAAGCAAGGGTTGACCAGCCAAGCAGCGATACAAGGATCACAAAGCCGCAGTCCGGGCAAAGAAACTCGCTCAGGAGAAGGAGGATGCCGCCAAAGGCGTTCTGCCACAAATACTCAAGCTTGGGCAGCATACTGTAGAGCCAGCTCTACCTGCGGCACCCACGATCGCAGCCTTGTTGTAGGCGAAAGCGTTGATAGAACGAGGGCGGCAGAATCCCAATGGCAAAACAAGGCCAACGCAGGTTCCGAGATCGATCATGCAGCCCTCAACTCTTCTTCGAGAAAGAGGAAGAGCTCTGATGTTGAGCCTGTTGTGAGTGAGAATCAGGTTCATTTGATCACGAAAAGTGAACTGCAAAATGAACAAACGGTCGAGACTATGACCTCACCTCCCACCACAAGCGATACAGGATCATCGCTTCGCATAATCAGAGAAGCGACTAGAGATCCTCGCGATTTCTTCGCTCATGCTCGTGCACAGAATTCAGCTTCCTCTGAGACTGCCGTGTACGGAAACGAACATGAGCAACAACCATTTGTTCCTGAACCGCCTTCGCAACCAGATAACACATTTATCAGAAAGGTCCAACACACAGACCAACAATCGTTTGTTTCTGATGTACCTTCGTGGACTGGTGTTCCAAAGATCAGGAGGGTCAAAGTCACAGATCCACAAACAATCGTTCCCGATGTACCTTCGCAGAATGATACCTCATTCATCAGGAAAGTCAAAATCGAAAAGACCGAGATGCCACTCGATTTTGACAAAGGTGCTAAAGCTGCGGAAGCTTCCCGGCCGCCTGCCTCCTCCAAGATTCGCACGGTAGCAACAGGCCAAGCGAAGGATGTTCAGCAACCAGCTCGTTACCGAGCGATAGGACATTATCTAAGGGAAGGCCAGGCTGAGCAACCACGAGCTCCATCTGAGTCCCCACAGTCCTTCGAGCAAAACAATAGATGAATACGGATTATTCCTTCCAAGGGCGCTTCATGATTAGATGCATTTGCATTGTAGCCATTTTTAGAAGTCCAGCTTCTCTGCAACAATATCCGAGTATGAAAGAAGTCCGTTAATCGATACATGAGAACCCTACGATGAATGAGAAGAGCACCGAATCTTCAGCTCACCTCAAGACGAGCTGATTCAGGATCACCGATAGTAGTGTTCCATAGACGATTGTCAAATCGACCTTCCCGTGTGCTGAAAGATGTAACTTCCACTGTACTACAACTATAGTAGTGAGTAAAGTGCGCGCCATCAGAATGCACAATACTATAAGCCAATAAGATAGCTTCCACTGAGAAGCAATTGCTTAGCAGCTCTCTTTGGCCAATCTTTGTTTTTGAATGGAATTGTGCATTTTTATAGCTATATGCATTACATACTCTTGCACACGGGGAGGTCGTGCGAGACGACGGATGATCATGTGCCATCAACAATCGTCAAATCGAACAAGTATGACTATGGTTCTCGAAGCACAGAAGCGATTTTAAAGATCTATCTTCTGACGTATAAGAGATAAGGCATATGGCTTATAGCCAGGGCAGTGTTTTTCTCTTTACGCATAATAGACCACACGTGAAGCTGTACGAACCCAAAGCAAATCCACGAGAAAGACTTCAGTGCTGATGATATGCAGAATCATAATCAAATCAGTGTCGTTTCCCGAGAGAGCAACGACATGTTATTTTGATCGTGTCTGTCACTTGTAAGGTCACATGCGTTTGGATATGTTCGAGAGCAAGCCAATGATAGAGTCCGATGGAGCTCGGGGAACCAATCGTCAAGTGAGCATCTCACAGATGAGGCATATGGTGATTTAACACGGCAGCAAGATCCAATAGATGAATGAACAAATCTTTCCATTATCTGAAAGAAACATTATAAAACTCGGCATTAATCGTCGTAACTCGATAGAAACAAAATTAACTGGTATCATCCATCATCCTTCCAAACCCATTATTCACATAAACAAATCCTTGACTTTTTGTACAGCACAAGGCCACTCTAGCAAGAGTCACCAGGGCAGGCAATGTTGGTGCCATAAGGATCAGGTCCAGCAATGCCTGCAATCTGGAAGATGGCGTTGATGACACCACCGATACCTTCTCCAGCAATAAGTCCACCAGCAATGGCGAAACCGTAGATTTCGAAATTTTGAGGGTTGCGCTTGGCCCAGAAGTAGGCAGGGATGGCTCCGATCACCATAGCGGTACCATAAACTGTGGCATTGAGAACGAAGGCAAGGGCAATACACATGACGTTGGGGTGGTAGGCCTTGTACTTCTCCCAGGAGCCGGTGTAGGCGTAGTGACGGATGACAACCATGACACCACCGAAGATGGCGAAGGCGATGGCGAAGTAGCCCGAGGTCTTGGGGACAGGGAAAGTAGGGTCGGTGACGGCGACAGCAACGGCACGCCAAGCACCAACACTGGGGNNGGCAGAGAAGGGGCAAGTCTCGGCCTCAATGTCAATGATGCAAGGATACGCCTTGCTGAAAAGCATGAACATGGCAGGAGCGAGGACACAGGCAACAATCGTGCCGAGACCCTGGGCGACCCACTGCTGGAAAGGAGATGTGCGGAGGAGGTAACCAACACGGAAGTCACCAACCAGATCAGATGCCTGGCCAGCACCAATGGAAGCAAGAGAACCGCCGATCAAGTTGAGACGCTGAGCATGCTCGGTCATCCAGTGCTCACCCTTTGTGGCACCACCCAGGACAAGCTGAGAAGCCTTGGATGCAGCAGTCAGAGGAGTGACATCGGTGACACCAGCGCACTGAACAGCAAGGATGGCGAAGAAGAAGGCCAAGAAGACGGAGAGCAGGGACATGCCAACGGGCATATCGTATTGAACACCAAGAACAATGCAGCAAGCGATGATACTGAGGATGAGGATAGGTCCCCACATCCAGATCTTGACAAGCTCGTGGTCTGCGGCAGAATCCTTGATAACATCCTCCTCCTTCTGGTCCTTGACGTTGATGGTGGCGCCGCTGATGCCAGCCTTGTTGGTCATGGCGTTGAAGCCCTTTGCAGCACCACGACCCATGGCCTTGAACATAATAAAGAAGACCTTCCATTGGAGGAAGAGCTCGGTGAAGGAGATGACAATCATAGCCAAGACGCCAGGCCAGAGAAGCCAGTAACGAGGGCTAGGAGTATCCTTGTTGGCCCACTTGGGGCTGAGAGAGTAGAAAGATGTAACCTTGTGCCATTTCTCAGACTCAGGGTAAGGCTGGACACCAAAAGCGATGCCGTTGTGAACGAGGGCAGGACCGATGATACCCCAAGCGAGAACACTGCCACCGAAGAAGGACAGAGCAACGTTAAGACCAACAAGCATACCAGAGCCGATGAAAGCAGGAGTGAACTCGATGAACCAGCCCCAGTTCTCGACAGCGATGGCAGAGTTGTTGTACTTGCCCCAGATGAAGAACCAAGTGAAGATGTGCCAGTCCCAGAGAATACCAATGGCGTACTGAGAGAGTACACGGAGAAGGAGAGCACCAATGAATGAGTAACTCAAAGCCTTCATCTTCAGCTTGGCAATGGCTTCACCAGTCGCGGCTGCGTGCATGCTGCGAATAGTCAAGGCACAAGCGGAAGGAGTAGGGAAGATCAAGTTGAGCTCCCTGGCAACGTAGATGATGAAGAACTTTCGGAGTGGGGTAGCGAAAGCGAATCCAAAGTAAGCACCGACAATAGTCAATGAGATGAGTCTGCCGAAGTCCTCCTTAGGAGTGCTGAGCAGTTTCAATTGGTAGAGTGCAGGAATACCGGACACCATGACGGAGCCGAGACCACCAGCGGCAGTGGCAGCAGTCTGAACGATGTTGTTCTCACGAGGGCCGAATGATCCACCAAGAAGAGGGAAGTTCTCTGGGAGAGCCTTGGCCAGAGGCTTAAGAACAGCAAAACCGATAATGGCACCGAAGAGTGATGCACCGAAAGTCCAACCAGTCTTCAAACCGAGGTAGATGTTGGATGCGTTGACGAGAGCACCACAGATACATCCGACAAGCATGGCACGGAAAGTGACAACCCAGTGTCGCTCATCAGGCAGGTCATCGTAGGGTGCGAAGGGGTCGGCAATGGTACCTTCATCGTAGTCGGTGTCCTCCTCGGCCTTGACCAGGTTGGGGTCCTTTTCATCCAATCTATCTTTGTTCGATGAGTTGACGGAGAATGTTTCTGGGTGCTTTTCGTCATGAGCATCAATGGCACCGCCAATTGGCTTTAGTAGTATATTAGCAACGTGATCAACGAAGTATGTTGACTCTTGGTATCATACCTCAGCCTGGACCTCTACAACATTCGGCATGATGAATGTTGTTAGTAAATGACACAGATACACTCGCACAAGGGAGGAGGGACATGCGAGGCATATTTATCCTCAGGATGATTTTGCCTCCTGGACGAACCGTGGCTCGTGATAAGCCCGCAGATACGGGTGACTGTGAACTGTCCGTTATGGCGGCCAGAACCTACCTGTAGGCCCTAATACGGAGTGCATATATTGGTCAATGATAGGCGAAATTGATCCTGTCTGATTCTGGCCAAGCAAATCCACTTGGCATACTCTTATCTCCTTCCGCATGCGGTAGAATGCGACCTCATCGTGGCGGATAATTGACCACCCGCGCGCATAAAAAGCACGAAGACTGCAGATAGACAACGTGCAAATTGAGTCACGGAAACCGTCCATTGGACGCCTGTTGATCGCTCGTCGGACAATCGCTGCACAATTTCACCCCAAGAACTGCTTCTGGGATTGATCCACGGCCTCGGCTAATCATCCTCATGTCTCTCCACAGACCCTTGTACACGGACGTTCAACCCCAGAGATATTAGCAAAGAGAAACCAAGAGAGTGGAGGATCAGGATGTCAAGCAACATCTCGCGTGAGTCATCTCACGAACCACGGTCCGAGTTGGGCGACCCCGTCTCATCTTCGCGAGCCGGAGAGCTTGTTTCCTTGTGCCTCCCGGAAACGAGACACTTGTCAATGGTAGGGCGGCCATTTGGACAAGACACGGATGGATTCTCACGCGATCTGATCGATTGTCACTCCATGGGGTTTCGAGACCATCCTCGTATCCTCATGCTAGGCGAGATAAGAAGCAAAGCTAAGATGGCGAAGGATGCTGAGTGTTTAACGGCACTTCTTGGTGTCCAAAGTACCAGTGTATCTTCAAGTTATAGAGGCCGGCGGGTGGTCGTACGGGCGTACGAAACTGGCTGTGCACGCGAGTCTTGACTTCCACGACCGAGGCGAGACAGCCAAGATTGAAGAACGTGATAAGGATGAGGAAAGATGCAAGCATCTGACTGGCAAGCCTCACAAGCACGGCCTTCAAGGCCAAGAGATCAAGCGAAAGCACCGAAAGCTTTCTTCCTATCGCTCCTTCCTTGGCAGCGCGGAACCATTTCAGGCTCAAATCGGGCATGTCCGCGAAGACGATCAATTCTGCTGTCACCTTTGACACAAAACAAACACTCATGGATTGTCAGCGCACCGGTGCTCTGGAGGACGCATCAACTCCTGTGCTTGTCTACTGACCTTCTGCATCGCGCTTAAGCACATATTGCACCTTATGTCGAAATCTACATAGCATGCGTTGTATCTTGTCGCTACCGTTCAGGTCTGTTTGCAGACTGGCTTCCCGAGTCTTTGGTCCGACGTAGCGTGATGACACAGCTTACAAGACAGGAAGGTCGATTTCTGTGGCATGCGACATGTAAACTTTGCGATCAAACCACAGTCCATACGGATAGTCTAGAGACTGCTCTCCATCGAGGCAAATGCTGTCCTCCCCGTGTGCTACAGACATTCACAATCTACGACTGACCCCTTCTCCATCCCGAGCTATAAGGGTTGTTACAAGCTATCGAAGTGCAAGGCTGGGAAGCTGCAGCAGCCAAGCCTTTGTCGAAACTTCTTGGTCTGCCAAAGAATCAGCCTCCATCCTAGGATGCAACACTACCTCAACGGCGTTCTCGCTCGATAGCAGTGACGTCTAGATTTGTAGGTGTGCCTGTGTGTCGATTGTTGATGGGCTATGAGAGTCACTTCTGACCTTTGATCTCGAATTAAAACCACGAAGAGTCAACGAGGAAACATCATGTGTTGGTTGACCATGACAAACACATAGTATGCACTCAATTCGCTTGGTTTTCCAAAACATAGCAGTCAACAGTCAGTCGAGGATTCGAACTAATAGCCAGGAAGGAATGAGCCACATCGCTGGGTGGCTGATTGATTGATTTTGTCTTGGCAGATGATCACCATCATCTTCGGCCTTTCACAGACCTCTCTCGTGCGCACCATAGTCCTGCGTCGTCCTTGTCATAAAATTATAAGTGGCCCTCTCTGCTCTTTTCCTTCAACCAGGAATTTCTCGCACTTTGAGCCCAGCCGCAGAGGACACAGCCTTGAGATAGCTTATTCAAAAGTGTCGCACCAACACCCTCGTGCTTTCGAGTCAGCGAATCAGGCCGCAGCACAGCCTGATTTCGCAAATCCTCCGGGCATCAATTCATCTATTCATGCAGTACTGCCTCAATCCTCTACAATAATAGGCCCCAAGGTTCTGTGCCTCAACGAGTCATAATCTTAATCCTTGTGCCAGAAGTTTAGTAAGCCCAATGTAAGTCTGACCATAAGCAGCTTGTCGAGTCGTAGGTTTCTTTTTTTGCTCTTTTGGCGGCACTTGTGGTTGTTTCTGCGCTCTCAGATCCGCTTGCTGCGATAGACTTCAAAGAAACTTGAATATAGACCAAACTTTGACATGTTGTCAATACTTACGCTCGGCCTACTCGCTCGAGCAGGTCAGGCGGCGAGCGACTTTTGGGTTTCGAAATGGAGCGAAACGCCTGGTAGGCAAGATACCTTATGGCAGAGAATCACAATCTCATACTGACGCTTCGCAGTGGGACCCGACGGTGTAAGAGCACGATAAGCTGTCAATACCAGCGCATGCTAATAGATCTAGCCGTGGCACGCTCTGAACATTTCCTGGGATAACAATCCGCTCCAAACCTTTGCGATGCTTCCCTCTCTTACAAAGACTTCGCTGCTGATTGCGGCGGATGCTTGTTCACGACAAGACTCGGCATGCCCAAACCAGGTGGATTCCGGAAGCTGGCCTATGTGGACATCATCGGAAGCACACGCAGAATTTCTCTACATGGACGGCCCTCTGTTTGGCGGCGATTCTTGGGACGACACTGTGTCGTGGCCTCTCAACCTAACGAATGACGTTCAATGGGTTCATGAACGAGCTATCGTGTGGGATACTAACAACAATTCGAATTCTCTCAATGATCAAGCAGTCACACTGACGCACAACCTCACTGTAAACTCTCCTGGCGGTCAGCTATATACCATGAATGCTGGCTTTTTCTCTTTGTATGGTGCTGAGACAAACCTCACATGGCTCAATACCACTGGATACAACATAACCCAGCACCTCCAGCTGGCCACTGCGAAGCAAAATCCGATCATCTCATCTCTCTCATACGGACTCCAGATTGGCTCTCCAAGTCTCGATATCGAACCGAGTCTAGTCATGGGTGGTTATGACAGGTCTCGTTGCTTGACCGAACCAATCACTACCCAAAACACGACGTTCCAGCTGATTGATGTCTCTGTCGGAGCTAACGGCAGTGAATGGCCGTATACAAGCGCATATACAGTCGATAGCAATGCTTCTGCGAATTCTCAGGGTGGACTGCTGAGTGATGATGGACCGCTGGAGATCTTAGCCAATCCAGGTGTCCCATATCTGCATCTGCCACAAGCTACATGTGATGCAATCGCAAAGTATCTCCCTGTCACTTATGACCAGATTTTGGGACTGTATCTCTGGAACACCGAATCAGACGCCCGCCATTACGATGAGATCACTCAAACTTTTGCGTATCTGACGTTCACGTTCGGTGACGGATCAACTCAGAAAGACATCAACGTGCCATTTTCTCTTCTCAATCTAGAGCTTGATACCCCTCTCACTGCTTCAAAGACACGGTACTTCCCTTGCAGACCATTTATCCCTCACGAAGGTCAGCCTTACCATCTCGGTCGCGCGTTCCTACAAGCAGCACTTCTGGTACAAAACTGGGAGACAAACACAACCTGGCTTTCACAAGCACCAGGTCCTAACGCGACATTCCCATCGACACCCGTTACCATAGAAGAGACCGACACCACAATTGCTCAGATGCCATATGCGCCAGCTTGGCTTACGACGTGGAATGGCACACTCAGGGACTCTCATTGGGTGCAGACGCACGGATCGAATTCCTCAGATCCTAACACATCACCGGAATCTACGTCGCTATCTGGCGGCGCAATCGCAGGAATCGTTATAGGTGCAGTGGCAGGTCTTGCCATTATCTCTGCAGCCATATTCTTCTTCATTCGTCGTCGTCGTGCAAAGGCTGGATATGGTGATGTTGCCCTCATCTCATTCGACGAAGACAAGAATGGTCAGCAACAGGTACCGAAGTACGAGGACAAGGNNGGAGACATTCAGGCTTTGTCCTCACCTAGGTATGAAGCGGATAGTGCGCCTGTCAATGAGTTGGCGTCGCCTGATGCGGACAAGCCCAAGATTGGGGAGTTGCCTTTGAATATGGCGAAAGTAGACCGGGCAGAAGTTGACGGTACTGGTATTGCTGAGCTACCCGGTCATGATGTGCATAGTAGATAGATGTGAAGGATATCGAAGTACTATGGGATATAACTCTTCTGTATCCATGCCATTTTCGTGCAGATACTTGGTGCTATGTGCTTGATCAAGAACAGTAGAAGCGCAAGCATAGCTACAAAGTTGGATCCTGAGCGCGGATTGCTGGTGCAGAAGTGGTTTGCATGCAAGCATTCAGATAGCCTGATTGACTGTCCATAATTTGGGACACATGGTATACAGGCATTATCTCTTCGTCTTTCCTCCACAACTTGAAACGAGTCAAGGTTTTGCATTGGATTGTCCATCTGTGGCATTTATAGATCTTCGATAATCTGGGCATGGTTTCTTCTTCGTTAAAATAGCAAATAATGGATGTGTGGACAAATGCCCATAGCTCTTTCCCACCCGTTGTGTATCAGATTTCGTCAACAGCAAATGTAGCTTCCTTAGACCTCTTTCACCGCGTGGTGGTATAATTTCTCTCAATCCGCATCACCCCTTTGCTTCTTTTGATCGCCGGAGCCTCTGCTGTGTCTCCCTCGTACCCTTGGTTTGTCTGGATACTTCTTGTTCCTCTGCTTCTCCGAAGACATGCCATGCATTCCAGCATGAATATCACACTTTTTTGTAGTCGTGAGGCAGGATTCATGATCTTTGTTCCAGCCGTCTGGAGCGCCTATCCATGCACCACCCGTTCTGTGGGACTGTTTGATGGCGTTTACTGTCCTGTTGCGTTAGCAAAGATAAACTATAAAGTCAAGGATAAGGCAAACGTACAANGCAGAAGCACAGTGCCGCCATGGTATGTGACAATGTTGGGTCAGTTGATGATGATAGTGGCAGTTTTGGTCTTGATCTGGACAAGGTTTGCCGTGGATGTGCTTTTGCTCTGAAATTGAGGTGCTATCAGAGCCAATCCTCGTTTCGTCGGTCAGAAGAGCAGATCCTGATCCTGCACGAGGGCGTTTCAAGTCGCTAGTAGTATCTGCAAGTTTGGAGTTGTATAGAAGCTCTTCAACGTAGTCTAGGGCAGATTCCGGGTTGCTGATGGTGGTTCTTGGGGCTGCAACTCTCTTCGATAAGCCATTGCTTCGTGAAAGCATGCTGACAATGGTACGAAGGATGGTCGCGTACCATGCACGGTAGGAGGGGAAGATATGTGGAAATGTATGAGGTAGGTACCTAGTAGAACAACCCGAAGTGTTCAGGTCAATGCATCACATGCAACATCGCATGGGTTTTGAACATCCACCTCTATATGCTAGTATGGATCACATGCCGAGTCAAGAATGCAATGTGTAGTCGTATCTGGATTGAAGAAATACATCAGGCATGCTTGGTCGTAAGAAATACCATGTCGGAGAAGACACACCTCCATTGAACAATAGATGTTTATATGTCACTATAGAAATGCACAATAGACTTTGTACATCAAAGAACATCCGCAGAGAGAAGAAAAATCAAGGACTCCGCTAGATGAACCATAATATTCCGATGACATCGTGTATTTGTATAGCTGACTTTAGGCTGATGCTTACGTCTGAGATGTTTGACAGGGCGTACAGAAGAGTATTGTCATGAGCCACATACCGTGTAGACAAACGCACATATCTCCTCCCAGCTGCAGCGTTCAGATACCGCTATGAAAATGCACGGAAGACTTATAAGTCAGGAGATATCCAGTGGGATATACAGAGCTACGCGACTCTCAGTGGACAAAGATCAACTTCTCGTTACATCTATGCATCTTTACAGTCAAAAATCGAGAGAAATTGGTTTGGGGAAACGATCAAAAACTGGCATTGTGTTTGCGAAATGGGGTATCTTTTGTGAAAAACGCAACCTTCTTGTATCCTATAGTACAAATCTTCGTGCTTGTCGTCATATCATGTGTTAGAAGACCGTGAAGCTGAGAATGGTGAATGGCTCAAGCACCGAGTAGCTCCGTTCGATGGAGCCCGGCATACTGCTTACGCTCTGCTTCTTCTTCCATAGCAGTACGGTAGTCGTCTTGATTGAGATCAGCAGCATCAACCCAGGTCTTGTCGAATTCGTCCTCGTTCACGGCCCAAATGCCCTCTCTAAGTCTCTTGTGGCGCTCACGGTCCTCTTCGATACGTTGTTCGACCTGTCTCTTCTCCACCCTGACATTTCCATTGCTGTGACGGACAGCTTCTTCTGGGCTTGCAGTACCACCCACACCACCAATGTTATCGCGGTCCTTGATGCAATCTTCCAGCTCATCCACCGTCTGCTGCTGCAAATACTTCTTTCCAGCAAGGTTTCTCAGGACCTTGCGCACAACCTTGACATTAGCAGCACCACTGCCATCCTCAGGAGCAACGAGATCGACAATGCGCAGAATGTCTCTTTCCATCATGCGGACGAATTCGATGTGGTTGGCTGCTGAGGCGACATCGCAGAGGGTTTCGAAGAAGTAGAAGATGTTGGCGCGGTTGTTGAGTGAGTTGCGTTCGAGGTTTTCGAGGATGCAGGAGTGAAGGTCTTCGTCCCATTCGCGGTACTTGATGGCCCAAACAGCTGCTTTCTGAGCGGATGTGACGGAGGCGTTGAGGTGTTGGAGTTGGCTGTTGAAGCGCATGCGGACTTCGAATGGATCCATGGTGCGACTTTGTGAGAGGGCGCCGGGTAAGCGGAATTGGGTCGGATGGGTGAAGGAGGACGGTGGAAGACCCGAGGTTGGGTGAGGGTGGTGTACAGAGGAATTGGGAATGAGTTTGGAGGCCCGGCGCTGTCGCGACACCTATGGACTTTGCGCGTTGAGAAGTTCAGGGGCAAGCAATCGTCGCGGACGAAGCGAGGCAGGCTAGTGTCGCTGTCAGGAACAGGACGGAGACGAGGTGTTGGAGGGCACGGCGGGATAGGCTCGTGCTGCCAGTCAGGCTGGTGCTGCCAAGTCGACGACATGGCGAAAGCAGTTAGCGGCGGATAGATCCGAGAGATCAAGCCGAGGTCGGAGCGGAAGCTTTGGTGGGGTCCTCGTCGTGGAAACTGAGGGAGGTGCACTCACTCCTTGATTCACTCTACACATTCGCGTCATTGGCCGCTATCTTCGTCTTGCGTCAAACTTATTTCTCTGTCACTTGCATAACATCGCAATGGCTTCGGACAATGGTCTCACCCTGACCGTTGTGGGATGCGGTACGTTCATGAACAATCACCCCGTGTGCTGATCTTATAACCCTTATCGTCCTCCGATCAGGACAGCGAGTAAAATGTATGCTATCAAAAGTCACAATGTATACGGAACCAGAGTGTGTCCAAAGAGAGCCTTGAGATTGTCGGCTCTCAGTGGACACTGCTCTGTTTCTCAAAACATTGTGTATTTTTATAGATACACCAGTCACACGCTCTGCACACGGGAGACCCAAGATACTACACTCAATACTAACGTATAGATCACAGGTACCATGGGTATCGCTATTCTAGGCGGCATCATGGACTCACTCAACTCATCCTCCCAATCCTCCGAACAAGAACAAAACCTACCACCCCGTCTACCCAACCGCTTCAATGCCACATGCCGCAGCGATCGCAGTGCTTCTCGCATCAAGAATGAGCTAGGAAAATACAACGCAAACCTGAATGTCATCCAATCAGACAACGTGCGCGCAATGAAGGAAGCAGATGTGGTGTTGCTGGCCTGCAAGCCCTTCTACGTCAAGGATGTTCTGCAAGCGGAGGGTGTGCGTGAAGCTCTCGAGGGCAAATTGCTCATCAGCATTCTTGCTGGCGTTCCCGAAGCACAACTGGAAGATTTGCTATACCCTGGCCTGTCCCACGAGCAAGTGCGCGAGAAGATCACCATTGTACGCACCATGCCCAACACAGCATCCAAGGTCCGCGAGAGCATGACGGTCATCAACCAATCCACTCCTCCGTTGCCCCAGGACACTAAGAACCTTGTTCATTGGATGATGTCGCGAATTGGCAAGGTCGTTGAGATTGAGCCTAAGAACATGGATGCTTGTACAGCTCTCTGCGGTTCTGGTCCTGCATTTGCTGCTTTGATCATGGAGGCACTTGCAGATGGCGGTGTTGCTATGGGTATCCCTAGAGCAGAGGCAAACCTTATGGCTGCACAGGTCATGAGAGGAACAACTGGACTGGTCCAGGACGGTGAACACCCTGCTATCTTGAGGGAAAAGGTGTCGACGCCTGGCGGTTGCACTATTGGTGGTCTGCTCGCACTTGAGGATGGAGCTGTGAGAAGCCATGTCTCAAGAGCTGTGAGAGAGGCTACTGTTGTTGCCAGTCTGCTTGGCAGTGGAGCAAAGAACGTCAATGGAACCAGACATTGAAGCGCTTGAGCCTTCATTCACATATCAAACTTTCATGAGATACCCCATGTACACAGCTTCAATTCTATGCTTTGCTGGTTCAATACGCAAGACTTAATGATCTTGCCCATTTCCACCTAACTCATTTCAACCTCAACCTCTCCACCCATCTCACCAGCAACTTCCACATCATCCTCTGCAGCTTCGATCCTCTCCATCTGCTTCTTGGTCAGTGGCCTCTTCTTCTTTCTCCCTGATGGATCAACTCGTGGTGCCGAAATCGCATCCAAATACTCCTCATTCTTCATCTGACTCTTCAACGATGTTGCCGAGCCAGTATCCGAGTGAAAAAGTCGACTGTGGTAAGTCGAATACGAAGCTTCCTCATCCTCATCAAAGTACTCCAATCTCGTCCACTTCTCCTCTGCTGCTATCAAGAGAAGGTTTTTGGCTCTCAGGGCTTCTAGGTTCTCGACGTCGCGGTTGTCTTTGTAGGTTTGAGCTAGTGCGAGGGCTTGTGGTTGTTTTGCTTGGGCGGCTGCGCCTGAGGGGCCGGATCCGGAGGTTTCTGCTGCTTCGGTGCGGCGGGCGGCGGTTTCGGCGTGTGTGATTGCGTCGACGTGGTGGAATTGGGGTCGCATTTGCACGACACCGTCCACGCGAGTGAGGTGGAGTTCATCTGTAGTTTTATCAGATTTCTGTCAGGGTAATGTGTTTTTCATGGCCTCAGATGGAACAAACAGGAGATGAATGAAGAAAAATGCAACGAATTGAAAGCAAAACACGTGAATAATGATGAGGGGAAGGAACAGAGAACAGAGAGCAAATGCAAAAAACTTACCACCGCGGAAGGCACCCAACATATAATTGGGGTTGCCAGCTTCATCCTGCAGAATTTGCCCTCCTAGCGTCTGCTTCTGGAAGACTGCATCCCTACTGATAGCGGTCTGGAAATGCGACAATCCCTGATCAACACTCATTTCACCATTCTCCTGCTTGGCCCTTCCCTTGCCTCCTTTAGTCGGCGCAAAACCTGCCGCAGCACCAAAAGTCGCACTTCCACCATTAGCCTTGGACTTTCTCATCGCCTCGCCCCAGACCAGACTTTGGAATTTGTTGAAGTTTGCGCTGGGGTTCATGCCGATATCCATTTCCATAAATCCGGCTTGGGGTTTTAGGCGGAAGTCCACAGGTCGTGCGCCATTGCGATCGTTGTAGGCTTGACTACGGTTGCGATTGGGGTATTGTAGGAGGTAGATTTGCTCGAGTTGGCGTGGTGTGATGAAGACATTGTATTCTGCGATGACGGGGTCGTCGTCTTCAATGTCGTCTGCTCGTGATGCTGCATGTATATGAGTATCCCTCTGATTTGTTAACATCACTAGAGCATTGCTTTGACTGCTTACGTGACATTTTGATGTTTTTGTGAGATGTGATGTTGAAGAAATGACTTTGATGGTCGCCGGATTTATTTTTTGATAGAAGCCGCTGACCGAACGAAGATCTCGCCCCGCATCTTCTACGTGGTCTGTGCTCACAACTTAGTTACACAAGCGACCCTGCTCAGATGGAATGATCGTTGAATGTTAACCAGAAACTTAGAGAATCGTGATATGATCAGGAAATGTGACTTTTGAGGGTCAGCAAGCATCGATACCATCGGTATGGGCCACTTTGAGGTGCTCAGGCGTCAAGTTACCAATTACATGTCCTTGCATCCAAATCTGAGTAGAAGCTTGCTCAGCCATTACCGTCGACCACCATGTGAAGCGCAATGAAATCAAGAGTACCTACATTTTGATCCAAAGTTCTGTATGCCAGACTTCAAAGCACTGATCAGATACCAGCATCTACTCCTGCAGCCCCTCATTGTTCGCGGGTTTGTACCCAGATGTGACCATAAACCCGATACGGGAGGTGCAGCTTAATAAGCTTCGCAGCCACGCGAGAGGATCGAACGAAGCTTCTCTCTCAGAGAACAACCAAGCCTTCTTTCGTGACACACTCAACATCATCTAAACCACGAACGACCATGGAGCACCTCAGGTAATCACCGTACCTTGTGAATCTCTTATCGAAAGTTTCTAGAGAACGGTGTTTATGCAGCTCCTCGCAGGTACTTGCTGTACCTACCGTTGGAAACAAGATCGGGGATCCTTCCTTGGCAAGCCCCCTCGGATAGTCAATGGTAGGCTGCCACATTCGACCACCGCTGCCGAATGATAAGAAAAAAGAAGATCTGCCCTACCTTAGGCAGTCAGATTAATTTACAATTCACATATAACGTAGGTGCTTGTTCAATTGCCATGACTCTACCAGCCTGAGACATCCATTGCATCATTTGCAGCTCAAATCGCTTTCCTTTGCTGTTACTCTTGTTCGTTTCGTATTTTGTCGCCTTCACCATGTCGTCCCGGAACTGTGATGACAGTACTGCAGGTGTCTGTCATGGTGGCCGACCTGACTTGACATTGGGTCTTGAGGACTATGTCATGATACTTATACCAGCTGCGTGTCTGCTTTTGATGGCCCCTCTGAGGCTGAGAAGGACATGGGGTAGGAGTCGTAAGGTTATGTCGCCAACTGCTTTATGGTGGGCTAAGACGGTAAGACTTTGATCTGCTTCGTCTGTAGCGGTGACCAAGGAGATTGACTGACCTATTCACAGATATCATCCACCTCATTCGTCGGTCTAAGCCTAGCTGTTCTTATCAGAGGATGTATGCGACCACACGCGCCATCAGCAGAGATACCTGCCGAAGTCTTCTCATTCCTAGCCTCGCTTACAGCCGCCATCCTGTCACAATGGGAGCACATACGATCTATCAGGCCAAGTGCACTCCTACAACTCTATCTGATGGTGGCTTTAGTGGTACAGGCTGTCCACCTTCGCTCAATCTGGCTTCGCAACGAGGATACAACAATGAGGGGTCTGGGTCTCGGTCAGATTGTAGCCTGTGCCATCTTTCTCGCTGTGGAAAGCGTGAGCAAGGAGTCTATACTGTTGCAACGACAGAAGCGTAGCCCTCAAGACACCAACGATATGTTCAGCCAACGCTTGTTTTGGTGGCTGAACAACATGTTCAAGCGTGGGTACACTTCGGTACTCGCACCTAATGATCTTGACCAGATGGATGAAGATCTGTCCTCGACCGATCCACAAAGGAGATTCAGGCTGGAATGGCGTAAGCACACTACGAAGAACCCTAAGGTCAACATGCTTCGCATCATATTCAGCGCTATTGGATACGATATGATGTTCCCGGTCATCCCTCGTCTGCTTATGCTGGCAGTTCAGTTCTCTCAGCCGTACTTGATCTTACGATTCGTCGACTATATCGACAACCCTGACAAGGGCGGGACTGAAGAAGGCATCCTACTTGTCATCGCCACTGCAATAGTGTACGTTGCTATTGCGACCTTCCAAAGTTGGTATTGGCAGGCAGTTACTCGCTTCCAGACCAAACTCCGAGGATGTTTGATCAGCCAGCTTCATGACAAGGCCTTGCGCTCTCGGGTCGACACAGACTCCAATCCCCCTCATGCTCATGAACGTCGATGTTGAGAAGACACTCGTTGGTATCAGACCGATGCACGAGTTCTGGGCTTGCGGAGTGTCGATTGTGATTGCTCTTGGACTTCTCTACAACCAAGTCGGACTACCATTCCTAGCTCCGCTCGTGCTTCTTGTGGTATTCATCACGATCACTTCACAAAACGGCAAGAAGATTGGCCCGAAGACGAAGCTATGGCTTGCGGCAACGCAAGAACGTGTTTCCTACATCACCAGCGTTATTGGGTCAATGAAGAATATCAAGTTACTTGGTATTGGATCATCTGTTCTCAATAAAGGTAACAAGCTGCGGGAGAAGGAAGTTCGTGCCCAAAGGGCGATTCGCATGGCGGCTATGATCAATCTGGTCATCTCGCTTGTCAACTTTCAGGCAGCTACGCTCTTCATGTATGGAGCGTTTGCGATCAAGACTCACCTGACTGGAATACCTTTGACCAACTCAACCCTGTTCACATCATTGGCTGTGTTAAAACTGTTTACTAACCCACTTCTTATGACTATCCAGTATCTGCCCTCCTTGCTGCAAGTTTTTGCTGCACTGGCCAGAATTCAAGAGTACCTTGTCACAGAAGATCACGCAGATCAGCGTACAATTGATTCGGAGGCCATGGCACATGGACGCAACCCGAAAACAGGCGTCTCGGTATCGGAGATGAACGACCTTGCACAGATGCGAAAACTGAATTGTGGTTACGCTGATGGCAGCACAACTTTGAAAGATATTGACCTCAGTCTATCTCGTAACCAACTCAATATCGTTGTTGGAAGGTGAGTTTCGCGATTGAGAGATACACGAAAAGTCGATTGACTAGTGCACAGTGTGGGCTCAGGCAAATCGACTCTGCTCAAAAGCTCTTTTAGGCGAGATAACTGTCAAGTCTGGCTCAATAGTTGTCGCGGACGACGAAGTAGCCTACTGCAGCCAGAATTCATGGCTCTGGAACGGCACTATACGTGAAAACATTGTGGGAGCCGATCCCCCTGACGACGTCTGGTTGACCAAAGTTTCGTGGGCGTGTGGACTGGATCAGGATTTCCAAGAACTCCCGGACGGTATCGATACTCGCGTAGGCAATGACGGCACAGCTTTGAGCGGTGGTCAGAAGAATCGTATCAGTCTGGCACGAGCTGTGTACTCTCGCAGGTCACTGGTTCTGCTCGACGATGTGCTTTCCGGTTTAGATACTCGGACAGAGAGACTTGTTTTCAATCGTGTCCTGGGTCCTCAAGGACTTCTGCGCAAGATGAAAAGCACAGTCGTATTAGCAACTCATGCTATTGGTTGGCTACGTTATGCCGATACTGTGCTTGTGATCGAAGACGGCAAACTGGTCTACCAAGGCGGACCAAACAATGCGCCTGCCTCATTCATCCGACAACACGCTGGTGTCCCAGAACAGGAACCCGAAGACGACATCGATTCCAGTCCTGCTGGGATTCCAATTAAAACCTCACGATCATCGAGTATTTCCTCGTCAACCGCAAAAACTGTGTCTAACTGGCAGTTGTATAAGGATTACTTCAAGTCATTCGGCACTCTCGGTCTTGCTTCTTTCACTCTTCTCATCATGGGCTTTTCTGTTCTGCAATGTGTACAACAGCTCGTACTCAAATGGTGGGCTGGTGCTGAAGTCACAAGTTCATCCAGTCTCGGCAAATGGGTCGGCATCCTGGGCGCCATAACGGTGGCCTTCGTGGTCGTTGTCTTCGCCACTCTGTTCGTTGGCTTCCTATACATGTTCCCTCGATCCAGCTTGTATCTGCATGTCAAGCAGTTTACCGCACTGGTCAAGGTCCGCTACTCGGCTTGGGGCGGTAAAGAGACTGGTAGTATAGCCAACAGATTCTCACAGGACATCTCGATCATCGACATGCAGCTGGGAAACGCTTTGCTCAATGTTATGGCAGGTACGACTGACGTTATTGCAATGGCCTCGATCATCATTGTGGCCACACCGTTCATCGCTGCCACATTGCCTGTTCTTGCCTTGGTGTTTTGGATCATTCAGAACATCTATCTGCGTACTGGCAAACAGCTACGAATCATGGATCTCGAGGCCAAAGCTCCTTTATGCACACACTTTTGGAGACCGTGACTGGTGTTGCGACCATCAAGTCTTTTGGCTGGGCCAAAGCATATAGGGAGAAAAACGAGAAGTTATTGGAGGGGAGTCAGACTCCATACTATCTCCTTGAATCAGGTAGGACACCGCCAAAGAATTAGTAGAGAATACTTACTAACCTTTTGATTAGTACAAAATTGGCTGTCTCTCGTCCTGAACCTTGTGGTCGCTGGTCTAGCCACTGTAACAATGGCTATAGTTGTCAAACTCAGGGCTAGCAGAGATGCGGGTTACGTCGCCCTGGCGTTGATCAACATCATGGATATTGGACCAATTCTGGAGATGCTCGTCGTAGCTTGGACACAACTAGAAACGAGTATGGGGGCCATTGCTCGCATGAAAGAGTTCATCGAAAGCACTCCAGAAGAAGAGCAAGGCAAGGGTAGCCCTCCTGCAGACTGGATGACCGAAGGAAGCATCTCCATCACGAACCTCGAAGCGTCATACTCAGATACTGCGCCATCCGCAATCAAGAACATCAACCTGCAGATCAAACATGGTCAGAAGATTGCCATCTGCGGTCGCACAGGCAGTGGCAAATCTTCTCTCGCCTCTGCTGTTTTCGGCTTATTGCACATCAGCAGTGGCTCACTCAAGATCGACGGTGTTGACATCACAACCGTGTCCCAAGAACTTCTGCGCTCGAAAATGATCGCCTTGCCACAGGACCCATACTTCACCTCCGGCACTGTACGCGAGAACCTGTCTCTCCGCGCCACAGACACAAAACGCAGCGAAGCTGAAATGCTAGCATCACTCTCTCGCGTAGGCCTACTCTCCAAATTCGAGTCTTTGGCTCAAGCAGAAGGCCCAACATGGCAAACGCCTCTTGACGTTGTTCTCAACCCAGACGATATGCTCACAAAAGGACAAACACAACTCTTCGCCATGGCACGCGCGATGCTATCCTCTGGCAGCATTGTCCTGGTCGACGAAGCTACGTCAGGACTTGATCATGAGACTGAAGCTGTTGTGCAAAAGTTGTTGCGAGAGGAGTTTGGAGGTAAAACTGTTATTGCTATTGCACATCATTTGCAGACGATTGTGGATTTTGATGTTGTGGTTGTGTTGGATGGAGGTAGAATTGCTGAGGTCGGTGTGCCTGGGGAGTTGCGAGAAAAGAAGGCAGTTTGTTTGGAGAATTGCTTAGAGCTGCTACTTGATTTGGTTGATCGCTTGAATTTGGACGCAGACATTGGCAGCCTCCACAAAATATATCAACTTCTCGGATTTGGAGCTAGATATGACTGGTGGTAATGAGCTAATGGTGGCACTATTTTGTGATTTACACGAGGCGTTTGTGACAGCCACAGGAGCCTATGGCGGCTTGAGCTTAAGGACGAGATGAAGACAGCATGCTAAGCAAAGCTCATGGTCCTGTATGAACTGCCTCTTGGCTGATTTCAGACCAACAGATTGCACTATCATAGCTCCGAAACCCATCTTTTGTAGTCGTCTTGAGTTGGTCCCTCAATGGCTCTGTCATGTATGTGTACAGAGATCCCAGCCTGTTCGAGTTGTCGCTTGCATTGCTTGACATGTTCACAATCAAGCCATTGACAAGGATCCCTCAGCAGATGGAGTTTGCGAAGAGCCGGTAACGAATACTTGTGATCTGCAAGTTGTGATAGTTCCTCGAACAGCTCGTGTACCTTCTCGTATGCATCCCCTTGACAAGAGAGATCGCTGATTTCAACAATACGATCTTGCAAGATCAACTGATCGTCCGGCAGAGCATAGGTTTGCTCTAGTACTTTGTTAAACGGTTCTCTCGATGTAACGACCAATGTGAGCTCCTGTAGCGACGATGGAAAATTGGTGTAAAAGTATGGTCCTCGCGGCGACTCATCTTTCCTGTGGATTGCGAAAACATCTCCAATGGTGCTGTGAGACGTTCAAGCCTCGAGAAAGTATTGAATGCATGGGACTGGTACGGCTCCATCGGTTTGGGAAAATATCTGTTGCCTATGCCTGGGTGTACCCAGTGCTCGCTCGGTCCTGGATCCAGTTCAAGCTCCAGGAGATTATCCTTGATCGATTCCAGAGTTTCAACAGCTTCTTTTATGCTAATGGGATCTTCACCACCATACATTTTGCTACCTGGTGTCAACCAAGATGTCATCGTCAGGCTCTGCAGATCTCTTGGTGCTTGGAGCACGTAGGTCATGTAATGAGTAAGAGGCCCACACTCCGACAAGTTGAGATGCGTTACGCTCCAATTTCCAGGTTCATCGAACGATGTCCCAAGATTTGGATAATCCGTCATAATCCATTTCCTGAGTTCCAGAAAACGAAGCGTGTGCATCTCTCCAAGCGTGTAATTGACTCTGTCCATCCACTCGTACTCAATACCTTGACCCGGATCACTCTCGTCTTGCATGGCTAGAGACATCGAGATTATACCGCAGGGCGGAGTATAGTCTTCCCAGGACATTAATCCCATATATGGTGTCGTAGTGTGGAAGAACTTCAAGTTTGGCAGCGTCGAAGCAGAATGGGCGAACAGAGAAGTAATTCTCCAGACTGCCAAATCTTCGTCGAAACACACAGCATCGTCATGAAAATAACTGTCATCTGTTTGGGACTCAGTGAGCTCCTCGCTTTTGCCTGATTAAGAGTGATCTGATGATGCTTTGCCACTAGATTTGCATTCGGATTTGACCCAAAAAGTATATCCGCGATGGACCAGATTCTTGTATCAACTTACCGCATTGTATATACACTCGATAAACATATGATTTCCAGTCATCGCGATCCTTGTGTAACTCATAGAAGAACTCTAGATTACGACACCAAGTCGCGTCATAAGCTGTTTGTTTTGTGATTCCGAGAAAGTCTTGATCGCCAAAGACCAATGTGTGATATAGTCTCTTCCGGGTTATCTGCACGAAAGCACTTGATAGCTGGCTCATCGTCCTGTGAACTCCGATCGAACTGAACTCCAGGATTCGTATCCAGACTTCCAGTGGAAAGGTGTTGGGTTCCGTTGACAACGACATTGTTTATGGATGGTCGAATTGAGAAGAGTGGATGATTGTGGATGATTGAGAAAATAGCAGTCAAGCAGATGTAGTTATGCGTTGATCTTGATGAGGGGACTGTGGCCTGTGCGTGAGGCAGCCGCGCAAGGAAGGAACGATGGACGCCTGGAGACATCGAACAATAGGCAGATTTCAGACAAAATACTTGAAATGTGCCAATAGCAGAAACTGCAATGTTTCAGCGTGCTTCTCCGGCCTGGACTTTGTTGCATGGTTGTCGCGACAGAAGTGACTCTCATGATAAACGTATCGTTTTTGGCTATATGGTTGAACAGATCACAAGTTTTGCGTTCTGCATGTCACGGAGTGTCGTGATATATCGCGATATAGATTCTCGGACGACGTTGCGATAGAGCGTAGTCGCGCATTAGCAGATTGTCAATATTCGAAATTTTGTCCGGCCTTGATCGTTGAGCAATGCCTAAATGATGTCCCCATATCTCCCACGAGAACTCGAATGGCTAGGAGTGTGGTATCTGACTGTTTTCAATTAGCAAGCAAACAAACTGGGCACTCGAAAATTGCTACAGCCTCGCCATTCTACAAGTCTTGCCCTTGTGCTCATGAAGTACAGCAGCATCATATCTGCTATCAGCATCTTGCTCTCTGAGATGCCTGCTCACCCTCAGCCAAACATCTTCGATTTGGGAATACCTTGCTCTATGCGCCATGCAGCATATAGCGTTGTGAGCAAATCAGTGCCTCTCAGCTGAGAGCCTTACAAGTCTTGGGTTCGCGGGCCAAAGGAGTCAGCCAAGTCATCATATGCAACCAGTCACAAGCGTTGTGATTGATTTGGGAGGGCGCGCCTAGTGTAGTCTCAGTCGCTTGCGGTGAGAGCTTTTGGCGAACCGCCATGATCCTCCCTCGTTCGCATCGACACCGAACGACTAATCATGGCAGCTGAGTACGACGGCTTCGAGTACTTTGAGCTTCTACTCAATGTAAACGCATGGCATCTCAGCTCATGCGAAAGCACTCAAGAAGGATGAACGGCGACAGAGTCATCAAGGTCATGAGATTTGACAGTTGGGCTGGATCCGAACTCGCAACCGAGGAAAGCACGTCCCATCGGCGGTCCCCATCCAGCTAGTGGGTCTCGAGCCATCTTATCAGATCGAGATCCTGATTGGGCAGTTCGATAGTTCTCATACGACTCTCGCCGGCCGCCAATTTTGGTCAAAAGGTGCTTGACGTCCAACCTTTTTCCGTCTCAGTCTTCGTTCCTACCTCTATTATTTTTTCCGTGTGCTCCAGCTCCTCTGCATACCTAGTCTCGTGATATCGTCGAGAAACGATAACCATATCTTGGCGTCATCGGCAGATCGCAGCCCTGCCCGCCAAACCTTCGCCTTGACGCGCTCCAGCCAACTTTAGGCCGCTCCCTGCATCAAAACGTTGTTGTCAAACTGCAAGAGTACGCACCGCCATTTGGTTATTGTTGTTTCGAAGTCCGGGAGCCTTGTGCTTCTCATCCCATTCTTTTCCTTTATGTTCATGCGATCAGCAACGTTTCTTTAGTCCTTGGCATCTCTGATAGCAGTCATGCCAGGTCTTCGGAGACTTTCCAGCGTAGGGGAGACCCTCCCTCGGCGCAGCAGGGAGAAGATGAACAGAGCTCCTGTCGACGATGCCTTCTCGGACACAGAATCCGAATCTGACGTCGCGAGCCAACTGAGTGCCCAGGCTGGTGTGAAGCGCTTAGAGGCGACCGCGGCTTTATGGTCGAAGTGGTCTCTCGTTTTTGCATATGGCGGGTAAGTTCACTTACGTTCAAACTGCCCTGGAGAATGATCGCTGATAAATTCCAGTCTGTATATGATGGCATATGCCACTTCGCTGGAGGGACAAGTGACCACCAACTTGACCGTGTTCGCCACTAGCTCGTTCAAGGCACACGCGCTTATCTCGACGGTCTCGGTGATCCAAGGAGTCGTACTTTGTATGTAAACCCAGAACACGTGAGATTGCATTTGACTGATAAAGTATAGCANNATTGTCAAACCGCCTATGGCAAAAGTGGCAGATGTCTGGGGACGCTTTGAAGCCTTTACCTTCAGCGTATTCTTGTTCACCCTTGGATACATCCAGCAAGCCGCGGCAAATAACGTCAAGACATATGCAGCAGCCCAAATTTTCTACTCAGCAGGCGCCACTGGACTTCAGATTCTCCAACAGATCTTCATTGCAGACACGAGCGACTTGTTGAACAGAGCTATTGTATCGACGATCCCAGATATTCCATACCTTCTGAACGTCTGGATCGGACCTCCAATCGCAAATTCGATACTCAAGAATCTGACCTGGAGATGGGGATACGGTATCTGGGCTATTGTTCTGCCTGTTGCCTACCTACCACTCGCTCTTGCTCTATCACTAAACCAAAGAAAGGCTTCGAAGATGGGAATCTTACCACCATCACCTTTCGTCGGCAAGGACTGGTTGTATACTCTTAAAAGTCTGTGGTTCGAGATGGATATCTTCGGACTTCTGCTTCTTCTCGTTGGCGTTGCTCTACTGCTGATCCNNCCCCTCACATTGGNNGGAGCCAGTGCGCCAGGGGAGTGGAGCAATGGAAGCATCATTGCAATGCTAGTCTGTGGTCTGGTCTGCCTCTGTCTCTTCCCTCTTTGGGAGCGCAGTTCACGTCTGGCACCCCGAGCATTCTTTCCTCCTCATCTTNTCCAAAGCACGACCGTCATTGCAGGTGTGCTCATTGCATTCTTCTACTTCAGTAAGTTTGACGCTGTTCGTGAGAGACGATTGAAACTAACAGCATGCANNGTGGTGTACTACCTTTCCGTGCAGCCATATTTCTACTCCTATCTTCTGGTCGTGCAGGGCAAATCTGTCTCAGCTGCTGGCCACATTACCCAAACATTCACCTTCACAGCGACTGTCACTTCCATCTTGACTTCCATCATCATCAAGTATACCAAGCACTACAAGTATTTTGTCACGGCTGGTTCTTGTATATATCTCCTCGGCGTCATCATGATGCTCCGATATCGTACAGAGGGCGTGTCAGACGCATTCCTCATCGGCTGTCAAGTCTGTGTCGGCATCGGCGGAGGCATGTTGCATGTACCTGCTCAGCTTGGTGTTCAAGCGTCTGTTGGACATGGCGAAGTTGGTGCTGTGACAGCTGCTTTCCTCACCATTCTTGAGATTGGCGGTGCCGTTGGATCAGCAATCTCGGGTGCTATCTGGTCAGCGAACGTGCCTGTCAAGCTCGCCCAGTACCTACCGGAGGAAACACGCGACCAGGCCAAGGAGATTTTTGGCAGCGTGAAAGTCGCATCTACCGAATACGCGATGGGCACACCAACACGAATCGCTATCAACCGCGCCTACCAAGAGACTATGACCAAGATCCTTACTGTCGCCGTGCTCGTCTGCATCCCTCTGATCCCGCTCTCGCTCATGATGAAGAACTACAAACTGGACGAGATGAATCAGCAGGTGAAGGGTACTGTTATTGGTAACACAAACGAACCTAGCAGTCCCTCANGAAAGGGAACCTTTGCTGCCTCGTCTTCAGGTCATCGTCGTTATGATAGTGAAGACGATATTGACTACGATTACGACCGCACAATCAGAAGCGTGGCCAGTAACAACGGTCTAAGGACATGGAAGTCAAATGCAAGCATGCATCTGAATGATGACTAATGATGACACCGATAGAAGAGAAGGCATGTTATGACATGACTTGATGACTAGATATAGAACAACCACCACTGTGAGATGCGATGGCGGGTTGGCTTAGGAGGCGTTCTGGATTTTCAGAGATACCACCGTACATATTCGCAACAAACCTATTCTTACTCAACATGCACAGAGTCTATCAAGAATTCATCGAGCCTGCCCTAGTATCACGGCCACTGACTGGCTTCGCGAGGCATGAGGCGTCTCCATGACTGAATTCGTCTTTTCACCAATCATTGTTGATCAAGCGCTTAACCACAACATTCCACAACAGTCAGATACCACGAGCAAGGCCGTTGATGTAGCTAGATGAAGTACAGTGAGTTCAAGGAGAATAATGCCAAGTGGAATCACGAGCTAGAGTCGGGAGATGTCCATAGGGCACAGACCCAAATTAGCTATATCAAAAGGGGCGGCTGGCGGTGAAGGTGCTAAGATTTGTAGGCGGCCTCGCGACTAGTCTAACACGATTGCGGTGTGCAAAGGTCTCACTTGGTCATTCGAAGTCTATGAAATTCAAACCGACCAACAAGCAGTCACGATATCGATACTTCGAGTAGACGCCCGTCGGATATAGGTCGAGAAAATCGGCTTCTTCTTTGTTGTGATTGCCGAACAAGGCGTGAAACATTGAGGGCTTACGAATCCTACGGCGTGTGCCCCGTTGACTGCAAGCAGCTTGAAAGAGGCACAAGGGCGGCATTGTTCCAGATGCAATATGGACAAAACAACGAGNGAGACGGGGTGGATTGCAGGTCTGAAACAAAANGGATCACATTGGAGATGNTTTGGCAAATTTGACTTTTGAGAGAAGTCTTTGGCAGTTGCTTGTTTGGGAAAATTTGAAGANATTGATCGGCANAGATTAGACCCAGATAGGTAAATCAGGGCAAAAAGAAGCTGTTGTCTGGAACGCTGAGGATTGCGACTTTTGATGTGGAGGGACGTCTGCACGGTGAAGAAGGGCCTTTTGAGTAGCAGCGGCAGGAGAGCAACGGGTGTGGCAGGCCAAGAATCGCGTGCCTCTGGTGGATAGGTAGTGTCTTTTGTATCAAGTTTGCTCTGTATCAAGCGGACTGTACTTATCGTGGCCGTTGACAAAGCGCTTCTCTCCTTGTAACGCATTTGGCCGAGGGGTGTGTGATTGTTCTGCAACTGTCTGCTTCGCTTTGGCCCGCGTCCCAGTGTTTACCCCGTTACACCCGCAACCTCTGCCAGCTCACGTTCCCGGGGTCGACCTTACTGCGGGTTCGACACGACAATTTTGCCAGCTGCATCCATCGGGCGAGCCTCAGTCTGGTTGTTGGGTTTTGTGACGCTTCCGAGTAAGTGACGGACGGAGTCGTCACTCGAGCAAGCCGGACGAAACAACTGACAGCTCTCTTTCACACCGCAGCGCCCACGACCTCCGCCGTCCGCGTCCGTATCCTCAGATCGTCAACTCCCTCTTGTCGCATCGCCTCTACCGGCTACCCACTCAGCGCAATCTCATAGATCGCAAGCACCCGCTGTCTCATCAGCAGCTTCCCTTCGTTCAAAACATAGTCCGCTTCGTCGCCAGCCGCTAGGATAGGAAACCAGCTCTCTCGTGACAAGATGGTCGTCGCTACCATCAAGTACGCTGCCACCTCCCTCCAACCCTTGCTGTATCCGCTAACCTCGCTGTGCGCGTCCAGGTGTGTCGTCGTTGGTGACGGTGCTGTCGGCAAGACCTGCTTGCTGATCTCGTACACCACCAACAAGTTCCCCGCCGAGTATGTCCCCACCGTCTTTGACAACTATGCTGTCACCGTCATGTAAGTCGCAATCCTGGCCATCCGTAGCATGCTTGGATACTGACGTGTCGCAGGANTTGGTGATGAGCCCTACACCCTCGGACTCTTCGATACTGCCGGACAGGAGGATTACGACCGTCTTCGCCCTCTCTCGTACCCTCAGACCGATGTCTTCCTTGTCTGCTTCTCCGTCGTCTCCCCTGCTTCCTTCGAGAACGTTCGCGAAAAGTGGTTCCCCGAAGTCCACCACCACTGCCCTGGTGTCCCTTGCCTGATTGTCGGTACCCAGCTCGATCTGCGCCCACCTAAGGAGAAGCGCGACGACAAGCAGGACCCCGTTCTCCGCAAGCTCCGTGAACAAAAGATGAAGCCCGTCGAGAGAGAGGACGGTGAGAGAATGGCCAGAGAGCTCGGTGCTGTCAAGTACGTCGAGTGCTCTGCCCTGACCCAGGAGAGACTCAAGGACGTCTTTGACGAGGTAAGTTATGCTCTCATCGCGAGTCTCAAGTCCAGGCCATTGACACATCTCAGGNCCATCGTTGCTGCCCTTGAACCTCCTGCCACCAAGGAGAAGAAAAAGAACCACAAGTGTGTCATTCTTTAAACGAGTAACACAACTTGAGGATCCAATTCGACCTCCACGGCCCAATACAATACAATCTCCTTCGATACAGCGCATCCGGCACGGAACCCAACCCCAATGATATCTCCCGTCGCCGTTCAATGGTGTCTGGCGCAATGAGGCGCAGTTTTTCGGTTGCTTTTTCGTCACTTCTTCTCTTGGCATTTCGCCCGAAGATAGTCGTAGGTTGCGTCTTTTCCTTCTAGAAGCGGGGTGGGGGTATTCCAGTCTTCTGTTTTCCAGAATTCCCATCTGCAAGTTTTCCTTGAAATCACTTCCAGTCAGTCCAGTCTTGTCTCGCAGGCAGCTCCGGGGCGTTTTGTTCAATCGACGAGATCTCCAGGATTCTTTTCCATGCTGCAGATGCAAGTGCAAGGGGGCATGTTTCCCATGGCTCTTTTCTCCAATGCTTTTCCCAAAGAGGTGGAGATGGATTTCCATAGAAATGCACACGGCAAGAGTCGGTTGAAACGTTTTCCTGTGTCCGGTTCCTTCTTTGTCCTGGTGGTGTCGAGATCTCTTCGATGGCTGCTATGCCGGCTGTCATGATTAACAGCACAACACTTATCAGGTTGATTGCTCAAGATCCTGGATTTCTGGTTGCTCAATCTCGTGTCAGGAAGCGTTGTTGCGTCGATGTCGACCGTATCAAAACCCATGTCGCAGAATGCTGTATAAGTAGGTCCCGTTCATACGTTCTTCGAATGCTTGCTGACAGACAATCAAGAAGGACAGTCCAGACTGTAAGACCAAATGGCCACCCTCCAAAGCCTTCAATGTGTCAGCACCTCATCGTCGTCGTTGTCGTCACTAGACACTGGTACCATGTAGGCATGTGTCAGGCTCTCTTGCTGGCGTTGCATACCTATAAAGCCTGTTCTGGCCCTCTTCTCTCCACCATGTCGTCGGCCCCAACCAGGGCCTTCAACGCACTTCGCGCAGTAGCAATCGGATGTGGTGATCACGAAAGAGTAGTCATCGAATGTGTCAAGCTAAGTTCACTGTCTACCGCGAGCGTCAGCCCGTCTGGAACAGCTCAAGGAGCTACGGTCTGCTCGCGCTCTTGAAGCAATGACTTGCTGGCGCTCTACGAACCACTGAGCCGTAGTTCTCCTTCTCTTCCATCTCGAACTTCTGTTTCTCTATGCACCACTTCCCTTCTTCCATCTCTTTCATTCTGGCATCATGCCATACATCATTCCACATGTCAATGATCTCAATCGTCGTCCTCCCCGTATGCTTATAGGACATCGCGTCCTGCCAGAGACCAATCCTTTGAGACGGTTTGAGGAACACAAGAGGATAGTCTGGGCCAGGGACTATGCTTACATGTGCCTGGTAGGGATCATACCTGCCATAGAACCTAGCAGAGGTCGTCCTGACCGTCGCCTTCCGCCCGCTCCGCTGCCTCCGGATTTACGTGCGCGGAGAATCCCTAGAAAGCCGCTGCCGCTTGGACTTCCCGCTCCGCCATCGCCGCCGGGCCCGTCACCGCCCGACCCATCACCGCCGCCAAGACCCCCGAAGGACGTCCTCCGCCGCAACCCTTCCGCTGTCAGCCCCCTTGGCCGGCCAAAGAACCCCGTCGTCCCGGTGACCACGGAGCACTCGGACGCGACCTGGAAACGTGTGTTTGGACGCATACCTCCTCGGGTTCTTGCTCCTATCCCTGAGGATATCAACAATATCACAATGGCTCCTCACACCACTACTGACGAAGATCTCTGCCTTGTGCCTGAAGGCAGCGAGAACGCAGTCCCTACTGTTCGTGGAATCATTGAAGAGTACTATGAGGATAAGGAGTACCAGCAGACTAGTGCCCAAGAAAAGGAAACTCCTCTCAAGGAGAAGAGAACTCCTGTCTATCTGTCCCCTGAGCAGGCTCAGTACACAGCAGAGGCCATTCGCAGATCGAACGTGAACTCCGTCAACAGCCCTAGTGTCGTTCGTCTTCCACCCAAGGCCAAGCAGGTCCTTGGCTCTCCTCAGCCGGTCAACAACAACAGTGATTGGCATCTCTCGCAGAGCGTCGAGCAGTCTCCTCTTCACTCCAAAGGCAATTCGGTCAATTCACTCAGACACAGCGCGTCATTGAAAGTCGCCAGTCTGCTCACTCCCACCAAGACGAGAAAGCCATCCACTTCATCACTTGCGCACAACAAAATCGTGAAGCACACCTCTTCGTCTTCTCGCCACACAACAACTTCGCGCAAATACAGAAACACCAAGTCTTCTTCTTCTCCGCTCAAACACTCTTCTATCCTCTCTTCTATCAACATGACCGCCCACACTTCACCCACAAAGCAGGCCGCTGGTGGCGCTGCTTCAGATAAGAGCTTTACCAATTCTCCCGTCTCTCCAAACAAGCCCGCTGCCTCGCCCAAGAAGGAGGGCTCCTCGCTCAAGCGTGCCATGTCGACTCTGCTCACTCCCGGCCGCGCTCGCGAGGAAATGCCTCCTCCTCCACCCAAGAAGGACACTCCTCCTCCTGCCAACGACAAGCCCGCTCACCTCAAGATGTCCTCGAACATCATCGACGTCGGAAGACCCTCTGACGCCTACTCTGGCAATGGTTTCGCCGCCGCTGTCGAGAGCACCGACGACGAGAACCAGTCTATCAAATCACGCGAGACTATCACTGTCGCTTTCGGTGACGAGTGCAGCCCAGTCAAGGAAGTCAAGTCTGGTGTCGTCAAGATGACCCACCAACCCTACTCTCCTTTCGTTGGCCAGAAGGCCACCTTCGAGGCCGACCCCAAGCTCGTCAAGGAGATCGACGAAGAGTTCCAATCTCCTCCTATGGACAGTAACCTCTTCCACAGCCCCCAGATTGGCCACAAGGTTTCTCCCAAGTCTGCTGAGAAGGCTAAGACCCCTCGCTACATCGCTGGCGGTCTTCTCGAGGGTGGTTTGCTGCCTCCTACTACTTACCAGCCTCCTGTCGAGATTGGAGAGCAGGGCAAGCCTAAGAATGAGATTTACTCTCCTTCGATGTACAGTGTCACCAATGGACACGATGTCTTCCGCGTAAGTTTTCTTTCTTTCCTTTTTATCTTTCTATTCTCAACCATCGCTCCTTCCATTTGCACCTTCTGCTTCGCACCTTCCTTTCCACTCTGCACCTCCTCCATCAAATTCATTTTGTGAATTGATTCATGATCACTAACCACCATGCTGCTGCTTAGGNAGTCCGCCTCGACCCCAGTTGTGCCCTCCAACTCGCCCGCCAACGACGACAAGCAGGTCGACGGCGCTCTTCCCCATGCTCGCATCCCGGGCATTCGTTACATCAAGACTGTCCAGGACAATGACTATGTCTACCGTCCTGAAGACCACGTCTTCAACCGTTACCGTGGCGAGACCCCAGTCATGACCCATGACTTCGCTATTGCTGGTGCTCAGCAGACCCAAACTCGTTCTGCCAACGGCCCTGCCACCGTCCAAACCCCCGACCACAATGTCAATGGCTACAACAGCATGCCATTTGAGTACCCCAGCGCTGTTCCTCCTCCTCTCCGTCGCACCTCCCGCGACAACTCGAGCCGCAGCTCGTCTGGTCGCTCTCTCCGCGACCGCTACAAGGAGACTGGAGGCTTGGGCATTGAGCTCAGCGAGTCTGCCGACAGCTACTACACCCATGACAACGGCACTACTATGGGCATTGATGGCGACGACGATTTCGAGAGACGCCGTCAGACCGTAATCATGAGATCCCCTGACTTTTCCTCAAAGCAGGCTGGCTTCGATGGCGCTGCCTCTCAGCTCCCCATGTCTGACGAGAACAAGTACAAGTTCTTCATTGACCAGTCTTACAAGGAGCTTGACAATGCAATGAGCAGCCGCCACGACGCCGGTATGCACATGATGGATGTTCTTGGCGACAAGATTGACCGCACCCGCAACGCTACTGATCACACCTTCACGGACATCCGCAAGCTTCGTGAGAGCGTCGCTGCCATTGCTACTGAGGACCGCAAGCTCCGTGAGAGTGTCGATGTCATCGCCGCCAACAACTACCTGCTCCGCGAAAACGTGGACGCAGTCGTCACTGACACTCGCAAGATCCATGACTCTGTCTCTGATATCCGTGGCTCTGTCGCCAAGATCCGTGACTCTGTCACCGACATGGGTGAGCACATTCTCGACAACGAGAAGCTGGACCTTCTCGTCGACAAGATCGTCGAACGTCTTCACCCTACCATCGTCAGAGGCATTGAAAAGAACGACTTCAACACTGAGCGCATCCTCGCTCGCGTTGAGAAGTTCCACGAGCAGATGTTCAAGGAGTTCGACTACCTCAAGTACAAGCAGGGCAAGACTGTCCGCGCCTCTCCCAGCTCTTCTGCTGGTCACTTCTCACCCAGCTCTCAGGGCTTCTTCTCCCCCAGCTCTACTGGTTTCTTCTCGCCTAGCTCCAAGGGTCACCGCAACCCTGGTCAGTACACCGAGGAGCCCTCTGAGCGCTAAACGTGTTCTGGCCGTGTCATGATCGCATTCTGTCTGCTTTGGAATTGTTGTATTCTAGTCTGGTGGTCTGAGTCCATCGGAGGCTGGAAGAGGGCAAAACTTCAACGGTCGATTGCGGCGTTTTTGGCAACGAGCGGGGAAGAGGTTGGTCTCGGTTTGGCAGGCTTTGGCTTTCTTCTCTTCGGACATTCCACGCGACAAACTAAACGAACGACTTGACGACTATGATGAAAATGAATTTCGCGATGATACCCACTACTGCACAGCAAAGACGGAGTTTTTCATTGGACCTTGGCTTTTACTAATAGATAAGAAAAGTTGATGGAAAAAAGATGGAACGATACAAAAGCAAGGAACCAATTCTCAGAAGGATCAGTTTAGTGGTGGTTTAGCCAATTCCAATACAATGGTTGTCGATCATTATGACTCTGTTCGTTGTTGACATGTTGACGTGTTTCGAAGAGCACATCCCCCGGACGTCTGGTGTTGTTGTCGAATATGTGTACATAAGCAGGCCTAATATTAGCAGAAAAGGGCAGGAGGATAAGGGGCGATGGGCGGCCTGGATGGTCAAACTCTGTGACAGATTTGCATGTAGGTTCAGATGGCCCATCTCGGTCAGCACGTTGATGGAGCGCGGCACGCGCTGATCCGCGAAACGGGCCAAAGTGGCAGGCACCTGGCACGGACGTTTTCCGCTGGCTGGCAGTGGGGAATGCGACTATGAAAGTAATGACAGATTCGAAGGGAGGAAGGAAAGCAAAGACAAAGAAAGCGCCGTCGTCGACTCCTTCTCTGACGCGGAAGCGACTTGTCCATTGTTCATCTCGTTCTTTCCTCGTCGCGAACAGGCCCGAGTTGACTTGTATGTGAGGGATATTGAGGAACGAAGTACCAGATCGGCTACCAACATGTCGGATGCGCCATGCTCTCGTACCCCGTCGCATCCTACTACTGCCACACCCATGGCCGCCCGTAGCAACGAACCTTCTACCATGCACGTCGACACCGACGACGGTAGTGCGGCTGCCAGCCGTACCGCTCCTCCGCTGCCATCAATTCATACTCATCACCACACCTTGTCCTCGGATCTCACTCCCTCGACTCTGCCCTCGTCGTCTTCCAACTCGAACATACTGGCCTTCCGTCACAACCACGCTGCCAGCGCTGGTCTCCAGATTAGAACTGACCTGCCATCAGCCTTTGCTAATCGCAAGCAGTCGAGCAGTCAGCAAGAAGTCCCCGACTCGTTCCGCTCAAGTCAATCAGCAGCCTCCCCGTTGCTGACACCAGCACTACGCCATAATCTGTCTACCTCCAGCTTGAGTCCCAATTCCGCTCTTGCTTCGCCCGCTCTGGCTGCTATGCTCGATATCACCCCCTTGCCGTCTCCCATCATGCTCAACGACCCCAACTCCCCTGGGCCGTGGAAGAGGATACGAAGCGGTCATTTTGACAACAACACAACCATGAGACCGCCCTCGAGACTCGCTTCCTCTCCCCCGACGACAAGCATGCTATCCTCAATGTCTGGACCGCCCGGCTCGCCGCACAAGAAAAAGAAGGGATACGGGAGTTTGGTACACGCTGCTGTTGAGGGTCAGGCCGGCCAGAACGTAGACCTGGTCATGCGCAAGCAACACAACCGCAATCGCAGCATCAGCGACTTCGTTCCCGAAGCCATGCACAATGTGAGGCCGAGAAACGTCACTATCGGACCTGCGGGTCTGCACATCACTACTACGCCGCCCAATGAGCAGCCAATGCAGAGAGAGCATTACCTTGCTCAGCAGCGTGGCTATGTACAACCCTCGGCCTCTTCAGACGACGAGCGTAAGAGTTCTGATCATGCCCAAACGCAAGCAACGTCCATGTTGAGAGCCTCTGTCGACTCGGCAAAGGTTCTGCCGTCACCACCTTCTTCGAGCAAGGGCATCAGGGAAGGAGAAACAGAGGACGTTGACATGCAGAGTGTGTGTGGGGCAGAGGATAGCGACGCTGAGTACTTCGTTGTCCGATCAGCACATGAAGACCACAAGCGGAAATGGCGATCAATACGAACTCTTGGTCAAGGTACTTTCAGCAAGGTCATGCTGGCTACGTCACAACAGCTGCCATCGGGCACACCTTATGATGAGAAACATCTGGATTCGCGAAAATTGGTTGCTGTCAAGATCGTTGAACACGGCCCTGCTGGAGGTGCTGACGAAGAGCGTATCGAGGTATCTTTGAAGCGAGAGGTCGACATTCTGAAGAGCGTGTCACATCCGTCAATTGTGCAACTCAAGGCGCTCGAGTATACCGACGAACGAGCCTTATTGGTTCTGAGTTACTGCCCAGGAGGTGACTTGTTCGAACTGGCGAGTGAACATCGCAGCATCCTACAGCCCAACTTGGTCCAACGCATGTTTGCCGAGATGGTAAGCGCAGTTCGCTACCTGCACAACAACTACATTGTCCATCGCGACATCAAGCTCGAGAGTAAAATTTGTCGAACGTTTCTGTTCCTGTTCCTCTTACTAACGAATCACAACANNGACGTCTTGGTCGTGCCTGCCTACAATGCCCTCTCGCACCTCGAAAATCCTCAGACTCATCCTTACCCGCTGATCTGTCTCACCGACCTCGGGCTGTCTCGTCGCATTCCTGCACCTCCAGCGTCACCACTGCTCACAACCCGCTGCGGCAGTGAAGACTATGCCGCCCCTGAGATTCTGCTCGGCCAACCCTATGACGGCCGCAGCACAGACGGCTGGGCCCTGGGTGTCCTGTTATACGCCTTGATGGAAGGCCGCCTGCCCTTCGACTGTCCACCCGGCAAACCCGAACGATCAAGGCCTTCGCATCGTATAGCCCGCGCAGACTGGATGTGGTGCAAATATGGTGACGAAGATGGAGAGTGGGACGATAAGAGAAATGACACGAAAGAGTTCAAGGGCTGGGTTGGAGCAAGAGGTGTCGTCGAGGGCCTGCTCAAGAAGGTTCGGATGGGAAGGAAAGCATTGACCGACATCGAGGAGATGGAATGGGTCAAGGACGGGATACAAGTTGAGGGAGGATTGAAGGCTCTTGACGAATCTCCGCCCTTATGATCGTCGTGAGTCGAGCATTTTGACACGAACGAAGGAGAACACAAAGCGGAGGAGAGAGGATGAGTTCTGGGGTCTGGCTGGAATACGACCATTCTCTCGACAGCCATCCCTCTGAAGCAACAACGTCCATCATGTTTCTTACGAGAAACACGCATATCCAACAACGATATATACACAGGTCGGCCAAACAGGGTTGGACACATGAGTACACACAACTACTATTACACCGGAAAGGAAAGGAAGGACTTACAAGGAAAGACTGGAAGAAGGATCATCGAGAAGGTGGGATAGATACCCAATATTGTTAGATTTCTAGGATAATTTTTGGCCAGGCGTTCTGGGTTAGCTTTCTTCATCAACATCTGTCTTTATACCAACGCTTGGCTATGGGGTTTCTTTGATCTTGTAACAGTAGCGTTTTGTATGTATTTGGATGGGCAAATTGCCGTCTACGATCTCATTGGGTATAACTATATCTTGGATACATTTGTGACTTTTTATAGATATAAAGCAGGCCGTTGCTTGAATGGGAAGCTCAACTTGAGATGCAGACAATTGTGTCTGAACGAAGGATCCAGGGGCTCTCACAAGCGAGCCATGTTGTATATCAGTGCTATAAAAACGCACGATAGTATCGAGGTTCTTCGTCAGATCCGCTGAGATGAACTAAACTACATTGATCTCACTGGACATGTATATCTTCTTGAAATGATTTATGACTTTTGATGGAGAGTTGGGATTACTTGCTTTGCCATCTGCATTATTGTACACCTCCTGCTTGTCGTTGACCTTATTGCTCATCTCTCGTGAACCTCATGACTGATTGAGTAAAAGGGGAGAAAAGAAACCGCCAACTACCCAAGTCTTACTTCAAGAAAGGGGGAAGAGAAATCTATTGACCACCCTTGCCAACATCACCACCCTCCTTCTGGACCTCACCCAGACCTCCCTTCTTCAACTCATCAGCAACGCTTCTGTACTTGCCAGTACGAGCCTTCTGACGCTCGCCATGGTCGCGCAATTGTTGAAGCACAAGCTCAGCCTGCTTCTGAACAGACAAGCCAGCGAGGTTGGGAGCGCGGACAGGGCTCAGGGGCTCGATGTGAGCGACAGGGGATTCTAGNGGCTGGTGCAGGGGTTCGACGAAGGGGCCGTCAACTTGCTGGCGGGGCTGGGGAAGAGGTGGGGGCCCNATGGACTGCTTGCTCTTGCCTTCGTTGCGGGTCTGGGAATGGGTGTTAGGGGGTTTCAAGGTTGTGGTGGATGCTTTGCGCCTGACGGGTTCACTTACGTCTGAGATGGGGAAGTTGGGGGAGGGGGCAGGAAGCTGCATGGGAGTCTTCTTCCAGGTTGACTTGCTGACGGGTGCTTCGTTGGGCGACATGGTGAACTCGAGGTTGGATTGTCTGAGCCTAGGGTCAAGCAACTCTAGAGGGAAGCCAGTGGTCTGCTGCGCAGCGTGAAGATGGTTTGCGTGCGAAAGCTGGCTTGTGTGTGTCGAAGAAGTGACAGGAGGGTTGTTGCTCAATTCAGCAAGATGTTGTGAGATGGTCTTGTTTTCGTTGTGCGCAGGTTGGTTTGCGACTAAGTTGTGACTGGCGCCGAGAGTGGTTTCGTAGACGCGCATAGGTTGGGTCCCGCGAAGGCGTTCGAGTCTGCGCTCGTTGTCGAGTATCTCCCAATCACGGCGCGCGATCGGGGCACCCCAGTTGTCAAACATCTCTAGGACCTTCTCGGGCTGGCCGGCGGACTGTGCCACGATGGCCGAGACGGCATTGAGTTGCTCGAAGTCGCATGCTCTCGGCATCAAGTTGATTCTGCATCTCTCAATGAGAAACAGAGTTCCAGTGTCGTTGAGGGTCATGTAGGTCTTAGCCCAAAGGGCCTCGATGTTTATGCTCTTTTGACAGTAGTATTCGTCAAGGTATCTGACTACCCAGACGAAGGCGCCATCATGGAAGCTCCAGCGCTCCTGTAACATGTAAGTCTCGATCAAGCAACTTCCACATATATAGTCTTGACACACCTCAAGCTCTTGCAAGAACAGGGGGTCGATGATGGGTGCGACCATCTGCTGATCAGGAACAGAGGCCATGTTGCTGAGTCTGTGGCGAAAAGGTATGAAAGTGCGATGGAGGAAGGGTAGCTTGGTTGTCGTGCTCACGTATCAACAGAGTGTAAGGCTTTCGCGGCCCCTGCTCGAGTGTCTCGGCATCACATACATCGCCTCGACGATGGTGGAATCCTTCCACTTAACGCTGGAAGTCAGGCACACGCGAGAGAGAATTCATAACCATTGACGTGGAAAGCTCGCCGAAGGTACCGTAGATGAACAGAAACCTTTACACTTGATACGCCCTGGCAAGATTTATGGTTGATATCCAAGGGCTCAGATGTCTATTAGAGTATCTGAGCTCAGGAATAGAGGTGTGGAGCAGTGTGCAACATTGTTCATCGAACATGTATCAGTCTCTGAGCACAGCATTGAGACTACTTAAGCCTGAACAACAGCTTTTATTCGACCAGCAAGCCACCTTTGAAGACTGTCCTNTTGCCAGACCCATCGTAAAGGTAGACAGCTTCCGAGACAGTCCGTCTGGTTCTCCAAGCTGGGTCGTGTTTGCTGAACAAGAGCATGTCTGCGTCCTTCTTGGGTTCTAGCGAGAGCATGTTTGCAGAATTCGAGTCGGCTTCAGTAGATAACCCAATAGCATTCCTGGCTCTGGTGGAAATACATTCATAGAGGATTTCTGCATCTCTCTTCGTGCCGGCTTGGTAGACGCCAACACCCAAACTGGCTATTAAAATGGGATCACAGCTTCCTTGTGGCGTGAAAGGATTGCCAATGTTGTTGATGGAGATCGCGGCATTGAAACCATAATCTTTGATCAAACGTGGTATAGGCAAAGTTCCTCGAGCACCAGTTTCTGTTCTCATCATGAATAGATCAGATGTTGGCAAACCGACAAAACTGATGGGTAGACCAGCAATCTCTTTCTTGAGCCGTTTCCATTCATCGTCTTTGAATAACGACAAGCGGGTACAATGTCCCAGGACGATCGTCTTCTTGGTCCGGGTTGTCCAGTTTTTAGCTTTGAGTGTATCAACCACATACCAGACCAATGGCTCAGTATCAGGGTCAAGATTGTAGTCAAGATGGAAATCCAGGTGAAGATCCTTCTCGAGAGCAAGATCAATGGTCCATTCGACATTTTTCTTCATCTTCTCGCGATCATCTTCAACGTACGGTGTACTGCCGAGCACACCAGCAGAGTATGTAGGGTCAGTAGCTTCTTCAACAAGACGTCTGATCTCTTTGCCTCCATCATCGCCTGAGAACAAAGGCAGTTGGGCAAATATACACAATTGAACATGGCATCGAAGGTCGGCCTTGTCCTTGAGAGATTTGCCTGCTTCCNNAATACACTTGAGGCCAACAATAGGATCAACCTCGACAAATGCCCTCATAGAAGTTACTCCGGCTTGAACACTTGCGTCTATGACTCGCAAGCCACGTTCAAGCAGGTCGTCGTATTCGAAGCTCGACTTCGCCTTGGATGTCAAGTCCATGGCTTCGTCGAAAGAACCTTTCTCGATCTGCAGGTGAGCATACTTTGGATGGGAAAGAAGATAAGCCTTGTCGATATGGATGTGGGGGTGACATAAAGCAGGAGCAAGGAGGGCTCCATGGCCATTTACATATGGCGAAGAAGTGTCGTTCTTCAAGACGTCCAAGAGATTTGGGTCATGAGGAGTCACCTTCTGAACATGTCCCGAGAAGGAAAGATTGATGTCCCAGAGAGAATCCGGCTTGGTACATGGTAGAGATACATTGAGAATATCGTGGACATGGCCAGATGGCTGGAGACTTGCAGAAGCGGAGGTAGTTGCAGATTGAGCTGACTCCAACTCAGACTCGACGTCAATTCCTGTGGATGCTAGAGATGGTGTGGTCATGTTGTTATCTCTGGTTTGGAGCGAGTTGGAAAGTGGAAGGCTTCATAACGTCACTGATGTATACCTTCCCCAGATATGGATAAAGCTCGGCGATCTAGCGTCGACGCTCAGATGGACCGAGCTGGGAGGGTCTGGCAGAAGCATCCGAGTCGCGTCGTGACAGTCCAAGCATCAATTGCGCGTGTCAATACTTGTCGCAACCACCCAGACACAAGATGCAGCCATCGTCACGAGGATTCGCAGCTCCGGGCCAGATGCGCCGTCCAACTGGACAAGGTATGCTGCCGTCAGGACGTGTCGCATTGTGACATTAAACTAACTGCTGCCAGNGCCCCATGTACGCAGCAGGCCATCAGGCACATGCGCCAGCAGTTTCACAAGCTGCCCAAGCACAGCAACAACAGGAAGAACTCCGCCGTCGCGAAGCTGCTCGAAGACAGGCTCGCAAGCCTACCGACCTCGACATTGACGATGACCTCGCCGAAGCTACCATCACCGATGCTGCCATTCTATACCGCAAGCTACGCGACCAGGAGAAGAGATTGGACGCCATCATGACGAAGAAGCGCTTGGACATTCTGGAGGGTACATCTGGCCAAATGCCTTCTGAGGGCGTGCTACGCTTGTTCATCAGCAACACAGCAGAGGGACAGCCCTGGCAGATGGCCAACGATGGAAATGCTGGCTTTAACGAGGACGGCACCTTCGACTTCGCCGACAACAACCAGGCTCGCTATCGTGTCAAGATCGAGGGTAAACTGCTGGAGGGATCAGACGATATCCTGGAAGACTCGGAGCTCAAATCAACCCTACCACCTATGGCCTCCATCAAGATGTCGCACTTCTTCAAACGCGTCACTGTTGACTTCAACCGTCCGGCTGCCTTGCAATCCAACGACTTCAACAAGATTGAGTGGGTTAAGAAGGATGGCGAGCCCGATGTCGACTGCATCGCCTTTGGTCGCAAGAGCGACGAGGAGCTTCAAGTCACAATCAATCTCTACCTTGACGAACAACCCGAACGTTTCAAGCTGAGCCCACCTCTCGCTTGGATCCTCGACATGGACACAGCCACACGCGCCGACGTCGTTCAAGGAATCTGGGACTACGCTCGCCTGTTCAAGTTGACCGATCTCGAGGACGAGCGTCGTGTCACCTGCGATGAGACCCTCAAGCAGTTGTTCCGTCACGAAACTCTCTTCTTCCCCAACCTTCCCGAACTCATTCTGGAGCACCTTTCACCTCTCGACCCCATCAAGCTCCCCTACACGATCCGCATCGACAAGGACTACATCGCTCCCGAAGACGAATCCATCCCACCCTCAAAATACATGGTTTGGGACATCCGAGTCAAGGTCCCCAGTACCACAAAGCGCCTCATGCAGGCCATTATCTCGTCACCTAGACACATGGCCAATCTCAAGAAGATCACCCAGGTCAACGATGATACAGCGCTTTTGCTCGAGAAGGCCCGCCATCTCAACTCCAAGCGCAAGTTCCTGCTCTCTCTTTCCCGCGACCCAGCTACATTCGTCAAGCGTTGGACCTCGAGTCAACAACGCGATCTCGAAATCATCCTTGCTGAGGCTGGCAGAGGTGGTGGTGATGAAGGCTACGCTGGCGAAGAGTTCCGTAGAGGTGGTAAGGACGGTGCATGGGGAACAGACTTGGCTCGCGAAGCTGTGGGCCTATGGCTGGCAAGACAAAAGAACCACTAGAATTGGCAGCTTAACTTGCAAGATGAGGTTCGTTTCGTTTAGCGACGGCGTTGGGAATTGGAGTCAAGGGTCAGGGGACTTTTCGGGGTCAAACACTATGCATTATGGAAGGCGGGTTTTCAGATATCTGGATGGACGAGACACAAGGGTGATGCTCAATTGCATGCCAAGTTTTCTCTGGAAAAGTCACAGCGGTAGACACGAGATTTCAATGGAGTTGTGACAGATCTGGTAGACAGACCATATTGATCTTCAAAGTTCTCTACAAGTCTCCGAGGCATCGCAGCAAGATACAAAAATATTGTGTGAATTGTGACGATATAAGTTATCCAAAGAATGCGGTCAGAAGAAGCTGAGTCGGCGTGCCAATGCTGATCGGCAAGAATGTGACGTTTGTTCCTGCATCCAAACAAAGCACTTCTGGACCAGTGACAAGTTAAGCGTGTCATTCTTATTCGAGAGTGCAAGTCGTTCTTTCCGTCAGAGCTGAATAAATTCCATGGTTACGCTCAGGCCATAGCAAAGAGAGCTTTGTTCCCTTTGTTATCTTCTATCCAACACTCCTCCAACCTCGACCATCTTTATACACTCCTACAATTCAGTCCTATCTCTATCCCTGCACCTCTCCTATACCTGACGGCTGTCACGCCACATCGACATTGCGATGGCTCCTGTCACTATCCATTGTGTGCGTCATGCTCAAGGCTTCCACAATATTAGCGTTGCGAATCATGCCCTGCATGACCCTATGCTTACACCACTCGGCGAGGAACAATGCAAGACTCTTCAAGCAAAGTTCCCCTTTATGGACCGTGTCGATGCCGTTGTAGCCTCTCCTATGAAACGCACGGTATATACTGCTCTTCACTCATTCGCTCCGGTCATCAAGGACAAACGACTCAAAGTCATCGCTCTGCCAGAACTTCAAGAGACATCAGATCTGCCGTGCGATACCGGGAGTAATGTTCAGGATCTCGAGTCAGAGTTCAAAGGCCAACCTGTCGACTGGAGCTACATGTACACTCCTCCGGCCAAAGCTTGGAACAGCAAACTTGGCAAATGGTCTGCAACTGCTTCAGCTGTCGATGATCGTGCAAGAGTGGCTAGAGAATGGCTGTATAACCGTCCAGAAAAGGAGATTGTCGTCGTCACTCATGGTGGTTTCCTACATTACTTGATCGAGGACTGGATGGACACGAATAAGAACGGTACCGGTAATATCCCCCTCGTCGTCACCGTCATCGCCGACGGTCCGAAGCCTCTCCTCCTCCTGTCGTTGTCAGTTTGGGCCGTGTTCGATCTCAGTCAGAGACTGGAACCGACTCCCCAATGTCACGTCACCACCATCATCACCATCACCACTGCCATCATCACAGTCACGATAAGCAAAAGCCTCACTCCTCATCACATCGCGGGCACAGAATACATCATCATCCACATTCTCACAGAGTTCCAGNGTACTGGCTGGGCCAACACCGAGTATCGTTCGTATACCTTCGGTTCAAACCCTAAGAGCGGTAGACCCGTTTTCGTTGAGACACCACAAAGTCGTGCACGACGTATGGGGGACGAAAATCCTCTGAGCAGATCAGAACAAATCAACCTGCAACGCGTCGAATCAAAGCAGAGGGCCGAAGAGGAAAAAGTGTATCAAAAAGCCAGCGGCATCCAAGCAAAGGTATAAATCCATGCGGCTGCATAAACCCCTTCCGACTGCATCGAGTACTGTCAAGGAAGAGAAGCATGAAGGACAATGTCATGCGTTATGGCGTAAAGCCGTGACAACAGACGTTTGTCGAACGTGTATTGAGTCTGCTCAAGTCTCCAACTCATGTGGCTAGGGGCAGATCCAGGACAAAGCAGGGCTAGGCTCGTGAGTGTCACACCTTCTCTTGCGTATCATGTCCGCAAACATCTCTATCTTTCTGTTTCCTCTTCAGTTCCAGCTGAGCATCACTGACATATCAACAGTTGCAGCTGAAGCGGTCAGAGCGCGATCTTGGTGGTTATGGTTATGGTTTCTGAAGATTGGGTCAATCGTCAACGGGTTGCACTCGCATATCAGCGTTTGGCTTATGTTTGAGAACTTTGAATTCTTGAACTTGCATTGGTGCATAGCGTTCACTGTGCATCTTTAGACAATGAGGACGAGGTAGAGAGAACATCGCAGAATAATCCCTGAGACATCAATGATATGCCTCCTGTATGGAACCTAGAGCATCGCAAGAACGACCCAAGCTGATGTCCCTTAAACAAGACATATAACGAAACAAAAGCTTTGAGAGATGCTATCTACTAGAAGCTCACTCTTCCGCTCGCAGACCACCTTGTCGTGGTTGGTTGTGTAGAGTTACTGATAGGCAGGGTGCTACCAACAACCATCTACTTTATTTTCTTTTTTTGCTATTTTTTCTTTATCCATATCATCACTTCCTTGAACAGCACCAAACCAGAGGCTTGCTCCCGCCTCAATCAATAATTCTCAAACCCGATCATGGAGTCAAACATGCAATAGCGTCAGACAATGCCTTGACAAAATCTGCAGCGGACAACATCTCCTTAGTATCAGGTTTATGCCCGATGTAACAAGGATGATCGGAGATTGCTGACTGTATTCTGCTGCATGCCATGGATCTTGACGGATACTCGCTTTTGCAACACTTCTCCAATGCTCGAACAACAAGGAAACGAAGATGCGAGATTATTTAATCGACTCATTGATGTATATAATATGCATGGCTGACAATCTATCGCAAGATAGAGGGCCAGAAGTGTATTGCGTGAATGTTTTCGAGATGAGTGCATCTGGACAGCATGACTGATCGTAAACCTCGACAAGCAAGTTTTGGTACGAAAGGGAGGCAACAGCTCTTTTCTGCAAGACACAAAACAGCAAGAAAGAAAGAGCGGGTCACAACAGACTCTTGTTGATGAAGGAGAAGAGCAGATGCATCTTCTTCATATCTGCAACTTCCCTCACCGCAGAGGAGCAGAAAAGCACCATGAAAGAGCAGCAACATAAGATCAATGAGTAAAGCAGTTCAAAGAGATGAATGGGAGAAGGGACTCGACGCACTTAATATCCATCAACGCCATCAATCAAATCCCCCATCTATCTCCTCACCAAAGACAAATCATCGAAACGACTTGTCAAAACCCATCATAAAAAAAAGCGGTTGGAAGAGGAGGAAAAAACAGATGCAAGCTGCATGCGCCCCACGAAAGCCACCAGGTACCACTGCATAAAGGACCAGCATTGCCCAGCAAGCGTTTATGCATTCGAGGGTGGCTGCATGTGTCACACGTTACACAGTTGAAAGAAAAAAACAGTACCTTTTTTCCCCGTTTGTACCTTGCTTCCAAAGGAGCCGTTGAGAAGGAATATGCCTGGCATGAATGTTGGGCTTGATTGCAGCGAAACCTGCATGTCATGTAGACAAGAGAACCGTGGTTCGGTCATTGTGATACTGCGTTTTTGCTGTGCAGGTGAAGGGGTAAGAAGCAAGAAGGCGAGATGAAGAAGAGGTGAGGGGAAGGGTGAAGATATGCAAGACATCAGCAACACGACATAAACGGCAAAGCATTGAAGAAGGGGGGTATCTGTATTCATTTTTATGTATGTAGAAACGTGAACCTCGTTCTGTAGTCTCTATTTTGTGTGTGTGTTATGCATCCATCATTAGTCTGTGAAAGAAAAGCATTACCGAAAGCTTTCGAAACACACTCGTCAACGAGAGTGCTAACCTTTCCAGCTCGTAGAACGAAAGTGAAACATCTCATGCCCAGAAAAAGAAAACGTGAAAACTCAGCAAAGGGGGTAGTAGGACCAATGCGCCAAAAGAACACCTGCCCGGATACGCCAATGCACACGAAGAAGGAAAGCTGATAGAAACAGAAGAAGGAAAGTCGTCATGAACAAAACAGCCAAGAATCGCTCTTGCTGTTTGTGGGAGAGGGAAGGGTAGCTCTCAAGTGCGGCGCACGTACAGCACGAACCAGCCAAGGAATCTGTAGACCACGATGATGGCCAACAAGATACCAATGTACTGACCAGTCTTGCCAGTCTTGTAGCCATAGGTGTCAAGCAGAGCAGTGCCAGGAATCAAGCCCTCCTTGTTCAAGGGAGACTCGTAGGCACAAATGGTGGGCTTGTCATTGGCATCGTGGGCGCAAGTGTAGTTTCTGTGAGCAAACTCGTTGACCATCATGCCCTCGAAGACGTAGCTCTGATAGTCGATGTAATGGAAGACGTAGCGCCAGAAGGGGTTGAGATCAGCAGGGCGGACCATGAAGCCCATAGTGCACATCCAAAGTCCGTTGGCGAAAGCAGTGGCGGCAAGAGCGACAACAAAGATGGGTACGAGACTGGTGATGAAGATGACCAGAGACTCGGCGGCGATCAAGTCGAGGAAGAGCCACATGACCCAAGTCCAGAAGCCGCCAGCAGTGTTGCGGAAGTTGCTAAGCCAGTAGACGACGACACTGAAGAGGAACGTGATGATGAAGAGGTAGGGCAGACCGGTCAAGAAGTTGCTAACAAGGAAAGACGTGGGTCCGTAGAGGCCGTTGGCACGCTCCTTCATGAAAATGGCGCGGTCCTCGAGGTAGGCAGGAATGTAGGCGACGGCCATGAAGGACATGAAAGCACCTCCAAAGAAGATGGCATTGGTGAAAGCTTGCAAGTTGTCCTGCGAAGGATCCAGACGCAGCCAAACAGTGCCCATCATGACAGCCAGACCCATATACATGGCAATACGAATGCCGTAGGCGATGATATCACGGTACGACTTGATGAAGTTGCGATGAATAAGCGCAAGCACGACAGTAGACCAAGGAGCACCGATCTTATCGTTGTTGTTGGTTTCCTGAGGCGAAGGGTCGCCGTGGGCAATCTCGCGAGCGATTGTGCTCAACTTCTCTGCGTGAAGGCCAGAGCGCTGCCAGGTTCCAGTGACCATCTCGAATTGGGTGCTTACTTCAGTTCTATTGTGAGCAAAGTCCGTGTTCACGAAGTCGATGATGAACTCGGCAGGGTTCATGTAGAGGGGGNNAATGGGGAAGCCGCATGCGTCAAAGAAAGATTGGACGTCCTTAACTGGTCCACTGTATGCTGTGTTGCCATGCGAGAGAAGAAGGAGTTTGTCGAACATTGCAAATGTCGAGGTAGAGGGCTGATGGATGCTTGAGATGACCATCAACNNTGTGCTTGTGTTAGTACTTACTCCACAGCCTGCTTGGTAGAAGTAAAAACTTACGTTGTGCTTCTTAGCCACTTCCTTGACGAAAGCAATGACCTCAAAGGCGGCTGCTGAGTCCAGACCAGAAGTAGGTTCGTCCAAGAAAAGGATCTTGGGGCTGGTGATGAGCTGGTTGGCAACACTGACACGACGCTTCTGACCACCAGAGATACCCTTTCTGATAGGTGTACCGACCAATGTGTTAGCTTGACCGTTGAGACCGAAAGAGTTGATGAGTGCCTCAACACGAGCGATGCGCTCCTGGGCGCTGATGCTCTTGGGCAAAGAGAGACGAGCAGCAAACATTAGAGTCTCTCTGACAGTTAGTGAGCCGACAAGGGCGTCTTCCTGCTCGACGTAGCAACTGATCTTGCGCATAGTCTCACACTCGGCCGGGCGGCCGTTGAGGAAGACATCTGACTGAGCGTGAGCATCCTTAGCAGGGACGCGGTTGGCAAGCACATTCAAAAGAGTTGATTTGCCAGAACCACTGCGAGCCAGTCAGCGACGGGAGGGTGCGGAAAAACGGAAGACAACATACGAAGGACCCATGACGGCCATCAACTCGCCAGCGTAAACAATGCCGCTGACGTTGTTCAGGATAGGCTTGTCTTCGTGGGTCTGGCGATCCTTGACCGAGACAGAGACACCTCTCCAGAGAAAGCTGCGAATGTTGTGGTTGGTGAGCTGGGAGTAGCCACCCATCATCTTCTCGACGTCCGACATGGTTGTGGACCTTGACGCGAACATGAAAGTTGCGTTTTGAGAAAGGTATGTGAAGTGGTTATCAAAAGGTGAGAGAGGTCTGTGGACGCGAGCCAAGCAAGGACCACGACGAAGGAGATGTGTCGTAAGGCGGAGTGAACGTGATATGATCTCCGAGTGACGAACGGACGTGTATACCAACCTCTTCTCGATAGCGACGATATGGCCAAACAACCAAATGATCTGGAAAGAACGAATGGAAAGAGTCTCAGATACGAAAAGAGAGAAAACTGGGCGTGGCAGTCTACAAATGAAAATGCAGTCTTAGGAAGGGCACACTTTCCTATCTCGCTTGTTGAGTATGTCAAGGCCGGCTGCAGGAATCGAGCAAACACAGACGGCCGCTATGACTACACAAGGAAATGGAGAGGCAAACAGCATGCAAGCGAGAGTCGTCGACTCAGAAGCCATGGAAGGGCGACTATCGAATCACATGCTGGCGCTGGCTCTTAGCTCAGCTCTCATAGTCGATCCTGGGTGGCTGAAGGCAATTTCAGACGCATCCCAAAAGCCCGGTCACCACGCGATTGACCTTTGTGCATGAAGTCGATGTATCAGATATCTTCTGGCTCGAGGAGAAGAAGTCGTTGCAGTGTGCCCCTGCAGGCTGTAGACAGGAGGCTAATGCAACTAGAATTTAGCTTCCCCGTACTACGCATCGACTCCAGCCTATTGGTCAATACGCGCGGGCCGTAGTGACGTGCTCTCGAATGGCGGAAGCATCGCAACTAAACAGATCCTCATCGAGGGCAATTTATCCAATCATTTGGAATCCGTCTTGGGTTGTCCAAAGCGGAAAATTTCAAGATCTGGTCAGTGGGCGATTTAATTTGACCTGGTATGCAGGATCCAGAGATGCGTCGGATCTTCGACAATCTGTCGGCGGTCCGCTGCCGCTGAAAATCACGTCTGTCGGTTCTGCCTTTGACAAGGTTGACTTGAAACACGATGAATCTCCATACGATAGATCGATATCGTCTGAGCGTTTTTGAACGAGAAAACGGTTGGTATCGGCGCACGAGGTATGCTATCGTTGGCCACGAGTGGGCGCTCCACTCTTGAGTTGGCTAACTTACCGCGGTCGCACTTCCCTCTCGGATGGTTGCTCGTGCCTTCTCCTTTGTCGGTCCTGATATCTCCACCTCTTGGCTGCTAGACGCCGTTATTGCTCGCTCGTATAACAAGCTGACGGAATCAGCCCTTAGATCGGCTGGCTGCATTTTGCTAGATGCTGCTGGCCTGAAGTGACTGGCCAAGCACTCTCGCACAGACTGCGGCCATCCTTTTGCCAGCGACGCGCGCGCTCAGCACTCAGTCCTTCTCTCGCCGTGAAGCTATGCTCGTAAACGCTGACTCGTGCGAGATCGGCGGCCATGGCGACTGTCCAAGATGGGTTGATACGAGGTGGTCGGCACTTGCGGGGAGCCTGGTAATCGCCATAGAGTCGTTCGGTGGCTTCAGCCATGGCGGCCAGACAGCTGCCGAGCACTTCCAAGAAGGCGTTCGGACGTCTGTATCAAGCTGGGCCAGCATGGCGGTACATCTGAGATCTGGAGGATGAGCTCAATATCACGGCTTCGAGGGATTACCAAGGGTGGGACTCAGCATGGAGGTCTGTCCGGTTCATGCGATGAGATGCTCACTACCCTGAAGGACGTGACACGTCCCGGCTTCCTCTGAGCGAGCAAAAACGGGTACCGTCGTAACGCTGTCGTGAAACAATGAGGTCGTCGCCAGCCTCTCATGCCCGTCCTGCTTTCCCCGCAAAGGAGCGCCGAGACACGATGACTACGTGGAGGCTGATTCTTTGCAAGTCACACAGTCGACACCTGACATGGTGGGACCACCGGATAGCTGCTGCTGGCCTCTCATCCACATGCTGCTTTGCACGGCTCGACAGTGGATGCCGAGTGGGCAAAGACACGACCTGACGTGAAGTCTGCGGAGGATTTTTAGGCTTCATACCGTCTGCTGTCCGGGCCGTTCGCGTCGTCCCTGGCTCCCGCTCGTCACAGCGCTTGTGGGATTAGCTCCGAACTCTGTGCCATCCAATCTATCTCGGCTTTCTTGAGTCGTGACGGCGCCAGGGATGATCGTGTACGAGAAATTTTTCTTCCTCCTGCCTGCAGGCTCAGCGTCTGTGCTGCCATGGGCTGGAAACATGAACCCGGATTGCGGATTCCTGCTGCGCGTCCAGCAGATCATCCGTCTCGCAACTGCCTAGCAAGCTCCACTATGGACGCTCTGTCGCAATACCACCACCCAGGATATGCTTGCATTCTGGAAAGGAAACTCATCGAGAGAGACTGACGTGCATCCCCGGCAATAGACAGAGCGCCATGTCGTTCGAGATAACCAGCGTCGCCTCCAAGATTGATTGGCGATCGATGCATCTTCTGTCCAAAATAACTACGCGAGCCGTTGATTCGTCAAACATTCATGACCTCTAGCTCGAACCTGGCCTGTGAGTTGACCGTTGACAGGTTGACGGGTCTCTACCGCTTTGACAGCCTTCAGGTTCTGGCTACCTGCGTAGAGTGGCTACTGAGACCATGTGTTTTGGTCTAGCAAATGTATCATTATGCCGCGGATCGGACGCCATGCCATCTGCACACTGTTCCCGAGAGCAATCATTCCCTCTGCTATGCAGAAGCATGTCTATATACGTCACGTCTGTCCCTTACTCTTGTACCCTTTGCCTCTTCCTTCTCTTTCATCTTTTCCAGTTTGATGGTAATGTTGCTTTCTTTGCCAGAAGCCTAGTCTTTCTGTTCTCCATTTCTCCAAATCACGCATCACACCGCCTGTCGGAACCGATTTCATATTTCGTTGCTTCCCCTTCTTCCAGCAATAGAAGCCGTTTTACCATTCAGATTGCTGGGCGATCTTGTTCAAAGCCCTATACAACGGGGAAGACCAGGAGTCGAACACATAAGACATCATGTCAGGGACGTCTTCCATCTCAGACGACGACATGTCATCCTTCAGCGGTCATGAAGATTACGATTACGAAACAGACTGCACGACACCTGCTCCATCATGTTCTGGAGAGCACATCGAGAATGAAGAGGTCGAGAGCTTCAGAGCACGAGAGTACCCTCAACTCGCTGGTAAAATCTATCTTGATCATGGAGGATCAACAGTAAGCTTACCCCACCCACATGACCATTGCTACTAGACAGCTGACCAACCACAGCTCTATGCCAAGTCAATGGTCGAAGACTTCTCTAGAGACTTAATAACAAATCTATATGGTAATCCACACTCGGATTCCACACCATCGGCCATCGCCGGTCACCGGATAGACGCCATTCGTGAGAAGGCCCTTCGTTTCTTCAAAGCCGATCCAGAGAAGTGGGACTTGGTTTTCGTCGCGAATACCACAGCCGCCATCAAGCTCACTATCGAGTGTATCAAAGATCACGCCAGTTCTACACATAGGCAACTATGGTATGGCTACCATCGAGATGCTCATACTAGTCTCGTTGGAATTCGCGAGCTCACAACAACAAATCGGTGCTTCGCCAGCGATGATGAGGTAGAAAAGTGGATGGAGTGCGGCGGCGCTGGTGGTCCTCTGCCTCGCCAATTAGGTCTCTTCGCTTATCCCGGCCAATCAAACATGACCGGTCGTCGTCTTCCTCTTGCATGGCCTGGTATGATCAGAAAGAAAGTCTTACGAGCAAATACCTATACCCTTCTTGATGCTGCTGCTCTTGCCAGCACAGCTCAATTGGACTTGAGCAATACTCATGAAAGTCCTGACTTCGTAGCTCTCAGCTTCTACAAGATCTTTGGCTTTCCCAATGTTGGAGCCTTGCTGGTGCAAAAGTCTTCGTCCCATGTTCTTACAAGTCGCAAATACTTTGGAGGCGGTACAGTCGATATGGTTGTGACCATCAACGACACCTGGCATGCAAGGAAGACCGCCAGCACCCATGACGCGCTTGAGGATGGTACTTTGCCTTTCCACTCGATCTTTGCTTTGGACCATGCCATCAACGTTCACGAACGCCTTTATGGACTCGAGCCCATGAAATTCATCTCACGCCACACAGCGCAGCTGTCAAGGCAACTCTACGACAACCTCTGCAATCTACGACACCGAAATGGCAAACCTGTGATTCGTATCTACAAAGAGCCTTCTACCGTTTACGGCGACAGCAAGACTCAAGGCGCCACCATCGCCTTCAATGTGTTGAAGTCTGACGGCTCGCTTATTCCTTACACCGAGGTCGAAAAGTCTGCCAATGGCCACAGCATTTATATCCGCAGCGGCTCTCTCTGTAATCCTGGTGGCATGGCAACCTACCTCAACTGGACACCAGCAGAGATGAAAGCAGCATTTGCATCCGGCCACCGCTGCAGCAGTCCCACTGAGATCGTGGATGGAAAAGCCACAGGTGTTGTCCGTGTATCTCTTGGTGGCATGTCCACAGCCTCCGACATCAGAGCTTTGATCTCTTTCCTTCGTGCTTCATACGTGGACACCACAACACCGAAAACTACATCTCTTGCTAAGCAACCTTTGTCGCTTCAACGAGCTTCCTTCATCAAGATACAGATCCCTGAGGAGAGAGAGATGGATGCTGTGGTCGGAGCAACAGCACCTGCCATCCGTCCACCTCCTTGTGGTCCTCCTCCTGCAGTCCGCAACCGTCTTCGCAAGTCCATGGACTTTAGTTTTGGACCATCGCCTGGCTCTTCTGTCACTTCTATCTCTTCCGCTGGTCTCCCTCGATCCCAATCCTCCAACCTTGTTGGCTTGAGACCGAAGCCGAACATCAGTAGACGCAGAAGTCTGCTCAGTGGTTCGGCTTCGAAGCCTGCAGCGGGCAAATGGGACAACTTTTGGAAGGAAGAAACCACTGCACTTGTTGCCGCTGGAGCTGTGGAAAGCGAAGTCAGACCAATCGCGTCATTGACGGATACCAAGAAGAAAGAGAAGGAGAAAGAAAAGAGTGGATTCAGAAAGGTCGCCAGGGCTTTGACTCTGTCCAGACGACATGACTGATCTTGTTGTTTTGTGTGTCTATCTTTCCTATCTGTTCATCACATTTAATGTTACATGCCTGATATTTCTTATTTGTTCAAAAGGGTGGGCAGTGTTGGTTTTGGCTTGGGGTGGCTTTTCTTTGGTTTGGTCGGTGGTTTCCTTGTTCACTCTCCCTCACTATCGTTGTCTCCTTCCTCATTTTCTTTTTCTCTTCTCGCTTTTCTTACTCTGCTCGTTGTTCATATACCACATTTTCCTTTTCTACTCTAGCGATGATGAAATAGCGTCACAAGACGATCAAGTACAGTATCTAGAATTGATTATATGCACTCTTCAAGTTCTATTTCTCTTGCCTTGCGCTCTTTCCTAACTATCTTCCCAAACCACATTGACGCAAGGTTCTCTGTCTTGAGATTTATCATGACGTCTCAGCTAATCTATCTTACCAAGATCTCGAACTCCAATTTACTGCACGACAAGATAAACCAGGTCGTCGGGTACGCAAAGCACCGACAACCTCACAAGTTTCATCCGTTTTTGACAAATCAGTCGACCCTTCAGCCCTAATCAACTATGCAAAGGTCAAATGACACTCAGTCTGAGCGTACCACGTTCTTGCATGAACGAATTCCTTTTGGATTAACAGGGGGTGCCCAAAGCCTTGATGCGTGATACACGTGTAAAAGTAAGATAAATGAACCCTGTATGTAGAGTCCATGCTTTGCAAAGAGGTACGCCTGAAGAAGAAGCAAGACAGTTGAGACTAAAATCAGCCACAGGTGCTTGTGTCAGGAGGTCTTTGATCATGGATACTTGGAAAGATGATCAAGCCCTATGCACAAACACTCTGCAGAAGGAAAGTAAAATAGAGTGCCAGACAGCAACTTATGCAAGAAGCTACGCTACGCACGAGCGTCAGAAGGCGCATTCTACATCCTGAAACCACACATCCGAATATGCGAGATAGATGAAAAAGCTCTCCTTATCCCTACCATGAAAAGCAAGAGCACTGTCATTCAGGAGCAAACCAAGTCCAAAAACTCAAATATACAGGATGCCCACCTAATCCATGTTATACTAAAAAGCATCGTCTCTAAAAGCCCAGACGACATTGCATTAACTCCCAAGAAGAAAATCTGCAAGAGAAGAGTTGGACGCGTCGAAAGGAATGGCGAAAGAGCTAATTGGCGATCGTGTGGTTTAGTGTGTTGCGCCGTCGAGCCAAGCTTGCATATACGGACGGCTCCTTTTCCTTGCAAGACACGGCCGTAGACTAGAAGATTCACACAAGCAAGTTCAAGAATAGAAATACAGAGGTCACAAGGAATGGTGCTAGATAAGAGAAGAAATGCGGTGAACAGAGTAATCGTGATTATAAATCTGTATTAGCAATGCTAACTGAAGGAGCAGCATAAGTTCTGAAGATTTCCGGCACACCTTCTCGCGAGTCACTCGTGAGGACAGATGCTTCGAAGAAGAATGAAGGGAGATGTAGGCACGCAATGAGACTCGCATACATCATGGATAAAGATATTGCAAGTCAATTAAACGTGTCAAAATCAATCTTGGAACAGTGATGAGGGCCTGAAAACTCCCAGAGAAAATGAGGAGACAAGCGTGACAATAGAAGTTCCTGAACATGTGCAAGTCACTGGTGAGCATTGTGAACAGGTCAAAAGGGTAGATGTGGTGTTTGTATTGTGTTGATTGTAAGACAGAGATGTCTCCGACTGGAATAAAGTCACCAAGTCCATGCGATTGAGGAAAGGGACTGAATAAAGCGGAAGTTGGATGTAGGACCAACTATAGACGCCGCATCGTGGAGGAGTGTAGATGGCGGCGTATATGCTCGTGGTCCAAGGGACAGTCTTGTTGTCAAAGTGTTTCGGTGATGAGATGATGGTATTCATTGGAAGCAAAGCTGTNGGAAGATTGCTCTGTTGAGAGAGCAATAAACGCCTTAAACGCCTTNNGGCTGGTATGCTTGGANNAGGAAGACAGAGGAGAGTCGTGCAGATGCGTAGCTTTTTCATCAAACTGAAGATGCGTCAGTGGGGCGAGCGATCAGATCGAGATCAAGAGTACACACCATTCAGNTAGTCAGCCGCCATGAGCAACTCAAGACAGAGCTCAGGCGGAATGTCCAGGTCGGCGACACCGGTCGAGTCGCGATTCTTCTCATTGTAATAGAAGTACTCGCACACCTTCTCGAGCACCATACCGTTGATGTTCTCAAAGACACACTTGTGCGTCTTGGACTCTGCGAAGCCATCTGCAAGCTACAGTCAGTATGATGAACCAGGGTTGGAGGTTGACCAAACGCACTGTTCGGGNTCAAGCATCCTCTTGATGGCGCCAGAGAGACAGGCCGATTTTCTTTGCACAACAAACTCGAAGCCGTCGTTGCTGACGAGAGTCACGTAGTCGGGCGCCTCAGTCTGCTCTGTGTCTGCCATTGTTGAATGTTTCTTGCGAGGATGCGCGTGAAAGAGGAAGAAGAAAGAGAGTGAAGCTGTGGGCAAAATCGCACTCGCTCACGCCAAGACCTTTGTTGTCCCGAGCTTCAGCATCTACCAACTTCCTTTCATCTCTTCAAAGATCTTTCTTTCTCAACAACACTCGACTCTTCGAATTGTGAGACCATCTCTTCGATGTAGAATCATACATTAGGCTAAGTGTTTCGATAGTTTTGCATTGGCCAGGAGAAGAAAGTATCTATCATATCTGATCGAAGAGAACACTTTCCTCTGTTTTCCAGTCCCTGCCATTTCTCTGATCAAACATGTCTCGATTCACACTCTCGCTGCCGCCATCGACACGGAGTGCTTGCAGTATCACTAGACCAGCACTCTCACGGAATTTCACACAAACACGCTCTCTCAAACTTTTCGCCTCATCAAAGCACGTCCTCCGTAGATCTACCTGCCTGGTGACTGGCGCCTCTCGCGGCATCGGCCGTGCCATTGCAATTGCTTTGGCACGAGAAGGAGCCGGCTGTCTTCTGGTTGGCCGGGACGAGTCCGCTTTGAAAGAGACCTACGAACTCTGCACCTCTGCGAAAGGCTCAGTCGGCCGTAGTCATTCTGTCCTTACAGGCGACATCACTGACCCAGACTTCTGGTCCACCCTCGACAAGAACCCTTGCTGGGAGCCCAGAAACGGCAGGCTAGATGTTTTGGTCAATGCAGCAGGGGTTACGCATTCGAGCTTGTTAATCCGCACCTCACAAGCCAAGGTGGACAACATCTTAAACACCAACTTAAGTGCCGCTATTCAAGCCTCACGATTTGCGGCCAAGAGAATGCTCAGGAATTCTCCAGAGGCTGATAAAGGAGCCGGCCATATCTTGAACATCTCGTCTCTGCTCGCTACACATGGCGGTGTGGGCAGTGTGGCTTACGCAGCTTCAAAGGCAGGCGTGTTGGGACTCACTCGCTCACTGTCTGCCGAACTCGGAAGCAAAGGGATCAGAGTCAATGCCATCTGTCCTGGCTATGTGGAAACAGACATGACAAAGGCAATGTCGCATGCTGCGAGAGAAGCTGCCGTTGCAAAGATTCCCGCTGGCAGGTTTGGTACTGTGGATGAGGTTGCCGATGCTGCCGTGTTCTTGTGCGGAAACCAATATGCGAACAACACAGTGTTGAACCTTGATGGCGGACTGAGTGCTATTTAGATGAACTAAAGGTCAACCAAAATCAAAACTATTGTACAAACCATCTCGAATGCCATTGTGATAATCCTCTGTAGGTAGTTCGCTTGGATGGAAATGATGAACCTGATAAGTCTAACTACGTGTGTCGGCACTCGGATCCTGGACACAGGTATTTGTTGGGTGTTGTCTTGGATGCCTCTATTCCGACTTAGATCCACCATGTGTGTAGTCAGTAGTGTACGGGGCAAGTCCAAAACGATAAATCCTCTGGCATCAAAAGCTCTTCCACGTGATGTCTCTGAAGCACTCCTCAGATAATGTATGCAGTAAGAGAAGAGATGCTCTACCTCCCACTCCCAAACCTCTGACCAGAAGTGAAGCAAACCCACAGTAGAACATTAACATCATACTTCCACCAACTTCATTTACAGCCATCGAACTGGTGGAATGGCGCAGCGGTAGTAGCTCGTGTCTCCCGTGTAGCAGACCAATGTCCACCGGTTCGATCCTCCTCATCGCCAAAAAGCCATGAGAGGGTTCACTAGACCCTCGCTCACCGACAAAAGTAATGATGAAAGCTGAAAAGCTTTCTCTTCCCCCCTAGCTCTACGGCGGTTAGGAGGGTTTCTGTTTTGCTTGATTGATGTTGGACTTTTGTTTTGCTTCATAGCTTAGTCGTGTGGATTTGGGGTACGCGGCGATATTTGCTTTCACGAGAACGCTCATCATAGTATGTTCATGTCATGTTGTCATTGGGTGAGTTTGTAGTATGACATTTGTCTCTCTATAAGACAACTACACTTTGGCTTTGCTTACTTCCTGCCATCCACGACGATGTTGACAGGCTTTCCCCTGACAAAAGCTTCAATCGTGTCTCTGACAGTCTGCTTGGTTCCCACAATCGTCCTATCAGAAAACCACGCCATATGCGGTGTAGCAACCAAACCCGGCACATCATCTGCCAATAAAGGACAATTCTCCTTGGTCGCAGGCTCATGCTCGAAAACATCCGTTCCAGCTCCTAGCAACTTTCCTTCTTTGAGCGCGGTAGCCAGAGCGTGTTCGTTTACGATACCGCCACGACCCACGTTGATGAGGATGGAGGTGGGAGACAGTAGAGAGAGCTCGTGGTGGGAGAGCATGTTGTGGGTTGAGGAATCGAGGGGGCATGTGAGGAAGAGGGTTGTGCATTGTCGGAGCACATCTTCGAAGGCAGTGCGGGAAGGTCGGATGTCAGAAGAGCCTTTGCGTTCGGCAATGAGGACGCGCATTTCGAGGGCTTTGCACGTCTTTTCTACGCGTTTGCCNTGTGGGTAAGATGTGTATGTTAGCTTGACTCTCTCCCAACTCGTTCAACGGATCACTTCCTCCATATATCCGAGAAGTCGCGCGAAAGAAACAATAAGAAAGAAACACATACCTAAAGCTCCATAACCAATGATTCCGACAACCTCCTCCTCACAAACCCTAGGCATCACACCTCTGAACTCGCCAACACACATCCCCTGCTTCTTCCACCCCTCTCCCTCTTTCGTAAACTCATCCAAGCCCACAATCCTTCTCTTAACCGCAAAATACAAACTCAACGCATGTTCCGCAACAGTACTGGTATTCTGAGCAGGCGTGTTGGTTACCGTAACTCCACACTCTTTAGCAGCATTGAGATCGAATCTATCACAGCCAGCGCCCAGACATGCGAGAAGTTGCAGTCGAGGAGCAGAGAGAAAATTGGCTTTTGTGATGTTGACAGCAGTTCCGATGGCAATTGTGGCAGAGGCGATGCGGGAAGGTAGTTCTGAGGGTGAGGTGCGAAGGTGTTTCTCAAAGGTGTGAGGAAAGCTGAGGGGAGGAAGATCAAGATGGCCATCCAGCTGTACGACATGGTGTTTGAATTCTTCTGAGGCGGCCATGTTGAGATCCGATGGGTTTGGATATTTTATATCTGGTTGATTGTCTGGGCGGAAGCTCGATTGTTTCGGGTCAATGGATCATCCAGTCCACAACAAAATCGAGGTAAGTCCTGACTCGAGAGACGCAGCTCTTATATATGGCTTTCTGATAGTTGATTGGAGTGAAAATTGAGTTGTGCTCAGATAGCTAGGGCGTTTATATTATATGTATCAAGCTCATGGTGCATGTCGCGCCCTTTGACATCTCCGATGACCGGCGAGCATCGAAATGCTTGGCATTGTGATGCTCTATCAGATGCATCAATTGTAGTGAGCATCGCCCCGAAGATAGTGTTCTCAGAGAGGGTGATTGCTAGGAGACATCAGGACATATGATGCTTGTAGGATCAAGAGGTGGACACATTGTCCCTGGCAAAGTATAGTTTTGATACGGGCGATTCAAAAACATCTAGATTCCAGCAAGATGAATACCACCATAATCCAGTCATCAACAACACAGAAGATGCAGTGCTTTTAAAAAGGGAAAGTTTGATTTTCGTTCCCTATTAACGGTATCGGGGTGTGTATCTGACCTTCCCATGATTTGACGTTGTTCCCTCTGGGGGACACTCGGAGGTAGTGAGTAAATTACAGTGAAGCATCAATGGCGTTCCCATCATGCACTCCAGGAATAAAAAGATGTAACGCCTTGCAAAAAGTGTATAAGAAATTTAATCCCAACATCGTCGCCCTTCTGCGTCTATTATCTCATCGATATGCTATTGCGGCCCCTTCTTACAGGAGAGCAGCGACACCGAGAGCGAAAGCGCCGAAAGCACCAACACCGGCCTTAGCGGCACCGCCCTGAGAAGTGCTGAGGGTGGGGAGACCCATGGTGGTCTAGAATTCAAGTTAGCTTTTCGGACAACAGAGAATTTGACAAAGCAAAGCGGTTCCGCATTCAACTCCAACCGACAATCATGCTGCTTCGGCACAAAGTCACTCACTCGTAACATTGCCGAAGAGCTATTGTCAGGGATTGGGTGAGGCGCATCCCCACATTTGCAATGGGCTGAGAATACATACCTGGTAGGTCTCGGTAGTGAGCCATGTCTTGGAGACGGGCTTGTGGAAGGTGTTGGTGTAGGTGAAGGTGGTGGTAATGTTGCTGACAGTGATGCCGAAGGTAGAGGCACTCTTGGGGAGAGAGTAGGTGGGGGTGACGCCGTTGGTGATGGTGATGACCTTGCTGCCGAGAAGAGTGGGGGAGACGGGCTTGTGGAAGGTGTTGGGGTACTCGTAGTAGATGGTCTCGGTCGAGGTTGAGTCGGAGGTTCTGGAGCTGTCGGCGTCCTCAGCATTAGAAGCGCTGGTAGAGCTGGCCTGGGTAGATGAGGCGCTCGAGGAGGTGATGCTGCTAGCAGCGCTGGCAGAGCTGGAGCGCGAAGAGCGGTCGGTGACGCTCGAGGCGACGCTGGAAGCACTAGAGCTGGCGGCCGAGACGGCCGAAGAGGCAGCGCTGGAGACCAGAGAGCCCTGAGCAGCAGCAAGAGCGGCGAAGGTGCCGACGACGATGGCGCTGAACTTCATGTTGATTTCCCTGCTGTCGATGGACGAGACGAGTTGGGCGTCGGGTCGGTTGGGAGGGTGATGGGGGAGGGAAGGGAAGGAAGGGACGAAGCAGTAAAAAGAAAGGGAAGTGGTGGGTGGGAGGTTGGTTGTTTTTCTCAAAGATGCCCCAAGCAGCCCGTCGTTTCCTCAGAAATTGGCTTTTGGTGATTTGGGGCCTTGCCTCGTCCCGCACTCGCAACCTCTTCCAAACCACCTGAAAAAGCCTCTCCGTCATCCGAGCATAACACACGCATCCTTCCGACTTAACCGTGCATCTACCTAGCTTTGGCCGACCTTCTTCGTTGCGTCGAGGAGAAGACTGCCTCTTCGAGCAGGACCTGGCCTTGTCAGCCTGTTCTGATTGGCTGACCTTTTAATCGCGCAACCTAGCCTTACTCAACAGGGTAACCAAATCTCGGCAAAGAGTCAACGTCAAAAACTATGCAACAGGACTCGAAGAGCCTCGACCATGCCATCATCTTTTGTACCGTCTCAACAGGAGCCATCTCTTTCAGGCAACATGTCGTCTGCTTGCAGCTCCGCGCTGCCCGTGGTCGTCAATCACAGAGGTTTCGCTATCTGAGTTGCTTGTTCAACCAGAAAGTACCTGTGCTATCCATGCTACTCCGCATTTTGACGGAAAATGCGGGCAAGGCCGTGACAATCCACTTGGCTGATACACACCGTGCAAAATTGCAATCATCAACTGCTCCAACGCTTGCAATTTGCTTGCTCTCTCAGGAGTTGCTCAATGGTCAATAAATTTGTGAAAGCTACAACGATATCAAGCTTCGCGTCCTCTTTGACAATGAACAGAAGAGACTTGAAGGCGATTGCGTGGTCAGCACCAATCGTGCCGTATTGCGCGCGATTTTGAATACTCGACTCACGGTCCGCGAGCGCCAGGAACACCTGCGGCCCTATCTCGGCGCCGTATTCCCGCCTGGAGCGTCCGCTCCGGGGACCAAGTCGGCACGAACTTGTTTGTTTGTCTCATCTCTCAAGGCCGCTCAGGCCGGTTATAAACACCCGTTGCTACTCAACTCATCCGAATCTCGGATGTCAAGCATCTCCAGCTTTTATGTTCTTCGGTGATACTGGGGTATGACAGGTGACGTTGATGCATAGACTCGACTGCATATGCTTTCTTCTTCCCTGCCTTCGATGTAGCATTATCGCAAGAAGGCTGGTCCTGCGACTAGTCAGCCTCACCATTGAGGCACTCAACAACACGAAACTCGAATTGAAGAGCGTGGCGCCGAGTGCCGGGAACAAGCTGGAGCCCCGAGCTCTTGGCTTGCTGGGGGACCAGCCCAGCCATCTCAACCCACATGCTTTTATCAAGCACACAAAGGTCTGTTCCGCCATGCTCAACAACCTTGGGAAAGTGTGTGCTAGCTGCGAAATGCCTAACAATCGCGTTTGCGCTCTCATAAACATACTCGCCGGCGTCAACACACAATCGTCAAGCCTTGAGAGCCCTCGTTGAAGGATGTAGCTACTGATGATCACGATCGATAGCTCGTGCTCGGAGATTTGCAGAACGAATCGCGAACCAGAAGCGTCGCGCTAGATGGCAATAATACCTACTGACTGACGTTTTCAAGAAGATGAGATGGACAGTTGGTGTACAAGCGCATTTCTGGTCACCCTCGTCAACAGTGACGGCTATCATCAAACACTTCCTCAAACTAGGTAACAGCCAAACAATGAAACTGTGGTAAGACAGCTCTCTACAACGACGGTCACTACGGCTTTGCTCAGATAGTATCGGTCGTCAGAGTGAGACAAAGTCATGCAGCGATCGTCCACTCATCGAAGTCATATATTGTGAGTGGAAGAGGCTGTGTCGGTCTGCTGTCTTGATCCTGTTCTGGAAAGACATATTCAGTATTAATGATTCCGCTTCCATCAATTGGTTGCGTGGCCCAATGGCAAGGCGCTTGACTACGAATCAAGAGATTCCAGGTTCGACCCCTGGCGTGATCATTGTTTTGCTCTTTTGTGAGCATTTGAGCTCTTTTCCCTCGCGCAACTTCGTTCAGCAAATTTTTCTAGTTCTCGTGCTCGATTTTTTGGTCAATTTCCTTGCTTTCGACCAAAGAATCGAGTTCATAATTGGACGTTCAGATCAGCGGCACTTCATCGGCAATGCGGATTGGTCATGAAGCCTACCTTTTTCTAACCACTTCATAGTGGACAGACAGAAGCATGCAAGGTATCAGTCCAACACGCTAGCAAAGGCCTCGTCTCGGCCAGTCTTACGAGTGCAACGAATGATTGGTGATAGTGGACTCTATCAACAAGTTGACTTCAGCCGACACAATGACAAGACATTGTTGGCTGTTCGAGACAGCATATCACAAAGATCATGAGACTTACCTACTACCTGTCTCGACAGCATGTTTTTGTGGCTGTCTCAATGTACAACTGTAGATGATGAGAATGAGACAGCTCTCCTCTCGTACTGAACTTCTGGGTTTCCTGTACAGAATGTGGTTCCGGCGTAGAGATAAAAGGTCAGCAGCAGGTACATCTCTATGCTTACCTTCTTTGCTTCCATCGGCAGGGTTTTCGAACAACAGGAGCGAAGGTTATGCCCCTCCTCAACTTCTTTGGCTTTGGAACCGCAAATCACAACAAGACCCCCACCGATGCCTTTGTCTATGAAACTGATGGCGACGACTTCGATGACGATGGCGAGGACAGCAGCAATGACGCACCTTACACCAGACCTGGTAGAGCAGCAGCTCTGAGCCGGAGCTCGCGCATACCCTCAGCCAAGACTTTGGCCAACAGCACTCTTGCTAGTCTTCCAAAGCTGAAAGCAGAACTACAAGGTAAAGGGTGTCTTGTTTGAATCTTCGATGCATTGCTAACTTCAATTCGTAATAGAAGCGGCCAAGAATGTTCCCAAATACCTCTTCCGCATGTAAGTCATCTCAACTGGTGTCTAAAGCCGTCTCCTTTTCAATTTCAACCTGCTTGCCAGACATATACATCACTGCCTGTGATATTTTGCTGACTGCGCTCTCGATCCAGGTGGCACAAAGGCTCTGGTCATGACTACAGACTCAACAGTGCGGTCAAAGTCATTCCTCATGCATTCTTCCAAAAGAAAGGGCACAAATCAGTTTACGACATGACCTACGACCAATTCCTCAACAATGCCAGGGCGCACGTTTCAGGCCACAGAGCCCCTCTCTCGGAGTTCTCCTCATGGTCTCAATCACCGTACTTTGCTTTCAACTATGCTATGCATGTCAAAAGATCACATAACACAAACATTCACGTTGCCATCATCGATGCTGAGGCGCTGATTTCAACCAATTCGGCTTTCAACGTAGCAGTTCTACATAAGATCTTCAAAGGGGACTTCTCAGCCGAGTATCATGAGGAATACCTGGTTCATGGCATCGTACAAGGTCCATTCTACAAGGCTGTGCCTTTCGATCAGCTATGCAGTGCAGGTTTGTTGACGTATCTGCCAAGTATCACTCAGTCTGCATATCCCCTGACCAAGGGTGGATTGACACGACTTTTGCCGCGGGGCCAAAAACCTTTCAAGATTGATGATCTCATCAAACTGATGAAGATTGCTCGTCTCTACGGCGCAAGCTTCACTGTGCCCTTCGCCATCACTCTCTTTTGCTGCAGAAAATCTCCCAAACTCTGGTCAACTCTTACGATCAATGATCTGCAAAGAATGGTAGACATACTCGGTGGCCGGAACAAGGTACTTGAGGTCTGGGGCGAGTCTCAAAATGTCCTCTTCGACGGTACTTATCCCAAAGGATATGAGGCCAACAAACAAATGATTCGTGTGATGCGTGCTTTGACGCACTTTTGCTGGGGCCAAGAGACCGGCCAGAAGCCTGTCAACCAACGTCTCGTCGCTGGAAATTCAGTCTCTGCCGCTGATGAGGAAGAAATTACTTCTGGAATGTCTTCTGTGCATGTAACCCCTGCACCTAGCAAGAATTTCGCAGCTGGTCCTCCATCGGGTGGTCCACAGCAATCCCGCAAAAGATCCCGAGTTGAATCCCTCTCGCCATCTTGCGCATACAGCTCTCTTTTGGAGCAAGTCCCTGTTGCCTGTCCCATTCCGTCATCGAGAATCTCAAGTCCATACGCACAGTATACAGGAGATCTGAGAAGTGCTAGCTTCCCAGTCCATTCTCTATGGACCCAGATTGGAACGTCTGACCCTACACGGCTCTCTTCCTACATCGAGCCAAACAAAATCGTTATGGTATCGGTCAACGACGATGACACTCTACGCTTCCAGAGTCTTCCAATTGACAATACCGAATCTACCAAGATTGGGCCTGTCGAGTTTGCCTACGGCAATAGCAAAGATGGTGAAATATTGTGGTTCGCACGCATACCTCCAAACCTTTTGCTCAAGATCAATGGTGAATTGCTCGGTATGTATGATCGCTTCACTATCGGACCACTTCCTTCGTTTTCCGTCTGGGAGAGTGAAAAGGGGTGGCCTTTGTCTATACCGAAAAATCAGCAATGGAGTACACGTATATGCCAGACCATGAGCATAGCGACGGTCGTGCTGCCAAACGACAGAAGCGATAGAGTTGCTCTCATTCAGTCTGGATAATCGCTCTCAGCATCCGAGACAGGGCCAAACATGCCAACGATATACGCGTACGCGATGAATTGTCTGTTCTGTAAGGAGGCACGAGACTTCGCTCATTCCTTGAATCTCTTTGACGGAGTCGCGTGGAGGGCTTGGGCTAATTTGTCTTCTGGCGTAGAAGACGAGATGGAGGAAGTTCGTTTGCAGATGCCACTATTGTTTGCACGCCTGAATTAATAGTTTGCCCATGCTTGTTCTTTCTTCCAAAGCATTTCCTCTTGTCTCGTTGTCTCGATATATTGATCTTCGCGAAGCAAGTCGCAGATACTTGAGTAGCAATCTTCGCTATAAACTGACGAGGTGTGGCAGGTGAAGTCATGGGGTCTTCAACATGATAGACCCCGACACCTTTTCAATACCTTGACTGGTTGGTTTGCCCATGCTTTATTCATAATGCACATATCGGCCTCCCATTCCCATGGTGGACTTGAGGATGCTTCTATCTGACCCCTGGTGTGAGCCTGTCTCCTGAGTTGCTTGTAGTTGGTGGAGATATCTCGCCTATAGCCTCTGATGTCGAAGTCAGGCTTCTCCAAGCTATGTCTCGTGTTTTTGAGCAGCTGAAGAGCGTCGGTGTCGGATCTGAGTGACGCTCTGCACTGTTCGAGACAGTACGAGAGGAAAAATTGTTCACAGACGCGCTTGCGTCCCGTTCACCAGCCATGCAACTTTTGGTTCTTCTCCTGCGATTCTTAAACGTACGAGAACAGCGTCAGCAAGTGCAAGGCCTGCATAACATCCAACAATCTTCTGCATCTCTTCTCGTCGTCTTCTTCTCTTTGCACAGCATTTACAGCACAATCGGCACCAACATGGCTTTGCTTGATCGACTCAAGAGCCTTGGTAAGAGACCTGCCTCTGAAAATCCGGAATCCAAGATCTTGCGTGACTACAGAACCTTGAGATCAAAGTTGANNAAGGTGAGAGATGTCTTTGTCTGTCTGAATCGCAGGTGTTGACTAGGTTACTGCACAGAGACCACCAGGCATGTCCCGAGATATCTTTTTAGAATGTGGCATGCCAACTCCGGTGGTGATGCAAGTCTGAATACGACCGAAAGAATTACACCACGTGCCTTTCTCAGAGGTCAAGGCCATGAGAGCATGTACGACATGTCGATCGAAGAGTTTGTCGATAACACGACTCAGCACCTGCGTACTAAGCACGATGTCGTTACGGAGTTCTCTTCGTGGTCTGCTTCACCCATATTCGTCTTCAATTATGCCACCACCCGGAGAACAACCGCATACATCGCTGTCATTGATACTCAGGGGCTTCAGACGGACAACGGAAATGTCATGTTTCATGTCCCAGCTCTCCAATCGATCTTCACAGGTCCTGCAGCCCACCGTGGCATTCGATACCATGAGTACAAATGGGAGTACCTTGTACATGGCGTTGTTAAAGGAAGGCACTACAAGGCAGCCTCATTCAAGTCTCTTTGTGATGCAGGCTTAGCTGAGTATCTACCAGCACTGAAGGGATATGTCAATGCTTGGTTTGTTGACGTGTACCCGCTGCCCAATCCGATCGTGCGATTCACCAAGCAAGAGCTGCAAGACCTGGATATGATTGGCAAACGCTTTGAATCGCATCCCAGTATGCATTCTGCTATCACCATTGCCTTGTTTTGCTGCAAGAAGCGTGCTGGATTCGGCGCTGAGCTCAAGGAGGACGAATTGAAGGAGATCGTTGAATACCTCGGTGGCAGAAACAACGTTCCCCATGACTGGTGCAAGTCACTATTACTCCGCAATGGCATCTACGATCCTCGCTATGAGGAAAACAAACAAATGACCAATGTGATGCGTGCAGTGTCCGCCTACTGTTGGGGAAAGGGGGCTCGAGCTCAGTTCGCAAAGAAGGTTGATTGAGAGACGCAAGTAGGGTAGGGGCCAACGACAATATGGGAAGGAGCGGTGCTGAATATGGGGAAGGACGTCAGGGGTTATGGAAATGTTTGTTTCAGTTCATCAATATAAAAGAGATTGATCCAGACAATTGATACAATCTTTCATTTCAGCCTCACCAAGTTCCCAGCAACGCACCTCGTGTGGACAAATACCGAAAGTGATGTTTGTGCGGCGGGCGACAGCCACGCAACCGGCATAATCGCTCATCAGGTCAACATCGGCAGTTTTGCACTCGACATGTCGCAACTCTTTGCGCGATTGTGAAGTTTAGCCACGTGCTAGGACGCAAGGAAGCCGCAAGTTCTCAAGTCCTTTGATCTGAAACTGCAATTCGGGTATCACAACTCTGTAACTTCCACTGTGTCCCTGTCTACAACTAAGGGGGAAAATATACTGTTGAAAGACGCAATCATTTGCAAAAGTAGAGGCGTGACCAGAGAAAGCTCTATCATAATTTTTCAGCTGTCCTCCGAGTATGGCACAAGGTAAAAGCTATACCATAAAAAGTCATAGTTCTATACGCTTTTGAGCTGTGTCCACTGAGAGTCGATCAAATTTCAGCTCTCAGTGGACACTGTTTCACCTCCATATAGTATTGTGCATTTTTATAGCTATATGTGTTGCGTACTTCAGCATGTGGGAAGGCTTGTTTGATGACACAATGATGTGTTTAGTGTTCTTTCCTGTCTTTATCTTTTGTTCTTGTCTTTACTTCCAAGTCATTCGTACCTTCCATCCCATCTCATTACCATTGCCAGGTGGAACTTCACTCCTTCCTGCAGTTTGACTTCCCGAGTAAGATTAACTCGCTCCTTCCAGCTCAGCGTTCCAAAACCACAACATCTGCACACGACCAGCAACCAAATTCACTTGCACTTAACCATCATGCCATGATGCCGACAACATTCCAAACTCTCATGATCGTCATCTTCGCTATCTGCGCCAGCCATCTTATCACCGGCTACTTCAAGAGCCTTGTCGCCACAGCCGTCTTGTTTCTGTACCTCGCAGCCTTGTTCTTCCTTGTGGTCGGCATCGTCTCCTTCCAATGGCACACAATCAACTTCAATCACCGTGCACAATTTGCTCGTCTTGTAGCCGAAACAGAGAGGATGAACCGAGACGATGACCACTCTCGAAGTTTCTGCATGGCACAAGAGAAATTCAGTCACGACTACGCAAGGCGAAGTGAAAGACTTTGGCAAGAAGAACAAAGACGCAATCTCGAAGAGTTTCGCCGCCATCATCAGCAAACTTCTAGTACATCGGCAATGCAAGCGGCTTTCACGAGTTGGCGTCAGGACTGTCGAACCTTGCTACAGACACCCGAGCTCATTACCGATATGCCTCGACTGCCTTGCCTGCCTTGCCTGCCTTGTCCAAAAGGCCATTGTGACTCAAGACCAACTCATATCGGAGTGTGCTCTCATCGCTTGAAGAAACTCTACGAGACATCAAAATTGGAGGAGAAAGAGTTGAAGGATGAATTGGGGCTTTGGCATCCCAATGGAGCGAAGGTGAATCAAGTGGGAGCGGGTGGCAGGAAACAAATCCTAGAGATGGCGAATGAGATTGCGCATGTACTGCAAGAGGTACTGGAGGACTTATGAGAGGACCAGGACGGCCCGAGAAATGATGGCAATGGAAGCTCGGAGTGCTCATGGAGTGTTGTAGATATTCATTCACTTTGCTTTCAAAACCAAACATCAGACAACACTCTTCCAAGAAATAAAGACTTCCGCTCTCGTCAATTTGCAGCAAGAAGCTCCGTTTGTGGTGTTCAACAAACAACCATTCGAACACAGACTCCCAAACACCACAACTCAGCTGCACCTCTTTCTTCAACTACTCTGTCAAGCCTTCATCTCTAGCAGTCTCCACGCTTCAAACCATCAACCCACCAAGAACCATCACTTCCTCTCTCTTTCTCAAAAACTCAAAGGTGTGTCGCATTCTTCTCCAGCTCCTTCTGCTAGGCCCTCAATTGCCTCATTACTCACCAATCACAGAATCCAGACCACTCGCAACCATGGATCTCATCGGCATGATAATACTCGCCGTCTTCATCCACTTCTTTCGCAACCCTACTTCTGTAGGCTGGCTGGTTGTCATCTATTGCCTCTACTGGGACATCAGGGGCATAAGAAGTTGGCTTAGGCGGCTGGCTGAAGAGTATCTGGATCCTGCTGTGTAATCCTGAGCTACACTTGATGGAGATGTGCAACAAGGCAAAGAATAGCGGAGGAAAGAAGCTGGGTTGAAAGGGGTCTTTTGAAAGCGACAGTTGTTGATTCGTTATTCCTTCTTTGTGGCTGTTGGCTCGGATCACAGCAGAAGCGAATTTCTTCGTCGTCGCAAAGTCGTACGTGGAGCAAGAACATTCAGATAATATCAATCCAACGCTGCACCGTCAACCAACTTCGTCGCAGAGTGGCTGAAGCACTTGGAAGAGCAGTATGGCCATACGCTCTACTTCTTGTCTGTAAGGCTGAGGTACCCTGCTCCAACGATCCGGATGCCAGAAATTGCGTTCCTTGATCAATTCTTTATGACAGAGCTCAGCACTGCGATAAAGTCTCTCCAGAGTGTGCACGCAAGTTTTGAGAGGCCCAAGAGTATTGTCACAGCCGACTCTCAAGCAGGCAATGAACGGAGGTCGTGGTAACTGTTTGATAAGTTCGAACTTCTCAGACATACTCCAGCATTGCTGACGCCATTCTTTAAAAGCGGTCTTGATGTGAGACGGTACAGGAGGATGGACCCATGTCGGCAGTTGAGGTATGTCTGGACTGGCGAATTTGGAGTGATCGCCTTGTTTGTAAGTTTTGTAGACGTCCTCGAGGTGACGATACAACTCTTCAATACGAGCCTCTTGGTCGTCGGTTAAAGTATCAAGGCCATCGAATTGATCTGAATCGTCCAGAGTGGCGGATAACAACTCATCTACCCTCCTTCTCTCGGCATGGACATATTGCCAATGTCTGATAGCATCAAGACTCGAGTCTACCGGAGCGTTGAGAAGGCAGCTAAAGCGATTCCACGTATGGTTGTTCATACAACTTCAGTGTCGCGTAGCGGCGTATGATGCTCTCTTGAAGAAAGATCCTGCCGAGGGCGGAGCATCAATCTATTCACGGGCGTATCGGAGTTTAGCGAGCGAAGATAAGGAAAGCTGTAGCGAATACGTCTGGTGGGCATGTGGTCGACAGCAGGCATATACGCCACCTGATGGTCTTGGTAGAGAGGTATGCAGATAAGCTGAGTCGATGACAAGGAAGTCAAGGACGAATGGAAGTCAACTGACAATTGCAGTGGTCAGACAGGGTGGGTAGTTCAGCTGCTGTGAGGGGCATTTGTAAGCTTTAGATTACCCCGCGTCATGAGCTCCTCACGTTTCACCCCACTCTGCCTGTCGTTGATCATTTCGCTAACGATACGAACTTGGTCCTTTCGTTCAGACTCTGCCTCTCTATACCACCTTCTCAATACACAAACAACCAAATCATCACAATGCCTGCTGGAAGCTCCTCCGTACTGCCTCTTCCCTCTCCATCTGTCTCATGACAACAACTGACACACCGCATAGGTCATCTACCCCAAGGGTACCAAGTTCAACATGGACTACTACCTCTCAACCCACATGCCTCTCGTCCAGAAGAACTGGGGCTCATACGGCCTCAAGAAGTGGACCGTCGTCCAAATGCCCGAAGACAGCGAGTACTGCGTCCAAGCCATCCTCGAGTGGGAGTCCGAGGACAGCTCCAAGAAGGCCTTGGCCTCCGAAACCGCCAGCACCGTCTTTGGCGATGTCAAGAACTTTTCAGACAAGCAGCCCACTTTCTTGGATGGAAACGTTGTTGGCTCTGCATAGATTGGAAAGATGGAAAGAAAGAGATGGATGATGGATGAAGACATGATACCGCTGAATCAGAGACATGCTTGTACATATTTCCTGTCGCTTGACAGCATAGCCAACGATGAACAATTCGCTATACTTGTCCATGAAGTTTTCGACCTCCTCATGAGCCCTTCTCCCACGAGGTAGAATGTCTTATCACATGTGTGGGCGAGTCGCAGATACGATGAATCGAGAGTCAAAAGTATCACGATCTCGTTAACCTATAGGCTTGGTCTCGCATGTCCCGAAGCCTTGTCTCATGGTTTTGACGCTCTCTCATTGACTTCGTCATTGGTAAGACACCACGTCGCATGTCGAGACACCGACTAGCTGCTGTCTACAGTAGAAGACTCAATTGAAAGTACACTAAACAACATATAAAAAGAGTGCACATGTCCACTATAATTGCCATCATTGCCTATCCTACTTTCAAACTACGTCTCTTACATCACAACCAAAATGAAGTACCAGCATCCCCCACAGACACATCAAAACTTTCCGGCATCGCAAGGACTCGCAATCTCCTTCTTCACCTTGGGCTTATCTACCACTTCCATGTACTTCTGCATCGCAGCGATTCTAGAATACATTCTAATCGCGAACCTCCATCCCGAAACTGTATTGCAATCACACCTCATCCTCGGCAAACTCGTCTGCTCTATACTTTTGAGGTCTTTCGTCTGCTTTGTTCTCTTCGAGAAGCTCGTGACCTGTTTCAAGACTATCCTTCGACCTGGCTTCGCCTTGGGAATTGGTACTCTGGACATCACCAAAGGGGACAGAAAGCAAGAACGACTCCGCGCCCGATGCGAGGGACAAAAAGCAGGGCAACAAGGAACTACTCGTCTAAATCAAGGACGATCCACCTTTGACCAGAAGTATCAGGCATGGCTCAACCAAATGAACACCTGCATCTGCGAGGACGTCGACTCCAGCACATCCACTGTTTTACCTTCCTTCCTTCTTCGCGAAGGCATCGAACATCTCATCACCTCCAGCGATGCCATCCAGGAATTCTATGACAAAGCAAACATCGGTCCTGGAGAGTTCGAGACGCACCGCAAACTCTGGGACTTCTTGGAAAAGGAAGTTACATGCAAGTTCGCGATTTTTAGAATTGGCATGCTTGACGGAAGAACCCAATTTTTGGAGAGAACTTCGGAGGCCAAACAGCGATAGCGGATGAGGTGGGGAGAATCATGTTCTGTACTTGAGAGAAGGAGCAGGATGACAGGTGCCAGTCTTTCATGGGCAGAGAATGTGCGAAAAGCGGGATGTGAGGTGACGAAGAAGATAGAGAAAGCGAAAAAAGAAACACTGAAGAAGAACTCGAAGGAAACAGGAGAAGAGGCGCACTGGCAGAACAAAATTTTCTACTCGAGTACAAGTTATTAAAGGCATTTATGCAGAGCAAGGATTAAACAGAAATTGACACAGCACTCACATCACACACTGGTTCAGGCAAAGAGTTCAGGCAAGAGAAACATAATCTAAACTCATTCTCATAAAGAACTATCTACATCCCCTTCACCATGAAAGCATCAAGCTCATCAACATACATACAAATAAGACAAAGAGATCGGAAGGTAGACTCATCAATCAAGATGTGTCACTATCCCCATGAGAGAAACATATCAAAGTATCGTCCAAAGAAAATTACAAAGAAAAATAAAATAGTCGTCAAAAACCTCCCTGTCCAGCGGGAGACCCTCTATCCTGCGACCAGATGCCCATCATATATACAACTTTTATGCACAAATGCCCTTTTTACATGACAAAGAAGGCACCGATGAATAGCGCCAACACACAGAGGCCAATGTCGGTGTGGACGTTTTCAGCAGCACCTTGGGCCACAGTTCTCATCTCCAACTCCAAAGCCGAACGTGCGTAAGCGGTGGTGGCGTTGGAAGCGCCGTAGATACGGCTGTTGGATGTAGTGCCAGCGGTGGGGCCAGCTGCTGCAACGTCAAGAGCGGCAGTGCCGGTCTCTTGAGCTACAGCAACGACAGTCTGGGTCTGGAGGATGACGACCTGCGAAGCTGAAGATGAAGTAGCGGCGGATGAGGAAGAAGACTCTACGGATGCAGGTGTGTATGCAGCATTGACGATTGCAGTACCGCTGGGAGCAAAGACATTGGCAGTGGCGTTGTTGAAGGCGAAAGGAGCAGCTGAACCACCAACATGGACGGTCTCGGTGAATGTCTTTGTGGTCTTGACGGTGGTTGTTATGGTGGACATGTCGTTGGTGTTCGTGGGTGCGTAGTTGATGATGGTCGAGATGGGGTACGAGGTTGTGTATGTCACGACTGATTCGCGAATAGTGGCAGTCACGAAGAGTGTGCTGAAGACGGTCTCAGTGACAGCGCTGTATCTTGCATCGTTTGCAGGGGCAGGCATGGTATCATCGTTAGAGCTGTTGCCGCTCTGGTCTGCGACAGTCGAGCCAGATGAGCCATGAGAACTTCCAGCGTTGGCCTTTTGGGAGTGGCGATCTGAGTAGCGACAGGAGTGACANGTGGTGTAAACGCTAACAGTCTTAGTCACGTACTCGGTGGTCTCGGCGCCTTGAGGGTTGGTGCGAGTGATAGGCTGGATCTGAGTCTGGTAGAAGGTGCGAGTAACGAAGACGGTGGTGTCGATTATTTGCACAGACTCGGATGGGTCAGAGGGATCAGAGTTGCCAGAGTTAGGTGCAGCAACTTGAGTGGGCACAGCGGTAACAGTGGTGTACTGGTTGATGGTCTTGGTAACATACTCGGTAGTCTCGGCACCCTGGGCGTTGGTACGAGTGACCTGCTGGACCTGAGTCTGGTAGAAAGTACGGGTAACGAAGACAGTGGTGTCAATGACTTGCACGGCACCGGCACCAGCACCGTTGGCATTGTCAGCGTTTGCGGCAGCGTTGCCAAACTTGCCAGCAGTCGAGTTGGAGTAAGGAGCGACCTGGGGNAAGCCAGCCGAAGGAAGAACCTTGGCAGCAGAAACAGGGGCAGTTCCGTAGGTGGCCTGGGGAACGACAAGAGTTACACCAGTTCCGATCAGACCACCGGTTCCGGCGGCGGCAGCAATGCCAGTGCCGATAGGGGCAACGATGCCAGTTCCAATGGGGGCAACGATACCAGTTCCAATGGGGGCAACGATACCAGTTCCAATGGGGGCAACGATGGCAGATGCTGAACCAGTACCAGCGAGAAGAGTAGAATTGCTGACACCAAAGTCGAACTTTCCAGCGCGAGAGACGGTGGCGTACTTAGTGGAGGTGGAGGAAACCTTCTTGGAAGAGCTGGAAGAGACCTTCTTAGAGGTAGAAGAAGAAGTGACCTTCTTGGAGGTAGCAGAAGAGACCTTCGAAGTAGAAGACGAGACCTTCTTGGAAGAGCTGGAGGAGAGCTGAGTGCCACACTTGCCGAACTTAGGTTCACAGTTGGCAGTGCTGCAGTAATCAGTTGTAGAGCCGCAGTATCCGTACTGAGAGCAGCATGAACCGAAGGCTGAGCCAGCGCAGGTGTATCCGTTGTAGCCACCGCAAGTACCGTCCTTGGAGATGGGTGCAGCAGGGCAAGGGTTGGTGGCGGTGTTGAGAGATGTGCCATCAGCCTGAGCATTGAGGATCTGCTTCATCCAGGTGAGGTAGTTTCTGTTACAGATAACATTGTTGGCAGCGTAGGTAGAATCCCAAACCATGATACCACCGAATCTGGCGTTGCTGTAAACCTTGCTGACAAGAGTCTTCACCTCAGAAGGTTGGAGGTAGTAGCTGGCATCGCTCGAGGCGGAAGTGCTTCCAGGAAGACCAACATAGAGCTTGAGATCGGCGTTCTTGGGCTTGACGGCAGTCCAGTCGTTGTAGCCCTTGAAGGTACCAGAAGAAATGGCTTGGCGAGCAGAGCAAGCAGCAGTGTTGTAGTACTGGATGAAAAGGAAATCGAACCAAGCATTCTCGACAACACCAGCAAAGTGAGCATCGGGATAAACGCATTGAGGTGCACCGGAGATGTAGTAAGGCTTCATAGAATCCTGAGGGTAGAGTGTGTTCTTGAAGGTAGTGATCATCTTAACGTAGCCGTTGGTCTTGTAGTTGGTGAGAGCCCTGCCGTTGACAACAGGGGCGGAGGAGAGCTCGCTCTCAATGTCGAAATCGAAACCATCAACAACAGCAGTACCGAAAGGACGAGGGCCACCAGTCGAGGTCCACTCGCTCTTAACGGGTCCGAAAGCGCCCCAGAGGAATTCAGCGAAGTTTACAGCACTAGCGTCGTCCTTGATGAAGTAGTTGGTAGGGTATCCACCACCGATGGAAAGAAGAACCTTCTTGCCATAGAGCTGTTGACAGACGGCGATGTCGGTACCAATGTCAGGGCAGTTGGAGTAGAGCTGAGTTTTCGTGCCATTGTAAGTGTAGGTCTCGCTGCCACAAGCGTTGCCGAAGTTTGATCCAGGCCAGCCACCAGCTCCTTGGTCAGGGAAGACATTGATGAAACCAATGTTGACGATATCGACGTTGGGGTTCTTGCAGACATCCTGGAGACTGCCTTGGTTAGGACCCTGTCCCCAGTATGTAACGACATTAGTCTTTGCGCTGGCGGTAAAAGCAGATGCAAGACCCGAGAAAGCAGCTACTGCAGCTGCAGTGCTGGTAATAGCAGACGATGTACGCATATCGATTGAGATAACGATAACGATATGGTCTAATCAAAAACGGACGGGTATATCGTATAAGAATGAGTGTGTGACAGCCTAAAGCCGAATGAGAGGACGCAAACACGGTTTGCTTGAAGGAAAGTGGACAACCGAGACCGGTTGCAAAGGAAACACGAACACAGAATAGGTGATGAAAAATGAGTGTATAGCAGGAGAAGAAGCAGATGAGAGGGAAACGGCCATAGTTAAAAGGTAGGCACCAAATCTCCCCCATTCCTGAGTCGTGCCTGGGTGAACCTACCGGCTTGGAATCATGACTACCGCAGCCCACTTACCGTTATGCTGGCACGTTCTGGTCGAAAACGGTATGGAGTCGAGATTGTAATTACGGCGCCACTGTCAAAAAGAGGGGCGAGGATGCCTTGGTGGAGGTGACGAACCGCAGCAGGTTGGATGGATGAAGTCGTAAAGGCACTCCTGAGGTCTGTGCACAGCGTGCCGAGCAAGCGCCCAGGGGCTTTGGGCCTTTGATTGGTGCGGAAGGTGATAGTCCAGGCACCAAACTCAATCTTTTTCCCTCTCCACCAACACAAAACTCGCCTGAGTAAGGTAGCGAGTCACGCTTTGAGATGAAGATCCGATTCAATGGTGCAATAGATTGCGCTGATGCCTGAAAGGTCTGATCGGTTGTGAGCTTCCGACATGATTTTCAGACTCGAAAATCTTCTGAAAATCCTCCACACACATCACTCTACGCGAGGTCGAGAACGTCGAAAGCAACGATACGAGGGCGAGCTCCTGGTTACGCTGCACCGTTCTTCAGGGGAGAGGGCCATCCACCACACATCGTGATTCTTTTGTTCTTTGCAGGTCCGTTCTGCAAGGCATGCAGTACAATCGATACACACCTGTCGCAACGGCGAACTCACCTCCTGCTCCTGAGCAACGGTCTGGCATTCGGAGGTACTGGAGATAGCAAGTGCGCGGATACTGTGCCGACCAGAGTTTCTACTGTGTACCTCACAGTATTCTGGCCTTGCAAGTTTACTGTTGATCTATCCGGCTCTCGTCCGTAGAAGGATCACAGATCGACATTTGGATGTTTTGCGGTTCGCGAGCAAAGCTACGTGTTTCAGGGTGATGTTTAGGGGTTTTGCCCCGTCATGGTGGCTTAAACTCAAACAACGTCTCCTACCAAACTTTTGCTTGCTTCTCTACTAACAACTTGAGAACACCCTGGATCTATGGGGATCCGTACGTGTAGGACAAGGTAGGCTATACATGCAGTACCTGACGTGGTGCGTCCGCCAATCTCGTAAAGCGTTTCTGTTTGACGATATGCTATCACTGCTTGCCGAGACTGTTTCTGTGCCGTTCAGCATACCGGGCATCATATCGATAGACGATATGCTGGTTGAAGCAGCCTTACGCCACGATTTGGTGTCTCGGTACTTTCTTCCTTCGAGCATGCATCTTCAGTGTAGAGAGGGCTGAGCGGGCTGCATATAGCTCCGTGGTGATGATGCAAAGAAGTAACGTCTGATATGAACAGATTTTGAATTGAAGTTTGCGCCTCGTTTTTGCTCGAAACAGCCTATTGCTGCCAGCTAGATAAGTGCTGTGGACTACGGGAAAGACCTCTCCAAGGAAAGAGGTCTGTCTGTATAGGGGTATACTGGTGAAGAAAGGTATAGTTCTGAGCCCTTCCTCTAGAATAAAGATCACTGAACGCCTTTTGCAAGAGAAACACAACGAGGAAAATCCTCGTCTTCTGGCTTGTCCCCTGTAATGCCAAAACCCAGATGTACAGAAGAGTAGGAAAGCGAAACTGGGAGTACTTGGTCGTAGGCAATTGATCAGTCAAGCATGATAGCGCCGTCGTCGTCGACGACAATGGCATTATTCTCCTCGGCGACCTTGCCACGCTTGGTGATTTGTTCGGCCTCGGTCTCTCCAGCATCCAAGTCAGCGTCTGCAGCAGTACGCTTGGTGGATGTACGAGTAGGAAGGTTGTGTCCGTTGGATGGACCTGCGTCAGTCGTTGTTGCAGTAGGGGCGGGAGTCTTCTTCGGAATGGTCTGGAGATCAGGCATGAGGGTGAAGGACTCAGTCGTGGCGGCTGTGGATTGGTCAAGTTCCCTAGAAACAGGTCAGTCGCAGGCGGAATCAGTCAAAAGGGCAAGGTCAAGAACATACATGTTGAAAATGGAGAGCTCAAGGTTGACGCGCTCACCCTCATCATCCTCACCACGAATAAGAACGGTTGAGTTGCTGACCATGCCGAGGTCGTTCAGTGTCTTCTCAAGGTTGTCATTGTCGTCCATAGCCATGTCTGGGTCGTACCAGACTCCACCGTTGTTGCTAACCTCGACTTCATCTTCCTTGTAGCCAAGCTTGCCGACCAGAACCTCCTCAACGAAGCTCTTGAGTATTGTCTTCTCGGTGTTGATGACCAGTCTAGCGTAGGCGGTGGCGCAGACACCACAGTCAGGTCTGGGTGGGCGCAACGACTCCTTGTTGATAATGCGCTCGGTCGACTTTGTCAGGAAGACCATCTTTGCCTTGGCCCAGTCACCGCGCATAATCTTGAAGGCTTCTAGCACACACAAAGCGGCTGTGGTAGCGTTTGTGGTGGCAATGGCAGGGATGATGTTGCCAGCCATCTGCTTGATGTCGAACTCAGACTTGGTCTCAATGCCGAATGTAATGGATCGCAGGTTGGCAGCAGCTGCCACGAAGTCGAGGGTGTCCCTGTCATCCNNCTTGTCGAAGGTCAGGATTGGAGGAGCATTGCCAGTCTCTTGTGATGCTCGCAGCTTGTCAAGGCGGTCACTGAGACGAGTCAGGCTATCGGAGAAGACGGCAAAGTTCTCTTCCAAAGACCAGTTCTTTTGGTCGTCTGCTATCGTGTCGCGGTTTACATTAGCGGCTGCAGCATTGACGGCTTCAAAGTCCAGAGCGGTCGGAGGCTTGCGCGTCTTCCACATATCCTCCATACCAAGCAGTCGATTGATGTCTTGAGTAAAGACCTTGTCGAAGACCTTTTGTGCGAACTCGGTCGAGCCCATTGATGCGCGGATCTCTTTAAGTGCAGCAGCCTCCTTTTTCAACTCGACAATCTCCTCCTTGTTGTTCTCGTCTGATGTATGGTCAAGATCTGATGCTTCATCCTCGCTGATGCCGAACAGCTCGTTGAACAGGTAGCTCTTCGCCCAGACGATACAGTGGATGGGCTGGCTAGGGGTGCTTCGGATGGTGCAGACGGGGAACGATTTGGGAGTTTCTTTCGGCGCGCAGTCGTAACATTCTGTAAGGCGTTTGCGGATGGGTTGAACCTGGCCGTTGAAGCCGGTAGTACCACTCTCGATCAATGGTACGTCTGCGGCAAGGCACATGCGATTGACGTGACGGCGGGCATCGAGGTTGTCGAGGGCGTTGAAGACGATGACGAACTCACGGAACCAGTCAACATTGAATTGAGGGTCCTTGATGTTCGCATGATATGCCTCGATCTTGACGTTGGGGTTGAACTTGGAAGCGGCCTCACGGGCGACCAGGGCTTTGGACTTCTTGATGTGGGCATGGCGGAAGAGGAATTGGCGGTTGAGGTTGGAGAGGTCGATTGTGTCGAGATCGACGAGGTGAATCTCGCCAAAGCCAGTGCAAACAAGGTTCTTGAGGAGTTCGCAACCGATGCCACCGGCGCCGACGACCAGGATGCGCGCATTCTTGATGTTGGTGAATTGTGAGCCAAGCGACTGCTTAAGGTAGCGCTCGCGCGTCATGGTGCTGTGCTGTAGCTGCGATGTTGCGGTGGTGATGACGAGGAGAGGGGCTGTCGGCGAAGTGGCATGTGATGGGGTAACAGAAGGCGTGTTGTTGATGGTCGGATCGAGTGAGAGTCACAGCCGTGTTGTTGATCGAGGACAAGGTTGATTCACTCGTTCAATTATCGACCCCAGATCAAAACTGTCCGCGATGACGCGCCCAACTTTTGTTGAAAAGACCGAGGTACGATGCAGCCAGCTGAGTTGCTGTCGCTGGATCCCTTCGAGTGTACCAACTCTCACTAATCTGGTCACATAGAAGTTCAAGGACTTCTTCTCACGATAGAGCTGTTTATATTTTTGCTTTTAGCTTTGAAGTGAGCAGAATAAATCGATAAGTCAACAGCTCCAAATCGACGTGTCGCAAGCTTCGATTAGGAAAGTGCAAGTTTTGGCAGCCAATCACCGTGCTTCAACCCCTGCGGCTTCACTCTTATTCTTGCCCATTCTACCACAACCGATATCCCTTTCACTTCTCTTGCAGCAAACGAGTCTGACAACATGTCCGACGACGAAGTCGACCATGAACTGCTCGAACTTTTGCGACAGTCGCTACTCGGACCCAAGCCGCAACTCGACGACATCGGAACCGATACGAAAGTGTTGCGACATGCAGAATTTATCTATGACAATAGTATTGATGTGAACATTGATGCCCGTGGCACCAAAGCTGCTGCCCGGTTGATCTGGGAGCAGATGCAGGAGCGCAGCTACAGCACCGAAACTTGGTCTGAACATGATTTGCATCCAAAAGCAAAGGATGAAGCTACTCTCAACTTCATCTTCGTTATGGATCTCTTGAACTTCAGCTTCTGGAGTGAAAAGCCTGAGACTGAGAGATATGCCGTCGAATATCGTGATAAGACATGGACTGGTTACTGGAGTCTGGTAGCTTGTCTGCAAAGAGCTCTTGAAGAGGGTAAGTGGTTTTATCATCGTTCTCTCTCCTGCATACGAGGAGTCACTCGTTTTCATATCTCGAAAACTCAGTCAAGTTCCATTGCTTGTTGTTTTTTTGTTCTTACCTTATTACAGNATATTCCTGTCACAAGTCCTTCCTTCTATGCCGATGAGATGGAATGTCCAGACGAGAAACTTGCATACGTTTTCCGCTCGTCGACCGGAGAGGAGATACCTTTGCTACAGGAAAGGATTCAGTGTCTGCGTGAAGCCGGTCAAGTCCTCGAAGATGTAAGCTCACATCTCATTCTGCCCTTTCTCTCCACTAACTGGTACAGANAATTTGAGGGCAGCGTTGCCAACCTCGTCGAAGCAGCCAACAACAGCGCTGGCAAACTAGTCAACCTCCTCGCTCACAACTTCAAATGCTTCCGGGATGAATCCACATTCGAGAAGCGTACGGTTCGCATCATGAAAAGACCCCAAATCCTTGTGGCCGACATCTGGGCTGCATTCAACGAAGAAAGCTATGGCGAGTTCAACGACATTGACAGTATCACCATGTTTGCTGGTACTTCTCCTCTGTATTGCTTGATCCCGGATACTTGACTAACATACTTGAAGNACTATCGCGTACCACAAATCCTCCACACTCTTGGCTGCTTGACATACAGTCCGCCTTTGGATAGCACGATTCGCACGCAGCAACCTATCGCCCACGATTCCAGCTACGAGGTACAACTACGCGGCTGCAGCATCTGGACCGTGGAGATGATCCGCAGAGAAATCATGAGGAACAATCCAGGTGCCAAAGTAAATGCCATCTTGATCGACTTCTTCCTCTATGATCTGGCCAAGGAANAGGAGAAAGCTGGCGAACCTGCCATTCCCCATCATCGAACTAGAAGCATCTGGTACTGAACGATCAACACTATTGCAATACAGCTTGAAGTTGTACGCCTGTTCAACCGTGTTAATGCTGGTCGGACGCTGATGTCGGTCCGATAGGAGTATCCTCGGTCAGCCGGACGCACTTTGCCATGGCAAGCCTCAACTTCGCAAAATTTTTGAAACATATTGAGTCTTACTCAACAGTCACACATCAATTGGTTGCGTGGCCCAATGGCAAGGCGCTTGACTACGAATCAAGAGATTCCAGGTTCGACCCCTGGCGTGATCATTGTTTTGTTCATCTACATCCTGATTTGCTGGATGAAGCCTTTTGTTTTGCAGAACATGTATCAGACTCTACAATTTTGTCACTCAGCCTGAGTTACAGCAACATACATTGGTGAACATGATCAGACATGATATATTCCTTTCTTTTGACAAGCAGGAGTCAGTGATTTTGCTATACTGGAGGCAACGGTTCTTCTCACGGCTTGTTCGTTGATCAGGGTCGCACCATCAGCAATCGCTCAGGACCATATCTGCAAGATGGTATCCCGACCACAAGGTTTTTCGTGATAACAAAATTATTGCTCTGCTGCCTATATATCCTTATATGGGTTCAAGCCGAGGTCAGGAAGAAGCTGCAGGTGTGGCTGCTTCAATCTGGATTTTTGGATTTTTGAATGCCTTGAAGAGTGAAGCCATCATCGAACAATACAATTGACGCTGTACTTTTGTTGTACATGACAACAATCGCTGACCTATAGATCTCGAGACAATATGGAGCCGAGAGTCTACGTGTGTTCTCCCGAGACGTCAAAAGAGCCATAGTGAACGTGTCACGATTGCTTATACAGGTATGAAGACCAGGGAGTGGTACTGGCGCGGTCGGACATGTCTGACAAGACTTTATATTACGTGTAACCAGATTTTTCTTCAACCATGGTTGTATAGTGTAATGGTTAGCACATCGGATTCTGATTCCGGTAATCCCAGTTCGATCCCGGGTACGACCTTCTTCTTTTGTCAGTTCAGTCTCCTAAGGATTCCTGCATAGATGCTACAAGTCTTTTGCAGGGCATGATTTTGACTATAGCTTGCTCGTCAGACCCAACGCTGGTTGTCCTTTTGCCCTGTGGATTGGAAATGGAAGCCAAGACTGAAGGGACCAGCCAAGCCGCCATGGCTGACAAGCACGCAATGCCCTCTCTCGTGTTTCTGCAAACCAACTCTCATGTCTTCATTCTCTGTTTTGCTTCGAGATTGTATATGAGCCTTTTGAACACATCGCTACGGTGAGATTACAGTCATGCCGGAAGGACGCCCAACAAGCAAACATTGTTTGGCAAAGCCACCGCCTCTCGGCATGCGACTTCCGAATTGTGACGCGTGCCGACTTCCTTCTATTGGATTTTAGGTGAAGCAATACAACAAACATCGTCGTCGGAAGATATGATGCCGTTTCTACTTGCATAACTGTCGGACTTTGGACTTTAGCTAACATATCTTCCGATTTGCTATTCTAATAAATACAAGAGGCATTGCCGTTTTCAGAATCTTCTTATCTGTATTCTTCCTCCATCTCCTCGAAAAACGCTTGCTGCAGTCATATCGTCATGGAAGACGATAACGAGACGACCTTGCAGCCCATCCGCACTGGACGCTCAGCACGCCAATTTCTATCACGAACACGGTCTAACAAGTCGAACAAATCATACAAATCGCGCTCACGGTCTGGTTCGAGGCCAAGTCGCCCAAGTAGCCCTCTGCACCGACTTACGTCGGCAAACTTCATCGACGACCATGGAATCTATCACCACAACGCCGAGTCCGACTATGAAGAAGAAGTAGAAGAGCAGGAATCAGAGCACGACGGCAGTCATGGTCTAACACCACATTCGAGCTCCGATTCAGAAGAGAAGGAGAAGGAGAAGGAAAAGCAAGAGCCGGATGAGATATTCATGGAGCCTTTCGGCGCAGAGACAGCACGCGATCTAGAAGCCCAGTCTGAAAAGGAAGAGCCTCCGAGGCTGTCGAGGAAGTCGACATCCAAGTCTGTCAAGGATCCAAATCTAGTGACCTGGGATGGACCTGATGATCCAGAGAATCCCAAGAATTGGGGCAAGGGCAGAAAGTGGGCGGCCACACTCGTTGTTTCTTCCTTCACCTTCATCTCACCAGTGTCTTCCTCGATGGTTGCCCCAGCCATTGGCGCCATATCTCGCGACTTCAACATTACGAGTACTGCTGAGCAGGAGCTGGTTCTGTCCATTTTCGTCCTAGCATATGCCATTGGTCCACTATTCTTGGGACCAATGTCTGAACTCTACGGTCGTGTCAGAGTTCTCCAACTTGCCAATGCCTTCTATTTCGTCTGGAATCTTGCCTGCGGCTTCGCTCAAAACAAGGGCGAGATGATGGCTTTCCGCTTCCTTGCTGGATTAGGTGGTAGCGCTCCTCTCGCCATCGGTGGTGGCCTGCTCAGTGACTGCTGGAAACCCGAAGAAAGAGGCAAAGCCATCTCGATCTATTCTCTTGCACCTCTTTTGGGGCCTGCTGTAGGTCCTATCGCTGGAGGTTTCATCGCCGAAAACACGACTTGGAGATGGGTCTTCTGGTCGACATGCATCGCATGTTTCTTCATCCAGCTGTCGGGCCTTTTCTTCTTGCAAGAGACCTATGTTCCCGAGTTGTTGAAGCGCAAGAAGAAGCAACTGATCAAAGAGACCGGCAACACAAACTTGCATACCGAATATGATGATCCAAACCGCAAGCTTTCTGTACACTTGAAGACAGCTTTCACCCGCCCCTTTATCTTGATAGGAACACAGCCAATCGTTCAGTTCTTGGCTATCTACATGGCCTACGTGTACGGCCTCATGTACCTAGTCCTCTCGACCTTCCCAGGCCTCTGGACAGACATTTATGGCGAGTCCACCGGAATAGGCGGTCTCAACTATATCTCTCTCGGCTTGGGCTTCTTCCTCGGTACCCAGATTGGTGCCCCCTTCAACGACTACTTCTACCGCCGCCTCAAGAAGAAGAACAACAATGTCGGACGCTCCGAATTCAGAGTACCTCTCATGTTCCCTGGCTCCGTACTCATCCCAATTGGCCTCTTCATCTACGGCTGGACCGCTGAATACAAGACCTTCTGGATCGGTCCCGACATTGGCGCCACCATCTTCGCCGCTGGCACCATCTTGGTCTTCCAGTCTTGCCAGACATACATTATCGATAGTTATCAGAGATATGCTGCGTCTGCCGTTGCTTCGACTACAGTGCTAAGATCTCTGGCTGGCTTCGGCTTCCCGCTGTTTGCACCTTCCATGTACAATGCGCTTGGCTATGGATGGGGCAACTCGGTGCTAGGATTCATTGCTGTTGGCATTGGATTGCCGGCACCATTCGTGCTGTGGAAGTTTGGTGAGAGGTTGAGAGCGAAAAGCAAATTTGCTTCTGGTGGTTAGAGAAAAACTTTCTATTAGTCTCTGCATATGTCAGATGTTCTTATACATTTAATTGCACTTTACCAACATCTGCACTTGCTTTTCCCATTAAGGTTCCCTTCCCACCTTGCTTTTCTGATCAAGACTCAGGTATTGCGAGTCAGCACATTGCAATGGATAGAGATATATTTGGCAAGATTGGCGATTCTGTCACGTACGGCCACAGTCAGCTGAAAACTGGGCATCCCGTCCGCTCTGCCATACATAAGCAGTTGAACGGCAGATTAGTACTACGGTGGGTGACCACGTGGGAATCCCTGCTGCTGTACGTTTTGTTTTTTTTGATCTTCTATTCTGTCTCCATCTTTTTCTTCTTCGCTCCTGATAGTGTGTTTTGTGCTTGTTGTGTGGCAGGTGTAATTTCTCTTACAAGTAGACGCGCGATCCTGAAGCTTGAGTATCATAAAGATGTATCTTTTGTGCATCTGCTCGCACAGTACAAGGATTGGAGAAGAGAAGACTTTTCTTAACAATGTCGATTCTGTGGAGAGTAAAAATGCTGTGTAAAACTGCCAATGGGTATACTTCTTGCGCCCAACAAAAGAAAGGTACCAAAGGCCAGAAACCAAAAACGCCGAAAAGATGTTAGTCGTCAGTCATGTCAAATTTTGTTGCTCAGATGCAAGCAAGTGGTGTTGAACCACTAAGGTAGAGTCGAGTGAGGTGTTCCCAACTACTTTCTACCAGTAGAGCCTCGAGCTCTCTTCTGTGTAGGCATTCTGGCGATCTTCGTGTCCGCATGATCCTTAGTGGGTGGCTCAGCAGCATTACCACGACTCACGCTCATCGAAGCTATCGCTCCAGCAAGATCCTCTTCGACCGCAGCTCCAGAAACATCCTCCTCAATCTCAGCATTCTCGTTCTTGGCGGCATACCTGGCCGCATTGCCTCTAGCGCCTCTGCCATAGCAATGAGTGTTCAGTGCATGCATGAGATTCTGGACCTGCTTGTTCGCCTCCCAATTTGCCGGATAGACAGTCTTGCTGAACACACTGCGGGAGCTGCACCAGTCCTGAGGTATCTCTTTCCAGCCACCGAGCACCTTGATGATGGTTTCGAGATCAGAAGCACTGAGTTGCGACCAGTAATCAGGGCGCTTCTTGCAGCAAAACAAAACGATGGCCATAGGGAGGGAGAAGACATCGCCGTAGGAGAAAGCGATGCTTCTGAGTTGGCCCAGTTCGGCGATCGTGTAGTCCATTTCTTCACCAGGTATAGCGCGGATCCCGTGGACGTCAAAGGGGTCGATGTAGTTCATGCGCAGTGCAGGTAGGTGTTTGAGCAAACCTAGCTCGCACAACTTGCCGTAAGGCACAGCCTTGTAGAATGGTCCCTCGATCACGCCATGAATGAGATACTCTTCTTCGTAGATATATCCACCACAGCCCAGAATCTTACCCAAGGCAGGCACGTGGAAAGCAGGATTGGACTTGGCCAACTCCTCAGTGTCAATGATGGCGACATGAACAGTGCCAGACGATTCACGCTGGTGGGCATAGTAGAATGCAAAGTATGGCGAGTGAGACCAGGAAGAGAATTCAGTCAGAACGATGCTGCCTGCCAGATGCGACAAGGTGTTCTTGGTGAACTCGGATCGAGTCATCTCGTAGACGGAATCGTGACCTTTCGATGAGGCAAAGGCCAGAGGTGTAATGGCAGTAGTGGAGTTGAGCTTGCGATTGCCGCCTGACTCTGCATCCCACACGCGGAAGAGATACTTGGGAACATTCTTACTGGCCTCTNNATATGTCATGATCGTCAGCCACAACAACTTCCAGAGAAGAGGATTGCACATCGTACGCTTCAGTTTTGTTCTCAGAGCTTGGTCATCCTTGATAGGCTTTTCATTGGTGTTGCTGACAGGTTCCCTGTGTTTCCCGAAAGAATAGCCCCAGGCGAAGCTTGACATTTGGTGTGGATGTGTGAGAAGAACAAGATCGATATGTTAATTTTCGAGCGTCGCTGGATGATTGGGATTGTATGTTTGCTCTCTTAAGCTCATATTGGCACCCCATGGCCTCAGAACTATATACCTGTTGAACTTCAGCATGGTCGGCCAGGACAAAGAAATGCGAGACTCGTTTTCTTGCTGCGCTACTGTCTTTCGTGGAGGACAGAGACGAGACTGTAAGCATGTTTCTGGTATGTCAGTGTCTCAGACAGCAATAGGTGTCTCTGTTACACCATAGCATTCAGGAGTGGCAAGACCTCCTCATGCATTTTCAGCCAATTGGAACACCCCGGAGACAGGTTCACAATTCAGTGCTGTCTGAAGACATCGTGGCCTTTCAGTCCTCATTGTCTGTTATAATGGCTGGTCAACCTCGAGCTGAACTGACACCAAATTGCAGCATGATGATGTATGTGTAGAACCGACATCCAGTTCAAGTAGGGTGATCTTTCGAAAATAGCCAACAAAGAAATCCTCAGACAATATTCTTCGTGAAAGTGGAGTCGAGCAAGACGATTTCGGAAGAGGAAGCGTGACTTTGATCAACGCTGTCAAAATCTGTCAAAAGGAAATCACGCGTATACGGTAATATTGATATAGCAGTTTGCGACGATCTTTGAAGGCGCTGCCAATAAGAGTCCAGGTATAGAGCAACAAGGTGCAACGAACCTGACGTGAGTGGAGCTTCGCGATAAGCCGATAAGGTTGTGCGTGACAGCCTTGGTGTGAATCGGCCCGACGATACAGTAGATCAACAGTATGCAACCACGATCTTTCGCGCTTGCGATGTACTGTATACATTGATGTGTTGCAGAGAAACGTGAACACCTTCCGGCTATCTTGTATGCATCTGAAGCTGTATGTCTGATCTACTGATCTGATACATCGAGAGCCGTTCGAAGACAACCGACAAGCAGTTCCCTCATTGCCGGTCTCACGCGTGGCACTGCTAGTTGGACTGATTCGAAGTCATATGCCGTTGAAATACTGACAGGGATGTTCACTGATTGAGATACAACCTCGCTCGTCTGGACTAGAGTGTAGGTGTCCGTTAACTCCTTTTGTGCGTGGAGTATTTGTAGAAGACCCACTCCTCAGAGGCGTTGGAGGAAGGCTTGATATTGGGCGGCCTTCATATGGAGGACTCCACATTGCGAGGCGGCAGTGGAAAAACTTATCTGATTTGAAGGAATCTGGTGTGCCTCGAAGTAGGTGCTTGTCCGAAAGTGATACATGGCAAACAGGATGCGGCAAGGCGTGCAAGAACGGCCTGACCGGCTGTGCTTGCCATACGTTGAGCAGTCTTGTCCAGACTGTAGATCCTCTGCCTTACACTGAGCTGACTTGTGAGAGCGACCTATCATTGATCGAATCCGGCAAAGATGGACTGCCAGAGCAAGTAGAAGCCACTCGGCTACTCCACACTGAAGCCGTTGCTGGACAACGCTCCGGGCGTAGTCTAATAGACACGTTAAAAATGTGAGACCAATACTTCTTCGCGACAAAAGAGTTAATCTTGCAAAGGCTGGAGCCACAGGGTACGAGGCTGAGCAGATAGCAGAAAATGAACAGCGTGGAGACCGCGCCGGAGGGAGGGAACGAGAAAAAGGCGTTCTTGCTCGCTTTGGTTGGCCGCTTCGAGAGAAACGTCGGCGGAGTGATGGCTCTCTGGTGATATCATCACAAGATCATGTAATACAGCAGGCGACATGTTCCTCGGTGAAGGAGTGTCCTTGATGCTGAGTACTCAGTCTTTGGAGTTGTGTGTTGTGTATACCTGTGGCCAGAACATTCGCATACTGATGAAGATCATGGCTAGGCTCTGACAGTTGGCCGTCAGAAAGAGACATGTCTCTTAGCAGGCGGGCACAAGTTGCTTCGCGTGCTGTGTCTGCCCTGTGCGTGAAAGTGCCGTGCAACTAGAGGCGGATTTACAAAAGACCCTGTATCGATAACGTGGCGTAGCGCATCGGAGTTGGTGACGACTGTGGATGCGTTCCCAGATGGACATAACCAGTATATGCTTGGCAGAAAGGGAAAGCAGTTGAAGACTGGACGTTGACGCGGATTGGGATTGGGAGTTGGATTTCGAGGCTTTTGCGGCGCATCTACGGACAGTGTTTCCTGCGGGTTCCATACGAGCAGCGTGCGTTCTCAACAATCTCTTGGCTATCATGGCGCCTTCCGCAGATGCTGAACCATGGTCACGAAATCAGTCCGTCCTTACACTGTTCTGCTATTAGAACCAATGCCTTCTTGAGATCTCATAAGCGAATATTCAACATGAGATCGAAATGTAAGACACATCAGAATTCAACGCCATGTTAAAGTGTTCGTGTGAAAAGAGTCCTGCAGCATGGACCAGGCAGATTTGCCGGAGAATTCGCGACAGCCGCAACCGCACGAGGTGATCTGCGAACGCTGCATCCGTGAGCTCCCACCACATGATGAGAACGTCGTCCATTGAGGAATCCACTCTGTTATCGTATCCATCCCTTTCGTTCTCTATTATCGACAAGATCCCGGTCTTCCGAGAGAACGCGTGGTATAGTGCACTCTATGCAAACACGTTGTTCAAGCAATCAAAGATGCGAAGCTGAACACGAACAAGACCTCAAGACTCCAGCTGAGCACAACTTCCAAATCTCACATCTCATATCACCAACTTCTCCATCCCACCGAGCCAACATCTTTTAAGCGAGAATGATCATTGTAAGTTTTGTGGACAACATATCCACTCTTCAATTCAAATGCACTACGACTATGGCAAACTCTGTTTGGCAAGACCTTCGTATGCGCCGTTGCAACGACGCCCCGTGAGCGCCATCGACCGTTATACATCGATAATTGCCGACTCAGCTATTGTACGTTTTGTTTTGGAGAGACATTCCCCTTTCCCAGCTCAACGATCTTTTCATCTACTGCTTTTGATTTCTCCATCATGATTGAACAATCTCTATAAGTACAGTCGACAATCCGTGTCTCAATGCTCTCTCCAGACCGCAACGATCTCGCCTACTAATCACAGCTTCATCTTGTTTGTTCATCCGCTTGCGGATTTTAATACCTTTATTTATAATTTTTCATAATGAGGTCCTTCGATTTCAGCGCTTCGGCGCTCAGTGTCCTTGCTCTGGCATCATCTGCTTCGGCATTCTGGCGTATGCCCTGCCCTGGACGCATCGCTACCGAGCGTCTTGATCCTATTGTCAACCCTGGCGGCGTCTCTGGTCACGTCCACACCATCTCTGGCTCCAACGTAAGTTGGGATATGAACATCACTGTGGCAAACACTATCTAATACATTGTGCAGGGATTCAAGCCTGAGATGACATATGCTGATGCTCGTGGTGGTGCATGCTCTTCGTGCCCCATCAAGCAAGATATGTCCAACTACTGGACCCCCAAGCTCTACTACCAATCCGAAAACGGCACATTCATCGATGTTCCCCAAGCTGGTGACGGTATCGGTGTCTACGGCGGTATGACTGTTTACTACCTCCAAAGAGGTGGTCCCAACAACGACAACCTTACCGCTTTCCCTGAGGGCTTCCGCATGCTTGCCGGCAACCCTTTCAAGCGCGCAGAGACCGACGACTTTGCTGGCCAGGCTGTCAGCTTTGTCTGCCTCGATTACAGTGGTACCTCTTCTTACACTAGCGGCCTTCCTAACAAGGTCTGCCCCGATGGTCTGCGCGCTCAAGTCTTCTTCCCTTCTTGCTGGGATGGCGTCAACCTCGACTCTGCCGACCACAAGTCTCACATGGCCTACCCTACTAAGTACTCTTACGACAACGGCCCTTGCCCTGCATCTCACCCTGTTCACATGATCTCCATCTTCTACGAAATCATTTACTCCACTGCCGGCTTCGATTGGTGGAACGGCACCAACCAGCCTTTCGTTTTCGCCCAAGGTGACCCTACTGGTTACGGGTTCCACGGCGATTTCATCAACGGCTGGGATGTTCCCACTCTTCAGGAGGCAACCAACACCTGTAACAACGACTCCGGTCTCATCACTGACTGCCCTGTCTTCGACTTCTTCTCCAATGCCGAGTCTCAGGCTTGTGTCATTGCTCCTGTCATCGATGAAGCTGTCACCGGAGAATTGCCCAAGCTTCCTGGTTGCAACCCTGTCACCTATGGCCCTGGCGATGCTCCTCATTCAGAGGCTGGCTGCACTGACACTGCTAAGCTTGGTTATGCTCCCGTGTACTACCAGAACGTCACTGGTTGGGACTACGTTGGCTGCGCTCCCGACTCTGTCAGCAGCCGCACCCTCGCCAACTCGACCTTCATGTCTAGTGATATGACCGTCGAAAAGTGTTTGTCGTACTGCAAGGGCAAGGGTCTCAACTACGCTGGTCTTGAGTATTCCACTCAATGCTACTGTGGCTCTGACCTTCCCGTTGGCCTCGAGCCCACGCCTGGTGTTCTCGGAAACTGCTTCTCTCCTTGCGCCGGTAACTCTTCGCAGTACTGCGGTGGTGGCAACCGTCTGAGTATCTACTACACCTCTGCCAACTTGACCGAGTCGACGATCTCATGCCCCTCTGGCAACGGCCAGAACTTCACTACTCCCAACAACGCTACTTTCAACATCAACTGCGCTGGCGACTCCAACGGCAAGGATCTCAACATGGTCTACGTCAACAACGGCATTCAAGAGTGTGTCAAGACTTGCAGTACCACTACTGGTTGTGTTGCAGTCTCTCTCTCCGGAGCTGCTTGCTACATGAAGAGCACCGTCGGTACCATGAGAAGTGCATCTGGTGTTCAGCACGCTCAGCTCGTCTCTGCATCTGCCGCTTCTTCCTCTTCTTCGTCTTCCTCTTCCTCTGCAGCATCCTCCACTCAGAGTTCGAAGGCTTCATCGACCAGCTCTTCTGCTTCATCCACCAGCTCTTCTGCTTCGTCCACCAGCTCTCTTCCTAGCTCAGCCACCAACGCTGCCGGTTCTGTCTACAACCTCTTCTACTCTTCTGACTCCGGCCAAGGATCGTTCACCAACACCCAAGCCAGCAGCTCTTACACCGACTGCATGACCGCCTGCGATGCCAACTCCAAGTGTACCGCCTTCACCTACGTTGGTGGCAAGAATGGTCAAGGATCCGGTAAGTCTTGTTCTGCCCTCTGTCGAGTCTTCAATACTAACATCACTTTTANNGGTACCTGTTGGCTCAAGACTCAAATGGGCAACGCCGTCTCCTCCAACAGCAATGTCCTTTCCGGCTCCCGTGTCAGCATGGGTAACAAGGCTGCCGCTTCTGGCTCTTCGTCTTCTGCCATTGCTTCTCAATCTGGTTTCGTCACCGCTTCCGGTACCAGCGCAAAGGCAGCTGCTACTAGCACTTCCTCCAGCGCTACTGCCACTGCTACCACCACTGTCGCCGCTTGCCCTGATTCGAACAACGCCATCTACACTGACAAGACTTCCGGCGCTCAGTTCCTCATCGAGTGTGGTATCGACCATGCTGGCGGTGATTTGAAGATGGTTTATGTCGACTCATTCGCTTCTTGCATCCAGACCTGTGCTCAGACCACCGGCTGTGTTGATGTTTCTCTTTCTGGCTCTGCTTGCTACATGAAGAAGTCTGTCGGCTCTGTTGTCAAGTCCGGCGGCATCAAGGGTGCCAAGCTTATCCCTGCCAACAGCGCTACTGCCAACGTCAACGTTGCACAGAAGGCTGCTTCAGTCAAATCTTCCTCCACCAGCCAGAAGACCACTTCTACCATGAAGACTAGCACCAAGCCTACCACTAGCACCAAGGCCACCACCTCTACCCGCAAGGCCTAAACACCTTGTGTTTCTTTCTTATGTTCTTTCTTTAATGTCATAATGAACACGGCAGGGCCGATCATCCATTTGAAAAGAGGAGGACAAAAAGTAAGAAGTATCGGGCTCACTAATCATCATCAGAAAAAACAAACACAAAAACACGATAGAAGAATGACTATCTAATGAAGGGATGAGGATCTTGATGATCTTAGAGGCTGTTGGGCAGTGCCCTTTGACCTCGACTACTTTCTTGTCCATATACAACTGGTTGTATGTACATAGCATTTTACATTGTCTCTAGTAGACGATATAATTTTAATTTATCCTATTTACACTGAATACTTTTCTTACCTCAATGTTTGTTCTTCTGAGTGCTTCATTGGTTGGGTAAAACATGTCAACGCTCTGTGTGAGTGGATACTTGTTCCGGTTGAAGAAAGTGCAACCACGGGCAAGATTGCAGTGATAGGCCAAACATGACTTCCTATCTGGGCGATAAGGTCAGCATAAATCTGCACATTTATGCATATCTATACATTAATTTGCATGTTATATCACCTCCGCGGCTCCACCCTATCTTTACCATCTTGCATTGTTGATGTCGCATCTCCTACTGGTCGCTTTCCTATCGTTGAGGCATGAGACTGCATCATTCAAGCACGTTTCGCCTCAATGTTCGGTCAGCCAAGATGTCCCAACAGCATTGTAGGCGATTGTATGCCGCCGGGCTCTCACGTCCCTGTTTCTACAACGTGATGGAGTGTGGACCACCACCGTTGGTAGTCCGACTATTCTCTATCTCTTATCACATGCAACGAGATGTTGGAGTCATACCCCAATTATCTTTCAGTACATGACCAGCATGTCTCCGTGTTAGAGACTCCGATATTCATAACTTTGGATCATCGAACTTCGAGGCCACTCTACCACGACCATGTCGCTCGAACAAAAACGAGATTTCGTAGCTACCACGCTACCAGATGAGAAATCCGACGCATCTGTCGGCGAAGTACATGATCTGGGCTACGATACAGAGGCAGAAAAGAGAGTACTAAGAAAATTCGACAAATTCTTACTACCTCCTCTCGCCGTGATTCTGTTAGTCGCCTATCTCGACAGATCAAATCTAGGCAATGCAAAAGTGTTTGGTTTCGAAGATGGTAAGCACTTTATGAATGAGACCAACCCACAATTTAGAGCCTGTTTAACATAAGCTTTAGGCATTGGTCTTGTTGGCAATCAATTCAACACAATCTCTACGCTCTTCTACCCATTTTATGTCCTGTTCGAAGTGCCCTGGACAATGGCAGTCAAGCGATTTGGTGCCAATCACGTCCTTGGTGTTGCTATGATCGCTTGGTCGGTCATAACTCTTTCCACAGGCTTCATTCAGAATTACTCGCAAGCAATTGCGGTAAGAATATTGCTTGGAGCATTCGAAGCTGGTCTAGTACCCTCGGTAGTATTCATCATCAGTACGATCTGGGAAAGAGAAAGACAGAGTAAGAGAGTTGCCATTATATATGGCGCAAATTGCCTTTCAGGAGCATTTGGCGGGTTGATTGCTGTAAGTTCTGCCTATATCTACCTCTATCTATGTCAAGTATGCTTACGAAATGTAGNNTATGGTATCGAGAGTATGGGTACGCAACGTGGCCTCGAGTCCTGGCGATGGCTGTTCATTGTCGAAGGATCTATCTCCATTGTCTTGTGTGGTATCTGCTGGGCCATCCTGCCCAAGAATGCCGAAACAGCATGGTTCCTGAACGCCGAAGAGAAAGCTGTGATGGTCGCCAGGAAACAACGCAATCTTGTTACCAGAGGCACCGAAGAGTTCTCTTGGTCGCATGTTCGTTTGGCTTTCACAGACCCGATCATCTACATTGCTTCGGCCAGCTTCTTCTCAGCTTCTATTGCTCTGTTTGGATTTGGTACTTTCCTTCCAACTATCATCAAAGGACNNTTGGGTAAGTAAAGGTATCGCTGTCTGAGAAGTTGACTAGACTAATCTCTCATCAACAGATACACCTCTTTACAAGCAAACTACTTGACCATCCCTGTATATGTCTTCGCGACCCTGACTCTCATCACCGCAACTTTCACCTCCGACCGGCTGAAGAAAAGAGCAGCTGTCCTCGCCGTCCTGCCAGTCGCACCAATCATCGGCTACGTTATCGCTTGCGGTACAGCCAACCATGCAGCAGGCTATTTCGCCATGTTCCTGTGTGGCGGCGGTATCTACAGTTATAACTGCTTGATCCTCACATGGATATCGACTAACATTGCTCCTGACTACAAGCGCAGCATGGCTATGCCGTTCTTTGTCTCGCTTGCCAACGTTTCGGGTGTCGTGTCTTCATGGATATACGTCAGCACGGAAGCCCCTAGGTACTTGATGGGTAATGCTGTTAGTGCCGGTATGGAGACGTTGGCGCTTTGTGGCGTTGTGGCTGTATGGTGGACATTGAGACGCAGAAACTTGGAGAAGGAGGAGTTGAGAGCGCAGGGTGTTGAGGACAACGGCAAGGACGGTGACCAGGCGCTGGATTTCGTATACAACCTCTGAGAGGCAGGTCAAGAAGTCGATCATAATGAAGTCCCTAAAAGCGACATGGTCGCCTATCAATTTCGCTCATGAAGCAGGCGAAGTAGCCACACTCTCAATCCTCTGTGTACCCCTCTCCCTATCCTTGAACCTACAACAGCTCTCTTGGCATAAACACGTCTTAGGCAGATTACGCCAATAAGCATCCGAGTAGTCGACCGTGATTTCCTGTCCAGCTTCTATGCCTCTGCTCACGAGAATGATCCTCTGCATCCCCATCCACACAAAACGCTGGAACTGGGAGTTCGGGCGGCAAGAGTGGTTGACAAAGCGAGTGTAGTTGCCTTCGCGGCCCTGGTAGATCTGATAGCGTTGCTCGGCTTCGGCTTGCATGACGTCTATGCCTTCGAGGCCTTTTGTGATGAGACCTGTAAATTCGCCAATTGCGACGCCGCGTTCGAAAGGCTAGGAGAGCGAAATCAGCAAACAAGATCTCAAAAATTGTATATAAGGGGTCTGTTCGGATTCGGGACAACTTACACAACATGCCATAAGCCCGTTGTTGCGTCCATTCTTGGTGCGGAAGATTTGGACAGGCGCCATGGGTAGATGGTCACTGCCGAAAAGGTTCGGGAAGCATCGACATGTGCTCTCGGTTACATCTTCTGATTGTTTTTCTCCGCATACGCTGCAAACAAAGGCTGATTGTTGTGTCACCACAGCGACTTGACGAGGATCGTTGGCGCCAAATGCATAAGGGTCCACGACCGAAGACTCCAGATGGGTGAAAGAAAATTGTGGGTCGTACTGTAGGTAGGTTTGTTTGAGCGGTACAGGATCATCCTGGTCGGAAACGACCCAGTCGTGTGGGTGGCCGGTGTAGGCGCGAGTGGAAGGGTCGCCAACGATTGCTAGCATGTCTCGCCAGTACGGGTGCTATATCAATTTAGCGATATTTCAGCAATTCTTGGGGGAAGTTACACAAACCAATGTGTCAGCGGCAACTTCGAATCGGGCACGCATTCGTCTGAGACTTGCCATAGACTCTGGATCGAAGCCGATGCGATACTTGCAAAATCTGTAGATGCCCATTCCTGCGAACACCAAACATACCCATCCTCCATGGTCTTTGATTTCTTTGTAGCCACGCCAGATGGCNCCTGGGGGATATTCGTCAGCTTAGATCGTTGATTAGGAGTCCAAGAAGTCTCACATCTTGTTTCGAATCTCCTTCTCACTCCACCCAATTTCAGAACACGCCTGAGCAAGCGCTTTCATTCTAGCCTTCGTAGCCGATAATTGAGGATTTCCTTTTGCAATCTCCTGGACCTGGCGGTCGAAATATTCAACCCATGAAGCTTGAACCACTACTTCGAGAGCTCGTGAGCATCGACTGGCCTGACTGATTTTTCGACACAACAAATTCATCCTAGTAAAAGTCCTTTCTGGCGATGTAGCTGGCGGTACTTGTACTGCGCTAGGTTGATGGCCATCCTCGGCCATATCCGTGATTAGTGTTCGATGGGCCTGGAATCCAGTTGTTCGCCATTCGCTTGAGACGACGCTGATGTCAAAACTCATGCTACTGAAAATCTGCTCCCAAATGCCAACGACTAATTTGCTCAGAGTGGAAGGACGTAAGGCTGGTTCATCCCTTGTCGTTCGTCTCTGTGGTTTCTCCCTAACATCCGTCTGAAGACGACGGACGGGCGCTTGCTCGCTCTCTGCAGCCTCAGGTGACATGCTCTGGTTTGCTGATCCAGTAGGTCGTTGTAATCTCAATCCTCCTGTGATCTTCCGCCGTTTCGATGACTCCGAGTCAGAGTCATTGTTCAGTGCTCGACGTGGCCGATTACTTCGTCTTGGAACAGTGTCTCCAGAAGGTTGTACTTCGCTACCAATATGAGCCTGCTCGGTCTGTCTCCATTCAACTGAGGATTCAAAAGGTGTTTCTGTTGTGGCCACAGAAGAATCCCTTCCACTCTCAATCAGTGGTGAGATGTCAAACNNACGCCCTTTGAGAAACACAGAAAGTCAGCGTGAATGCTCGTTGACGGGCTACTTTTCGCACTGGGTCGGTGAATCAATTACAAAATCAATAGAAGACGAAACATCGCCATCAATATAGCCCTTCAGGTCGAGCTTGCACGCCGCAGGTGGAGCTTGGCCTGACGCGCTAGCCGTCGCGATTTGCTGCACGATCGTTCTCGCAATATGAGCTGACAACTTGTCCAGCGCACTCGGGTCAGCATTCATTGTGGGTATAAGAATCGGTTGTAAGTAATGGACAACAATGAAGAATGATGTCAAGGTCAAAGATGTGGTTGCGGAGAAAAGTGGCGCGTAAAAGGTAGGGCAGTTGCGACTCTGGACCCTGCAATCATTTGTACACGGCTGTGGCTTGGGCTTGGCAATTTTCTTGTAGTCTCATCAACCTCCTGCTGCACAAGATGCTCGTTGAAGCGATGTAATTGGCATTGGAAGGAATTTTAGACTGCTTGTGATACGCATTGAGTCATCATGGCGTACGAAAGTATTCAACGGAGATGACCTCCGTCAGAAATTCAGGCACACCATGTGGTCCAACAGGGCTGTCTCGCTTAAACGGCTACGCGCGGCTTCCTTGGTTGTCATGATCGCTATCTCGAGAAGGAATCAGAAGACAAGCCAGGAGACTGAATATCAGAGTTGCTACCAGCAGGAAAAGCAAGAAACGTCTCAGAGAGACTCTAATTGGTCTGCTTTTCAGTGTATATAGAGATTATATAATGACGATAGGAAACATCGAAAAGAGAAAATCTGATCCGTCTGCTCTGTTGCCAGCTACATTCCCTCAAGATTGTTGCTCTTTGATCCCCGAGAATCAAGATATTTAGCAGCTGGCGCCAGAGCCGCTGGGGATTCCGGAGCACTTGCTGGACTTCTTGCCACCAGAGATCTTGTTGCCAGACCACTTCCAGTTAGAGCAAGCACCAGAGGCACAGAGAATGTAGGTGTTGGTACCAGAGCTAGAAACACCAACGGTGTTGTCGGTCATGGTGAGGCCAGTGATTGGGACACCGCTGGTGGGCTTACCAGTGGGAGAGCCATTCTCGTAGTCCTGCTCGATGACAACACCGTACTTGGAAATACCAGAGAGGACATTGCCAGAGTAGGTGACACCAGAAACCTTACCAGTAGCGCCATAGACAGTCTTGATGCGGAGACCGTTTTGAGAGTTGGTAACCTTGTTGTTCAAGAACTTGACGTTAGAGACGGTGTTGTCATCGCGACCACCAACCGAACCGATGGAGAGACCGTGGCCACCAGTGCAGGTAGAACCAGAAACAGTGATGTCGGATCCGGAGTTGACAGCGACGCAATCATCCTAGGATGAATCTCAGCACTGAAGTACTAAAGAAGCTACAAAACTGAAATGACTTACCTGGTTGTGGATGTTGGCACCATCGATGGTGATACCGGAGGAAGAACCAATGTCAAAGGCATCGGTATTGTGGCCCTTGTTATCGCCGTCACCCGCAGAGTTGTCCACAGTAACGCCAGACAGAGTCAGCTGCTTAGAGTCGTTGATAGAGAAGACCTGAACGGGCGAGTTCTTGATCTTGATGTTCTGAATCTTGGAGTTGGTCATCTTGTGGGCGTAGAAGAACTTAGGCTTGGTCTTGCCACCGTTAGTACCCTTGCCGTCCCACCATCTGCTTCCATCACCATCGATGACAGATCCGGAGGCGCCGACGACGGTAATGTGGTCACCAGAGACCGAGACGAGAGGACCCTTCCACTCCTTGTAGCCGAAGGTGGTGGTGCCCTCGAAGGTAACGGTGGTGCCAGAAGCCAGGTTGGTCAGGTCAAGGGTAGTACCGGCAGGAACAACGGCATCCTTGATGATAATGCTGGAGCAAGACTTCTTCTGCTTGAGAGCATTGGAAGCTGCAGAGGAGCCAGAGAAGGTACAGCTGCCACGCTCCTGAAGAGTAGGAGCTGCGATAGCTGCACCGCTAAGTAGAGCGGCGACAGCGAGGCCAGAGAATTGAACCATGATTGCTTTTCGAAGAAATAGTGTTGAGGAAGTAAAGAGTGTAAGACGAGACCGGCTCGAGAGTTGGAATGCGACAAGAAAGAGAGTGTGGGGGATGATAGACAAACAACTATGGAAAGAGAGGCAGCAGTACTTAAATAATCGTTCCTACTCTTCTAGATTGCGGGTCGCAAGGATACGATTTGCATGGGCATCGAATTCCTACTTGGCGCGGCTGCCGCAGATGTGTGCTGGGACTACTCACGTATCACTGCACCATTTGGCATACAAATTGACATCAATATAGAGCTCGTATCGCATCGGGAAGAACTTGATGATAATTCCAGGCGTAAGGTGTGGCGGCCATGAGGCCAGTAGATGGGATCGGAGGCTCGGAAGAGGACTTTGCAAAAACGCTCTGATCAGAGAGCTGTCCACGCCGCCCCACAACAACTTCTGACAAGCTCGGTCAAGCACCACCCAGCATATTTGGAAACAGCGATCAACCTGTTCATCCGGAAAAGTTCAAGAGAAGCTACAGGGCTGCTCTAATCTGGGAAAGACACCGTTCGAGTTGCTCCAGATGATTGACAGATCGAGACGTTCAACGTCCTTCGCACCAGCGTTCTCAGCTGTCCAGCTTAGGGCATGGCACATGCAGTGTTTCATGAAACGAGTTGAAACACCAAAAGCCATAACGAGAAGCCCATCTCTCATGACCATATCTTGCCCTTTAGCTTGGCAGCCTCGCTTCCATTTAAGTAGCCCTACTTGCCCTGCGAACGTTATACCGGATGTTCCGCGTGACGAGGGCATCGCTCCGCCATTCTGATGAGTGTTGACCTTGCCCTGGTGTTTCATAGTGTCTCCTACGATCAGGTCCAGAAGTTAGTTTGCGCAAGGTGCATGAGGAGATCATGGGATGATCGAGGTCTTGCAGCTTCAGCGGCCAGCTGCTGAGGCTTGAGCCTTCTCGCACGTCTCAAGCCAGGCTGCAGCATGATCCCAGGCTCGATTGATTTACGTGCTTCTATCGTCAAGAAGACGGAAAATCTCCGTATAGAAGTGTTGATCATATGGAGGTCATCACTTGGCGGTGGAGGGCAAGGAAGAAGATGGCTACAAACCAATAGATATGCCAAGGTCAGGCGTCGCTTTGAGCTCAAGAATGAGGCTCACAATTGACGCATCCCAGATTTCAAGACGCTGTAGAAGGATTTGCGAATGGAATCGTCTCTATGCATCTATACATCCGGCATGAGTCGTCAGAACAAACACCACACTTTTGATCCGCACAAATCATGGTACGTCTGTGGCAACGACGCCACATCACCAACGTTCTTCGTGCCTGGAGAGCGCCATCAAGCCTCATCAAACTCATCATCCGACGCACGACCCTCCATAGTAGGAACAAGGATGCTTTGCTAGCTTTGTCATCAAGAACAGGGCACAGAGCCTCATTATATCAACTACCATATCATGGATAGTATGGCTATCTAGCACATACACCGTAACCGAGGGCAAACAACTCCTTACAAAACCCTGAACGTAGAGGTCGCCTTGAAATCTCTGCTGCTCAAGCCAACCGAAACTCCAATCTCTCCTTCTGCGATGACCCACTCTTGTTGGAACACGCTCCAGTAGCTGAGATCGCGTCTGGTGAGATCGAAGTTGACTACTGTGCTCTGCCCTGGCTGGAGGCTGACCTTCTCGAACCCACGGAGCACATGCAGCGGTGTGGGGTCCTCGCCAGGGACTTGAGGAAGTGACAAATACAGCTGCGGGACTGTAGCACCGGCAACATCACCTGTGTTTGAGACGGTCACTGTGGCTCGGTAAAGGACATCCCAGAGAGTAGGGTTGCCACCAGGGATGATCTTGGCAGGGGGAGGAGTGCTGGTGATGTTAGAGCCACCGTAGACATCGCTGACGCTCAGTGACGAGATCTCGAAAGTCGAATACGAAAGACCAAATCCAAACTCGTACTGGACGCTTTGATTGTAGTAGTCGAAATGACGGTAGTCAATCAACAGACCTTCCTTAAAGTCTGATTGCCAAGCATTTGGATTTGTGGTGGTTGCCAGAGCAGTACTGTTGGTAATATCGGCAAAGGAGTAGTCGTCTTGAGTCTTGGCAATAGTGTAAGGCAGTTTACCACTGGGATTCACATCGCCATAGAGGACATCCACCAAAGAGTTACCAGTTTCAGTACCTGGAAGGTGTGCTGCTAGGATAGCAGTGACATTAGGGTTATCGGCCCAAGGCATGACGTTCAATCCGCCAGAATGAGTGACAATGATGGTGTTGTTGCAGACACTGGCCACTGATTCAACGACTGCAGTGCTGTTCCAGTCTGCTAGGAGCGTGCTTCGATCAATGCCTTCTTGAGCCCAAGTCTTCAAGAAGACAAGGCAAACATCAGGTGGCGAAGGTGCAAGACTTGCCAGGCCTCTAGGTGTTGATAGCAACGTGTTGTTGAGAATCCACTGTACAAGACTACCATCCTGTGCAGCTCGGGCTTTGATGGCAGTGAGTGGATCAACAAGGTAAGACATGCGACCTGTGCCGGACCCGCCCCCGACCGGAAGCGTGCCATACTCTNNACATGGGAAGTCAGTCATGGTCTATGTGTGTGCTCGGAGGTCTGCCTTACCATAGCCAAGTGGGTTCTGCTGGTAGGGAGCACTACTAAAGTATTCGCCATTGATCAGATCCCCTGCATCATTGCCTAGCACTGCGATGTTCTTCGGCGCTTTCAATGGCAAAGCATTGTTGACATTCTTCAAGAGAACAGTTCCAGCAGACCCAAGTTCTCTGATCAATGTAGCATGATTTGCACGAACATCGACGTTGGCAACTGATCCAAGAGGGAACTGGACAGTCGAGGGGAGAACACTGAAGAAGCCTCCAATACTGCTGCTTGGATCAATGGGGGGATAGTCGGTGTTCTGCTTGAGATGGAAGTATGGTGTCATGATGCGCTTGATCATGTCGTCAAGACGAGCCTCGGAGAGAGAGCCATTGTTGATAGCGGTGGTGATATTACCGCCAAAGTAGCTATTGGTTGTTCCAAAGAATCCAATTGTACCAGGCATATCCATGTCAAGACCCGCTTCGATTGATGCGACTCCACTGTGGGTAGCCTGCGATAGTCAGGATACCATTAATATTCGCTAGGTAGGAAGACTTACACCCCAATCACTCATGACATAGCCCTGGAACCCAAACTCTTCTTTGAGGATGCCGTTCAACGTTTTGGAATTCGCGCAACCGTATGAACCATTGACTCTGTTGTACGAACACATCACCGAAGCGACACCACTCCGGATTGCATTAGCAAATGGCCAGGAATAGAGCTCATGCATAGTACGGTCATCGATATTCGAAGAGACTGCTTCGATAGTAGTTCCATTGCGAGTAGATGGGTTGCGTTGAGTCTCTTGTTCATTTCCGATGTANGTCTGCGTAATTTAGTGTTCCGCTCCACATATCCGGTATATTGTAGACTTACGTTTGACACAAGCCTGTACTCCTGTTGATTGCATGCCCCAGATTGTCTGCTCGACAGCAACACCACTGAGGAAGGGATCGGGCGAGAAGCCTNNATGTAGTGGTCAGTTCGAGGTCTCTCGTGTTGACGCGGATACTTTACCTTCCCAATTGCGTCCACCACGGCCATTGCGACCTGTTGGTATCATTAGAGACGAATACAGACATGCGTAGAAATATGTATGACATACCAAGNNTGGCCCAACAACTGGACCAAGCGCAACATTAGCTCCCTTACCTCTGAACTCTTGACCCATATACAATCCTCTGGTATACATGAGCCCTTTGTCCCACGAGGCTGCAGTAGTCAATCCAGCAGGGAATACTGAAGCATAAGTTGCCTGTCTAATTGCCAAGGGGCCGTCCTGCAAGCAGAGTCCNTGTAACGCTAGTCAGTGGGGACGTAAAAAGAATGAGATGAAAGACCTGAGCTTACCATCGAAGCCCAGACGCTCGATGGGAGCGATGTTGCCGACACAAGGTCCGGAAGAGCCNTGGAGAAGAAGGTGTAAGCTGAAATCATATTGATCGACTCAGCCTAGCTCACCTGTAACTAGACCAGCTTTCTCTTCCAAGGTCAAATTAGCTAGGAAGGCTTCTGCTTGAGCCAGAGCAGTCTCCCAGCCAATACCCGCGGTCTCGGCTATAATTCGATCAGAAACACATTGACCGTCGGTTGTTAAGATGGGTCTGAAATTGACCAAAGCCAACCCAGTCGAGATTACTTACGGNCTTGGATACACTGGTGGACTCGAAGTGAAGAGATTATGATTCCAGCTACTGTTCTGTGCACCAGCAAGGCCAATGGCCGCCAGAGCCACGGCAACTGTGTTCAAAGGATGATGCATTGTCTCGCAAGAGAAGCTGAAGCTGATCTGCTTGTCATCGTGGTACTTCTCGACCTACCTTTATAGCTTCGCGAACTCGGGATATCTCTCCACGATCCCGCTACAAGAGGGGTCCGGTAATGCATAGCTGAAGACGACCCACCGAGAGAAGCTCCATACCATTGCAAGAACGCCTCATGATGTAACCCGTTTGGGCCTTGAAGGAGTTCAAAGAAGGAATAAAACTTGATCCGTGATCTACTGAGGTTGTTCTCCTCATCTTGGCGTTGTGATCAATGAGGGGAAAGCATGGGGATGCGATAAAAGAAGTCGGCTAGAGATCTTCCCGGCGCTACTTAGCCTATGTACCATCTCACGACACGAGAATCCTGATTCAGCGATGATCTCAAAGAACGGCAGTTGCGATGTTGTGTGTGGTGTGAAGTGGAGTGGCTGCGATGGAGAAGTTGAAGCAAGCTGGGAAAAATTGAGCCGAGAAAGCCGAGGGCCAGAGCTTGGAAGCTTGATCCATCTCAAGCATCTTTTCAGCAACATCACCTTCCATCAATCAAGAATATGCCGACTTGTCGCGATTGGCTGGAATTGTGCCCGACCGACAAGCGAAGAGACTCGAGACTGCCCTCAGTAAACGATGTCGCCTTAAGAAGAAGCGTTTCAACATTGATCCTCCACGAACTACAAGTCTGCCATCGAGAATGTGGTTGCCTAAGAACTGACGACCAAACAAGACAGACTTTAGCGTAAGCTTATTCCTCCAATCTTTGACCTTCCCTTTGCTAGACTTCAATGCTTGGAAGGATATCGTAGAACCGGACCTGCTATCACCAGGAGATAGACATCTTGCCATGATATCCGGACCCAAAGACGAACTCCGGAACCTGATCTTAGCTGGAGACGTTGCTCAGATGAAGAATTTATTAGTGGCCAACCAAGAGTTGCCATCAGAAACAACTATCCAAGATCTTTTGACTGCAGCTGCTAAAAGTTCTCACCTTGGCGTCCTTGAATTCTTGTTAGATCAGTATCCTGATATTCCCTTGAACGAGGAAATTGTGCGAGGCGCGGTCAACACAGGTTCGATACCCAAATTCGAGATTCTGCTTGCCAGAGATCCTTCCATCATCAATATGCCCTTCGAAAAGCGTGGTTCACCTCTTACCGTGGCTTGCATGGGCCGGCAGTCAGTCGAGTATCTCAAATTCCTTCTTGAGGCTGGCGCCGACCCGAAACAAGATCCGGACGCAGCTCTCTTCCCACTTGCGCTTGTCGCGGCATTATACCGCGACACTGATACAATCGATCTGCTGCTACATCATGGCGCTCGCTTGGAGCACTCAGGCTGTCTCTCTGCTGCCGCCCAGCTTGGCAACGAGCCCATGATTCTTCGACTCCTAGATCGCGGCGCACGTCCCGAAAATGATGCAATGTCAACGAGAATTGGCAGCCCACCTCTGCATGTTGCTGTCGAGTCTGGTCACACTGGCGTGGTCAGAATCCTGCTACAGCACGGTGCTGACCCCACTGTGACCAACGATAGCGGTGCTACAGCTCTTGAGGTTGCCAGGCAGATGCACAACAAGGGAAAGGACATGTCACAGATGTTAAGGATCCTGGAAGCAGATGAAGGTCGAGCGAAGTGATATATATACTTTTGTAGTGCTATAGAATTACAAAACGAAGACCATGATTTGCGCGATCGCATGCCGATGATCTCAAATTGAGAATATTATAATCAAGTGAACTAGTAATTACCTACAATGCTGAATGACATCGTTGTTGCTTTCAGATTAGATGTTCGAATGCTGATGTTGCCAACACGAGCGAAGCGCTTCCGAAAGAGGGTAATCATGATAGAGAATCATGCTCATAGGTGAGATGTTTGCCATAAAGTGTCTAACACCCAGCACTGATAAGTGTTTCCAAGGCAACAATTCGCACTTGCAGAGCTCAAAGAACAGCTCAGTATTAACATCTCTTTTCAATTCTGTTGTTTGCAATTTTGGTGCAAGATGCAAGCAGTTCGAGGTGACTGCTTCAAGCGCCGGACATCCCAAGTCTTGGCATGCCCGAAATTTCCTGCGACCTTGATGAACGCTGATCCGGGACGACATTGAAACACATTCATCACCTTTAAGACCTAGAGAATGGAGACTCTACCTGGAGTTGCTCCTCCGGAGCAGCAAAACACATATTTCTACATTGGACAGCATGAGACGAAGAGGACTGTTCCTGTGACGACCGAATTGGGAAATCAGGCGCAAGATGCTGGTGTAAGTTACATTTCTACTTTTTAATTTTGTCTGGCGGCAGCTTGTCATTCAGGTTCTCCTCAATCGATGAAGTCGCTTTGCTGTTATCAGGAAGATATGTGATATCGCATCTCGAAGTTTCTGCACAAATCGAACAACTGAATGCTATGAAATATCTAACAACGTTTACAGTACGATATGATGACTAGACCCATCACATCTCCTGGATTCCAAGCACGAGTTTTGGCATTGGTGGATGCATACTTCGAGGCCGTCTCAGCATCCTCCAACGCAAATGCTGTTCCTTATCCTCTTGTGGCACCTCTGACACCTGAAGACACAAACCTGGTTCCGGATGAATACATTTCTACCATGATCTGCTGTACAAGCACTTGGATCGATCTTGCTTCTCCGGACCCGGTGATTGCTCACGTCTCTCGCCAGGTCTTCAACCATGAAGTTGCTTATGCTGCTTTTTGCGGTGTTAACAATATTATGATTCAAGGACCTAATCTTGAGACTTCGTCTGTGATTAGCCAGTACGCTAGAGCTATTTGGCACTCGCTTGAGGTTGGACCGTATATCAACTTGCAGATTCTGCTTCCTATGCAGCCTACCGAGAGCAAAGCCGCTGAGGATGGACTGAGTCTTGCCGGCCGCGCAAGAGACTCATTCAAGACTCTCAAGTCAATCGCAACTGACGCTCTTTGGTCGTGGGATACCTGGGAACTGATCAGATCGACCTGCAAGTACCACCCTAGATTGACTGTCGCTCTTGAAATTCCTCAGAAGCTGCCTTCGTCGGCTATTCAATCACGCTGGTTCTCTGAGCCTCTGCGTACTCTCATCATTCCCGAGTCCACCTTTGTGCAGAATGCAAAGGGCTTCCCTGTCTTGAACAAACCCATCCAGGCTCTTCTCACAAGATACATGCGCCTCAAGACCGTCCCCTGGATCATTCTCAGCGACGTCGGTCCCATCCCTGGCCAAGATCACCCTGGTATGCCTGTAAATCTGCCCGACAGATCAGCTTCTCCCGAGCTGCCTACCCCTGCTCAATCCAAGCGCAAACAGCAAACCCAAAAGCCCAAAGACTTGACTCCATACTTGAGCTACATTCGTCACCTTCAACGTACCCAACCTCCTCGTCCCATCATCGATCGCTTCGCTGCTGGATACCAGGATTACTTGCAATCGCCCCTGCAGCCATTGACTGACAACCTCGAATCCATTACTTACGAGGTGTTTGAANAAGACCCTATCAAGTATGAATGGTACGAGCGCGCTGTTGCCGCCGCCCTCAAGGACCTGCACAAGAAATTGCAACGACCCATCGTCGTCGCTGTTGTTGGAGCCGGTCGTGGTCCCCTCGTCACTCGCTGCTTGAAGGCCTCTGCCAGCACCGGTATCCCCGTCAAGCAATGGGCAGTAGAGAAGAACCCCAACGCATATGTATTACTCCAACGCCGCAACGCCACCGACCCCCTCTGGAACAAGCGCGTCACGGTCGTAAAAACCGACATGCGAGCCTGGAAAGGTCCTCTCATCGATAACGCACCCTCCAAAGTGGATATCCTTGTTTCAGAACTGCTCGGTAGTTTCGCAGACAACGAGTTGAGTCCTGAATGCTTGGATGGCGTGCAACACGTCTTGCACCCTGAGCATGGAGTCAGTGTGCCTACTTCTTACACAGCACACTTTACACCCATCGCCCATCCCAAGATTTACGCAGATCTGGTGGGCAGAAGTGGCGAAGATGCTCAGAAGTGGGAGTTGCCGTATGTGACCATGTTGCACCAATACGATAACCTATGTTTGGACACCACTGGAACTCCAGACATCCAAACTGCATGGGAGTTTACACATCCTCTTCCTGAACCCATTATTGCACAGTCTAACCTGCGCAGAGGAGGTAGTGTGCAAGCGGGAGGAAGTGGTATGGTAGGTGGAGACGGCTGGAACGAACACAATGCGCGATTCTGCAGATTGAGGTTTACGGCCTCGACACGTGGTGTCTGCCACGGTTTGGGAGGGTATTTTGAGACTGTGCTGTATGTCCCTGAGGACAGCGGTAAGAAACCTATTGAGTTGAGTATTAACCCCAACACCATGGACGACAAGAGCAAGGATATGATTTCTTGGTTCCCGATTTTCTTCCCTCTGAAGGTATGTTTTGTGTCTCTTTTTTCCTTTACGTCCTGATCACTTGCTAATCAAGTCAAACAGACTCCTATTACCATCCCCACAGGCGCAGAGATTGAAGTCTCCATGTGGCGCCAAACCGACGACAGAAAGGTGTGGTATGAATGGCAGGTCGAAGTGTTTGCTTCGCTCAACGGAACACGTCAACGCGTTGCTTCCAGCGACTTGCATTCATCCATCAAGAATGGATGTTTGATGTAGAACAGAAGAAGCGAAGTTTTGTTGGGCAGATGGCATGGAAGGAAGTTGGAATGTTGGATCGGCTAGGAGTCAAAAGATAGCATGAGCATTGGCATTGGCAAAAGTACGGAGTTTTGTGTTTATTTGTTCCTGGACGAGATGCTTCTCTGGTCATATACTACGATGGTGCTGTCTGCAGACGTGCGACTGGCTGTTTTTCCTTTGGACTCGAAGATTGTGTATAGACTGCCTCTGCAGACCGAACATGCTGCTGAGCAAGACTGAGTATGTCAAGAGCTAGTATTGCAGTTTTGACGGTGCGGCATTTGTGCTTCTTCATGGCTTCCTTCAATCATCAGCTTTCTTGCAACAAGATGCAGGCACCCCGATGCAGGACATCTCACAAGCACTTTTTGAACATGAGAGTAGACGGAGAAGATTGTGAAAAGCTTGAGAACTTCGCTGGTAAATACAACAGAAGAAAGTTATGATATTTTACAAGAGCGCTTTCTTTTTTAGTTTCCTTTCAAGCTCTCAAATTTGGTGGTTCGTAAGGTGTGGAAATGTTGATACAGATATATGCGTTTTGGAGTGGGTTCGTCGAAGAGGTAGGAGGGGTATCATGTGGTTTACTCGTTGATCTTAGCAAGAAGCCTATTGTCGCTGGTTAGCCATCCCTTCTCTCCTCTCGGTTGTCTTGTAGGCATGACTCACTCGTGATCGCGGAAGAGCGAGTACTCCTCCTCGCCGACCTTGATGGGAGAACCACCGAACTGGGGGATCAGGACCTTGTCGCCGGGCTGGACGGAGGGAGCAATGCGCTTGCCATCGCGGTCGAGGGCACCGGGGCCAACGGCGAGGACCTTGGCCTCGTTGAGCTCCTTGACGGCAGACTCGGGGAGGAAGATGCCACCGGCGGTCTTGGTCTCGGCCTTGATGCGCTGGACCAGGATGCGGTCGAGCAGGGGAGCGAGCGACTTGATGGACTTGGCGGCGATGGTGGACTGAGANGTTGTGTTAGTCGGGTGGTTCGCGCATGGTGTCGTCCAGGGAAAGCGTACCATTTTGACGGTGGAGGCTTGCGACAAAGGGATAGAAGTGTGTATTCGAAAGATGCGATGTCGTGGTAGATGTATTGCTGTCGGTGGAAAATTCCAGAAGCCACAGACAGCGCTGTCGGTCCATTCACCTCGGCTGGGGGTTCACGCGGTCAAAGCTCCTGTATCCAGAACTCTTCCGCCTTTCCGTTTCCCTTCAAAATCATCAATTCATGGCTGAAGATCTCGTAGCGGTCGAGACACAGCAGAACTTGCGATGCGTTGCTTCAACAGGCGACACATATTGCTGTACCGTCGACGAGGCGCATCCAGGCTGGGCTGATCAGACTCGCGGTCTTGCGACACGCGCAGACAAGAACGAAAGTAATTGCTTCCGTCACGCTCTTTTGTCGGCGGATGGCACCGCTGTAGTCACGTACAATGAGGATCTCATTTTGAGAACTTTTGCAGTGTAAGGATTGTTGAACATGTCTCTTTCATTTCCATTTCCATTTTCTCTTTTCTTTGCTTCTGCCTTCTTCTTGGCTCTCTCTAGCTAACTAATCCAAGTCNCGTTGGCTCACTTCGACGAAGAGCCTGCTGAGATCAAGCCCTACTGTTCCGCTCCTTCGCCAGCAAAACTCACCTCGCTCACCCTCCATCCTGCCTTCGATGTCACCAATTCCGCCACTACTCTGCTCCTGACTTCGCAACCAGACCTACCCATACGTCTGACCAACGCCCTCGATTTCACATATACCCACGCATCCTACACATGGCAGAACTCTCTGACCGAAGCATATATTGCACCCTCGTCTCTTCTCTTTGTAGACAACAACCACTTTGTTGCAGGCGCANAAGATACTCTGGCCGTATTCGACATTCACTGCCAAGACGCTCCAGTGTACGAATGTCCGACGAGAAAAGGCCGCAAGGCAAGGAAGCTCTATGGAGCCGATAACTCTGGCATTGGCGGTATCGTGTCTTCTCTGGCTCTGTCAAATGACAACGTCCTGGCTGCAGGTACCTACAACCGTCAAGTCGGCTTGTTCGATAACGCTGGCCAAGGAGAGTCGGTAGCTGCGTTCGATTTGAGTTACAATGATGCCGACGACAAACTACTCAAGGGAAATGGTGTCAGCCAGCTTGCCTGGAGTCCATGTGGCAATTACCTCTTTGTTGCCGAACGCCAGAGTGACGCTCTATTGGTCTACGATATCAGGCATACAGGACAGCGTCTTAGTTATCTCTCTGATCGACACGCTCTTACAACCTTAAAGCTCTCCTTCGACTTCGCGAGCGACGCAAACGGCAAAATCGACATATGGGCAGGTGGTACGGATGGTAAGGTCAGAGTCTGGCGAGACGTTACAAGCAGAGAAGGCCGCATAGAGCCAGATTCAGCACTGCATGCAAGTCATGGTAAGCATATCTCTCTCTGACTAATGTCCTACCTGTACTGATCACCAACGCAGNCTGCTGTGAGTAACACCATACTCAGCCGCCGTGAACCAATGCTTATAACAGCATCTGGTCAACGTCGCAATCCCAGCCATCTCGTGGGCTTGGACGACTCCGATTCTGNNATTCCGACTCGAGTTCGTCAGAGAGCAGTTCAGACACTGAATCTGGAGTCAGACGAAGAGGAGCACGAAAATAGCGGTCGCCAGCGCCATGAAGCTCAAGGTGAGACGCCGGCCTCGGGCATAAGTCCCAGTGTGGCTGTCGAGGATTCTTGGCGAGGACCCGCTTTTGACAATGTTCTCTCCTTTTGGCAGATCGTGTGAAGGTGAAGCAGAACAGATTCAATAGACCTCAAAAACGAATTGACAATCGTGGGAAACAATCCAAGAAGAAACCATCCGGTCAAGAGAAGCTCCAAACCAAAGCTAGTATATGATTCAGCGAGCGGCAACGCATCCGACACCTTGATGTTGTGACTCGTGAGAGGAGAAGGTTTGGCTTACAAATGGGAGCTCCTCCGCATTCGAACGGGATCTAGGCCCAAAAGTCACTGTTACTCGCGACCATCAACTTTTGAAGCAAGTCCATGCGGCGTTGCTCCACCGAGACAACACGTGCCACACGCACAGTTCCTTGCAAAACAAGTGCAAGATAACGAAAGGCCAAAGGCGTCTAGAGATACGAGTCCCCAGCGATCTGGATATGCAAGATGGGCGGTGTTGGCTTGTAGAAATTCTCGCCAAGATGTGGTAAGTGTCGGTCCTGCGGAATCCCACCGCAAAGGGTCTTTCGAGATGCGGAGATGGAGGGAAGAGCTCTAAGGATCGGGAGGGGCGTGGTAGAGGGGCTCATAAAGAACGACACAGGAGGTATTCCGAGGCTCTCATTGACCACTTAGGTGGTTATATTAACCACCTTTCGTAATATTATCTGGCAGCTCCTACCTCGGAGGCAACTAACCCGAGCAGTTTCACCGCACAGACGCTGCTTGATATGTTGGAGTCATGCTTGCGAAGAACAATCACATTAAATCTTTTGCTCGGAGGACGCAAGAATAGCTCAAGGAGCAACGGAAGTCGACTGATCCTTGCAGCAGATACAAACGCTTGGTGGCTGAATCAAGCGTCTTTTGGTTGTTGCTCAGGCATGGTCCATCGTTCCTTCCCCGGGAACACCCAGAAGGGAGCAGCGCGCGCGGGGTAGCTGCCGCCTCTTGCCCCGCCTACCAAACACACTCCGCGAGTCCGAGGTCTTGCGGTCGCCTATCACCTCCAATCCTCATCCCAATGAGGCAAGGTCCGCTCGAGGACGAGTGGAGATTGGTTCGGTGGATCCAGAAAGTGTGAAGCTTGCAGAGGTGAACACGTTGAGTACAAATACCTTGATCGAGTCCGCCTCTCTCCTGCTCACCTGTTCCTCTCTTCTATTGTCTTTTTGTTGTTTGAGATACCCCACATACATATTCCACAATCATGTCTTTGACAATTCAGCTCGAGACCCCCACCACGGGCAAGTACGACCAGCCCACCGGTCTGTTCATCAACAACGAGTTCGTCAAGGGTGTTGACGGCAAGACTTTCGAGGTCATCAACCCCTCCAACGAGAAGGTTATCTGCTCGGTGCACGAGGCCAGCGAGAAGGATGTCGACATTGCTGTTGCAGCTGCCCGCAAGGCTTTCGAGGGTGACTGGCGCAAGGTTACTCCTAATGACCGCGGCAAGCTCCTCGTCAAGCTTGCTGATCTCTTCGATGAGCACTCGGACAAGCTCGCCGCTATTGAGTCCCTCGACAACGGCAAGGCTTTCACAATGGCANAGGGTGATGTTGCTGCTGCCTCTGGCTGCTTGAGATACTACGGTGGTTGGGCAGACAAGATTGAGGGTAAGGTTGTCGACACCAGCCCTGACACTTTCAACTACATCAAGAAGGAGCCTGTAAGTCTTGATTCCATGATCATCAATCGTTCGACACTGACAACTCTGCTAGNNATTGGTGTTTGCGGTCAAATTATTCCCTGGAACTTCCNNCCCCTCCTCATGTGGGCATGGAAGATCGGTCCCGCCATTGCTTGTGGTAACACCGTCGTCCTCAAGACCGCCGAGCAGACCCCCCTGTCTGGTCTCTACGCTGCCAACCTGTGCAAGGAAGCTGGCTTCCCTCCCGGTATTGTCAACGTTATCTCTGGTTTCGGAAAGATTGCTGGTGCCGCCATCGCCTCGCACATGGACGTTGACAAGGTTGCCTTCACCGGCTCCACCCTCGTTGGAAGACAAATCATGAAGGCCGCTGCTGGCAGCAACCTGAAGAAGGTCACCCTCGAGCTTGGTGGCAAGTCACCCAACATTGTCTTTGACGATGCCGACATTGACAACGCCATCTCATGGGTCAACTTTGGTATCTTCTTCAACCACGGCCAGTGCTGCTGTGCTGGTTCAAGAGTTTACGTCCAGGAGGGTATCTACGACAAGTTCGTCCAGCGCTTCAAGGAGCGTGCTCAGAAGAACGTTGTTGGTGACCCCTTCGCTGCCGACACTTTCCAGGGTCCTCAGGTCTCGCAACTCCAGTTCGACAGAATCATGGGGTATGTATTCTCACATTCGTCCTTGAGACAGAAACACAGCATGCTGACATTAAATAGTTACATCAAGGCCGGTCAAGACGAGGGTGCCACCGTCGTCACTGGTGGTAAGCGCAAGGGTAACGAGGGTTACTTCATCGAGCCCACCATCTTCGCCGACGTCAAGGACGACATGAGCATTATGCAAGAAGAGATCTTCGGTCCCGTCTGCTCTATTGCCAAGTTCAAGACCAAGGAAGACGCCATCCGCGTTGGCAACAACACCACATACGGTCTCGCCGCCGCCGTCCACACATCCAACCTCAACACCGCCATTGAGGTTTCCAACGCCCTCAAGGCTGGTACCGTTTGGGTCAACACATACAACACTCTTCACTGGCAGCTTCCCTTCGGTGGCTTCAAGGCTTCGGTATGTGTATTTCGATACCCTCCCCACATGAAACCTATACTAACTGTATTGATTAGGNGTATTGGCCGTGAACTTGGTGAGGCTGCTCTTGACAACTACCTCCAGACCAAGACCGTCAGCATCAGACTCGGCGATGCCATGTTCGGTTAAACGAATCATGTGTTGTTGATAATGGGGTGTGAACGTTTCTAATGACTTCGGGCTTTTACTAGCTATCTTACGATTCAACTGTATCTATCTATTCTGAACATTTTTCTGATTTCAACTCTCCACTTGCTTTAAGGTGCTCTCGATGCCAGTTCTCCGTGTCGGCATCTCCTTTTGGCTCCTTGTCCATCAGGGTGTGCTGAAAGAATTGAAATGGAAGAATTTGTTCTCGGCATCAAATTATTCTCTCTTTTTGCAATCGATGGTCGCTACAGTTTTATGCGACAATAGTGCTCGAACAAGCAGCTATGCTCACCGGATCCTCCACCATGGAGAACGAAAAGCTCTAGGAAAGTGCCCCACTCGCCGAGCATACAAAGTTCGTTCAGAATGACGTCGTAACAAGAACAGTAGAGCAGCTATGAGGGCCAAATTTCTGATACGCCCTGTATGTGATCTGTATGTATAGTGACGCTCGAAGGAGCAGCAAAGTGACGCTGAAGGTAACACTGAATATATGTGTGGTGACGCTCGAGAGGATGGTGACGCTGAAGGTGACGCTCTTGATGACAAACGACAAGTTGCAAGTGGAACTACACTTTGTGCATATAAACTGTCCATAGCTCACTTCCATCACAACCACTCCAACATCGCTTCTACAAGTTCATACTCGATACTCTCAGACGTAACCATGGCAGCACGCACTTTTGACTCCTCACGTTGGACCTCCAAGCGCCAATTCCTGTCTGGAAAGCCATCTACACCTACAGAAGTCTCTATACACTATCTCTCCTGTTCTCCTCCTTCCAGCCAAAAGCCCAAGGGAACTATCCTTCTCATCCACGGCTTCCCTCAAACCTCTTATCAATTCCGCCATGTCATTACACCTCTCGCAGATGCTGGATACCAAGTCATCGCACCCGACTACCGCGGCGCAGGAGAAAGTTCCCGACCCAGAGATGGCTACGACAAACTTACCATGGCTTCAGACCTACACACCCTAATCACCTCACACATGGGTATAAACGACAAAATCCACGTTGTGGGCCACGATATCGGGGGTATGGTTGCCCACGCCTACGCAATCCAATTTCCCTCGCACACAGCAAGTGTATCTTGGGGTGAATGTCCTTTGCCAGGAACCTCTTTGTATGCAAACTATGTTGCTGAGAATACCTATGGTGGACTCTGGCATTTTGTGTTTCATCAACAGATTGATGTGCCTGAACTGCTTACCCAGGGCAAGGAAAGAGCATATCTAAAGTCTNTTTACGATAGACTTACCCAGTCTCCATCTGCAATTTCTGCTACCGACGTTGACATTTACGCAAACCAATTCGCGCAGCCTGGGGCTATGAGAGCGGGCTTTGATGTTTATCGCGCTTTCCACCAAGATTTTGAGGATAACAAGAAGCATGTGGAGAAACATGGCAAATCAAAGGTTCCTTGTTGTGCGCTGTGGGGTGGATTGAGTTTTATGATTGACATTGCGGAAAAACAGGCCAAAGAGATGTATGAGGATGTTACTTTGGCAAAGGTGGAGGGAACTGGGCATTGGTGTGCAGAAGAGAATCCGGAGAGTTTTGTAGAGCAGATTTTGGGTTTTGTTGGCAAGCATTGATTGCTTCCCCAGATGGGAGCTGTATGGATACTTGTACTTTGTGAGTTTCGACAGCACTTAATACTGCACCTAATCAAAGATGGAGACTCAACACAAGGACCGTTAGTATCAGAGGCAAGCCGGGTATCTAGCCAGACGACTCCATTTCTGAGAAGTCTTCTATCATCGAAAGCATTTGTTCCAATTCACCGATCCTGTTTCACTCTCATGTATCTAGTCTTTGTCATTTAAACCTCTATGTCTTCTTGATCCTGGTAGTGACTTCGTGTCGTTCCTATCATCTGTAACTAGTCTAGACAGCACCAAAGAAAGCCTCACACATATGTAAACCGCCCCAATACCCGTAGTTCCCCTTAAGCAAAACCGAATCATCGCCTCTCGAGCATCAACTATCCGTATTTCCTTGTGCTACATCTCCGTTCCTGAACTCGTAGACCCGGCATAGCATGCCCCCGAGCCACGGAACGGTACCCGAGGCATATCCATGATGTCGGCGGGCTTGCCATTCCGTAAGGGCTTCCGACTTCACACACAGCAATATACGTAGTCATCGTATAGTTTTTGCCCGAATACTGCTGGTTGTTCCATGGCCGCCAGTGCCGTTGTCTATGATACCGAGGGAGGGGAAGTGGCTTATATAGTGGTGAGTGAAAGTAAGAGATGGGTCAACCATCGTGAGGACTGTTTGTGAAGGCTTGTGAGAGTTGAAGATGAACTTGTTCTGGAAAGAACAGAGGAAAAGTTTTGACATGTAGAGGGTGAAAGACCATGCTGCTCAGTGAATGACACAGTTCAAGAGTGTGTTTGTCCTTGCATCTCATCTTATGTGTTTGACAGTGAGTATATGCAACAGGCAACATCCGCGCTCAGTGTAGGCCCACTGGTGCTTTAAAAGATGGTCTCTACCACGTTGATCTCTCCATCAGCCCACAAACAACACTGCCCACTACAAAGGTGCCCAAAACAACCACCAAACTTGAGATTGCTATTCTCGATCAAAGTGGGGGTTATCACTAAAGGAGTCAATGGGGTCGATATTTCTGCTCATGTCTGTGCTGATCTCGAAGCGCCATGTTAGGTTTGTTCGAGGCTGTCGAGAAGCAGAATGTTGTTGTAGCTTGAAGGGTGCTTTGCTGGGAGGGGGAGATCAAACACGCCCCTCAATGGATGCTCGAACCCCAAGTTGGATTTATGCAAGCGGATGGTGAGACTTTACTCTCTCTCCACGCATGGATGGATTGACGAACACACAACCTTTCCAAATCCGTATGGTTAGTGTATCAAGCGAAATCTGTATGGTCAGTATATCAAGCACAAAGAGTCCAGAAAATGAACATTCCCAAAGTAAAGCCAAATGTGATTGCTCAATACCCAAAAAGAACTCGCTAAGAACGCTAGAAGAAATGCAGGATGAATGCCAGAAAAGAATATCGCTCATTCCAAACACGTCATGCCAAACTGTGCAAAGCAACGGGCGCTGTTGAGTGTATTGTCTGTATGACCCATGGCCTTGCCAACTTCATGGTCAAAGTCCACACCTGCGTCGCCAGCTCTGACTTCACTGGCACCGCCCTCAGCAGGGAAGTAGGGATCAAATACTTCCGGGTTGACAGAGACGCATTTGAGCACTTTGTCTTGACAGGCATGCATAAGCATCAAATCGAAAGCTCCTCCTTTGCCGAGAGAAGCGTGAGCAAGCAGGTTGCGAGCACCTTGGTAGGAAACCGCATAGGCGAATGTGCAGACGGGGTTGATAGAGTAATGGACAATGCGCTGTCCATCCTTAACCACATCCTTCAGTCTGGGATTCAAACCGCGGTATTTCTCCACCGGCGCTGTAGTGTTATCCGCAAAAGTAATGATCTTGCCTTCATCCTTGAATGGCGGTGGATCACTACAATGACCCATCCACATGACATCCCAATTCTTTCCATACGGGTCTTTATCCCCCTTTTTCGCCTTTGTCAATTCGCGGACGGCTTTTGCGATTGGTGGTGTTTGTTTGCGCACGTTGACGTCCCAGTCCATGTCATCTTCCAGAATCAAAGCAGAACCCCAGTTGTTCTGGATGACGAATTTGAGGAGGTCGAGGTGGCCTAGCCATGCCATTGCTGCGCCGTGGGCTTCGACGGGACCGAATTCTTTGAATGCTTGGATGAAGGGTTCGCTCCATTTGGGTTGTTGCGGGACTGTTACGGTGATGCCGGCGACTTTTGCTGCGGCGTGCAGGCCGTCGACACGCCATTTGGTTCCTTGGGATAGTGCGAGGATTGCTTGAAACTATGGTTGTTGTCAGTCAAAACATGTTTTGCAGAAGTCGCAAGTCGTGGTAGAAGGTCTTACACCCAGAGTCGAGTTTGCAGCTGAGAAGTCGGGCACGACAGGAGCGGTGGAAGGAGCGGCATCATCCTTGAACTCGGGGACTTCGTCCAGCTTGGTGTCCTGGTAGTTGGTATCCGGCGAGGCATCAGCATGAGGACCACGCCATGCACTGATCTCCTCGTGCTTCCATTGTGCGACAAAGAGAAGAACAAGCACCAAAGCGACTATTGATGTGAGTATCGCAGCACGCGCATTAATTCGTAACATCGTCAACGTATCCTCTGTTCAGAGAAGACAGTATTGCAAGAAAGCAAGCAAGAATGCGCTCGGAAACAAACGACAGACCTACATTGTTTGCTATTGCGTCTTCATCGTACGCTATAGCTTACCGCGGTCTTAGTGCTCCTATTTTGGGGGGCCCACTCTCAACCAAGAACGATCCAGCAAGCGACCACAGCAGGATTTCTGCCAGCGAAGGAATGCGCACAAGGGCTGGGCGTGGAAATAAGACGCCTCTTTTTGACAGGAGCCAATGACGTTGTCCCCGATCCCTGCGTACGTACAATACTCCTAGTGCCCGCGGCGTGAACAGTTACAACACCACAAAATGACCTCTAAAGATACATGGCGGTACATCACTTGTAATAACCAGACATACCAAGTCAAAAAGTGGTCCATCAACATCGCTGCGTCGCATCAAGCATTGCTGTGTAGAAAGAATCTGGAGCGTCAAGACAAAGTTGAGCCGCATGAAAATGAGTTTGCAACTTCTCGGGCCTTGAAGCAACCCTAAACGAGCCTCTCCTAATACCAATAGAAAGATAAAACCTGGGTATCATATTCGCCTTCTCTAGAACAGTGAAAACCACAAAAACCCAAGACTTAAACGCCCTCCAATCCTTCTATTCGCCAAAATGCAAAACATGATCACTCCTCCTCATCGCGGAACCTCATCATACCTTTGTTGATCTCGGTCGCGATTTCTTGTGCCTCATCTCTTGTTGAAGCCTCGAAGTCGTATCGCTTTGTCTCCTTCTCACGATAGACCAGCACCCGCACAACTTTGGGGTGCTTTCTACTGACTTTGCAGCCAACTACACTGCTGAGATGCACGCTTGTTGTTTTGCCGCCGGGAGGTGCCATCGCTGGATCTGCATTGGCATTGAGAGGGTCTGTAGACGAAGCGGGCATGACATGCATGAACTCTGCATCAAGTGCCAAGATGCGTGGATGCGAGGGTGCAAAGGACAGGGGTTGACGACGTATGACAAGGTAACGCTTTCCAGCTCCGCCAGCGAGACCCCAGAGTGCAGTTGCATTGATATCGTTGGTTGACTTGGCACTTTGCAAGCCCATGAAAGGCTTCCTTGTCTTGGCCTTTGTGTTCGTTGCGGTCTCGAGCAGCAATGGTGCATTCGGACTTTCACTGCCAGGACTGCCTACAGCGCTGACCATGCCACGACCGTCGCCAACACCAACGAAGCGTCGTCGTACAAGGTCGAGCGCCAACCTNTGACCCAAGGCTTCTACTGTACGATCCTCTGGTGCAACGGTCTGAGTGCCACGAACCTTGAGAACATATAAAGCCTTATCGATGTTGAGCCTTTGACAAGCAGTCGTGAACAGCTCAGCTAGATAGGTATCAGAAGTGGTTGGTATAGGAAGCAACGTCGTCTGGAACGAGTGTGGATCTGTGTAGTGTATCGTGACCGTCTTGGAAGAACCTGTTCTCGGTGTGGAACGTGGTGCTGGGGCTGCCGGCGCGTCCATCAAGGGAATGGTCGAATTCTTCCTGGCCATTGGGGCAAATGATGGCGTGATAGGATTGACATTGGGAATATATGTCGGTGCTGCAGGAGGCGCCAAGGTCGGTGCGTCAGACAAAGTTCTCTGCATATTGGGAGGTTGCGGCGTCGCTGTGCGAGAAGTATCTGGTATAGGTGTGCTAGAAGGAGCCAGACCAGATGGTTCACTGAACTGAGGGGTGAGCTCTTCGTTCTCCCTGTATTGCTCCTCAGTCGCTCTCACGAGACCAAACTCGTCCCAAGGCTTATCTCTTGCTCGGGCTCGAGGCGGCCGGTTGTTGTTCGAAGTGAAGTCTCCAAGAGGTTTCGTACGGGTCAAGGCCGGGAAGTCGTAGTCAACCTCTTCATCTTCGACCATCCGTAAAGTCCAGCGATTTACATTCAAGTCATTGCCTTCTAGTGGCGGCTCAATCTTTTCCTCGGCATATCGCCACAGACTAAGACCGATGAGCTCGGCAACAATAGTCGGAACACCTTCCTTTGCATTTTTGCGAATAGGCACTTGGATAGGAGTTGAAGCTTTCTTTGAGAAGGGGGCATATATCTTGATCCATAACGGAGTCGATTCGCCTTTACCAGACAGTTGAGCAAATTGCTGTAAAGGATTCTCACCCTTTTGTGACGTGTGTTTCAAGGCTTTTGACAAAAGACTGACAGGCTGAACGTAGCTGATAGGACGGCCTGCAGGAAGCCTGGGCAGATCTGGAGGAGGAGCCATCTGCTTCAGACGTTTGGGCGAGGCCGAAGTATGCGGTGTAATAGCAGGGGGCATGCTAGGCACGTTGCCCGGCGTTGACTCGAGAGTGTCTACAGTGATCAAAGGAGCACCCATGCCCAGCAGAGACTCGGAGCCAGCAGTGCCAGCAAAGTCGTCGGAAATGTCAGATGCCTCGCCAAGATCAATGTCAGACTCGACGTCTTCTCCTTCTTCCTGGATACGGTCTTGCATCATCTGACCATGTTTGACGGCGCGGTTTTGGACCCTTTGTTTGCGGAACGTGACTGGATCTGTCTCGTTTTCAGAAGAGAACTCGCTGCTTGTGGCGGTATCTCTTCTAGGACGTTGCTTGATGAAGGAGACAGAAGGAAGCGAGGCGTGTCGTGCAGTTTCCTGGCCATTGATTTTATCCGGCGAAGCAATAGGTATAGGCACGTCATCTCCATCTCTTGTTTTGTGTGTCGGAGAGGAACCTGCTCTGAGACGAACAGGCATCTTGCTGAACTTGATCTGAGAGATGGCGCTCTTGTCATCATCTTCATCGCTGTCGTCACTCAGATCGCTGCTGTCATCCTCTTCCAACTGCTCTTTCCGCCGACGTCTCTTGTTGTGGGTGTTGACAGCAATGGTATCTTGACTGCCCTGACCAGTGACCATCCCTCCTTCTTCATCGTCATCGTGCAAAGCGTAGGCAGGTGCAGCGGATCGTTGTGGGGCTTGGAAGTATTCGGAAGCGATTGCGGTAGGGATGGGAGGCGAGTATGTGCGTTTGATGTCCTGAGGATTTGCTTGCCAGCCAGCAGCACGAAAGGCAGGGTTGTTCAAGACATTGGTGTTGAGAGTGATGAGACGCTCGCCGACGCCGTCTTTGATGTGTTGGAGGTAGCCTGCACGTAGCTGGTAGATGGTGAAGTCTTGGTTGTTAAGGAGCGACATGAGGGAAAAGAATAGGCCAGTCCTGCTGGCTCCTAGTGCATTGTGTCGATTGTGGTAAGAGAAGGAGCCCCACCAAGAGGTCGACAGAGCAGGGAAGTGTTTGCGTTGTGGAGTCTGGACCTGCTGCTTGTTGCTGTCAATCTGAACTTACCCCAGCCTCGGCCCGTCACAGACGTTCGTCTTGGCAGTGCTCTCGTGTGCTATTTTGAGAACAGTCTGTCTCTGCCTCACGAGATCATCTCTGGTATGCTTGACAGAGACAACTTGACATTCAAAAGAGTAAAAGTCCAAAGGCAGTTGAGGTCCGTATTATGCTCGAAGAGAAGTATAAAAGTATTGATGCTCAACGGGGTTAACAGGCAGATGCTCGGACTTTGCTCCAGACGATGAGCTTGGACCCACTTCCATCATCTTTCACGACTCGCATCTTTCTGTCAATCGTGACCATTCACACATTTTGTCGCGTGCTCAACATGGCTCTTGTTGGCTATTCAGACAGCGAAGGCTCTGACTCCGAGTCGCCAAATGTCGCTTCCGTTCCTGCCACTTCGAAACCCGCACCCAAAAAGGCAAACTTCCAAAAACTCGTCGACCCATCCGCGCCACGCAAAATCAAAGTCGATCTTCCCACAATACAGCCAGAAGCACAACCCGAAGCTCCTCCAGCAAAGAAAGCTCGTACAGCCGGCAAGTTTGGTGGCTTCAACTCTNTCTTGCCTGCCCCAAAACGCACCACCGAAGCCAAAAAGGGCCTTGGATCTGGTGTCAATCTCAAGACTGGCGCCGAGCCTGCATTTAGCAGAGAAAGGGTGGAACCCGATCCTACAGCTTTTGCGCAAAAGGATACGACTGAGGAGACCAAGAATGAGGCAGACACATCAATACCAGCCCCATTCCAGAACGAGACACCGAAAGAGGTCAAGCCTGTAGGCAACGCCATGAAATTCAAGCCACTATCTGTCGCTAGGAAGAAGGCTCCCAAGAAGAACATCTTCCCCAATGCCGTTCCTGCCGCTCCATCACCCGTCGCACAACTCGTTGCAGAGCCGCCAAAGGCTCCTGCTCCTAAACCAAAGGTCTCTCTATTTTCAGTTACCCAGGACGACAACTCAACTCTTCCCAACGCCCCTGTAGCAGACTACCAACCCCTACTCGCCGAGCCAGTAGTGGCTCCCACAGACACCCTCGACTCAGCCGTATCCGCACCAGCCCCTGTGCACTCCGATCCCAACTCTCTTACTGCCATTGCCGACGACCTGGGGTTGTCAGCAGGAGAACGAAGAAGGTTGTTCGGCCGCAACAAGGACGCCGCTGCATTTGCCAACGTCACGCATCTCAATATGGAAGAAGAGTACAACAACAACGAGCAGCTCCGTCTCCAGGGCCAGGCTGTCGAGCACAGAGCAGTTAAAGCTGTTGCTCCTGGAAAGCACAGCTTGCAACAGCTTGTCAACTCTGCCGCTTCACAAAAAGAGGCTTTGGAAGATGCTTGGGCTCAGGGTCGTAGGAACAAGGCTGAGGCTGGTAGTCATTACGGCTTTTGATCAAATCATGACTTTACGATTATTAATGAACATGGTTTTCTCGAATGTCAATGTCTATCAGTTTCAAGCTTGTAGGACGTGTCAAGGTCTGCTTGCCAAAGCCGGCTGTACTCGCACCTGCTTCATCTCGACACTTTGCAGCTGCGAGTCTCTGAACAACAAGCAACCTTTATAATCATCCAAGACTTCGATTTCTCAACAAAAGCGGCGGTGGTCTAGTGGTCAAGACGCTGCATCAATGTGTCTTGCAAACACAAGCTCGCACTGTGTGCAGTCCGGAGTATCTTCGTTCTTCTGCCCACAGGAGACGATGCAGAGATCGTGAGTTCGAATCTCACTCGCCGCATCATCTTTTTGCTGTTACTCTGTTTGGCATCAAACTGCTTGATGTTGAACATAACAGAGAACCTTTGGTTTTGAGGATTGATTTGATTGCGGAATTGGTTCCGTCAAAGGCAAAAAAGAGCTCTAAGCTGTTAGAGTCGTGACGTCTATACATGTGATCATGTGCTACTACCATATATGATGAACACTCGCGCGGACTCAATTTGAGGGCAAAGCACTTCTCTCACACATCGACTTGCGAATACTTTAGTTTCGCTACCTATCTTACATAACCATCAATTATCACAACATGCCAAACCCAATCTCACCACATGGTTCGAATGGCCCATTGTATGCTAATACGTCAATGACTACGCTCTGCTTGATACTTACCAGTGCAACAGGCNGCCAGAACGCAGTGCTGCTCTCAATCTTGGCCGCCGGTGGTGCGGGTTATTGGTTAATAAAATCGAGGTCCCTAGCACGCGACCAGAAGAGACAGGAACAGATATACCTTGAGCAGAGAAAACATATCAACACGTCAAAGAGTGATCACTGAATGAGAAGGTCAATGGGGTATTTTGTGATGGTATAGAGGCGCTTACGCTAGCCGTGTTGTAAGATGGTCGTTGGTATGACGAAACATGAGATACGTCCGAGATCCTCAAATGGTGGGGCTGTCCAACCTCATCCTGTTCTTTTCTATCTTCACCATTGATTTTCGTGATTTCTTCTACAAACAACTGTTATACGAATCGAACATCTTAGTAAACGCGTATACCATGGAATATCCTCAAGAAAGACTCAGCATCGCCGTGTTGGGTTGCGGTTTGTCATGCCCGCCACATCTGGCTATCGAATATCTGAGGCTAATTCCAAACCAGNGCTTCATGGGCACCGCCATAATTAAAGGTCTACTCACCAGCATACGACCCGGCCATGCAAACTCAGACGACTTTAGCATGCAAATCTACGCCTGTGTTCGATTCCAAGAATCCTTCGAGCGTGTGCAGAAGGCTCTTGGCGATGAAGCCTACCGCGTGCAAAGCGCTACACACTTGCATGCATGGGCACAAGCTGTCGACAGAGCCGATGTGGTTATGCTAGGCATCCCACCTGCAGAGCTCAAATCCATCTCCGAAAACATGCCGCTGTGCAAGTCACTGCGAGGAAAACTGGTCATCAGTCTATTGGCGGGGACTTCTTGCGAACAGGTTACTGATGCATTCGTCCTCAATGATAGAATGAACAAAGCGAACCAGTTCAACGTCATACGAGTGATACCGAGTATAGGAGCCCAGAATCTGGACTCGGTGACTATGATTGCGGATACACAGCATGCTGGAGACGACCACAAGGCTTTGTGTGATTGGATCTTCAGGCAGATTGGTAGTGTGCACTATCTACCAGAGCATCTTATGAATGAGGCTACAGCAACACACGCGACTTGCAATGCTTTGACCATGATTGCAGTTGATGCCATCACAGATGCTGCAGTGGCGGAAGGCATACCTCGCGCTCAGGCAATGGCGTTGGCGGCACAGAGTTTGAAGAGTGCTGCTGGACTGTTGGAGAATGGTATGACGATTGAGTCGATGAAGGAGTCTATGTCTGTGCCTAGGGGGATTACTATCAACGCTCTGATGGATCTGGAGAAGGGTCAGGTCAGATCTGCCACTTCGGATGCTACCAGGAATGCCATCAGATATACGAGGAACATGACTTGAGTAATTCCACCTTCTTCTATCAGGGGTTGTCACCAGCCCTATTGAGAGCAGACCATCACTCAGACTTGCTATCGAAGTCATATTCCGGCAGGTCAAACTCGGGCATCTTGTAGCCACCAAGCCAACGAGTTAGGCCACTCCAATAGACAAGCCAGATGACAGTCCGTATCATCCACACCCCAAGACTCGTTTGCGGAACGAACAGCTGTGGTCCTCCTTTCGGAGCACTTTGCGCCTTCTTGACATAGCCAACCAGCTTATCCTCATAAGCCTTGAAAGCAACCTCCGGCTGATCTGGGTTGTTCAAAATCTCTCCAGCCAGCATGTATCCGCCCAGAATCGCAAGCGTAGTTCCAGTGCCTGTAAAAGAGCAGTACGCAGCATCACCAACCATCGCACATCTGCTATATCAGTTTTCTTCTCGCCAACATCAAAGGTAGCGAACGGAACGTTGTCTTCGTCCACAAATGCGACGCCTTTTTCTCCTGTCGTTTTTGATCTGATGGTTTGCTCAAGTCCCATCTTCTGAATGATTGAGACAGCCGGTCCTTCCATGTCAATGCCTTGGCCTGCGGTACGCAGCGCAGGAGTGCGTTCGAGAACTGTGACATCGAAGCCGGCGCGGCCGAGCCAGTAGGCTGTTACACTGCCTGCTATCCCAGCACCTGAGATCAAGATCTTCTGCGGAGGCATCTCAGAAATGGTTAATTATGTATAGGAAGATTGTTTCGATGCGTTCTGACTATTCTGGTTGGTGACGTGAAGGTTGTTAACAGTTTCGCGATTCTAGAAAATTGAGGGTCTATGATTGAAGGAATAACTCGACTCGTAAAGAGGACTTTATCTCATATGTTGAGCTTGTTGTTGAAATCCTACTGCCTTGCGACTGTTTCGCATCCTACGCGCTTCGGGGAGATATCCCCGATGGAGGTGAACCCCGGGGTGCTGCCCGAGGTGAGCGATTACAATCAGCTTGAGACTTGATCTCTGGCTTCCTCATAGGATATCTATGAAGACTGTTTCCGATCATCAACATTGCTATTGCGCAAGATGTTCGGTGCAGGATTGACAGAAAGGAAGGAGGACTCGAATCGTTCTTGCCTTGAAGCTCGCTGAAGCTTTGACCCACCATGCGTCCTCGACCTTGCCGTCGTCTAAGACTGACCTCTTTTCTTCCAATGTACATCTTTTTGGCTTCATGATCTACCTCTTGATACGCTCACCGCTTTTCAAGGCTTCCTGAAATGCAAATTCTCGACCCGTGTTTGTGGCTGGCTGCGACGAGTGCTACGCCACAATGGATGCTATTGATTTGGCTGCGTCGCGAGGGCTGACAAGTATGCATGATGCATGATACCGTCGATTTGGGCGGGGTCGCACTCATTCGAAGACTCGATGTCAAGCAGCGATTCGGTTTCTTATACCCTGTTTCCCTTTTCCCTTTTTAGTTTTCAACACGCGGCCTTTCACTCCCGTCCTGTGGGCTTCTATACTAGATACCATGCTATCAAGGTTCAGATCTCGATCCCCTCTACCTCCGGCCGCTGCGACACCCTCAACGACCGATGCTCTGAGTGATGCTATCAAGTCGTTCCACGACTGTCTGGAACCCGAGCAGAAGGTGGAGTTAGAGAAGATCAAAGCTGTGCCTGATGCTCATGCAGTCGCGCAATTTACCCATCAGCTCGACCAGGAGAATGCCAAANGGAAGAGTCGCTGCGTAGCCGCTCGTATCTCACCGCTCTTGGAGTCTGTCCAACAATTTGCTGGTATCGTCGAGACCTTCGTTTCTTCGAATCCGCACATCGCTGCTCTTATCTGGGGCAGTGTCAAACTCGTGTTGCAAGTAAGTTGACAACGATCAAGTCTGTGACAGACATGCTCTANNTCCTCTTGCAGAAGATTGTGTCCGGCACTAGAAACTGTAAAGACTATGATCCTGCTCTCAGTAGCATAACGAGTTATAGAACATGATTGGCTAACTGACTAGATTGCGTCAAACTTCACAACGTATTTCGACAAGCTTTCGGCTCTGCTTATGATGATTGGGAAGCGCTGTCCAAGATTTCAAGAGTATCAGAAGCTCTATAGAGATTCAACCGATCTCCAGAAGGCGCTTTGCGACTTCTACTCCGTGGTTGTACGCTGTTGTGAGCAAGCAGTTACAGTGCTTCGCCGAGCAGGTAAGCTCAGTGTCGGTCAATTGTGGCATCATTCACTGTGCTGATTACTCTGCATAGGATATATACAGCTGCTCAAAGCCGTGACCAGTTCATTCAGCTCGGACTTTGCCTCCATAATAGTGCAGATTGACCAAGCGAATGAAGAGGTAGATGAGGCCATCCGCCTGGCCGAGACTAAGCTTGATGCAGCTGAAAGACAAGGTCAGCGTGCAGAGCGAGAGGCGGCGGAGAAACATAGATTCAGCTCAATGGTCTACCGCAAGGAACGTGAGAAATTTGAGGCCGACCAGGCGGCGCAGAAGCAACTCGAAAAACGAAGTAAGTCTTCAATATTAAGCTTCATAATAAATCATCATGCTGATTAAATACCTAAAGAGATTCAACAGGCAAGCAAGCTCGAACAATTCTCTGGCTACAATCACAAGGTTGCCTACTGGAAAGCTCGTACGCAACGCCACGGCTCCACTGGTCAATGGCTGACCCAGACCAATGACTACAAACTATGGATTACTGGAAGTGACCCCAGCGTGTTCTGGTTTACCGGCATTCTAGGCTCTGGGAAGACTGTTATGACTGCATTCATTGTCGAACAGCTATCTGCGAAGCCCAACCAGGGTTCCGAGAAAGTCGTCTATTTCTTCTGTCAATATGATAACGAAACTTCCTTGAAGGCCACGAGTATCCTACGATCGATCATAAGACAATTGTTGGACCAGGACGACCGTATCTTTAGCGAGCACCAATCTAAGATTGATGCTCTATTGGACAACCTGCACGACCTGAGTTTGCTGGAGGCTCTGTTTTTCGACGTTGTTAACTGCTTGAAGAGTGTTGTTGTGATTATAGATGGCGTCGACGAATGTTCGAACTTAGAGAGGAAGGCGCTTCTCAAGACCTTTCGCAGTGTAATGCATAGAAAACCGCCCGGCCTGAAGCTCTACCTCGCAGGAGACGACCGCATCACTGATGTCATAATGTCGTTCCTTGCACCGAGCTTCGTAGTCAGCACTCGCACACCAGAAGCAGGCTCGGATTTACGAGAGCTTGTCCACCAGTTAGTGACTGCGTTGAGGGACGATGGGGATCTTGTAACACGCGATCCTAGCTTATATCACACGATCGTTGATATCCTGTGTACCACTTCCCAGGGCATGTGAGTACATCATAAGGTTTGTCTTTCGAAGGCTGCTAATGGATCTTCAACAGGGNTTCTCTGGGTTAAATTCCAACTCGAAGAAATCTGCTCTCAGAAAACAGATGAAAGCATACGGAAAGCCCTCAATCACCTTCCCAGAGACCTTATTGAGACATACAATCGATTGTTGTCTAGGGTCGTGGAGGAAGGCAACGAGCAAGTCTGTAGAAAGATCTTTCGTTTTATGGCCGCCGCAAAGAGACCTCTTTCGCCAGAAGAGCTTGATGAGGCTACCTCCGTAGAGCCTTGTCAGCCTTACTTCATGCCGGAACGCTTGCTCAACGATATTAATGGTATTGTCCGGTGGTGTCACGGTCTGATCGCGTTCGATGAGTTGGACGAAGCGTTACAGTTCGCACATTCGAGTGTTAAGAGTTTTCTCTGTGGCCCCGACACCGAACGAATCACACTTCCAGGCTTCCACTTCGAAGAGCATGAAGCTGAACGAGAATTTGGTGAGGTCTGTGTTACCTACCTAAACTTCAATGATTTCAACACACAACTTGTTAAAGCTGCCAAGCCGGGTATTCATCTTGATCCAGTGATGATGGTTCGTCATGCCCTGACAGCCAAACATCCGAATCGTCTCTTGGATAAAGCCAGTGGTTTAGTGAGGAGAAGGGCGAAGTCGACTTTGGCGAGCACCAGACTGCTGTCTCTACGGGACGACAATGGCAGCCACATTGTGACAATTAAATATCGACTGCTTCAATATGCCTTATCTTTCTGGCTTTCTCACACATCTGGATTTTCGCCTCATCAGGGTCGACTATGGAATCTCTTCTTGATTTNNTTGGTTGAAGGGCGCAATGGTCTGACCTCGGAGCCTAGCGTTTCAACCTTGTTGTCATCAGAGCATCCTCTAAGAACAATAATATACGAATTCATGATCTCTCGTCAGCATCAGGCATTGTATCGTGTGTTTTTGAGGGAGAATCGCCCTGACAAGGATTTTGTATTCGAAGCCCTGCCGCCCATACTGGAAAGGAAGTGCTTCTCATTTGTGACTCTCCTTCTAGAGACGCTTGAAAGACAACCTAGCTCATGGTTCGAAGCAGTATTATCTATCCCCGACAACAAGATGGTCTCGACCCTACAAGGTGCGGGATCGAAATGGACACGAGATTTAACAACGACAGAACGCTCGAGGATCGTGGAGAAAGTGCTCCGATCTGCCCCCCTTGACTCACGACCGCGATAGTGTTCTTTCTCTATTGTATGAAGTGGTGTTGCAAGGGGGTATAGACCCTTTCACGAATGTAGCATCGATGGACAGGCCCCAACGCTTCTCGAAGAGTGCATTCGCGTCGCATATCCCGCGCTCCTGGAGTTGGTCTGCCGCGGAATGGTTGACTTCAAAGCTGACTTCAAGCGCAAGATTGCACATGGTGGCATGGATGCACTCCACGTCGCAGCTATCTCCCGAAATTCTGCAGCTGTGAAAACACTGCTGGCATTCGGCTCTTCGCGCGAAGCAACCGACAATTATGGTTGCACGGCGTTACATCTTGCTGTCAAAGGCGAGGGTTGGGGAGTGTCCAGCTCTCAGATCGTGGAGACCGTACGAGCATTGCTCGCTGGAGGGNTCTCCCACGATATCAAAGATATCCAGGGAAAGAGGGCATTTGACTACGCATCGGAGCGCCTGAAAGATCGGCTCTACGACATGTTACATGAACGAGAGAAAGTATATCTCAGCTCGATTGATTTATCACGCTACTGAGTGAGTGACTTAAAGATTCTGGGAAAGAAATCTAAAGAAGAATGATCTTGGGATGCCAAAATCGTTGATTGCTCGATCTGTTCCTTCTCCCCCTTTCCGTCTCCGTCACCTGAGCTCGGTTTCATCAAGGACAAGTACAGTTCTCTGTACCATCCCATTACTCGAAGACAAAAGCTTTGTGCTTCTTCAAGTACTCTTCCTCTTCCTCGGTACCGCCCTCTCTTTCGCCTTCCATGCCCCTGAAACGATACTTCAATCTCCAATAGTGTTCGCTGGGCTTGTAGGTGATACTGCCTCCGCCTCTTTCCTTCAAGCAAGTCTGCATGAGCAGACCGACAGCGCCTTCCTCATCTTCTTCTGCTTGCAGCATCTCCCACTCTCTGTCATCTTCAAAATCTTCACGGAACAGGACGATACCGAAATCTATCATCATGACTTTGTGGGTTAGAGGATCAACCATGAAGCTACGTGTGTTGACGTCGCGATTGAGAATGCCGCATTCCTGGATGTGATGGAGTTTCCCGATTGCCGTGTCGACAATCGATTGCCAGCAGTGTTGGGGCAGATGTTCATGCAGATCGGTGAGATGGAAGCCGTCGATGTACTGAATGAGGATGCCAGGGATGTCGACAGTCTGGGGATTATTGTCCGCATCTGTTGAGGTGGTGGATTTTGAGTCTTCATGGATGCTCTCGGCTTCATCTTCGCCAGCTTCGCCATCGTCGCTTTGTTTCTGGAAGGCGGCTGGCTGGCCAAGAACAACTTCGCCAAACACTTTGGGTGCATCTTCTCCTTGCAGTTTGGCCATGTGCTCGTAGGCCTTCTTCTCAGTCTCGTAGGTGTTCGTCGCATCCCACTGGAGATACGCCTCGCGCTTTGCGACACTCCATCTGTCGTGGTTTCCCACGTAAGCTGCCGACCAATCACCATCTCGCTCCTTTTCCGCATCCCAATAGCTGAAAAACTCTTCAGCGTCACCGCACTCCACAAAGTCCTGGTATTCCTTCTCGAGCTCAGGTGACCAACGGGGTGCCTCCCAATCTTCGCGATGTTGAGCTGAGAAGCGGCGGTCGTACAACTTGAGCACGCATTCAGATGTGTGGTTGAAGACAGGCGGCTCGATGAAACGAATCACCATACAGCAAGACAGAGTTGCTGGGAAACATTTGACGATCACGGCCTTGATTGGATCATCGCTCTCAGAATTCTTGAGGAGAATCTCGTTGCCAGGAATGTAAGGGCAGCTGGATGTACCTTTGGTTAGATTGTGTTCTTCATCTGGATGGAGAGCGCTTACAAANGGCGACAAAGTCTTGTCGGGGTAATTGCAGTCCGCCTGCTTGGTTGAGGATGAGTCTGCTTCCATAGCAGGAGAAAAGGAGTTGGTCGTGTGCTTGTTGGATGGAGAGTCAGTAGAGCTGACTTTGTCGCAATCTCCAACACGGGGCTCGACACTGGTGGGGCCACGGCGCAGAACAGTCTCGTTGATGGTGGCGTCTGCGCTGTCTACGAAAGAAGCAAATGTCTCAGGGTGAAGGTAGCACTGATATTGATCCGGGGACTTGGTGTCTCCGCGTTCGTTGATTGGCAAGATCATTTTGATTGGGCCGCTGAGGTAAACAATCTTGACGCGGTCGCTCGCTTCAGTCGACAGTTGAGACTGAACCGCAGTGGGCTCCGTCGTGCTGATGTTGACATGCATATTTGCTGCAGATACTGGAGGTGAATGATTTGTGGCGGTGGTATCAGCCATGTCGCCTCCGCGCGCGTTATTCTTGTAGGTGTTGTGTTGTTGTGAAGATGAGAAACAAATCCAAGTCAGAACTTGGTGGGAAACGCGCTCTGGTGTTGTCAATTGACGACGAATTTTCCGTTTTCACTTGGAAGGTGATGTAATTGATAGGTACGCGTACACGACCTCGTGTGTCGGTCTTGGTGTCACAAACAAGGGCACACGAAAGTAGGTAGGTACACGGGCAGTGATCCAAATTTCTTCATACAAGTTCTCTTCTTGTCGAAGTCGTCTATAGCAATTCACGATAAATAGATTGGGTTTCCAGATTGTTTGTAGGCTGTTCTGGTCATTTTCGTTCTGTAGACTTCATCCTGGAGCATTCTCTCTTCTCCAGCGACATCTTCCTCTATGAGCGTTTGAAGCAATGCAGAGTCTCAAAGTCGATCGTGATGCACACAAGAGAGCTTGGGATGAACCTTCTGTGATGCACCTTCTGTTCGCTTCCATCTCAATTTTCCGTCGTTGCGGTTTGTTGTTGTCGTGTCTCTCTGCCTCACCCTCTCTTATCACACGCGTCTCCTGTCAAAACACCAATCGCCTTGTCATCTCCCTCACACTCACGACTACAATCATTCATACCAATTCATCTCGACGTTCCTTAACGCATCAATAACGCATCAATCACAATGGTAATAGCAGCAGCCCCTGATCACCACACCCCTAAGCCCGTGCCTACACCTTCCTGTCCTCTCTGATCTCCTCCGTCTGCCACTCTTACATACTCTCTCTCTCTCTGAAGGCCAGAACTACCACCAACAAGCCTATCAGCAATGCAGAGGCTCAGAAGCTCTATGCTCTGTATGCTAAGAACATCGATGTCTGCTTCCTTCAAGTCACCTTCAGCGGTCCCGTTGGTGAACCTATGGATATTCATGGCGACAACAAGAGTGTGAAAAGCAAGCGCAACATCACCTGCCACTCTGTCAGCATGCGTACCTCGGACGGCAAGAACAAGGTCTGGGTTTACCGCGGTTCTGGAACCAAGTACCTGCAAGACACCTTCGAAGTTCCCGATGGCACCAAGGAAGAGACTCTCAGAATCATGCTTGAGCGCGCCACTGGTCTGGACGCTGCTGGCAACAAGGTTGAGATCACCACTTGAGCTTACTCTCTTTGTACGTGCTTGTCGAAGACCTGTCCTCAAACAAAGCTAATCGTTCAGAATCACAACACACACCACGAAACACCGCGTCGACTATTCACGCTACACGCATATCCCTTACGACAAAAACGTGGTCCCACTTTCATTATATCAAGGAGCTTTCGCTTTCGTCGCATCGACGAATTGGAAATCACTTTTTCACATTAGCGAGGCGTTAGGAGACACAAAAGATACCCAGGGCTGTTTTTGACTTGTTTTTTGAGATTCAGGGGGAGGATTAATTGGTTTTACTCTGTACACTAGTCACTACTTCATTCGCTTCAATACATTACAACCGCTACAAACACTCGAATCAATCTGCTTCATCCCCTGATCGATCCACCTATATCCATCCCTTGTGAGAACTATCAGTAGACCAGAAGCGACCCCGACCAGACCACTGATAGAGTACCCCTGGATCGGCTGCATACCAGTCCAGAAGACTCGATGTTAATGACCCCTATTCTCAGCTATCCTCTGTATCTCCATAGCCCCCTACCCAGCACAACATACATCTAAAGATGAACTTGATCACTATACCCTGTGCCTATCGTCTCAAGCTCTTCGTAGATACTGTCCTCTGTTGACAAAGATATATGCAGCAATACAAATGTATACCACTTGCAGCGTACTGCTTGAGCTTTCAAGCTTCTGTGCGTCCTCTATTGACCCTTCTACCTTTCTCCGTACATACGAGGGTTTGTGACATCGGTGATGCACGGCTGAAATGCTTCTTAGTGATAACGAGACCTTGCAAAGTCTTTGTATCGCACAAGAACAGATGTTCTTGTGACGGTACTCTGATGCCAGCAGCAACGTTGAGCTGAGGGTCTTCTAGCGGTAGATCAACCAGCGCATCGAGGTCGTGAGCATCACTGTCAATCGACTTGAGCGAAAGGCTGGCCATCGCTTTAGATGTCGTGGACAACAATGGTAAAGCTGGAACTCTGGCAGTGGTTTTATCTTGTACTGGACCAATCTACTCACGAGAAAGAGCAAGCCAGTGCTACCGATGCGATTGGCAATGACCCCAAAGTTTGCCGTTGCGCAGAACCGACACGTGGTCAAGCTCTCCTATCTTTGCTGCTACTTTGGTCCCAGCTCGCGGCTATAAAAGAGGATTGACAGGCAACCACAAGCTTGGTTAAGGAGAGTTTGGAGTATTCGAAAGCTACCTGAGTTGGGCTGGCACCAAGAGAGCTCGATTGGCTCCAACACGCCCCAACGCTCTGCAAGCTCTGGGCATTTGGTGAAGAATACTGCTTCCAGCACAACCCGAAGGAGGTGAATGAGCAGGAATCCAGCTCTTGACATCTCTTCCTATGCATGTATCTGGGATATTACTCTATACCTTTCCAATACTATACCAGTTTTCATTGAGGTCAGAGCTGAGACATCTCCGTTTAGGGACGATCATGGACCTCCAGACCGGACTTCGTATGAGCTCCTCTCGCTGAAAAAGCAGGAGATGCTGAGCCGATTCGAATTCTGGTTTGTCGTCGGAACAGCCTCTGAGAGGCAAGTCAACAACGCCAATAGACGATGGTGAGAAGGATTTTTGTTAAGGAAGGGTCACCTCTCGACGCGGCCAAGATATATCCAGGGGTAACGGCAAGACGACCTTTGTCTCGAGGCTTCTGAGTGCATTCGAAAGCCGGGCTCTTGATTACTGTACGCACCACGTCATTGTCCTTCGATCACACAAAGCACATTCATGAAGACGAAGAGAACAGAGGCAATCAACGAGACTTTGGCTTTTGATCTCGTATATGGACATTCTTTTTCTTATCTTACACTCCTTTTCTGCGCCTCACCAGTACGAACTATCCCCATCGGCCAGCCTCTCTTTCCCGCTCGACCCTCTCAGCTCTAGCTTCCTCTCCTTCCTCATCTTCATATCTATAACTAACCTTTCTGCTCTTCCTTGATCCCTTTGGTCCTGTCGGCGCATCAAACCCGGCATTCGAACCTCGTCTACCGCCGTCCTCACCTCTGCCTCTCTTGCCCATAGTAGCAGATTCACGGCGTTGTTGCTCTTTGGCCATGCGTTCTTTGATGCGTGCTTCGCGTTCTTGGGCATATGGGTCAGCAGAGGCGGAAGCAGAGGTGTCTTGGGCCACAGCAACGGATTGGAGACTCGGACGTCTGGCAGCTCTGTCGTCATTGCGGTCTTTGCGAGGGCCGGTGGGTGGAGCGAAGGGTTTGCTGCCGCGAGAGCCCTTGATCTTGAACCCTTGGTCGTCGTTTGTGGAGGCTTGGTCGTCGCGGCGTGAGCGGCGGGAAGAAGAGTAATGATCAGCGGTGCCGTTGGCTGAAGGCGAGCGGTCTCTGCGAGAGCGTTTACGGTCACGATCGTTTCTATCACGATCAGAGCGTTCCTTTTCTCTTTCACGATCGCGGTCACGGTCGCGACGGCTCTTGGTGCGGGAAGATTGGTCGTCTCCGTTACTGCGGTGGTCTTTGTCGCCACGAGATCTGCTGCGACGGCGGCGGTGATCGCGGTCTCTGCTGCTTTCGCGGGTTGAACGGTGCTTTTCTCTGTCTCTGCGACGGCGTCTTCTAGATGCGTCGTCATCGCCAGAGTCAGATCTTGTCACGTCCTTTCTGTCGGAATCGGCAACCTCGTCGTCGTATTTTCTTTCGTGACGGCGACGTCGCTCACGTCTGCGAGCTCGTGCTTCGCTATCTTGCGAGTCGACACTGTGCTTACGCTTGCGACTGTGCGAGCCTGATCTCGAATGTGAAGGCGAACGGCCACGCTCACGATCGTCACGAGCAGGCGATGCAGTGCGCTCTCTTTGCGGTTGGGGAGATTGTGCTGGCAAAGATTGAGGCTGAGGGGTAGGGGTAGGATGAGCGTTCCTTCCACCTTGGAAGCCGCCTCTGCTGTAGATGCCACTATTGGGCAAGCCCTCACGCATGGCCTTGGGACCCTTGGGAGCATCAATTGGAGGTCCTTCAGCAGAGCCTGCAACAACAGTGAAGTCTTCTGGAGTCTGCGACATGTGTCCATTGAAGCCGCCATGCATGTTGTTGAAGCCACCTCGGCCACGGAAACCGCCCCTGCCTCTGTAACCGCCCCTTCCTCTTCCACCAAATCCACCGTTGAAGTTGTTTTGCGGGAAGAACCCGTTTTGATTGCCAAAAGGCATCATTGGCGCCATTGCAGGATTGAAGCCACCCATACCCATCATGGCTGGGTTGAAGGCGTTGGGATCCATCATGTTNTGGGCCTGGATATATAAGTACATGACTTGATATCGATTTTTGTTACGCTCACCTTCATTGTTTGAGTTCATCATCTGATTGCCATGTTCATCTTGCATTCCTTGCATGTTATCGCCATTTTCGAGACCTTGCTCTTCCGGTTGCTCTTGATCTTGAGGGACCTGCTCGTTAGTATCCTCGTTGGTAGCATCTGTCTGTTGCTCTGGGGCAGGGGCATCATTCTCCGGGTTCTGGGATGCGGGAGCTACAGATTGGGACTCGTGTCTTTCAGCACCGGCTTCAGCCGATTCAGTGCCAGCTTGAGAAGGACGACGTTCGCCTTGTTCGTCATCTTGAGGATAAGCAGCGTCGTCTTGCTGAGTCTGTGAGTTAGATGGGCCAACACTCCCACCAGCAAACGCAGCACCGCCTCTCCCACGGCCAGCAAAGCCACCACGCTGTTGTTGGAAGCGGTTCTGGTTCTGGTAGTTATTATGATTGGGGAACTGTTGATTGGCATAGCCTCCTTGGTGCATTTGCGGTTGATTATATCCAGCGTTGGGATAATAGCCAGCGCCAAAGTTTCCGCCCATTCCCTGCTGTCCATTCCAATTGCCACCGAAACCGCCTCCAAAGCCCATACCCATGTTCATACCACTCATGTCTTGCATGCCCATACCGCCAGGACCGAAACCGCCGAACATGGACATGGGGTTCATTCCAGGCATGCCTATAAAGGTGTTAGTAGGTGTTGCAAAGATACAAAAGACTNNCAAAAACTCACCCATCATGCCCATCATTGGGTTGAATCCATTGGCCATGTTCATCATAGGGTTGAATCCGTTAGCAGCGTTCCAGTTCATGTTTTGGAAGTTTTGTTGAGAAGCGTTCTGTCCGTTTTGGTCTTGTTTTTGATTTTCGCCTTGGTCCATCTCATTCTTCTGTTCGGATTCGGGGTTCTCAGGGTCAGGCTCTTCGATTGACTGTGCGACAGTATCTTCCTCGGCTCCACCCGCTTGTTCGGCCTGCTCCAGTTCCGTGGACTTTCCAGCGACCGGGTGTTCAGAGACNCTGTATATACACGTCAGGATCTCATCTTGACCATCTACCTGACACAGTCTTACCTCTTCAACCTGGGCAAGCGGATCGGTGGCCTCGGGCGCAAGAGCACCTTCAGTCGCATCTGCCGGGGCTACAGCTTCTTCCTGCGTAGGATCTGCGACTGCCTCAGTCTGGGTATCGGTCTCTGCTTGTGGTTGCTCTGTGGGTTGTTCTGCTTCCTGTGCGGGAGCCTCCTCTTGTTCGGCGGCTGCGACCGTAGCAGCTTCAGCAGCGGCAGCTCTCTTCTTCTCCTCAGCCTTGATGAAGGCACGAACAGTCATGCGCAAAGACTTGTTGGGCTTGCACATGTCAGCATCCAGAGGAGAGTGGCTGCATACTGGGCAGGCATCAGGAAGAGTGGCTTGGCAGTCCTGGCAGATGGATGAGTCGCAGCATTGAAGCTTGAAGGCATTGACGGCGAGTTTGCTACAGGTGGCGCATCGCAGCTTTGTAGGGATCTCAGATTCGGTGAGTGAGCTNGAGCAGCATGTGAGTGATTGCGCATGCTACGAGAGTTGGACTGGGTCTGACCTGGCGAAGTCGATGGCCGCTTGATCCTGAACGGCCGCCATGTTGCCGGATCAGTGTGCGCACCGAGGTGAATGGACCAGCGCTTTCTAAGACGTCGTGTCGATGGTGCTGTAAGTTGTGATAATAATGTGCTTCAGATTTGTGAAGTCAGAGGAATCAACTCTTGACACACCCACGCGCGACTGCGGCTACTCCCGCTGTCGGAGGCTCCGGAAGCTTTACCGAGTCTGACACGTGAAGACCATCCATCAACCTATTTTCACTTAACGAGCAATGGGGAAAGGAACCAGCTGTATCACCATCATCGTCCCTCTAGAAAATAGTAGGTGGTATTTTGCTCAAAGGCTTTGCATCTTTCTAGCCATATCGAGAAATCTGAGCTTTTCTCAGCCTGCAGCGACGATCATCTCCACAAATGGAAGACCCTGAGAAGCATCAACTACATCATTGGTTCCTTCCTACGAATCGTTCAACTCAACCCTTCCAATTGTTCATAGCATTCTTCCCTTTCGATATACAAGCAAAATGATATTAAACCAGATCTCGTATCTGGATTGCATTGCCTTCCTCATCTTCCTTGCTCCTCAATTGCTCATCCGAGTGGGTCTGGTGGAAACAGTTTCTTGTGTCGTAGCTGCATTGCCCTTCTTTCGTATGTGTGCTAGAATTCAACGACTGATTGATTGTTACTGATATATCCTTCCAGTGGTTCAACTGCCATATTCATTCATCAAAGAACGATTCTTTACTCCCTACGAACAAAAGTCTGCTTTCAATCAACACGCCACTCCTTTCCAGGACTTCGTAATTCGCTGTGTTCGCTATGCTTTTGCAAAGATCCCGGCCAATATTGGCAAGGTTTTCTTCTCTAAGGGTGTTGCGTTGCCCTTTNTCTGGTTCCGTATGTTGAGACATGGATATCTCAAATCTGCTATCCCATGGCGTGAGGTTAAGAAACCTGGTCTTCATGGTATCTGGATGATTTGTGATGAGAATAAGAAACCGGATATTGTGATTTACTATTGTCATGGTGAGTCCTCAGATATCTTTGAGAAACAGAAACATGCTGACAAGTCCTATANNGGTGGTGGCTTTTCGATGGGAAGCAGTTTCTTCTACCTCGAATTCCTTCTCGCGTGGGTCAGCATCCTCAAAGAGTCAGGCTACTCTAATCCCGCCCTCTTTGCTCTCGAGTACACTCTAGTCCCCGAGACCACCTACCCAACTCAAGTCCACGAGACTTTAGTTGGTTACGAATACGTTCTCTCCAAGATCTCGGACTCGTCGCGTATAGTCGTCAGCGGTGACTCGGCAGGTGCAACGCTAATGCTCAGTCTTACGCTTTACATGTCTCAGGAGCCAAAGCTGCGCACTCAATTGCCAGGTTTGGGTATCATGATTTCACCTTGGGCTGTCATTGTATCGCCGAAGAACAAAGATACGCCGAGCGACTATCTCAACGCCGAGTCTTTGCATCTTTACGGCGGCCAATATGTTGGTTCCAAGGCTTCTGCTTCAGACCCTCTGGTCTCGCCTGGTAAATGCAGAGACAGGGAATGGTGGAGGCGAGCTTCGCCAAGCAAAGGCTGGATGTTCATCTACGGTGCTGAAGAGGTATTCGCACCCGAGACTGTTGAGTTAGTCGATTTCCTGAAGGACGAAGTGAATACCGAAGTAAGCGTGCATGAGGAGAAAGGATGGATCCACGCATGGCCAGTGGTGAAGCTCTTCCTATCTGATGGGCAAAAGGAGAGGCAGAGTGGATTGAGGAGTATGACGAAGGTTATACGAAACAGACTGAGATAAATAATTCGAATGCTTGCTAGACTAAATAATGCTATACAATAACAAATCAACAACGAAAAATGCGAAAATATGCTATATGCTGCTTATGTACAGAATGCGATAGGAAGGTATGCGGGCAGCTGTCGTATGTTATCTCCAAAAAGATGGTTGTGGGTATCGGTGTATTAGGCGAGCAAACGTAGACTCGAGACCGTGAACCGCGTATCGTCAAAAGGAGCAGATCATGAGAGAAGGGAAGCTGCTTCATGAAGCACAGAGCTTCAAGCAGCGGAAGACTCCGATATCATCATTTCCTGCCGAAGAACTCCTTGAAACTCTTGCTTCGTTGCCTTCCGGTCTTGTTGTGCTTAATGTCTCCATCCTCACCACTGAACACTGCTTGACGTTCCTGCTCTTCCAATCTGGCTCTCTCGTCATCCAGCTTCTTCTGCGTCTTCTTGTCTACCGCCCAACCGCCAGTCTTCTCCACATCCACACCCTCATCCTCAGCAATTGTTTGCGGGTCGAAGATTCTTTGACCCCTAGGAGCTCTTCCCGGCGAGGGGAAATCAGGCACGGGAATAGGTTCCGCAACACCGTTCTTGCCTTCTTGTTGTCTGCGAAGGTGCAAACGGGGAGGAGGCGGTGCGCGAAGTGACTTTGATCGCGAAGGTGCAAAGCCAGTGTTGGGGAGATTGTGGGCTTGGTGTGGTTCCTGGCGCACACTCATTGCTCTGCCTAGTGCTTGCTTCATGGATTTGGAGCGTGACATGCCGCCACCGGTGGTCTTGCTGCGCGCGGGCAGCTCGTCGGGTATTACGACTTTGCGTTGATCGCTGGAGTTCGGCGAGCGGTTGCGATCCAGATCAGACGGAGGACTGGTGCGGTGGATACTGTTCTTGCGGCGGGCGGCAGCCATGTTGCCCATCTGGAGGACGCGGTTGCCTTCGTCGGTGGCAGTCATTCTGCGGGCAAGAGGTGTGATTTGGTCATCACCCTCGTCGAATGAATTGCGCGACATGATTGTGTGTTTGTGATGTGATTCGGCTTGTGTTGTGACTGTTCGTCTTCCTCGACGAATTGAGAGAGAGCGACAATATGTTCGTACTTTCTCCAGGGTTGCGAGATGGTCTGTGAGCTAATATATCTTCTTCCAGTGCTGAAGGACTATTTTTGTTGACTTTTGTGGAGAAAACTGTTGGCGAGTGACGGATGTTTGTGCAGTGACAACGGCGGCGCGTTTGACTTTGAGTATGCAGGGACGATCTGCTGCGATTATGATGTAGTAGTGCAGAAAGGTCCACAGGAGGCCGTATATCTTGCTCTCAAGCAATTATGTCGTAGAGAATTCAGGGAAGGAAGACAATGGAACTCGTAACGTCAACTTCAAAACAGGGGCTTCGTTACTGTTATACGCAAGAGAAAGGAAAAGGGACCAGCAGCGCAAGCCCACAGCGAGTCGGCGCTATTTTGTGCCTTGACTTGGTTGAAGTGGCACGCTCTGCCACACATCTATTTGTGTGGAAGATTGACTATCCTACCTTCAACCTGAAACGCACGTTTGACGAACACCTTCCCTTTCTAACTCGAAGCGGCCGCGCGTTAATTGCACCTCCATGTTCCAGACTCAAGTCAGCAGCCACTGCCTCTTTTGCTCAACGCGCATCACGCAAACAACAGTGTCGCTCTTGACCCTTTCATCGCTTCTGGTTCGAGTGCTGGATTTTCTTCTCGTATTCTGACGTAGCTCAAGAGTACTAAGGGACAATCGTTGGAGAAGCCAGACAAACTTGCAACTGTTCAGCCTCTGTCAACGGTGGCGGCTTGCTTCACCCTCGCTCCCCCCCACACGCGCTAACGAGCTGGGGCGCTGACCACCGAATTTAAGATGAGCCAGCGTCCTTGTTTTGCGGTTTATAGATGATCGAGAAGGGTCGCCTGAGACATCATACCTATAACACGTATCCCATTGCCATCTGTCCGTGATTTCAAATGCTGATCACGAGGCTGCTTTGGGAAGTGTCGAGGAGCAGCTTCGTGGCTGTGCTAGTCACGCTCCGTGTCAAGAATCGTTTTGAGAAGTAGGCAAAGTGCACCTCCATGATAGATGGCATCCAAAAGTGGCTTCGAGTTAACTATAAGAATATATTGACTGGTGGAGATTCTGACATCGAATAGCAAGTGTAGATATATTCGACTTTGCTTGACGAGATTGCCGTGGCTTGTGATCATTCCAAATCGTGTAATTGCATACATGTAGTCAACAAAAGTTGACTGAGAGAAGACTGACCATTTTCATACACACTGCGATGGCGAGTGCAGCTGATAAAGCACTAAGATCGAGCTTCAGAGGTCAGTAGGTAGAAAATTGAACACAATTAGTGGTTGTGCCCAAGACCCTGCCCATGGTCGTAACCCATCTACAAAGACGTCTCCAACCGATCCATAATCATCGAGCTCTCAGAAGACATGGGAAACACCAAGATCACCCACAAGCACGGCTTCTGCGCAAGGAGACGATTGGAAGTAGAAGAAACATCAAATTCGCTAATCTTTGGGGATATCTAAAACAATGAAAAAGGATTGAACCATCCAGGACATTATATCTTCACATCATGCTCTTACAGACTTGCTCTCTCACCACCACCAACCTTCTTGGATGTAAAGGTCGAGAAGTAGCTGTTGAGAGCATCAACAGTGCCAGTGCCCTCAACAAGCTTGACAACACAGCCAACATATCCGTCAGGACGAACGATAACGACACCACCCTCCTCTTGCGACAGACCCATCTTTGCGTGAGCAGCTGCCTTGGCGTCAGGAACCTTCTGGTCCCAGATGTCATCAGCATAGACGTGGTCGAAGTAGCGAGAGAGAACCTTGGGAAGCAAATCTCTAATCTCAATCTGAGGACGCTTGGCGTTGAAGATGGTGTTGATGGTGAAGAAGAGGCTGTGGGGGTTATGCCTTTCGTGGTAAGAGACCTGGTCGAGGTTGGGGTGGCCGAATGTGCTATAGAATGAGCCCTTCTTCGACAGACCAGCAGCGAAGTCTGAGATAGCACGCTTGGTCTTGCTTGGCTCACCACCGTAGAGGTAGATGCGCCAGCTGCCGTTTAGAGGGATCTCCTGCTCAAGGTGGACAACGTTGGCGTCGGCTACTCTTGTGACGGTTGCGTTTGTCATGATACGTCCAGTGCGTTGAGTAGTGGTGCCGTCCTCGTTGGACAGGAACAGCGGCGACTTAGCAGGATGGTCCTTTGACCAGTTGAAGATGTTGGGGTTGTAAGCAACACCGTAACCCGAGGTGAACTCGCAAGAAGATTTGAACATCTTGATGAACTCGTTCTCCTCGACCTGCTTCTCACCGTCCTGCTGCTGCGTTACTGAGCTGACCTCACCAGCGCTGGGCTGGCGCTGCGAGAACAGCCTGGCGTATGCATTATCGAAGTTGAGGAGGTTCTCTGCAATCAACTTGCGTTCCGACTCATAAGACTTGAGGATGGAACGGTCGGCGAAACCGCTCTCGACGTGGTGAATCTTCCATGCCAGGTTTTGGGCGTCCAAGAATGCAGTGTTCATACCTTGACCAGCCTTGGGAGAGTGAGTGTGGCAGCAATCACCGCCCATGAAGACACGTTCGTCGAGGGTGTAGCGGTCTGCGATACCTTGACCGATGGGGTAAACTGAGTACCACTCGACGCGGTCCCACTCGATCTCGTAAGGCTTCATGATCTTCTTGGCGGCCTCCTGGACTTCTTCTGTTGTTGCTTGCTTGCGAGGGTTCCAGTCTTTGTCTGTTGAGGAAGCGATCTGAATGTAGAGACGGACCATGTTGTCCTCGCGGGGAATAACCATGATGGAACCAGCGTCTGAGTGGATTGTGCACTTCATCTTGATGTCAGGGAAGTTTGTGCGCACGACACCATCCATGACACCCCAAACATGTGTGATAGGGTCCTTGTGTGTGATACCAACACCGAGCTTTTCACGGATGAAACTGCGGGCACCCTCGCCACTGAAGAGGTACTTTGCTCTGACAGTCTCTTGCTCGTCGCCATCGACGTGTGCGATCTTGACTTCGACCGGGTATTCCTTATCTTTGCCATCGTTCTCGAATCCTGTGATTCTCCATGGTCTCTGCACCTTGACTCCGTACTTTTCCATATCGGCAATGAAGACGCGCTCAATCAGGCCTTGATGGAGCAGGGTGGTGAAGGGGTAGCGAGCGTCGAGGAAGCTTGGGCATGATGGCCATGTGCCAGTACGGTGAATACCCTGGCTCTTCTCGGAGGGGTCCCAGAAAGCGACCTCGTAGACCTTGGCAGGCTCGTGAGCCATGATTGCACGCTTGAGGCCCATGTTGCGGAGGAGGTCGAGTGATCGTGGTTGGATACCGTCGGCTCTTCCAGTAACGGTTGGCTCGGGTCGCATATCAATGTGCTTAATCTTGTAGCCCCATCTTGCAAGGCAGGTCGACAGTAGGAGACCTACGGGACCTGCACCTACAATGACGATGTCGTACTTCTCGGTCGGCATGACGATCGAGTGTTAGAGAGATGTGGGTTGGGAGGGAATAGGCTCAAGGCCGAGAGGGATTGATATGAGACGATAAAGATGAACAGGTGATGGTAACGAATAAAGCGGCGATCAAATAACTTATGTAGGAGCTTGACTTACCTCAGTACTTAGCTACCGGCAGACGTCTATAATATTTTCGGCTGCTTGTCTGCTACCGAATTCACGACTTGCTTCTGCCGCAACAAGGCAAAATGACATCTGCGGGGCCTAGATACCCCAAGGCACCAATCGCGATCATTCCTGGGGTTAGATTAGGGTCGAGCTAGAACAATTTGGTAGGCCGAAATCGAGCAGTTGTTCTGCCGTTGGTCGTGTGTCCGTCAGAGCCGCGACCGGCACAAGTCGAGGTGCTTTTCGGGAGTCTGGGGAGCAGCTCGAGTCGAGGCTCTTCGATCAGTCAGCCGGGTTCTCCACACGTCTCCAGCACTTGGCATCGATGAGACTCGACATCACCCCGCGCCTCCATTCATCCATCGCATCGGATCCGATATCGTTTCAATCTGTTCTATTCGCTTGCATGTTCTCTGTGACCTTCATGACTCTTGTTGCATAGATCAGCTCTCGGTAGCTTGTTACGAGTTAGTTCGAGGCTTTGGCGTGCATCAAGCTCGGAAGGCTTAGACAGACGTCAAATCACCCCTCTTCAGACTCTCTTCCACGGTTATATCCTCGGTCACGACGCTGTATAAGTTGTCAGTCTTGTTCTTCTATCTTTTGTGCAACTTTTGCTTCTTGTTGAGCCCCTGCTATCTTGAGCAATATGCCTGTGATCGATTCATCAACTATCCCACTTGTTGGTCAGGTTTCGAACATCGTCCTGGTGTCTTTCTTCTTCACAGCTTGTCTGTCAGTATATATTGTCTATCAAAGATTCTTCCATCCACTTGCTTCGGTGCCCGGTCCTTTCTGGGCTAGTCTTACCCGATTTTGGATCACAAAGCACAGTTGGGATGGCGACATGCACAGGACCATGATCGCCTTGCATGAAAAACATGGTCCAATTGTGCGTAACGGGCCCAACGAGGTCAGCATAGCAGACCTGTCGGCCATCAAGATAATCTACGGCGCAGGCACAAAGTTCCGTAAGAGTGACTGGTATTCTGTTTGGCAAGGTCACAGAAAGTTCGACCTGTTTGGAGAGAGGGACGAGAAGCTGCACGGCAAGCAAAGAAGCTTGATCAGTTCAGCATATGCCATGACCAGCTTGAAAGATCTAGAGCCGTACGTGGATGATACCGTCAACCGATTCATGGATGCGATGAGTGAGCGTCAGAACCAAGTGGTCGATATGGGCAAATGGGCACAGCTTTTCGCTTTCGGTGAGCAGCACCAAATCTTCATAAGCACTTACTTGGCTGACCTACAGTGAANNGATGTCATCGGAGAAATTACCTTCTCTAAAAGCTTCGGATTTATGGAAGCACAAGCTGACGATGGCTCTTTCGGGCAAATTGAAGGCGCCTTGCAGTCTGCCGCATGGATCGGACAAGTTCCATGGCTCTTCTGGCTTCACGATCGCTTCATGCCAGTGATTGGCAACCACCTTGCCCTCAACAACAGACACGGGTCGCTTCGAACCCTTGCTGCAAAAGAGATTTCGGCGAGAATGGATCGTGGCAGTGACCGCAAAGACATCCTGTCGAAATTGCACGCAGCCCAGAAGGACAAAGCCGAACTCGACGACAATGGTGTCGTCAGCATGGCAACATCGAACATCTTTGCAGGCAGCGATACAACTGCCATATCTACTCGTGCCATCATCTACTACCTTCTCAAGAATCCACAGTACAAGCAGAAACTAATTGAGGAGATTGACGACTTCAGAAGACAAGGAAGATTGAGTGATCCTGTGAAGTTGACAGAAGCAGACTCGATGCCCTACCTCCAGGCTGTCATGTACGAGGCATTGCGCTGTCATCCAGCTGTCGGCATGAGCTTGCCTCGAGTGACTCCGGCTGGCGGCGCCACCATCGCCAACACTTTCATCCCTGCAGGAGTACGTTTACAGATGTCGCCTGAGAAGCCATACTGACGTGAAAGTAGANCTGTCGTGGGCGCCAATCCTTGGGTAGTTCATCGCAATAAAGAAGTATATGGTGAGGACGTCGAGGACTTCCGCCCAGACCGCTGGTTGAAGGAGGATACGGGAGACATGCGTACGTTGTTCGATCGATGGAGGTGTTGACTGTGCTGATTCTGCCAGGTCNGTTTCTTCTTCACGTTCGGTTCGGGTGCTCGGATGTGCCTAGGAAGGAGTAAGTACTTGTTGTACCACAATGCATTGAATAATCGCTGATCAGAATCACTGCAGNACATAAGCTGGATGGAAATGTCCAAACTGATACCTACGCTGTTCCTCCACTACAATCTCGAGCTTGCAGACCAGGATGCCGAGTGGACAGAGAAGTGCNTTGTGAGTTGTCGTTTCTTGTGGATGATTGTCCCTTGTACTGATACGTCGAATAGCTGGTTCGTGATGCAGCAAGGCGTCAACGTACGCCTCAGCAAGCGCGCTGTGCCATCTTAAGAAGTTCAACAAAACTGCTTTGAGCTGGTCCCCGAGGGAACAGAGGGGAGCAAGGTGTCGAGATGAAATCATGATGTGTGGATATTCCGCTCGAGGACGTTCGGTTAGTAGACTGCTGCTATGTATTGATCTCCGATTTTGAAGGGACACAAGTGCCTGCAAGCAGCAACTCTCCCAATGGAGATGCGTAGCCTTGTGTTGGGTAGGTGCGACGGGTAGGCAGATGCAGTAACGAGTTCTTGCCTCGAAAGCGCTTTTCTCGAACCAAGTCCAACCTAGCCCGTTCATCGTGAATCGCTAAAAGCCGAGTATGCATTTGGATGACGAACAAGTATAGGGCGGTAATGCCATCTGCGCAACGAGCTGCTTGGTCTTGCCGGCCGCAGGACGTCGATGGATAACGGCATTGCCCTCCTTGCTCGCGCACACCTCTTCTAGCACATAGGATTACCGTGGCTCATAATAGCATCTTTCTGGCCCTTGTCAAGTTCTCGATGGTCCTTTAACAGACACTGAGAAAGTGGTAGGAAACCACAACTTGCACAAGGTTCACAGTAGTGGATGGTGAAGTGCTCCATCATGTGGAAGAGGTCCTTCTCGATTCTGCGTTTGAGGTTGCAGTGGACGAGGACTGACCGACCGGAGTGATCTACGACTGGTCCGCAGGCAAGGCGATGGAACGCCTTGGCTTCTTGTCGTTTCTCATGATGCTTGTTCAGGATGTAGAGCCGGTCGAGACGGAGCCGCCGACTTGTTCTCTTAGTACCGTGATGACCTGTACCAGAAGTCCTCGTTAGAGCATGGGTTGAGCCACAAACTGGTGTATAGAAGAGTTCTTACCCCGAAAGTACTCCTCTCAAACCAAGCACCGTAGTTCAACTATTGTGCATCATTGCAAGTTGTGCTAGCGACCTGATGTTGACTAGGGAGAGCATCTTGCTGTTGTGCCTGTTGTCGTCGACGAGGATTACATCATCATGTGATCGTACGGAAAGTGTTGGAAGCGAACGGTGGTGAAAGTCTGGTCGTTCGACAAGTGATCGAGCGAAGCTTTGACCGCCTATATCGACAACCAAACCACTCTCTTCTCCTCACATCCACTCTTCCTCCTTCACGCACTCTTACCTTCTTCCACAACTCGCGTACGCATTCTTCTTCTGCAACCAACATCAAGCATCGTTCAAACCTTCATCACACTCTTCTTTCTTCAACATCCACACTCTTCAAGCATCAAGCATGTCATCCCCTGCCTCCAAGATCAACTCGACCATGTCGAAGTCGACTTCCATGGCTTCCGTGGCTTCTCACTGCACCACGATGTCGGACATCATCAGAGCTCTTGACGAAGCACACGACCGCATCGCTAGCATGGGCGTTGATGAGCTCAAGAGCGAGCGCGTTGACAGCCTCGCCTCCCTCAAGGCCATCGAACACCCCAAGTGGCAGAAGCCCATTAAGGCCTTCGATCAGAAGAAGTACCTTAGCGACCTTGAGGCTGGCCAGATCACCCTCCGCCAGATCCAAGTCGCTACCAACTCCACTAAGTTGCCTGAGGAGCACGTCGCCGATTACATCCGCGTTAACGGCAGTGAGTATTCAATACTTTTTTCTTTCTTTGCGCACTGATGAGACTGACGATGGCACAGAGNNCTCCCCGAGCCCAAGTACGGCCCCGGCAAATGCACTTACGACCCTTACCCTCTCCCACCTAAGCGCAAGCGCGATGCCATCTCCGACAACATCGAGGATGCTCTCAAGAAGGTCAAGAACGCCTTCAAGTGAAGCCAAAGGTACGTGTAGGGTGCTTTTTACGTGCAATGAACGTGTTTCTGACGTGCTTTCAGCATCACTATCATCATCAACAACAACCATCATTGCTGTGCAGGATGGAAACGAAGCAATGACAGAGCATTGTCGTAGGCGTTAAGGAGTTGGTAGATACCCCACAGAGTTTATTCGTATTCACATCATTTTCCCAATCATCTGTGCCTTGTCTTTCCATGTGACTGTGATGTATCTCGTCGACGTGTTTAAGTAGTGGCTATCCCGTGAACATGCAAGATGCCATGTCGAGCACAGTGATGTCCACTGAAACGTAGGACTGTGGCAGTATCTCTTTGGCTCCCCCTGAGGAATTGCTGACCATCGTGCATTTCTACTGCTTCGAACTGGCAGGCACTGGTTTACAGGACCGTGCCTTCTCCGCGAGCGTTTAGTCGATCCCGTTAACGAGTCACGCTCATGCCAGACATGATGATAGCCCTTCCTCTCGCCCACACCATCGTTTCTCAAATCGTATGTCATGCACTGCTGCACTCGCCAGCAGATCATACTACTGACGGTTGAGATGATGATCGAAGCAGAAGACAGGTATCGGTCTGAACGACCACCGGGCGAAAGAAGACCTCGAAAACGATATCTTCCCTAAACTGGCTAGCACCTCGACACAAACCCGAGACTTGACGTCTGTAAGCCTGGCGCCATCATCGAGTTCTCAATGCACATTCGGCAGGTACGGAATCGTTCATGTCTTTCCATGGCTGGCGCGATGGGCGATACGGTCCCGAGGAGCCCGAGCATCGTTCGACTCTTTGAACAAGCACCCGCGACTTCTTTGGCCAACTCAACACATACGCCAAGCCGTACATTCCGATGGCACTCGAACAGCGGCAGATACACCACGACGATGCTAAGGAACGTTGTCCGGCTTCAGCTTGATGACGGACATGATAGCCTTTGGCCGCAACCTTCTCGAGCCAGACGAAAAGCGCGCAACTACCATCACTCCAGACGATATCAAGCAAGCACTCGACCCCTCACGAAACGAAGATGTCTGCATCAGAACTCTTGGTGGACGATACTGCATGACTGCGGTTCCTGTCGCTTTTCGTCAAAAGCTCCCGACAACAAACATGGAGCCGACCAGAATGGACCCAGTTATCGACCAGTGCATGGATCTGGCTAAGGCTCGGATGAAGCCATTGGAAACAGGTCCCGTTCGAAGATATGGAATGCTCAAAGCCTGCTGGCATAGCAAGCAACGCCCCACACGATGCTTTGGAAGCGCTCGATGTCATCATACGATGAGAAGCACCATGTCACCCGTGGCCGTCCACAAGCCGCAGATAACAGAGCATTCGTGGCTCACGAAGCTGCTGGATTTCGTTCGTCTCAGTCGATTTCTGGACAGAAAGACAATGAGCGCACGATAGTACATCAGACCTTGATATGACTCGAACAATCAAACAACAGCCAACGACCACACGGGACGAAGCATAAATCGACAGAAGACTCAGACGACATTCATTGCTTCGACACCGCCAGATCGACTTCAAACAACCAAATCCCAGGACCAACGTTCCCATAAGAGAGCGTTTCTCGACGCTAAGAGCGGGCAAGAAATTGTACACAAGAGCTGGACACAAGAGAGCAGCAGGTCCAAGGGGGCTTTGTTTGCTGGACACAGCCGCGACTTTCGAGAGTCATCAGGACTGAGGTCGAGCTGCTCCTCGACTCGACAACTTCGTAGAGGGCATGATCGGTGGCTCAAGGAAAACCCTCAAACAAAGACAAGCCGAAGAGGCTCGTAACATTCCTCCGCATTGTCAGATGCATTTCTGGTCGATGAAGCTCTCGTTCTGTTCTGGCCCAGGCGTCGACAATGCTTTGTCCGAGCTGCCGTCAGGCATTCCTCAATTCCCTTTGCGGTGCTAAGGAATGTAAGCTTCGCAGCTGCGATCTGCACAGTCGGATCTGCAACAGGGACCATCTGGACATCGAAACACAGTCTCTGCATTGCAAAAATGCTCCAAAACTCAAGACCAGGTTGAAGAAAGTTGAAGACTATTGCATGAGACGAAGACGACAGCACCTAAAACCGCGTAACATACTGGAATACTCGATCACAGTATAAAATTATGCAGTCGGACTGGTCCAGAGTATTGCAGATAAGGAGACGCTGCTCTTCCGAATATTCTTGGGCACCTCAAGCAATGCAGGCGAGAATCACGTTGCACTCGTTTCGAAAAGACCCGCTACCTGGATAACAACGTCTGCTTGCCTCTTTCGGACAATGCTCCGTATGTCTCACGCAAGTACTACGACCAAGCTTTCTAGGCATGCTTGTACCATACTCTGAGCAGCATCGCAGCGCCAATGACTCGAAACATTGCTGTGTCCGGTTGGATAAGGAACGGCCGAGTTCCGGACAATGTCGAGGTTCTGCATACGCACACTTTGTGAGTTCTGCAACTCTCAAGCCTCCAGAAATAGCTTGGTGATTGCAGTTTCGTTTGATCATTTGCTTAAGCGCTTCCTGTCAAGAAGTAAATCTGCGACGACACCTGTAGTGGCAGACGAAAACGGCGTCATTCAAGATTGAATAAAGGGTTGCAGCCGTGTCTGAATCGTTCCATGAGCTCAACAAGGTCCGAGTACAATTTGGCAATCGAGTCCAGGGATGTTGTGGACCTTTGCTGTTTCGAGACTCCACGACCATCTCGTTCAGGACCACGCGGAACCGTTGAACCCTGTGAAGCGAACCAGTGGAGGAAAGATATCTTGGGGGCCGTTGTCCATCTGTCAAGTCTGATGTGCTCGTCGTCGGACCATCGTGTCACCCTGCCCGGAACAAGTTTCAGGTTTTTCTTAATCTGAAGAATATTTTCTAGAAGAAAATTGAAATGCGGCTTCCATCTATTCTGAGGCCGCTAGAAGACGTCATGCTTCGACTTCAACTTGGCAGAACGTGTACCGCGCGTGTCGCCCAGGAGATATAGATTGAAGCCTGAGAGGTGACGGAAGCCCAATGTCGAACTTGATGCATTCTCGCGCAGATAGTCGCGTAGGTCAAGAGGCAACGTCAGCCTGCTTCAGGAGAGATTGGGCATCCCTTTGAGCCCCTGGTGGAAATGAGACAGAGGGATGAGGCTTGATGACGGTTTTCAGCGGAAGCGGGGAAAGCTCATCGGACCGAACCTCTAGTCTGTTGCTGGTTTGGTAGATCAGCGTGGCAGGGCAGCGAGGTTTAAACAAAGCTGTTTACCATTGTCGTCGTCGTCTTTCACATCCAAGGCAGACGAGACTTTCGACCAGCACATCACTCGACAAAATGGACGACCGTGGACGGCCGATTCGGTCGTCCTCGAGAAGGTCTTCCACTCAGAGAATCAGACCGCGTCCTCGAGCATCCAATCAATCGCTCCACAGCGCTGGCCGACCACAGGAGAACACGACCTTCACCTCATTCGAACCCTTTTCACCACCGAATAACGTCACGTCGAGCTACAACAGCAATGCGAGTACCATGGCGAATGGTCTTGCAGTCATGAACGGCAACGGTAGCAATCACGCTGGTCGAGATGACGCCTCCGTTCGCTCTTATTCGTCTAGCAAACGGTCCCGTTCAATCTACGCTCCCGACAGACAAAACTCTCTTGCTGAAGATATTTACGGCGAAGTTGCCGCCAGTTCAGGCAACGAGACTGAAGCCGAAGCTGCTTCTGGCTCCGAGCAGGACACACGACCACTTGAACAAGTTTCGGCCGCCTCGCATTCGCTAATCAACGTTCTCAATATGGCTCCTAAAGACGAGTCTCGCCCACCTCTCTTCAACGACGTCAACGACCAACTCAACAATCCTCAAGTCCTCCAGAAGTCCGACGACAGGACAATCGTAGCCTACGTCAAGCGTCAGGGCGGTGCAGGCAAGGTCATCCGAAGACTGGCCAAAGATGTCAGCGATCGTGATGCTGAGATCTCACGGTTGCGCAGAAAAGTCGAAGAGTTTGGTACATTGTTCAAAGACCACCTGATGGCTGTTCACGAGATGTCAAGACTGGAGGCCGACAGAACAGTGCGTGATTCGCCCGTCTTCTCAAAACCATCCGCAAACGATCTACAAGAAGAGTTGGAATCTGCTTCATCGGACAATCTCTTTGGCGAAAGCCGTGCTGCTCTATCTAGTGACTCGCTCACAGTCACAGCCAACACACAAGTCCCTGTCTCGCCTCTTATCAGGAAAGACGCCTCGGCTAGCCCAAGCTTTCCTTCTGGTTCCTCGACTATCCGTGCATCACGCAATGCTGCCGGCAACTTGAAGGTCGACACGTGAGTTCCCAGCTATACATAGACCGCGTCTGCTTTGTACTGATAATCTTTACAGCNNAACAGAATGCCTAAGCAGCGAGGTGGCATTTTCAATCTGTTTGGTGGTCAGGGCTCTGTCCGCCAGCCAGCCAAACAACAGAATCGGCATTCGATTGCTTCGATGCTGGACCCGAGGATGCTGGGCATTCGCAGTCCAAGCATCGCACAAACTACTCGTTCAAACTCCATGTCATCTTACAAGCCCTTGGAGATGGAGCAAAAGATCGAGAATGAGGATCTGCCACCACCTCTGCTTGACATGAAAATTATCAAGATCATTTTCCGGGCTTTCATCGCTGACAACTACGGGTTCATCATTGATGGTCCTCGGGTTCAACAGTGGCTCTGGTCTCTGGAGAGACATAGATTCGTCCCCAAGAGTCGCACTACTTCCATCGCCACTCGAGCTACTTCTGGTACCCGTTCTGCATCAATTGCTTCTATTGAGGAGAGCAACGAGGACGCTATTGACGCCCCGGCCCAAGAAGACGGAACCACTGAGGCCAATGAAGAGTCTCGTCCGTGGCATGAATTTCTCACACTCGAAGTCACCAAACAAGCCTTGCTTTCACGTCTTCCCATTCAACTCCATGGCAACAAGATGACCGACAGTGCTAGCATCTCTTCGGTCGAGACTGACGATAGCATCCCGCGGTTGGAAGACCTTTGCGACCCTGCAGACTTCACCCAACATGCAGAGCGTCTGCGTGATGAGATCTCGACCGAATACACTCAGCTTCAGGTTGCTAGAGAGCAAGCGTATGACCGGCTGATGGCCAAGGTTGAAGAGCCGAAACTTGCTAGCAACAGGTTCTCACGGATGTTCACCACTGCATCAGAACCAGTACCCAAGAACCGCGTTGAAGCCATGGGTACCAGTACTGTGGGCATTGCGAACCTTGCACAGTCGGGGGTCAGTGGACCCTTTGTGAAGTTTATTCTCGACGGTGTGCCCATGAAGATGCGTGCCAAAATCTGGCTGGAAAGTGCACAATCAAGCATTCACTATTCGCCTGAGGATTTCAGTATGTTGGCTGCTGAATACAACTCAAATCCGGATGACCAAAGATATCTACATGATATTGAGATGGACACGCCTCGTACCCTGACCAACAATGTGTACTTTCGTAAGGAGAAAAACCAGGATGCGCTGGCGTTGCTACTCGGCTGCTTCGCCATCAGGAACAAGGACATCGGATACTGTCAAGGCTTCAACATCATTGCTGGCTACTTGTTGCTCGCGATGCCCACCACTGAACAAGCCTTCTGGGTTTTCTGTTTCCTGATCGAGAAAGTGCTGCCAACGTCATACTTCACTGCTGAACATGATTGGCAAGGCCCTCGCGCTGACACCATCGTACTGCGTCACTACATTCAAGCTTTGATGCCTCGTCTAGGTGCTCACCTCGACGAGCTAGACGTCCTCGATGAACAGACTGTGCCCATTAACTGGTTCCTCACAGCCTTTGCATCCACATTGTCAGTAGAGGCACTGTTCCGTGTGTGGGATGTTGTATTGGGTATCCCTGGACAGAACCAACAAGTCTTCCTACTGCATGTGGCCATCGCGCTTCTGAAGCTCAACGAAGACGAGCTGTTGAAGCTGGACTCGGCTGCCGCTGTTTATGATTACATGGATCGCAAGATGGCTAGAGGTGTAGTCACTATCGATGGACTGATTCAAGCGTCCTCAAGATTGGGACCGATTGTTACTGCGAAGAGTGTTGAGAAGAGAAGAGCCGAGGCTGCTAAGTCGCTGTGAGTGGGACTCGATGATGAGTGAATGGTTGCTATCGAGCTTGCTATGAGAGATTATGGTCGGAGGGAGATGGATGCTGCATTTTGCTGTTTTGCTTTTGCTTTTTTACTCGCTAGATACCCCCTGCCCTCCCAATTTCGGAACAAAATGTTATGTCACTCAACCATTGAAAGCTCGAGAATTGTCGTGAGATATGTCAAATGCATGTATGTTCATGTTATCAAGTGGTTTCGAGTCGGACACTGTACACCTAAAGGTTCTCGGGGCAAAACAAAAGCTGGTATACAAGTTCTGGTATCGTCTGCAAACAAAGAAATCAAGGAGTAGGAACAGCGGCAGCAGCGGGTGCTTCAGTACCACTTCCAGCGCCAGGTGCCACTACAGGAGGCATGAAGAGAGGAAGGTATGCAACTGCAGTTGACATGACTNNGTTCACACGATCAGTAAAAGGGACTCCAAATCAAAATGAAGACGACTTACGAGCCATGCCGACGGTCATGTATCCAGGAGTCGAACCGCTCTTCTGTGATTCGGGAGTCTCTCCAAGCCAGTTCTGAACGGCGAAGATGACAGCAACCCAGCCAATCATCCTAACAGAGATGACGCATTAGTATACGCTCTGCATTGTTATATCTGAGCATATGCTTCGATCCTTACTTGTTTCTGGTGAAGATCTGGCCTCTTGTCAGTCGAGTCATGTGACTGGATAATGAAGATGTGTACTTACAGCAGCCATTGGTAGTGTGCTTCCGAAGACGCCTGTCAATGTCTGTTAGATGGTTGTTTCCGAATGTGATATTGGCTCGATTGTACCACTCATATCGCCATCGCTCTTTGCGTTTGCTGGCTCGGTATAGGGGACGACNTGTCGCGTGGTCAGTTCTGATAATACAGGTTTCTATTCGTGATGCATCGTACCGAGATCGCCTCTGCGCATGTCCTTCTTGGAAACCATTGTGAATGTTAAACAGAGACCAAGCAATGGATTGAAGTGATAATATTGATTGACTATAAAGACCCGCGATGCTAAAGTAGTAGTGACTGTCGTCGCTGCTTGCCCGGCGGTAGATTGTCGGGTTTGTCCATGACTAGCGCCGATTGGTCAGAAACAGCAACAGCGTCACAGACAAAGGAAGGCACGCGCGAAGAAAGGAAACAGCGAACAGTCGCTTTCACCTGCTTTGTCAGGCTTTCTCTCGATGCGTCTTATGAGAAGCAGAGGAAAGCTGCACGCTCTATATGCACACGAAAACAATAATACTCAAAGCAACAAAAGAAAAAGAAAAAGAAGAATTCGGTGGTCATCGATCACTCTGCGGGTCTCCTCGAGCTTTGACGCCTGGACCACTTGAGTCTTTCATCGTCGTCAACCAGTTGTTGAACATCACCGCTCTGCATTCTGCGCTGCCGCCATCCTCTTGCAAATTGGCTCCTCCCGCGCTACAAACCCTTCGACACGCAGCGCACTTCTGTTGGCCGTAGTACGTCAGATCTGATCGACGTGCGGCGACCATCTTCATACCGTCAACCGCCGGCATGATGAACCATCATCTGCCGGCAGGGCCATCGCATATTCCGCAAACCGCTCTGCCTGCTCATTCTTCGCCCATGCAACACCACCACCAATCGCGCCGTCACCAAGACTACCAACAGTACCATCAGCAACAGGCTGTCCAGAACCCTTATGCCCAGTATGCTCATCATCCGGGCGCCCAGGGCTATTACGCCCATCCCGGCGCGCACATGGCCTACCCTCCGCAGCAACGTTGGATGCCCCAGGCCTACGGGTACCCCATGCATCAGCACCACCAACAGCATCAGTACCAGCAGCACCAGCCGCAATTTCCTCCGCGCTCGCCTGTAGTCGTTAGCTCGCAACCACACATGGCTGGCATGCCTCCTCCCATCACGCGACAGACGAGCATGCCATACATGGCTCCTCCTCCGCCCGCCCCATCTCAATCGCCTCTTCACCAGCTTCCCGTTGCACAGTCACCTCTTTACCATGCTCCCCCAACTCCCGCCACTTCCATCCCGCAATCACTGCCTTCGCCTCGCCCGGCCTCTGTACAGGCATCGACGCCATCGCTTCCTGCCTCACGCAGATCGTCTGTTGCCCAAACACAGCCTATTGTGCGCCGCATGCCATACTATCCAGCCGTAAGTTCGTCAGCGCTCGACCCGCCTTCATGATACTGATCTCCTCTCNAGCTTCCATGGTACTCGACTCCTGGTGAAACATTCCCTCCCAAGGCATCCAGGCGCAGAAGAAAGAGACAGGATTTGACGGCTGGTAACGACGCTGTCGCTTTGCCATCAAGAGGTGCTGCTTCTACTCACGAACCTGTCGCCGACACAACTCAATCGGAGGTTTCTACCGTAGCTGCACCTTCTCAGCTTCCATCTGCTCAGGAGACCCCTGCCACCTCTCAGGCTCCTTCTGAGGTCGACGTCGGCACTGTCACTCCTTTATCCACTGTTGCCGAAGCCTCAAAGGTCGCGACTCCTCAGAGCCAGGCTAAGAAAGACGCAAGATCGGCCGTTCCTGTTGTACCTGTTGTTCCCGCAGTGCCTGCCGCCAGACCTAAGACAGCCTCATCTGAGGCCACGCCAAATGCTGCTGGTGCTGGTGAGCAAGGCGTGTCCGCCGCCGAGCCTGCCGCAGCTCAGACCGAGGCCAACGCCGAGACCAAGGCTGCTGAGCCTGTCACTCCTGCGCCTAAGGCAGCTCCTAAGTCATGGGCAGATCTCATGCGCTCCAAGAACTCTGCTGTCGCCGCTGCATCTTCTGCTGCTGTGAACGGTACTGGTCCAACTAACGGCGCAGCCCCTTCGAGAGCCAGCACGCTTGCTGGTGCCCTCAAGCAGTTTAATGTTGATGATAATGATAAAATTGCATTTTTGGAGCCCAGAGGACTTGTAAATACCGGTAATATGTGTTATATGAATTCGGTATGTTCCTGGATTTGCCTTCACAATGAGGTTGCCACTAACACTCACAGANTTCTTCAAATACTTGTATACTGTATGCCCTTTTACAACTTTTTGGACCAAGTTAGCAAGAGAGCTGCTCACTCATTCAAGAGTGACACTCCTCTTGTTGATGCCATGTAAGTCTTACCTACTTTGTGTGGAGAGGAAATGCTGACCATTGCAGGANTCATGTTCATGAGAGAGTTCAAGACCATTGACAGCGCAGAATCAGCTGAGAAATTGCGCATGCGTCTCAAGGATCAGGAACTGGAACAGTATGGCGACTCCATCACACCCGAATATGTTTACGATACCATCAAACAGCTGCCTCGTTTCTCGTCCATGAGACGTGGTCACCAACAAGATGCAGAGGAGTTCCTTGGCTTCTTACTTGACGGCATCCACGATGAGTGCATGACAGTGATGCGCAAGGCTGGAGTGGACTCGGATGATTCTGCCCAGCCTGCATCGCCTGCAAGCACTACTTCGGGTGCAAACCCTGATGCCGGCTGGCTCGAGGTTGGTCCCAAGCAGAAGCAGTCTGTCACTCGCCAGAGTGGTGAATCCNTGCCTACTCCAATCAGCCGCATCTTCGGAGGTTCTCTACGTTCAGAGCTTCGCGTTCCTGGTCTGAAGAACTCTGTCACCATGGAGCCTTATCAGCCTCTGCAACTGGACATTGGAGCACCCGACGTCAACAACATCATTCAAGCATTGAAGGCTATCACGAAGCCTGAGACTTTAACTGGAGACTTTGGCTCACCTCGCGGACCCGGCACGACTGCTGTCAAGCAGGTCTTCATTGAAAGCCTGCCGCCAGTTCTGATCCTTCACCTCAAGCGCTTCCAGTATGACAACACTGGTGGTACCCAGAAGATCTGGAAGAAGGTCGGCTACCCGCTCGAGCTTGAAATCCCCAAGGAGGTCTTTGCTCCCCAGAAGCGTGGTGGTCTAGCTGTGCAAGGTGGTGCTCCCAAGTACCGTCTCACATCAGTCGTATACCATCATGGAAAGAGCGCTGCTGGTGGTCATTACACTGTTGACATCCTTCGCCAGGACGAGCGTGAATGGGTTCGTGTCGATGACACTATCATTCGTCGCATTCGCCCTGAGGATGTGGCAGAGGGTGGTGCCGAGGAAGATCCAAGAATTTTGGCACGCGCGCTTGAACAGCACAAGGCCGACTCGGACGCTTCCAAGCGTAACCTGTTTGAAGGTCTGGACGGCGATGATGACACGGACAGCGTACGCAGCTGGAACGAAGTCAACGGTGCTAACAAGAAGCCCACATGGACATCAACCGTTGCAAACGGATCATCGTCTGGCAAGCGCACACCACTGGCCAAGGACAAGAGCAGCATCAAGGACAACAAGGTCGCTTACATCTTGCTGTATGAGAAGATGACGGGTTGAGAAGTTTTCTCCTAGCTGGAAACATTCATGCTACAGGCCCAGTCCCTGCAAGACTGAGGCATGGCCCAAGACCCTTCGAGCCAACGAGAAACACAAGTACGAGGAACGATTGGCGAAGGTTCATTGACAGCTGGTCCAGTGCACACTTGGGTGCGCGGATTAGCTACGGTTTGCATTTGCATCAAGGCGTTGAAGGGAGGGTACGAGGTATCTCTATCACGTCTGGGGAGGTATCGGTTTGGCCTAACGAAGCAATGACGAGCAGGGGAAGAAGCAACAAGGGGACGTGGGTTGTAGTGTAGAATTGAGGAAGAGATGTGGATCGGAACTGGGTTGTATCGTTTGACATGATGCGAGCCTAGCAAAGATGAGGTAGAAGTAAAAATGTGCATGAATGACTTTTGAAACACTTGCCAGTCTCGATCCCATACCAATCCCGTGCAGTTCCCAAGGCTTCGAGCTCATGTCCTCGAATCCCGAGCCTTCGATCAATCATTCTGGACTTGCCCGCCAGCTGCGATGTTGTCACATCACGGCTAGAACAATTCCATTTCGGAGATTTGCATCATCGAGGGCTGGGTCGGGTGGTTCATTTTTGATATAGTATATGCATATTTCTAGCTGAATGTGTTCTGCAGGAATAACTAAGCAGTAAAGAGAATGGACAAGAGAAACAGAAGACTACCATATCAAAAGAGAGTAAATGATAAGAAGGAAGATAAGGTCCAAAGAGAAAAGGACCACCAAGTCATATGATTGTCGTGAAGCCTCGAGGCACGGGTCAAGATATCGACTTCATGCGGTGTCATGTCACAGAATCTCGAAGCTTCGACCTCATATTCTGGACGATCACGCCGGCATTTTTGAAGTCATGTCTTGGCTGGAACATTTTCATTCTGGAGAATTGGTTCATCGAGTTTGAAGGCAGGTAATTCATATTTGACGCGCATGCTGGCCGTTCTGTAAGCTCAGTTATTTCTGTCGTCTCTCTTTCTTTCCCTGCTTTCGCTTTCAACACAACTAGAGCCGTTCTTTAAGCTCAATTGTTTCTGTCGCCTCTCTTTCTTTATGGTTTTCTTGCTTTTGTTCTCAAGAGAGAGATCAACGTCTGCGGCGGAGGGCAGAAATCTTGTCCTGCAACTCCTGGGTAACCTCGGGGTCCAGACTGTCAAGACTAGGGACGCCAGCGCGGGCTGCGCTGCGTAGAGTACGATCACTGACAGTGACCAAGCTGTCAATGTGTGAGCTTGAAGTTTACGGGCATGTACGTCAGAGCGTTTCTTACCTGGGCTTGGAAGCCTTGGTGCCAGTGGCGGACTTCTTTGCGATGCTACAGATGTGTCAGCTCTGATACTCGTGTGATGTGCAAAATGCTTACCCTCCATAGGTTTCCTTGTTCTTGGGCATAGGTCCCGGACCCTTAGGAGGGAGGATCTTGAAGCCTGGGCCAGAGGGTCTGCATGTCTGTCAGCTTCTGGCTGATGAGATTCTGTGTAAGAGACCACTGCTCACCTGGTGACCTCGCTCTGCAAGGCTTGGTTGCTTGTAGATCTGCATGTGTGTCAGCGGCCAGCTCTACATTTTCGTGGAGGGAGAATATTTACTCCTCGTCTTCCCTTCGACAAATCGATGAACTCGCGGACGACGCTGTATATGTGTCAGCTTTCGGCTTCAAGATTTGTTGTTCTGGAGGTCATTTACTTCTTGGACTTCTTGGACTTCTGGCCATCAGAGGCCTTGTTTGGACGTCCAGCAGCGCGAGGTCCGGGCATCATGCTACGAGTTGCCAGAGCAGGGGCAGCAGCGGGAGCCATGGTTCCATGAGGGGCGAGAGGCATCATGGTTCCATAAGGGGTGGGAGGCATGATGGTGGCGCGAGATTCGGGCATCATGCCACGATACATGGGAGGCATGATAGGTTGGAGTTCTCCAGTCATGTCTAAAGTTTCTATTAGCTGTGAACGGCATGTTCGTTATGACCTGCACTTACACTGTATGAATGCTGACTGAACCGCACCTGTGACTGCACGGACGTTGGCAGCAGGAAGCTGCTGCACTTCGTGTTGCATTGACTGAATATCGTCTCTGTTCTGAGCAGTCTGCTCAGTGACAGCGGCTAGTCCTTCTCTCATCTCAACAATCTGGGCTCTAAGATCGTCCATCTTGTCTAGAGATAATAAAGCGTGTAAGTAGGTAATAGAAAAGTAGAAGAAGAGTGGAAGAGTGGAAGAAGAGTAGAAGAAGAGTGGAAGAAGAGATACTAACCTTTTCTTGCGATGTGAAAAGCAGCGGATAGGGTGTAGAGAGAAAAAAGCGCAATGCGCAGCGGTAGTGATTAAATATCAAATCCAGAAGACGCAGTGAGCGCGTGTTTTCCGTCACTCGCTAAAGGGGCTCTTGGCAAGTGACTCTACACATGCCATACACATTCACTGCACTACGGGATTTGGCGCTCCGCCTACCGCGATTGCAGACCAGGCAGAAGGAGAATGCAAGAGATCGAGTAGAACTCAGATCCTACATGTGCGGCTGCAAGTCCTGGCTCTCTCTTGGTTACTAGATTGATATAGATGTATCTATTTTGTAGAGCCGACGAGGTGTAACACCAAGGGCTAGCGGGCATGTGAAGTTACCATCTGCCAATCTTTGGACAAGTTAGGTTTTATTGAATGCAGCAACATGATAATCGATAGTGACACATCACAGAAGGGGAAAATACATTGGCTGATAGCAGAAATGGGCAGAGCAGGCACGCGGATATCATCAGGAAATGCATTGTTCGTGGACTCATTGCCCTCTGTAATCTGGTGTGAAAGTTACAGACTTGCAGCTTGTCCTGTTCTATATACATCTCACAATCTGACGTCCTTGATTCATCCATCTCTTCGTTCGATTGATCTCTCTGTGCGTTGACATGACTTTCGAGTCCAGGCTTCGACGTTATTTCGGCTTCTTCTATCTTGATATTCTGATGGATTATTCAAACTGTGCTGGAGTAACAACAAAGCCGTCTTGTATTTTGGTCTGCTTTCTGATTCTGCCAGTACGGCGGCTGTGATATGGATCAGCTTTGGACATGCTTAGCAGGCGTTGATCATACCTTCTGTCGAAGTCTCCTGGTTCTGGAGCAACGAATTCGTCAAGCCCAGCTTCTTTGGCCTTCTTGGTCTCGCGGCGGCGCGGGGGAGCACTTGGTCGTGATGATGCCGGTGGTGCTTGTGGGGCGGTAGCCGGAATTATATCGTCTGATGAATGATCGCGTCTGGTATTCTTGACGAAAGGAGATTCGGACCTCGAAGGTCTTTCGACACCATTGGATCTCTTTTGAGCCAACTGAGCATCTGAATCTCGAATGGAGAACCCCAAGGCTTGTGTATCGCCCACCGTGCGCTTGCGCTTTTACCGGCAGCAGGTGGTGGCATCTCGGGTCTGACTACAACGGTGATACCCTCATTAACGCTTGGAGATGAGCCGTTGATGTTGGTGGCTTGACGCTCATCTTCATCGTCTTCGCGTTCGTGAGCAGGGTCGTTCACAAGAGCGGTGTTGGCATCTTCTCCATGGGTGAGATCGTCATCTTCACGCGCGAGGCTATCTCCGCGAGCGCCAACAGTCTCAGGCAGGTGATCATCCATCTGGATGTGAAGATTCTCGTTTGCATCGTCTTCTTCTTGGTGACTAGGATCTTCATGCTGCAGGGTTGTGTCGTTGGCAGTTTCTTGAGCAGTGTCTTGAGCAGTGTCTTGAGCAGTGTCTTGAGCAGTGTCTTGAGCAGTGTCTTGAGCAGTGTCTTGAGCAGTGTCTTGAGCAGTGTCTTGAGCAGAAACGGTGGTGGCATTGGTTTGTGACTGATTGGCTCGCTGGTTGTCTAGCTGCGCTTCCAAGGCTTCTAGACGTGTAGAGAAATTTGTGCGCAGGTCACGAATCTCTGTGCGAAGGTGTAGAACTTCTGTTTCGAGATTGTGGACAGATTGAAAGATATTGGTCAAGATTGGAATATCCACCGTGACTGTCATGGCAGAAGGTGGATTGGCCATGTTGGTCAGGATAATGATTGACGAGTAAGCAGAGAAGGAGGCTGGCGTGAGCTAAAGACCAGTTGAAGAAGCGATGTTAAATGTTTGCGCAGAACACAGGTGCGAGTGACGCGCGGAACAGTAAGTGACAGTGGAAAGTGTTGACATGTGACTGTCATTCACTCATGTTAGGGGATGAAACGAAGAAGGTGCGCACGAAGCGAACACTGTTCTGCAATAGAATGATTTTGGAACACGCCCGATCAGATAGAAATCTGGGCGTAAGAAGAGAAAACCAGAAAGGTGGAAATCAAGAAGAAAAGATGAGGAAAATTGATATTGCTACAAGAAGTGGTATAAAAAGTACATACGACGTGATTCCGAATCAGGCCGTCAACAACTCGGGGTTATGAGGAGAATTGGAGGCTACTCCAATTCATGGTTTAACACTCTCGAGTCCACGATTCCGTGGTCGCGTCGAGTATGGCAAATCTTTGGTGGCTTTAGTCTCGTATTCGCCGAACGATGAAGCCTTTTCGCCTTGTCTTTGTCGAAAGACAAAAACTTCTCGATCTCCAAGCCGAGCGACAGTACACCAGACCTCAGATTGGTCTATGAGCGTGCGGCGTGCTGTCTGGGCAAGATGAAAGGCTTGCGGTAGGCGTTGGCATAGGCCTGGTTGACGATGGGCGAGGTGCCTTCTGTGCGAATGGTTGAGCCGATGGACATGAAGAATCTGTGAAGCCTCAGTAACGAGCTTGTGTATTTGTTTGCAGCGGGTCGGTATGCGTACCCGAAAGTGGCGGCAGAGCCAGCCATGTATTGGCCAAGAGTTCTGAGCATTCCATTGGGACCAGGACCGAATCTGATGATGTTGGTTGCGCCGAAGATGAAACCGATGATGAGACCGACACCTGGGACGGGAGGTGAGTGTCGGGAGAAGACGAGATCAGCGGGAGGGGACATACTGCCACCCATCATGGCACCCATCTTGACTNNATACGCTGGTCAGCATGGCAGGCAAACTGAGGATAGAGGGACGAATTTACGCTTGTCAAAAGTAGAAGGGCCATGGGCACCAGCGGGCATTGCACTTGCGGGAACAGGCATCTTGTCGGGTCGAGTTGAAAGATGAGTGACGAGCTACAAACAAAGCGACAATACAGTCTTCTCCAGATTTCGGTATGCTCACGCCAGAGCTACGACGAGCAATCAAGGTGGAGGTTGCTTGGCAGTCACGTGCAGATGAAAAGAACAATGACGATGCTGGTGAAAGGTTTCGAACGTTGACAAAGATGATGTAAATCTGATGGCTACGGTTGAATTTGAGGTTGGTGCTGCAGCGGGGCTTCTTCACGCATCCAACCGGTCTGCAGGTCATGGGAAGGTCACTGGAAAGTCGCTTTTATGGAAGGGAAGCAACAGGCAGGTCGATCGGTGGTTGGCACAGAGTTCAGCTCCACTTGGCTTGCAGACCGAGGCGGCGGCAGCGGGAGACACAAGGCACAGTCGCTCTTCCTTGTTTGTTGTGACTCTCGGTCGTCCTTGATCCCATTATTCTCTTCTCTGTGCATGATTTTTGTCCTTTGTCGTTGAGTCCGCGTAGTTATCTAGGTGGACAACGGTGCGGATCGAGATACTCCTATCGCCAGAGGCCGTTTGCACTTTTGTTGGTTGCAACTTGGACTTGCAGCGTGCGACCGTCTGTGCGTCTTGATTCTGTGACGCTCGACGTGCTCCCTTTCTTGATCGCTGCTCGCCTGCATATTGTTATTATTTCCTTCTCTCGAGTCCTGCGCTCCCAGTCCCAGTCTCAGTCAAGCTCCCGAGACACATCGGTCGCCCTGGATATGATCGACATACGACAAGGCTGATCCACAACCACACCCTATTACACCTCTCCACACGACCACGCGAGCATCCAAGCCCCGGCGCTTTCCCCGTCCGTCAGAAAGTCGCCAATCCGACTCTCGCTCTCCTCTAGCAGCCGCAAATGACGGCAGTCGCGCCCCCGTCACATTCCAGCCGCCTGCCCGCTCCGGTGCGACATGGACTAACGGCACATCCGCAATGACCCAGGACGACATGACCAGGATGTTCATGCCCGGTCCCCGTAAGAGCGCCCAGCGCTCCAACTCACAATCTTCTCTCACATCCGCCTCGTCCTCCTCTTCTTCCACAATCTCTCAGGCCTCTACCCCATCCCAGCCCTCGCCATCCAACCAGGACCCCACCACATGGACTACGCGCAAGAAGAGCTCAAGAGGCATCTGGCCATCAGGAAAAGCAGAGCCCACCGCCGGCATCTCCACCACTCGTCCTCAACCCGTCTCCTCGACTTCGTCTGGTCCGTCCGCCGCATCCGCAATCTCAGCTCTCCACGGTCCAATGTTGCCTTCACAGCAAATGTCCACCGCTCAGAACGGCTCGTTGCGAGGAGCTCAGCCCGCATCAGACACACCCGCCATCCTTCACCTCTCCCCTATGAACGGCACCTTCGAACGCAAGACCATCAGCGTTCCCTTCTTTCCTGATGTCCTGCGCATCGGTCGTCAAACAAACGCCAAAACTGCCCCCACACCTGCCAACGGCTTCTTCGACTCAAAGGTCCTCTCGCGTCAGCATGCCGAGATATACGCTGAGCGCAATGGAAGAATCTACATCCGGGACGTCAAGTCTTCCAATGGAACTTTTGTCAATGGTCAGAGGTTATCTCCCGAAAACAAGGAATCAGAGCCACACGAACTGCGTGAACAAGACGTTCTCGAACTTGGTATCGATATCGTCAGCGAGGATCAAAAGACAATCGTCCACCACAAGGTCGCTGCTCGTGTCGAACATGCTGGAATTTACAACCAGAGCGCTGAACTTAACTTCGGCGAGATGGACCCTTCTCATCAGATGAAGCGCAGCGGTAGCCAGTCTTCGCAACAAAGTGCAAAGGCCAACGCCATGGCCGCTGTCATGGCCGCCAGAGATTCGGGTGCCATGCAACAACCTCAGTGGGCTCGTGGCTGGCCATCTACCGTGAGCACAGAGACGATTGTGAAACGTCTTAACCGCGAGCTGAGCCTTGCTAAGAAGCAATCCTCGGACCTGGCTCGAAGCAAGTCTTGCCTTGAAGGCTTGTTGGCTGCCGATACCAAGAGCAAGCAAGACAAGTCAGCTAGATCCTCACCTGTCAAGCAAGCGAACGTCGATACCAAGCCATCAGTCATCTTCTCAGAACCTCCTGCTCCACCACCTCAAGCTCCGCTTCCCGAAAAGCCAGATGTCGCAAAGGCTCTTGCCGACCCCGTTATTCAACCCCTTCTCATGCGTTCAGAGACTGCTCGTCCCATCCTGGCCCCTAATGGCTCTCCTACTCGAGCCGATCACTCACAAGCTCTTCTCATCCTCACACACGAACTGAAACTTGCCAAGGATCAAATTCCCAACCTCGAAGACCGTGTCAAGAACTTAGAACAGGAACTCAAACAAGAACGCAATGCTCGTGAAAGTGCCGAGGAAAGAGCTTCTCTGCTGGAGTCATCTCAGAAGTCCTCTGAAGATCAAGTAGACACTTCTGGCTCTGAGAAACGAGACGATTCTGGCAAGAGTGATGAGTCTTCGGAGGATAGCACTCCCGAATTGCAGTCACAGCTCGACAGACTTCGTGCTGCAATGGAAGACATGAAGATGCAAATGGAAGCCTATCGTCGTCGTGCCGAAACAGCAGAATCCCAGCGTGACGATGCGCACCAGACACTTGCTGAAATGGTTGAGCAAAAACGCAAGGAGAACGCAGAGATTCAGCGTCAGCAAGATGCTTTGCCATCTCCTCCTAGTTCGTTCTCGAGCCCATCGAGCACCACGACGTCTTCAAACGGACACCTTTCGGAACCTCTGGTCGAAGGAAGCTTGTACAGTTTGTTGGCTGAAGCCGGCATCAACGCAAACGCGGCTTTGTCATCGGAGCAAGCAGCATCAATCCAACGACTGCTCGCCCGCAAGATGCCCGTTGCCCAGCGAGATGCTGCCAATGATTCTTCTGACAAATTGAAAGAGCAACTTGCCCACCATGGCTTACCGCTCGGGTCTGGTTTCATTGTGGTCGTCGTTGGCATGGCTCTCATGCACTACTTAGATGGTTGGGAGAAATTGCACAGGTGAAGTCAATATGCACTCACCTAACACTTTCCTCACCACCACAAGCATAAACCCTCTCTTCCACGACATGCCTTCGCTTCGTCCGAGTCAGGTCATGGTACAGATCAAAAACGAGATGTCCAGCCACTGACATTGGGCACACAAGCAGTCTCCGCAACGTCTCGGTTCAGATAACACAGACCATGAGTCTCGCAAGTGTCTATCTGAAGGACGCATTCTTGAACGTATGCGAGCAAGCATGGAAACAAGCACATCCCGCTCGCAGCCACCGTGTATGAACAACAGCATCGCGCTCCGCTCGAGGACTGTGAAAGCGGTACACCCACCGAGACCGGGATGGACCATTTTTAACGACACAAAATTAGCTTATGACCCAATTCTTCTATGTCTTCACCTTTTGTTCAGGATCGTTTCGAAAAGGAAGGAAGCGCTTCTTTTGGATCAGGAACGCCGCAAGAAGCAAGAGCAATGTACTCGCAAACACTGCACATATTTCTGACCTTCGCTCATTTTTTCCTTTGTTGAGGACAAGATAGCATTTTTCGCATTGTTGGGAAGGACAACATGAGAGGCAGACATACACAATGCACCTATGGGATCTGGATGGATGGATTGATGGGTTGGCGTCAAAAGGCAAGGCATTCACTTTCTTCTGAGTGTCTGTTGGATATACTGGCAGCATTGCCGGGTTCTCTTGGGTGATGGAGTGCATTGATTTGGACCTATCACTTTGCGTTTTACCTTCTTCTTCCACTTTCAATTCTACTTGTGCATATTCCATACATCTGTGCGTATTTCTGATGGTGACTCGTGGATGCTAAAGCTCATCTGTATGTCATCTTGTTGTCACTGGCAGGTGTTCCAGCTTGGGGGATGGATCGTGATCCACCTCTGTCATTTGCGACGAGAGCACGCAAATCATACAGTACCGTCTGCATTAATCACTATCGTTAGTACCCAAGGGTTCCGATTGTGTATATCAGAATCTACAGCTTCCATATTCTCGCCATTGTGCTCTTGAGATCATGGGTTAGCAAGCGGGAGACAAGAGTCAGTCAGGGTCGTCCTGTCGACCACTGGTTTTGAGCTATCAGCGTTGCTTTTCTGGCGACATATTACATCTACATGGTTAGAGATCTATTCTGAAGTACTACAAGGTTCATCTCGGAAGCTTGTAGCTTGATTGAAGTGTTATTGTACCAATACCGTGTGGGAACCTGAAGTCGAGATAAGTGGACACGGCTCGGCTGCGAAACTCGTGTTCAACACAAGTGAGATTCGACACATTTCTGATCATGTCTCAGCAACAAGGAGAGATTAATGCTATTAAGGCGAAGGCATTTGACGTGATAGTACGTAACATTCGCATATAATGGCATCTCACCAATAGGAAAAATCATTGTTCTGAGCACGTCTGAAGGCCAGAGGATTGCCTCATCGAGGCTCCGAAATGGAGATGCCGCGTTTTAGAGCGGAACAGAACCGTGCATTTGCTCTCGAGCATAAGTGAGATGCTGACAAGAGAGAGCAACCAGCAACAGGGGACCACAGCAGACAGTATCCCAGCTGATTGTGGCCGTCTGTATCTGACAGTCAGATTCTGACACACACTATGGACCGCGTTGGTGGCATCCAGTGGAGAAGATAGGCCAACAAGTGGAATGCTCTCTTTGCTGACAGTTCAGATAATTCTCGCTCGTCTCATCGACCCGACGACCCCAAGATTGATGTTCTTCGACTATCAGATCGTCTGGCCAAAGTCTAGCTATCTCGGCCGAGCTCGGCGAACTGTACTGGGGTTGATGTACAGGATCTATCATCTGGGCATCTGATAACCTTCGTTGCCCTAGCGGGGAATGATGGCAAGAAAATGGCCGAATGCAGTAAGGTTAGGCGCTGTACCTGGAAGAGCAGCATGTCTTTGAACTACTCCAGCGCTTTGTGTTGAAGAAACGCAAGGAAGCAATGCAAGACAAGCATAATTGAGAATTATCCTTTGCGCTCTTGCGCGCGAGCATAACAAGTTGTGCGGAACCTTTTACTGAACTTCGCCATATCGCGTAATTGCCCCCAAGATTTGTCTTGCCGGTGACAAAGGGCGATTTCCTTTCAACAATCGATGGAAGCACAAAATGAGGTCAAGGTCGGCTATAGGCGGCTCGCGGAATGTGGGGGAAAGAGACAAGCATCACAGGAAGGAGTTGCCGTCAAACTCTCGAGGCTCGACAGATACCGCCGCCAATCGGCGAAACAAGCCAGTAAGAACCTCAAGCGTGAAAGCTCAAGAGCATCGTGGCAGTGTACGGAGGACCGGCGGAAATCCGTGATGGTGATAATGACCTTTGTCACAACGATAATGCCGTCGGCTTACGGAGTACACGTACTGCGAGGTCGGAGAGTCTGAGCTGCTCGAAGACTATCGACACGACGTCTGATCAACGAGGATATGCGATCAACGCTCCGAACAAGGCTCCATGATTCGCAGTCGAAGAACACAAGTCGAAGCTCCGAAAAGACTCCGCTCCCTCTAACCGACGTTCTCAGATGACATGGTGACTTTAGGATGCGAAATGCGGAGCAGAATGTGTATCTCTGAGTGCCCGATACGGAACAACAAAGACATGCAGTCGGTGTCTTGGGATACGATGAATAGATACCTGCTTATCCAGGGAGCGAGTGAGCACGTGGGCTTGGTACGGATAAGGCGGCCATTGCGATATGTGAATGCGACGCCTCGCTTTATCTCAAGGTATGCAGATGAAAGGAGATAATGAGATTAGCATGAAGAGGGTGCGCGTGCGCACTCGGACGGGCGCAAGGTCACAGATCAAATAAGATACAAGGCGGATGTTTTAGAAAGCGTTGAGAGAAGCACGGCATGCTCAATTTGATGCCGCATGGCTGCAAGGAGATGATAGCACGGTGAAGAGATGCAGTACATCACGGAGCGTTTCTGGCCAATGAAGCGGGCACTTGGAGAAAGCTATCGCCCAAAAGGCAAAGAGATCCAAAATGCGGAGAAGGAGGCAGGAACAGAGATGAGATGGGCAGCAAAAAAAAAGCGAGTCTCGGCTTTTGCACATCAATTGCTTGTCGCAGACGGCATGTATCAGGCCAGGACCGAGAGAGGTCCGCTTTGGTGCGGATATTACGAGAGCGAAAAGACTCATCACGCCAGAGGCATGGACCGAGATCGTGAAGAAGCAAACAACATGACGGCGAGGGTGAAGGTTTGACAGGGCCGTTTGGGGCGAGGCTGAAAAGACACAAAGAAAGATGCCGGGGCTCTCCACCCACCGGGAAGGAGCTGGACCGAGATAACGAGGGTGTTGCAGCTTTCGCTGTAGGAATGGACGCTTTGGGAGATTGGGGTTAAATGGGAAAGTCAGAGTCAGGTCACGGTCAGGTCAGGCTTGGCAGGCCAGAGAATGTTTGCTGAATGGATTCGGAAGGAACAGGCTTGGAGCGGCAATCTAGCCCTATGCCGGGGTAAGGTGAAGCAAGAACAAGAGCCATGTCGCCGGTGGCTTGCCTTGGATTGGGGGGAAATTCAGAGGTTGGTGGTGGCGGCTGTTGTTGGTTGATGAAAGGCCGTGGCCAACCTGGGACTAAAGTTGTCGGCAAAAGTGACGGTGGTAGTGCGGTGTGCTGTGCGGGCAGCGGAGCGAGCGTTGACCTAAAATCAGCCAAGTTATCAGCGACAAGCGTTTTGGTACGGTAGATCGGATATGACATGTTGCTATCAGCTGCTCTGGACCTCGCCCTCTCACCTTCTCTCTCGTGTGCGACCTGTGCCTGTGACTGACTGACCGACCGAGCACCAAGCATGTCGGGTTGCACCATCCTGGCCAACTCCTGCTTTACCCACACAACTCCTGCTGCTGCCACTGCATTTACTATACACATGGCTCCTTCCGTCTGAAGCCTCGAGTATGAGGTGCACCCACTCCGCAACAGTGCCATGATAAGCCAACCACCCACGGGCACGCAAGTTCCTGGCCCTCACCCTCGCCCTCTGAACCGCCCTGCTCTTCCTTCCAAGCTCAGCAACGTCAATCTGAATCGCCAACATGACATCGCCGACGTCGACGACCCGAATCACTCGGCATACACGGCAAACGGCATGCTCCAATACGCCGCTCAGGCCGTCAACACTCCCGACGAGCCCACACAACACATTCCACCACGCCTCCTCTCTCAACGCACAACACAACTACCGCTACCTCGTCGTCCCCAATCTCTGACCGCACAAGGTCAATCTCGCCCACCCGTGCCGAAGCCGTCACCTCCACCCGTCCTGGATCCATCAACACGAGCCAACGGCTTACAACCACCCGCAATCGCAACCGTACTACCACGAGACAAAGTTGCCGACTTCTTCCCATGGACCAATATTGATGGCAAGCATCCGGAAGATGTGCTGAACGAGCACCTCATCAAGTCCGGATACAGCGACAAGCCTGCCGGTACTTCTCAGACCGAGTCCAACATCGCCCGCCCTCACCTCTGGCCCAGCTTGAAGAACAAGAATGGACTGGGCGTATTGTCCGCTCTCTTTGTCCAAGTGCTGGACAAGAGGTCTCAAATGCGTCTCTGCACCGCCCCTTCGACTTTCAAGCCGCCACCAAGAGTCACCCTGACCGACACANAAAGAGAAGCTTGGCTCAAGGATCTTGCTAACCCAGAAGTGCCATTACGAAAGCTTAGTAGAACCATTCCTCATGGCATTCGTGGCAAAGTTCTTCTCGATCATTGTATCTCCAAGGATATTCCCATCGCTAGAGCTGTGTGGCTCTCCAAGTGTGTCGGAGCTAACGAGATCCGTGCATTCAAGAGAAAAGGTGTCTCTGGCCCTGCTGCCCTGGCTGGCGAACTCAAATGGATCAAGGAATGGACAGTGTTTGTCGAGCAATTTATCGATGGTGTTATTACCAGCTGCGGACAGCGAGGATGGTCTCAGAAGATGAATTATGCTGTTCGTTTGGGCACTCACTTCTATGTCGAGCATCTTCTTGATGAGGAACACTACATGGACTGGATCCTTACTTCTCTCAAGCAAAGCTCTTCCGAAAGATTACCTGTTTGGATTCTGCTTACCCAAATCTATTGGAAACATCTCATCTCTCACCGAAAACGTGGTTATCGACTCTCCGAAGCCCTCCTTGGACACGCCAAAGCTCTTGCTGGTACTCCCTATGGTATCAACTTACAACTCACAACCCGTATCAACCAACTCATCACTATCTTGGCTGTTAACCATCGGGGATGTCTGGTGCTACCCAAGTCTTGGAATGAATACAAGGCTACCTTCGCCACTGTCAAGCCTACTGGTCGCCTCAACGTGGAGGCTGACGGCTTGATCAACGTTGCAAGACGAAACAACCGATTATCAGGTGCATCCCCACAAACAACCTCTCGTACACCCAGACTCCGATTACTAGACATCCTTGACTCTGTTGGCTTGGATGTTCAGATTGACCGGATCGCTGCTCAATGCGAGCTGCTAGGACTTGACACGCGTTCAGTGTTGGTCACCATACTCGAATGGGCAGCTTCCAAGCATCGTTCAGGTATCGCTCGTGTTTACCTTGCCGCACAGTTAATTCGCTACTGGAGCTTTGCGGGGTTCAGTGCAGATGATGCGGTATTGACCATGCTCGAGAAGGCTCGGAACGACCGCAACATGGAACCGCGTCTGATCTACAAGCTTGTATCCGCCCTGGCCCGATCTGGTCACTTCTCGGTAGGCAGATACCTACAATGGCTCATCTCGATGGGTGTCTTGTCCGGGGCGGATGCCGCGGCGAGTGAGGCTCAGCTTCTCCTCGAACTACCAACAGCCTACCTATCTTCTCATATCGTCAACCTAAGACGTACGCTCTTGAACCGTGTTGGCTATCACGCTGACGCTGAAGCACATGAGATCGAGAACTACAAGGCTTCTCTGTCCCAGCACCTTGGTGGCATGTCTTTACCCAGTCCTGGTGTGACTACGCATGAGCCCGTACTCACTAGCAAGCCTGTTGGAGCCGTCAGGATGGCTGTGGCTAGATGGTTATGCGAGAGGGTAGTCTCGCAGAGCTTTGACTCTGTCAGTGAGACTGTCTTCAATGGCAACCTTGCCGCTTTCTGTCTGGTGCGCCATACGTTGGAACAATTCGAAGACTACCCGAGCTTGGCTAAAGTACTTGCCGCTGCGTCTAACTGCAGCAATCCTCAAATTCTGGCTGCTGCAGCAGACACCATCAACTTGAACATCGAGATCTTCGCTACCATGGGTTTCCTGCCAGCATTGGTCTTGCAAATCTATCAGCAGCAACGTCGCTTGCGGTCAAGGCAACCTCTAGATCGTACTTTCCTACTGTCCTTGTCAGGACTTGTCCGTCGCATACCATCAGGCGCGATGTATGCAAAGACTCTCGACAGCGAGCTTGCAATGTGCGAGATACAGAGCTCTACCACTGCGTGTTCACCAGCATCTGACAGCATGGCAATATCGCATTCGGGAACAGTTGAATCTAACGACGATATTGACCGTGTGCTCACTAGCGGTAACACCATGGATGAGCAGCTGATGGTGCGCATGTTCACTACCATTGCTGATCGCAGTGTCAAGATGGGATCTGAAGGCTTGTCTCGTACCAGCACATGGTTCGCGCAATTGAGATCGTTCGACCAGACTACGTTCGAGCAACTGGTGCAGAAGCTTGTCAATCGGATGGCTGAGACGATAGCACCGTGCGAGACTGTAGAAGGTGTTGTTAGCTCCCTGGTCGGTTCTAGCTGCTTGAAGCTGGACAATTTCTACCAGGTCTGGGACAGGAAGCTCAATACCATCAAATCTACAGAACCTGCCAACGCGAGTCGTGTCGCTGTTATTTGTGCAAAGATCTTGATACCCTCAACATCAGTGCTGCACAACCAGTCGGCGGAAGCGTACAGATTCAAAGTTGCACAAAACTTATTCTGTCATGAACACAAAGCTGGTGTTCTGCGCATCATTGGATCACTACTTCAACTGAACCCTCAATCAGTTCTGCCAAAGAATGGTAATGCACTAGGCGAGAAGATTACAATGTTGCTCCGTCAGTACATCGTCAAGGATCGCAAGCTGGTCTCGCAAGAGCTCATCCCCAAGAGTAATCAGATTGTTGTCCAGAGTTCTGTACAACCTCTCCTCGACTCTCTTTTGGATCCTGAGTTGCAGGAACAGCAAGTGTCGATGATCGAAAAGGTGAACCAGATCGTCGGATCAACAACAGAGCTTTCGTTACCCTTTAGCCAGGTAGCTTTGCAACAGCTGTCTTCAGTTCTTTCCGGAGGCAACAACCTGTCAGAAACCGACAAGACCAGTCTGATTCGTACATTCCAGAGTGCGATTGAACACACATCTTCAGTCTGGCCACAGCTCCTGAGTGCGCTTGACAAGGATCTCATTCATCACATCCACTCCTGGGCTGGTGAATGTGTCTTACAAAAGCTTTCCTCTATCATTGCGGTGGATGGAACCATGGAAGAAGAAACTGCTGTACGACGATACTTGAAAGCAGTTGAAGCGTCTGCACTTGCCGCTTCATCACAATCGATGCCATCAACCGCATTCGTCATGCTTGCTGAGCACTTCAAACGGTTGGGTCAGTTTGCAGAGGGCATCAATTCTCTCGACCCCGGACAATTAGACAAGAAGACGCGTATGGCATTCGGCATCAATGTGTTGCTGCAACTCACCACCATGCATCATCACACACTACAAGACGCGAACGCTCTTGCACAAGATTTAATCCCGCTGATGGGTGTCCTGTGTGCACTTCTAATTCACCCAAAGCTACAAGGCCAGCAAGCGATTCTTGAACACATTCTCGACGTCGCTTCCATGATCTCGGATGATTTATCCAACGAGCACATGCACACGATTCTACGCAACCTTCCACCTCAAGCTCGTTGTATACCTCGTCTGCGCTACTTGTTCGGAACTCACACATCTCCAGATGCATGGTTGTCGCTCGCCTCCAAGGTAGTCCCAGCTTCTGCAGCTCAACAAAACCCGACATCAACTCCCTTACAACCCTCATCTTCGCCGGCTTCAGCTACACAGTCTCCATCAATGCTGCAAAGGCCATGGCCAGTGCCTGCTCGACCTGGTATGCCTTCACGCTCACCATCTGTCCCTAATACACCTGTCCTGTCACAAGCACACTTGCAACAACAGCAAGCCCAGCAACAGAGACTCTCAATGGGTATGGGTGCGAACAGAGGTCCTGTTGAGCTCAAACAAACACCATATATGTTGAGGCGTTGGGAGCTGATGCCCGACCCAACACCCATCATGGGTGCCAACGACACCAGTCTGAGCCTAGGACTGTTCCAGGCANAAAAGTGTGTCTAATCACATATCAATCAATCCACCTGGTCTACGAACCGGGTACACATCTAGACTTTCTGTTGATTTTGCATCGTCAGTGGGAAAAAGTCTTTCTGCATATTCTATTTGCATATCACACTTCCGTGTATCATTTTCTTTGTTTATTCTTCTCGGAGCTTCGGGTGTTTTTATTCGACGGCGCAATAAGGCTTAAGGGCATATTTCATTGGCGTTGTGTTGCATATCCATTTTTATCAGGAAAGCAGGAAAGGAAATAGGAAGGCGGGGTTTTGATCAGTTATACCCCAGGGACAACAAGAGGCGAGGTTCATACGTACATGGCAATCCGTAGGAGGAGTATATCAGGATAGGGATTGAGATGAGATTGCACAGCATAGGATAGGAACGATTGTCTACCATTCAATGAGGAATTACTTTTACTTCAGAGCCATGCCCAAGATGCGAGAGTGTTTGACATGAGTAAGTCCTATTCTTGTGATCCTTATTGTCTTTCGTAAACAGATTTGAGTATCATCGTGTTCGATTATAAAGCTAGATACTGTCTTGACCGTGTGTAGAGCTAAGTCTTTTCTTCAATGGCTTGGTATTTGAGCAAATTGAGCCGAATGTTCCATCCTCCATACATACAGCAAGACCGTTTCTGATACAGCGGCTCGATCTTTTCACATGCTTAGACATTGGACTTGGACGATTTTCGACGGCTCTGATGGCGTTGATACCACGGTAACATCTTGATCAGAGCGCGCTTGTCCAGCACACTAACACCCAGCATGGAAGTGATAAATTCCTGTAAGCTTACAGCATCAAAGCGTTCTGAGACGATACCACGGCCGTGATATACTCCCACCATCATCGCAGCTTGAGACCTGTCTTGTAAGAGCGAAGCACCAGGGCCAAACCAGAGTTGATCCGTTTGACTAATCTCTGCAATCATTCCCTCATAGCAGCTGTGCTCAAGTGGGTGTATGTTGAGGATGAGGTCGTTCACTCTGATACGGATGTTGCTCATATGCGAGAACATGTCCGTTGAGCTGGGAGTAGTGCGGCTTGCATATCTGTCGAGAAGGTTCCAGGCATAGAGAAGATCTCGAATAGAGTATATGGTGATGTAGAAGACACAGGTCTTGTAGATCATCGGCCACAGCTCTTGGTATACGAGGCGACAAAGACGAAGTAGAGAGGGTGGAGGATGAACATTCTCGCCGTTTAGTCCTTTTGGCAAAGACCGGCCATAAAGCCTCGTCTTGCGGGCAGTTAGGTAGTAGATGCCGTCTTTTGGAAGCGTGTAGCGATAGATGATTACGCGGATTTCAGGCGGTAGACCGAGGAAGTCGAAGGTCTGTTCTGGCCAGTAAAGGAGTTTGAACTGTGGAAAGCTTCAGTAGACTGTGATAGAAGGTACGGCAGAGAGCTTCCTTACCTTTCGGTACATCTTTCGAACATATTGACGGAAATTAGCAAAGCAAACGTACAATGCGCATCCCAGAACGAAGAGCAAGATGGCGGCCACCAAAATATAGATGGCAACAGGAAACAAGATCCCGGCGAGGACGATCTTGGACACCATTATGCGCAAAGACTTTCAGGAAGACATGAGAATGAGAGACAATAACTGAGCCGGTATAGTTTGCAGTGAGGAGATTCTTCGATCACATCTTTGTCTCTTGCAAGAGACATCACATGTCACCGGCCGGCGGACTTAGCAAAGAGTCATATAAGGCAGGAACCACATGCGTGCTTGCCACAATTCTGAGCAGTGAAACTTGCTTTCTCACTCTCGTCTGGTTCGAAGTTGCTCGAGTCAGCAATGTTCTTGGATTCAGGTACATTGGAAAGGACCCTAGGAGCAGGTTGCTTCTCATCTGGTCTATCTGGAACAATGATGTTCGTTCATCACAGGCGAAACGTTGGATTCAGGAGATACTTATACCTTGTGACTCCGTAGAGACCGTAAATACATTCTCTACCGACCAACAATTTTGAACATGTTATGTTTACAAGCAGCAGCGATATGCGTCAGTTCAACATATAGCCTCTGCATCTTGACACCACGACCATGAGTATCGATCGCAGATGAGATTTTCAGGGAACACCGCAGTCTGCAACACTGCCCATGGTCTGCACATACACATGCTTTGCAGAACATAGGGGAACGTTCAGCTGACGACAGTTTTACACCTTTCGTGGTACGTGCTTAAAGCTCAGTCTAGAAGCAACAGTTCTTCTCGAAGAGGCAGCATACCCATAGGGCATCTGGTCAGCCAGCTGTAAACTAAGACTGCTGTCGAAGTTTATCAGTGGTTGTCCAAGTCAGCTGAAGACGAGGTTTGATAGATGCAAGTATACGCGAGCTGATTGCTTTGTCAAGTATAAGCGAGCCGGGGCGGACATTGCCGATGGTATAGAACTCCATTCTCGCAGCAAGCACCTCTCGTCTCTTGCAAAACTACAACATCTTCAGAATGTCATCCTCCAGACCGTTGTAGCCCTGAGATTGAGTTGCGATGGACCTCCTTTGCCGCTGGCCACGTGACAGTGGTGCTGGTTCCAGAATGCAGATTTTGTCTCAGATGTCGGCTGTACCGCTGACAAACGGTTCTCGGACCGTCTTCTAGAAACTGCTTTAGGCAAATCCATGCTAGACTTTTTCACAGATACCTACGTCGAACCACTTGGTTAGTCTCTCATAGAGAGCAGCCACAGCCCTCGTAGATTGTCACGTTGTACGGCCTTACCGAGACCAGCTGAAGGGTGAAACCCGAATGTTTGTGCACATGGATACGGTATTCTTGGCTCGCTATGCTCGTCCTCGAAGCGACATCACTGCTGTATCGGTAACCAGGAGCTGAAGGTATAAGTAGAGCCACGACTTCTTGCAGCCATCAAACAGCTCAGCAACAGATCAACACACTTCCTCGCCCCAATAAGGTCATATAGCCTCTACACATCTCCAAAATGCGTCGAAACATTGCAACAACCATAGCTTTGGTCGCTTTGGCTAGTGCTCAGGACACCACCTCGATTGACATAGATGCCATCTCTGTGGCCGTTCCTACAACAGTCTTCAACCTTCCGATCGTCTATGTGACCGCAGAGGACGCACCCGCTATTACTGCAACCACTGTCGCCGTGACTGCGACTGCTTCTTCTGATCCTCTGGCAACGAATGTTTTCGACTCGGCTGGCGATGTCTCTGTCGCTTTGTCGTCTGCTTCTGTACAGGCCACTGCAAGTGCCACTGATCTTTCAAAGCGTGCAGCTACTTGTGTCCCGCAGCCATCTGGTATCTCTTACAAATCCTCTCCTGACACCGCGGCTGGATTCGTTGCCGATACGTACTACTCGGCACAAGCGAGTCTGGCACCTACTCCTTCTGGCTGGGTCCAATCCTTCTCAGGCTTGAATGCTTCAAACTCTGCTGATCAGTATCTTGGATTCTCTCTTCTATCATCATACGATGTGCAGACCTGCACAAACAAGTGCTCTGTTGTCAAAGGCTGCAACTCTGTCAACATCTACTTCGAAAGAGATCCAAGCTCGTCCACTGACGGTCCCTCTTGTCTTGACCCTCCCAGTTCCGTCAATGTTAAATGTGTGATGTGGGGTGGTGCTGTGGCTACTGCGAATGCCAACAACTACGGTCAGATGCGTGCGAACTTTCAGGTACTCGTCGCTGGCAGCAACGGCTACATGACGACTGCCTATGCTGCAGCACTCGCAGCCCAGCCTGATACTACGCCACCTTCAACTGCCACCGATGCATTGGACAACGTATACAATATCTATGCCGCCTCGGACTTGACTCAAGGTGCTTACACGAACACCGCTGCGTCGAGCTCGTACAAAGACTGCATGACCGCTTGCGATGCCGACTCGAAGTGTAATGCTTTCACCTATGTTGGCGGTACTAATGGCATTGGCTCAGGTAATCACCATTCTGCCTTCCATCGATTCTTCAGTACTGACAGAAGTTCCAGGCACATGCTGGCTCAAGACGCAAGCAGGATCCCCTTCCAAGTCTGGTGCCAACGTCGTCTCAGGTGCTAAGAATGGCAAGGTCACTACCGCATACACAACCACAGATCCTGTCTCGTACACATATCATATTCAAATCTCCCGCTCCGGAACCAGCGCCGATGGAAAGTACATCTTCATTTCCGGTAATGGCGGACAGAGTAGCTTGGTCTCCAATCCAGCCGATGCTACCAAATTTGTCGTCGACCAGGCAAATCAGCACATGGTTGTCCAGAGCGGTAGTGCCGCTGGCTACGCCTTTGCCCTCGCTCCTACCACAATCACTTCGCCGTTGTACTTTTGCTCCGCAGGGTGATGCCACCAAGTCTTACTTCACTTGCAATGTTGATCCTTATGGTGGTGTTGCTTGTGGTGTCAATGGTCGTGGTATTGCGGGCACTGTTTGCTCTGCAGACAACTACAGCACTATTCAGCTCATCACTGGTAGTACTTGGCCTTCCACTTGTAATTGGGTGCTTTGGAGCTTTGTGGCTGTTTAGAAGCTGCTTGTATATCTTCTGGCTTCTTGCGACTTTTTGCTTTGTTCTTTGTCTTGGAGTCGTTCATGTTTAAGTCTAGCATATCTTCTGACCGCGGATTTGAGAGTACATCCTTAGTCCAGCTGTGCACAGAGTTCGGCAACAGAGATCGTCTATATCACGTCTTTCTCCAGCCCTCAATTCTCTCGTACCACTATTGCGCATATCTGCAGCTGTAAGTTGATTCGACCACTTACGTTCACTTTAGGCACAAATTCCGACCTACTGTCTCGCGCCCTGTTCCTTCCGCCTCGCTTCTTTTTTTCTTCTTCCACTCACTTTCTTTCCTTCTTCGACCTTAATCTCTTTTCTTTCTTCCATCTCGTGTCTTGCTCTCTTTTGCTTTTACACGCCCATAGCCTGTAGCATCGCACCTACTCCAAACCTTTTGCACTCGAAGCCGACCAAAAATTTCATCCTCGGTACAAAGATCGCCTTCACCTGTCTCTCAAACCTTCAACACACGGTCCTTGAAAATATCTGCGCAGTTTCTCGGCTTCACTACTGCCTTGGTCGCGAACAACTGCCACGATATCTTTAGCCTCAGCTTCCTTCATTCGAGGCCGTCTTCACTTCAGAGACGCTCGAGCCTTTATAAGGCCTTCCGACATCTACCGCTCCTCCTCTTCTCCTCTCCATCAACAGCAACTGCTATTTCTACGCGACGGTACAACCAAGCAAGACGAAACCACCAACTAAGATGCCAAACTTGGCGGAGCAGGCGAAGATCACCTCGTCTACCAAGCCTCCCACCCCTGCTACTACTCTATTGGATCTTCCACCAGAGATCTTATGCATGATTGCGGTCCTGCTCGATGAAGAACAGCTACCAACACTTCGCCTTATCTCTAAGCAGGTCTGTTATCGCTTTTCGGACAACTTCGCCAAGGTGAAGTTCGCTTATCTTCACCACCAAATCACGGAGCCAAGTCTACAGAAACTTATCAAAATCACCAGCCACGCAGTATTCAGCAGATACGTCAAATGTATTGAGTTCTCGACTGCACGCACCGAGAGCTCTTCGCAAGACACTTCAAATCCCATATGCGAAGAAGACAGCGAAGAAGATAGCGAATCTCGCAAGTCTGGACGTCACATTGCTATGCTTGTCACTGCGCTGGAGAATCTCAAGCATCATGGCAACCACCGTGTCAGTCTTGGAGTCTTTGACAATCTCTACGGCTACAGGATCAAGCTTTTACGTGCAATCGACGACGTTCCAACTCGGTGTAGAACCTTAGGCCATGGTTATGTCAAATCCGTTGACGCCCGATCTATGGATGTCAATCCGCATCAAATCATGCTCGCTGTCCGCGACGCCGCCATAATCTCCAAATACTCCTCACAGCAATCATTCTTTAGTTCAGCCTTCAATTCGGACAAATTGACCAACTTCATGACGGATGATCAAGCCAATGCCTTCCTCATCAAGGGATCAAATCAGTTCAAGTCAAACTTGATGCTTAGATTCATCGCGTTGCGCACGGTTGAGAACAACGTAAGCCAAATTCGCGACCTCAAGGCCCATTCCCTCACTGTCGAAGTCAAGACTGGTCCGTCACGCCTCCTCTCGCTGCAAGGTCAAAACATCGCACTCGACAAGTGGGTTTTCTGGAGAGCTGTACGCACTGGTAGGCTCCTTCAAAAGTTACCATCAGTCTTTTTGACAACAGATNATCAAACATTCATATTGAAGGACTTGCAGTTAAAGAGCGAAGGCCTAAATTCGCTATGCTCAAGAACAATGCAGCAGACTTTCGAGGGCCTAGAGATCTCTAACATGGGCGTTTGGATTAGCAGAGACGCTAGCGATCTTGGGCCAATTACGTTCTTGAACAACTTCAAAGGACGCTCCAACATCAAGAAATTCAAGATCTCGAACCTGATCGTGAACGCAAATTTCCGCGTGGCTCACAGAGGTGGCACGAGGATCCCTCGGCCGCTCAGATTGGCTGCTGATGAGATCGTTGCAGAAGGTCACGACCAAGTCCAGAGCGTTTTCGGCGACCTTATCGCACAGATTCTGACTTGGCGTGAACGCTTCACCAGAAACTGAATCATTCAGAGTAGTCAGACGGGGCGAAGAACACAGAAGGTCGTTGAATCAAGGCCAAGATCAGAGACCGAGAAGTGCCTCCAAGATTGGGGCGTTGATTTGAGAAACGATGGCAGGATCAAGAACTACAAGATGGCCAAAGGAGGGAAGATTGCAAGATAGGCAGATCACAGTCAGCCAGCTTGAGACAAATAATAAAGACTACAAGAGCCAAGTGGTATAAAATATTGCAGCAACGAATTAACACGCTTACTCCCCATCATGAAACTCTATAGACTTCGCACCCCTTGTTATGCGTTGCTGGCAGTACTTGTAAGAAGTCGTCAAGCGCCGATCTGGCCAACCCGACTGTCAACACGAAAACATCCATCGGTCCAATGTTGTTCGCGATGATCGACCAAGGCAGCAAGTCAAGGAAATATACGCGAAGCACAACTCGAAGCATGGGACCAAGTTTTACTCCAACATATTTTCGATTGTTTTCCTACGTTTTCGAGATTTTTCTGTTTCGCCCCCAAGTATGCTTCGTAGATATCCGTCGCTCAAAATCAAAATGCTTGTCTGAATCAGTGAAGTGCTGTTTGAAGGAAAACAAGGAATGTCAAAGTGCAAAAGAAACATCAATGTTCGCAAAGAAAGTCTCGTCGTCAATGGCTCGTGAGTATGGTGGCCTCAAGTGACCTTCAGGCTCAGAGTCAGGATCAGTATCAGAAACAATGTCAGAGTGAGCCAAGCGCTTGATCTTTCTCTTCTTGGCCTGTTCGCTCTTTTCNTTAATGACCAATCCGCTCTTGGGGGCCCAATAGGGAGTACCTTGGTTGCTGGCCTTGCTATCGGAAGCCTTGACGTCAGCAATGAAGTTGTCTGAATCGGGAGGGTGGCATCTGTGGACACTCTTGGCGGGATCTGGTCCATAGTTGAGTTTGCGAAAGGCTTCCAAGAAAGGACTGTCTGGCGACTCCGGTTCGCGGTCGTGGAAAGGACGCTGTGTGAACTTGGAAGACACAGTCGAGATGCGTCCTCGCCGGTCGTGCGCATCGGGAGCTGCTCTCATAAGGCCTGAGAAACGGATCACGACTTTGGCGACACTGAGCAAGATGGCATCCTGCACTTGAGCCGCCTTGCCAATGTGTCTTCCGTTGAGAATTTTGCTCATCTGGAAGAGTTCTTTAAGAGGCTCGTCCCACGCGATACGTTGGCGCCATGCTGGGCTTAGATCTAGTGCGAGAGTTTGACCATTCTCATCTTCAGGCGCGTCGTAAAGTTCAGTCTTGTTGGTTGTTGCGAACCACGTTTCCCTCGTGGTCTTTGGCCAACCAGCCCAAACTTCCGTCTTGCCGTTGCTGAAAGTCAGTGTGCCCACGAAGAGGCGCGGCTGTCTGTTTCCCCCGGTGGCGCCCATCAAGAACTTGAATTCCTGCATAAAAGGGTAGATTGCGAAGTTCAAGCGGTGCTTTTCGTCGATAATGTTCGCCTCTTGGATGAGCCAGTTGACCGTATCAATAGAAGGGACTTGGTTGAAGCGAAGACACAAGCGTTTTAGATTCTCAAGATTGTCATCTTGAGCGTCGGCGGGAAGTTTGAGATAGCCTTTGTATACCAAGAAGATCGTCTCGTACTTCAGCGCTTGGGTAGTCAACTTGGGTGTCGCGACTGGAAGATCGTTGGCTTGAACTTCGGCAGTATGTCCCTCATTCGAGGAAGACGACGAAGTCATGCTGCTGGGAACTTCGCGATGCTCATTCGATGGAGACGACGAAGTCATCTTGGTTGAGCCTCCGGAATGCAACTCAGGAAAAAAATCTGCTGGGGAATAATCCATATCGATACCCAAGCTCTTGAGTTCTTCTCGACGTTGACGAAGAAGTTTAGACTCAGGATAGACCAAGTAGGAGTCTGGTATGCTATTAAGGATGAAGTATTGAATAGCTGCCAAGTCTAATCAGATTGATGGCTATTTCGCAAGTATTGTTACGTGTTGAAGAAGAGGTGCAGAGAGTGTGGTTGCAGATATGGACTTTTTATAGCGCTGTAGCTAAGTGGAAGTGAGGAAAAGGCAAGACATTGCTGATTTGGAGTAGGGCGATAGTCCTAGTCTCACGCATGAGATCAGGATCAGGATGTATGCGACTGCCGTGAGATAAGCACTGTTCGATCGGTAATTCGATGTATGTAACCTAGCATAGTTTTGAACCACAAATCTGAAATTTGTGGTTAAAAGGGATCGAGCGATCAGGCGGCGCTGGTGATAGCATCGAATGCCTCGTTCGATCTTGCAGTGGAAGTGGAGAACGGCCTTACAAGACGTGGTTGATGTTGAACAAGTGGATGATCTGGACAACATGGCTACAGGTGAAGCGTCGCTACGACAGAAGGAGCCAAGAAGACTGTTGCAAGTATCGCACCAAGTGGCACTGTGAGGGTGATTGTTGTTGATGACTCCGATGATATTGCTAAACCTGCTCATCGTAGTGAGGGGACATTCTTAGAACAGATCGCAAATGACAGTTCTCAGCAACAATTCTGTTACTTCAGTAGGTGAAAGCAGTTTCTCTTACTCACAACCCCTTGGCGCGACCACAATTCTGGCAAATGTTGTTCTTGCTTCTCTTCTCTTTATTCCATCTTTTCCCTTCCTTAACAACAACTAACAACTCTCTCATACAGCAGAGAGGGTCTTGAGCCACCTGTTATCCAGGCGTGTTCAAAGGACAGCGTTATGAGCGATGCACCTTGTAGATGGTGAAACCAGGTCAATGATCTTGCTCCTTGAGTGGGTATCTCCCCGCGTGGCAAGAACTGTCATGGTAGGACCGAGAGCATGCATAGTAGTTTCCAAGGAGACCGACGTGTATAGAGAAATCCCGTTATAAGGCATCTCCACGGCCAAAGTTCTGTCTGTAGCCCATTGTGCCTTTCCATATTGAACGTTAGTGAGTCTCGCAGACCTTGAGAGAGAACTGAGTTGCTGCCGTATACCCCTCAACTGGTAAGGTCTCCAGTAAGTTCACATTCCCTCTCTTTCACCATGCTCTTTGCGACCTCTGCTCCGTAGATCCTCCTCAAGCACTCCNNCTTCCAGACACTTCTCCATAGAATACAGTCCTTGCACTTGTCCTCTCTTGCATGCAGAAAATCTGCCAAAGCAAAGATGACCTGTTCTTCGGTTTTCATCTCCTCTGCAGGCAAGCCTGATGCGAACTCAAGGAAAGAGGTTACCAGATCAGTTGCTGTGGTTGATAGTCCCAGGTATGTCCCTCGGGGAAATGAGTTGATCGTAGCAGTGGACTCTGCTTTCTTGATAGAAACAGAGGGTGGTTCTATCTCGTTAACAGCGACGTATGGTTCACTGACGCCAAATTCGGGCTCTGTGATGACGATATCTGTATTCGAGGACGTCGAATGGAGACACCATGCTAGACAGATAGCCAGTGATACAAGCCAGGGTGTTGCTAGACCATTGTCGTCGACTTTCTTAGGCAGAGAAAATGTCAGTGTACAGAGATGGAACCTCAGAGATATGTCTTCTGTACGAATGCGTTGGAGTATTTTTCTGATCAAGCTAGTATCGCAAGAGTGGAATGTGTATGAAACCGGTATGTCGGGTGCGTAGAGTAGAGGAAGTATTTCGGCGCGGATGGTCTTCGTAGTGCGAACGATTTCAGGCTCGTGGACCTGATTGGTTCGTCGATGATGCTTGACTAGTGAAGAAACAGGCGGGATGAGACTGCTCCCTGTTGGCCGAACATGAATGCTGCTCGAAACCATGATACTGTGATTCAGAAAGTCCGCGAGGACGAGATGGTAGATCTTGAGTCTGATCTCAACGGGCAAGTCTAGAAAGCCCGTAGGTCGGTTAGAAAGCATGCATCGAGACGGTGCAGCAAGCTCGAACCTATGCTTTGTATCCACTCTAAAGGGTCTTGCAGGCGTTTGTGGGCGTGTTTGCAACGGCAAAGTCTCCTCCTTCAAAGAGTATGTCAGGTTAAGCATTGCGATCGAGATTGAAGCTGTTGCCTAGCTGTCTCGGAGCTTCGACACAAGCACAGGGATGGCTGGATAGTAGATATGGTTGACTTGACGCGCAGGCATACAAGTAAAAAAAAAGACGAGGTACAGCTTTGAGGATTCGGGAGTGACGTGAAGTGTTGAACAGATGTTGAATAGATACAAAGAAGTAAAATAATCGAAATCAAGGTTGTGAGATGCGAGCGCCTGTGATGATATGCTGCGATTCGGATTCGCTTGGCGGAAGCTGTTGTGTAACCATGAAACTCCTCCGCTGACTAAATTCCAAGATGCAAGAAAACGTGCCATCATAACAAAGAGAATGAGATGGGCTCTCGGTTCGAGTGGTGGTCATGGCTTAGTCGCGATGAAGCAGGTCCTTGACCTTCTGCTTCAGGCTTGGGGATGACTTTTGCGAAGCATCGTCTTGCTTCTCGTATTCTTCTGCGACCACGTCTTGTTGTTCGACGCCCTTGGCCCAGCCTCCAGGGACGGTCTCGACACCTTTGTCCTCAGCGACGGCGTTTGCGTCAAAGATGCGTTGGCCTGCGGGAGCACCACCTGGTGAGGGGAAGTCCTGTCTTTCGGTAGTCGGGGGTGCGAGCTTGTTCTTGGAGTTCAAGTCAAGGCCCTCTGGTGGAGCTGCACGGGATCCACGTCTGAGCATAGGAGAGTTGTCTGAGGGAGAGAGCTCTGAGGAGGAAGAGGCTGATGGTCCGGTCTCGACGGCAGTAACGATGGTAGGCTCGACTTGGCTCGACATTTTCGACATATTGATGGCGGTTGTGGTGGATATGAGATGTCTGGTATGTGCGACTGGAGGCTGGATATGTAAATGGTAGAGAGTATTTGTTGGGTGGGCACAACTATTTTATTTATCTTCAGGATGGTCAGTCTTTTTGAGGGCTACGTCACAGCCGGGCTGGGTTTGACCACTCCAGGCTGTGATTTACGGTGCTCCACACAGTTCCCGCATGGTAAGCTCACGGATACGAGACACAAGCAGACAAAGATCTGACTCGGCTTGCGCGTCCGAAATTTCCTGTAGAGGAACAGCGAATTGGGTTGAGCGTGGCAGTGTAGACGGTTGATCCATGCACTGGTACCTGTATACGGAGCGGGTGAGAAAACAGCGGCACGACAGAAGATCCAGGAACACCTTGCACGCCCGTATGCAGCAGCATGTGAAGATGTGCGATACTGAAACAGATGAGCAGTGATTGACAGAGCACGGCTGGAATTGATTGCGTGTCGAGGGAAGAGTCAACTTCTGTGTACAGTCAAATTGTCTTCTGCATTCTGTAACAAGGTCAGAAGCCAGAGGTGATTGAGGCTCCCACATCAGGCTATCAGATTGTGAAATATAGTGGATGTTGTGCGTGCTTTGTGCAATTCTTTGTGAAAAAAGTGACGTAGAAAAAGTGCGGGGTGAAAGGGTCTCGGCCTCTGCATCGTCAGTGCAAAGACAGCGGCAAACAAGCACAGTCGAGTCACAACCACAACATACCTAGACAATCGCCCTGCGAGAGAAGGACGCACAACCAAGATGGCGCTTGATCAGCAGCGCAATTGGACCATCTCCATGGCCGAGAGCCTGCAGGCCGTCAAGGACAAGTCGGCCGCCGCCAACCCGCAACCATCCAATCCATCATCAGAGTTTCCTGTCCGCGACGATGATCCCAAGTCACACAACTATCATGCGACTGAACCGGCATACCTTCCCGACGAGCTTGTACTCGAAATCCTCGAATATGTCGCCATAGCGCCCGAAGCGCAGAAGTCTCTGTACACATGTTGTCTCTTGTCGCGACAATGGCACCGCGCCGCCATCCCGTACCTCTACGCATACCCTAAGATCTACGGCAAGAACTACGATCCTTTTATCNGCACCATGTGCCCCTCGATCAACCTTCGCATTAAAGAGAGTCCCCTGGCCAGCCTTGTCAAAGTTCTGAACCTGGGCATGCTCGTCCACCATAGCAGCAGGAGTGTCACTGCGAGAGTGTTGCGAAGGACAGAGGGCAGCTTGGAAGAGTTCGTTGCACCCCAGGCCTCATTCGCTATCAACAGCTACGCAGCCCTGTCAAAGTCGCACAACCTGCGCAGTCTCGACTTATCTCTTGTGTCCGAAGCTCAACCTTTGGACATGCTCTTCAAGTCGCTCAGATCACTGCATCACCTCGAACGTCTGCGCTTCCCACGCTCTTCTGGCTTTGGCGCGAACACTGTCGATCCTGATTCGATCATCTGGCCTCAGACTCTGAAAGATCTACACATCAGTGGTGGTATCGATGCGAATTTCCTCTACGGCATTGTCCACTTCCCTCCTGCCCTCGAACGCTTGACCATCGAACACTGCCCACAAGCAAAGTCTCACGCTATTCGCCAACTCCTCTCTACTCTTTCTCGTGCACATCTGCCTCTCAAGGCACTATCGCTGTCACACCTGCCACGACTGGGCATAAGCTCTCTAGACCCGGTGCTTGGCTTATTCACAGACCTTGAAGAGCTCAGTGTCAGTGTCGACTACATCACCCCGGCAATATTCAACCCCGATTTCCAAGAGTGGCATTCCCACGATACACCCAACTTCACCGACCACAAACTGCGCATGCTCACCTTCACGAACTCGGGCAACCCTGGTGTCGACGACAAATTTTCGCCCATTGATGTCCTTCTGACAATAGATGAGGGTTCATTCCCCAACCTGCGCCAGGTCAAAATTGCAAAGAGCCTGGGATGGGATCGTGGCGAGACTCGGGATGAGACCGAAGCCTTGATTGACAGACTCGTAGAGCTTGGAACAAGAGACTACGAGCACAAGACAGGCGTGTACGCAAGCATGTCAACACATCAATGGAAGACTGCCAATTGGAAAGACTGGGCGGGTGTTTGGATCATTGATTAGATGATCAGAAGTCTGGCGTTGATCGTCGTTGGGTGGGCGTATTTTCAGGCACGCTTGGATTTGTGCATACCGCTGCATCTCGACTTCACGTCGTCACAGACTGTTCCATTCCAAACCACATGTACATAATATAACGAGTTACGAATATCATGGAAGCGATCATTTGACCTTATCCTCTGTACCGTAATTTTCACTTTTCAGTATGTTATCCCAGAGGTTTCCTGTGCGATAACATTCTTCCGACCTGAATGCCCTTTCACAAAATCAGGCACCAGCAATCGAGGCATCATCTGTCCTGTTCTAACTCCAATATATGCGACAAAGTATCTAGAACGATACCCTTCATTCTTACTTGTCGTTCCGAGGAGCATACTACCGCAACCAGATCCCTCACCTCGAATCATTCGCCCATCATGTGGTTCGCGGCCTTGGTACTCAGTCTTCTGAGCATCGCAATGGCAGCATCAACAACCATCGACCTCGCAAAACTCGTCAAGTCATGCCATCATACAGTGTTTGGATCTCAAGACTCGGAGTCAAAGCGAAAACCACGACCATTTCCTCTTCTCGCCCTGCCACCCGAGATCCGCCTCCAAATCTATCGCTATGCACTTCCCCAGCAACAGACCATTATTTTGACGAAGCCATCGGCAGCTTACTGTCCGTTTCCACCATCATCTTCACCCCTATCGATATATCTGCCTGCTGTGTTTGAGAAGCTGCACTATGGATGTCCCTGTCAAACACGACTGACCCCGCCATTTNTGCCACTGCTCCAAACTTGCAGACTCATCCGCAATGAAGCACAAGAATTGTTCTACGCCAACAATGCTTTTGTACTGAACATCGATGTTCCGAGGACTCTGCTCAGAATCCCTGGATTACTTGCCCTCCTCGACAACAGCCTTGGCGGCAGCATCTTGAGCATGATCAAAGACTTCAGAATTCGGATAGGAGGGAATGTCATGGTTGATGTCTGTGGTCCGCCAACTAGGTGGAGGAAATATGGTGGTAGGGTCCTAGTAGCGAGAGTACCCGAGGATGAGATCACCGGCTTGTTGAGAGGCGAGGAGAATATTGGAAAGTGTGTTGAGGGCGTTCTGGATGAGTTCAAGGGTGGTGGTGTGAACGCTGATCTCATCAGGAAGGTGCTAGACAAGGTGTTCTGGAATTGGCAAGAGAGCGCTTGATTACACTTGCGGTATCAAAGATGCTTTTCCAACCATCTTTTATCACAAAGTCTGTGTATGAGCTCTTCCAACTTTCTGCTTCTCGAGGAGAGCGAAGTAACCGCTCAAATCACGCCGAAATCAGATACCAAATGTGCAAAACAGAAGCCGCCGAAGCAATGCCTCCTCAGCCCTGATTCGAACCCTGGTCACTCACACCCAGACCATATATTTCACTCAAATTGAATTTGTTCCTGTAAATCGGTTGAGTGGTGTAACGGCTTACACTCCTGATTTGTAATAAAACCATTCGATTCTCGCCTTCGACTCTCACCTTGTACGTCTTAAATCATGCATACAGCCAGATGTCCGACATCTTGGTGACTAAAATCAAGCGACGCAGAGGTTGGTTTTCCCATAAGAGCTCAGCTCTGGTTTTTTGCTTCTTGATATGAAATATCTAATATAGTGAGGAATATGCTCAAAGTGCTGATACTGGAAGGGACGGCAAAGACATGCGTCTTCCTTCACCTTAGCCTTGATCTTCAGCATCACATTAAAAACATCAATTTTGACCTTCAAGTTTCATAGCACGCATGAACAAATTGCACGGCTGAGCCAACCTTCCCAGCAGGCACCCTGCGAAGTGGCAATCTTCCTATTTCACAGCACGCACGAACTTAGGATCTGGAAAAGCAAGCATGGTATGTAACAGGAGCATATCTTTCCAGTGATTATCTGCTCTTGGGTCCAAATGTTCCCGATCTACTGGTTGGGCGTCCTCTTTCTGGTAACCTCGTTCTTGAACTCGAACGTTCTTAGGTACTGATCCCCGATACTTATCAAGTCTTCTTGATGGTCATGGCCTCCTCGAAGGTAGGGGGAACGTCGAACTCACGGAGCTCAGCCAAGCGGTCCCTTCCTGCCTGGGGACCTCCAACTTCGAGGGCGATCGTCAAGATCAAATCGGCGCGACGGAGAATGAGTCTCTGGTACTTCTTGTACTTTTCGAGAGAGGCTCTAGTCTCAGGACCAATGGCATTCTCAGCGAAATGAAAGCCACGAACGAGTTCCTCCGCCATCTTGAAGGCCTTTGCCTTGTCTGGCATGCTTCTCTCAGTCTTGGCAAAGTCGGGCATTGCAGCGACCTTCTGGGCGACCCGAGCGTCGATTTTGCTGCGCATAGTACGCACCAGAGCAAGGTTCTCGGGAGTGTAGACTTCAGGGGGAGCTATCAAGTTATTAGTTGAGGCTTTCAGTAGAAGCTAAGGCAGACACAAATACATACCCCAGTTAGCCAGGTCGACGTCTGTCTCGTTAGGATTGGCGTCAGTGGAGGAAGCGCCAGTACCAATACTTGAGGCGTCCTGAGATGGGATACCGGACTTGCCAGTAGCCATGGAGGTAGGGTTTGAGAAGTTATTGCCGCTGGTCTGGGTGCCGCTGAAAGCTGCGGTAGTCATTTGGGACTGAGGCTCATGAGAGACCATGTTGGTCTGGCCTTCGATGCCAAAAACTGGAGGAGGAGGTGGGCCAAGGTGAGTGGAGCCTTTGACAGGGGTCAAGACAGCTGCGCAACGTGAGACGTGGGATCGAACCTTGAGATATTCGAATCATACCTTTGTCATTGTTGGCAGTACCCGTGGTGGAACCTTTGGCCTTGGTGAATTTACCGGTGCCGACAAAGGTAAGGTTGCCTTCGGTGGAGAACTTAACTTCACCCTTGCCAGTGAAGGTGAAAGGTTTGTCGTTGCTAGCGGGGTCGGCTTTGATAGAAACCTTGGTAGACTTGGTGGTCTCTATGGATTTGATGTTGGTAGACATGGCTTGGTTTGCTGTCGCGATTGTTTAATGACTCAGTCAAGAACATAGTAGGCGAGGTAAGTAAAAGTCCATACCTTAGTTTCAAGCTTTTCTTCCGAGAAGATCTTTCTAAGGTCGCGGAAGCACTTTGATGGGCGAATACGCGGAAGAAGATAGGAAGAACAAGGAGGAACAAGCAACAAAGCTTTCGACGTCACGAAGTGGCTTTCACTTAAGTGAAGGAATCGGATCCATATTCACTGCAACAGCTCACTACCGTCGATGTCCTATTTAGTTCTCCCTCTCGGAACTTCTTCTTCTTCCAACCCTTTCATCAGCACATCATCACTTCCAGACACCAAGATCCTGGAATCGATCAGCTTCAGCCAACTCATCAGTGATCCACGCATCCCTGCGTCAATCAACACCATGTCTGGCAAGTCTGAGCCCACCGCCGACGAAGTAGGTCATTGCATCAGAAGCTGGCAGAACTTTGAGCTGACACATTTGAACAAGCAGAAGCAACGCGAACTCGAGGCCAGGTACAAGGCCTTGGAGGAAGAGGAGAAAGAGGCGGCGCTCGAGCTCCAGACCATTGAGTATCTCAAACGTTGCCTTACCGTCGAAGGTCTCAACTCTCATTATCCTGAGATGATGAAGATCATCAAGCACAGAAACACTCACAAGGCCCTTTTGGTATGTACACCAATTGCTATTTGCATCACCCGTGCTTACATGATCTTGCAGGCTGGTATCAACGCCGAGTCGTATGCCAAGTATGACACCACGGGTGGACTCAAGGAGAGACTCGAGTCTGGACTCAAGGAACTTGACGCTGCTGTCGAAAAAATGCTTGCAACCTTCAAGAAGCATCTTTCACCATCCCACCCACTCTATGATGCAGCCATGAAGGCTATCTTCAATGATTCAGTCTGAAGTTCCTATCATCACTAGACACACAGAGTTCCTTGACGCTATCAGGTCTGGACACATGGATCTCTTCAAGCTCATGGAGCTCTTTGAGCAGAGACAGTACAAGTCATGGAATGGAAGCGGAAACGACGATGAAAGGATGGGCATCAATCAGCACAAGAGGGCACAAAGCACAGGCGAACAAAGAAAATTGTACATTAGCAGAACGCTTGCCACAAGATGAGAAGATTGCAGCCTTTGACATGTATCTCAAGTTTGCTATGCTTGATCAAACCATTACATGTGATGTCTCATTCCACCCAGCTAAAGTGACTTTAATGACCATCTGCTACACTTGGAGTCCTCCTGACCTTCATAGCCTTACACAAGCTCCATTAGGAGATGACCTATTAGTTTCACGGTATGCTCGCCAAATTGTTTTGTGCCCCATTGATCACCATAATCGATTCTTGTTGTCGTCCGATCGCTTTCGTAAACGGATTTTTGCCCGTGGAGCTCGCAAGATTTGGTGCGACTTCTCAAGCTCGAATCCCCTCGATCATCAACGCCAGACACTTGGAGAGCGGCGGCTGACATAATCATTGTTCGCCACATACTTTGACACCCAGTCTGTGGCTTCGTGATCTGCTGAACTTGGCAAAGGCAGCAGCTGGAGAGTTGTGCCAACCCAACCCACACAAATCCTTCTCTTGTTGGCGCATGACCGACAAGCAAATTCTCCGGGCTGCTTCCGGGTCCAATAGTGAGTAGTTGGTGCAGAGACTACAGCACCCCAGACATATTTCTTCTTCAAGTCAATGGAAGTCCAATCGCTAGACTTGCTGTCGAACTGTTGCTTCATTTCCTGCCATGTACCCTCGAGTTTGGACCATGCTTGATCATCGACTTGTGAGTCGGTCTCAAGATCTCCATCTTGAGTGACCCGGACCGTGATCTTTTGCCTNGCTTCCTCCTGTCCATCAAGTTGATTATTGTTGGCGTATTCAGTCTGCAGGTCTCGACGGGCATTGATCGAGTCTTGGTTTTCTGTCCGAGGTCTTTTGGGTTGATGAGTCCCTTGGTGGGAGCCACGGGTACGCCTTGAGCGTGTATCCTCGTTGCCTGGTGAATTTGGATGGGACTGATTGTCATCATCGGCATCTTCGAGATGTTCAACTTGGATCGTAGCTCGAAGACGAGCGTATTTGGCTTTGGAATGAGCGATCTCGGCTTGTAGACGAGCAGTTTCGGCTTGGAGACTTGCATTTTCTGCTTTGCGGCGTGCATCTTGAGCCTCAAGACGAGCATATTTGGTTTGGATTGAATCGAGTTTGCCTTCCAAGTACTCTTGAACGTATGTAGCATTGTTCTTGGACGATCTCAACTCGCGTTCAAGCCTCAACTTGGCNTGAGTTTCTCAAGTTAGCACAGGTCTACAGTGCAACACTGGGCTTGTGCGTTACCTGTCAGTAGTGTTGCCAACATTGTCATCTTCGGAAGCCTCATCGTCATCAATAGTGATGACTTCTCGTCTGTTTGGCATGGTGCGCGAAGTAGCCAGCGCGCCGAGTGGAAGTGGAGTGTTTGAGAGAGGAGTGTTTAAAGGTTGATGGTTTGGAGGTAAAGTGTTTGGCGTTGAAGAGTGAGAAAAGCTGGAAGCCGCGAGTCCGATCGAACTTCGAAAAAGCTAGCAAGCATCGGGAAGAGGGAAGGCACTGAGGACGGGCGGAACAAAGGCAGGTGCACTCTCCAGTTCGAGGCGCGGGTATCTTCACGCTTCCAAAATGCGCAGTCGCGGTCTGAAACCAGGTCTAGCCAGTGACATAGCCTTTGATAGGGCTCTCTCTGAGAAACAACGACCTTTACAAGTATACTGTGCATTTCTATGGGTATCCTAACGATAATAAGCACAGGCGGATATTCGCAAAGTTGACTGACCATAGAGGTATCGTTCAGTGAGATTCTCCGCTCCTATCAACAATGGAATAGCCGTTCTCTGAATTAGAGCCTGTTAGAGAATACTCGTGCTTGAAGAAGATGAGCTCGTGGATGTTATTGTGTTGGTTGCCGCTAATAAATGTTGGATGTCCAGATAGCGTATCGGAAATCATGACAGCGTACGCAAACCGAAAGTTAAAGCCATTGGCGATTGGCTCTTGTAGTTCTTATTTAATCGCGTGGATTAGATGTGTCGTAGCACATGGCCCGCAGTCATATGTATTATCCTGTTGTGGAACATTTTGTACATACTCGACTGATAATTGGGAAAAGGCTTGGGGGTAATCAAGAACATGTTGGCCGTAGGGCAATGAGCGTTGCGAGTAGAGGCAATGTGAGATCGAGGTAAAGACAGATTGACTACCTATTGTGGATAAGAGAGTCGAACACTTTGATTGCACCAGTTGAATGTATCTCGATGGCAATCCAATGATTGAGAGTAGGATTTAATGCAAAGACTACCATAGTAGCAGAGTCCGGCATTTTCGGACATGGCCAACGAAAATCAGATGGATATCAACTATGTTTACAAGACGCCGAGCCATATCATTGATAGTCTGCTGCCATTGAGTTTTATGCTGAGAGGCCACGACATTTTTGAAGGATTTTGAGTAAGGATTGAGCTTGGATAGAGAACTGAATGTCAACGAATCCCCTTTACTCTGTGTCATGATGCCGGTGTGCCAGAGCGTGAACATTAAGGTTGTGCAAGACTCAAAAGCTCCTCCGCATCTAAAGCCACAGCCACAGTTCAGCCACATCGCGAAGCCGCCCAGCCACAAGCTATCGAGCCTGCCTTCTTCTTCTGCAACCAAAACATCCCCTGCACTCGGTATAATTCAATATGTTGATACGCCATTTGAGATTGCAAGGCATTGTGCCCTACGCCAAAGCTGAGATTCTGCAGCAAGATCTGGTCAAANAGTTCCTAGCTCACAAGGCATCGCTTGCAACAATCCCTGCTCCAATTCCAACCATCATCACTGCCCAATTCTCTCCTGTCTATACCTGCGGTCGACGTGAAGTCGGCACTGTCTCCGCAGAACAACAAACATATCTGAAGGACAATGGCAATGCTGAATTCTACGAAGCCCTTCGTGGTGGCCAAACAACTTTTCACGGTCCTGGTCAGCTTGTTGCATATCCCATCATCGACCTGAAGAGACACAACCTATCGCCAAGAAACTACGTCTGTCTTTTGGAANAGACTCTCATCAAAACTTGCGCTCGCTACGGTATCAACGCCATGACCACTGAGAATCCTGGAGTTTGGACCACCCCAGATGACAAGATATCCGCCTTGGGTGTCCACTTGCGCAGAAACATCACCAGCCATGGCATCGGCCTCAACATCAACACCGATCTCAAATGGTTCAGACGTATCGTCGCTTGTGGCCTTGAGGGCAAGCGGACTACAAGTTTCGAAAATGAAGGTGTCCATGGCCAATCTGTTGACCAAGTCGCCGATGTCTTTGTCAACCAACTCGCTGAATCCCTTCATGACATCGACGGCATCGAAGAAGAACTCGTTGCTTAGTTTTCGATGAACAGCCGTCTACCAATCCCCACAGTGGGGGTTTAAGCAGCTGTGGTTATGCTTTGGTCCCGTCGAAGCATACTACCTGTAACAAACTCACTCAAGCTAAATTTAAGCTACTTTCCTTGTAGAGCTCCGCACAAACTTCTTCGCTACCTCTCCGTCATCAGACCATTCCTCTCAACTCCAGTGTCTCTACCTGTCCCTGGATCCGTTGTGATCTATTGACAACAATCGTCATACACCGGTATACCTGCTTACTCACACCTTTATGTCGCTAATATGGCTCTTGCCTCACTTAGACGACAGTTGTCGCGGGTTCTTGCTCCTCGCTCAGTAGACTCAGTCAACAGTTTCGATGCGATAAATCGAAAAGACACAGCTCAAGTAGACGAACGTTTACAAGGTCGATCAAGCCCCAAGGCATCGGTCTATCAGCGCTCTCCACCACAATCTGGCGTTACGCTACACAATTCCGAGCATGTACCGACAAACCTATCAACTGATGTGTTGGTGCAAGTCATGACCGTAGGCGACAGTGTCATCACCATCGAGACGCAGCGAGAAGACGAACATATCGAGCGACCAGCAGCCAAGCGAAGGAGGAAAGGACTCGGCCTCCGCAGAGTCAAGACAGCTCCTCCAGTCAGTCAGACCATACCCGTTCATGGTTCTATCACCACCATCGAGTCTGTTCCCAATGGCAGCCGTCGTCGGGCTTGGTCGTATCCGCTGGGCAACTGGAGGAAGTTCAGCTTGGTACGACGTATGCGTCGAGGCTCTGATCTCAAGGAGGCCCGCAAGAAAGCTCGTAGAGGCAAAGCGGCCTGCGAGCTAGATTCCGAACGTCAACCTCCGGCTGCACAGAACACAGCACATCCTTTCATGTCCGGTGCTTACCAAGGGTCTCCATCGCACATGAATCCTGCTACAGATGAGGTGGGCATCTCACCACGGACCTCGATCGACTTGGGCAGTGGGCGTCCCGCTTTCACGCGACCCAAAGGTTCTCCAACGAAACCTTCCACCAATCAGAACAGCCCCAACGAAGATCAAGACAAGCGCAAAGATTCGCATATCCATGGCATTATGCAAATCAAAGAGCAAGCTTCTGCAGAAGTGGAAGCAAATACTAAAGAATCAACGTCCGACGAGCAACCAAGTAAAAGCACAGCGTTCTTACTACATGCAATAGACTGGATCAGGCAACGACGCGCTTCTATCTCGTCAAACTCTTCATCGTCTGACTCACCAGTGTCGTCCCCTTACATTCAGCCAGCACGTCCTGCTCGCCGAACACAAGAGGTACATACTACTCAGACACAACCTGCTGTGGGCAGACTATCCATGGTGTCCAGTTGCGACGAGTCATCCATGAAATCTCGGCTCAACTTACCTCCTGGCTTCGAAATCCCTGTCGAAGGTCAAGCTGGTCCTGCCGACTGGTTGCACCGTAGCTGGGAAGAGCATTACCGGCGCTCAGCCGAATCTGCACATCGAGCTTGCCACCCTTTGGCCGCTTCACGTTGCCTCCCCTATAAGAGGNGGGAAGAATACCAGCGCTACCATGTTGTAGCTACATCTCAAGACGGACCACAATGCATCCACGCGCAACGACTGAAATCAATACCAGACCATACCGAATACGTCACTCAAGTCTGGGACTTTGCAAATGATCGTAAAGGGAAGGGTCGCAAATATGTGGAAAATGTTGGTGTAGAAGATGGAAGAGGTAGACTTGAATCTAGGGACGTTTTTGGTGCAGAACAGCAAAGAGAAAGACGTAGGAGTAGTAAAGGGGCATGTGTAACTACTGTCACATTGGGCGAGTGCAATTTTGCGAAGGAGCTGGAGCAGAGTGTTGCATGAGATATCGCACAGAATAGAACAACGACAGTCGCGGAAGCCATCTCAAGACATACGCACATCTAGAATGTCCAAATCCCCTTGTTTGTTATTAAGAGCCATGATTATTCGTACTCAAACCATGACTCTCCTCAACCCACCACTTCCACCCAACAACCTTCTGCCACTAACCGCACACCTTCCCCTTCCATCCTCCCAACTTCCTTCTCTATTGCCTCCCGACTCATCCTTCCAAGCTTCTTCTGTACTCCCTCCTTGCATAAACGCTACTTGACGTGGATGCTCGCCTTCCAACCAGCGGAAGATACATGTATAGCAGAACACATAGCCCGTCTGTGCTGCCGTGGGCGTCTGTATAGGTGAGAGACAGATAGGACAAGCAGACTTTCCAGCAGGAGGGACGGTGAAGATTGGTAGGTTTGTTGTTGCAGAGATTGGAGGTTTGACCTTCTCTTTCTCGTCTTTCTCTTCCTCCTTTTCTTTGCTGGAATCTTTGTCGTCGTCAGTGGTTGCGAAGGTCACACCAGATTTGGAAGGCGTTGTTGCAGCTGTAGCTGTTTTGGGGATTCCTGAGATGGTGGGAGCAGGTAACTCAAGCCCTTCAGCTGCTTTACGTGACAATTGTCTTGCGAAATCTGACGCATGCCACCATTCCAAGAATTTGAGTGCGAAGATCGAGGTTGGAAGTAGGATTTTCAGACTCGATAGCAGACGTGGGTAGACCGTATGCGTCAATGTCCGAGGGCTGAATATTGATTGCGAGGTCGATGATTTCGCGCCGGGTACAGTGGGCGCAGGAGCAGCAGCTGCAGCAATGGCTTTATAATCCGCTTGATTCATGCGCCGTATCCTCGTTCCAATAAGCCAGAAGAAGGGATTATGGTATTTTGACGTGTCGAACAGGTAAGCCAGGTTGAACGCCAGCAAAGCAAAGTAATAAGCAGCATTTACGCTGGGATACACTTTCCTCAAGAACCACTTGTAGTAGTGGAAGATCCGTTGTTTGTACGTCGCATTCTCCGGTAGGGCATCTCCTCGGAACGCAGGACCGAGAATATTCGCAGAGGCAGCGTGGATATCATAATGCTCATCCAATTTCCTCTTTGTATATGGCAGCATCACCATAACAGCCAGATTCTTCCACACATCTGCATTACGCAATTTCAAGGTTTCGCGGACTTGTTCAGGCGCTCCGAGAGCAGCTCGGGGGATCTCATGGCCTTTTGTGAGTAGTACTCTTTCTCGTTTGAGGCCGTAGAAGTTTTCGGTGAAGCCGCCGCCGTAGGTGCGTAGGTAGTGGCGTTCAATCAGTAGGGAAAGAAATGCGTAGAGTTCGTCGAAGGAGTTGAGGATGCGGAGGAGGTAGCGTGGATAGCGGTGTGTTGCGATGGCGAGGAGATAGCGTAGAGAGGGTGGGATTAGAGAGGCTAATTGTTGTTCGGATAGCAATTCTGAAGACAAGTTAGTTCATGCGACAACTCGTGGTGATTGCGATGTGATCGGCAACATACCGAAGAGCGATGGTTTCTGCTCGTCGAGCCCGCTTTGCAGGTTGGTCATGAACTCCATGATGGTTGTGACCTTTCCCTCATTCTAGTTTCCTGCGGTCCAAGAAAGCTTCGCGAAGAGTGTCGAAGTGTCCTGATTGTTCATGCTTTCGTTCACATGCTGTTGGTGACGCGAAGGGTCCTAGCCTCCAAGTCTGGGGAACTCGCTCCACAGGCCGAGGTCGCTCGGTTTTGGCAGTTTGTCCAGAGCGGACGTTACATGGAATCGGTGGAATTTCGGCTCCATGCCATGCCATGCCACTACTTCTAGCTAATATTCCATTCCATGTCAATTATCTAGTGGAATAATGCCAATTCCAACTCCGTCGTCGTCGTCGCAGTCACCCTGTCCTTCTTCTAGGTCACCCTGTCCTTCAACGTCATCCTCCAGCTCTTCTACGTGATCTTCCGGTCCTTCGTTAGTAGTAATTGGTAGGTCAACCTTGTCAAAACAAAGGTTCTTCTGCCAGCTCTTGAGGCACTCAATATAGCCAAGATTGTCAGCAGAGAGGCTTGCTCGGTCCCACGACAGTGTCCTTCTACAGCCACTGAACACCCTCTCTGACTCAGCAGACATTGGATTGATTGAGAGGATATCAATAGCCATCTGAGAGAGGTTTGGATAGTTGTGTTGCTGCGTTGGCTCAAGCCACCACTGTATAGCATCATCAACGAGTACTGGAGGACTCTTGGTAAACTGGACAAACTCCTCAGGTATGGTAACTGAGTTTGCAAACCGTATAGAAGCCTGCCACTTGGCCAGCTGATTCGACTCCTCTTCATTTGACAATGGTGCTATTGCAATAGGCTTGGTCTTGTTCTTGTATTTAGCAGTCCATAAAGCGCGTACAGCAGTAATAGCTGGTGTTCGCCATGACGGAGGCCAGTGTTGTTTGATATAGTTCTCGCGATAAGTTGGATGGAGGAGGAGCGCTGCTGCATAGGCAGGAGTATAGTTGTTGATAGCTTGCCACTTATTAAGTGCAAATTGGCTAGTTCGGATTGCGGCAATAAGGGCTTGGTCGGTAGAAGCATCTTGTTGTGTGTACTTTTCATAGTGCTTGCGTAAGAAGTCCATTGATATAAGCACTTGATCAAGAGTTGCGTTATCGCCTTCACATAGCTTTGTTACCTCCTGCAATGGTTCCATAAAGTCAACAAGCGCTTCAAGGAACTGCCAGTGGCGCCGCTGAAGAGTAGTGTGCTCCATATGCTCGTTAGCCGACTGAATAGCACGTATAGTTGCTCGAGACTGAATCCCTCGCTTGATCATGGCTAGCCAGCTATTCCACCTTGTGGTATTGTTAAGCATAGGAGATACACCAGCAGCTGCCTTGAACTCACGACGACGGCGAGCTGACCTCATGATCCACTCGAAAAACTGACGGAGGTAGTCGAGAGCTTCATGATCAGTAAGGCCAGTGCCTTGAGCGAGCGTTGAGATAGCTTTTAAGGGATCTTGACTCTGATCAATTACAGCAGCTATGGTGTCTGTTGAGCTCGCTGACATGAGTGCTTGACTAGCAAGATTGATCTGGTGTCCAAAGCAGCGAGTTCGATGTTGTATAGGGTCCCAATCGATAGACAGACGCTCGCTAAATAGAGTAGCAAGGTGGCTCATCATAGTATCGTTGCAAGTGGCATTATCAGAGGTGATATATCCGATCTTCTGCTCGATGCCATAGGTAACAATGGTATTAAAGAATAGAGGAGCACATTGAGCACCAGCATGGCCAGCTGACAGCTTATGGAGAGCTAGCAGTGCCTTGCTTAACTTGCCGTCTGAGTCGACAAATCGAGCTGTGATACTAAGCAGCTCATGGCTACCATAATTGGCTGTCCAAGCATCGCAGGTAAAGTGGATCAATGATCGAGATGTTGCAAGCAGTGCCTTGAGCTGCTCTTGATAGAAGTCGTGCTCCTTCTTGACGTGTTTGGCGACAGTAGAATGACTCTTGATCAAGAGCTTTGAGGCGCCAGGAAGCACCTCATCAAGTAGCGCATGGAGTAGAGGATTGCTAGCAGTACGGAAGGGGATGTTGCTTGAGGTGATGTAATCGATAAGACGTCGATTCAAGCGAGTTTTGTCGATATTGGCAATAGTATATGATGTCTGAGAGGGTATTGCTACTGCTAGCATCTTTGAAAGTGTACCAGTTGCCTGTCTCCAGCCATGTCTCTTCTTAAGGTGTGATCTGATGTTGTCGTAGTTGGTGGTGTTGTAGTTGCGAGGACAGTCTCTATTGCCATAGAAGCAGTACCAGATCTTCTTCTTGCGCTCACGCTCGCGCTCTCCAGGACGACGAGCTCTAGCATGAGACCAGAGCTCTTCAGAATCGCCACGGGTAGGAGCTGGTTTTCGAGAGCGCTGTATTGACGTACATTCAGAGTCATCAATGTGGTTGCTAGCGGTTGTTGGCGTCAGTAGTCGTCGTCGCTTTGAAGGAGGAAACAATGGCTGGTCGACATCAGAGGCGCTATCGTCAGTCTCAGAGTTGTTGCCTTCAACAAAGATACTGTCTAATTGACTCTGAGGAGCGAAGAGTCTAGGCCTTGGAGTATTAGAGGCGAATTTGAAGAGGGTACTCTGTTTAGAGGCGTATAGCGGCTGGCTCTGAGATAATCGAGAGTTTGGTTGGCTTTGTGGCTCTTGTAACTTGTGCTCTTGATTAGCTGGTGAATACATGATACAAGGATTGTAATTAAAGGTAGATCATATGCTCATGAAGATAGAAAGATGACAAAGAGCTAGGCTCTAATATTGAGCAAGAAGGTGGAGGATAGGATGGTTGATGAATTGAGAGGGAGCAGTTAAGACGCGTCGAAAAGGACGCGCGAGGCTTCGTATAAGCTAATAAAGAATTAGCTAGTCGGAGCTCGCGATCTAATCTCCGAGATAAGATCTAGCCAATCAGAGAGCTCAGATAGGTTACTAATCGGAAAAGGCGTCATAGCAAGTTTTTTGAACGCGACTGCTATGCCCAAGCGTAGCACACTCTAAGCTGAGGCTTACTATCATCAACCATAGCAACACTAGCTATACCAAGTGGTGGAATGGTAGAATATTCCACTCAAATTGACGATTCTATTCCATGCCAACTAGGTGGAATATTCTACCTCAAATCAGTGGAATATTCCAATATTCCACTTATTCCATGCCATTTAACGTCCGCACTGAGTTTGTCTCGCCGAACCATGTCTCGAGCATCACCCTGGCACCCCTTATTACACGCACTTGACAATTCGGTGCTTCCCAAAGAGACATGAATCTGTTGTAGAACAAGCAAAATTGACTGGCACTAAAATCTATGAGGTTTGTTGCCATTGTTTCTGATTGATACTTGGATGATCTTCGTTCCCTTAGTCTCACATATCATTTGTGGCGCGATGTCCTCTCAGCCTCCTCGCATCCACAGCTAGCAGAGTAGACTTCTTGTCAAGCTTTCGTAGACTCTCCCCTATCTATCGGAGCCTTCTCCTTCGCATTCACCTTCAAATCATTCTTCTTCGGCGTCATCTCCGGCAACCTCCACTGACTTGGCAGCAACCCCGTCCTTCTGATCACCCTCGAAGGATTTGATCGTTCCTTCCTTCTTCGAGCAAAGCATCTTGAAGAGGCCGTCCAAGGGGGTTTCCTCCGATCTTGCCTCTCTGTTCCAGAAAGGAAATGCGTTCCAGCTTGGTCCGTACAGCTGATACCTCAACTCATCGTGTTGGGGATCACGCTCAAGTACGAGACCAGGGAATCGGGCCAGGACCGTCATGGCCGCTTTGATGTATGCGCTTTGCTGTTGATGTGCTTTCTTGGCTCCAGCGGTGTCCTTGATACTGTTGGATCTCATCTTGCTCAACTGAAACAAGTGCTCAAATGATGTGTGCCATCTGATGTAGCGATGGAACTCGACTCTTAAATCGAACACATGCTTGTTGTCGCCGGGTACGGGTCCGTCGTAGTGGAGCTGACTCTCGGGTCCAAAGCCGATCCAGAGGTCGCACTCAGCCTTCCAATTCTTGAAGGTGCCCACGTAAACTCGATGGTCATCGTCGAGCGAACGCAAGTACCATGGGTAAAACTCCATGTAGTAGAACATTGGCCAATTGAGTTCTTGACCACCATCACGAAGCTGTGCCTCTTTGACGACCCACACAACTTCTTCAATCGTGGGGACAACTTCGTTCTCTTTCGCGCGAGTCGTCAAGTTCTCTTCCTGAGTTTTGTCGAGGCCGTAGTGTTGCACTGTTGCCCTCACACCTTCGATGATCTCTGAGTCGCTGTACCTGATCTTCTTCGCCGGACGCTCCTCTTGCGAAGAAATCTCCCTATCACGTTTGGCAGACGAAGTGCTGAGCTTTCCTTCATCGTCTGGGGCCAACGAGAAGTTTTCGTAAACCTCGATGTCCATTCTGACCTCGGGAGGCAACGCGAAGTTCTCGAATAGCTGAATGTCCATTCTCGAGGTTGGATGTAGTCGATTAGGAAGATTCTAAGTCTGCAGCCAGTCTGTATGCTTGGTGTGCAAGCCCAGGATCTTCAGGTGTAAGACGCTCAAGCGGATGTGGCCTCAGAAAGAAAAGTGTCGAAAGCTTGATGGTCAGCAGTTTGAAGACGTCGTCGAAGTGTTGATGACTTACTTGTGTCTGTGTGAACTTTGAGAAGGAGGGCGGAGATGGTTTTGTTGCTTGTGGCAGTGGATTGAGGACTCGACCAAGATAGTCAAGTCTTATTGCAGCTTGACGCACTCGAGTTTGAGGATTGAGAAAGAGTGGTTAAGTAGACAAGATTCAATAGAGGGGGGTTTATTGAGGATGTGTAATGGGAGAAGAGTTGCAGAATCAGAGAAGAGATCTTCAGGGTAGAGGTGTTGGCGGCTGAATAGACGGCTTGAGTGAAGAAACGTCTGGTAAAATCTCACACATCAGCACAATGTAAAGACAATAAGAACAAAATGCATTTTTCTCGGGTCGCAAAGGAAAAGACAAAGGTATCTTGGGAAAGCAAGAAACGCTCGGTCGCTAATTCAAATATCCAACGCCATGCACAAATCAACCCAGTCCCGTCATCAAAAACCATAAGCAACATCTAGGTCTAGGTGGCTTCATTCATCTCAATCTTCATCAAAGATCTGATATGTGTTCGTCAGAATCGTATCCAGTACTCTCGCTTGCAAGCTGGCGTCGGCAATCTGTGGTCCAGTGTGTGAGCCCATCAATGACGGTGCGAAACAAATTGCCAGATTTGATGTCGACATTCGGTTCTTGGCGTAGTGCTCTTGAACGCGGTTGAGATGAAGGACCAAAGCTCGGAGAGTAGCATAGTTGGGATCGGGCAGCTCATTGATGACGGAGTGCACAGCATCGCGGCGTGTCGTATCGTCCTCGATGCGAGCAGCATCAATGAAGCTGTTGTACGAGCGACGTGTTAGAAGAGGGTCTGGAAGCTCGCGGAAGAACTGTTTGAGAAGACCAGCTACGCTGTTGACATCATGGTAGAAAGATGCCGGGTTGCGGAAGTCGACGACTTGAGAATCNTGCAATCTTATTAGATAAATCTGCAGTGATTAGATCGTGATTGACATACCGTGGTCAAAGAGAGCCTTTATCTGTTGGACATGGCTGGCTGTACCACTGAGACGATAGATACCCTCAACATCGAGTCCGAAAAGATCAACGGCTTGCATGCATTGGTAAACAATCATGGGAACGGCCGTCTGGTCTCTGTTGTACAAGTCATCAAGGCTGACGCCAAATACAGGCTTGAGAGGGGGAGGTAGAGCAGTTGCGACAGGACCGGGAGACATAGAACGAGACTGAGTAGGGAAGCTCTGCTGAGCTCCCATGCCGCCTGGAGTTACGGGAGAGTATGGAGCGTTAGTGCCCTGCGTCGAAGTGGAGAAACCGCGAGGCGCTCCTGGGCTGGTAGGGTAAGGCGCACTGTTGTACTGCTGAGGCTGAGGCGGATCGGTGGGGTAAGGAGGATTGCCAGGGTTGCCGTAGGAAGGCTGAACTGGATATTGTGTTGTGGGTGGAGGGACTGGACCTGGTGACGTGGAATAGGTGGGTTGTGTTGGCGCGCTTGAAACGGGTGTTTCAGGTAGCGCTGGTCCTGGCAGCGTCGAGGAAGGCTGTCGACTGGCTGGAGTAGGAGTCTGTTGCTTTGGTTTGAGTGTTGGGTGTTGTTCGTATTTGATTTCGGAGATTCTGCTTGGAACCTTGGAGACATGACCACTCATGTAGTTGTCAAAGTCAGCCTTGTTGTCAATTTCGAGAACAATGTCGCGAAGACTGTGTTGGACGGGAGCCGAGGGGTCACTAGGGGGAAGTGGGCTGAGAGCAATGCCATTGCCCAGTAGAAGTTTCTCGTTGAAAGAAGCAAACTTCTGGAGCTGCAGAGCAAGGCCGGAGTCGCATTCGTTGATCAGCTCCTGCAGAGCCTTGACAGCTTGAGGCCGTGCTGTCCTTATGAGCTCCTCTCTCTGCGCTCTTGCTGCTTGGACTTTTGCTTGGTAATCAGAGTCTGCGACCTGAAGCTTGCGAAGGAGATCTTCCNNCTCATGCTGAGGAGCACTCTTCATGCCCTTGAGACCGATTCTTCTCGAGCTCTTTGCGTCGCCAGTACGAGCGCGATCATAGTCTTCTGCGAGGCCGTCGTACTTTGACTTTGCCTTTTCCATAGCAGCCTCGGCATCGGTAGCACGTTTCTCAGCATTCAGGCCCTCGTGCTTCCAGTGTTTCCTCCCCCTTTCCATGTTGAGTGACAGTTCATTCAGATCCTCGTGCATCTGGTGCAGGGCTAGGGAGAACTGCATTCCATTGTCGGCGATCCTGTCGTGGAGGCGCATAGCCTCATCAAGGCGGGTAACATAGGAGCCCTGTCGAGAGTCCTTGGAGTGGATATTGTCGGTGGTTTGTTTGACCAGGCGTCGCAATCCTTTGGCATGGTCTTCTTCTACTGCTCCACGTTTCTTCAGGAAATCGGAAAAGTCCNNTAGGGTAGTTGGTCAGTATGGCGCCAAAGACCAGGGAATAGTAGAATTGCTTGAGCTCACGCGAGAAGATGCAATGCTTTGCTTGAGACGGTTTAGAAGAGTGTTGATTCCAATCTACATAAGTCAGTCGAGAGTTGATTGTTCCGCGATGCGACAAACAGACATCTGAGTACATGACATTCTCGACATGGTTGGACATGGGCGCTGTCGATGTGGCTGGTGCTGCTGCGGGCGCGACAGTCGATGTGTCGAGCGAGTTCCCATTTGAATCGCCATTGGTCGCGAGGTCGCTGTCTCGCGGTAGGTCGGACGACATGGTGAAGTCTTGTATGAGGGCTGAGACAATGAGGAGCGATCAATGGTATTGTTATAGACGGTAGATGGCCACGGTTCGCTTGGCACGCGCGTTCGCGGTCGAAAGCTGGGGGCTTGGACCGCGCGCGCTACAGCTCGGCGTCGTCATGGTTCCTCTCATGCTCGATCTGGAGCGTCGCTCGATCTTCAGGTCCATTGGGAGGTGCTTTTCGTGACAACAAACACTGCTGTCCTTCTATACCATCCACACCAAACTTACCACAAAAATCATGTCTGACGCGCACGCTCCCTTGACCTGGGAAACCTCGACCCACACCCAGCCTCAGCTGGCCACATCTTTACCGTCTGAAGTTGTCAACTGCTTAGAGAATGCTCGCTATGTTCGTCTGATCCACCTTGATGCTTGGAACACACCATGTGCTAACCCTGATGATAGCNTTCATCTGGCAACTTGCACAGAGCTGCATCCCCATGTTGCCCTCATGAACTACACCTACCTTGCCTCACATCCCTTCGCCGACTCTACCTCGCAAATGCCGTCTGGTCCCGTAATCATCATGACTTCGAACCCTGCTTCGCGCAAGACCGTCAACCTCACCGCAAACCCGAACGTATCGCTTCTTGTCCACGACTGGGTGTCGCATAGACCTGCTACCAACAATAGAAACTCGTCGCCCGAGGGCCGCAGAGCCCCTGGTCGTAGCTCCCTGGCCACCTTGCTCATGGGCATGAACACAACTCAGATGGGCTCAATCAGTGCAACCATCAATGGCACCGCTGTCGTCTTGCCTGTCGGATCAGAAGAAGAGAAATGGTGCAAGTTGCAGCATCTGGAGAACAACACCTTTGAGAGGGAGGAGACATCACAGAACGTTCTGAGTCCTTCAACGAGCAATGCAGAGGACGAAGAAGCCAGCAAACAGTCCTTCTTGCAGGATGAGGACATAAGAGTAGTCGTTGTCAGGATAAGAGAAGGCAGAATCGCAGACTGGAAGGNNGGAGGTGTCAAGGACTGGGTCCTTGCTCCTGCCGAGGGTGCAGGCAACCTCGTCAACGGTCTATGAGTAAAGTAGATGAGCCCGAGCTCGAAGGACTCCCATAATCAAGATACCGTTAATACCTCTCCGCATGCCAAAGACTGCCACGACGCAGCTACAAAAATGCAGAATAGTTTCGTGAATAGAGTGATGGCCACAGAGAGCCATTCCTTCCAGGCTGCTTCAACGGCCAGACTCTGTTTCAGAAGACTACTGTGCATTTCGATAGCTTACCTGTCCCTGTTCGACGGGATGAGATGCAGTGACAAGGAAAGACGGCATACAGACCTCTGGTGTATTGATTCTGTACCGAACCTAATTGGAAAGTATCGTCAACCATACTCGAAGCCTTCAAGAATAAGAAAAGGACTCGACATCTTTTGTTCAAGCACGCAGACAAAAAGACAGATGCCGATCAAAGGGTCGCTGTCGGGCAAGTCACGTGCAATTAGCGTATCTTGGCGCTCTGGCTGCCCCTCGCGCAGCACCCTCAACCCTCTTTCGAACTTCACAACATCGCAACTTCTTACGCAACACTCTCCACTCAATCAACAGACGACAGTCCACCGCGAACCTTTCACCAGACACCCAACCAACACACCTTCTTACTCCACCCCTTCCCCGGAAAGAGAACAGCAACTGCGTTTTATGTCCGCCTCGATCGAAAACCTCAAGTCCTTCGGTATGTCGCCGCAAAAACCCCCCACTACGTCAGGCCCAGACCGACTTTCTCCCCGCCTTGACTCGCTCTCTCGCACATCACTCGCTTTCACTCAGGGCATGTGTGATGGTTGTTCATCTGAGCTTCCATATTCTCTGCCATGTGTGAAAGCGAGGTCAAGCGCCGACCGACGCTGCCGCCACGCTTGGGCATCACTCGCTAACTCGCGTGACTCGAACAGACCCCTTCGCCGAAGCCGATGAAGACACCGGAGAGATAAAGCAGTCGAACCAGAGCAGCTACATCCACATTCGTATCCAGCGTACGTCTTGCCTCGTTTTCACATCATCTGACCGCCTTGGCACCACGCGCCTGGCTGGTTACACATAAAAAAAGGCGGGGTATGCTGACACAACCTCTTCATCACAGNAGCGCAATGGACGCAAGACCTTGACCACTGTTCAAGGACTCCCCAAGAAGTTCGACCAGAAGAAGATCCTCAAGGTCATCAAGAAGGCCTTTGCTTGCAATGGCACCATCGTGAGCGACACCGAGATGGGTGAAGTCATCCAGCTTCAAGGTGATCAGAGAAAGGATGTTCAGGAATTCTTGTGTGACAAGAAGGAGGGCCTCGGTCTTGATGCCAAGACCATCAAGGTTCGTTTTGTGTCTCTCAAATCCTTGTCTCTGTAGTGTACTGACCGCTCAACCAGGTCCACGGTTTCTAAACGTCCAACAACCGCGCCATGCACCCTCGTCGGGTACGGGAGACCAGCCGGTGGATTATCACGACGTTTGTACCTCTTTCGAATCGTCAACAAGGCGTCCATTGCCACGATCCACACGGCTTTTTTTCTACGACCCTTACGAACTTACTAGACATGATATTTGCTACCGCCAACATCATCAGCTTTTGAGATCATGGCGCGGATACACTGGCGTTGCTTAAGGATACCCAAACCTGTCTCTACTGCAAGCAGCAACTCTTTTCACGATTGCTCTACGCTTTTTCCTATACTTTTCGGCCGAGTTTTTTTCTTCTACTGCCTTTGCTATGCTCATCAGGCGAGAGGATATTGCTTTATGAAATATGGAAATGCTCAGTATTGCTTCTACAACTATTCTTCTCTCCTGTGACCTTGCTCTTAACATAACCTAAGCATTCTTGTCTGCAAATTAGGCCGCGCATTCATGCTCTTGTCATTCTGCCTGTCTGTTGGACGTGTCGAGTATCGAACCAGGTTGTTGCTATGTTACAATGTAGTATTTTTGAATGTATTGTACAGATGCCCATCTTCCAAGGCTTTTATGATTGAAGAGCCTCCTGAGGGTCAGACTCGGTAGTAGTGCCCCAAACCATCCAAGGACCCATGTTTCCTCTCTTACACAACCTCTGCACAACAAGATACTCGGTAACCTGCTTGGGAGCAGCCGAACTTCCCTCTTCCACAACCTCGATCGTCTTATTTCCCTGCCTGACCTTTTTCACCTTCTTCAAACTCTGCAAACTCTGCATCCTCACACACACCTGCTGGATGGTTGTTTGTTTCGTCTTGTCCTTGTTGTCTTCCAAACTCATAGGCATGTACTTGTGGCTCACAACCTTGGGCTCTGAAACCCAGTTGTGCAGAGTCCACGCTATACCGGTATTGGGGCCTCGTGCGCGTATCCTTTGTTCCAACGAGACGTAAATGTTTTCGCAGAGTTTTGGGGCTATGGGAGAGAGGTTTCCAGCTGCGAAGGCGGTGTACATGTCTTTGTAGAGGGTTTTTGCGATGGATGGGATTGCAGAGGTTTGGAAGTCTGCGCGGGGTTTGACGTGGAAGTAACCCATGTAGTGGCGACTGCGGTTCCTCGATGTCAGTATTCGCATCTCTCAAGAGTATAGGACACAGGCAAAGGCAAGCACATACCCAAAAATCTCCTTAATACGCAACCACAAACGATACTTTTCCAACGCAAACCTCGCACCGAACTCCTGAGTCAGAGAAGGCAATTGCGAACCAGTAGGCATGATAAAAGTGCCAGGGATCAAGCCCACATCATTAGGCATCTTTTCGATATTGCTCATTTGCTCTTTCTTCATGACTTCAAAGGACCTTTGGGAAGGCTGTTTCATGCCTGTTTGTTGCGGGGCGAAAGATCTTGATTTGCGGACACCGGCTTGTGCAGAGCAGGTGTTGCTGAAGAGGCGCGTGGTGGGTTGTCGCAAGCATGGTTGGGAGAGGTGGGTTGCGAGGAGAGTGGTGAGTGGTGCGGTGGGTGAGGGTTGCTGCAGCAAGCGCTGCACTGGCGTGCGTGGTGGCATTTTTTGCGCGGTGTGGCGCGTGTGTGAGGAGGCGCCGAATGGTATAGATGCTTTCTTTGGTGGAGCAAATGTCAAATGTTGGAGGAGCGGCGAGCACGGGCCTTTTCGGAGGTCGTGGCCGCTGGGAGTATACAAAGTATACCATGACTTCAATTCATGATCACGAGCAGTTCAATCTTCTCCGCTACGCATGTCTGGTTTTCAGTGCTCTGTCGAAATGCATGGTGGAATACATAGAAGGTATGCTGTCCACTGAGAGGTCTTCTGTCAAGACATTTCCCTAGACACTCACCAAACCCAAACAACATCCTGTATTTTTACAAGCTGTAATAGAGACTACACTGCTTTTGGAGATACTATCTGGATATGCCCGCTTGCGTCAAAGACAAGGTTAGGGGTATGTGAAATTTACTGGTCAATCATACCTTGACCTAGCTTTCTCCTCTTCACATGCTTGGTTCTCAGTGGTCTATCAAAATGCACAATAGAATTACACACAAGAATGCTATCCATTGAGAAGCTCCTCAGTCAAGGACTCTCTCTGGACACATACTGGATACAGAAAACATTCTGTATTCCTACAACCTTCAACAGAGGTTAAGCTGTCCGAAGAGATACTACCTGAGTATGCCCACCCACATTGGAAAGAAGGCCAGGAATCTGCCAAGGTCGTCGAAAAGCTCGAACTTGCTGCTCGATTGCACCTCGAACTTATTCCTGCACCCACGTTTGTGTTTTGCTACAAAAACATTAACGGATGCGTCAATTGGGACGAAGGCGCCGGTTTCATCAAGGTAGAAGTATGGAGTGATTCAGCTAAGTGAGTCCTTGCTAACGTCTAAGCTATCTTCCCAAGGTAAGATTGTGACTGCTCTTCGTTTTTCTTGTTGTCGTTGGCTTCCAAGTATCTGCAGAGCAATCCATTTCATCCTTTCCCTCGCATCTCATCTCTTTATTCCAATTCGTCTGCGAAGTGTAAGTACCAGTGACTGGCAATCATCCTCACTTGGTCTCTCCTCCATGGTGACCAACGACTTCATCGTCCTTGACAATGTAACCATCGGCTTCGAGCGAGGCGAGAGCAGCTTTGACGCAAGCTCCCGCCTCCTCGAGACGCTTTTCGATCTTCCTTAGTTCGATCCCGGCGGCAACCACCTTTTCGATATGGTCGCGGATTCTGGCTCCGAGGTCATGCTGAATCTTGAGAATATCTTCTTTAGAAAGGTCTTCCAGCTTGGCGGTGTCGAAGTTGGATTGGGAAGCCATGTTTGGATCTGGGAGGACAACCGGATTCTGTACTGTGAAGATGTCAGACGGAGGTCGAAGAATTTGTATGATATTCACAAACTCTTCTTGATTGAGCTGTTTCGGCTGTTTGGATTCTTAGATGTGTCGACCGAGATGATGGTCACGCGGGACAAGGGTGTCGCGTTGAGGATGTTGATCTTTGGTAGTCAGCGTGAGCTCTTGACTTGGCGGTTGCCAATGACGAGAGATGTTGTACCTGGTGCTACAGGCGCTCAAGAAGTAGAGAGGGTTGGACTCCAGATGAGGAAAGAGAAAGAGGGAAACTGGAGGGGGAGATCTTGCTTTTATAGATGATGCGAGGATGTGAAAGTGAAAGAGAAAGTGAAAGTGGACAGGACCAAAAGTGAGGATCAACAATAGAACAGAAGAAGAAGGACTGAGAGTTATGTTAATCGTTGTTGATTTTGCCTGGATATTGCATTTACCGCTACCAAGTCAAATTCATGTCTTTCTTGCCTCCATATACGCTCTGAACCATTATCATCCATCCCAAAAACAAAAGACTTGTCGATGCTGTGACCAAGATTGGAAAGAAGCGAGTGTGTGGACAAAGCCGAAACTCCTGTGCCTGCCGAAACCATCCCAGGATATCATGCGCTCGAAATTCAAAGTAAAGACGCTCCAACAAAGGTAAGCAGTGACAAAGGAAACAAGGACGCTCAATGCGTAAGACACTACAAGGCAATGCCTCGGGGACTACCCAAAACACGTTCGGCCTTGCTAGTGCTCATCGTGCGAGGTCTCTCTGGCATTTCGTCGTACACTCTCGATGATTGCTTAGAGGTGCTGACAGCACGAGATCTGGTCGTAAGAGTTGGCGAAACAGTGCGACCCTCCTTAGGGACAGCAGAGATGGGAGTGACGCCACCAGAAACTCGGACACGAGGTGCAGTGTTACGCTTGAGTCGGCTGGTGCGCCAGTTCTCGTACCATTTCTCACGGGAAGTGGCACGTAGATCAGAACGCCAGTCGCCGAAAACGCACTCTCGAAGACGGATGTAGTCGCAATGAGCAGGGTTGCAAGGGTCTGCCTCGCCCCATGGGAACACACGCGTCATAGCACCTGGTGAGGTGTGCGGATCTGGACTCAAGATGGAGAATGGAAGGAACAACTCTTCAGGTGCAGGGGTGCAAGAGTCGGCACGTTTGGAAGAGACTGCACCGAGCATCGCTCTCGACGTCTTTCTAATCGGCGAGAAGGAGGTATCCACAGTATCGCTGTCTTCATCGTTGATATGCTCGGTGGTCTTGCGTGGAGGTGGAAGGGCAGCATGTTGCAGCTCAGATTCAGAACTCGAGAAGTCACCCTCAAGAGCCTCTGAGTCAGGCGACTCATCATCTTCTTCCTCATCATCCAAATTCAGGGCCTGTAGCGGATCGAGCTTTGCGTGCTTAACGTTAGACCAGACCAGACGCTTGAGATGAGCCATATGCGCGGCAGTGAGGGTGTCGGCCTTGGCGATAATTGGAATGACGGTCGTCTTCCCTTCAAGGGCTCTTATGACATCGAGATCCAACGACTCGTCTTCAGCACCTGAGGGCTTCTTAGCCGATGAGTGATCCGCAGAGTGCATAGTAGAATCCAGACGAGCAGGATCGAGTAACAGGAGAACACAGTGAATGTGGGTGTCCTTGACTCCAGGTGTGCGAACGACTCTCGACTCCTGAGTGAAGGTATCCTCGAACTTGGACTCGACGAAGGCTGCTAGATCGCGAAGCTGAAGATCGATGATGCTCTTTTCCAGGCCTTGAGAATCCCAGAGCGTAAGACCGATGCGCTCTCCTTCAATGTCAGTCTCGATGTATGTTGGTTCGAAAGGAGACTCGATCTGTGTATGAGGCGGAGGCGTATGTCCGCGTGTCTGCTTGTGTGGTGGTAGGGCCAATGCGGTTTTGAGGAACTCGACAAANGATGTCTTTCCCGAACCCTTGGCTCCAGTGATAAGAATGCTANNTCAAACTTGTAAGTCGTTGTAAAGAGAAGAAAGCAGAAGAGGGTGAGGGGCGTACTTGAAAGCCTCGGGCTCCTTTCTGCGGCGCATTCTACGAGGGGAATGCATGTTTGCTGAGATGCTAGGAGCGTAAGTCTCTCTGCCGCGGCTGACGATGCTCTCGGTGCGAGGTAGAGAGTCGGGCATGGCAGGCAATGGGACCCCGTAAGGATTGGGAGCGTTCAGACTGCCGCTCGAAGACATTGATGGCATATAAGAGTATGACGTGCTGGCCTGCTTGGGACGAGAGAAGTTGGCTGGAACCGGAGGGCGAGGATAGTCGTACCCTCTTCCAGATACAATTGCGATGGAATCGGGGCGTGCGCCTTCAATTGGCTCCATGTTTGGCAGCATGGGTAAGGTAGGAGGCGAGTGAGATACCGTTGGCATCTGTTGTTCTTGACGACGGCGCTCCTCCTGATCGCGGAGTTTCTTGTTGCGTAGCATCTTGCGTCCTGATGGGCTGCGGATGACTGGGACTTCGTGTGATTTGGAACGAGTGAGGAAGGAAAAGCTACCACGGCGTCGGGATGGTGACTGCCCTGTGTGTTGATGTTCGTCACTTTCTGAGCCACTCAAGGCAGTCGCTTCCTGCACTGCGTCAATTGGTGAGACTGCCGCGCTGACTGCAATTTGGGTCATGGTTGATAATCGTTTTGGTGGCTTTGCCGGTACTGGTCTTGACGGTACGAAATCTAGTGATTCGTCCATAGACATCGAAGACATAGATGCCACCGACATATTTACAGTGTGCGACGAGGAAATGAAAGGTCAGACTTACTGTCGCGTTCGACAGGCCGAGAGGCGCGTCTTTCTATACGTCCACCTTCCCTCAGGTTGATAGCTAGTCTAGTGGGGACACCGGCGCAATCTGACGTATAAGACGCTAGTTCTCACGATTAAACCCTCGAAGATCACCATGAGAGAAGAGCTGAGATGCAGGGTCGAGGCCGAGTCGGGTACGGAGGTGGGGGTTTCCAAGTTTTTGCCCTGCAAACCTCCTGAGTGGTGCAGACGAGGTCGATTTGGCGACCACCTCGAGGTGCGCCGCCTTTACTTTATCATCCATCACAACCTTGGTGAGACTGCTCAAACATGTCCTTGAAACACGACAACAAAGACCACAACATCCTTACACTCAATTTATTCGTGGTATAGGGCTGAAGCTTAGTGAAACCGTGCCGCTCCCGCTGGGCTCAAGCTCAACCCGAGGATCTGGGGGTGTCTGCAACTCGGACCCGACCACTTGAATCTCCTTGGTTGTTCCAGCTGTTTGTTCTGCAGTCCGACAAACGATAAGACTTTCTTGCTGGCCACCTTTTCGTTTTCTTTCCTTCCTTGCCTCTATCACCATCGCAACAGTGATTGTCTGCTCATGTCCAGTCATCGACACATTTATTGATTCACTACTACAGGGCTAGGTTCGATATTCCGAGAGCATGCAGGAAGCTTTATTGCTTGCCGGGTTTCCTCCGCCAATGTGCCAAACTCTGGACGTCTCACGCTTCTCGCCGAGCGGAATGAATATATCTCAGCTACAGAATCGCATGTCTCTTTTGAGACGAAGATCAGCCCAATAAGGTCAGCCTGTTGTCCTCTTTCTGGCAATGTATCTCGTCATGATATGATCGTGATTTCTTGCAGCTGTTTGGTTATCGGAAGCGTGTTGGGTAGGGTTGTACAGCATCTTGTTTGCCGCGCTACCATCTCCAGACCAACTCATACTGTGCATGCAGACTATCAAAACACACGATTATTTGCAGATCACAGACGTGTCCTTTGAAAGCTTTCATAATCTCTGCTTTCAACCGACACTGCCATTGTCTGAGAAAGTATTGCGTACTTCTGCAGACATCGCATTCAAGGAGATGAAGAAAGAGAAGAGACAATCGCTCATGAAAGTTGAGTGTACCATACATGCATGCTGTGAAACCTGTAAACCTCATGTCCTCGGTCCCAATGACTGTCGCGTGTCAAGAGTAAATCTGATCGCCTCTTTATTCCGGCCGGGGTCTCTTAGCACCATGGGGATTGCCACCAGGCGACATGCTGCCACCCGACGAGTTACCATTTGCTGCACCTCCGTTGCCGAAGAAGCCTGGATTGAAGTGTCCTCCTTGCGCGTTGTTGCCGAAGCCTCCTGACAGAAATGAGCATGAGTTGATCGTTGATGTGATTTTGAACTTACCCATGTTCATGTTACCCATACCCATGGCACCCATAGCTCCCATGTTGTTCATGTTGCCCATGTTATTCATACCCATTCCCATGCCCATGTTCATGTTTGGCATCATCATACCGCCTCGACCGCGGTTGTTCTGGAAACCTCCACGCATGTTGCCGCCCATCATGCCGCCTCGATTGTTGAAGCCTCCCATGCCATTGTTGAAACCGCCCATCATGTTGTTGTTGAAGTTACCTCCCATCGCTCCTCCATTGAACCCGCCCATCATGTTCATCTGCGGGTTATTGAAGCCACCGCGACCCATACCGCTCATATTCATGCCGGCATTCATGTTGTTCATACCACCACGGTTGTAGCCACCACGACCGCCGCGGAAGCCTCCACCAGATTGGAAGGCGGGTCCATTGTTGTACGCGCCCGGGGCGACCACCTTGTTGCGCTGTGGTGCATCCTTCGGCGAGGTCTTGAAAGGATTGTAATCTGGTCGTACGTAGATGCAAGTGTGTTTCTTGACATATTGCTGGTCCGCGCCGAAAGAGTCGACACGATGTTTGAGTGCTGTTGCCGCCTGGGGTGACGCAAGCTCAACAAAGGCTTCTCTAGATGACCTTGTCAGCTCTGGACCTTTGCGTCAAGGCACGAGAAGTAACCCACCCTTTGCTTTTTCCGTTCACCTTATGCTCATTGAAGGTGACCTCTTTGAGTTCGTCTTCGCAACCGCATTGGTTGGCCCAGCCTCTGATGTCGTCTTCGCTGATCCACCACTGAAGCTCTCCTAACCTCAAAGCTGAGGTAGCTCCCGGATCCACTTCACGATTGTCTTCTCCCTCTTTGCGCTTGGTACCCTGTTCTGTGGGTGCTTGTTTTGGGGCGTTGTATTGGTCGGTCGATGAACCAGTAGTGCTGAGAATCTGTTGCTGCTCTTGTAGGCCGCTTGAATCGGCACCACCGTGACTTTTCTCATACTGGGCTTTCATCTCGTCGGGATCGCCCTCCAACTTGAGGTCATTGTCTATTGGAGGTTCCGTCTCGGGCTCATTGGGTTGTTGGCCGTAATTGGTACCATCGAGACCCGGGTCGTAGTCGATTTCTTGTTGCTTCTGGTCTTCCTCAGGCTGAGGCTCGGGTTTGAGGTCTTGCTCATCATCACCGTAGATGTCAATGTCAAAGTTGTCGTCGTCGGCCATGGCGAAGGACGTTTCGTTGAAGCGCGCGTTGTGGACCGGATGTTCGTGCGGTGCAAGTAGTTATTCAAAGCAAATTCACTAATTTGTGCCTTGGTCTGGAGACAATCAATCAGCAGAGGAAAGCATGTGAAGGATAAGAAACAGAGATCTGCGGATGAGGCAGAAGTAGACTCCCAACGACCAGTCACGTCGTTCAGAATAATAAAAGGCAGTCACTCTGGCATACGCCTCTGGCCGTTCGACATTGTCGTTTACTCGACGAACGGACGAATGGCCAAGTGACCGGTCGTTGTGAAGCCATGCAAGGGGACAGGTTGGTAGATGATGGCAACCATATAATGGCGATGACTGCTACGCGTTGATACGTACATGTTAACAGGCTTCAGCAATAGCGTGACAGAAAGTTTGTGAGACAGGGCTCTTTTCCCTACTGTGAGGGTACAGGAAATGAAAAAAGAAGAAGCGTCAAAACGATAAGTTGACCCCTCCGAAGGTTGGCAGAGTGATACAAGAAGTCGGATGAAGAAGAGTACGCTGCGCGTCAAGGCCTTGTCCGTGTATACAAGATGCTTCCCAAGTGATCGATGTCCTTGACTCTTTCTGTAACTCTCAATATCCTCCTCTCTTATTCAGCGACACACAATACGACGCCTGATTGCCTGTTAGCTGTATAGACGACGTCCTTGATCGTTGATGGACTCGGGCGACAGTGGTGGCAATCTTGCGGTTCGAGGGCGATAAACGACAGAGATTGCAAGAAACCGATCGTTTCGGAGCTGGCGACAAAGTGCAGCCGTGAATCGAGACGACTGGGATGTGAATGGTCGAAGGCAGAGTGTCCCTCGATCTCAGCCTCGTCGTGCCTTCCACCAGTTGTTTGCTTTGTTTGTTTCCCATGTGACGCAGCCTCGGCTTTTGGTTGATAATCACTCTCTCAATCAATTAACCACCGAATCAACAAGACTCAATCATTTCAATCTGCTCTCAAAATTACAATGCCCGACTCGTTCTCAAAGAAAACACAGTCTGCCACATCACCGACCGAATTTCAAGAAGATGGCGTCTTCGTTGCTCTCACACACGACACACTTGACGCCGTTGCTATCATGAATAAAGTTCGAAGTCCGAAAGCTGGAGCTATCGTGCTGTTTGCTGGTACGCCAGGAATATGTTTCAATACTCGACTATAAGTCTAACACATTTAAANNGGAACTACTCGGGATAACTTTGGCGACAAGCCTGTCGTGCATCTGGCTTACGAAGCATATGCTCCGCTCGCCATCAGGACCATGACCAAGATCGCACGTGAGATCAAGGAGAAGCACGGTTTAAATGGCGTGGCAATGATCCATCGTCTTGGTGTTGTTCCAATTGCAGAAGAAAGCATCCTGATTGCCGTATCGTCACCACATCGCCAAGCAGCATGGCGAGCTGGCGAGGAGGCACTCGAACTGACCAAGGAGAAAGTTGAAGTATGGAAGCTCGAGGAGTTCGGCGGTGAGGAAGGCGGTGTGTGGAGAGCCAACAGAGATGGCCAGGCAGGTGTGAAAATCAGCGGTTGAGATGATAGCCTGCGGATGAGTTGAGAGGGTTTTTGATGTACAGATTATGATACAGGTCATGACACATGAGACGGTGGGCGCAGGAGTTGCGCGGTCATTGATCGGTCGACAGAGGGTGGCGAGTCTAAGGCAGATGGAATGGACAACTGCCTGATGCTTCGAGTATGGCGCGCCTCCTCAAAACTTTGACCTGGTTGAGGACATTGGCGATCAGTTCTCCAGACCATCCTTGGGTTTCTGAAGTTTGGCAAGTCTCTCTTCCTCCTTTGCTGCCATGGCAGCCACAAGACCAGCAAGACCTTCAGCCATGCCCTTGTTGTCGCCACCTTCTTTCTTCTCCAGGAACTCCTTGACCATGTTCTCCATCTCCTCGTCTTGTTCAGCCTCTTCCAAAGCTGTTCGTTCAAAGCCCCAGGCTTTTCTGAACTTGGTGCGCATGTCTTCGGTATCGGTGACGTCCAGAGCGTACATCATGAATCCAGTACCCATCATAGCTGCACTAGTGACATTTGCAGTAGCGAGAACAAAGGCCTGAGCAGCTTCGACACCACCATTGACATTCTTGGGCTGATAGTTCGAAGGCGTAAACTGCCTGGGAGCATCGGCGAGCAATTTCCGGGCGACGGCTCTACGCGTGACAAGCAGACTCAATCCAAAGAAGGTGGCGCCGGCGAAGAAAAGTGACAACTGTCTGACGGCGCGTGCTCGCGGGTTGGTGCGCATCTTNTCCCGGAGCTCATCATCAATTGAGAGGAGGCTATTCTGTTTCGGACTTTGGCTCGGGAGTTGGCTGATGGTTTGTGAGATAGGTTGTTGTTGTGACTGTGGCACCGCCGGGTTCGCTGAGTCGGCCTTGGCCTTGTCATCTCCGCCAGAATATTGTGCTAGAAGATTTGAGAGGATGCCCATGTTGTGGATCGGTGGTGAGATGCGAACAAAAGAAAGAGCAATCCACCTTGATCGTTGTCGCCTTCTCCGCAAAAGTCGCCGCCAGGGCCCAGAGGCCTGTGCGCTCCACCACTTCCTTCCTCAGCCTCTACCGCATCCCTTGAACATTTCCGATCCCACTGCAAAGGAGAATAATTCTCACCGGGAGCTGCATCTATGCCAACTCATACTGTTGCTGCTCATAGGCAGGAAAATTCTTCACTGCATTAATGCCTTGATATTCGATATGTGTATGTCATATTCCATGGGCGTCTTGTCTGTTTTTAGCTTATGCAATGTGTACCCGACGTCAAGCCATCGCCTTGTACACAGCACTATTGCTTTCTGACTGTTTCTCTGAACTTTGTTGTGGGTTTGAGTTCCAATATTTTACTAATCCCACTGCACGTTGTATCCACAGAGTCCAGTGATCCATTTTCTCGATTCGCAAGGCCAAGTACTGTACCTTGGGTGCTTCCCGTGTCAAAAGAACAACCTCAGCATCCTTGCTAGGTCTCACTCGATATGCACCCCGCATGGTGCATCGGCCTGTCCCAAACATCTCCGCTTCTCTACAACCTCATCTGCTGCCTCGACCATTCGTGTCAGCGACAGCCTTGCCCATCAGCCATGGTCTACTCTCTGGCCGGTTTCCCGCATGACCACTCGTTTGATCAATTGTCCGACCATGACATAAACCTGCTTAACTCCCCGGTAGCAGCACGGTGGTATGCGCCTCGTCTGTGGGCGAACGAATTGTTGACGAGTAAGCACGGTACCACGGCATGAGTTGCAGGAACACGTTCGTCTGCCGCTGTAGCATTGAAGCTTCATGTTTAAGCTCTAGACCGGGACTTTGTACAAAGGCACACAGTCTATTTTGAGATCCCGAGTCATGTCAACCAATGTCTGCCGTCTCTACCTAACCATTTCAGTCAAAGGTCTGCGATCATGGTCTGTACTGCCGAGCATTCGAGCAACTGGTAGCCATGGTCCCGCCAGACCGCTTTCTATATACGTCTTGGTACACTGCAGATCGAGCCAATCGACACCATACCATGCTCATGTGGCTCTGCTATGTATCCTTCTCAGGTCTGCAGCTGCGTCAGTCAGCTCAATAGCGCATCCTCTGCCCAACATCGGTATGTACCATTGCGAAGGAATCGTATGTTGAGGTGTCCCAGGCATCCCATCGGAGCGGTCTATCACCACCTCGACGTCACCTATACCACTCGCGATATGCTCACGGTCTGCAGCTTGCATAGATGCAGCCGGTCAGCTCAATAGTCTCTCTTTCTGCCTAGATCGGGCATCGAGGTCCACTTCATCTCCAATCCTCATGGATGCAAGTCGAACGGACGGCGAAAGACACTCTTGCCTCCAAGATATAAAAGACTCCTGATTTCCTCGCTTTTGGAGTTCACCTCATCCAGACACGAGCAGCAATCCATACAGCACAAGAAGTTCAGCTTATCCATCATCAAGACATTATACTCTCGTTCTCAATCCGTTCATACCAACTTTATTCGCCATGCAGTTCACCACCATCGTCGCTCTCCTTGCTTCCAGGTTGGCTTCTCTGTATCCATGTGGTCTAGCAGTCTCTCACAATATCGCAGTGTTGCGGTCAATGCCATGCCAGGCGGCAACGGCTGGTCAAAGACCACTTCAAGTTGCATTACCAAGTCCACTTGCTCCAAGGCAACTGTCCCTTACACTTCCATCTTCACCAAGCCCGAGGCCTCAGTTTCCACTTGCGTGACCAGCTACCCTGTCACTCGCGTCGGTTCCGAGACTAAAGTCTACACGACAACCGAGGCCTCTTCTCAGGTTGGCGAGTCAACCAAGACGGTCTGGAGCACCGTCACCAAGTCCAACGTCTGGTCCACTTACACCGAGGTGAGTTATTTCCTTTGCCTGTTGTCAATCAAGCCATGCTTTCAGTGATCATCTGCTTGGATTCCTTGAGACCTTTTCTTACAAGTTCAACAGGTTTGTACCAAGCAGCCCATTGTCAAGACAAAGACCTGGGTCGAGACCAAGCCTGTGGTCACTGAAGTTCCCGTCACCTCTACTGTCTGGGTGACCGAGACCAAGACCACTTTAGTCCCAAAGACCTTCACTGACTACTCTGCCACCACTGAGTACAAGACCGTCACTACCGAGAAGCCTTACACCACTACTGGCTACAGTACTGAGAGCAAGTGCAGCAGCACCACTTCTTGGTCTACTTGGGGCTGGTAAACTCAACAATCTCCAAGCTGGGATTTGATGAGATGAGACGAAAGCTGCTGGCAGGTTCGGGTAATGTTTTATGACGACTGCGCTCTTTAACTGTTGTGATCTTTTTGTTTATTTCTTGTCGGTGTCGACACACACAACGCTCCCCTTTCTGTCAGGCAACAAACTATGCTTCCAGTTGAAATGTGCAATTTTATAGCTGCTTCGAAATACATATTTCTCTCCGAGATAAGAGCTGCCAATGTTTGACCCCTTTTGACACATCTAGATCAATAAAGTTGGAAGTTGAGACGGTCATTGCCGTATACAATACACGAATCTCTCTAGAAGATGATGGTCTAGAATTGTTAAAGCACGATGACTCAGAGAGTACATACATTCCCTTAGCAGGATATAGAAGCATGCTTGTTACTGTGATACCTAATGCTAGAGGAGCAGTCCTCAAGGTCAACTATAGATATATATCTGGGGAAATACATAAGCTTCTAATAGTATAGTACAGAGTTTCTAGGGAGCTAATTAGGCATAATGCTCCTCTAAATCTGATACCATACGTTTGAGATATCGTGCAGTTCCATAGCTCAAGAATTGCCTATGCGAGGTTTGAAGAGATACTAAGAATCTCCTTACACGTCATGACGGGAATGCATATCGCCGCGATAGGATACGTATCGCCGACGTCGTATCTCCGAGCAACGACATGTCCTATATCATGCGTCATGAGGTTATTCATATCCCTGATAACATTGCGTTGTGAACTACTACTAGTATCTACTAAATCCTAGCAATCGTGGCTGTGTCGAAGATATGAAGGTTAGCGACTTTAGGTCCTAGGCAGTATGGCAGGTAGGCCATAGAATTGGCAGAACACCCTAGCTATCGAAGCCTTAAAGCTCAGGAGAGTCTAATATGACGAGCTCCATCGAGCACAAGTAAACGTAAGTGTTATGGTAAGTAGGAATGGTTTATATATCCTTGAAATGAGGCCTGCCTTGCTTAGTCAAGTGCTAGGAGAACCCCTTGCTTTGCAAGAACACTCAAGTGTATAAGTACTCCTTCCGACCTTCATTCTTACTTTCTTACTACTTTAGATTCTGATATACTCTCTGCTTTGCCTATTGGTGATGGCAGACATCATCAAAAGGCATGCTATACTCCACAGGTAATCAGCATTTCTACAAAGAATGTTTGTGTTGTGCAGGAGGTACATATTTGCCATATGCCAAATACAAAGAGTATAGCAACATATACAAGGGGCAGGTCTTATTGATCATTCCGGCTGATTAGCAATCCCCCTGGAAATGGCTATTTGTCTTCGGCTTTGAGCAGCAAGAAATCCATGCTTCACCAGATATTACACCACACACCCAAGCAGTGTTTCGATCAACGTCTTGCGCATTGTCGATACAGGGATCTTAAGTGCTTTCTGCATTGTCTTTAGTCACTGTAGCTCGGTTTTGTGTCGAAACTGTATTGCAGCAAGTCCTCACAGATTCAACCAGGCTCAAGACCATACTATCAGAGATACCTCTACCACAAGTTGATAAATACTTTTCGGTCACATCTAGCACGATTCTCCATGCTCTAGAGTCTCTGATATCAGTTGGTATCATTGGTGTTCGAGTCCATATGGGGTCAAGTGAACTCCGTGATTTTTCCCAAATCATCACCACCTGTATCCTACCCACTATAGAACCGGCGTTAACGCCGACGCCGACGCCGACGCCGATAACGCCTCAAAGAGGCAGCCATCGCCATACTCATCCTCGAGGATAGACTATTGTAGATAGAGATAGATCTGTCCAGACCTTGAAGCCTCTTTTCCCCTGTGACTGAGATGAAGTGACACTTGATATCGTACTCTCTACCCTTCTCGACGCGACGAACGGCTATTCTCGTTCATCACTGCTGTCAGTTCCTGCCGCGGATCAGGCCGTGGGAGTTGCACCTACCTTCCGTGACCACTTCTCAAAACCAATCTTTTCCTCGCTTCGAGACCATCCTTTCTTCTTCTTCTCCCTCCATCCTCCCATCATCGTTCACCTCTGTTCCATCATTCGTACACACAGCTCTTCATCATTGCTTTGTGCTCATTGCATCCGCCGCATCTTGTCCTTGTTCTACACCTTGTCTCCGTTTGACATCTTCTCATCCATCGCCGACAAACTTCGCATCAATGGCTCCACCTTCGTCTATCGCCAGCGATGAGACTATTCCTCAACGCGCCAGAAGCAAGTCTGATGCCGAGATCGACTATTCATCTTCGAAGAGTAAGTTTCCACCCTTCGCTTTTATCTACACCATGCTCGTCATGCTCTGCGGCGTGATACGTCGCTTCGGCACGAGTCGAGTCAGTCTACCAGCCCATTGGGCCTCACTCTCGACCACTCGGTTCCCTTCCTTTTGCCCTACCCTTGCTCTTGTTATGACGCGTCTCCATCATGGAGCGCTTGTTTTGAAGAAGAGAACTTTACTTGCCTTTATAACCGCTTTCGCCTACCATGTCATTCTTCCTTCTCCATCATCAAACATACACGATCCACCTTACTGGTCTTTGTACCATGCTAACTCTTGTAAGTCTCCACCGCAGAGAACTCAACCGAACATTGCTCGTCGGGTACCCAAACCGACCTCTCGTTCGACGATGCTTCGTCCATCGGGCCTGCTGCCGTAACCATTGACGGCACGCACGACACCCTCGACCAGAGCACTGAGGACTACGAAGCAATCAGCACCGACGAGATCTCGGTCGCTAACCGGGCACCTCACACAGAGCAAACCTGGTTCAACGGTGTCTTGGTCACGGCAGAGAACGCGCAAGCAATCTTCTCGCCTGCGGCATGCATCTTTGTCGCAAAGTAAGTGGACTGTCCATATACACGATGACCTTTACTGACTGTTCATCCANGCCTGGATCGCACTCGCACTAGAACTGAGCTTGCGGACGAGGTCAAGGATACCTTCGAGCAGATCGGAGAGTGCTGGGTCAAGGTTCGCTTCGACAGAAAGAACATTCCCGCTGCCTTTGTGCAATTCAAGGTAAGAGCTCGGTCGAACTTCCGGGTAGTGACGATCTGTTGGCTGACATACATCTCCAGACAGTCGAGGGAAGCCATGGAAGCTGATGCCCGCTTCCACGGTACCCAAATCTCCGGACGTCCCTGCCGCATTAAGTATGCCAGAGCTCCACGTAAGTTGTTCTCGCCTTCGGTTCGATGTTTGACTGACCCGAGAGCAGGTACCATCTTTGTCGCACGCCGTGATCAGCAGCCACTTTTCCCACCTGAGGCAATGCACTACCTTCGTCCTTTCGGCAGAGTGGACCATTGGTGGACTCCATGCGTCACCGAGAGAGCTTTGTACAACCTGCCTGCCGGAGCTTTCTTCCGCTTCGAGTTGTTCCAGCCATGCCAGGAAGCTCTGAGGGTAAGACTTTCTCACTTCTTCGACCTGTCCATGTCAACCTTGCTGACCTGTCTTGAAAGGNCTCTTCGCGGTCACGAGACTCTCACCTTCACGCTCGCACAGGTGGAGAAGCGCAAGCCTGCTATCACCTCCTACAATACCATCCTTCCTCTAATCGTCCCTAACGCCATCTACGTTGGTGATCTGCCTTACCACATCGACGAGAACACTTTGCGCCTGATCTTCAGCCACTATGGTCCTATTACCGATGTTGAAATCCGCAAGACTTTCAGCAGTAAGTCGATGCCTTTCTCTCGCCATGTTTCAGTACTGACCAGTAACCAGAGGNGTATCGCTTTCGCTTTCATTTACTTTGAAAAGTCCAACGCTGCTGTCATGGCCTGTCAATTCCCTGTAAGTCAATCAGTCTTGGTCAACACATCGAGTATTTACTTACATCCTGTGCTCCAGTACGCCTATGTCAGCGGTGAACATCTCTCTCGCGTCGAGCCCAAGCGTAAGAGACACGTCAATCGCGGAATTATGCCTCAGATCTACAACTACTTCGACGACATGGACGGTGACATGCCCTTCTTCCGCGGAGGTCGTGACTACACCTACATGCCAGGCGACCCCTCCTACACTCCTCGCTCCATGCGCGACAACTGGCCTCCTTACTAGTGGACCACCCTCCTTGCCACCACATCTATGACTTTGATACTGTCATGAGATACCATCTTGCCAGAGTTATGCTGAGATGAAAGAGAAACAAACGTCAGCGTACGACGTTCCATGCAGCTTGTCCCGTTTTTGTTACTTTTGCATCTTCTTTTGCAATATGTTTCTGCAGATTTTCTTTCTCTCTTTCTCGCTTCGCTTCTTCTTTCGCGCAATGTCTTCCAGATGATTTCTGCATCTCACTGGTTGTAACATGTACACAAAAGCTCGGTGGAGTCTGGTTGCTGTTGTTTTCTTTCTTTCAGCGGTTTGCATTTTGCTATTTCGTTGCTTCGGAGGGGACTTGCTCTCAACTACACCACTGCACATATTGCTAGAGAATTTAGCTAGACCACGGCGATGTATCAAACTCAAGCTTGCTTCTTCAAAACCTGTTTACCGTCCTCTCTCCATGTTGCATATGCCTTGGGCATAGAGCTGGGTACATCTGCAGTGAAGCTTCAGTTGTGCAAACCATTGCGGGACAGCAAAGTAGCAAGATTCCTCTTCAGATTACATGCCATCGCTTGCCTTTGTAAAGCCTTCCGGTCGATCTACCGACGCTGCCCGGGCACGATCACCGTATTTATAGCTAAGGTTCGCATGACAGGAACAGACAAAGCTGAGTGGTTGTCGGATTGCAGGAAAGCAAACACAACAAGACGTTTGTGGCAACGAGACCGGTAGCACACAACAAGCTGTAGCAGCTCTCAGCGGGCACAGTCGATGTCGACAAAATGGTTGCGCATCTCGGAGAATGTAGATAGAGCTATCACGTCGACCGAAGACCAGAGACAGAGGTGCAAAACAACGGCAGTTCTTCGGCTCAACTCATCATGGCATCATTCATTTCTCTTCTTTCGCAATCAAGCAATTATTTTTACTCAATCTCTACTCGACTTCTGTTATCTTCAACTCTGTCTTTGCAGCCTTGACACCGCCCGACCATTTGTCATCCTTCTTTTCCCACTCGATGGTTTGCATTGCGCTCGAGCGCAAGATATCGGCTTTGAAGCTTGCAAGGCGTTTGCATTTCTCGCCCAGAGCTTCGACCTCGGCTTTTGATGGGAACGTGTTCTCGAAGGCTTTGTGCTTGATATCCTGAAGNCTATAGATTTGGTCAGCGAGGTGAATATAAAGAAGAAGGTAGGGTATTCGAACAGCAAGGAAGTATTGCAGGCTTGGGTTTGCGACAACCTCGACTTGCTCAAGGTATTCGAGCGATGGCAGGATGGAGAGTAAGTCCTTCTTGAAGGTCTCGTGGTTGTCGACTTCCAATGTCGCGTTCAAGACCATTAGCGTCTTTTGCTGTTCGAGGATTGTGCGGAGTTGGTTTGGAGTGAGGGTGAATAGTGTCGAGTTCAACACTCGCAAACCTCTGGGTCGTGTTGCTTCGTCTGTTAAGGCTTTGACGAGGGTAGACCCAAGTGTCCTGTTTAATGCCACGACACCGTCTTTTGCAGCTTCTTCAGCAGACTTGTCGGCATTGTTCGTTGGGTCCTCTGGATCGTCGGTCACATCGGCATCGCTGACATTGAATGCTAGAGTGACCAGTCCAGGCCCAATCAATCTGCTCAACTCAGTCGCTTGAATCTTTCCCAAAAACTCTGGGTCAGAATGCTGAACCGTATAGTTGATCTCCAAGAACATCAAGCCTCGTCGCGCCGTCTCTTCTTCCGAAGAGTATGTCACATAAGGCCCAATGCTTTCGAAAAACTTTGGCTGGGCAAACACATCAAGAAGATGCAATGCTCGCAATCCAGGCAACTTCTTGAAAAACTCCACGCCATCAGCTTGCGACTCCTCCGACACACCGCCAAAAAGCTGGCTATATATAACCAAACTCTTGAGATTGGGCAGACGGTCGGCTAGTTGACTCAACCATCCCACAGGATATCCCAGTGTAAACAGTTCGAGAGTGAGAGATTCGATGCTAGGCGGTAACGGAGGAATGACAAAGGATTGCGAGAGCAGGCTTTGGTAGTCGTCGAGTTTGATATCGGAGGTCAAGGTCAGAGCTCTGAGACCACCGGCCTGAGGAGGAAATTGTGGCAGCGAAAAGGTTTGGAGTGGGATTTGGGCTCCTTGGGCTTGTGCTGGATCCACCTGATCACTTTGCGGTATGTTGTTGTTGTTTTGTCCCAGAGTCGCCATTTTGTCTTGGTATATTCCTTCTCTTTTACGGTCTTGTCTGCGAAGTCGACGAACAAATGTTTTGAGAGGGTCAAGCTTCCTTTTGTTCGACAGAAAAATGTCAATGGTTTCGGAGAATTGTTAGCTTTTGAGTTTATTCGGTGGGAATCATCTGTATAAATAATATGGACTACGGAGCTGCGGACAAAGGAGGGACAAATTGTGGGTACGCGGGGTTGGACGCGGGGTTCTGTACAATTGACAAGGATGTTTGTTGGCAGCAACGTGATGTTGCAAGTAGCCTGATACCAATGCCTAGAATGTCTTGATTATTGTGAGAGGGGTTGGTGAGGGGTTTGATCCTTGCCCAGCTTGTCTGCTTGTGACAAAGGCTTGGATGAAGATGTCAATTCTTCAGCTTCGGAAGCTTGACATCTCTCCGGACCACTAACCTGCCCGAAAAACTTCTTGTAATTTTGCAGTCTTGCGACATCCAGTTGTGAGTGGGAGATAGTTGAGAGGCTGAATTCAACGGGCATACCAACTTGCTCTCACGAGGTCGCCGTCGGCTAAACGACATCGTAGATACCGCCGGTCAATGACTATCCTACACCTTCTGTTCGTGCACAACATCAAACAACTCCTTAATATGTATTGATTCTTCTAGGAACGTGCCTGCCCGTGATTGCAAGGTCGCATTGTACATCGGGTTCGATCAAATTCCATCACCAACAGGACAACCCTGTCCATAATTTCATCCATCGTGAATAAACGCAAAGTCTTCTCCCATCTTTCGCGCAAGACGAGCGAAGTAGATGTACTTTGGTCGACGAAGACCCGACTCGTGAATCTCGGTGGTTCGTAGGTCCCAATAGTTAAGAACCAGAAGAAGCGGCTGCTGAGGCTGCTGCGATCTTGGATGTCATAAGCCATTCATCAGAGTGGTAGGCGAGAGCAAGGAGCCTCTTCGTCAAAGAGATTGAACCTGTGTCTGGACTGACGCTTTTAAATGATGCTGACGATGCCTACTTCGAATTGGAGCTTCAGTTGTCGTTCACATTCACATACGAATAAGTGAATGAGTTATTGTGAGACAAGATGTTGTGTATACTCTCAAGTTGTAGACCGGCGGAGTCAACCTTTCCCGTGAGCTGGAGCTTGAGAAGTATGACTATAAAGATGCACAGTAATTTCCAGGAAACAAAGCATGTCCACTGAGAGCCTCCACATCAGGAGATCTCATTGGACACATGTTCGAATGGTAAATCGTTGTGCATTTTGATAGCTTACCTATCACTCTGCATTGCTCGAAGAGAGTGAGAGTAAGATGTGTCGAAGTCTAGATAAGTCGTGATAGGTAATTTTCGGAAGCATGTTTCGGATGTGGATACTTCAATATGGAATGGGGCGTGAAATACAATCGTTGAGTTGACAGGAACCAAGGGTCTTGATAAGAAGTATAAGATCGCGCTATGTCCCCTATCAATTCCCGATAACTGAGAGACAAGGCGTGTGTAGGGCGTGTCAAACAATGGCCAGTAAAGAGAAGTGTCAGTCGGCTATCAGAAGTGTCTCCAGGAATTCCCACATGTCGGACGAGTTGTCGGACGAGCCTATCGAGCTGTCGGATGAGCCTATCTCTTCCTCAACCAATAAAGCTTTGCTACTTTGGACATGTGTGCCAGCACATCCGCGGCTTACAGCACAATTCTGTCTTTATCAATGGTAGGTGGAGGCGGAGTCGGGTACAAAGTGGATTGTAGATAAGGAAATGGCAGTGCTGTAGTAAACCATGACTCAGCCCAACTCTTTCCAAAGTTTCCCGAAGTTTGCCGACTCAGGTTCCCCGCCGGTTAAAGCATCAGGGTTCATAGAGCGCCGGCGGCTCCTCCCGAGGTAGCTGTCTAGCCCCACTTTGAAGCAATCGCACCTTGCATGCAACGCAACGACACGACAATCCTACCGACAATCGGCATCTGATAGAGTATGTCGAAGCGATACCACAAGGATATACAAACGGGTGGGATGCAATGGCGCCAATTGAGTTGGGGTCGATATCGACGGGTTCCTATGAGTAATGCGGAGTCGAAACCCTGAGAAGTAGACAAATCCAAGGCGATCGCCTACTCCTCTCCCAGAGAGGTGTTCGTGCTTGCCCGCTCTCTAACTTTGTAGAGCTTCCAAACCTATCACCTGAACTCCGCCGACTACACGGTTGACAGCCTCGCCTATCACGCCTATCTCAATCGAACAGGAAAGCACATTCCAGATGGAGGTCATGATTCCACCCCAGCAGAGTGATGTGCAAGACAGAGCTCGAGCCTACAAGAGCAGGAACAAACGTCCTTGTGATTTCTGCCGCTACAAGAAGGCCGCTTGTCACCTTGAGACCAAGCCCNCCTGTGAACTATGTCTGCGTTATGGCAAGGACTGTACATTTGTAGAGTCTCCTGCGAAGAGACGACGCCCCAATACCAACGAAGAACGTCCTCGAGAGCCCTTGTTGCCACCCAGCAATGCCTTTGATCTTGTTGGAAGTGACTTGCTGAGTTGGGAGCCCTTGCCATCTTTCATGACTGCCAGCTTACCTGGAGGCCTACCTGGAGAGTACAAATTCGATTCACCAATGTTCGCTCCGTTGATGTTTGAACAATTCGATCCAGTTCAAGCAGGTCTGGCACCACCATCAACTCGATCCACACGCACCCCAGAGTCTACAGCGTCCATCCCAACATCCTTTNTCGACAATGCCCAGGAGCCCTCATTGGATGTGCAAGGCTCTAGCAATGCTCAGGTCGTTGGACTGAGCGGCGAACGAGACCCTTTCCTACTTCGCCATTTTATCTGTGACGGCAACAACGAATGTCAATTCCAGAAGCACCGTCTAAGAAGAGTCGGAGAGAATGACAAGGTCCCCGTCCATTTTCTCATTCAACCAAATGAGTTGGCTACGAAAGCTCAACCCGCTGGAGAGCTCGGCATGTCAGACAACTTCAGGAGGGAGGTTAAAGAGATGATCCATGACAATATCGGGAAGAGGCTTATCGGGATGTATGTCTTCAGATGCTTGACCTTTGCGACCTACGTACTGACCAAGCNNAGTTTCTTCCGTTTTGTGCAACCGTACTTTCCTATCCTATCTCGAGAACGCAGCATGACGAACGGCGAGTATGATCCAGAGGTCTTCCCAACTTGGCTGCTTGCTGCCGTCTATGGACACGCACTGCCGTTCTGTATCTTCGACGATCAGCTTTGCGTCGAGGTTTACACTCCACCATCTGCCGACTCACTCTTTCAAATTGCTTGGTCAGCTGTACAACCTAATTATCATACTCCTTCGCTATCTGTCGTCCAAACACTTCTACTCCTTGTCCAGAGGAGACCGACAAACAAGCATGTGGCCGATACACCAGTCAAATGGACAATGGTGACTGACGCTGTTTCTATCGCACAGTCTTTGGGCCTTAACCTCGACCCAACGGACTGGCCACTACCTCTATGGGAGCAGAGACTCAGAAGAAGATTGGCTTGGGCCGTTTTCACTCAGGAAAAGTGGATCGCTCTAAGTACCGGTCGAAGCTCACACATCGTATCAGACGACTGGGATGTTTCTCCGCTGACACAAGACGATTTTGAGTTTGCTGAAGGCAGCGACGACCGAGCTTACTCGGAGCATTTCATTCAACTTTCTACACTCACAGAGATTGTGGATGACATCCTGCGTAACCTCTTTTCGATCAAGGCAACCAGAAAACTCTGCGACTCTCTCGACATGACGCTGGAAGTCGCTAAACCTCTGAGAGTACGTTTGAGCCAATGGTACCAGGAGCTACACCCGGATCTCTTGCCAATAGCAAGAGCTGGACATGGGCATAATCTAAATGCACAGGGAGGACTGCACCTAGCCTACATGACAGCAAAGGTCCAGCTATTTCGTGCTATGCTTCGTCCAACGAGCGAGCCTGACACGCAAGCAACAAATGCATTGCGAACCGGAGCTATAGCCATGGGCAAAGAACTATTCGAATTCCTCGAGAGTCTAGACGCCAACCATATGGAAGCCTTCTGGCCATCCTGTAAGTCTGATCCAAACCAAGGGTCAATATTTCGTTCGAAAGAGACGTACTAATGATGCTTTCCAGACTCTCGCACCAACTTTGCAATCGCCAGTAACTTTATGGTTTTGTTGTTCGTCACTTCTCCAAATACGGCAGATGCAAAAGAATGTCTGGATCTGCTCAATTCGTGGAGGAGTCTGTTGCGTATCAAGGCTTGCAGTTGCGATCTACTGAATCTGGCGTTGTTGAGATTGGATGTTTTGTCCGTTCGCGGGTTGGATAAGCTGATCAATTTCTCACCATCTGCTCTTCAAGTTTTTACGGAGCAGACGGTTTAGGTAGGTTTGCATGTTTCTCACGATAATGATTATGGCTTTATGTTCTGGGTCTGTTTACGAGGGAGGGTTGTGCTTTTCAGTCATGTCAATTAATCAATGCATCATTTTGTGTTTTCCATCAACGACTCTCTACTCGTCCCAAACAACACAAGTGACATTTCCACCAGCAACCCATCTAGCCACCGGCTTGCCCACAGTGCCCAAAGCAACATCCCTCTCAAACACAACAACACTCTTATCATACTGCAACCCCACAGCCAACAAATCTCCCCATTTGTTGAGCGAAAAGTGTCTCGGGAACATTCCTCCTGCAGGCCAGAGTTGGGTATGTTTGAGCGAGCCATCTTTNTGTAAAGCGAATGTTGAGATCGAGTCTGAAGGGACGGAAGTGGTGTTGTGTGGCGACGGATTGGGGATATCAAAGGAAGTGTTGTTGCGGTTAGAGACGATGAGGAAGCGGTTATCAGGCNNTATTTTTGACGGTTGTGTCAGTAACGGGGATTCACAGAATAACGGTAGAGGTTCAAGAAGACTTACAGAAATGGCAATCTCGGCTGCGGCATTGCCTTCAGGGACAACAAGATCGCCGTAAGAGGTGGTGTTGTAAACCTGCTTGAAACTCATGCCGCCGGAAGAAGGATAAGAGACTGCAAAGGAAGTGACTGTGTTTGCCAGCTCAGATACCAAAAACATGAAACTTGTCGATTTGCCTCCAGAAACACCATAAGGCTGGTAAAAAGCGACATGTCTAGGTCCCGAGCCAGGAAGCACAGAAAGAGGCTTCTCGGCAGTCAATTCGTCGGTTTCAGGGTCGATGGANAAGATGCGGACCAGATCTGCTCCCAAATCTGGAACGATGACGAATTGACCAGTAGGATCGAGAACGGCTTCATGCTCATGAGGTGCATCTTGTCTCTCCGCATTAGGACCAGGTTTAGTCAGGTTAAACAGTATATCCTGCTCAAACGCAAATCCTCCAGTACGGTTGACATCCAACTCCCAAGTGCTGAGTGCGCTGCCAGAGTAATGTGCCAACGCAATAGACCGCTTCTCAGCAGGATTGCCGTAAATCACACCACTGACAGGACCGCTGATGGTTTGTTCGCGGTGGACTTTGGTCAGGCTGCCGTTGTTGCCGATGGTGAAGGATGTGAGGGAGCCATTGGTGACTTCTAGGCCTTCGTCAAGACAGTACAAAGTAGCATGGTTGGTGTCGAGAGTAAGCCATGATGGGTTGGGGGCACAGCCAGGGTTGGCAGAAACCTTGGTTAAAGAATAATGGCCATCGTTTTCAGTCAGAGACAGAGTAGAGACATCGCCAGAATAGTCCGAAACGAAGAGGTTGGTGGCAGCAGTGACAGAGGCCGCAGCAACAAGCTGCAATGAGCGGACAAGCATCTTTGCGAAAAATACTGAAGGCAAGGAAAGAAAGATCGAAGCGAAACACAGGCGGTGTCACCTACCTACTTATACCGGCACAGAAGCTTCCGGCGCTTGCTAGCTTCTACATGAGGAGCGCTTATTGTGACTAGCAGGCTGACGCAAAGTGCTGTTGACATGATGCATTCAGCCGCCTGCCTGTAACAAGAATGATGATGGAACACAAGGCGGAGTGAGGTCGGAGCGGGGGTGACAGCCAACCGATCCGCCTTGGTGGGGACGTGCATGGCGAATGATGATCAACGACTCGCGAGCTGGCATAAACAAGGTTTCAATCAAGCGATGGGTCAAGGGACAGTGGAAAGCATGGACTTGGTAAGATATTTCATAAGTACTGTAGCCATGGCTTTGTTTCTAGAGCTGATACGTTCTGCTGTAATCGGTCCATTTCACTCCTCGGCGAAACAAGACATGATGAGACCTCGGGGTTTCTTTAAAGGGCCTTCTTTGACTGGTCTCTGAGCTGGGCAGTGGACTGATTGTCGTTGCTTCTAGACTCGAGATCAGCAGCCCAAAGAGCAGCACCAGTGGTGTTGGTGAAGGCGAAGAAGACGCCAGCGATGGGGACAAGCTCCAGCAGAGTAGCAACGGTACCGAAGCCGGTGTATGCGCCCTGTCTCTTCTCAATCCACTCTTCCTGGCGAGCCTTGCTCATACCCTTGAGCTGGAAGTATCTGGCGTGAGCAGCGGGACCAGCGCGCTTGCCTTGAAGAAGGATGAACATGACAGTACCAACAACAGGGATGAAGTTGAGAGGCAGGTACATGACGTATCTGATGATGGCGCTGGGAGCGAACTTGGCGAAGGGCTTCGTGACGAGTTTGCCCAAGCGACCGATGGCATCGCCACCGCGACCGACCTTGCGCTCCTTGGACACGAGTTCGGCCTCACCCTTGGCGACCAAAGTGCCATCGAAGGTGTCAATCAAGCTTTCCTCAACGAGGAAGGTCTTTGAGAGGGTGTTGAAGATGGTGCTGCTCTCGTTCAGACAGAGCAAAGCGGCATTGACGGCAGCCAAGGGGCCGTTGAAGACGGCAAGAATGGCAGCTTGAGGGAGGTATCCGAAGAAGAATACACCGGCGAGCGTGGTAAGACCGAGAGCGATGGTTGGGAGGAGCTTGGAGGCGAGAGGCTTCCAGAGCTCGCGTTTCGAGAGGAAGTAGAAGATGCCCTAGAGCAAGATTAGTCTGGCTATCAGGCGAGGGCTCATTGACATGGAAGACGGTACCCTGATGGGATAGAGGTAGGCTCCAGACTGAGCAGCATCTTGTGCCAGTTCAGCAACTCTCTGCGCTTCCTCGCGCACTGTCTCCTTGACTTTGTCTTGTGCTGTCATTGTTGTGGTATTCAAGGTGAATGGTGATGTTTCGAATAGAAGAGATGATGCAGAAACTCTTGATTTTGTTGTTGCGAAGGTTCACTGTTGCATCGCGTGCCAATGACAATCACTGACATCATTTCAGCCACAGCTGGAGCTGTCAGCCACACCATGCCCCCCGCACCTCAATTGCACAAATTATGCAGACACCTCGAGTAAACTTGTCTACTGTACCAAATGATCATGATTATCATCAAGAACATCCATTTGTCGTGAATGCTGACTATTTCTTTTTCATCCTGTGCATCTTTCCCAAGGCTCTCTGTACTCCAAGCCTAGAGCATCAAAAACATTCTTCTCTGCCTGTTCCATAGTATCTGCCTTGCCATCTACATCCACGACATCTCCAGTCTTTCTATCCCTGACTCCAGAAGAGTCAAACTTGTAGTCGTACGTCTGTCGAACATAGCGACGAAGGTCGCGTTGGAATGTCGTGCCTCCTGACCACCCCATGACTGCACAACCCACTGTCTTCCAAGGTGCAATGATAATGTCAACTCTGCGATGAGGGTTGGGGTTCTTCTTTNNAGCATCCGAGGGATCAGGATCAAAGTTGGGATCCTGCCAGACCACAAGTGCCTTGTCCAATGAGTCGAAGCCATGACCGTGGGATGAGNNGGAAGAGTTGAGAGGAAGTGTCTGCTGCGAACGATTACTAGTCGTCGTGCTGATCAGTAGGGTATGTGTAATCCAGTTTTCTTCTTCCAAGCTCGCCACGACATTAGTGATGACGTTCAAGGTCTGGTCTTCATCTGGGTGAGATAGGATAATATCCACATCCCCACAGTTCTCTTTGCCTCGCCGGTAGCCACCGACTACTAGACTTTGCATCCCCTTGTCACGAACCTTGACGGCATGTCGGTGGATGGTTGAGGCGATATCCTCGACTTTTGAACGAGGAATGGGGAGCAGAAACTCGTCATAGAACTTGACGCCAATCTGCTGGACACGAGTCAATGTGCTCCAGCCGTACTCAATCACATCATCCAGATCTCTCCATCCTTTCTCCTTGTAGAAGTCTCTCGCTGTTGTAGCTCCCACTCCCCAAATGTTGTAGAACAGCCTCTGAATCTTCAGCCCCTCATCGTTTTCGGCGTTTTCTGCTTCTTGGATCTTGCCGTAATTTGCAAATTCGACATAGAGATTCGCTATTTTGGCGTCGCAACCAGGCAAGTACAATATCTCACGCGCGGTGCTAAACTTGTAGGGATAAGCAGCCAACGAAGCGATACTGGTGCTGTAGGCTCGTACACCTATCTCATCGCCTGTCAGCAATCGAGCCAGCTTGATCTTCTCGAGTTGCGCGATGAAAGATGCGTTCGGTGAGTCAGCTGGCGTCGACCGTTGACAGGCGTACTTGACCTCGTTCCGTACCCATGGTGGCATCTCTGGCAGATCTCCTGACTGACCCAAGTCATGCTCTGAGGTTGTTTGGTGCAACAAATGCGCTCGTTTTGTGTGCGGTGTAGGCTGGAAAGGTGCAGAGACTCTACCTCCGCCAATCTGACCAAGCTTGCGGTTTNNGCTGCGCTGCTGAACAGGTGAGGATATGTTCGCCTCCCCATCTGCTCTTGCTCGTTCGAGAATCGATTGAGGCGTTTTAGATGGAGCTGAGAAGCTGGAATTTTTGACGGGTGTGGTGGTGTCATTGGGTTTCTCGACGCGGCGTCCTTGGTAGAGTAGATAAGGCTCTATAGGAAGGATAGTGCTTTGTTGCCGACAATCAACGAACCATTGCAGCCTCAGAACCTTGATGTAAGGATTGGAAAAGTATCCTTCATTCAGGTCTCGATTGGCTGGAGTTTGCTTGCGCTTGCGCTTGACCGGCCTTGACTCGTCCTCGGTTTCAGATTCGGTGCTGCCATCGTGGATATTTAGCTGGTCTATGTCATTCTTGCCAGCACTTCCCACTTCAGAGATCCTTTGCTTCTTAACATGGGACTTTTCCGATACATGGTTCGAAGTACTGGTATCCTTGACTATCTCGACCTCTTCAGTGTGGCATCCTTTTGATCGCAAGTCCAGCTGGATGCGCCTCTTTCGTTCCGCTTTGGTCAGAACAATTTTTGCTTCCCTTTAGGTCGTAGAAAGCAAGCCTCCAGCTTCAACGACATCATCTTCCAGTTCATGTAGCTCGCAGGTGTCCAGATGAGATTCCGAGACAAATATGGGTGGTAAAGATGAAAGTTGCAGAGTCGGCTTAGCCATTGGATCTGAGGCCTCCTCCGCAGCAGGAACTGGTGGTGGAGGAGAAGAAGCCATCCAATGGGGGGAAGACATTTTATATTTGAGGTGTTGTCGTTGGCGACTACAACACGTCGTCTAGGAGTTTCTACGGGTCTCGGAAAGATGTTATGACAAAGACTTGCTGTTGGATCAATGCTTTACTGCTAGCAGCGTCTGGTACAATCATACTTGTTATCGATGCAGAACATGTCTTGCATGCAGGAGGGTGGAATGTGGATGGAACAGTCCCTAAGGTCAAAAGACGTTGTTGTTGGTGACGCGATGCTCGGCTCAAGCTTGTCCGAGCCGAAAACAATTCTGAGACTGCGACAAAATAATTCAAACCTTCAAAGCTACCACAGGCGACGACATAGAATCGCAACAAAATGGCAGCGAAATTTGTAGCGCGAGCGGTGTTTCCGCCAGTCGAGTCGCTTCCTAGATCGTACTTCTTGGGCCATCATGCTGCCGGTCTCTCCAAGATGAACACGCTGCTATCGCAGATTGACCTGATTGTCGAGTGCCGTGACTACAGAGTACCACTAACCTCTCGTAACCCCTTGTTCGAACAGAGTCTAGCAGGTCGCGAGCGCATCATCATCTACACCAAGCGCGATTTGGGCAGCAACAACAAGCCCGCAGATAGAGAGGTCAGTCCACTTGTCGCAATCTGCTCAGCCCCTTCTGACACAGTGAAACAGAGAGAGGACATTATTCGCAAATGGCACAAACCCTCCGAAGTCTTGTTCTCTGACCACAAGGACAAGAAAGATATCCGTAAAGTCTTGGACTTCGCTCGCCGCTACTTCGAGAACAGCACCTCTTTGACTGGGTCGCGCATCATGGTCGTCGGTATGCCCAACGTCGGAAAATCGTCCTTGCTCAATGCATTACGAAAAGAAGGAGTCGGANAGGGAAAGGCTGCACACACGGGCGCACAGCCAGGTGTAACACGCAAGATTTCAACAAGCGTCAAGATTATCGACAGTACCGAAGATGGTGAGGGCGTCTATCTGCTGGACACTCCTGGTGTCTTCATACCATACGTCCCAGACGCCGAAGCCATGCTCAAGCTTGCGCTGTGCGGCAACGTCAAAGACACGATTATCCCTCCTGCCACTCTCGCCGATTACCTCCTCTATCGTGTCAATTTAATCGACCCTAAGCTCTACAAAGAATACTGTCCGCCCACCAACGATATCATCGAACTGCTCAATGCCATCGCAAACAAGACCGGCCGCTTGCAAAAGGGCGGTGAGCCGGATACTGAAGCTACCGCTCTCTGGATGATTCAACGTTGGAGGAACGGTCTCTGGGGGCGCTTCCTGCTCGACGAAGTCACCGAAGACGGCTTGCAAAAGAGAATCATGGAAGAGTCGAGCATGGGTGGCAGTTTAAATCAGGCACGACGAGCCGACAAGGAGGCTCGAAAATTGCGCAACATTAAGAGGCATTCTGGAACCAGTGAGTGATGAGCTGTGGTACTCGATCACAAATCGTTATACTTCATCGCGAGCCCGCAATTGGAAAACGAGGCTCAGCTGGCTCTGGTCCCTACGCTGGACACTCGAAGCTGAGTGTGTTCATGGAAAGCAGCAGGCAGGTTCACGCTGTTCATCCCAAGGGCCAGCGCAATGACCTGAATCAGGAAGGTACTCGCGGATACGAAGCTTCGCAGAGATCTGCAATCTGAGCTGCCATGCATCTGCAGATCCGGGAGGTTTTAACACGTTGAACCACATGCCACGAGCCCCGGTAAAATGCTAAAGCGATACTCGCGACGGGTAAAAAGCATTGCAATGTCAAGCCCGTAGCACCGGGATGCCATTCCGAAGCCAGTCCTTCGAGGTTCTGCGAAGATTGTCCTTCTCAATGAACATTCCGCATACAGAGGGATCTACTATAACCACAACAATACAAGTCATACCTGCAGTCAAAGACACTCGAATCATCAAGCTTTATTTCATGTCGAGCTTGTCGGCCGTTTGAACTGAACTTTGTCGCAAAGCCGCTTCCAGCCAGAACGCCTGAGGGGCAATCCTTCGGAAGCTGCACTTCAGGCAATGATCTGCTTCCGAAGCATGCCATCATTCTTTTCGAACCAACATCCATCACTCAACATCCTTCAAAAATACTCATCGACGACGTTATCTGCTCTTCTCACAGACTGGAAATCCCTGCGCTGGACACTGGATCTGAAACATGGATTTTCTGGTCGGAACATTTTACACGCCTAGACTATTTACTCTGCGCTTCACACCAAGCAAGGACATTTCAAAATCTAAATTGGAAGTAACGCACACTTCCGAAGCCATAGGTGGACACTCCTGGCTCTCGATATCTCCAGATAAAAAACATCTTTACACAACAGTTTGGGCATCTCCTCCTGCCGTTGCCGCCTACCGCATCGAAGCAAACCACACCTTCAAACCTCTAAATTCAAAACCCGTTCGCGCAATGAGTGGCTACGTATGTTGCTCATCCACAACACTCTACTCAGCAGGCGGACCCACCGGCGAAGTGTTTTCTCTATCTTCTGACGGGAGTATTGGTCCCCTTCTTCAAACCCTAGACTTCCGAAACCAAGGAAATGAAAACGACGGAGCAAGGACCGGTGTCGCACATGGAGATTTCGGAGGTTTGAGACATGGTGCTCATTCAGTGGATCTCTCGGCGGATAGGAAATCGCTTTACATTGCTGATATAGGACACAACTGTATCTGGAATTATGCTGTTTCTTCCCCCGAAGGAACACTAGAGCTGAGGCAAAAATGGATCGCGAGTAGGGAAAACGATGGGCCTAGGCATACATGGCCACTCACGAATGGCAAAATCCTCTATTCGGTTCAGGAACACAGTTGTTTTGTCGACATCCTATCAATTTCGGAAACAGGGACTCTGAACTTGATCTCCGGGGTGAGAATCATCCCAAAAGACAAGGATGAGAAGAATTACTGGGCCGATGAGGTGCGATTAAGCAGACCTATATCTGGACAACCGAGATATCTCTACGCATCAACGCGAGGACTAGAAAAGGAGACGAAAGGATATGTTGCAGTATTCGAATTGGATGAAGATGGTTTAGTGCAGGGAGAGGCAATCGATATCTTTGAGACTGCGACGAGTGGTGGCATTGCTAATGCTATTGAACCCGCGCCTATGGTTGAAGGGCAAGAAGGTGTCGAGTACTTGGCTATGACGGATAGTCAGGAGGGCTATGTGTTTATCTTGGCTTTCGATGGAAAGAAGATCACAGAGGTTACGAGGACGCAACTAGTGGGAGAACACGGANAGGCCTTAGCCGCTGCTACAGCGGTGTGGTTGTGATTAACTTTCGATCAGAATATGAAGCATCCGAATGCGCGTTATGATAGGAATCGTGTAAGAATACTGTTCATCAGGTGCAGCAACTGCCTTGTCTATCACACCGTATCCCCAAGCAACCAAAGCGTACACAATGCCCGGCCGTATTCGTGTGCGTATCTCGTGTATTGCCCCTCGGACTCCAGTCACAATGCCTCAACCTTATCATTAAACATAAGCCATGATACTCGCACTCTCTACCTCGCCTTCAGCTAACCATATTTGTGCTCTGAGTGCACCATCAAGCGACGACAAATATTGCAATCCTTCCTATAGCCTGTCTTGCAATCCTTCCTATGGCCTGTATGTGTCAACAGCTCCGCTGAGATGATCCACACGGGCCTCCATGCCGTCCAGCTTGCTGCGAAGGATCCTCACTTCACGTTGAAGCTTATCAATCAGATTGAACAAGCCGTTCATGTCGCGAGCAGAGACTTCATAACGGTCGTGGTTTTGATACCTGTCTTGATATTTGTCCTCGGTTCGGGAAATGTCATAATGTGAGTCGTAGGCCTGGCGAGCATCGGCGTCGTGTCGGGTAGATCGTGCACTGTCACCATTTGCACCGCTTCGCTCCNNCCTTTCTGTCACTGATCCTGGCACGTGGATTGGAGAATAGTGGCGTCCATTGGCGGAAGCAGGTGCATCGAAAGTAGGTCGAGAGGGGGTAGCATTTAGGCCTCTGGCTCCTTCTGGGTAACCACCGCTGTAACTTGACAATCGTGGTCGCTTGGCTGCGATCTCAACTGGTGGACTGCGAGAGTCATCGTCATCCATATCATCACGTTTGCGAGCGCTTCCAATCTTGAGAAGTGGGAAACCAGTTCGCTGTTGNCTATGAAGATGTCAGCTGTCATCCAAGGTTCATTACAGAATCCAGAAACTTACATGAGACTCCCTAGCTTCTCTAGCATGTGAGCACCCACTCTGCGTGTATGAACATCGAACACATCCAGTCTTATCGTGGCTGTTTGGCCGTGTCATACACGCCCTGTTCTGTCTCTCACACGTATCACATCTCGGGTTACGTTCCGTACCATAGCGCATGCCCTTGGAAGCTCTAGCATGACGAGGGTTGTCCTGATCCAGAAGATTCCACCAGTAGTCGTGTCTTTCGATATCGAAATCACCGTCATATCGCGGAGGCTCCGGTTCAGCATCACCACCGATTAGTAATTCGTCGATGTCGGATTGTGCATCAGCATCGGCCGAAGCGGGATGACTTCCATTTGAGAGCTCCGCATCAACTTTGGTTCCGGTGTTCTGATTTTCTGTGTCTGGAAGAGGTTTTGCTTCCTTTGCATTGGCCACCGACCAAGTCGGCACTTGAGGGCGGGTTTCGCTATTCAGTTCGGCTCCCGCAGGCATTTCACGTGAACTGATCCGGGGGTCCGCCATGGTATTTTGCTTGGGTTGTGATGAACCGTTTAATTGATTTTGATGTGCTGCTGCGAGGTTNATAAGCTTTAGATCCGTATGCGACAAGTAGTTCCGCCCGCATACCGGCTAAGAGTTCGTGAGCAAACCTACAATTATCTTCTCCCTGCGGTCTTGAATATGCTTCCATTTATCGATGGACAGCTGAGCGTTGATGATGAAATTCGAGGAGATAATTCAAGACAGCAGCAGACGAGACGAAAGGAGGCGAGCAAGGGGAAAGCGACGGCGGGGTCGGCCTTTTGGTTGCAAAGGCAGGCGCGGCCCGGAGGAGTGGCTTCTNTTCTGGTGCGGGTGGGAGCGTCGCCAGTCAGCGTCGCCAGTCCCGAGCGCTCCGACGAGGCATCGACCTGTCCTACAGTCTCGCTGGACGTGATTTTTCCTTCGGATATCATTGATCGTGTTTCTAGCGATACTGTGTTCTCACTCTTCATTTCCTACTCAAAGCGGAGAGCTCTCCTGGGGGAACAGATGGTATCGGTCTTTAGCNGGTTCATGGCGCGTACGGGCGGTNCTCAGCAACTTCCGGCCGTTAGCTGCATCAGCGAATGGATCCCCAAAGACGGCCCANGCAACAGGCAAGCACGCCCTTGGCGCCACGGAGCAGGGCAAAACCAGGCCAAACATAACACTCGGATACCCCTCGCACATGGTNTCCAAGTTCCGGCTGTCTTGTTGCGTTGTCGCAGCATCATCCCTTGCCCCTCGCTTCGCTGAGGCGGTGAATCTACGAGGATTCTGGCTGTCGGCGTCCGCCTCCGTTCTCGGCCCCAGCACACAACATGCACGACGGGCACCGGAGAATTTCAACGTGCTACATGACAAAACACATGGCCACGTACTTTTGAATCGCGCTACCGAGGGCCCGGAAGTTCTCATTCACAAGGACTTTCTATCATGACATGGCTGCAATGCTTCCATCAACTGTTGTCGAAACAGAATCCCGAGGTTCTCCACGCGAAGCTTCGCTATCCACCGGTATCTCGTCCTGGTAGAGCATCGTGAAGTATCGCGCCAGCTCCCGGACGCTGCACGCTGCACGGCGTGTCGGGCTTTGCCGGCTTGTTGACCTTTCATTTGGCCGGCGTTCTGTCGTATGGCAACGTCGACGGCCTTTCAGCGCGGTGCTCTTAAACCCATCGTCCTCTTCAGACTCGAGTACTCATAAGCTCCGGGGTTATTGTGAGTGCACCGTTCGTTTGTATCCTCTGGAGCGACTGTATTTTGCGAAGTGCTCTTCATATCCTGCTGGCTTCTTTCTGGTCTCGACGCGTTTTCGCAATCATCGTGATCGGCAGAGTTGACAGCGATCTCTTGCATCTCGATGTCGTCAATTTCAGAGTCTGGTGTGTCTTTGTCGTTCACCGTCTTGTAGGCGAACATGCTTGCAATACCAGTCGTTGCGAACCTGAACCACCAGTCCAGCCACCGTGTCTTCTTATCAACGGCAGGTGGCTGCCATCTTCTGGGAATAGTCATATTGAGCTCTTAGCCTGGTACGTTGCTATAAGAAAGTTGGCTGAGTGTATGGTCAGCTTTACAAAGTTCTTATTCGCGCTTCAACGACATCTCGCGGATGACTCTTATAGTGGTCTCAAACTTGCTCATGGTGTTACTGATCTATGTTATCACTAGTTTTACCGATAACGCTACAACATATGGAAATCAAGGAACCATATCGTCAGTCTGAGATCTCGGGATCAGAGTCTAGTCTCTTAGGCACTCCCTTCTCCACATCGATCGGATTGCAGCCATCTTCTACGGCTTGCTTCCTCTCAACTCGGCGCAGCAGCACACTAGGATTCAAAACTGCCAAGACTCCCATAGCAACAAGCATGGGCGCCGCATCCAGGCCAATGACATAGCCTTGTGTTGTGATGAGTGGGCCAGTCCAGCCTTGACACAATTCGATGGAACGATAAAAGCCTCTCAAGTTCATCATTGTGGTGCTGATGACAATGGCAGTGCATGCCAACAAGAGTGGTCGACTAGCCTTGATCTGAGAAGCTCCACGTGGGAATACGATGCACAAGAAGCCAGCGAATACCATGCCAGATACTAGTTGCGCGATGATGCCAACCACCATGATGGTTGTTCCAGTAGAGGTACTGGTGCCTGAGTCGAATGCAGCACCAGCTATACCACCACCGATAGCTTGGAGACTGAGACATACACAGTCAACACCGAAGATGACGAACAGGTAAAGCTTCGGCGGTACGGGCGACACTTCTTGACCCAGAATCTTGATGATCATCCACAGCGCAATGTAAACACCACTTTGCGTGTACGCAGGTCCCATGATGAGCGATGCGATTTGCATGGTATTGACCTCGCCCGAGTAGGAACAGGAATGGGCAACAGTTCGACCAACCCAACCGATCACTTCAAGAATTGTGCCGGCGCTGAAGAAAAGACCCATCCACCAGCAGCGAGTACGGAAGGTTTGGATGACGTTTGTACAAGTGTAGAGGCCGAAGCAGATGCTAAAGAAGATTCCTGCGGCGAGAGAGGGTTGGTAGCCATAGCTCGTCGGGTAAGTACCGTAAGGGGCACAAAGCGGGATGTATGGTGGAGGAGCCATAGTGACTTTTGCGATAATGATGGTTATCAGATTCAAAGGATGATATAGTCAACAAAGAAAACGACCAGTATCCACAGCATCCTTATATACAGTTTCTTGTGCGCGCAAGTAAAATGCATTTCTTTGTGGCCTGCGTCACCATGTATATTGTATACAACCTTTTTCGACCTCGCAGTGCGAGAAGGATGCCGTCGCAGTCGGGGCCCAAAGAGGTATAGCGCGGCAAGCATGTATACCTCAATTCACCTGCTTGGCTATATAACGAGAGTTCAGCCTCCTCTAAAAATAAGTAAAAGCTGTGTATAAGATGTAATAGCTAGATCGCGATCGCTAACCCCTATAGTCGTTGACAAGATCGCGTATACCAACGCTGCCAACGTCGTCATTCTTTTAGACGCTGGTGACCAGCTTGAGCCTTTAACCAAGACAAGTGCAGGTCTATTCTTTACAAGTATTCTGCATTGAAGCTTTCACGATTGTTTCGTTCTGTTGAATTATGTCAAGTTCACCTTGGAAAATGGAGTTGAGGAGGTGGTTGGTGTTTGAGATGCTCGCGAGAGTTCACCGATTTCGTCATAAGCCGATCATTACCGCTTTCGACACGACTTTGCGAGCTCGAGAAGTTCCTCCGTCTTGTGCCCTTACCTTCTGCTTCTTCTGCTGCCCTTGAAAACTCTTGGCCTCTTTAAAACAAAACACATTCCATTTGCTGCTTGTCAGTCTTGTACAGGTATGGTGCGAAAGTGTCAGAGAGGCCCTCAACTGAGTATACGCATGGAGACCGTGTTCTTGAAGGATATAGGTTGTCGTTATCTATTTGAGGTCATAAATCATAGCTATGGCGATGCTCTTAGGCCTTCATCATCTGGATGAACTTGTCTGCCATCGCATCGGCAGCCATGGGGTTGGCACCGCTGACAACTTCGCGGTCGACAGTAATGTATCCGACCTTCTGAGCGATACCCTCAACCATCTCAGCACCCTCTGCACGCAGAGCACTCTCGACCTTTGGAATTTCAGCACCTAGCATTGTCTCCATCATAGCCTCCTCCATGTCGGACCAGCTGGTGAGCTTGTAGCCAGCATACAAGAACTTGCCACTCGATGCCTTGGTCGAAAGGNNGAAAGCATAAGGTCCATGGCAGATAGTGGCAGTAGGCTTCTGCTTGCCATGGAAGTGCTCAAGAATACGTCCCAGCTCCTTGTTATCACCAAGATCGGTCAGAGGTGCGTGGCCGCCAGGAATAAGCACACCACGGAAAGATTCGAGTTCGTCGTTGCTGATGTCTCTGAACTTTCTGGTGAGGGAGAAGCCGTTCTCCTTCTTCATGCGCTCGAGTAGTTCGTTTTCACGGCGGCGCTCGTAGAAGTTTCCGGCAAAGGCGAGGAGGGATTCACTGTTGGGGTCGGGGACTGGCTCCTTGCCTTCTGGTGTGGCGAAGGTGACTTCATAGCCGGCGTCTAGGAGCTTGGAGAGAGGCTTTGCGAGTTCCATCAAGAAGAAACCAGAGGGTTGTGAAACAACCTTGCCTGCATCAGGGCCAGAGGTCTTCTTCATGTCGAAGTGGTCGGCATCCGAGAGGATGATGAGGACTTTNTGGGAAGATGCCATAGTTGTTGGATTGTGATTTTGTGTTGGAAGAGGAGAGGTGTGATTAGATTCAAGATAGAAAGATAGTGAGAGTAGAGAAAATATTGCAGAGATGGCATTTTGTACCATGGTGTTCCGCGAAAGTCCACGGAAGTCACGATGACGTCGGGCTGATTGTGAACGAACGTATCCAATTTTCACGTGCTGTGGTCGTATTCGAGTCATGATATACTGACTGATCGACTGTTTGTATGATACAAGCTTATATTACAAGTGCGTGAGGTGTTTCTATTCTCTGCTGTCACCTGTGTTGATCTTACGATATGCGTAAATGTGGATGAGAAACCATTGGACTGAGACTGAAATTCATTGCATGGAAGATATCAACAGCAAAACTCTTTCTTCGCATCGTGTCGGGCCCAAAAGCTTAAGGTTTAACAAACAGGTCCTCCAAGTGCTTCTTTGAAGTTTCAAAATGATGATAGACCGACAATTGGGCTGTATATCAGCGCGGAAGGGCATGGACAGGGTTGTACTGACAGTAACTAATTCTTCCATCAGACCAGTGCGGACGTTAAATGGCATGGAATAAGTGGAATATTGGAATATTCCACTGATTTGAGGTAGAATATTCCACCTAGTTGGCATGGAATAGAATCGTCAATTTGAGTGGAATATTCTACCATTCCACCACTTGGTATAGCTAGTGTTGCTATGGTTGATGATAGTAAGCCTCAGCTTAGAGTGTGCTACGCTTGGGCATAGCAGTCGCGTTCAAAAACTTGCTATGACGCCTTTTCCGATTAGTAACCTATCTGAGCTCTCTGATTGGCTAGATCTTATCTCGGAGATTAGATCGCGAGCTCCGACTAGCTAATTCTTTATTAGCTTATACGAAGCCTCGCGCGTCCTTTTCGACGCGTCTTAACTGCTCCCTCTCAATTCATCAACCATCCTATCCTCCACCTTCTTGCTCAATATTAGAGCCTAGCTCTTTGTCATCTTTCTATCTTCATGAGCATATGATCTACCTTTAATTACAATCCTTGTATCATGTATTCACCAGCTAATCAAGAGCACAAGTTACAAGAGCCACAAAGCCAACCAAACTCTCGATTATCTCAGAGCCAGCCGCTATACGCCTCTAAACAGAGTACCCTCTTCAAATTCGCCTCTAATACTCCAAGGCCTAGACTCTTCGCTCCTCAGAGTCAATTAGACAGTATCTTTGTTGAAGGCAACAACTCTGAGACTGACGATAGCGCCTCTGATGTCGACCAGCCATTGTTTCCTCCTTCAAAGCGACGACGACTACTGACGCCAACAACCGCTAGCAACCACATTGATGACTCTGAATGTACGTCAATACAGCGCTCTCGAAAACCAGCTCCTACCCGTGGCGATTCTGAAGAGCTCTGGTCTCATGCTAGAGCTCGTCGTCCTGGAGAGCGCGAGCGTGAGCGCAAGAAGAAGATCTGGTACTGCTTCTATGGCAATAGAGACTGTCCTCGCAACTACAACACCACCAACTACGACAACATCAGATCACACCTTAAGAAGAGACATGGCTGGAGACAGGCAACTGGTACACTTTCAAAGATGCTAGCAGTAGCAATACCCTCTCAGACATCATATACTATTGCCAATATCGACAAAACTCGCTTGAATCGACGTCTTATCGATTACATCACCTCAAGCAACATCCCCTTCCGTACTGCTAGCAATCCTCTACTCCATGCGCTACTTGATGAGGTGCTTCCTGGCGCCTCAAAGCTCTTGATCAAGAGTCATTCTACTGTCGCCAAACACGTCAAGAAGGAGCACGACTTCTATCAAGAGCAGCTCAAGGCACTGCTTGCAACATCTCGATCATTGATCCACTTTACCTGCGATGCTTGGACAGCCAATTATGGTAGCCATGAGCTGCTTAGTATCACAGCTCGATTTGTCGACTCAGACGGCAAGTTAAGCAAGGCACTGCTAGCTCTCCATAAGCTGTCAGCTGGCCATGCTGGTGCTCAATGTGCTCCTCTATTCTTTAATACCATTGTTACCTATGGCATCGAGCAGAAGATCGGATATATCACCTCTGATAATGCCACTTGCAACGATACTATGATGAGCCACCTTGCTACTCTATTTAGCGAGCGTCTGTCTATCGATTGGGACCCTATACAACATCGAACTCGCTGCTTTGGACACCAGATCAATCTTGCTAGTCAAGCACTCATGTCAGCGAGCTCAACAGACACCATAGCTGCTGTAATTGATCAGAGTCAAGATCCCTTAAAAGCTATCTCAACGCTCGCTCAAGGCACTGGCCTTACTGATCATGAAGCTCTCGACTACCTCCGTCAGTTTTTCGAGTGGATCATGAGGTCAGCTCGCCGTCGTCGTGAGTTCAAGGCAGCTGCTGGTGTATCTCCTATGCTTAACAATACCACAAGGTGGAATAGCTGGCTAGCCATGATCAAGCGAGGGATTCAGTCTCGAGCAACTATACGTGCTATTCAGTCGGCTAACGAGCATATGGAGCACACTACTCTTCAGCGGCGCCACTGGCAGTTCCTTGAAGCGCTTGTTGACTTTATGGAACCATTGCAGGAGGTAACAAAGCTATGTGAAGGCGATAACGCAACTCTTGATCAAGTGCTTATATCAATGGACTTCTTACGCAAGCACTATGAAAAGTACACACAACAAGATGCTTCTACCGACCAAGCCCTTATTGCCGCAATCCGAACTAGCCAATTTGCACTTAATAAGTGGCAAGCTATCAACAACTATACTCCTGCCTATGCAGCAGCGCTCCTCCTCCATCCAACTTATCGCGAGAACTATATCAAACAACACTGGCCTCCGTCATGGCGAACACCAGCTATTACTGCTGTACGCGCTTTATGGACTGCTAAATACAAGAACAAGACCAAGCCTATTGCAATAGCACCATTGTCAAATGAAGAGGAGTCGAATCAGCTGGCCAAGTGGCAGGCTTCTATACGGTTTGCAAACTCAGTTACCATACCTGAGGAGTTTGTCCAGTTTACCAAGAGTCCTCCAGTACTCGTTGATGATGCTATACAGTGGTGGCTTGAGCCAACGCAGCAACACAACTATCCAAACCTCTCTCAGATGGCTATTGATATCCTCTCAATCAATCCAATGTCTGCTGAGTCAGAGAGGGTGTTCAGTGGCTGTAGAAGGACACTGTCGTGGGACCGAGCAAGCCTCTCTGCTGACAATCTTGGCTATATTGAGTGCCTCAAGAGCTGGCAGAAGAACCTTTGTTTTGACAAGGTTGACCTACCAATTACTACTAACGAAGGACCGGAAGATCACGTAGAAGAGCTGGAGGATGACGTTGAAGGACAGGGTGACCTAGAAGAAGGACAGGGTGACTGCGACGACGACGACGGAGTTGGAATTGGCATTATTCCACTAGATAATTGACATGGAATGGAATATTAGCTAGAAGTAGTGGCATGGCATGGCATGGAGCCGAAATTCCACCGATTCCATGTAACGTCCGCTCTGCATCAGACGCGTTTCGATCGCGTCTTTCTGATGACGTTCAACCTTTCCTTTGTAAATTCCTCTAAACCAAGGACACCATCTCTCAGCGAGGCAGAAGATCAGAAAGTGGATCTTCTGCCAAGGAGAACCCACCACGCAGTCGATATCGTACACAACTCCGACTCTTGCTTCGATTTTAGGCCCTTCTGTCATGGCTATATGTGACACGAAAGTCCATCTTCTTCACGATGCGATCCTGGGATCCATGACTCTCGATTGAGTCAGAGTCTTGTTGGGTTTCTGCTTGCGTGTCGAAACGATTCATAGGTAGTGGCGGTGGAGGTGAAGCTTCTGTCAAAAGAAGCGACTGTCTGGTTTTGTTCAATGAACGCAGCTTCGAAGACTGTCCGGATCTAGTACTCCGGCTAGCGTTACTGACAGGCACTTTTGCGCGAGTACTGAGGCCGCTCGCGGCACTCTTCAAGGGCTGAATTGCTGTCGCGAGAAAACTGTAACCCAACAGAGCGATTTGCCAGTAAAGTGCGGATCCATACACGATCTTGGAACTGTGCCCCGAACCAATGTGGTGATTGAAGGCGATAAGGAAAGAGATCGAAACCGGTATGATANNCTGGGAATGTCAGTAAGTATGGTAGAAAATGGCCAAAGGGCTTACTGACGGCAGTCTCATGCCGAAAATAGTTATGACGGCGATTTTATGTTGTGTTCTCATGTTCAATCCACAGAACAGATAAATCGACGACAAAAAGACGAACAGCTCGATCATGATACTGAGGACCACTATTGCCACGAGACTCTTGGCNCTGCAACGATGTGAGCGATGTCTACGAGTTTTCGCTCTTCCTCTTACACTGTGACTGCAGACCAATGACTGAGGCTGTGAACAGCGGGAGGCCCAAGCAGCGGCGGCGGCGATCGCCCAGATAGCGGTAACGCCAGAAACACTAGCAAACACTGCGAGGTGCTTCTTATCCCGTGTGGTACCTCTGCAGATAATCTTGTACAGCATCGCTACCGTCGACAATTTCGAGAGACCATCTGCAACGAAACACAAACAAGAACTGTTCATGGCCAACTACGACATACATCAGTTGCTGCGGTCTTCGTAACCTGGATTCCCCTTACTAGANGCGATTCGGAGGGTTTTCTCTTCTGGCAAGCCGCTATGTGAGATACCTAGTCCATCGTGGAGCGCCTGATAGATGCACCCGAACGACGCCATGGCCAGAATCTGAATCGGACATCAGTCGCGAGAAATGACATACAGGAACTTCTCACATACGAATGCAAGAATAAGAAGCAAGTCCTCTAGCCCGCACTCATGGCTTCGCACCACGAGGCGCACGGCAAGCGCTAGAGTACAAAGGATGACTGCCCATGTAGTTTCCACCCACAACCAAGGTGATGCATTCAGATCGATCAAGCGTCCAGTCATGGTATGAGAATATTGAGGATTTGAGATGAACCAACATAGCGAGGTTGGTGAACCTACGTCGAATGCTATATCCTTCGCTACATCACGCTCTGCCCGGGACAGTGGTTCATGACATTATCCAATTGCAGAAGGATGTTGTTGGTTGCCACCGTGCCTTGATCTCTCGACTTTAGGTCATAGCATCTTACACAGGGTGTTCTCACAGCCATTCAACAGCGCGCATATCGATGCATACGATACAAGGCTTGCAGCGGCGCCAGTGCTGTCGAACTTGAATAAGCAGTCTGCAAGCCACACGCATACAAACGACGTGGACATGCCCTGCATTATGAACTTGTGCAGGGGCATGTCGGGGAATGATTTAGACATTGCTTTGTCGGGATCCTAAACATCTACCCAGCCAATGCGGCGCATCGGACAGCGACGTCGAGAATTCCATTCACAGATCCATCCAATCGAATTGCCCGTAGATTGTGTCGGAGATGAGTCCAGTACTGTTGGGTGTTGTGGCAATCGCGTGATGTTGATAGTGTTGAGCCGCTGCTGTTTTGAAGAGTGGGGTGAGCCATGGCTTCGGTACTTGCTCGCCATCTTCCGCTCCCCATCCGAGCTCCTGCAGACACCCAAATATGCCAACATAATGGCCCCTGGCCATTCAATCGAGACCCTGCTGTAAACATGGCAAATCAAGAACCGAAGAATGGTGAACCCGAGCTGGACCAAGTCTGTTCCCGGCAACGAGTGATCCTGTCGAATCTCCTCGCGACATACCAATGTCAGCTTCGTCATTGCTGCAGCTCTTCACGAGTTGGTAGAATGATAAGCATTGAGTGCCTGATGTCGAATGCCACTGCACCTCAAAGCCGCTCTGCACGTCACGCCGCACAGCCTATGGAGTTCTAGTCGAGGCTTGCATGCTTGTGGGTGTGCAATATAAATCAAATTGGCTCCCTCTGGAAAAACCTTAGCACTTGATGCTTGACCCAGAAGACTGTTCGACTAGCATCACGGACCTTGTGGCACGAATGTAGAGCCGCGCCAATCACTTTCTCAGACCATGTCAAGTACAGCCTGCTCGAGCACTCTGTGTGTTAAGCGAGGCCTGGTCCTTGAGATCGTCTCTGATTTTTACCTTTCCATGAGTTACACTGTGTCAAATGGGTGGCGTGTTCAATTCCTTAGTCATGTCTTGTGAAACCAACGCGGCAGTGGAGAAATGTGGCAACAGTCCGAGCAAATCGATATCTATGTATATAAAGCTGTTAGTATTCATTCTTCGAAGTATTTTGTTCGGCTTTTGCGACCAGCGGAATCTTTGGTGTACAGTCGCTCAGAATGGTAGTCACCAAGCGTCATGGTTTCCAGGAAGACGGCTCTTCCACCTATCACGATTCGTCTATCGATGATAGGGATATGCAGCGGATGGCACTTCCTCCAGAGCTTCGCGTGAGTACTCAAGAAACGTGCAGTCGTCCAGAGTCATTAAAGAAAGAACAGCGTCGTTTCAAGCTTGCCTCTGTGATTGGCTTTGCTTGCATATCCGGCGCAACCTGGGAGTGGGCACTTGTGTAAGTCTTCAACCGTGCCATACAGACGAACTCGTCCTGATGTTCTTGCGTAGATNCAAGTCAGGGCGGTTTGACCAATGGTGGTTCAGGAGGTAAGCCATCTGCCACTTTCAGAAGCTTTCGAGACTGATCATAGNCAGGTGTGATCTGGATCTTCCTGGCCGTGATGATCGGCATGTTCACCGTGGTGCTCTCCATGGCCGAGATGGCGTCGATGTACGTAGAAACTTCCATTTTTTCTGGAACAAAAATTGATAAAGCACAGANNGCACCAAGCGCTGCTGGACAGTACATGTGGGTATCGGAACTTGGTCCTCCCGGAGCGCAGCGTCTGTTGAGCTATTTTGTTGGTAAGACGACTTGATAATACCTGAGAAGGGGGAGATGCTCATGTGTTGCAGGATGGTTCGCCGCTATAGGATGGCAAGGTGCTGCTGCCAGTAATCCTCTTGTTCTTGCTCAACATGTCGAAGCCCTCATCGCCTTGAATAATCCGACGTTCGAGGTCAAAGGCTGGATGACAAGTCTTCTTATGATCGCATGCGCAGCTCTTTCAACTTGCGTCAACGTTTACGGCATCCGCTTCCTGTCATCTCTGGAAGCAATTATGCTGGCGCTCCATGTTGTAGGATTTTTCGCAGTCCTCATTCCATTGTGGCTGATGGGTGAGCGAAGCAGTACACACGATGTTTTCTTCACCTTCGAAGATAATGCTGGATGGGGAAGTATCGGTACAGCTTGCTTGGTAGGCCTTTTAGGCCCCATTATGACGCTCATCGGAGGTGACTCGACAGTGCATTTGGGTGAAGAGATCAGAGACGCTTCGCGGACCCTACCCCTGTCAATGGTGTTCACGTCTTTGATGAACTACGCTGTCGGCTTCATCATGACCATTACTGTCATGTATGTCTCGTCGACATTCGACCAGACGATTGCCGACGCGACTGGGCAATTTTATGTGGCGGTGATATACGCTGCCACTGGATCAAAGACCGCAACAACCATTCTCACCGTACTCATCTTGGTACTGTTTTTCTGTACAGCCATCAACACAGTCACAACTTCCTCGCGTCAGCTGTTTGCTNTTGCTCGTGATGGTGGCTTGCCATTCTCGAACACTCTGGCGAAAGTTGACTCTAGAACTGGATTGCCAATCAATGCACTACTCACGACATTCGGTATTACCTTTGTCTTGTCCTGGATCATCTGCGGATCGAGCATCGCTTTTCAGAACATTACCTCGATCACGATTGTCGGACTTTTACTTTCGTACGGCACAACGATCGCAACTATGATCTACCGACGATGGAGTGGTGTACCAGTGCCTGCAGCTCGTTGGAGGTACCCGCAGGCCCTTGGCTATCTAGTCAACGTGTTAGCCTTGTGTTTCGTCACGATTGCGTTCGTCTTTGCATACTTTCCAACTGCGCCAGACCCTTCTGCAGAGTCGATGAACTGGAGTGTAGTAGTTACCGTGGCAGTTGTGGTGGTTGCGACAGTTTATTATGTCATTCGCGGGTCAAGCACTTTTGAAGGGCCAGCGGTCAGGATGAAGAAGGCTGAGGATGACAGCATGGTTGCCATGGAGGACATCATAGTTCACGGAAAATAGAGATGAAGAATGAAGAGTGGCAGGTACAACAACGGTCTTAAGAAGGAGCTCATTCTTGTCAACGCCAGATTCGGTCCTTGATCATGCTCATGTTTGCAAGAAAATGGGAGGCGCGACACAATTCCGACGGAGGGCTGTTTTCCGAACCGAAGTTGCCCCGTTGCACCTTTTCCGACATCTCCGCAGCATTGACCCCTCACGCGTTAAACCATACACCATGAGTTGCAGGCATGTCAGGATCACGCAGCCGCACAGGCTGCATGGCATGTCGACGTCGAAAAAAGAGATGTGACGAGCTTAAGCCAATCTGCCAACGCTGTCAGGTATCTGGCGTGTCTTGTGTTTATCCCAATGCCAGCGGAGCTTTCAACGAACGATACCTTATCTCGTCAGCTCTTGAGCATTACACCGTGCCGAGCATCCCGTCTGAGCGACACTTTATCAATCTCGGCCCAAAAGATATTGCTCATCTGTGTCTGAATTATGGTCCATCAATTGACTACAGTTTGAACGTCGACACTCTGACTGACCGAGAGATCCCGAGGGCTTTGCCAACGACAGATGCTCTGATAGATGTGTCAGAGGGACAACTACTTCAATACTGTAAGTGTCAAACCAACTTAATGATAGCATGAACTCTCACACTTCGTGTAGATGCGGAAGTGATCAGCGCAAGCAGAGTATATGTCACTGGAGACGAGAACCCATTCTGTTCTTTGACCATGCCAATTGTATATACCCGCCGCGGCTCCTTATTCTATACGATCCTTGCATTGAGTGCAGCCGAGATGGCGTGTCCAGAAAACAGCTTTCCTAATGGGCTCATGACCAAAGCTTCAGCATACTACGACAACGCGATCAACAAATTACAGCTGTCGCTAGCTAATCCAAACGACGCAGAAGAAAACATTCTGACCTGTGTACTCTTGTCGTCTTTCGAGATCTCCAACGGACAGCGCCCTGCCTGGCTGCAGCATCTCAATGGCGCTGTGGCCATACACAATCACTTTGCGCCTTTCATCAGTCAAGAATGTGCGCTTNTTGCTTACCAATACTTTGGCTTCAGATGGATACTTTTGGAGACGACCATGCCTCCAGGAACTTACCCCTTGGAAGAAGTGACAAGTGCAACGTCCATGACTGCACAACTCTTGCAGAACCTAAGCGCAATGCTCCAACAGACTATCGATACAGTACCCACCGTTGCGATGCAGAAAATTGACAACAAGCTCGGTTGTTCGTTAGAGTATCTGCAACTTGTCAACAGGATATCGACGCTGTCAGCTCTCAAATATCACTGTCAAGCAGACGAAACTGTCGCAGAAGAGACATCCGACCTATACTCTGTGACGGCATTGGCATTCGACGACGCTCTGCGTGATATGGCCTTTGTCGCTCAACTTGAAGATCACTATCTTGAGCATAGTAGCCGATGCTTCAGGCTTGCAGGTAGAGTTTACCTTCGTTTGATCTGCCTCGATGCCAGCCCCACTCAGTTGGCTTTGACTGACATGCAATGTGATTTGCTCCAAGCATTGCGCATGGTTATCAACGAGAACCAGAAACGACGAGCCTTTCCCATGTGGCCGTTGTTCATCGCTGGTTGCGCGTCTTCTGATGATGAGCATCGAAAATCTGTCCTCGATATGTTCCGCACACTGGACAGGAAGTGGCCTATCAGCAATATCTCATATGTCCGGAATGTTACGAGACAAATTTGGCAGAGTCGAGACCTGAATGGAGTTGATAACAGCCAGAGGCATGACTGGCAGACGCTCATCACAACATTTGGCTGGAAGCTTGCTTTGTCTTGAAAGCGATGATTTGCATCTACCCATTGGCCGCAGACTCGCGCTCGCCACTTGAGATTCCGATATCCAAATTGTCTTCAACGACGCACAGATAATGAAACAGAAATCGTGATGCTGCATATGAAGACTAGCTACAAACGCGCCTGAAGACCTCCTCTCCTGGCTTCATCAATCAGCTCACTTAGCTCCCTCGACTTTCCAATTCGCCAACTTACGCCGTCACCCCAATCCTGGCCTCTTTCATCCTTAGTCTTCCAACGCCATCTATCTATGTTCTGCCTTCCGTTCTCCAGTAACTCCACTACCCACTTACCAAAGATTGGCATCATCTTAAACCCATGACCCGAATCGCCGGACAACACAACGACAGAGTTGTTCGTATCTGGCAGAAAATCGATACAATACTCAGAATCGCTGGTATCAGCGAACCAGCACAACTTTTTATCTACAAAGGATCGATCTGCCATCCATGGAAACGTCTCTGCCAACAATGTACGCAGCTTGATCTCATCGTCAGCAGGTATAAAGTCTTGCGGTGGTGGTATTCTATCCATCGGTGGTAGCGAAGTGCCCTCGTTATTCGTATTGCTGAAACCAGCACCAAGAGGACATAGCTTGAACAACCTGGTGGCAGGATCTGGTTCGAAGAAGAAACCGAGGTCGCGGACGTTGATAACAGGAAGACCACGCAAATAGTCACACTCTTGCTCGGTGAGTTGGACGTGAGCGACGGACCAACTGCGCGCAGTGACGAAGCGGCCCATCTCTGGAACCAACGAGGCTCCCCAAGCTCCAGAAGCCACTATGGTTTTCGCTGCAGAATGTGTGATGCCGTCTGCTGTGCGTACGCCAGTGCATTTTCGGTCGTTGCCTTGACCATCGTACACAAGCTCCGTGACGGTACCAGCTGATCGACCGAGGACGAACTTGATACCCAGGGTTGCGCAGTGCAGGAAGATACCCTTGAGAGCGTTCGCAGAGTGGGCGTATCCAGCCAGACGATTGAAGTATCCTGTGAAACCCTTGAGCGGCCCTGTGATCTGCCAAGCATACTTCTTGAACTCGTCGCCGTTGTCTAACGCTTGTATGCCGGGAGCAAAGACTGGATGCTTGGACACAGATGCAAGCGCTGTTTCGAGACTCTTATTTGCTTTCGCAAGAGCAGATCCTGAAGTCGCTACGATGTATCCAGTTTCATGATAGTACGGACCAAACAAAGGATCTTTCCAGGCTTCAATTGCTTGCTGAGAGGAGGTCAATTGATCTGCTCTCTTCAGCGATTTCTCAATCAAACTCACAAGGGCAAGATCTGTATAGAAGCTTTCTTCATATTCTGCACGGACGATCTTGTTGATGTCGTAGGCCGCAGAGTAGCGAGACGGAATTGAATCAGCAGTCTCGAAGACAGTGATGTTGGTGTAACCAGTCCGGTGGAGATGCAGAGCAGTAGAAAGACCCCAAGCGCCTCCACCGACTATTGCAATGGACTCGGATTTTGACATGATGATCGCGTTGAGCAATAGAGCTGGATAAAGTGAAAGAAGAGTTCAAGTCGAAGGAAAGCTCACATTGATGTCACTCGAAGATGCATGCGTTTATCAAGCGGTAGCTATGTACCAGTCGAGATGCCTTATCCGGTAGTCATCTCCATCTGGCGATAGGTTGGCTAGTGAATCCACTCGGAGTGACAAGTCCTTGCGCATGTGCACTTCGTGTCAAGCAGACGGTTAGCGTAGCCGCACCCCGCAACCCCACCAAGGATGAATACGATGGTGTCTCAAGCGTTGCCGATGGCTAGCGTAGCCGCCATGTTGGAGAGCTTATCTCGGAGATACGCTCTTGCCAATTATGCTATGGCTCTTGGGGACCATCCATTCATCCATGTTGTTACTCCAGAGCTCTCGATGTAGGAGACACGCTATTACTACAGGATTTGGGGCTTCAAGTACTGTTCTATCCAACTCATACAAGACTATATGTTACTACTCTATCCAACTCAAGCAAGATTACTAGGATAAAGTACAGATTGTAGCGGGATCATTTCCTCCTTTAGAGTCCTGGGCGAGGTGAATCGCATGAGAACATTTGCGCTTCCAGCCTTGTCATTTGTTCCACTGCTTCTGCTTCCACCAAAAGACTGATGACCAATGACGGCTCCTGTCGTCTTGCAATTGAGGTAGAAGTTGCCAGCCGAGTATCGCAATGTGTCTTCCGCTTGACGGAGAATTGCCCGATCATTTGCGAAGATTGCGCCAGTCAGCGCAAATCCGCCTCCTTGCGTATCGATCTTGGCCATGACTTGCTCGAAGTCGCCATCAGGATAAACATACGCCACGAGTGCTGGGCCGAAGATTTCCTGATCGAACAATTCATGGTCAAGAGTGTTTGCGACATACAACGAAGGCTGAATGAAATGGCCTTTACTTCCCTCATAAGAGCCGCCAAAAACCTTCTGTAGGCGGCTGTCACCATTGGCCTTGTCTATGATCTTGGAGATCTTGTCAAATGCTCCTTTGTGTATGACTGGACCCAAGAAGTTTTCGTAGTCTTCGGGTGGGCCCACTTTAATAGGTGCCATCTCTTTCTTGATCTGCTCGAGAAATTCTTGTGCTTTGCTTTCCGGTATATAGACTCGAGAACAAGCAGAACACTTCTGACCGGAATACTCAAAAGCAGCTCGGACAGTGTGTTTGACGGCATTGCTTATGTCAGCTGAGGAGTGTACCAGGTGGAAATTCTTGCCAGATGTCTCTCCTACCATGCGCGGCATGTCACGGTACTTCTTGTTGACGACGCCTTCTGCTGCCTTACCGTACAAGCTGCGAAACACATCTGAAGATCCGGTGAAGTTGAGAGCCGAGAATTCTTTGTGTTCATACACAGTCTTGGTGATGAGCTCCGCGTCGCCGGGTAAAAACTGGATGACGTTGGGTGGGAGACCGGCCTCGAGAAGAATTTGATATACCAGCCAGCTGGCATACACGCCTGTCGGGGAAGGTTTCCACAGTACGACATTACCCATGATTGCTGGACCGGATACGAGGTTGCCGCCGATGGCAGTGAAGTTGAAAGGCGACACTGCGTACACAAAACCCTCGAGTGGTCTCCAGTCTGTTCGTCTGTGGAATGTCAGTGTCAGAGTCTCCAAGGTATGGTTAATCGGAACTCACCCGAAGTTGCCAGGCGCGTTCAATGCAGGCTGCTTGTTGTATACCTCTTCAGCATACGAAACATTGAACCGGAAGAAGTCTGCAAGTTCCGCAGCAGCATCAATCTCGGCCTGCCAGGCATTTTTGCCTTGACCTAGCATTGTAGCCGCTACCAATTCGTATCTGTACTTGCCAGCTACCAGCTCCGCAGCCTTCAAGAAGATTGCAGCACGATCGACAAACGGAGTCTTCTCCCATGACTTCTTGGCTTCGAGTGCGGATGCAATTGCGTTTTCGACGTCTTCAACGCTTGCGGCGCTAGACTTTGCGAACTCTTGAGCATGTTCCGAAGGCATAGTTGACATGAGAGACTGGCTTGTTGATCTTGACATCCCCGAGACATGGAGCGGGACATGCAGAGGAAGTTTGGAGCGCAACGCTCGCAGAGCCTCGTCAAGCTTTGCTCTCTCCGGCGAAGACTTTGCATAGTGAAGATTCTCCTCGTTGCGTGCGTTTGGGAGCTTGAAGTGGCCGCTTGTGGCTACTCCAGCCTTCAGAGGAGGCATTCGAATAGATGTTCGGATATGTTTCCATGGAAGTACTTGCAAGCGTAAGACAGAGCGCATTGTTGATATCAGTTCTCAAGAGAGCAAGGTTATTGTCAGCTGTTAGGTTGAGGTCGTGAGAAGGGTAATGGCCTGGAGGGAACTTGAGAGAAACAGTTCGATCTCCGCGCCAGACTGTCGTTCCCGTTCATACACATGATGATGAATCGCAAGCGCTTACGCTAACCTCAGGTGCGTTTCCGACTTGTGTTATCTGTTCTTGAGGGGTTGCAGAGATCTGGACGTTGTGAACTGATGACGGAAGGCGTAAAGTGGGAAACTTGGCAGGGTCTCCGCGCGCTTACGCTAACCTCTGCTCCTGAACTCACGACGGACCACCTTTGTTCCTTGTCTGTATCGAATGTCAGCCGACCATAGTCAAGTTTCGTTCCTGTACACCCTTCAACTGGTCATTTTGGCAATTTTGGGAAAGCAAATCCGCCATGTTTCGGCATGTATCAACCTCGAAGACTTCAGTCCGACGAGGGAGTCTTCATCTTGTGATTCTGTGGCGAGACGCAAACCATGCAAGCAGCACCTTCGTTCCTACGCGCTTTGAGTTCTGGAAACAGACCCACGCCATCGTTCTTCTACGATGCATCCAAAATCTCGTCCAAACATGCACACCTTCAAAATCATCTTCGGAGCTACGCTACGCTTATATCCAAACAGCAACATGCTTCGCGAGTGACCGCCGTCTCATCTCAACGGACTCTACAAGTCTTACCGACAAGTACCCTCCTGCGGTCGCTTGTAGTTTTTTCAGCTACAGCACTTCCGGCAAGATTGTTGGCTTCTCTTATTCGCTTGACCAAGAAGCACGTCGGCATCATCGAATCTGTTGGCCCTTTGCGATGGATATTCAAAAGGCTGTTGTACGACAATTTCTGCATTGGTTTTCACAAAGACGAGATCCGGGTCAAGACTCAAGAGCTTCGTCGGATTGGCTTCACGGGAATTGTACTGGCGAATGCTCGCGAGGCTCAGCCTACTTCAGACTCCTGTGCTGGGTCAGTGGTACATGACGTCCAGTGCGAAGAATGGCTCAACAATAACCTCGAATCTGTACAACAAGCAGAACCTGGCGATTACATTGGTCTGAGGTTTACTGGTGCGGGCGCAGCAGCTACTAGATTTCTGTCAGAGTTCTCGGCCACTTGCAAATCAAATGATTTGGAAGAGGCATGCAAGCTCTATTCTTCAGAGATGGAGCACTATGTCGCTCAGGTGGAAAGGATATGCAAAGCAGCTGAAGCTCGAAAAGTACGAGTTTTAATTGATGCCGAATCATCCAATTACCAGAGGGCGATTGACTGTGTCGCTCTTGTAAGTCCTGATCAATACTGTTTCCATGGCTTTACTGACGTGTAGTTCAGCNAAATTATGCGCCGCTTCAATACCTCGCAAAGAGCTTTGGTGTTGAATACTTATCAGATGTTGGTCTCACGTACCCTCTTGACGGGAAGAGTAACTCACTCGAAGCAGGNNTATCTCAACTCAAGTGCCGAGAAAATCAAGTTGCATTTAGATCACTCCATCAAGCACGACTATGTGCTCGGGATCAAGATGGTGCGAGGTGCATACCTTCACACTGAGCTCGATAAGCAGTCTCTTCACATCTCTAAGCAACGGACCGACGAAGCTTATGACAATGCTGTACGGTTTTTGTTGCGGGAAGAGAGCAATATCACCTGGAAAGCCGACGTGATGCTAGCAACCCACAACGCANAAAGTGTCCGACAAGCCTTTGAGCTGTATACCAGCACTTACAAGACCACAAAAGAGAATCACGAGTTGAAGCCTCAAGTCTGTGGCGTGACGTTTGCACAGCTGATGGGGATGGCGGATGAGGTGTCTATGGATCTAGTCAACAAAATTGAGCAGGCGAAGAAGAAAGACTCGACCAAGCATTTGACGGAGGTTGACAACACCAACTCGTACCCTCGTCTGGGCGTCTATAAGTATACTGCCTGGGGGTCTTTGCGCGACTGTCTACTGTACATATTGAGACGAGCAGAGGAGAACAAAGATGCTGCTGCTCGAACTCAGGACACGGCTCTTGCAATCTTGCGCGAGCTTCGATCAAGAGTTCTGCGCAGGACTTGACGTTACGTATAATTTACGAATAGATGCCTCTTTCTTCCTCACAATCAACCTAGATTACATTGTTATGAATCCCCAAGCGATCTGTCTTTCCTCCGACTCGCCGAACGACTGTGATTCTTGCAAGCGTTATCTGAACCGGGCTTGCATCTTCTGTTGCGTCTAAAGTGTGATGACAGCCGTGGAAAGCTTTAGGCTGGGTTAGCGCAGGCGCAAATCTGTCAGCCAAAACCCAAAGTCATCGTTCTCGAATGGGCCTCTGAGGCTCTGCATGTACACGGTGACAAGATGTGGGGGTTAGCGTAGCCGCCTGTGTAAAGTCACTTCGTGTAGCTCCTATCGTTCCTTCTCTCGATACTTTATCTTGTGATTGTTATTGCGAATACTCTGTTTGTCTTTTCCTAGAGAAGAAGTGGTTTCCTTCGTTGCACCCAGACATAGATCATGTGTTCAACGAAATACTTGCTAGATACACGGAAGATTTATGAGTCGTCGGAGATAAGAAAACATGAGTCTGAGCGATACGCACCATACTTAAGGTCTCTTCCAAACAGGACCATCAGTGAATTTGCTATTCTCTACTGCAGAACTCCCGCCGCCTCACTTGTACTCAGATTTGTATACTGCAATTCACTCCTCAACCCTCAATCATGACTTCTTATCTCAACTACTTTGGCTTTGGAGGCGACAAAGCGTCGTCTGCAAAAGTTGGAGACGTCTCTCCAGCAAAACAGTCTCCAGTCAGAGCCTTACCAGCAACATGGTACACTTCACCAGAAATGTATGAGTTTGAGCGACGAGCAATCTTTACTCGTAGATGGCTCTTCATGACGCACAGCTCACGCATCAAGAATGCTGGAGACTTTCTTCGATTCAACATTGCTGGATACGATATCGTCATTGACCGTGACCGTACCGGAGCTGTGAATGCCTTTCATAATGTATGTCGGCATCGTGCTTATCCTGTCATCGAGAAGAAGCAAGGCAATGCGAAGATCTTTGCCTGCAGATATCATGGCTGGTCGTACGGTCTGAATGGAAACCTTGCCAAAGCACCCGGCTATCAAGATCTCGAGGGCTATCAGAAGGAACAAAACAGTCTTTTCCGCATCCATGTCAAAGTCGATATCAACGGTTTCATCTGGATCAACATGGACGCGAAAGAAATACCTGAAGTGCCTTGGGAAGAACACTTTGCCAATGTCGACAAGCAAGAAAGATACAAAGACATCAACTTTGACGACTACGAACTCGACCACACTTACGAGTTGGAAGGAGACTTCAACTGGAAGATCCTAGCAGACAATTTCAATGAGTGTTATCATTGTCCCACGACTCACCCAGACATTCCTGATTTCATCAATCTCGAGACTTTTGATTCTGTTCTCAAGGATGGTCATATACAGCATCACTGTATCTCTACCCCAGAGCAAGCAGCANAAGGCTTGGGTGTACACAGTACATACTACTTTCCCAACACTTCCATGACGGCCTCGTAAGTTGTCAGCAGCATCGACCGTAATCTACAAAGTAACTGACACTCAAGTTNNAGCCCCCACTTCATCATGGTCCAGAAGTTCATCCCCAATGGCCCTCTGAGATCAACAATGGACTACGAAATATACCGCAACAAGCATTCCTCGGAAGAAGACTTCAAACTCATCAGTTCTATGTATGCTCGAGTTATGGCAGAAGATAAAGTGCTTTGTGATCAAGCACAGAAGAACCTCAACATTGGAGTGTTTGTGAATGGACAGTTGCATCCGAAGTACGAGAAAGCACCCTTGTTTTTCCAACAGACTGTTAGGGAGGTTATCACGGCACACTTTAGAAGAGAGCAGCAAGAGGGCAAACAGATTTGGCCTGCGAAGAGGGAAGCTGATGATGAAGTGAGTAGAGAGGATGTCTTGATTTGTGAGGGTATCAGCTGTGGCGAGAAGAAGGAGGCTTTGGTCTGGTAATTTTGAGGCGATGGAGAATATTGTGAAATTAATTTTAATAGCTCACATATTGGTGCCAATGACTTGCCAAAAGTTGAGCCACTCCTTGATGTGCAACGCTCACAACCTACTATCCACAATTTATTCCATTGCGCAAGTGCCGATGAGGTGATATTCTTTCAGCATGCCAGGAACACGCAGTCGCACAGGCTGTATTGGACAGAAGTCAGTGCTGATGGATGGTTCTGCAGATTTGGTGTTCATATAGCATAGCAAATATCACTATTGCCAACCAAACATTCACGACTGGTTCTGGACTTTGTGATCAGTTCTCACAGTATGGCAAGCAAAAGGGGAAAGCATGCTCAAATGGAAGTGATTTTTCTTCAAGGGCTAACAATGCTTATGGACACAAGGCCAATTCTGTACTTCCCCATCATATCGTTATTGTATGCGCCAACTCTTGCTTGCTCAGTCCTGTCTGTGGTGCTGTGCAGTGGGCAGAGGAGTCGGTGCGTCGTCATCGCTCTCACCACGAACTCCAGGCAGCCTGCTCAAGCTTGGGAATGCTCCTCCCATGACGAGTCTTTGAATGCGGACATCATCAACAGTCACGGTGGCCTTGTGGTTGCGGGTTGCTGGTGTAGTTGATGTTTCGACCGAGTCAAGGTGCGTGTCCGGCGAGAACATACCAAGGCGCTGGACTGAGGATGGACCGGCGTGGTTATGGGTAGCAGTAAATTGTCCTTCAAAGCTGAAATTCTCGGTTCCGATAAATTGACGTGAATTATCGCCGGCTGTGTTGTTGTTCAGGACGAAGATGGTGCGAGTGCAGTGATCGTCAATGACCTTGTCGGCGGCTTGGCACGCAGCAAGGTCCGCTTCGAGCTTCCTTCTTTCCTTTTCCAGCTCCTGCACTTCTTGAACCGATTTCTGCACACCCATCAGGGTGTCGTTGATCAGCTTCATTTCGTACTCAACATCTTTCTTGACGTCTCCCATCTTTTCTTTGAGCTTGAGCATGTCGTCTCTGGATGCTGACATCTCTTCGCTATGTCAAAGTCAGTATCGCGTCAAACCCTGACGTGTCAGATGGACTTACAGCTCGATGATCTGAAGTCCAAGACTCAACTGTTCCTTGTAACTTGCAAGTCTCATCTTTAGATCTTTGATGGTCTTGCTTTTGAATTGCAGCTTCAGCCAATCACCGATGCTCGGACGGTCCAGACCCTCCAGCGACTTGTTTAGCTCTTCGCAGCAATCCAAACATCCTTCGAGTGGCGCTCTCAGCATGGCGTCCTTGCTCGATAGACTGTTGCTGGGTTTTCCTTGCAAACGACTCAAGATCGTGATCAGTCCGTCGAACTCTTCATGCATGTCTCTCACCTCCTTGAAATGGCCTCGGATGCTCTGAGAGAGCTCGTACAATGTCTTGGATGCTTTGAATGCAAGGGCTAGAATTTCAATTGCACCAAGTGTGATGCTGAAAGGATCGACCATTTTGACGTAGGCTTTTATGCCCTTCGTCACTGACCACACTTGAGACCAATAGCTCGTTGACAACATGGAATGCGAGACCTTTAGAAAAACATGGGATAATTGGTGTTTTTGACTGTGCACTCCATCAGTCTGTAACAGCCTAGAAGCCTCTAGGCTCCTGGGGAATTTCGATCCTGCAACTGAATGTGCTTTTCGCGTCCAGACACGACTGGACACAGCTCTTTGTCTGCCGAATGTATTCGGAGTCACGAAGAAGAGTTATGATTGCTGAAGCAAACGGGCTGAACTTCTTTGTGTACGCAATCAGTATAGCTTTGGACTAGAACAAGTTTAAAGAGGCTCGTTCGCTCGATGACTAGCAGGTGTTCATGGCCTCATCATCATGGACCCGAGACCATCATTCAACATTAGCAACAACGTTGCACACGCCAACTCCCAACAAACTATCGTCACCTATTACGATCCAAATGGACACAATGCATCCGTTCGAGCATGTCTCCGTGCACTTGACTGCCCTGACGTCGATGCTGTCAGGACTGAGATTCATTCTGTTGATGGGGTGATTCGCGAGTGTATTGACTGGATCTTTCAGGACGATCGTTTTCAGCACTGGAAAGAGCAAGAAGGAAACGCAATACTCTGGATCTGTGGCAGTCCTGGAAAAGGAAAGACACGTATGGCGGCCGGGATCGTGGATGAGTTGCGCAAAGAAACAGGTGATCCCACTATCAATGGACTGACAGGGTTCTTTNTCTGTCGAAGTACGGATGATCATATGGATAGTGCTGTTGATGTACTCAAAGGCATCATACGAACTTTCTGGGAACAACGACGGTCGCTCAAAGAGCATGTGCATCAACACTGGATTGAATAAGAGCGGAGATTCGACAAAGACCTCAACCAGGTTGCTTCTCTCTGGAATCTTTTGGAGACAATGACGAAAGACGTCGGTCACCAAGCGAACTACATCGTGATTGATGCCATTGATGAGTGCAACGAGCAAGTTGAACATCTTTTACGTCTGATTCATACTGCTGGTCTCGTCTCCCCGCCTAATGTCAAATGGCTTATCACAAGTCGTCCCTTGGGTTTGAGCCTTCAAGGGGTTGTCTTATCATACTACCAACCAATGCAAATTGATCTTGATAGCCTTGCTATACAAGTTGAAGATGCTGTCCAGAAATACATCAAGGTCAAGACAGGGTGGATGGAGCTCAGCAGATTCTCCGTAGCCGACCAAGCACAAATTTGCGAGCTTCTTCTTACCAAGTCCGAGTCTACGTTCTTGTGGGTCGCCTTTGTTTGTCAGGNNGAAGTCAGGAACCTGCCAGCAGCTCAGGTCATACGTGTTATCTCGGCGATGCCCAAAGGACTTCATCATCTATACGAGAAGAATATGCAGCTCCTTGACGAAGCCTGTCATGATAGCAACGAATTCGCCATCGATTATCGAAAGCTCGTATGGGCTCTATACAACCTTTCAGGCAGTCCTCACCTACTAGAGCTCGCTGTGCTTGCTGGCTTACCAACAGAAAAGGCTCGCGACGAGAGCTATCTGATACGAGTGATCAGAGAATGCAACGCTTTCATGGTTCTCACAGAAAGTGATGCTGTTATGCTTGTTCACAAATCTGTTAAGGATTATCTTGACGAGCTGCAGCCGACAACCTTAGGAACGGCCAAACTGCCATCTCAGGGGTCTATTGCAAGGCAATGCATAATAGTTCTGCAAAGAACGCTGCGTAAGAATATTGCCGGGCTACGTGAGCTTGATGCCGAGGCCAAGGAGGCACGTTGGGAACTACGGGCTAAGTTTTCCTCTATGGCCGGGTACTCTTGCGTTTATTGGATCGAGCATATCATAAAGGCCGGAGTCCCTTGTCCAGATACAGTACACGGCTTCTTACGACAGCATCTTCTTCATTGGTTAGAAGCCATCAGCATTCTGGGTCGATACAGGATCTGCCTGAAACACTTGTTTCAACTCGATGCTACCTTGAGGACTGTTTCAGAACACCAGAATATCACCCTGTCAAGCGCGTTACCATTCGCAAGTGATATCGATTTTGCTGAATTGCACAAGTTCGTCAGAAGTGCACGAGACTTTGCTACAACAAGCAGCAACGTGATAGAGAGGTGGCCTTTACAAGTCTACTCCTCGGCCCTAATGTTCTTTGCGTCGAGCGATGACTTGGGCGAAATGTTGAATGCGAAAAAGCCAGAGTGGATTTTGCATTGTCTAATGTCCAAAGCCCATGTGTGTCATCCTAAGCCACATGTGACCGTCGAGTATGGGCCCCAGTTAGGTCCTCGATCGGTGCCCGACATTGCACTGTCCGGAAACGGCGAATTCCTTGTCGCATTATGGCCGCAATCTGGAGTTCTTAGGTTTTGGAGGCTGGAAGAACCCGACCACTTTTTAGAGCTGTCTTGTGCCAGAAGTTTTCAAAGTGAGCCAACCGCGAAAATTAAACTCACGGTTGAAGGTAACGAAGTGAAAGCTGCATGGATGGAAATTTCTTCGCTTCCGTCGTACCCGTTGCTCCCGTCGCACCGCAAATACATGCTTCGCTGGAAAACTTGGGAGCTTGATTCAGGGGAGCCAACTGGTGAAGGAGTTAAGTTAATCACTGTCACTGCTCTCATAAAGCTCCTCGGTTCTGACCAAAGTATCAAAATTCTGGGGCCTGAACACGTCGTGGATGAGAACCTTAATCCCAATCTATGTCGTCTTTCATCTGACGGTGAACTGTTGGCTGTTAATGACAGGCTTGGGGAGAACATCCGAGTGTACCTAACTCGAAATTGCGGAGAGCTGCCCCTTGTCAGCTACAAAGGCTTAGTCCCCTGCAAGACTTACCCGGTCGAACTACGATTTTGTTGTGATGACAAGGTAATTGTTTGCGCAACTTATGTTGAGAACAAACGATTTTTTGTGGTGTGCAACATCNAAAAACGTGAAGTTTTGGTGAGAAGCATTGATGTTATCATCCCCGACATACACCGATGGGTTACAGATGAGGATGGTAAATACATCGCTTGTGACACCGGTCGCGAGATCCATGTACTCGATATTGCGAACAACAGGTTACTTCAAAGAATATCGGCAAACATGGCCAGCCCGCGAGCTCTGTCCGCAGCGCCTTTACTTGTAGCAGCAGTGGCCAGCGACGGAACTGTCAGAGTATGGGACATTGACCGTGCAATACAGCTCGATCCAATAGTTGAATCTTCCGATTCAGTCGGCTCCTCAGACAGATCTGAGGTGCGAGGAGGCATGCTGGAAAATCGCCGCGTTGACCACTGGCTCCCTTCGCCAGATAACAAGAAAACGATTGTTTTGTGTGCCCATACCTTCGCATTGGGTGTTAACCAGGAGTTTCTGCTGCGCTACACCTTTTCTCCAGATAGCACGATGTTCGTGATGTGCTTTGATGNNGATCATCAGCTATGGATTCCTTCACTGGTGGCTCACCAGGCGTTGACCTCTACCTTGTTGACTACTGTGGTTCTCCCGCCTCTAGCAGTTCTGATATAGCAGATCATCTTTGCGTCAACTCTTCTGACTGCGATGGCGTTTGTCTTGCGATACTTACAGTTTCGAGTTCACATGAACGTCCTCGGTTCCTTGATAACTGNNGACTCTGCAATTAAATCAAGAGCCAACAGGATGGTCAGAATCACGAAGATCGGGGGCCATAGCTTTTGCGAAGATCAATCGCTACTGCTATACTCCATTGTACAAGAAGATCATATTGTTGTGGGCACAATCAACATGCATGACCAAAAACACGAAAAGTGCTTTACTTTCACCTTGCCCGATGGCCAAGAAAACACTGAGGGATTTATCCCACAAGCGATATGTGCCTCGGCAGACCGTTCTTTGATAGCAATATCCTCTTGGTTCGAGGCTGGTGGCCATGAATCATCCAACATCTTCGTATTAAAGGATTCTGCACATCATTCGCGCGCCGTTGGCTTCGAAGGACATCGCGTAAGTCTTCTCAAGTTCTCAAAGTCGTTAGAGTTCCTAGCGGCCGTGTCCGAAGAAGGACACATCAAAATCTTCAGGGTTCCCAAATGCTCTCCTTTGCCTTTCGAGACTACACATGACACTATTCGAGATCTTGATCTTGTTGACCAGATCCCTAGTTTTGGGCGTATCAGAGATTTGGAGTTCTCGGCAGACAGTGAAAGTCTTGAAACAAACTTAGGGCGGATCCGTCTCTTCCAGGATCGCGGACCGTTGACCATCGCTGGACTCTCTCTTGACAACCATTGGATTTGTATGCAGGGTATACGTCTTGTGTACCTTCCACCCGAATACAGACCCGCGTCTGACACTTGGGAATTGCTTTCTGATTTATTCATCATTCGAAACTCTTGTGTGTGGATCAAGACCTACTCTTGGTGTTTTGTCATGATTGAATTCGATCTGGACCTCCTTCGTAGACTCATTCGTGATGGTGAGCTTGTATAGAGACCCCAATCGTTCCATATCATTCTTCTTCCTCTCAACATAGTATCGTTTACCAATAGTGGTTGGTCCGTGACATGCCCTTGTATCTGCAGATCGATTTGCAACCATACTTCTTTTGGTGATCAACTCATGCAACTCTTCCCAAAGAGCGGTCGATTGTTGTGGACGCCGAGGGAAGGGTCATGAAATTTTTCCAGGCAGCAGTTCCACTACCTGCAGATAGGTAGGTAGTTTAGAACACGAATCACAAAGCCATTCTGTCTGTTGTCATATCAGTCGCTTCTGGTACTCGTCCCTTGCAAATCTCCGCGAAGTATCAACCATGTTTGGCAAGAAAATTGCTACAGTAGTGGTCTCTGTCGCAGGTTTTGCTACCGACGTAACACTCTACAATCAGGTTACTAGTACTACAGCTCCACCTCGAAGAAGAATTTTATTCTAGTCCTGGTGCATCAATGCCGTTGGGCCAAATGTCTGTATCTCGGCAATAAGAGCCACCTGCAGCTTTGTTCAGAAATCCTGCTTGCATGCTTTTAGCAACAATGAATTGGCCAACTGCAGAGTCATGTGTTGTTGGCGGAAGACGAAGTGCTACTGAGCTTTGCTTAGCAGCAGCTCAGATGGATGAATGTCATTGTTCTCATATGGGAGAGCCACGCTGAAGTCAGCCATTGCAAGTCCAGCGAGCGAGAAGTGATGTCGAGTCCGACGTAACACAAGTTCAAGCCGACAGCCTTGCGCCTATTCACTTGAATCCCTGTAAGGGACGACTACATGAGATCAATCGACAAAGGCTCCAATCTTCACTAGCTCCAACACTCTTCCGCTGTCACTACTCTGCAGCTGCGTCTTTCCTGCTCACACCTTCCTCTTTCTCTTCCATTTCGCTTCACGCTTCTCCACGACCTCATAATCAATCATCTCATCATGGATATGGTTATCGCAAGTGACGGTGCTTCTGCCAACATGGCCAGCACGCCTACACAAGGTTCGTCGAAGTTCTTCCCGGCGATCTTCACGCACCAATGCTTGCTATAGACTCTGCTTTCTTGCGCCTGCCACTTGAGATGCGCCACGAAATCTACAATTACCTCATCCACCGCGAAAATACCGAGATCTTGTCCATGGACGAAACTCTTGACCCAACCAGCAGCATTGATCCAGTGACATGCCTGCTTGGTGTATCTCAGCAGATTCGCTCCGAAGTTCATGGCTTGATTGCTGCTGTCACTACCTTACATATCAGAGCATGCGGAACTCTATACTTCGCGATCGAGCCCTACTATATTGTTTACAAGCTAGATAAGAAAATAGTCGATAAAGCAGTAAACGACCGTGCCTGGATAGGCAAACTATGGAGAGCAAGGAAGAGAGGCCACAAAATATCACATCGGAACGCTCTAATTGAGTTGAGCAAAGACAAAAAGGAAGCGCCTCACCAACTTAAGTTCTGGAAAGTCTGCATCATCACTGGCAGCTTCACGGAGACTCACTACACTGCCGAAGTCGACTTCAGAAAAGGAGCTGTACACGTCCACAATCCTATCGACGAGGAGTCTAGCAACGATTCCAACTCACACCACTGGTCCACCAAGAAAGAAGCTTTCGCCAACGCTATGCGATTCATCACAGAACAAGACAACTTCGAAGGTATCTCTGTTGAAGGCATGTCTCTATTCCTGGACAAGGTTGCCTTGGGGCTAGGTCAACCCATTACCCATTAGTGGAGAATGTATCAGAATCAAGCCTTCACCATGGACCACAGCTCTGATTGTGCGGGACATGGGCTTTCTCCTGTAACTATGGCGGCTTTCACGACAGAAGCGATGAGCAGATTGGAATTCATGACAACTGGCATCATGAGACAGATCAACGAAGTAAGCTACCTAGTCGGCCCGGCAAAGGATAGATAGCAACGAAGCGGAATATACCACCATGCTTTGTTTCTCTTCACAGATTTAACAAACTGACAACCAACAACCAAAACATACAAGGCAGCGAAGTGTATGTCTCAGTGTGTCGTAGTCGGTGCCCCGCTGCAGCAGTAGGTTTCTTTGTTGGTGGGCTGGAGCTGCGAGAAGCTTCCATTTGTCCTCCTTCTTGCAACCCATTCCCACATATATTCTCTTTTCTCTCTCAATCATCCCTTTCGGTCTTCAAAGATTCTCAACGCCGATTCAGAGATATGGATTCTCAGAACAGCTTCTCTACCTCTGCAGACTCTTCTACCAAGATGTCGGATGTCGATACCAAGAAGCAGGGTATACAGAATCCGTTTTTGTGTCGTTTCCTTCTTATGCTGATGATAACAGACTCTACCAACACTTCTGGTCCCAATGATCCTGCCGATTCTGCATTCTTCAAGCTCACCCTCGAAGAGCGCAACAAGATCTACCACCAACTTCTGGATCCTAGAGGCAGAAAGACTTTGTCTATTGAGCCTCCAAACTCTCTCAAGGCCATCAACAAACTCCTGGACGTCTCACCGGAAGTGCATACCGAAGTAGTCGCTCTCATTGCATCGGAGACCAAGGCTCGCGTCCAAGCTGGAATTTGGCATGACCTCAAACTCGAACCATATATCGTTGCGGTAGCCAACNGAAAGATCAAGCAAGAAGAAAAGACCTCTGCCAAACAAATCCCTTCGGATCTCAAAGTCTGGAGCATGATCATTGTGGCCTTCACCGCCGAGTCGCAACTCAAAATTCACGCAAAGCTGAACTTCAAGGAGAAGACAGTCAGAATTGTCAGCCTTCCCGACTTCGATGAGCTCGGACTCGCTGGCGGTTATTGCGACAGCATCTATGCATGGTTCGAGGGCGCTTTCCTAGAGGCTATGAAAGCTTTCACCGACAAGGACGGCTTTGATGGCTTCCCGCTCAAGGATGTTCCTGAGTTGCTGCACAAAGTCGATATGCCTTGTCCCAAGCACTTCTGGGACTACGATCACCTATTTGGCGAGCGAGAGTATGACGAGTGGGACGAGTACGATGAGTACGATGATTACGATGATTACGATGACTATGATAATTACAATGGAGAGGGTGAGAGCTATGATGACTTCGGCGATGAGGATGACTGTTCCGACGAGGATGTAGAAGATGATAGAGATAGCGAGCACGGAGGTTTTCAGTGCGGTGCGATTGAGGGCGGAGTCAAGGTGGAGGATGAAGAGGAAAAGGTCAAGGTCGAGGTCGAGGATATCAAGGTTGACGAGAAGACCAAGGGTGAAGCTACCAGTGCTGGTAACTGAACTGTTGGAGATGTTGAATGCTTCAGAGCTGGAAGTTTTGGAAGGAGGAAGTGACGATTAGCAATCCGTTGTATCGCAACCACCCTCTTGACACTTTGCCCTTTTCGCTTGCGCTTTCACGCAAACGAGAGGCTCTTTCCTCTTCTTTCCACAATCCACATTCTCGAAGACCTCGCACTCGAATCCAGTTCCTCCTCTCTGTTGAACATTCGTTTCTCACCTCAATGTCTTGAAGAGCTCTTTCCTCTCTTCGCTCGGAAGCATCATAATTCGCTGTTCGTTCTCTGCATCAAACGCTCCCATCTTCTCGTCTCGCAGCGCAACATTAGTCTCCTCTTCGCTTTCGATATCTCAGACTTCGACCCATCGTCTCGATCGCGTCACAAACATGGCCCTTCCCCTCAAGAACTCGTCGCCGGATCCTGCCCGCACTACCGTTTCAGATCTTCAGCTTGAAGGCTCGTCAACGAAGACTGCTTCCACCAAGATGCCAGCAGCACGCCATCAAGGTTGGAGGATTCTACTTCTCTCCGCGTTGCTTTTCAGTGCTGATCATTTCCTAGATTCTCCTTTCCTTTCCTTGCCGTTGGAACTCCGCTACATGATATACGACTACGCCTTTGAGTATAGACAGTACGACTGGACCTGGTATCTGCCGCGCACAAGATTTGATCCTCTGCTCTGTTTCTTCCATGTCTCTCGACAAACCCGCTTGGAAGTTGAAGCACTGGTTGCCGACAGCGTAATATGTCTTCGCGCTTCTATATCCCCAACTGGAATGAGCATACTGCCTTCGTATGCGTATCGCATATCCCACAAGATTGAAAGCCATGGCGGAAAGACTGCGGCGCCCTGCTCGTGGTTCCATTTTGATCTAACGGCACCTCATAACTTCAAGTTCTGGAAGATCATGCTATCCTTCAAAAGTGCCAAGGTATCTGGGATTCCTGTCGCCGCCTATCTTGATCTCAAGGAAGGATCGATACGTCTTCTGGGCACAGAGACACTGAATACGATCGACAGACTGATACGAGTGAGATACCATACACGCAGTATGCTTAGTTTGCAGTACATAGCTTGTTTCAGATAGTTTCATGATGGCCACACAAAGTTGCACTGAAACTCTCTTCTCATCTTCTGTTCTAGACATGTTGCGTTGCCATTATCAAGCTTTTACATACTTCGAAGATCGATTTCATCCTTGCCAAGTAAGGGTAGAGTTGTCAATACTCTCGATCCAGACTCCTCGGCATCTTGATCAAGCATTCGTACCTGACCTTCTAGGTAAGAACGTTATTGTAGATCTCCATATGCGGCATGCGTTGACATGATCGACAGGAACGTCCGTTGGCTCGCCACCAATATGCTTTGGTTGCGTATTCCCGGCCCTCTTTCCGAGACAAAGACGAGCTAGCCCGCCCAGAGCAGACTTGTCCAGCGAAAATAGGGAGTCACAGTGGAAACAGAGGGAAGAAGGCGAAGGAAAGCAACAATGCAGGCGGTATAAAGATCTTGGTATTGTCGTCTAGTTCTTTTGCAGAGAACCAGACTTTCTATCTAATTACATAAGTTTACCACCTTTCTCCTAGGAACAGCAAGTAGAGAAGAATACCTCAAAACCAGTTTAGACATTTTCTTCCAACCTGCTGTCCTTCATCCCTGAGTAGCACTGCAAGCAGCAACTACATCTCTGATTAAATCCTCCACCAAATGAAAAAGGTTTCTCGAAAGGAGAAACAAGAAAAGAAGAATTTGTTCCCCATCCAAAAGGGCATCCAAGGCATCTATCCCCGGTAAAAGTTTTTGTTTGTCGTGCGTTGTCACACAAAGAAGAATCGGGTTCTTGCTTCCCTCATCCATTCCTTCGAAGCATCAAGAACGGGTCATAGTGAGGAAAGTAAGAAAAGAAGAAAGAAGAGAGTTTCTTAAACAGAAGGAGTGGCCTCGGCGGGAACCTCGACGGTGACGGTTCTGCGGACCTTTCTGCGCTTCTTGCAAGCAGGAGCAGAGGTGGCTGCAGCCTTGGTGGAAGTAGGCTTGGCGGTGGTGGATGGGGTTGCATAAGAGTCGAGCAGGCACTTGCAGGATTTTGTGATTTGGTCGGCACTGACTCCAGGGATGGCTGAGCGTGTGCGGTAACTNGTTGTAACATTGTCAGCATGAGGGGTGATGAGAAGNTAACGGGATGAAGAGATAACGTACATCAAGCCCCACCATCTGCAGTATGATTGGAAGTTTCTGGGTGCTTCGTTCTTGATCAGGTTGATGTCTGATGCGGCGCAAGTGTTTGATCCTGTGGAGGGAACAGATGTAGGGTTTGCTACTTTGTTCCACTGGGCGAGGATACATGAGCATGCTCCAGTCAACTTGGCAGCAGACAATGTGGGGAGAGGCGATGAGTCGCGAGGNTCTAATGTATCATGTTAGCAACTGGAAAAGATCGAGGAAGGTAACGAAGAGACATACTGGGCATTGTACATCTGGCAGAAGACATTGTAGTGGTTGATACGGTCCTTGACGGCTTGCATGTCGGACTTCCAGCATGTGGCACGAGTCTCGAGGTTGACATAGCTGTCGACGTCTTTGGCGACAGTGACATCAATGGCTGAGCCATAGACCGATGAAGCGGCCAGAGTGATGAAGGTGAGTACTGAGAACTTCATCTTGTATAGTGTTGTTGTTGTCTTTTCTTGATATCCTGATCAAGATGCAATTATTTCTGTTTCCTTCCTGAAGGTTGTTGGATTTCTTTGTGTTGGTTGTATGAGAGCTTAGATGTTTTTGGATGTGGATGAGAAAGCAGAAAGTAGTAGAGAGGAGTTGGCGACCTTTGTTATATAGCAATCTCTGTCAATACGGCCAAGGGAATAAGAGAGGGCTTGGGTCGTTGCAGCCGTTGAGACCGTTCGGCGTATGTGGCCCTGCAGTCGTGTCCCTCAGCCATCTAGTTTTGCTTGCTTATATTGAACGTCTGTTGATATGAGATAGAAGCAGCAAAGTGATTTACTCGACCATTCTTGTTGGCAGATCTTTGAATTATGGCGGTTGCCTTCCCATACCCATTCTTCATCAATTCGTGCACCTACCTGTGGCATTCGATGCTGGAAGAACCCTGTAAATCAAGATTAAAGGACATGGATTACCGTGACGGTTATACAAAAAAGCCGTTGTATGTTAACGGGACCATCTTATAAGTATTGCCAAGACCCAGCGAAACCACGCAGTGCCAGCCCGCGCCGTTAGCATCAACCACCGAGACAACAGTATGCGAATTGTCAGAAAGAGGTGAATATATCATCAGAGACGTTGGTTCGCAGTGGCGGGTGTCTTGGCCTGGATATAATTCTTGAATCATGATGCCGAGTTTGCCAGCTTAGTTCGCAAGAAGAGATTGTTGATTACGATAGGCGTGCGAGGCAGAAAACCGTTCGGGCGGCAGTCGCAAGGAGGGGAAGAACTTCGTGTTACTCATCTCCTTTTTCGAACTCAAAGCCAAGACGACGTTCTGAAGTCGTGTTTTCTCGATCAAATCTTGGGTAGCAACCAATGTGTTGATGGTGATGAGTTGATTTTCCAAGGACGAGACCGCGAATTTGCGTGAGTGGAGCTGCAAATCTATCGAGCGCCCTGCTGTGGGTCTTGTGGCATCACACAATATTCCACCCTTGTCCCGAGAGACATCTCTGAGACGAGGTCGACATGGACGACTTCAGCGATGAAGATGAGGTGCGTAAAGGATCTGATGCCGCGAACTCCACGAGGGAAAAGGGTGGCTGGGAAACGGGTTTCGGATGGCTGGTATGGATGGCTTCGGATGTCATCCTTCGGCATTTATCGTTATCAATCTTCGAGGCTCTTGTTGACAACAGCTACCAAGTCCTGCCAGGGTTGTACACTCAGCCATTGCTCATATGACCATCAGTAAGATAAGTCATGACACGAATGCTTCGTTGCCTTCATAACGATGGAGGGTACTATTCAGATGATACAGCATCATCGTTGAGACTCTTGACTGGGTTTAGCCCATGTTGTGGCTGCTAGACCAAATTATGTGATTTTGCATGATGATTACAGAAATCCCTAGCTGCCTTCATGTAATCGAAGAGCAAACACAGACAGATACAAGGATAGATCTAGGATACGATACAAGGTACAGCGGATGCTCTGCTTGTGACAACTTAATAAGAATATCATAAAAAAAGAAAAAGAAACGAAGATCGATACACACATTTGCATATCCATACTGGTCGAGCACATGTCGAAGAGCATGAATCGCCAAAGCCACAGTTGAGGCTCAAGTCCCCAGGTGCCACCAGGTCAATGCGCCGGTCCGACGACATGACTTGGACGACATGCCTTGTTTGCTAGAGAGCTTAGACGAGATGTCGACGATAACACAAGTGCTACTGGCCTCGTAAGTCGAGTGATGACAATTATGTTTGTTCATGAAGACGACATGTATGGACGCACATGAATCACTCAAGTATGCGCCATTGTTTCGAGGCTGCAAATCGACGAGACGTATCGGTTTCGCAAGGCACAGCAGTCAAAAGGAAGACTGATAAATTGAATTACATGTCACGATAGATGGAAAGGCGGCAAGTATTGATGAAAATAGGAAACTAGGATTATTTTCGAGGAGTTATGTATATTACAGGACTGCTGTGAACCCCTAGCGCTGAAAGCAACATCATAATCGTGAAAGAGGTCGTGAAAAACGATCATCTCAAAGTCAAAGAAGTAGTGGTATCAATGAAAACAAGAGGGCGACAGGCTTAGTCCATCATGCCAGCCTTGCCGTCATGGTCGGCATCCTTCTTGGGGTTGAGCTTGTCCATCATGGAGGGCTTGCCAGTCTTGGAGTCAATCTCAGACTCGCGGCCGTAACCAGTGCCGGTGGTGGAGTGGGAGTGACCGTGCTTAAGGTCAGCCTCGCCCTCGCGGACGCGCTCACCAAGGGTCTCGCGGCCGGTGGTGTTACCGAGACCAGCGCCGGTGAGGCCGGTGCCAGTGGTGGAAGTGTGGGCGCCACCAACAGTGCGGGGCTCACCCTCGAAGCCATCGTAGCGCTCCTCGCGGCCAGTCAGGACACCACCCTGCTTCTTAAAGTCGGCCATGGAGACGGCAGGGAGAGCAGATGCGGTGTGGTGCTGAGCAGCGTTGTGGTGAACCTCGTGGATGGGGACGGTGGTGTGGACAACGTGAGGCTCGATGGTCTCCTTGTTGACGACGGGCTGGATGGTCTCGTGGACGTGGTGGTGGATGTGCTCACCGCCAATGGTAGGGGCAATCGACTTAGAGTGCACAGCCTCGACCTCGGTGCGCTGGTCACGGAACTGGGCAGCCTCAGCGGCGAGACGCTCCTTGACCTGGGCGTCGTTGCCGTGCTCGAACGAACGGTGCTCGACGGCGGCAAGGTTGTGGTGGTGCTGCTCGGGGAGAACCTCACGGTCCTTGATGGGCTGGATGGAAGTGTGGTAGTGGTCCTGGTGAACCTCCTTGTCGATGGCAGTCTGAATCTGCTCGTGCTGCTGGAGCTGATGGCTCTCGTGGGTGACAGCGGGAGCGACCTTCTCGTGGACAGTGGTGTCGTGGTGTCCAGACTTGGACCTGAAGTGATTGCGTTAGTAAACAGTGAAAGTGGATTGATGAAGTGAGTGATGAACTTACATGAATTCCTTAACGGCGGCCTTGGCTGAGTCCATTGTGATGATTGATGTGATGAAGTTTGATGGGAAAGTTGTTGTGTTGTTGGTAGATGGAGATGGGATGCGGTTGTTTGGATGGAAGATGTGTTGATGAGAAGAAGGAAGAGGGGAGAGAGACGTGACGGGGTCTCTTTTGTAAGGTCGAGGAGGAAGGAGCTCGCGGCTATGTTGACATCATCCGCGTCGGTTTTGCAAGGCAGTAACCAGATCTGACGATTAGCCCTGCTCCCAGCTTGCTTGCTACTCGTTTCCACAACGGTGGCTAAACTGACAGTGAGCCACACATGTGATCATGCTGGCGTACACCTTCACTTGTTTAGTTGGCCGAGAAGCCACACTGTGGAGTGGGTTCTCTCACGAGAGCCGTTGGTGATCTCATAGCTGTCGTGTCTTGACTCTCAGACCAGTTCTTGCACCGACCTCCTTGCTCCTCCAGCGGCGTTCGTCCAAAACAATTCCCAAACCTACGTAGGAGCGCCTGCGACCCGGAGCAGCCGAACCGCCAGAGTCGATTTGGTTTACCTTGTGGCGGTGCTCCAAGCTCTCGACCCCGCTATATCCCGCGGATGGCTAGAGAAGTCGATGGACTTGCACACTCAGCATAGGGCTGCATATCGAATGACGCTGGAGNCATCCACGTTGAGCTACGTTGTGGCTAGTACATACTCGTGCTACATTTCCCAATTCCTGCAACATTGCCCTAGGCATGCATGTTCAGAAGGTTGCATACCGGCCCTATGGATGTTTAAAGAGAATGTGTAGTGGTTTAGAGTAGCAGAATCCCATACGTGTACATTTTTGCTTAAGGGCCCACGAACTCCAGCGCCCAGCTCTGATCGACGCGCCCATTTATGCAATGATCGACCATGGAAGCCAATAGTTTNNAATTGCGACGTCTTCTGTCTAGAACACGCCCGTTCACATTCGACCNATTTCCCTGATTGCGCCTGCTCGCTTTGGCAAGCACAACCTCCCTGTATCGATCAATGCAGCACACGCTCGCTTCAAGACACCGCCCATTGGCTACATGTACAATCAGATCCTTCCNTCAGCCAGACGCAGAGCTCGGATCGTGATGGCGTATTTGCATCGAAGCTTTGACGGCCCGAGATTTAAGAACCGCCGGAAACACACCAGGCGCGCAAATCATCGATCATGGAAGCAGAATGCGGTATGGCGGAAGAGGTGGGCAAGCACAGAGCTCATGTTTTCGCAACCAATCGCGAGTGCCCCGCAATTCGCGACGTTTTGACGACGTCACACAGCATCATCGAGACAGCTCCAAAATTTTGGAGCTTCAGAAAGTTCAACAGCTTTCCTGCATGAACAGGGGAACAGTGAACGTTACGAGCACGCGTATCCCCGGGTGATGGTCGTACGGTGGTATGAAATGCAGGGTTCGAGCTCTCAAGCGAAAAAAAAAAGGCAGCTGTATAACAGGAGTCAGGGCTGCAGCAACCATCTAGATTGTTGTCAGGGGCCGCTGGAGAGCTCGAGATAGCTCCGGATAGCATCACTTGTGTCATAAAAACGTAGTTACATGGACTGCAGGCTGGTGCAAGAAACAAACCATCGTAACCGACGCCACGAGCACCGACTGGCAGCGACGGGTGAGTTAGCGTGTGGCGTGAGTTTTCCTATTATTGAGGAAGGCATAATATGACGTTGGGCGAAACACACTCGACTCGGCCGTGACATCGCATCCGCCAGCATCCTACAGTGCAGCACCCTACGCAGCCATATTGATCCCATCTTCCCTTGACCCTCTAGTTGGCCAATTGCTCCCCCGCACGTACGTATCGCGATAAACCGCCTGTCAAAACATGCCGATTCGCGAAAAGATCAAGAGCTTGTTGCACAGGCACGATGATGATACAACACCTCCGAGCAGTCCCAACCGCCAGTCTCGCTATGAGAACACTTCGCAAGGAGTGAGTCCTCAGCAGGGTCGCAGACCAATTTCAGGAGCGGGTACGAAATCTCAGCGATTTGTGATGAAAACTGAACAAAGACGGCTGACTTTTGGTGACANNGATCAGCCTTCGCCAGCGTCGCCTGCAAGATCCCGATCCAAGCTTCGAAGGTCGCTTGATCGCAAGTCTGCCCCTACTGCAGACGACTCAAATGGTAGAAGAAGTCTCGACAGTAAGCGCAAGAGTCTTGATCAGCGTCAAATTGATGCTGGCGAGGCCCCAAGCGTCCCTGCAGTTCCCAGCACTTACAAGGATGAGGCAATCGCCCGCCCTAGAGTCTCGCAGGATGCCGAAACAAAGGCAGCCAAGGAGAGAGCTCGCAAAAGTTCAAACGTGATCAATCTCAATCACAATAACACCGCCTCTCAACCACTTTCAGACAAATCTGATAGGTATTCAGAAGACGTTGCTGATTGGAATATCATGAATGCTGAAAGGCCAAGTCCCACTCACGCTCCGGCACCGCTTAATGTCACGAAATCGGTCGCCGACCCATCGCGACAGTCTTCATCATCCTCATACTCTACAGCTCCTACGCCGGGAATTGGCCAAGCTGCGGTTTCGCGCAAGGCTGTCGGCTCTGAGACTGTTCAGGATGTTAACGGCAGAAGGGGCAGTGTCGCGAGCACCAAGCAGAGGTCGAGACTTAGCATGGACAAGCCTCTGCCAGCTCCACCAAAGCATACTGCTCTGAGCGATGACCCAGCTTTCGGACAGTTCCTTGGTAAGGACCACGATTACATTGTCAGGGATGCTCCTGCTGCTCCTCTGCTTGAAGGCGTCATGAACCTCGAGAACACGGTGGACACTGACGTGACCGAGACTTGGGCCCCAGGTAAGTTTTTGATCAACGTCTAGAGAAATGACACTCACTGACTTTACTCAGCTGTTACGCACGAAACTGTTATGCCGCAGGTCCACCACATCCGTGAAGAAGTCATCACTCGCGAAATTCACAACCACGACGTTTACCACCGCATCCTGCCCATCATCGACATTGAAGTCCTTCCAGCCAGGCACTTTGTTCCGACCGGAAATGGCGACGAGCTGATGGAAATCTCTGCAGATGAAATTCCTGGTAGAACCGGTTACAACCAGCAGTGGTTCATTGGCGAGATGCTGTCCAAGCTCCCCAAGGACTCCAACTTCTTCAGAGAGCCACTCCGTTTCACAGCCAGAGAGTTCCCCGGAACTGAAGGCGACTACAAGGAATACGTGCGTAACGGTATTCCTACGACAGAGACGACTTGGGTGCACCCGCCTGTGCTCGATGACATGATGTATTTGGCTGGACAAACTCAGCCATTCCACTTTGGCTGCGAGAACCCCGCAGACAACGGGCTTCGCATGCGCGCGCCCAACGGCCCTGTGGTTGGATCGTCGCGCTACCACAAAGTGCAAATGGAGCGTAGAGTGGAGGCGGTCGAGCCACCAACAGAGTCGATGAGGGATTTGTCAGTGGGCGACTATCTTCAGGCCGTTCCTTCTGGTGAAGGANCAGGCTCGGAGGCCTTGACACCGCATGGAAAGCATCGCTGAACAAGCTGCGGACGTGTGGACACCCGGGAGTTATGAGACTATGAGGCATGGACTTTTGATTATCGCAACAGCGAAGAGCAAGGCGTTTGCAGGGGCAGAGAACAGAAAAAGGGCGATACGTAATGTGTATACAACAAAGCATACCTACCACTTCTATGAACATGAGCTCTGCTTGACCAACTGTCCGAGTTGTTTTCCGTTGTTTTGCAGTGGACAAAGACGGCTAGCGTCGGGGATTGGACAGGCAGAACCGACAGGTCTCTCCGCATGTCGATCTGGACCTCGGCGGGGAACCTGCCGGACGTCTTGGCAGATCGAGGGTCGCTCGGGGTCGGGGCATTCGACGACGAGGTGCTGTCGACATTAGTAGTCCGTACATGCCAGAGTAGTGGACATGGCTCGTAAGGCGCGCCAGAGGATAAGCTATGTGCTACCTCTCACAAACTCGGCCGGAGGGCATCGTCTTGGTGTCAATGGTCTCGCCGTAGACAGCGACAACTCCATCCTGTACGTACCCGACCCGGTAGCTTCCCATGCCTGCTACTGACACTCAACTCGCGCAGCTNACTCCGGAGGACGCGACGGTGTCATCTGCGCATGGGACCTGAACTTCGAAGTCAACCACAAGTCGGACCAGATCACAGCCATCGACGCGAAGCCTCCCNCATCACCCGCCTCGACCCTGCACAACCAAGTCCAGGCGCATACCCACTGGATCAGTGACCTCGTCCTCGCCCAGTCCAACCAAGCCCTGGTATCGGCCTCGTCCGACATCAGTGTCAAAGTATGGCGACCCGCTGCTACCGACTCGATGCCACCCCAGACCATCGGCCTCCACAGTGACTATGTCAAGGTGCTGGCTTCTCCTTCTTCGGACGCGTCGTGGGTTGCTAGTGGAGGCCTGGACCGTCGTGTTCGTCTCTGGGATCTGAATGGTGCAGGACAAACACTCAGCATCGACGTCAGCGAGGACGAGAGCTTGACAGGCTTGAGCAAAGAGAAGGCAAGCGTTTACGCTCTGAAGGCCACACACTCCATCCTTGCCAGTGGAGGTCCTGATAGCAATGTGCGCATCTGGGATCCGCGCTCTGGCAAGCGCATCACAAAGTTCGTCGGCCACACAGATATTGTACGCGACATCTTGATCAGTCAAGATGGCTCCACCGTCATGTCTGCCTGTTCGGACCAGACAGTCAAAGTGTGGAGTGTTACTGCCGGTCGCTGTATAAACACTCTGACCATGCACGATGCCAGCGTCTGGTCTCTATGGTCCGATCATCCAGACCTCTCTGTCTTCTACTCATCTGATAAGAGCGGTATGGTAGCAAAGACCGACACTAGAGGCTGCGGAGAAGATTTGGAAGAAGGCCTCAGTGTTGCCATCTGTCAGGAGGGAACTGCCGTACACAAGCTCGCTGTTGCCGGTGACTACATCTGGACGGCCACTCCTCGTCCCACCATCAACAGATGGGCCGACGTCAACATCGACGGTGCCGAGATCGATCTGCCTGACACCTACAAGCAGCAGCGCTTCAGCCTGGCCACTTCCCGCTCAAGAATTCCTAGTCCACCTGTCAACTCGTCTTCTGATCGACTCGCCTCACCGCCGCAACCCACCTCTCCCACTTCGCCTCCGCCGTCCGGCAAGCGCATACCTCTGAAACACGTACTCAGATTAAGCAATGCCGTCTACTTCCCCAGACCAATTGCACGAGAGGTCGCCCCAGACGCTGAGGATGTCCAAGTAGAACACACGCACCCCCTGAGACACACACCGGACTNNTTTGCTATTGAAGGACAAAATGGTTTGGTCAAACACATCATGCTCAACGATCGCAAACGTGTTCTGACTCAGGACACGGCTGGCGAAGTCTTGCTGTGGGATCTGCTCAAGTGTGTGCCCATCAAATCCTTTGGCAAGAAGCATCTCGAGGATGTTCAGCCGGAGCTCACCACAGTCGAGACAGTGCCTAACTGGTGCTCAGTCGACACCCGAACTGGAACCTTGGCCATCACTTTGGAAGAACACACAGCCTTCGATGCCGAGATGTACGCAGATGAGCTCGATATTGAGCAGAATATTGACTTCAAGGAAGATCAGCGCATCAACCTTGGCAAGTGGATCCTTCGTTATCTGTTTGCAAACTTGATCAGCGAAGAGATGTCCAGAGATTCGCAATATCGAAGGCATCTGTTGGAACAAGCGCAAAAACAAAAGCTGGAGCGTGAAAATGCTCCTACTAGTATCCAGATGCCTCCTGGTATGGCGGATGGTTGGAAGGTTGATCCATCGGCTCCTCTGTCAACCAACACTTTGAGACCGACAAATACCAACACTATTGGCTTTGCGACCCCTGGATTGTCCATAGCAGATACAGCATCGTCTTATGTTGGATCTCCAAACCTGACAAGAGATGTGCTCACACCTCAGGAAGATGAACGCACACAAGACAGGTCGTCGATAGGCGGTGACTACTTTTCCAACAACTCGACGACAGCAAATTCTACCAACGCAAACGGTGATTCGAAACTTGTACCTCAAACTCCTACAGAAGCTGCTACCACGCCAGCTCCAGAAGACGCCTCAACGGCCGATTCTAGCGACACGCCTTCGAAGTTTGGCAAACGCCTTCGCATGAACATGTCATTCAACATGAAGAAGCTAGGAAAAGCTCCCACTAACGAGAAGGACAACAAGCCTGCTATTGTCGAAGAGACCAAGGAAGAGGCCGAGGCAGATACACAGAGCTCGTCTGACAACAGTAATTCTCGTGTTGTCGATGAGAACTTCCTTGGTTGCATCCAAAAGATTCGTTTCGCCTATGAGGACCACCTGCAGGCACAGATACAACGAGCTGCTGCTGTAGATGCTGCAGGCGGTGCGTTGGGTCAGTCAAAGGAGCTCGAACTGCCTACTTCGATCGTACCATCACTGCCGTCAGAAACGCCAGTGTTGAAGCCACCTCCAAACACAACCATCCTAATTCAGGAAGAGCGACCAGAAGCTGGTGGTGTGGCAGATCTCTTCGAGGGCAAGGTTGGTAGTACAGGTGAGATGGTCGATCTGATTGAGAAGGTTGCTCCGATGTGGCTTGGTGATGCCCTTTTGCGCAACCAGATCCCTCTCAAGGATCTAGTCAAGATCAGTTTTGTGCTTGAACCATGGCAGAATGTACTACCAAGTATCGCTGCAGATGGGTATTTCTTTCCAATCCTCCCCTCACAGACACATACTGACATGTCTCCCAGCAACAACCGACTCAATGCCAACCGCATGCTGCGCGCTCGCAAGATTCTAGGCTACGTTGCAGACCGCATCGAGCCTGCTCAAGATCCCGCCACAGCCATGCCCCCCGAAGAATATCTCGAGCTCTACTGCAACAACCAACTCATCCCACCGAAAATGACACTGGCGACCATCCGAACACACATCTGGCGAGGCGGCGGCGACGTTTTATTGCACTATAAATCGAACGGCAAGAAGAATATTTTGCACTCTGCAGAGAGCTTTGCAGCTGCTGAGGAGGATGCTGGGACTCGCAGTACCCCTACAGCGCCTCAGGTGTAGAAAAATGATGTGTATATTTGTCTTTATGTTTGTGCGACTTTTTCTCTGCTTGCCTTTTTCTTCTTCCTTTGATGAACAATACCCTTTCTTCCCTCTCGAGGTGGTCTTTCGGGACCGAATCTTCTTGTATGTAATGTAGCATATATTGAAATAAAGCCGAATCTTACTGCATGTGCTCTTTGTTCTTGCGTGAAGCTGATTGAGACTCGTATGAGATTATCCAGTGGTGGGGTTTATTGCCAACGCGAATACAAGTGATTTGGAACAATCGCGCGAAATCTTGGCATTCCCGGCGCGTCTGCCCAGCCACCGTGATGTTTTGAGAGAGCTATGGATGCCAACTCTTCTTCCCTTCACACAAGCTGTTTTTCAACTTCTGCCGTGCCAAATTCATGCTCCTCGATCTTGAAGGATCTGGTCATATTACTGCTGACATCGCAGATCCAGGCTCTCAGAAAACTCTCATCTCATGCTTCTCTGGTATCCCTCTCAATACACACTGCGCGTCTCACTCTCTCCACAGTCACGAGGAGGGTCTAGTGACTGTCATGGTCGCTATCTCTCGAGCTGTTCGTTGTTGCTCGTTCTCGACACAGTCACAATCCCGAGCCTCACAGCACGGTCTCATGGTTTCCCCTGACTGTTGTTGGTTTCAAGCACTTCGAGTGGGCATCTTCCTCGGAACTTAACCCTAAGCCATACATCGGTTCGAACAAACAACAGTCTCGCGGTCCTTTGCAGGAAGTTGCCGGTTTCTCGATTAGTTCTCCAACGTGGCTTTCGTCTTCTCACGAGGACACTGCAGCATTGGAACGAATAGAGTCATCGACGTCTCGGGGCAATTTCATGCGTCGTTTTGGTAAGACTCTCTGAGAGGGCGCGCGTCGATTTTGCTGCTGGGACAAACATGCTCTGGTCATTTATGGACAGCTTTTCTGGTCTGCCGTTCTGGACTGCGCCCGGAGAGGATGGGAAAGCTTGTCGGGCACCTCGTATGAGGATCGTCTTTGGGATCTTACACGTGTTTCAGTTGCTCGTACAGAGGGCGTCCTGGAAATCTGTTCAGCAACGCTGGATCTCCACCTTGGACTTGGACGGCCTTGGCAAACATCATGAGCATNTCCGTGCCTGCAACCTTGGTGGTTTGGAAGTGGTCGAGACGTCGCAGAAAGAGCTTGGTCGTGCTTCTCCAAACAGACCGTGCCAATCCTCGTGCCTCAACATATGCTTGTACGATACTTGTCGGAATCGCACTTTGCTGCGTAGCGAGATCGTCAAGCCACGCACAGAGGTACGAGATGGCACAGTCTCCAATGGCATGCTAAAGTCTCCGGTTTCTGTGGCGTCTTGTCTACTTCTGTATACCTTGGACGCGGTTGATGTACTCCCAATGCTCGTCTCTGTTCCGAAACAAGGTGGAATCTAGTACGCGTCAATGATCAGTGCTCTATGCGTCTACAACCTGTCGAGCAGTGAACCAAGATTCCCGTACAAGCTCTACCGTGTTATCACAACCATCTCTCACCNNCCGTCACAGTCTGGAATCACAGCCGGAAAGCCTCTGCCACCAGCAACAGCTAACGNNGTAGAGTTGGCCTTTGGTCATTGTTCTGGCCAGCCGCGTCAATCATCAGTCTTTGCTTCCANNACTGCCGAGTCAATGGTGAGCGCCGATACACCCGCCTATAGTATCTGCATCAGTGTCTGTTTGGCATCATACCTCCCTAAAGCATATTTTGCTNTCGGAAGATGGAAGTGGGTTTTACAGATGTACTTTGTCCACTTCGCGTTCTTACGCATCNAATGCTGTCCGATGCTGGCTTCGTGCTGGCTAGGACGGTAAACCAAAGACTTGTCTCTGAGAAGAACGCTACACCACACTGAGAGGGAACCCTGGATCGTGAGAGTCATGGGAGTCATCTTGGGACTCTGGTGAAGCGGTGAGGTGTATGAGCCAGCTGACATCAGATTGATTACAGGAATATGGACAAGGTCGATCAGAGTTGAAGGACAGCGATGGTTCTTCTCAAGCTTGACCCCATCGCACCTCTTTCTTGATTGTAAGGTCTCTGGCCTCTGAGGAGATGCTTCAACGAAGAGCTTAGGTATTCCTCGAGTCGTGCCTTAACTCCAATGCACTCACCCACGGCTTTGGAATATTGATCGATGGAGAAGTGCATCTGCTGGGTCATACGTGCGGGACCTCTCTCGAGTGAGGATCAAAGTTCCGGCTTGTCTGCTTTATGGTTCAACTCTGCTCGGCTCCTTCGTGACGCATTTCAAACGCCGCCGTGTGCAGCGGACAAGGCTGGGCAATGATGAAGATCACCGCTGCGGTACTTCGGTGAGCTCTTCTCGGGAGTTGGAGATTGACCGATCGAGATGTTGTGTGGTGACGGAAAGTGGAGGAGGGCTGTCTGGAGCGCATTGTGCGCTATGCCACTCTTTTCTCCGGAATTGAGTGGCCCATTGTTTTTTATAAGTGGTCCCGCTTTCCTACTGAGAGATTGACAAGAACTGACTACGGATAAATAGGGCAACTGCATCTGTAACCCCACCTTCTCCCCGCATCAATCCCCAGCCACCTTCCACACGATCTGCAGATCTCCCCAGACAGTATGCGAAGTTCACGGCGTGGACCATGGCACCATGCTCGATCAGATGCCTCCTCATGCTTCGGCTGCTGCTTCCGTTGCCGATGGGCTCTATAAATCATCTCGAGATGGTCATATCATATAGACAGAGTCAAAGCAATCAACATGTTTCTCAATACACGCTCTCTCTTCGTCTGGTGCCTTGCGGCTTTGTTGGAAGTGGAAGGAGCCAACCTGCCCTCCAAACAGAAGCCCATCGTTGTTTCACAATGTCCAGCTGGAAATGCTGGTATACCTTTGGACTCCTTTGTGTCATTTTCGTTTGAGCTGTCTTCATGGCCAGACTTTGCTGGTATGCTTTGCCTAGTTATCACTTGCAAATGTTTGAAAGGCAGCCTGTTGATAACGAATCGATGCCAGGAAATCTCACTCATCCAAACACCTTCTCTTACAATCTTCTGAACAATCTTGGGCAACTCCAAGGGTCTATGCCCATTGCTCGTGTAGGAGGCAACACACAGTATGAACTTACCATCGGTTCCGTTTCGTTCTCTTCTGACCAAATACAGAGACATTGCAATCTTTGATGCCTCACAANAGACTGGTCTCGTCGGCGTCATCCGCCCTAACATCTCAGCCGACTACCCAACCATCATCACTATCGGTCCTTCCTTTNTTGATTCATATAAAACCATGCCCAACGGAACGAGATACACCCACGGTTTTAATCTAGGCGCCAACTCCTCGGCCGCCAGAGAAGCTACTTTTGCCTCTGCAGCCTACGCCTGCAAAGCCATCGGAGACAACCTCGATTTTTGGGAATACGGCAACGAACCCGATCTCTTCGTTGCATCAGGATACCGCCCTTCCAACTACTCCGAGGCCGAATATGTCTCAGAATGGCTGAATGGAACCTCGCACATTGCGCAAGTGGTTCAGCAAACTTGTCCCTCCTTGCACACGAAACTCATGGCGCCGAGTTTTGCAGGCGTGGGTGCTAATGGCTTTAATACTCTCGACCCAGTCAAAGTATTTCAAGGAGACCTGAATGCAGACAACAATATCGGCATCATTTCTTCTCACAACTATATGGGTGTTTCCACTTTTCCTGGCATCACTTTACAAGGCACACTCATGAATCACACCAATGTGATTGCAAAAGCTGAAGCCCAAGTCAACGTATCCAGGAACATTGCTGCTTTGGGAGGTGACCTAGCTCCCAAGGTTCCATTTATACTTGGCGAGCATAATAGTCTAGCTAGACAAGGACGACCGGGTTTGTCTAATACTTTTGGTGCTGCACTCTGGGGTGTAGATTGGAATGTCTATCTCGCGTCTCAGAACATCAGTCGTTCGCATATGCATCAAGGAACGAATTATCGGTAAGATTCGACTCTTCTCTCAAACTTTTGCAAAGAAGCAAAGACTGATTAAATACAGTNNTACCAATCCTGGCAACCCATCCAAACGAACCTTACAGACAAGGGCACCAAACCTCCTTACTACGGCAACCTCGCTGTAGCAGCTATGATGGCAAAACCCTCTGCTTCCTCTGTCCTGAAGATCTCTCACCTCGAAGCTTCATCGCAGAATACTTCCTTCTATACTGCTCACATCGATGAAGTTCTCTCACGTATTCTGATCGTTGACTTGCACACCTACAACACGACCGCAAACAACTATACCACTGGCTTCCGGCGTCCGATGGTGGAGCACGAATTCATGCTGCCGAGGGNNGGGTGTAAAGGCGGTCAGGTACAAAGATTGATGGCCAATGGCAGCGATGCAGTTACAGGAATTACTTGGGATGCAAAGAGCTATGCCTACGAACTCGACAACGGCAAAGGAGTCAGACTGCCCAACGTCACTTGCGGCGAAAGCATCAAGGTGGACAGAAAAGGTGGTCTGAAGGTACAAGTGCCGTGGAGCAGTGCGGCGATTGTTGATTTGAAGTGTTAGACCACATTATCAATACTCTCCCATTGCGAAGTAACATCACTGAATCTGGTTACAATGAGACATGATAGAGGAAAGACACAGCAAACGAGATTTTCTCTATTGAAAAGGTGGAACAACGGTTGAGGCTGGAGATTCTATGACCGTGATGTGAAGACCCCCATGCCGCTCTTTGTGATAAGAAGAAAGCCAGTTCTACGGGAAAAGAAAAAGAAAACAATCGCCCCCATTCTCTGTATGGAAAAAACCCCAGCAGAAACACTTGGTTTACGCCTTCCTGCGCCATGCTAACGGGAAAGAAGGCGAAAAAAACGCAAAGAAAAGCAGAAAATAAGAATCAGGAAGTTCTCTAGACTGCATGCTGCGTTTGTGGATAGATTAAGAAAAGTTGTGCTGGGAAGAAAGCGTCTTCTGAGCTACAGCAAGAATGTGTAGTCGTTCGATCTTGCGGTGAGGTATACCGAGTTGGAGCGTGTGTCCGGGCATGTTGAGATGAATCGAGCTGCCCGATGTGGGAACGTCTACAAACCAACACCATAACCCATGTCCTGATGGCCAAGGTAGTTATTGCCATGATCATTGCCATCCTGAGCACCAGCGGCTGGAGCAGGAGGAGCTCTATTGAGACGAACGTGTTGAACTGGGTTCACCATGTAATTGAGACCCCCGAATCTGTTCTCGGCGAAGAATGCATTCCCTGCTGGCCAGCGATCAGCAGGCTGGTGCAGATGATCCTCGTTGTGACCCTCTTCGAACCCAAACATATTCGCACCTGCTTGTGCATGGAAGTCAAACTGGAAGTCATCAAGATCAAAGCCCATGGGATCAAAGTGAAAATCGTCAAGGGCGAAACCGCGTGGAGCCGGATTGAGTTGCTGGGCATTGGGTGGAAAGAGACCTGGACGATCCCTTGCAGCTTGAGCGGCATTGAAAGCATCGGCAGCGGCTCTGTGTCTGGCAGCTGCTAGATCAGCGGCAGGTGCTTGAGGGAGGATGGGTGCATGTCCTCTCCTGAGAAGAAGATCCGGACGCACAACCTGAGGATTGGCAGCCTCCTGACGACGACCAAGACGGCGCATACGAGCCACTTCTCCACGGAACAACAGATTTTCAAACTCGTCATCCCACACGGGATTGGCTGGGAAGTTCTGAGGCTGGTTAGTACCAGGCATGGGCTTCTCAACGTTAGACGCGCTGTCGATGTCAAGGTCCGCCTTGTCAATCTCGGGATGCTCGCGCAAAACCTCGGCCTGTGCAGCTTCAGCGGCTGCCTTGACCTCTTGATCATGCATGGCATCAAGAGTTATGTTCTGAGAATATACAGGACACTTTGAACCAGGTGCGTTGAAGTGAGCGTAGTTAGCAGTCACATCCACACCGCACAAATAGCACTGCAGATTACCGCATTGGGAGCAAGTCATCTTGTTGCATCCGTCGCTCTTGATGAATGCTTGTTTGCACTTGTTGCAGTGGCGGATGAGAGCCTTACTTCTGGCTTCCTCGATTCTGTGACGATGGCTGAGGGCAGACTCTTTGTCGCGCTTGCGCTGGTTCTCTTCACAAGAGTCAGGAATGTGCGTTCTGTTCTTGCACTTGCGGCAGCTGGTGATGTTGCAGGCCGGAGATTGACAATGGAACTCAAAGTCGATGTTGATGGGCAGGCAGACAGTCTTGAAGTCACAGAAGGGACAGCTCTCGACATCGTCGATGCCTGCAGTACGAAGATCGTTCTCTTGACGGAGGCGCATGAGTTTGTCTGTCAGTGCATCGGTATCTGGAACTAGACGAAGTTGGGATTCGCTGAAGGTGCCATCACAGCCACCAGGACAGATAAGCTTGAAGCTGCACTGTCCAACTTCCGATTCGAGGTAGGTTTTCATGCAGTCAAAGCATACNAGGGTGCTTGTCTGCTGAGCCGCATATGATGATTTTGTTGGGGGCATACTCATCATAGCAAGCGACACTGCATAAAGATTAGTATTGGAACAGATGCGGACGTGGCGAAGGAAAATCNNGACTTACCATTCTACGACGGTGCCGGTGGCTTTGGCATGCTCCAGAGCCGATTGGTCCTCACGGACCTTTGCGGCAGCCTCGATCTCTTCCTTGATCTTCTGCGTGTTGCTCTTACGGCGCTGAAGATTCAGTCCAATGGCAGCCTTTTGGGCAGACTCGAATTGCTCCTTGATTATGGGAATGTTGGCTCTTTGGTCTTTGGTAGCTTGGAGGCGATCGAAGTTGATGTCTCTGAGAGGTCTCCAGGGGGTCTTGCCGTATGGACAAGGCTCTGTATGCTTTGCTTCATTGAGAGCCAAATAAGTAGGGTAGAGGTGTTTCTTGTCCTTTTGAACCTCTTTGATATACTTGACGGGTATTGTGTTGAACTCATGCTTGAGTACTTCGATGCTGAAGCCTGTTAGATTGAGTGCGGAAAGATGAAGGCTACAAAGCACTCACATAACATCCTTCATCTTACCCGAAAAGATGCACTGAGGATTGAGCAACTTCTCCTTCTCGGCTTCTTCGGCCAGTTTCTGGTCATGCAGTGCGGCTTGTCTAGCTGCTTCTTCGGCAGCGCATTTATCGCTCTCTTTGGGATACTTGCCATCTAGAAGTATGTCCAAGATTCGTTCAAGGTTGTGATGATGAGTGTCGAGCAGTTGGTTGACATGATCATGGGAGACATCAGGTACAACCTCGAGAATTTGGTCAAATTGGCTGCGCTCAGGGGTTGGCGCAGTGTCAGTGATAATGATTGGCTCGTCCTGAGAATCAGGGATCTTCTCGTAAGCGAACGGAAGTTCACTGAAGTCGTACTGGAAAGCAGGACCAAGATCGAGGTCGCCGCTGTCAATGGTCTGAGGGGTAGCTGCGAGCGCGCCTAGTTGAGTCTGTGGAGCAGCATTGCTCTCGTGCTTGACGGAAACAGTGCGCTCTAGTCCTTGCATGTTGTGTTGCTCAAGGTAATCGTCCAGGTCTTGATGTGATGCTCCATGCACTTGGTTGTAGCGCGCCATCTTGTGTGGTCGTGCAAGTCTGGTCGAATCTTCTTCACTCAAATCCGAGTGGATGGAGATGACATCGTGCGGTCTCTTCACAGGCGCCATGACTTACGGACGCCGGCCAGTGCTCTCTTGGTATAGGACGCGGCTGTGCGGACGGGAGTTGCGGCTGCGCACTTGAGAGGACGTGGCCGAATTACTCGGTGCGGCTGAAGAGGACGGACGTATCAGACGGCCAAGATTTCAATGTCCAAAGACTCACGACCACCAATCAGCAAAGAATCCAAGCGGGAGTATGACTGAGAACGAGGAGATATATGCGTTTTCAGAAACGAAGGTGTTGGGATGATTGTTTGGAAAGGCACAAGAAGGAGGATAGGGCGTGTTGACAGCGGAGAGCTGTTCATCGAGACAGCGGGTGTCGGTGGAACTTCAAGAAACTTGCAACTTCACAACCGAGTCGCTTCTCAATGAGGTACGTGCTTTCCTCTCGATACTGAGCACGTACGAGGAGATTGCTAGGGTTATAACGACTGAACAACAGCGCGGGCACTGGGCAGGGAAGGTGCTTGGAAGGAGCCTTGTCATTCCGACAGCCGACGACGGCGTTTACGTGTCACAAGAGCCAGCCAGCAATGCAAAAGCAAGAGGGCGTGAATTACATGGAGTAGCAGGCGGCTAAACCTTGAGAATATACTTGCCTCACCCAACACTGTGGTTCCTTGCTGCAAGTGCAGAGCGGAAAAGGATGGAGCAGCGTTCGAGGTTGTCGAGGCCGCAACTCCAGCTCTCCCAAGCGAGACAATGACGCTGTTCGCAAAGTGCTGGGCTTGCAGCCTATCCCGCTGGCGTGATGACCTGTCAAAGTTGCTTGCTGACCACTAACAAACATCTCATCTACCGTCCTCTAACAAATTCAAATTTCTCATTGAGATATATATCCATCATGTCTGCACAGCTGCCTGATGCTAAGAGCTCCGACATTGAGCTCACCCAACCCACCCACGAAGAAGCCATACAACAAACCAGACTGAACAGCACAGAATGGAAAGGCCCCCTGTCCCTCGATGCATATCTAGGAAGAGAAGAACATCTTGGCAAACAGAAATTAATTCGCGATGGCGGTCTTACACCTTGGGCATTGGTGACAAAAGACGGCAATCCTCGTACTGTGCTTTCGAGCTGTGAGACCATTCGCAAGAAAGCCCTTGTTGCTCAGAACGGCCACGTCAAGGAAGTGATCTGTCATGGTGTCGCTAGCGTTTTCTGTCCTCCAGAGTACCGTGGTAAGGGTTACGCTGGGAGAATGATCAAAGATTTGGGAGAGAAGTTGCAAAGCTGGCAGACCGACGGGCATGATTGCTTGTTCAGTGTACTTTATTCGGACATTGGCAAGGTGAGTTCTGTTAGAACATTCCGGTCATCTTTTGTATCTATGCTCACGTTGACAGNNCAATTCTATGCTGCGCATCAGTGGAAGCCATTCTCGTCGGCCCATGTCTCGCTTCCTCCTTCAAACCACCCCCAACACGACTCTCTTCCGGAAGCGAAACTTTTATACGCTAGCGACCTGGCGGAGCTGTGCGATACTGATTCAGAGCTGGTACGCAAGAAGCTCACCAATGTAGCCTCTTCAGGCAAGACGTTTGCCTCGATCATACCCGATGTCGAAACTTTTACATGGCATCATGCGCGCGAGGAGTTCGTTGCAAAGGAGCTGCATGGAAAGTCTCCCGAAGTCAAAGGAGCCATTGTCGGTAGTGAAAAGGGCAAGCGAGTGTGGTGTGTATGGATGCGCACATGGTACAACAGCGACCCTCAAAGCTCCAAAGACAATACACTGAACATCCTTCGACTCGTTGTGGAGGATCCTGAGTATACCGACTCCTCTGCAGCTTCGGATGAAGGTGTGGAGAAAGCTAAGGGTACATATGTGACCAACGCCATTGCATCACTGTTGGCTGCAGCTCAAGCGGATGCCAGTAAGTGGAATATGGGCGAGGTCAATATCTGGAATTCTACATCTACTACTCTGGCAGCTGCAAAGCAGTTGGATCCCGCAGCACAAGTTATCCACCGCGAAAAGGACAGTATTGCGAGTTTGAGATGGTACGGAGAAGGATCGGTGGACGATGTTCAATGGCTTGATAACGAAAAGTATGCTTGGTGCTGAGTCGACAGACGACACGCAAGTACAGAGACAAGGATGGGGTACCCCATCAGACTAGATTTAGCAAATGCACATGGACGGTACTGCACAAAAGAAGTTCAAGTCGAGCCGGGAGGTGAGATGTCAGCAACAGAAGGCCACAAGATCTGACAAAGAGAGATGGTGGTGCTTCGAGACACGTGAATATTCACGATAAGGAGCAGGCAGATGTGCATGCACGGATGGTCAAACAACAAAAAAGCTGGCCGAGTTCAGAATTTCAATCAACCCCACCCTCGCGGATGGATATAAAGTTGCTTGGTGAGCAGAGGACGGTCAAGGCTTCTTATTGTGGGACAGACGAGCGAGTCGCAAATAGGCCTCTCGCTCGTTCATGTCTTGATCGCGGTGGCTAGATATCTTTGACAGTGTTTACATGAGGCGCAGTCAAATCGGAAGTTGTGGCTGAGTGGTGTCGCAAAGTATATTCTTGACATCACCTCCAAGTCGCAAAGTGCCGAGGAGTGGAGGGGAACGGAAGCAACGAGAGGGCTTGGGAAAACGCGTATCGAGAATAGGAAAGAGCTGCGGGCGATGGGAACAAAGAACTATTGAGAAAGTCGGAGCTGCATGCCCAGTGAAGGGTGGGAGTAAGTTGTCCCAACAAACAAAAAAATCAGAAGGTCAATCGAGCATGTGCAGGCTGCATTGCATCNNGTGATGCGCGCAATCCAGCGGCAGCAATAATAACATGGAAGTTGGAAGCTCGCGGGCGTTTGAAAGTCGTCGTCTGCCAGAATCCTTCCCAGTCTGTTTTCGCGTCGTAATTTCTTCGGCCCTCGACGGCGACAGTGACATTCGCNNACCCCTCAATTGTCTCGCGTATCGGCAATTGATCTGCTTAGCTATTCTTCTTTTCTCGTGCCAGACAATCTCGTCGCCGTTGACCGACATTCTGTCTNNACCCGTAGAGAGAAGAGTCGAGCCGAGANNGCACCCACTTTCGCAGGCTGCTGTCTCCGCTGCTCCACCAAAACACAAGGCCGAGCAAGCCAAAGCCAAAGCCCTCATTCAAGCCACACCCTTTCTCCTCTCCTCATTCTTCAAAACAACAACACACTGACCATTGCTATTCTTCTCGCCCTCACGACCGCGACTTTCGCCCCCTGTCGCCTTCGTCCAGGGAGTCCCTCTCTCTTTCGCGTTCGGTCGGTGATATTCCGGCGCGCGCTCCTATCCCCCTCACATCGCGTGCGGCTTCTGCACCCACAAGGTGTATGCCTGTTAGACGACGTCAACCATGAGCAACAACGAGGATGCCGCCATCAGCGACCTTTGTCGCAAGATTGAGCGCGAGAAGACCCTGATCGCCGGCTTCAACTCCATGCGACAGGCCACAAACAACAGCCAGGTCAACTCGCGTATTGACTCGCAGGTTCGCGATGCCCAAAGGAACCTCAAGTACTTCGAAAAGACCCTGCAAGATCTGCAGTCTCGCAAGCTGGGAGATCACATGTCCAACATGAATCTCAACAACGACGCAGGCCCGCCGCCGCCCTCGCACCAAGACGACCAACAAGACCCTGGTAGCTACGGAGCTCCCGGTCCTGGCGGATACAGCCAGGGCGGCGGCAACGGTCTGATGCCTCCTCGCGCACCTTACGCCCCTCCGGCACCCGGTCAAAACGCTCTCAAGAACAGGCCCAATTACAGCCGACTGGACCTCATCAAGGCCGAAACACCTCATCTCGGCCCGCGCATCCAGCTCATGCTGTCACAACTCGAGTTCAAGCTGAGCGTCGAGAAACAGTACAAAGATGGTATCGAGAAGATGGTACGCTTGTACCAGCTCGAAGGAGATCGCAAGAGCAGGGCTGAAGCGGAAGGTCGTCGCATCGAGAGTAGCCAAAAGATTCACCTTCTCAAGCAGGCTTTGAAGCGCCACGAAGACTTGCACGTCGCCGACATCAGCACCGACATGCAAGACGACGACAGTCTGAATATCCCCAGTCAGCGCAAACCCCTCAGCGGATACCTATCTATTCGCATTCAGGCCATTGCCGACGTCGATCATGCCGCGACGGGTAGATTCTCGCGCGGCCCAGAGACATTCGTCATTCTCAAGGTCGAGGACAGCTTCAAGGGCCGCACCAAGGCTACACGAACGGATCGCTGGACCGATGAGCAACACGACTTCGACATTGACAAGGCCAACGAAATCGAGTTGACAGTATACGACAAGGCAGGCGAACACCCCATGCCAATTGGTATGTTGTGGGTACGCATCTCGGACATTGCAGAGGAAATGCGTCGCAAACGCATTGAGACCGAGGTTAAGAACTCTGGTTGGATCTCTGCAGACCACATGGGCGACTCGGGTGCGCGCCCCGACATGCAATTCTCTCCTCCTCCTGGAAGCTCTGGTGCAGGCTCTGCACATGCCGGACAGCAAGGTCCTTCAGGTGGCTTTGGAGGCGGTCCGACACCATTGACCAACCCTGTTGTCATTGACGACTGGTTCTCGCTTGAGCCTGTCGGCAAAATCAAGCTCAACTTGAGTTTCGGTTTGTCGCTCGTCTCCACTTCTGCCTCCATACAGCTAACATTTCGCANNGTCAAACAAACGCGCGAACGCAGACCATTCGACGTTGGGCTTGGGCGCAAGGGCGCTGTCCGTCAGCGCAAGGAAGACGCCGTCGAGCAATACGGCCACAAGTTTGTGCAGCAGACTTTCTACAACGTCATGCGCTGCTCGCTGTGCGGTGACTTCCTCAAATACACGGCCGGTATGCAGTGTTCGGACTGCAGACTGACATGCCACAAGAAGTGCTATCCAAGCGTCGTCACAAAGTGTATCAGCAAGTCCAATGCCGAATCCGATCCTGACGAGGAGAAAATCAACCACCGCATCCCTCATCGTTTCGAAGCCTTCTCCAACATGGGCGCCAATTGGTGCTGCCACTGTGGTTACATGCTGCCACTCGGAAGAAAACAAGCTCGCAAGTGTACCGAGTGTAGTTCGACATGCCACAACAACTGTATCCACTTTGTCCCAGACTTCTGCGGCATCTCGAACGAGAAAGCCAACGAGATTTTGGGAGAGATCCGCAGAGCAACAAAGGGTCGCCAGGGCACCAGCATGTCGGAGCGCAAGTTGCGTCCTGGTACTGCAAGCAGTGTCAGACCCCCAGCTCAACCCTCTCAGCCTTCCTACATGCCTACGCCTTCTCACCAGGATCAGGCCTCGAACCCCCAGGATAGGCCGCTCTCCTATGGTAAAGACCGCATGTCCGACGCATACGACGCCCCTCCTCCGCGAACCTCGCAATACGGTGCTCCCGCTACCTCGGTCGACGCTGCTCGTGCATCTTTCGCCGCTCCTCCATCTCCTCAACAACCAGAAGCTCGTCCACCACCCGCTCACCGTCAATACTCGTCTCAGTCTGCTGCAGCTGCAGCCGCCGCCGCTCTGTCAGGCAAGCGTTCGTCCGCTGCAGAACAACGAATTCCACCATACAACCGCACTTCTACCGACTACCAGAAGCAGCAACAACAATTACAACAGCAGCAGCAACAGCAGCCGCAGCAGCCGAGCCAAAGAAGCTCCACCTCATCCAGCAGTACCGAGCAATATCCCCAGCAGAGGAACTCTCAGCCACAGCCTGCAGGCTACAATCCAGCAGACTATGCTGCTGTCAGTGGTTTCCCAGTTCAGCCTCTTCAGCAACCTCCTCAACAAGCTCAACCTCCTCGCCAGCAGTATCCTCCAGCCTCAGCTCCCACTCCACCTCCTACCACTACACCCACATCACCACCAAGCAAGACTGCAACATCCATGGGACCTCCTGCAAGAAAAACTCAAGGTGGCAACGTCCGTGTTGGTCTCGATCACTTCAACTTCCTTGCTGTCCTTGGTAAAGGTAACTTCGGTAAGGTCATGCTCGCCGAGACAAAGCAGTCCAAGCAATTATATGCCATCAAGGTTCTGAAGAAGGAGTTCATCATTGAGAACGATGAAGTTGAGAGCACAAGATCAGAAAAGCGTGTCTTCTTGATCGCCAACAAGGAGAGGCATCCTTTCCTAACCAACCTCCATGCTTGTTTCCAAACCGAGACCAGAATCTACTTTGTCATGGAGTACATCAGCGGTGGTGATCTGATGTTGCACATCCAGCGTGGCCAATTTGGCACCAAGCGTGCTCAGTAAGTTTCGAACTCCGGCGTGATGTGAACATCGCTAACAATAACAGATNTCTACGCTGCTGAAGTCTGTCTGGCGCTGAAGTACTTCCACGAGAACGGTGTCATCTACCGTGACTTGAAGCTTGACAACATTCTCTTAACTCTGGACGGTCATATCAAGATTGCTGATTATGGTCTCTGTAAAGAAGACATGTGGTACGGCAGCACGACTAGCACATTCTGCGGTACTCCCGAGTTTATGGCGCCTGAGGTTTGTAATCCTCTATTTGCTTTCCACAATCTTTTCTGACCGTTCATGACAGNNATTCTTCTCGACAAGAAATACGGCCGTGCTGTCGATTGGTGGGCCTTTGGTGTCCTCATCTACCAGATGCTTCTTCAACAATCTCCATTCCGAGGCGAGGACGAAGACGAAATCTACGATGCCATTTTGGCAGACGAGCCCCTCTATCCCATCCATATGCCGCGCGACTCGGTATCAATTCTTCAAAAGCTCCTCACACGCGAACCCGAGCTCCGTCTTGGCAGTGGACCAACAGATGCTCAAGAGATCATGAGCCATCCCTTCTTCAAGAACATCAACTGGGAGGACATTTATCACAAGCGTGTGCCTCCACCATTCTTGCCCACTATCAAGGGCAAGGCTGATACCAGCAACTTCGACTCTGAGTTTACAAGCGTAACTCCTGTGCTCACACCTGTACAGTCCGTCTTGACCCAAGGCATGCAGGAAGAGTTCAGAGGATTCTCATACACTGCCGATTTCGTTTGAGCTCAACCAGGAATAGTATCCTTTGTGAACAAGCAATATACCGGGCCAGTTCTTCGATGAAGGTGAACTATCACTATTCTCGGATGGAACCCAACAACGGCACGCACTCATTGATCAATATTATCACCACCATCACGGTATGATTATTCTTCATCACATCGCTTTCTGCTTTATCATACACACACCAGATGTAGGCAAAAGTAATGCTCAACAGGAACTTCAGGCAGAGGAGATAACGCCATCAAGGCTAGGCACGGCAGCATGTTAGACAGGAAGACATGGGCAGATACGTGAAGAGGAGGCACATCTGGTGACTACGATTGGAGACTTGTCCTTGTTTTTTGTTTGGACGAAGAGAACAAGTCGCGAATTACGAATATAGAGACTTAACATCACACACGTCGTAATGGCATATGACATTAGTGAATGACGAAGAACATTCTTTTGCATTCCCATGCGATCTTTGCTCTTGAAATGTTGTTATACCTGGCCTAGGCCCGGAGAGGCTTCGAAGTGGGTTTGGAGAGAAAGTTATCCCCACTGCTCTGACTTGCAGGCGTAGCAACAAAACCTAGTCGAGTCTTGTAGAGCCACTGCGACAATGATTCTTGTCCCTACATTGTTTTTTACCAATACAATCAAGGCGTGCGCAATGTACTGGCTCATGTGATGTCGATGGTTGCATGTTTTAAAATTGGCGCCACTGACTCGCAATGAAACCGTTGCGGGGAGAGCTCAACCAAGATGGATGTCACCGTTAGGCTTTTGCTGGAGCCTACGCGACGCAGCAGTCGTTCTTGTTTCCTCTCTGAACATGTTACAACTACATACCTTCAACGTATACCAAACTCAGGTCTGAAACCGTCGCAAGTTCTTTGCCAAGCTGTCACTCAAGCGACAACACCGTCACATCCACTTGATCGCTGCTCGACACTTTCTACGAACGATTCGGAACTCCGTCTCACCAAAACATCAAGGTGTTTCGACTTCCATAATGGGTGGTGGACAGGAGATCCCTCACAGACATGCCTCAACTCAACCACCCGTATCAGAGCCACAATGGAACAGAGGACTCTGGGGTCTCGTCGACATGGGAAGTAATGGTATTCGCCTTTCGATAACAGACCAAAGCGCGCCCACAACTCGTGTTCTACCTACTGTCTACGCATACCGCAACAAGATCTCTCTCTACGAAGCTCAGTATGACGAAGATGGAAACAAAGTTCCCATCTCTGCTGCCGTGATGGATGATGTTGTCTCCATGCTCCTCAGGTTCCAGATCTTCTGTGCAGATTTCAGGGTCCCGCCCGAGCAGATTGAGATTGTTGCTACCGAGGCCACCAGAGCTGCTATTAACTCAAAAGAGTTTTGTGAANAAATCAGAAAGGAGACCGGCATCAAGATGACTCTACTTTCCAAAGAGGATGAAGGTAGAATTGGTGCTTACGGTGTTGCTAGCTCATTTTCTGCTGTCCGTGGCTTGGTCATGGATATGGGAGGCGGCAGTACGCAGATTACTTGGATGATCGCCAAGGAAGGCGAGACAAAGATTAGCCCTGTCAGTGCGGTGAGTTTCCCCTACGGTGCCGCTGCTCTGACTAGAAGACTTGAAGAGTTGAAGAAGGGAAAGAGTAAGCATGAGGCGCATAAAGCTCGTGAAGAGTTTCGTGCTCAAGTCAAGGCACAATTTCAGGAGGCGTATAGCAAGATTCAGGTTCCACATGAACTTGTTAAGGATGCCACAAAGAACGGAGGCTTCAGACTTTACCTGACTGGTGGAGGGTTCCGTGGTTGGGGCTACCTCTTGCTTCACCATGAACAGGTGGCTGGTGGTGGCTATCCCTTCTCTATTATCAACGGATTTACAGCACAAAAGGACGAATTTGAGGACACCGAAAAGATGAAGCAAATCGCCGAGGAGGCCAAAGAGATTTTTCGCGTGTCCGATCGTCGTCGGGCTCAGGTACCTGCTGTCTCCTTCTTGGTCAGCATTCTTGCCGAAGCAATTCCTCACGGCATTCGCGAAGCCCACTTCTGTCAAGGAGGTGTCCGCGAAGGTGTCCTCTACAATCGTCTCCACCCCGAGATCCGCGCTCAGGATCCTTTGGAAGTAGCGACCCGCGACATGGCAAAACCCATCTCACCAAAACTCGCCGCTCTGGTCACACAATCCCTTCCCGCTCTCACAGAAGGACATAACGGCGTCCCCGAGTCGATTGATGTACACATGATCAGGGCATTCGCAAACATGTTTTACTTCCACGCCAACATGAACAAGGAAGTCTCTTCTACATCTGCATTGTACAGCACAGGTACTGGCATCTTATGTTCGACACATGGATCTTCGCATGCAGATAGAGCCTTACTGGCCCTCATGCTCGAAGCTCGCTACGAAGGCGAGCTTGCTCCCCGCGAAGCCGACTACCGTGATCAGCTTATTCGCCTGGTGTCAAATGAAGAAGCATGGTGGACGCAATATATCGGTGTGATTGGGCTTATCTTATCTCGCGCTTTCCCCGCCGGTGTCATCCAAGACGACTTGTATGATGCTGCTCACAAGACCATCCTCAAGAAGCCCGAGATACGCATCTCGTCTGAATATGTTCATACACTGGGCAAGAAGCGCAACAAGGAGGGATTGATGGTTACATTCACATTGGTCTGGGCAACAGAGAATAGAGATGATCCTATGGAGGTCAAGGAGACATTGGGGAGACATCTGAAAAATCTTGTAAAGGTTGGCAAGAAGAAGCATGCAATCAATGGATGGAGGATCAAGATCGGAGCCCAGGTCAAGGATGATTATCCAAACGATCTGCAGAGATCATGATGATGATGATCGCTCATGGCTGGGGAGGAGTTTGGGCAACGTGGCTCGCATGAATATAGGAAAGTGCTAATATCAAATCTGTTCGATACGAGGTCTTGACTGCTGCTTTCTCCGAGCATGATTGGAGTGGAGTCTGACAAAGCATACAGTGAAATTAATAATGCGTGCCAAGATCAACGAAGCACTGTGAGTAGCCGCTGGGCCTTGTATCACCTCTGCTTACACAGCGCCGAGAACACCCAGCAAGAGACGTATATCAGAATATCAGATTGTGCTCCGAGAAAGGAAGGAAACATACGATGCCCTTGAGGCAACGGCTTTAGCTCTGTCCCTCTCCCCACGAAGCCTCGGCTCAGAACACGCCGAACGCATATAAAAGATACGTACACTTCGACCATTGTTAAACAAGAGAAACTCTCCATCTTTTGAATCCAACATACATCTCCATATTATTATATATCTTGTCACATATCTCGCATCATGTCCTCCTCCTTTGAGGAAAGGTTTAAGCAAGCCGTCAAAGATGGCGTCTTCCCCGGTGCCATCTTGATGGCCAAAGACAAGTCTGGTAAACATCTCATCGCGTCCGCTCGTTCGACAGAGTAAGCATCAGAGGTCTAACGCTTACTCTTCGAACAGNGTAAACTGGACTATGCCAAAGTCTTTGGCAACACTTGCATTGGCGACGATGCCAAACCTCTGCAACTCAACAGTATCCTCTTCCTGGCCTCGATGACAAAACTTCTCACTTCAATTGCCGCAATGCAAATCGTCGAAAAAGGCTTGATATCTTTGGATACAGATGTCGGTCCTTATATCCCTGAATTGGCTGCTCAACCTATCTTGCATGGCTTCGATGACAACGACAAACCAATTCTTACGAAACGCAAAAACACGATTAAGTTCGTACAACTGCTTACTCACTCTGCGGGAACCTCTTATGATAAGATGGTTCCCATGCTGGAAAAATACAGAGAAAGTATTGGTGACAACCCGAAAGACAGAACAACGATGAAAGGCAAATGCGTGTATCCTCTTCTTNTTGAGCCGGGCACTCACTGGACCTATGGTACTGGCATTGACTGGGCAGGCAAAGTGATTGAGAAGGTTACAAAACAGTCCTTACAAGACTATTTGCAGGAAAACGTCTTTGCTCCTTTCGGTATTGACAGGATAAAGTTTACACCTTATCTGACCGAAGAGTTGAGGAAAGAAGCAGCGACCATTGCACTCAGGATCCCTAGCGGCGACCTTGTCAATCTACCCGTAAACAAAAACATTGATTACAAAGATGCCGAGTGTTTCGGTGGCCACGGTTGTTACGCCGACATGGCAAACTACATCAAGATCCTAGAATCTCTGCTTTCGGACGACGAGAAATTACTGAGCAAGGCCAGTACTGCGGTCATGTTTTCTCCCCACCTAACTTCCGAGTCAAGAAAAGGCATCAAGAAAGTTTTTGGCATGAAGGAAGTGGTCAGCCTATTCGTCGGCAAGTTCCCAGAAAACGTCACCTATGATTGGGGTATTGGTGGTGTGTTGGTCGATAGTGGGGATGACGATCACAGAAAGCAGGGCACCATGATCTGGAGCGGTATGCCGAACAACTTCTGGTTTGTCGATAGAGAAAAGGGTGTTTGTGGGCTGTTTGGCACGCAGGTGTATCCGCCTGGTGATGGTAAAGTTGGAGAGATGATTGATTTGTTCGAGAGGGAGGTTTATGCCAGGGCCGGTGCTGATGGAGGTGCGAAGTTGTGATCGTCTTCGTTGCCGTTTGATTATCATATAAGGTGGATGGATGCTACGCTAATTCGTATTACCGAAATACAAGCCATCTAGATTCAAAGCATCACTGGTTGCATAATGATGGCTGTAGAGCTTCTTGTGAAAGGAATCGTTAAAGCTATCTCACACACTCTACACTGGACACATCGAATAGTGAGAAGTAGCAGAGCACTATCGAACAAGCACGTGAAAGGAAGATTCTCTCCAAGTGAGCAATTCTTTCGTGGTTGGCTGCTCAGCAATGCATTTCCAAATGCCTACCAAGTTTCACACCCAGCCCGCGATGAATCCTACCCTTACTTCAAACCATCACAACACCACCGATTCTTGACCAAAAAGATGAAAGTCAGCTCAGAAGATGCGCAATCTCTGGCTCTTCATCCTTGTCTATTTAGAAAATGCAAAGGGGCGCAGGAAGGTCGTAACAGGGCAAAAGCATCGACGCCTGTGTGATTCGAACACACGCTCCCGAAGGAAATGCCTTAGCAGGGCATCGCGTTAACCACTCCGCCAAAGCGCCTTAGAGAAATCCCGAAGTTGGTTAGACTCCGCTAGATGAAGTGTGGGGTAATATTTGATAAATATATACTTCAACAACTTTGAGCGCCATGGTAAAACTAATCGCTGCCAGGTCAATCTCTTTTTTTTTTTTTTTCTTTTTGGAACGAACTGAAATGTAGCACCTCGTGATGTCTGCAATCTACGTTGGCATTTGAGGTTCGCAGATCAAATTGGCACTGCAAGAGGCTTTGCTGAGTGGTCAGAATCAAAAATCGGCAGAGATGGACACAGTCAATCTGATGGTGTCTATTATCGTGCCAGGATTAGCATCAAGACTTGATTGTTTCGAATTACGCTCGACTACAGACCACCGAAGCTGCCTCTGCCTCTGCCTTCTCTGATCCTTGCAAGACAGTACCAAAGACAACTAAGGATACAGAGACCAGCTCCAACCCAGCTGTGCGCAGGCATCTTGAACTTGCTCAACACTACAATCTGGAAGACACTTCTCGGCAGTGAGACAAAGTTGGCTGATAGAGGAGATGTGGCTTTCACCAGAAGCAGGAAAGACGAGAAGACACCGAAGCCGCCAAGCGATGCGCAGGACATGAGGAACCAGAACCAAGGTACATCCAAGAAGTAACAGTTGCGGCTGATTTGCCTGAGCTCACCAGATATGAGAACAAACGGAATGAGCATGACTATTGTGAGCGAGGATGTGTAGTGTAGGGCTCTCCAGTACGCGCGTGTCTCTTCTTTCGTGCCTGTGCTGACAGTTGAGGTTTGCGAGTCTGTGGCACTGAGTAAATCACCTTGCGGTACTAAGTCGGAGACTAGCTGGCGGTATCCACGAAGGAGAAGGACTGGGTATAGAGCAACGAAAAGCGAACTGGAAACACCAGCGACTACCGACTCCCAAGGGTCGCGTTCTCCAGACCGAATACTAGTCATGAGCAAGTTCATGGTTGCGATTATGGCGGCTGACATGGTCTGGATCGAGTGTTGCTGGCGAAGCAAGACGGCAGTGAGTATCAGGGTCAAAGGGACTATGGCAATCCTTGAGATCATGTACATTGGCATGACAGCATAGGCAAGGGAGATGTTGGACAGAACAATTCTGCCAAGAAAGACGATAGCGGCGGGAAGGACGTGCTTGGCCGCATTGCGCTGGTACTCGAACAGACCACCTCCCGCGATGCCTCCTGAACCGTGCAGGAACCAGTGAGAAATGTTGGAAAAGACGGATTTTGTTCTCAAGCCTCCAGTATACCTCGTAGGTCTATTTCCCTTGTTGTAAGCTCGAGAAGGAGCGACAATGTTACCAAGACCGATGGTTCGTAGCGGACCAGCAAGCCCTCGAGTCAGAGCAGCGAAGCCCAGCAGAAAGAGATGAGTTATACAGAGTTGCAACAGCGTCAAAGTGAGTGGATAAGGGAACTTGTAAGTGCCCGTCCAGAGTATGAATCTGTTCATGAGCAGCGTGCCGAATTGACAACCGCCAACCCAGAAGACCAAGAAAGCCAGGTAGATGCGCCAACCTACAGAGGTGCCAAATAGAAATTGACCAACTCCACCCTTCTGGAAGATACGTTGTGCACTGCTGCGCTCACGGGCGCTGTCGTCTTTTGTGACCAAGTGTCTGGTCTGAGAGATGGTTCGCAGCTCGTACTCTTCATCGTCTTCAGATTGTGCNAACCTTTTGAGCTCTCGCGAGGGGTGACGGTGACCGCGACACGTTGACCAGGGGAATTGTAGCGCTTGCTATGGATCCGGATGGACTCGGCTGTGCATTGAAGCTTGAGACAGTAGGTGTCTCGTCCATGATAGTCGGTAGAGGNNCGGTGGGTCGGGAGTATGGCGTTGTGCTTCGGTGTCAGAGTCGTCTAGCGATAGACTTCTTCGACGCGTTGCATGAGTGAAGTTGTTCGAGGTGCCGAGAAGCGAAGATGGCGGTTTGAAGAAGCTATTGGATGCGAATGGATTTGGACGGTTCATAGAGACATGTGGCTGCCTCGAACTTTGAGGCTACAATGTATTTTGGCGGTTTTGCTCGTGTTTACCCGTGGTAGGACTGGCTGACGACGCTTTTGGCGAAGGTAGATTAAGAACTCGACAGTCTCACTGACGCAGCTCAGGCGGTTTTTTTTGAAGGAAGTCAATTGTATTGAAGCATTACTAGAAGAGAGGATACTCCTCCGTGACCGATTGGTAGACGAGTAGCTCATGATATGGCAATCTAATTTCGCAAAGCAAGAGCCTCATGCCTCACCTCCGTCCTCTGTCCGCAACGATTCAATTCTCTTGGCCGTGGTCAGGGTCCACACGCTTGCTCAAAGCGGAAGGCGCTAACTCCGACGATCCTTCCTCCACCACCTCCTCTACCCGAGTATCGCAAAACAATAACTTCGAGATATCGCCATCTCGCTCTCGTCGCTACATCTTTAGTGTCGCGCTTCATCCCTACTTGCCTGAACTACCATGGCTGATCTGTCTAACTTTACTTCCGTCTTCAATTCCAACATCAATAAGAATCGCGTCGCAAAACGAAACCGCCGTCCTCTATCATGTTCGACGTGTCGAGAACGCAAACTCAAGTGTGACCGTCAACAACCATGCAGTTCTTGTGTCAAACGAGCTGAATCTGCCACATGCGCATACACCTCCGCCACCACTCACAAGGAGTCGAAGCCTCGCTCCCTCAATAATGATGCTGCTAACCGCTTACAACATCTTGAGAATATGGTAAACGGCCTGATGCATGCTGCACCCATGAGCACATTTATTGCCACACCTCCGAGTTCCACCGTCTCCCCTCGGATTGATATTCCTGCATCTCATGAAGTGTCTGCTGGCGGCCATCTGAACCAACAAGGAAATCAAGTCAACTACATTGGTGGAACTCATTGGGCCTCCATTCTAGAGAGTATCCATGAAATTCGCTCTGTTATGGACTCTGAAATGCAATCTGAGCCAGCGCAATCAACAGAATCAACACAACAAGCAGACCCCTTGTTTGGCCAGAAAGAGCTGCTGACTATCGATCAAGTCCTCGCTGCACTTCCAGAACGCCACAGAGTTGACAACCTTGTCGCGTCTTATTTCAAAGAGTCCATGTTATCTTTGACTTTTATCCACAGTGGAAAATTCCGAAAAGAATACGACGCCTTTTGGAGAGATCCCTCTTCAGCAAGTTTTTGTTGGCTGAGTATTCTCTTCTCCATCATGTTCATGGCAGGAAAACTTGCCAGGGCAAGAGGTGACCCTACGCCTCCTGTCGAGCCATGTAACACCAGAATGACTGGGTCTTTGCGAACGGCTGCAAAATGTCTCGTCACCGGTCAATACCTCAAACCTCAACCGTACGCTGTCGAAGCACTATTGGTCCATTTCCATTGTATTTATGCTCTCCATGCGGATCCCGAAATCCAACCATGGCCAATCCTCACCATGGCAACAAGACTTGCACAGAAGATGGGTTATCACCGCGATCCCAAACATCTGTCATCAAGGCTCTCTCCCTTCGAAAGCGAAATGCGACGTCGAGCGTGGTACTATATTGAGATATTTGATGTTACCATGTCAGCCAACCAGGGTATCCCTGCCATGATCAACGAAGATGAATGCGATTGTCAATTCCCTGTTAACCTGCTGGACGAGGATTTCGACGAGCATACTACAATCTTACCACCCNCTCGATCCGATACAACCTACATTCCCATGCTCTTCTTCACATCGAAGGCGAAAGCCTTGCGTATTTTGCGCCCTATCATCCGACATGCCTTGTCCAGCCGAAGGTATGACGTGGAAGAGACCAACCATCTTCACGAGAGTCTTGAAAGAAGCCATCAAAACATTCCGCCATCCTTGCGTATTCGTACTATTGCAGAGACCAGTTTTGTCGATCAAGACTATCTAATCATGCAACGTTTCATGCTTGAGCTACAGTATCTCAAGGGACTGTGCATCCTCCATAGACCTNTTTTGACCTGCAGGAAAGACGATCCTGCCTTCGAAAGATCAAGAGAGATCTGTGTGAATTCTGCACTGAGACAGATTGATCTACAGAATGATTACTTCGAAGCTCTGCAACCACAAGGGAGACTGTACCAGAGCAGATGGATGTTCACCAATATCACCCTTCACGAGCAGTTTGCAGCAGCCATGATTATTTGTCTGGATCTGAACGAGTCCACGACTCAAAGGTATGCATGTTTCAATGCGTATGATTAAATCTAGTCGACTAATTGATCTGAANGCGCCGTATCAAGGAAACGTAAGTTCGAGGCACTTCAAAAAGCCCAGCACTTCTGGTCTACGAAAAAGCCTACCTACCGAGATGCTGTCCGTGCAAGTCATGTCCTGGGTGTCATGTTAGCAAAATTGACCCGTGACTTACTTGCTGTTGGCGTTGAGGGTTCTTATCGTTCTACCACGGCAGACAATGCTCTCATTCCTCAACAACAAATTACACCGCCTCAAGATGCTTCTTACGATATGACTGAAATAACATCCTTGGAGAATCTATTTGACAATCCTGACATGTTGAACTGGGTAAGCGTTCTACATGAGATAATATGGACTAATACTGATGTGTGTACAGNNAACGACATCGACAGCTACTTGGTCGATTATAGTGGCATTGAGATGCCAGAAATTGTAACATAAGACTGACGTTGGAAAAGGTGAGAGGATCATGATGCTGCCCATCATGCTACAGTGACATGATTCCACTCAAGATGTGATCATGATGACGCATACCATGCCAAGATATTGGTAAACGTCCAAGCTCAATCTTTCCACCCACAACAACGATGCACTCTCGACCAGTTTGCCATGAGCCAGACTGAAGTTGCTCAAAGACCGCGGAAGCTACGGCGTAATCGACGTGCCTGTGACCAGTGCAGTGCTCGTAGTGTCAAATGCCGACCGACTGATGGGGAGCTTGGGCAGTGTCAGAACTGTATTGATTATGGCGAGACTTGCACTTCCCTCCGCCCTATGGCACGGCGTGGCCCCAAGCCGAGATCAGCAAGGTCTACAACAAGCCAGCCGAGAGCTGATACGCAAGAAGTGACTTCCGCCCGCAACCCAGCACAAGCTCAGGTATCCCCCTCGAGTCAAGATACAGCGCTCGACACCTCCGTATGGAAGCCGAGGATGATGCCTCCACAAGCGATTGTGATGGACTTGACCGAAATCTATTTCGAGGTCGTCTACCCGGTCTTTCCGTATTTTCATCGACCTACATTGTTGCGAAGGGTTTCTCGTGGAGAATATGCTACAAGTCGACCGCTCTTTGCTTCGGTTCTTGCGATGTGTGCGCTTTCATCGGCTCGTGTGCGTGATGGTGCGCTGTACACTGGCAGATGGGATGCGAATTCACTAAAGAGCCCGTCTTCCGAAGAGCTGTTCCAAGCTGCTAGACAGGCTATACCTCCAGATGCCGCATTATCGCAGGATTTTGATTACATGCGAGCTTATGCTTTACTCGCCATCACTTCTATACAATACGGAGATACTCCTCGGATGAACTACTATCTCGGTCTCTACCATAGCTTCGTTGCTGTAGGTATGCTGCAGGACGAAAACAATTGGCCGTCCGGACTCGCACATGTCGAGATCGAGGAGCGAAGAAGGCTCTTCTGGTCTATGTATACCCTGGACATCTTCTCTTCCATCATCTGGGGTGGTTTCCCCAAGAGCAGAGAAGCTTGCTTCAATGTTTGTTATCCCGCCGAATGTGATGACGAGTATTTCAGCGACGCGAATCCTGTAACAACAGAGCACATACATACCGCCCCCAGCTGGGTGAAAGGATGGAACTTCGTCACAGATTTATACCGTATACTCGAACATGCAGTCGATCGTCTTGGGAATCTACGATATCCGGTACAGCGTACACCCTCTGTCATGAGCTATATTGAGCAAGGGAGTCCCCGGCAGGCTTCAACTCTCACCAACATCATGACACTCTACGAACAATTACCGCCCATCTTCAAAACAACCCAACCGTTAACGGGCAGACTCGAGAAAGATCTTTTCGGCTTCCAAGCCGCGAATATCGCCGCTTCGCTGCAACTCGTCCGCATGGTCCTGTTCACCACTGATAACTCGACTGTAGACCAAAAGTGTCAGATCGCGAGCGAAGTCATCAATGGATTCGCCAGTGTTCCTGTGGCTTACCTTCGGGCCATCAGTTCACCTCTCTTCCATCATCTAGCGGGTATTGGGAGTATCATGGGCTCGGCTTTTGAGAACGGTCTCACCGAATCGTCATATCGACGAGTACGCTCAGTATTGCTGGATCTTGCGAACCTTCTGGCGAACCTAGAAGTCGATTTGTACTGCGCTGCAGGGACGAGCGACAAGTTGCGAGCTCAGGTTTCCCGAATTGACGAGTTTATGAAGATACAACGGTCAGTGGATGCGAGCGGGACAGCTGGAGGATTGACACCATGGACGCATCATCCCAACCCTGAGTTGTTGTCACCAGGTCTACAGCAGCAACTCGCAATGTCTGAAAATTCACCACAAATACATTTTCCGGCAGAGCTCTTCGAAAATTGGTCTTGGGCGTTTGATTTCAATTAGAGATGTATTTTTCTCATGACATATGACCCATTCCTGGACTAGTTCTTTTTTTTTCTCTACTAAAATCTAAAGAACAGATCTGCAGGATTCTTCGCTGATTGTTGTCCTACTCAAACATGTGTCAACTCGTCGTGTGAACAGTCAAGTTCCTTTTCCTTTGACAACCTTTCTTCCTTGGCGAGCATGTCCTTGTTCTCAGCATAAGCCTTCTCCATCTGCCAGTAGAAAGGCGAAGTGGTGAACATGGCTTCAATAGATTCCAAAGAGCGATTGCTGGTCTCAGGGTACACTAGGTAGACGATGCCGATCCAGATAAAGTTCAGTCCAGCAAAAGGAAATATGTGCGACTCTGTGAATCTCTGTCAGTGACTATCAAAAACACGCTTGTTGCAAGGGGGTCCAAGGATACATGACCCGCTCACCACCTCCCCGAGTGCGATTGTCTGCAACGCGTGCGGCCGTAAAAATGCACAATACTAATAGAAAATAGGATAGTGTTCACTGAGAAGCGATTTCTCCTCAGCTCTCTCTGGCCATATCCTATTTCTGAATATAGTTGTGCATGTTCATAGCCGCACGCGTTACAAACAATCGCACTCGGGGAGGCAGCAAAGAAGATCTAGTGTGGGGCTGGCTCATGTTTGCTTGGAGCCACTTGTTGGTTCTGGTGGAAAGCATACCTGAATATTCTCAAACATGATTGGATTGACGAGAACAGTCCAGCCTACACCGATCGCCCAGCCAGTGATACCGAACCCGTTTCCTTGTGCTCGCATTCTGCTTGGGAAGATTTCTGTGGGGATCAGGAAGGCGACGGTGCCCCAGGTGGATGCGTAGATGAGGTTGAAGAGGAAGAGCATGGTTACTGCGGCAGGAGCGATGCTAGCTGCCTTGGAGGGATCGTGACGAGAGGCTTCGTAGAGCGAAGCGGCCNNTATGGCAGAATGTTAGTCGATTTCCGTATAAAAGGTCGAGAGACTTACGATCAGGTTCACAGCGAACAAGCCAGCAGCTCCCCACATCAGACACTTGCGTCTTCCGAATTTGTCGACGACTTGTGCAGATATGATAGTGCCGATGATACCGATGGTGTTCAGACCACCCGCAAGTCCGTTCTGCTTGATCTGACTGTAACCAGCCTGTCGCAGCAGAACTGGACTGTAAGCAGTAACAGCAGTGATGCCCGTCCAACTCGCCATGATCTGCAGCCAAATGCACAGCCAAGCTCTGCGACCCAAATGAGCACCCTTGTCCTTGTCAAGCCCAAACATGATCTTGATGAACTCGATGGGAGAAGCAGGTTTGGTATCTTCAGCCATAGCGACGATCTCGTTGAATTCCTGCTCTACGGCTTCAGGGTTGGTAGATCCACGGACATGAGAGAGGACTTCGCGTGCTTCTTCGATTCTGCCTACGGAAGCGAGGTAGCGAGGGNNGGAATCGGGCAGCATCTTGATGCCTGCGAGAAGGAGTAGAGCGGGGACACATTGGAAAGCGAGCAGGAAGCGCCAGCGCAGAGCAGAGTATCCGTGGTTGACGAAGGAGAGACCAAAGTCGAGCCAGTAGGCGACGGAGATGCCGAGATAGTTTGCGATGAAGACGTAACCTAGGAAGCCACCACGGTGTTCTGCGCTGGAGACTTCTGAGACGAGGACGGGGGTGATACCGGTGAGTGCNTGTTGATGGTCAAGGTGGTCAGAGATGTGTCTTTGTTAGTGATGAAAGGGGGTTGTAGGCTTACCTCCTGTACCGAGACCTGTGACCACACGAGCAACGAGGATGAAATCAGCACTCTGGGTGGCAGCTTGCAGAGCACCTCCAATGAGAGCGAAGACGGCAGCAAAGAAGAGGCCATTGATTCTTCCGATACGATCGGCTGCCCATCCACCGACGAAACAACCAACGATGGCACCAAGATAGTANCTACAGAATTGGATCAGCTCACGGCTCTTGTCAATCAGGAGATGTAGGGTTCGACTTACGATACTGACGATGCCTCCCTGCTTAGTAGTGTTCGTCACAGTGCCGTCAGGCATACCGATCTTAACCTCTGTGACATAGTTAGGCGAGGCATTGACACCGCCCATGACACCCTGATCGTAGCCCTCGAAGAAGATTGAAATTAAAGCAAATGTCTGAATGGCAACGTTGAGTTGAGTAGGCGACAGCCTCTTCCATGCTGTTGTAAAACCCATGGCTTTGGTAGTGTTGATATCGTTTGAAGGATGAGACTCTGAGGAAAATGATCGACATCGAGAGGTAGTCCTCGAAGCTTTTATATATTGCACATCGGTATGGCTGTACCTTGGCTTGTGGCCTCGACTTGAGGCGCATTTCTGCGCAGTTGTACTACCGGTCGCCGAACAAGAACACGAGGACATGTTCGGGGCCCCGGAAGGCGTTCGTGGTTGCTAATCGCCCCAGGGTACCACATTGTCGGTGTCGTGGGGATGACGGGTTTGATATTCGCGTAATCGCCTAATCGTGAAGCAGGTGCGTTCTTGCGGTCTTACGATCAACCTTCCCCACTAGTATCTCTCTATCTTGGGGAAGTGACATCTTGATGAGTCCGATATGCCGGTAGTTGTCTTCTAGAATGTCTTGTGTGAGTGATTATTTATTGGCAGGAACTCCCTGCTGATCAGCTTGAACGTGAGCTTTCCCCCTTCTCTTCGTTTTCATACTATCCTACCACAGTCATCATGAACGGTCACACAGAACAGATGAATGGTGAAAGAACAGCACTCGACCTGACCGTACTCGGCTTGAATAGCGGAACGAGTATGGACGGTATCGATTGCGCACTCTGCAGATTCCGCCAAACCAGTCCTGAGGCACCCATGCATTTCGAGCTGCTCAAATATGGAGAGATCCCACTCGAGCAGAAGATCAAGAAGAGAGTCATGAACATGATCTACCACAACCGCACAACACCTGAAGAACTATCCGAAGTCAACGTTTTGCTAGGCAACACCTTCGCCGATGCAGTCAAGGAATTTTGCAAGGAGCAAGATGTTTCCATCAACAGCATCGATGTGATCGGATCGCATGGCCAGACTATCTGGTTGCTCAGTATGCCTGAACTAGGCCAGACCAAGAGTGCTTTGACCATGGCTGAGGGCACCTTCATCGCTGCACAAACAGGCATCACCACCGTTACCGATTTCCGTGTCAGTGATCAAGCTGCTGGTCGTCAAGGAGCACCCCTCATCGCCTTTTTCGATGCCCTCCTCCTTCACCACCCTAAGAAGCTTCGTGCTTGTCAGAACATTGGCGGTATCGCCAACGTCTGCTTCATCCCACCTGACCACGCCGGAGGTATCGACAAATGTTTCGACTTTGACACCGGCCCAGGAAACGTCTTTATCGATGCTGTTGTACGATACTACACCGGCGGCAAGCAAGAGTATGATAAAGACGGTGCCATGGGCAAGCGTGGTACCGTGAACCACAAGCTGGTGGACGAGTTCCTCGAGTTCAAATACTTCAAGCTGGATCCTCCAAAGACGACTGGCAGAGAAGTGTTCCGAGACACCTTAGCTCATGAGTTGATCGAGAAGGCAGAGAAGCTGGGCATGTCGCCGGACGACGTTGTAGCTACAGTGACTCGCATCACTGCTCAGGCCATTGTTGACCACTATCGCCGCTACGCACCTTCACAAGACATCGATGAGCTCTTCATGTGTGGTGGTGGAGCATACAACCCAAATATTACCGAGTACATTCAGAAGAACTACCCCAGGACCAAGATCTTCATGTTGGATGATGCAGGTGTTCCAGCTGGTGCGAAGGAGGCCATCACTTTTGCATGGCAAGCCATGGAAGCCGTTGTCGGTCGCTCGATCCCTGTTCCTGATCGCGTCGAGACAAGGCAGGAGTATGTCCTTGGTAAGGTAGCCCCAGGAAAGAACTACAGAACAGTCATGAAGCAAGGCATGTTGTTCGGAGAGGGTGAAAGATTGCCGCCGGTGAAGGAGATGGTCAACTATGTCAACGGCAAGGTGTTTGACAATAACTGGGAATAGATCATGGTGTGCTGTTGCATTTTTCGGCGTAATTCGTATAAATTAGAAAGCAATTGATTCTCTTCGTAAGCCCACCTGAAGGACCATCGCCAGATAGCTGTTGCATCGGGTTGCATCCTGCAATAGTCTTCCGGACAAGCGTATGAACCTCAATGATCGAATCAGATGTCAATTTCAAGGTTGCAGAGATGGAAGGTAACTTTGCATGGTACCGAGCACACTTATCACTCGAAAGTTATCAAGCAACACAGTACTGTGCGTCACAGGCTGACTGACATGCTACGCTGTCCGTCACCCAGATCTCTCCTCACCGGCGTGCCAAACCATCGCCTGTTCCTCAACTTCTCGGCTCTCCTCTCAGGATGCAACTCCTCTCTCGGCCCTTTCCATTCCCTCAGCTCATCCTTTCCATTGACATCCTTGCCAATGATAACGTCAAAGTCAAACAAGCCGCCGTATGTCCCGATGCAAAAGCTGGCTCTGACGTGCATACCTCCATGCTGAGACTTTGCTTGTTCGCTGATGAAAGGACCCATCAGTGCGACGATCCTTGCCGCCATGACCTTGGGCTCGTATTTCGAGGCTAGTTCTTCGGCCCAGCCTGTAGGTGGTTCGTTCAATGTTGTGACAAGTGCTGTGGTGGATGGGGAGCGTGTATTAAGCCAGTAGTCGAGAATCTCGTCATCTCTATGATCGTCCTCCCACAAAGTGTGTAACCAAAGAGATAGGACCAGGTGGCGTAGGTTGTGGAAGTTGCGAAGTGGTGCGAGCATGTAGTTAGTGATCGGTGTAGGGTTCCAAAGAAGAGGTGCTCCGCGATATCCGCAGAATTTGAGCTCTGTAATTGTGTTTGCGTGATAAGAGGCCAGCGTATGCAAGAACGGCGGGCCTGGTGGCCATCCATACTCCGCTTCGAAGGGTTCGTTGGCAATAACCGGTTCTGGTATTGTTGTACCGAGACGAACGATCTCATCCGTGTCTTCCTCTTCGAGAGAACCAAAGTCGTCGGGATCGTTAGGATCTTCGTTAATGCCCAAGGATCCAATGTCGCGCCCAGCAAACCCCCAAGTGTTACCCATGGGTGCATTCACGCCGATCAAAACAACTCTCTGCAGAGGAGACTGACGCAAAGCTCTGATAGTTTCCCGCTTCTCATCGCGTGGTATACCACCCTCCATCTTCAGGCAGTCGAGACTTTGCATACGTGCTGCAAATTCAGAGATGAATCGTCTGCGACTTTGACGACGGTTCAAATCAATTGGATCATCCGAATCATCAGTCTTAAATTCGCCGCTCCTGCTGTAAACAGTATCGACGCGAAGATCCTCTAAAGTACGTGCCATCTTGGATATGACGAGATTGATTCGAGCCTGAAACTCTGGTGTCGTGTTTTTGGCAGGTCTGAAGAAACGATCTGCTGGCCAGGCCAAAGATCGAAGCCTCGGATGCGATTCTAACCATGATACGCACATGTCCGGGTCGAATGTAGAATCCAAACTTGATGCGCAAGTATCTAGAAGATAGACACCCTGTGGCAACTCGGCTTCTGCAATCACTGCATTCCGAAACTGGAAAGCGCGGAGGTAGGGAAAGTGTAGCTCGAACATTCTTTTGAACATGCCTTCCAGACTTGCCTTGGACTCCGAGGAGGCGCGTTGATCTGTTCTTCTGAATAGTACCCAATCCAGGTTCAGCGAGATCAGGGAATTTGTGGAACACTCTAGTATGTGCATGAATGTGGGAAATGGGTCAGTATCAGACGAGGCAAAGTCCGGATGGTTACGATCGAGAAGCTGTCTCACACTACTCGTAGCAGATCGGTCCTCATCTGATAATTCTTGCTGTATCGAAGAAACCAGGCCGTTGACATCAGGTATTTTGTTGTATATTTCCTCGTCAAAGTTATGAGCCTCCTTGAATGAGAGCTCAAACTGTTTGTTTGCTNNGCGTTTATATCAGCCCTGACTTGAGATTCTTCTGCTTGGGAGTTGTGAGCTATGATCAGGTTCCTGATGAATGCCTCCCTGATGTCGAAAGAGCTCGGTTGAAGTCTTGATCACGCCACCTCGACCATCCTGTCTGATTTCGAAGGCTCTGTCATTTCGCCAGTCTGGGAATGGACCTCGAGTATAGACTTCTTGCGAGTCATGTCGCCCAGCATTGGCGAGCAGTGGTAATCGACGCAAGCGAAGACTCTCTAGCCCTGCAAGATCGAAAGACTGGAGTCGTCTTTGTGAAATGCCCGCGAGGCTACAATTTTCAAGCCAAAGATGTCGTATGGTAGAGCCTTGGGATTTGCCTAGTAGTCCAACCAAGAGACCACGAGTAAGATTCCAATGACCAAAGATGATTCGTAGTGTATGTATGCTAGAGAGATTCTGGCAAGCCCTGTTTAGTAGGCGGAGCGTTCTTGGATCATGAGAGAGTGTTCTGCCTTGGAAGTTTATCCTCGGTAGCTCATAGAAGATTGCTGGTGGTGGCAGATGGCATCGATGTGTTAGGGTGTGAACATGTGAGGCAATCCATGGGTTGCTGGCCAAGACAAGGAGTCTGCGAATGATGGGTGTGTCGTCATGTTCGTCACTCATATCAGGGGTACTGGGATCTGTTGTACGACAGTCTACCAGCTCGACGTTCTGCCACAATAATGGTGTCGCCTTGTCGTACGACCAGTGACAGGCTCGGGCAAAGCTGGCCAAGCTGGAATTATCAAGGTATCGTAGAGTTTCGTGAAGAATCTCTTCGGGAAGTTTACCAAGTGAATTGGATGCTTCAGGCATGGCCTTNTTATCTTCTCCTGAGTGATATGGTTCCATGTCTTGTAGTTTAGTTAGGGTCTTGTTGTCTGTTGTGTCACAATCAGTTGACAGCGGTGGTATAGCGGAGGCGGCGCCTCGGCTCGAGTTACGGTATGACGTACCGTTAAGGTACCAGACTGCGGTGAGAGCTATGAAGAGAGTGATGGACAATTGTAGATACAGTGATCCGTCAGTTGATACCATCTTGACTACATGGCTGTCCTTCATGAGAATGTCAAACACGAGAACAACAATGACGACGGATGTTTGTTCCGGGAGGCCGCATGTGATGGTTGGCTGTCGCGTTGAGCTGCTCCCAATTAAGGTTCTGGGCTTATCGATAAGCGGAAAGTTTTCGGACTTTGTCTTTCGAGGTTTGGACTTGTTAGCAACAGTGCACTTTTGCAAACAAAACCACTTGACTCGACCACTCGCCAAAATGTCAGACTCAGAGGAAGGAGGAGCCGGAATCCCTTTGCTGGAACCTTTGTCGCCGTCAGCATCCCCAGAGCCCCAGACTCGTCCCTCGGGTTCAAAGCGAAAGCGCGAAGATGGAGACGAAGACGAAGCACCCGCTACACAAACCAAGGCTGCAAAGCGCAAGAAGGCAAAGAATGCAAAGAAGGCCAAGCAGCCTAAGGATATCGAAGAGGACGCTCTGGATCTGGAAGCTGGAGTCAACCATGCCATTGCCCATATGGACAGCCAGTTGCTCGCCGATCACGTCGCCCAGCGTACTAAGCGCTTCCACAACGAGTTAAGCGACATGGAGTTGGAGGATATGCACATACCATGTACGTTCACCTCATGCGACACCAAACTGCATACTAACAGAAGACCAGCACATGCCATCGTCGACACCACATCTTGGGACAAGCCACGCAACTTGGAGAACCTACCCGCCTTCATCGAGCAATTCAAAGACGAAAGAAGAAGCGACAAACCAGGAAAGACTCTCTCGGATGCTGTCAAGCAGAAGTCAACACCACACACGATCGTCATTGCCGCCTCTGGAATCCGAGCCGCAGACCTGACCAGAGCTCTTCGCAAGTTCCAGACCAAGGAATCGTTGATCGCAAAATTGTTCGCCAAGCACATCAAACTGCAAGAGGCTATCAAGATGGTGAAAGAGTCAAAGATCGGCATGGGTGTAGGTACACCTCAGAGACTGATTGATTTGTTTGATGATGGTAAGAGCGACATGTTTTGATGCTTGCCGCATTTGCTAACACTTGCACAGNGTGCTCTCTCAGCAGGCAGACTCGAGAGAATCATTATTGATGCATCGCACATCGACTCGAAGAAGCGTGGAATTCTTGATATGCAGGAGGTTGAAAGTCCCTTGATCAAGTTGTTGACCAGACCCAGCTTCAAGGAGAAGTATAACGAGGACAAGATGAAGAAGATCGAACTTATCTTCTACTAGGAAGAGAAGGCTTTGTTTGTCATGCTTAGCAGCTTTGTTCATGTTATTTTTGATACCCAATTTACTGTCACGTCGAACACAATATGCCATCAAGATGACCTTTAAGTCGCCATCATCTGTCCGAGGATAGTGTAAGATTGGGTCATATGTCCTTCTCCATGCGGAGCAGGTTTTGAATATTTATATGTTGCCTCAGGCAGATACTCTTAGGGCCCGGAATGCCGTAGCCTCGCAAACAAGTGGTCATGCTATCCATCGCATTGTCTCCAGAACAGTTCGATTCGCTCCTTGATAACGCCATATCCCGTCCGTGGCCTTCTTTTTGGTATCTCGATCCGTGTCCAAGTGTGGGATGCGCACTGTTCTGACAAGCTTGGTGGTAGCGGGTAGAAGTCGCATTGTATAATCGTCGCATCTTGAATTCCGTAAAATCGCTCAAGTAAGGATAACCATGATGACCGAGTCGCCTCTCAGGAACNNCTACAAGTATAGTACGTCAGTTTGAATTCGTGCTTCCTGGCGAAGTATGGGTACGCACATCTTGCTGATGAAGCGGTCCTTGTTGACACCTCTGCCCTTCTTTCCTTGGCTGTTTCTTGGGAACTCGGTCCACATCTCCTTGACGTTTTCAAGGACCATGTTGCAATGTCTGTCGAATGCTTTTACGCGAGCAAGGAGTTTGCGGTTGTTGCGACACGAGATGACGACCTGGTTGTGGTTGCGGACAGCGGTTTGGAGGATAGAAAGGGGACCAGCGGTGAATTCGTGCTCCTCGACGCGAGCGATTTCATACTCGCTGTTCAATGGTTAGCCGATGCGATGGAGAAGGAATCGAGGTGGAATTTACGTGAGCTCGCTGCGCGGCTTCTGCAGAAGGTCGCTGTGAAGACATTAGTACATGCACATAGAGCGCATACAGACAGCGGTTCGACTCACGTAATTTTTGCTGAGTCGGACATGGTTGTGTTTGGGTCTGATAGAGTGATTAGAATTGGTGATGTCTGTCTGGTCGCAATGAGGCAGGTACGGGTTGCGGCGAGCTGGAAGGCCGATCTTGGCACTCTGGAACAGTGACGATTGGTGTTGGTCGCCGCTGCGACTGTCCAACAACCACAAGCTCCGTCTCGTTCTAATTCACTTTCATCACCCGACTCTTTCTTTTACGCCACACACACACTCGCCCATCATGTCTGAAGGTCGCCTGAAAGCAGACAGAGATTACACCAACGAGGTCGACAAGGCCATTCCCGAAGCTCAGGATCTGGCANAAGGTAGCTCTGTCGTGTGTCCGGTTTACTATGCAATCTATCTGACTTCAGTCTAGAGCAATGTGCAAGGTGCTATTGAGAAGCTCCTCGCCCTCGAGAAGCAAACCAGACAAGTGCGCTCTCCCCATCAACCGCCGCATCGACCAGAAACACTAACAACATTCNAGGCGTCGGACCTCCCTTCCACATCCAGACTCGTTGTCGCCATCGTTACGATATGCAAAGAAGCAAAGGACTGGCCACTACTGAACGAGCAGATTCAGCTTCTGTCCAAGAAGCATGGTCAGCTCAAACAAGCCATCACCAAGATGGTCCAGGTTTCCATGGACTTCATCGATGACACTCCCAACCTCGAAACTAAGCTATCCTTAATCGAAACACTTCGTACCGTTACCGAAGGAAAGATCTTTGTCGAAGTCGAGAGAGCCAGAGTCACACGCATCCTGTCAAACATCAAGAAGAGCCAAGGAGACATCACTGCCGCCACCGACATTCTGTGCGAATTGCAGGTCGAGACATTCGGTTCCATGACACGCCGCGAGAAGACGGAATTCATTCTGGAGCAAGTTGCACTCTGTATCGAGAAGGGTGACTGGACACAGGCCAGCATTTTGAGCCGCAAGATCAGCACTCGCTACTTTGCTCGCAAACCCAAGAAGACGGCAGAACAGTTGGAGAAGGAGCGCAAGGAGCGTGAAGAGGAGGAAAAGAAGCGTGGCCCTGACGACGCTCCTGTCGAGCCCGAGGACGATGTCACAGATTTGAAGCTGCGCTACTACGAACAGCAAATCACCCTGGCCAAGCACGACGACAAGTACCTCGACGCCTGCAAGCACTACCGCCAAGTTCTCGATACCGAGGCCGTCGAGAACAACCCCGAGCAACTACGAGCTGTAAGCATATCCTCTTTGATCTACGCAATTGAGCGAGCGACTAACACTTTCTAGGCCCTGCAACGCATCGTCTACTTCATCATCCTCGCTCCTTACGACAACGAGCAATCAGATCTTCTTCACAGAATTCACCGCGACTCTCGCAACTCACAAATCTCCCACGATGCCGCCCTCCTCAACCTCTTCACCGTCCCCGAACTTATGCGTTGGCCTGCTGTTGCCGAGAACTATGGTCCTCATCTCTGCGAGACCGATATCTTCGATGCCACCGAAAACACTGCCGATCCCAAGGCCCACAAGCGCTGGCAAGACCTGCGCAAGCGTGTCATTGAGCACAATGTCAGAGTCATTGCCAAGTACTACACCAGAGTCCACTTCAAGCGCCTGACAGAACTCCTCGACCTTAGCGAGGAAGAGACGGAGAAGTACATCAGCGATCTTGTCGTGAGCAAGACCATCTACGCCAAGATCGACCGTCCCGCCAGACTTGTCAGCTTTGAGAAGAGACGAGATGCTGATGAGGTGCTCAACGAGTGGTCAGGCAACATGAAGAGTCTGCTCGGCCATCTCGAGAGAATTGACCATCTCATCACCAAGGAGGAAATGATGGCCAGAATCCAGCCCACCAACAAGGGCGAGAAGGGACCGACCAAGGTTCGGTAAGCCTAGAAAACTGGCTATGTACTAGTATAATCTTCTCTATAGACCCACGAAATGCACCATGATCCATGAGCCTCTATCTTCTAAGTCTATCAAAATGGCATGTCCATATCCTCGGCCTTGTCCTCCTTCTTGTTCTCTAATGAATCTTCTGGCGGACCACCAACGACTTCTCGGATGAATGCTACCAGCGCTGCCACGTACTGTTTCTGGCTGCTGGGCAAGAAATGACCACCAGGGTGGTATACCAGTCTAGCCACACCACCTTCGACACCTCTGCCTGTAACACAGGCATCTACCAGACGCAGACTCCTCGACTCTTCAACGACCGTATCTACACTGCCGATGAAGTGCAACATGGGCGTTTTGATCTTTGGCTCATAGAATGCAGTGTACAGCTCATTCGGGGCAGCACCGAACCCACTGTAGCTCACAGCGAACTTCAGCGGCTCTTGGATCACGTCCGTCATGAATCCAGTATCGCTCTCAAAGCTTTCAGGATAGCGCATGCCGCCGTTTGGCTGTTGCTTCTCGAATGCATCTCTTCTTCCTGCTTCTAACAAGGAGGCGAGCATACCAGCTGCAGCACCACCTTGACTGAAGCCAATTGCGCCGTCGAAAGGTCCTTGCTCTTTGATCACGGAAGCTATGCGCTCGAACCCTTGCTCAAGCCCTTCGTAGCGGAATGGCTCTCCATCGCCCTTTCTCCTCCACCATGCATAGGCTTCTGGTTCTTCGTTGTCGCCTTTTGCGCCATCCACATCGTAGCCGGGTATATCGTTGACAGACAACTTTAGAGGTGCCGTTGGGTACACGAGTTCCACGCCTCCGGGAAATGACGGTAGATGTCCAGGTTTAGGAGCGGCGGGGAATGCTTTATCCAAGTTCTTCTCTAGAGCACGGGTTTTTGCGTGGAAGAGGGGCCCGTTTTGTGTGTAGCCGTGGATCATAAGGATCTTGAGTTTACGTTGAGAAGCGTCGGAGGACATTGTGGGTGTGTCGGAGAGAATTGAGAGGTTGCGGGCGGGTTGTTTAAGGTGAGAGGCAGTGAGTTGGGTTCTTCGCAGAGCTGAGGAGGATATCATTGTTGGTTACGGTATATGGATTGATGGCCGTGCGCTTTGCTGGGTATCTTCTAGTTGCTGAGAGCTTATCGCCGCAAAGTCCGAGTCCTCAATCACGAAACGTATGACATAATGCGGCTGGAAACTTGAGTGTCTCGGATGATAGAACATCACGTCCAAAACGAAGAAACATTCTTCAAATCCATCCTAAAGGTCGAGTCTACCCAATTACACAAGATGCTATCATCAAAGCAAATGGCAACTCGAGTTGGGCGCACCGCTATCAATCGTGGCATTTCGACCAGCTCCCCACGTCTGGCAGCTACCAAAAGAAGAGCCCAAGATGAGATTCACAGACCATCGCTCTCGAGCTCTTCAGTCGGCCATCTGTTCTCCGAAATCAACGCTATGAGACCTGGCATGGAAACTCTCAAGGATCGGGCAGACGGCATGTCAGAAGATCAACGAACTTTTGCTCGGAAAACCGCTACGTGGTTGATGGGAGTTCCTGTCGTTCTGGGCACATTAATTGTGGGCGGGAATTGGCTCTTGAAAGACAGAGAGGCTCAACCTGGATCGTGAGATTCGAACAGGATGTACAGACGAGGAATGGAGATTGACGTTGTATGTGGATATCTGAGTACTACACGTGCTACCTGTCGTGCATGAACCCCTGGTTAGGCTCGACTAGCACTACAAACAGAGACCCCTATCGTTGGCGACCCTGATCGCACGCGAACACTCTTTTGATCGTGTCGAGATATACCCAATTTAGTTCTAAACGCACGAACGACTGGAGGGAGGATGACGTCTTGTTATATACGATAGCCATACGCCAAGGAGAAGCATTACGAAAAGCATACGAGGCTGGCTAAGTTTTGGTTGAGGGGCAGAGTCACACGGCAGAGACTCTCATGTACGCAATTTTCGTGAGTCGTAAGTAAGCGGCATTGCGTTGGTAGAGATAAGCGGATATTGCGAGGTAAATGGCAGAGGAATGATGCAGGCTAGGGGTGAAGGTGAAACCAAGGCACATGTCGTCGGTGCAGGCTCGGCCCATCGACAAGCGTTGGCAGCGAAACTTGGTCACTGTCTTCAATCCGGCTCTTGCAAGAAGGTTGGAAGCCGCATGAATAGCCCCCTAGCCTTCGAATTTCCCTTCAAAGCATATTGTTTCCGTCACCTGAGACTCTCAAAGCTTGCTCTGACACATCTTCTGTCACGTCGTGCTGTCGACATCCAGTCGCGACGACGACGCCATAAGCACACCCCCACGGGCAACAACGGGCGGGGATTCGACTAATTGTTATGCCATGAGAGTGCAGCAGTAGACATTTCGTCTTGGATATGGAACGCCCGTATCAGTTTTCCGACGATCGAGACGGCGCGCGTTCACCCNTTGTACGTGAATCTCACCTCTTCTGGGTCGCGACGACTAACGCAGCGTGCAGCAACCAGCAACTGCTCAACCCCGTCACACAGCCGGCGGCCACGTCTTTCAAAACGAATGTGAATCGTAGTAAAACACGCAAATGGGCAGAGGCCAAGAACTATTCTTACGACGGCGACGACTGGGGCGGTTATGATCCTTACGACGAGTACGGCAGTTACGATGATAAGCAGGACGCTCCCCTACCTGCTGCCTCGCCGCGACGGAACTCGTTCGAGGCTGGCGAAGAAGTAACAGCCTTCTCTTCTGGCCAGCAGCAGCAGGCGCCTCCTCCTCCAGCGCATACCACTCCCACCAAACCGCAGCCTCTCCAGCCAGCCTCGCAACCGCAGAACGACTATGGCATCCGCCGCGACTTTTCCCAGATTGCTCATGTCCCGCCACCTCTCAAGACGAACACGTCCCCTCAAGCCGTTCGCGAACGTTTTCCTGCTAGAAAGAGTAGTTTACAGACCAGTTTGCCGTCTTCGCCTGCGCAACCCACTCAGCAGTTTGCGGCTCAAGAGCCTGTCTCACCATCTTCGAACGCTGGCAAACCCCTGCCATTCATCCGTCCTGCCGATATTTACAGGCGTATGGAGGAGGAGCGTTTGAGGGAACAAGAATCAAAGAGTCAAGCTGAACCAGTGCCTGTTAGACATGAGGAACACCAAGGCTTTGTTGTCGATAATCCTATCCTGGCAAGAGCGATCGGCGCTAATGTTGCTGGTACTGAGCCAACACGTTTGGAGGCTGAGCCAACACCTGTGGAGCAGCCAAAAACTGCTTCTTTGGGTTCTGCTTTACCAGCAGTCAGCCGTGTCGCTTCTGGCTTTGGCTCCGAGTTCTGGAATGCTTCTGAGCTGTCGAGTTCGCTGAACGCTGCTGATGCTCTCTCGCCAAGCACTACTGATACTGTTCCTGTAGCACCTGCCGAAAGCAACAGCGTGGAAAATGCCTCCAATGAGTTGCAGGATGCAGTGAGTCAAGCATTCGAGCGTCGGGACGACTTATCTGTACCTCCCACGCCCATTTCTCGTGACAACTCTCAGAATGGCCGGTCCGATACAGCAGGAATTAGTCCTATCATGAGTCGAGTCCCGAGTGCTGCGACAGCCGAAGCAAAAGCACGACTAGCTGACAACAGAGACATGGGGCCTATAGCTGAGGAAAGCAGTCTACCTGGCAGTCCTGGCTCACGACCCTCATCTCAACAACAATCTGCCAAAAGACATACCCCTACACACTCGAGACATGTGTCGGCCGAGTCTCTCAGCAACAGCCCTGCCAGAACTCCACAATTGGAATACACCAAGAGACTTTCGACTCCAATGTCCGCAGAAAGCACGAGTATGGAGGCTGAGCGAGCCGGTTCGCCTATTGATCCACCCAGCAAGCCTCTGCCCGTCGCTTCAGTTCGTGTGATTGCACCTTCAGCAGACTATAGTCGTAGGGAGTCAGACATTGCTGCTGATGCAACCTCAAACTCGCCGATTGATACTGCCGAGGCTGCGAAAGCCGCCAGAACACAATTCCTCCAAACTCACGAGAGAGTCAAATCGCCTGTGATCGGAAGTCCCGTTGATCGCAGTCCTTCCCCTATCTCACGGCAGGGATCTCCTGGACCTAGTAGAGTCCGTGACCTTGCAGGCAAGTACAATGAGCTTCACACACTCTCGAGAAGCAGTTCTGCCATGTCTTTCAGCTCCCAAAAGAGCGACAAGATGTCCGTGAGGAGAAGCGATACTTTCGACAGCACCACCAGCGAGACTGGTGACGAGAAAGTTGTCGAATCCATTGAGCAAACACCTTCACCTCGTCCAGACCCTACCAGAGGCCCTAGCTTCCGGCCACACTTGCCTGGTGAATGGGTCTCGTATGTAGGAACTCCTCGCACGGAGATGCCGGTTGCACAAGAAGCCACCAGACGTAGCGACGAAGAAACAAGAGACAACACCCAGCTTGACCAGAGCACAAAATTCCCCTCTACAGAAGACTTTGATCCTACTCCTGCGACAGTCAAGCAGCCACTTGCTCATAAAGACATCCAGCCAAAGGAGACCAGCCCTGTGGATACTCTCAGGAATGCAGGAGAAGCATTGGGCGCTGCACTGTTATCCTCATTCGGTCAGAACCACGACACTAGAGACTTTGCTCAGGCAGAGCCACAACCCGCCGAGGAGGATGCGACTGGACCTCGACCAGCAGTTGGAGATGTTTATCTTAGACCCTTGATGGTTGATCGTAAAGCCTCGTCCATCGCTTCAAGTGTTGGTCCCACGCCGCCAGCCAAGAATACGCCTGACGGACTCAACGTTCCACGTTCATCTGGCTACTTCCCTCCACCGACACTGCGCATCGACTCCGACGCAATGTCTCCAGCATCTGACTACTCGCCTGCTGATCTGGAAAGTGATCGTTTGCGTAGAGAAATCGAGAGAAGTCTGACGCCTCAGGTGCATTCTGAAAATCAGCAGATCCGTGATCAGGATGCTCTGGATGCACCGGCGACCCTTCGAAATCTTCAGAAGACCGAGGGCATCCAAATTGCTGATGTTCAGCATAGATCTGAGCCGCCTGCTGTTGATGCTGCGCCCACAGCACCGCAAACATCTCAAGCTGCAAAGCCCGATCTCCTTGGCAAGCGCTTTAGCTTCGAGAGGGACGCAAGCACGTCCAGCTTGTGGGGCGAAGTCGGTGAAGATGTGAAGCGTGCTTCTTACGAGCGACCACTATCTAGTGTTGGCTTGCATGTGGTGAACACCAACGTGAGTAGCAGTAGCGAGTCAAGTGCTTCGTCTATCAGAGAGATTCTACCTGAGCCTGTCGAGGAATCCACGGGTGCACCCCTGCAAGCTGTCATCAGTTCACCATCGCCTGTAACATCATCAGAAACTCCTGCAGTGGTCACAAGGGATGAGATGACAACTGATACCATCGCAACCCCTACCGTGGAAACACCTTATGCGACAGAGAAACTCGGAGATGAACAGCCACTTCCTGCCATTCCTGTGGAAACTGAGACACCATTGGCGCCCTCTACGACCACAAACACGAACACAGCAGCTCGTATTCCCACTGTCAGAGAGATCATGGCGTTGAAGTCGGTTGATGAGCGTGTTGACACCTACAACTCTTCGCGAGAGCAGATTGCCTCGATGGATACTGGTCTTAGCAACTGGCTCAGTTCGACTCTTGCCTCTCACCCTGAGCACGCACATGTTGTTACTGATGCAGCAAACAAACCCGCGACGACCACTGCCATTGGTGGCAGCATCCGCTACAAGCCTCAGCCTGGTAACATCATGAAGATGGCTAGAAAAGGTCTTAGTGGTGTCACAAACAGGGAGCCTTCGGGCTCTCATGCGGCTGATCCCAGCCAGACGCCTTCTGCTGCCGATCGCCAGAACTCCAACACACTCGGTCGCACGCCCTCGGCACAGCACGGAGGCGTGGAAAAGATGCAGACCAAGGGCAAGGACTTGTTGCATTCTGCCGGTATGTTCGGTGGCAAGGCCACCGTAGGGGCTAAGGGCCTATTTGCAAGAGCAAAGGGAAGGCTTCGTGAAGGTGGAAGCGAGAAGGTAGATTGATTTTTCCTTCTGTTTGATGATCCCCTCACTGATCTTTGACGTTCCATTTCACGATACAACATCATGTTCCAGCGATGCTTATCTTTCCCAACTGGCGAACTTGTTTTCTTTGCAACTTCAGCATAAGCGTTGACCTTGGGAGGGAGGCATTGATGGTCTGGGTAGCAGGTCGCATGTACCGTTTTGGCTGCGTAATGTCAACTGAATAATCCCCCAACTCATCACTCATCCGAGATCTTTCAAGAATGCATGTTGATAGGTGTGTTTTCACAGGCTTCCGGACGCGCTACGCCCAGCAACGCCGTGCTTGCCTCGCCGACTTCTCCGGATGAGCGTGGCAGCAAAGCCAACAACCGTTTCTCCACAGCGTTCGGCCGTTTGGGATCTTTGTCTCAGTCATCTGCAGGTGCTTCACAACCTCCTGTCGATGGTCCACAAGTCGGTGTATCCTCAACCGTGGAACAGCCTTCTGCATTACCATCGGGTAATGGCGATGCGTATGATGCTCCATGGATGGACGACAAAGCAGGTGCCTTGGACAAGGATCTCGTGAACGAGAGATTCAAACGAATTGGTCTCTTGCCGAGTCCTGCTTTTGGCGGGTCAATGAACTCGCGTGACTCTAATGAGAACATTAAAGCTACTGATGAGAATGATGATCCAATGTCACAGCTGGAAGGAGCGACCCGCACGAATGAGCTCAGCACAAAACATGACAATGAGGCTGCAAAGGAAGCCACTACAGACGTTCTTACTAAACCAGCTGCACCTTCGCCCGTAGAGGAAACTGCGTCCGAGCCACAAGTTGCCCCTCCTGCTTCAGCTTTAGTCTCGAACAATTCTGAGCCATCTCCTGACATCAAGGAGATCATATCAGAGGATTCTCGTCCTGTCGAGCACACTTCAAACATCAACAGAAGCCCGACACGTCGTCCTGTTCCTCAACCAACTATTCCTGATGTACAGCCTTCATCTCGAAAATCCTCGGTCTCCAGCTTGCATCGAGACGACAATGACTTGGCAGGAACCTCGATACCGCTCCAGAGGAGCGTGAGTCCGCTTGGTAGCGAGTCAACTACGCAGCTACCTGTTGTTTCCAAGAGGACCGAGCCGGAGAATACGAAGGAAGACACAGACGAATCCAGACCTCGAATCGTCAGTCGCAGTAGTCTTCCATCCCAGCAACGTCCCCAATCACAGTCAAGACAGTCATCCTGGCAATGGAAGAGCTCGGGCACCTCTCTGGTCGGGCTTAACAAGAATCAAGGAGATGCAACAGCTTCTCCAGTCAAGGCCAGATCGGTGTCTGGCCAAGCTATCGGCTCTGGCCCCGTGAGTCGCGCCGAATCGCCCATCTCCTTCTTGGAGATGGCACCGGCTCAGAAACAAAGGAGTGCGACTACACCTGGTGCCTACTCGTCCGAGAATGCCGATGTCATTCCTGGGGCACCTCAAAATCTGACCGTGGTGCCCGCTCCTTACGAAGTGGGTCGTATGGCGCCGATTGTGCAGTCACCTGTGGAGATGCAAGGCCCTTGGCACAATGATCAGTACAATGCACACAGAGGCCCAGGACCTGTCGTTGGACCTGGTGCGATGTACAGCCAGCCTAGCACCATGAGCAACGAGCAGGTAATCTACGAGGAGCCGGTAAACCGAACTTTCTCGCCCACTGTTATGGATCCTCGACAACATGATAGCGAATATCAGCTCCCTGGCGTCGGACCCCCTGAGGTGACTCNNCAAGGTTCGCGAAGGAGCAGATTTTCTATCAGAAGCCCGGTGCAGGGTCCAGCGCAGGTCGAACGCATCAACCCCAATGCAGTAGCTTTCGATCATCAACGTACTTTCTCTGGCGACGAAGTCCCACTGACGCAGTCCGCACAGGAGAAGAGAGAAAAGCGTCGCTCTGGCATGTTCAGTGCACTTAGTCGCGGTTCGAGCTTTTCTGGTCTGTCCGGCGTCAACTCGGATGGAAGACAAAGCCGTGGCAACGATGTCAACGAGGCCGGTTCTCAGAAACGAGCTTCGGCTCAACAGACATCCGCAGCACAAAAGGCTAGAGAAATCTCAGGTGGTAGTACGAGAGGTAACACGCTTAAGAAGGTGCATCGCTCGTCTACTTCTGCAGGTACATCCAACGCGCCGGGTACTCCTGATGCTGAGAAGAAGAACAAGCGCTTCTCACGCCTTGGTTCAATCTTTGGGCGATCCAACTCGGAAGCCAAGAAAGCCAACAAGCTGGTCAAGAGCATGCCCAAGACTCAAACCGAACGCGTTTCAGAGGCTGGCGTGGCTGCCAGAGCAACCAACATGTCGCCACAAAATGTTNCCTCCACCTCCTCCTATGGCTATGGGTTCTGGCATGAACAATGGCATGCAACCACCGCCGCACTGGTCAGAACAAGTTGATCAGCAAAGTGGTGCACCACCGCCTCCTGGCGGATGGTACGCACCTACCTCAAGGAGGAGCTCTTATCATCAAGACCAGNNCAGGCCACTCTTCCGCAGATTCAACCGACAATGTCAAGAAGAAGCTCTTATCAGCAGGATCAGCAGGTCAATCTGAGTCAGATCCAGCCTACAGTCTCAGCACAATCGTGGCAGTCAACACAACCGCCCCAGCAACAGCAGTCGCCAGTGATGCAGCCAACTCGGCGTCTCCACAGCGAGGGCTATCGTCACGAGCCTCGCTACACTGCTCCGTCCGACTACAGATCGATGTCTCCTAGCCCTTTGCGCGGTCAGCGGGGCAGTCAGCAGTATGACACCACAACTCCTCAGAACTACCAGCGCACGCCTTCGTGGAATGGTGGACCACGACAGCAACCACCATCCGGACGTAACTTCTCATGGGGCACTATGGAACAGCAGCAGCAACAGCAACAAGGCTACTTTCCTCAATCCACAATGTCAGGTTCGCCTGTCAGACAAAGTCCTGCTCATTCACCCTCGCATTCGAGGAATGCATCCTTTGGTAGCATGACCAATATACAAGCTGCAGCACCACCATTGTACCGCAATCCCAGCTCGGGTGCTTTGCAACGCTCCTCTTCTCCGTCCATGTACGGCGCTTCACAACCATACCAAGTCCCTATGCCTGCGCCTACAGAAGCTCAACTCATGTCAAAGACACAACAGGACTGGTATCCCAGATACACAGTCGGATCACCAGGACCACCACAGCAGGCCAGCACACCGGGAATGTATACTAGAGGCTACAGCGGCAGCAGACCTGGCAGCTCAAATGGTAATCAAGGAGTCTTCGATAACATCCCCGAGTCAGAGTACGCCAGACCCGGCTCTGCTGGTGGAATGATGATGCCTCCCCACAGCAACCACAATCTCCACAGAGTCCTGCGCGAANGTCAGCAGAGGAGGTATTATGGCACTGGTGGCGCTATGGGCCCCAGACCTTATCCCTCAGGCAACAGTCAGCAGCAAGGTGACTGGCAAGGATCCTACCGTGACGTCTAGGAACTCTCACGTCTTTTTCTTTCTCTTCTTGTTCTATATAATTATCCGCCACTGTGATTTTGGACGTATTCATTTTGAGGTTCTGTTAGGGGTTAGCGTGATTAGATGGTTCGGTACATAATGTTGATATCAAAATAGCTTTTGCACACACTTGTGCCTTCATAAGTACCATGTCCTACGTACTGTATAATTCTTGCGTTTGAGGGGCTTTCTTGTATTTACATGGTTCTCATCTCATGCTTCTGATCCAATTCGGCTCAATTCCAACGAGTTGCAACACCGAGTATCCGTTTCGAGCTCTGTTAACACGGTTTTCTGAGCGAATGGTTTGGTTGAGGGCAGTTACTGATTGCCGATTTTCAATGTCTAATTAGGCTTTGAGATGTGTCTGTCTGTATCGAGTTCTTGAATGGAAATGACCAGATTCCGAAAACGATAAGTCTAAGGCAACAACACACACTAGAACTCCTAAGAAAGACCATATTGGATTGTTCTTGAGTGAAAAAAGCTGTAAGGACTGTCTAAAGTCCTTATCATGAAGGTACATGGAGTGAACAAGGATATAGTATTTTCTGACAGGGTCACCACTACACCGATCCTTCTTGTCTCAGTGGAAGGGTGATTCACGACACCACGAAATGGGAAAGTGTCGTCCGAGAAGGAAAATGGCATAGATCTGAGACAGAGGGACTCGATCAACCCAACAATGAATCTCAAGGGTAATACCGAGATGACGGTGTCCGAGATAGGTCTTGGCTCACTGTCCTTAAACTGCAGGAACATGCGAGAGATCCTGAACAAGGAAAGCGCGATCATAAAAGTTACCACCGAGCAAATGAGAGATCTCTCACAGGGAAAGTGCGCAACCAGGTAACGAAAGCACGGAGATGAAGCCCGCGAAGGAGCAGTTCAGTTTCTCGTGGTATGCCAGTGTACGCCGTCTCGAGTCTCCAGACTCCAGACTCCAGAGAGTCAGAGGCAGCAGTAGTCTCGCCTGTTCTGTCCCAAACAGGTAAAAGCATTTTTCAAACCACTTGGCATTGGGCAAATTCAGGGTATACGATCAACTCCACCCGCATGCAGTAGAAAAACAAGGAACATGGAAACGATAGTGACAAAAGGCAATTTTGCCTTTTGAAATTGCCTTTGTTTCCGCGGTTGGAAACTTGATGCGCCTTGTCAAGATAAGCATAACCGACTACAACGCCAAATGACAAAAGTCTGGAAATTCAAATTGACAGAAGGAAAAGAACGAAATAATGCATGCCAATGCCATCGTTTGACAGGGATGGAGCTGCAATCAAGAAAATCACTTGCAGGATTTACACTCGGGCCCTCTCACATCATCGACTCGGCCGACTTTGCGGCCACCGGGAGGAGGACCTCCACCTCGACCACCATTGCTGCTGTTGCCTCCAAAGCCCCAACCTGGCCGTTGGCCGGGTGTCTTGTTGTTTGAGTTGAAAGGCGATGCAGCGGCCGCAGCAGCAGGATCAAACTAGAAGGAGGAAGTGACATTCAGTACTAGTGAACCAAAAAACCCCGAGCCCAGGTGTGGGTGTACGAGTCAGTAGATAGGAAGGATGTAGGAACTTACGGAGAAGAATGTGGTTACGTAGAGGCCGAGGAAGACATAGGCGTTATCGAGGAAGTTGCGGATGCGTACAGTGGCCGGCGGNGCTAGAAAGAAGAAAGCGGGACTCAGCCATTGAAAACATATGGAGTGAAGTCCGGAGGCCAGCTGGAAGCTGGAGCTAGAGTGCTCCTTCGCGACCATTAAATGTACTTACGCTGAGAGCGCTTGACCGTTGTGGAAGTAGGGCCTGCTTGGTTGCTGGGACGCCGACATGTCTATGTACGCTCTCTTTGATTCAGAAAGCGTATTCTGGAAAGGTTCCGGGAATAGTGGGTTGGAGGTTGATGGTTCAAGAAAGATGGGTAGACAAAGGGGAGATGTCGTCGGATGCCAAGGTCAGGGTCGCAGTTAACAAGTCATGTCCATCAGACTCGGGAGCCGCCGGCCAACCAAAAGTCTTGGCCATGACGAGTGTGGTTTCAGCATTTTTGGGTGATTGATCGGCCAAACTTCATGTGAAGCACCAGATTTTCTTTGATATTTTTGTTAGCCAATGTCGGGACATCAGAACAAGGTGTGTTTACAACCGTAACTCCTCACATTTGTAGCCAAGTAATCTCGAGATACTGATTGTGTTGCTGGTACAGAAGAGAAAGCAGGACTTTCATCAGCCTCAACAGCAACATCAGAGTGCCGAGGATGAGGTCGATACTTCGAGGCCGTCAGCTGTCTTTACCCCTACAGGTGGGCGTCAACACACTCTGAGCATCGCATTGCCAGGCAGTGTAATTGCAAAGTAAGTAGAAAAATTTCATTGCCTCAGTTCATTGCCATAACCTCCTTCGCCTCGGTGCAACAATGATGCGAGCACCGGAGAAAAAGGACATTCACTTTGATTTTGTTTTGCTCGATTCACACTTCCTGCCGCCTTTAGTCGGACCTTCTTCTCCTACTCGTTTAATCTCATAATCCTTCTCGCAAGAGATCGAGATGCCTGAGCTGAACCTTTCTCGTCGTTGGGGGTTGCCCTATACCACCACGTCAGCTATAGTCTTTGTTGACTCTGCTTGATTTGGCACCTCGATTCCGTCTGCATGTTCCAGCCCTAACCTCCCCTCACANGTGCTCAATCACATGATCTCAAAACAATGATGGCAGCCCAGGTGGCGCGAGCCTGCGCCGTCTTTCAGGTCGACGAGATCGTTGTTTTCAACGACGGCCAATCACAGAATGGGTCTCGTCCTCGGAAAAGCTTCGAAGGAGACGGCTACACGGGCTACTCCGATCCTGATGATTTCCTCTACCATGTTCTAAGCTACCTGGAAACGCCCCCACATCTCAGAAAGACACTCTTCCCCATGCACCCTAACCTTAGGACCGCTGGAGCCATGCCGAGCTTGGATATGCCACATCATCTCCGCGCAAATGAATGGTGTCAGTATCGCGAGGGAGTAACAATGGGCGCCGATGCAGCATTCGCAGAGCCTCACAGCAAGCGCAGCAAAGGTCACGCCGTCTCAACTTTAGTCGACTGCGGCCTTCCTGTGAAGACGCGCATCCCAGTCACAGTACCTCCGGGATCTCGTGTTACAGTCAAATTTGGATCTGCCGATGAGCCTCAGATGGATGGTTATACTCCCTTGGATGCCGAGGCCGTATCTCCAGATACACCGAGAGAGGAGACTGGTTACTACTGGGGATACTCTACAAGGATGACATCGTCCCTGTCGGCAGTATTTACGGAATGTCCCTACGATGGCGGCTACGATATTAGCTTTGGAACATCTGAGCGAGGTATAAGTTTGACGTCTCTTCTCAACGCATCAGGCAACAAATCCGAAGTACCGCCAGTCCCAAACCAATGGAGGCATATGGTGATTGTTTTCGGCGGCGTTGCAGGTCTAGAGGTCGCTTTGAAAGCGGATAAAAATCTGACATCCAAGGGCGTCACGGAAGCTAGAGACGTGTTTGACTATTGGGTCAATCTTGTGCCTCAGCAAGGAAGCAGAACAATCCGTACGGAAGAGGCGGTCTGGCTCGGGTTGATGGGCTTGCGCACAATAGTGCAGGATCGGCAAGAATCGACTTGAAGGGGGATATAGAACATCTTGTGCTGTTTGAACGTCTTGTTGACGTGGCCGGCCGGCGAACGAGCCGAATAGATCATCGATCGGTCTGGCCAAGCTCTACTTTGAGCTGCATGCAATCCGTTCTGTGGAGGGCAGAGCAAACCTGTTTCGTTAATGTAGCTTCTGACCATAGCGTGCCGACACCTGCACTCCCGTTGAGTGGTACATGGGGTTGTACATGTGTACCGAATCGGGTTGTATCTTAGCTCTCAATCGTAAAATCATGGGACGCGATATGATGGTACGAGCGGGTGCGAATCTTTGACTTCAGACAAGAAGAGTGATAGGAACTGCGCGAGATATGATGCGTTGAGCGGCTCGCTCGCTTAACAATGGTCCGATTATCTTGGTCGACTAGGTAAAAGAGATGTGGGGATGACTTGGAGAATGGGGCCTTCCTCGTGGGGCCACTTTTGGATGTGTTGATCCCGGTCTTCAGAGCATAATGCGATTTTGAATTTCCAGTATCCCGCAGTGGGCTCCAGATGATACAATTCGGATATCAAGGGTTAAACGGATCGCAAGACCTGATATGAGCCTGCCTTAAGCAGGAAATGGTCGTATCCGAGCAGGGCTTTTGAATGAGTAAGCTACAGCATACAGGCCGTCACAGCGAAAATAGAGTTATGGAGAAGCGACCGAACGAATAATGTGATCGGCGCGTGTATCTTCTGTAAATTAGTTAGTACGTCGGCCATCTGTCCGTAGGTCTCCACAAGTTCGTGCTCGCAGATGCAGCTGGTCAGTCATACTAGCGCTGCGGCTAAGTCATCCCTTCAAGGGTGTCGCAAAACAAGTGACTTATGAACCCCGAATTCAGAGACATCTCAGGGCCCTTGACCAGCAACTTCGGTTCCATAGACTTAGTTCGAGGTCTCGGGGATCAATTTATCCAGGGAGATAAGGGACGCAACCCACGTGTATTCTGTAAATTGCGTGTACGACTCGTGCAGCAAGGTGATTTGATGACGTGCTTGTTGATTCTATGGGACTTGTGGCCAGACACTCAACCTGGAATTCAAATCATTCGCTGCGTGGCTTGGCAAGAAGGAATTGTGATCAGAGATGAGACAACAGCAGCTGCGAGGGACCCGTCCATGGCTGCCGCATGCATCAGCCGAGACAGCATGCACGATTGGCGTAGGCCGCGATGCCGCTGCGCTGGCCAATTGGCATCAGAAAGGAGCTGGACAATCAAGCAACCAAGAGGCTACGTAGCTGCACGGTAGTTCGCGGTATGTGCATGTGAGCCTCGAAACAAAGGTAGGCAGGTCCAAGGAGTGCGGCGCCGCAAGGAACCAAGCGCGACGGTTGCATGCAATAGAAAAGGCGTCCAAGCCTTCTGGTACCGAAGACCTGGGTATCGCTGTCACAGAATCGGTGAATTAATGGTAGGTAATAGTGGATTTGTTCGATGGACAGTCTGGCTGAAATGGCCCCCTGCTATGTGCGTGATAGCTGCAAGTCAGAAGGTACTGCAATCATCGAGCGACGTTTTGATTTGCTTCGGACTATGTGCTGAATTCAAGGTCCGAACCACGCAGCTGGAACCGGCATTGACAGAACTCTAATGGCTAAACAGACATGGGTCAACAGGCAAATTCAATTTCAAGATAAAGTACAATTGAAGGCAGCACACGCAGGGTGTGTGTTTCAAGTAGGATTGATACATAGCATTTAAAGTTGCGGGAAGCGGGATGGTCATCCAACACGCTGTACTAGTGACAGACATGATCAACAGTTCTGCAGCCTGATGCACATTGTATAGTACATACGGTGTGGGATGGAACTTTCGGAAATCACAACCGAACTCTATGAACACACGTCAGGCACGAATGCTGAAAGCTCTGACCATTGGGAGACGCAGGGAGGAATTGCTTGAGGTATTAAGATGCTCTCCAAAGGGTCTGGTTGAATGTCCAACACTGACAGCAGTGGAACTAGCTCCGCAGATGGTTGTCTCACGAAGTCATTCAAATAGAAACGGCCACCCTAGCTATCTTAGGATGGAATCGACCTTATGTAGATCCTGGCCGAACCCGAGGCCCAAGCCTGTTGGCCTGTGTAGAGTGCGGAAACCTTCGGTCAAACACATCTGGACAGGTGAACTCGCGAGCTGAAAGGATTGATGGCTTGAAAACGTTGTGTGTGAGCCTCCCGGAAGTTCATAGTTCTGGAACGTTAGATCCACTATCTTCTGGACAACATGAGGAATCGTCGCAGAACACATAGCGATTCTCTGCTGTGAAAGACTAACCGACCATCTGATTCAAGATTCAGAATGAGAGATTGGATCAAAGTACGGTCTGCTCCGGAAGAACGACTGGTTGGGGGAGCCCTCGGCATGTGGAGCTGGTGGCTTGCCTCAAGCGAAGATCTCAAATCATGGCCTCACAACAAGGTTAGATACCGAAGCAACGCAGAAGTACTGTATAGATACTAGCAAGTTGCAAAGGTCGACGCGTGTACATCGCTATGTATGAGCAGCACCTACATTAGCATAGCAGCTCCTCGACCAGATTCACGATCTCCTTGATGGACGACTTGTACATGGAACTAATCCTGATCTTCACTAGAGTATCAGTAATCAAATGCAGGGCTGTACAATGGTCCATAACGGGTATCGAACCAATCATGTCGGCGGGGTGGCAGTTCCGCTTACAGAGAGGGTGGCCCGTCAGAACGTGCTTGGTGACCCGCACACTGAATCGGATCTGCAGCGCGCTAGATCCATTGAAGTTGTCTGACATTGTTGTCGAGGATCCAGCTAGAACTGAGGTCCCCATCTTGGAATCAAGCCACGACCTTGGGCCGTCGGGCGGTTGACAGACAAAAGCCCCTGCGTCCGTTACTTGACTCGGACGGCTTATTGTTCTTAATTGAATAAGCCTCCCTGCCTCAAACGTGGAAGCCACATCATTTGTCTGTTGAGATAAAGATCGTGTTTGCTCGCGTACTTCGGTCAACCCGGTCCAGAAACAATCGCACGGAGAAGCATAAGGAGCTCGGTTCAACCTCACTCATCCCATGACCAGCACTCTCGGACGGGACCTTCTTTATCTGACCAGTTTGCCAACCTGCCNAGTGGTTCTGCGAGCATCCGAATAACAAGTTGAACATGGAATACCAACAAGCTTGCGTGACGACAGGCGCCAGTCACCATTCCATATATGCACATCACAATCAAGGGTACACGCATACACAACCTGTGTGGTCGGCTGTACCGCAGGTATGCAAGCCCTATGACAAGTCGCACATCGTCTGTACTCATGCTGTCTNNCAGTATTCATATGGCTATGAGCAGCACACGCTTGCCGCGCCAGTAGGAGACGCCTTCACCCAAGCTCCGATAATGACTTCGGGCCATACGACGCCAATTGAACCCATAGTCGTCGATGGCCATCACGGATATGCCCCCGTCCCACCAGGGCATCCTGCGATATATCGCAATGGTGTTGAGGTCGACTATAGGCAGCACATGCCTCCCACTGTAGAGTTCAATGTTGACGAACTCCTGGAGTATCAAAGACGTCGTAGCAGTGCCACATCCGAGGAGAAGGAACCTTTGACACCAGCACAGCGTAGGCGGAAGGCACAGAATCGGGCTGCGTATGTATCGAGGTTCTCGCGTTTCGTAGATGAATCAACTGNNCTGACACATCGCGGTGGCCACAGCCAACGAGCTTTTCGAGATCGCAAGCGCCAACGAGTACAAGAATTAGAAGCTCAGTTATCGGCTCTGGAGGTACGAACCAACTCTCTGGAGTCAGATAATGAGCAATTGAGACACGAGCTGCTCCGTACACAAGAAGAAAACGAAGTCCTACGAAACACTAAGCAACCCCCGTCGCCGAATCACACATCGCAACCTGATCGGCGCAGAACAGTACCAACAATAGACAGGAGTGGTAGGAACCTACAAGCTCAATAACACTGATACCAGGTCTTGATGCATTGTTGATACCAGGACCTTATTTCTGAGACTCACCATTTTCTGGAGCAGCCCAGACGCGGCCAATATGTAACGTCTTGTATTCTTAAATCTGTCTTTTCCTCGGAGTTGTGGAATCGCGAGCCAGGCGTTCTAGGAATCGAATTTCGTATAGAATCGGATGCCGGGTATGTCTTACAGCACGTTTTGAACATGCATATGCGTTGGCCAACATTGGCAGGGTTATGTTGACGTTCGTAACGATACCGAATATCACATTTCGGATTCTCACTCGTCGATCCTCCGATATCTTAAACAGCGATTACAAATCTGTAGTGGTGGGCGACAGGTCTGTAACGCCGCGGACACTAGTAGAGTCGTGCTAGGATCAGGTATTTCGGGCTTGTATGCTGGAAGATGGCCATGTCCGGCTGTGACTCGAGTCATGCTCGGGAAGTGGGCAGCTTTAGTCCCAATCGCTGTCGCTATCATCATTGCCCAGGCCAGCACCTTGGCCAGCGCCACGAAGAGTAGACTGTACCGATTCATCGTGTTGACGGGGTTGCAGTCTGGAGTCGTTAGGGTCAACGGCTCCCAAAGAACGAAGCAGATCCTCCAGGTCACGAACAGTTGTGCGATCGCCCTTCAGATCGCGCAAGGTGACTAGTTGGCGCTTGATATCGCCATCCTTGTATACTAATACAGTCGGAGTGTTTCTGTCCGGGTAGCCTTCGATACAAAGGTTTGCCTGGATTTGACAAAACTTGATGTCGCCAAACTTTGTAGCCAACTCGCGCCAGATTTCGATCAAGAGACGGGATTCGACATTTGTGCCAGACGAAGAGGTGAGTAAGACGAGGACGTAGGCTTTCTTTGACTCTTCGGTCACATCGCGCGACCAATCGGGCTTCTGTACAGGGTAGACTTGGTTGTAGACGGAAGCCGATTGGATAGCAGCAAGTTCGTTCATTCGCTTTTGACTTTGAGGAGGGCGTGAGACGAGAAGATTGCGGGACAAGGAGACAAGCTTACCGNNGTAGAACTCAAGGAAGTTCTCGTCTTCGTCGTCTTCAAGTTCAGCTAGTTCGTCGAGCTCCTTGCCTTCTAAGCGGTTCTCGTGGGCAAGTCTACGGGCTTCGGTCAAGGCTTCCTCGATCATTGGAGTGGGTGACGGGGGCTTCTCGGGGATGATCTTGTGCTTGCGAAGGATGTCGTTNCCTGGTCTAGTAAGCAAGCCATGTCGGTACAAAACAACAAAGTCTAGAAAGAGAAGCTAGGCAAAGATGGCTTACCATTCGGTATCAGCATTGGGGTCGTCAATGGGAACATTGACTGGCATGTCTGGCATACCGCCGGGCATGCCTCCCATGCCTCCCATACCTTCCATGATTGTCGTGGCTGGAGAAGATAGGTGTTGTGTGCTAAAGTTCCAAGTGCGCCTGCCGCAGTACAAGTCGAAAGCTGCCGCGGAATTGGAAAGCGCGGAGAGGGTCCAACATACGTTGGAGGGGCCTTGGCGGAGATGACGGGGTTGCGACGGCAGGTGCCGCGGTCGGGGGTTAGGGAGTTGTGGATGCTACGTTTACATACAGTCGACAGTCCCGTGGTATACACGCCAGCCCAGGCAATTGAAGACCAACCATGAGCTACGACAAANAGAACGAGGACGAGGCCGGCCTGCTCAAGGTCGACCGCACCTCGGTCTTCCAGGAGGGTGCGTCCGCCAGGCATCTCAATCTGAACATGTTGCTAACCAGCCCTCGACAGNCTCGTGTCTTCAACACGTCGCCCATCTCTCNNCCTCGCAAATGCCGTGTTCTACTCACCAAGATCTCACTTCTGCTCTTCACCGGCGAGAAGTTCCCCCAAAACGAAGCAACCTCCCTCTTCTTTGGCATTTCCAAGCTGTTCCAGAATAAAGATGCCGCCCTCCGCCAAATGGTCTACCTGGTCATCAAGGAGCTCGCCAACACCGCCCAGGACGTCATCATGGTCACCAGCAGTATCATGAAGGACACTGCTGTCGGAAGCGACGTCGTATACCGTGCAAACGCCATTCGTGCTCTGTGTCGCATCATCGACGCTTCCACCGTCCAGGCCATCGAGCGCAACATCAAGACAGCCATTGTCGACAAGACCCCCTCCGTTTCCTCCGCCGCTCTCGTGTCTTCCTATCACTTGCTTCCCATTGCCCGCGACATTGTCCGCCGCTGGCAGAGCGAGACCCAAGAGGCTGCTTCGAGCACAAAGTCCTCGGGAGGCTTCTCCCTTGGCTTCGGTACCTCGGCCTCGCACAGTCTGGCTGCCTCAAACACAAACTTCATGACCCAATATCATGCTATTGGTTTGCTCTACCAGATGCGCTCCCACGATCGTATGGCTCTCGTCAAGATGGTTCAACAGTACAGCGCCCCTGGAGTTGTCAAGAGCCCTGCAGCCCGTCTCATGCTCGTTCGTCTGGCTGCCAAGCTTATCGAGGAGGATCCCGGCCTTCGCGCTCCCATGATGAAGCTGCTCGATGGTTGGTTGCGTGACAAGAGTGAATTGGTCAACATTGAAGCTGCAAAGGCCATCTGTGAAGTCGGCGATTTGACCGACAACGAGGTCATGCAAGCCGTCCACGTCCTCCAACTCTTCTTGACTTCTCCTCGTTCCGTCACCAAGTTCGCTGCCATTCGCATCCTTCACAACTTTGCCTCTTTCAAGCCTGAGGCTGTACGTCAATGTAACCCCGACATCGAGGCTCTCATCACAAACTCTAACAGATCTGTTGCGACCTTCGCCATCACCACTCTCCTCAAAACCGGCAACGAGTCAAGCGTTGATCGTCTCATGAAGCAAATCTCTGGCTTCATGGCCGAGATCACCGATGAGTTCAAGATCACAGTTGTTGAGGCTGTTCGCACTCTCGCCCTCAAGTTCCCTAGCAAGCAGGCCGGTATGCTTGCATTCCTCAGCACCTCGATCCGCGACGAGGGAAGCTACGAGTTCAAGAGCAGCGTTGTCGAGGCCATTTTCGACCTTATCAAGTTTGTGCCGGAAAGCAAGGAGGACGCTCTTTCGCATCTGTGTGAGTTCATCGAGGACTGCGAGTTCACCAAGCTGGCCGTACGCATTCTGCATCTACTGGGTATGGAGGGTCCCAAAACCGCCAACCCCACCAAGTACATCCGTTACATTTACAACCGTGTCGTGCTCGAGAACGCCATTGTGCGCGCATCTGCCGTCACTGCTCTTGCCAAGTTTGGTGTTGGCCAGCAAGATCCTGATGTTAAGCGCAGCGTCAACGTCCTTCTCACTCGCTGTCTCGATGACACGGATGATGAGGTTAGAGATCGTGCAGCCCTCAACTTGCGTTTGATGAAGGAGGATGACGATATGGCCAGCAAGTTTGTCAGAAATGGTAAGATATTGATGACTTGAGTATGTTCGATGATTGTGTACTAATTTGTCGTCTAGNATTCCATGTTCTCATTGCCGGTCTTGGAGCACCAGCTTGTCATGTATGTGACAGCAGATTCATCAGCTGGTTTCTCTCAGCCATTTGATCTTGGTTCCGTCCCTGTTGTCACCCGTGAACAGTCGCTTGCCGAGGATCGTACCAAGAAACTCACCACCGCCACTCCTACCCTTAAGGCACCCTCAGCCGGACCTAAACCCGCGGCTGCTCGTGGTTCAGCAGAAGCTGCTGCTTCAGCAAGCGCGGCTGCTCAGAAGTATGCTCAACAACTCCAGGCCATTCCCGAACTTGCTTCGTATGGAGGTGTTCTGAAGAGCAGTGCTGTCGTCGAGTTGACAGAGAGCGAGACCGAATATGTTGTCACGGCTGTCAAGCATCTGTTCAAGGAGCACGTTGTCATTCAATACGACATCAAGAACACGCTGCCCGACACAGTCCTCGCCGACGTCACAGTAGTGTGCACACCCGCAGCGGTCGACGAGTCAGAAGACAGTGGCCTGGAAGAAGAATTCACCATCCCTGCTCCTCTGCTCAAGACAGACGAGCCCGGCACTGTTTATGTCTCTTTCAAGCGTCCCGAAGGTCAAGAGTTCTCGGCAGCAAACTTCAGCAACGTGCTCAAATTCACAAGCAAGGAGATTGATCCATCGACCAACGAACCTGAAGAGCACGGTTACGAAGACGAGTACGAAATCTTTGACTTGGATCTTGTTGGATCTGACTACATCGTTCCTGCATTCGCTGGCAACTTCGACAGCATCTTTAATGGAATTCCTTCTGACGATGAACACGAGGCTGAAGAGACTCTGCAGCTCTCAAATGCCAAGACACTGGCTGAAGCGACCGAGCTGCTTGTCAAGAGTCTGGGTATGCAACCCCTCGAGGGCAGCGAAGTGACGCTTTCCACAAGCACGCACAGCCTCAAGCTTTACGGCAAGAGCGTGACAGGTGGCAAGGTAGCATCGCTGGTCAGAATGGCATTCAGTGCCAAGACTGGAGTCACAATCAACATCAAGGTACGAAGTGAGGAAGAGATGTTGGCAGCACTGGTTGTTGGAGGAGTTGCATGATGGATATATGTTCGATGGTGATGTGGGACACTGGCGTTTTATTATGGGGAGCATGAACCAGCGTGTGTGCTTTTATTTATTTGGTTACGGACAAAGGCGGACGGTAGAAAAAAGCGTCTCCGAGTCGTTGTTCTTCAGATGGATTGATATGTATTTTTTGTCAGATGTGAATGTGTTCGATGGTCTGCTCCTGCTGCATGCATGCATGTAGAGTACCTACTGAAAGTGCGGGTGATGACGACGAGGTCGATGTGGCTTGGCCAGGGCCAGGGGACGGCGGAGAACGTCTCGACTCTCACTCTCCCGGACGTCGACAGCTGGACATTCGACCTGAACAATGAAGACGACCTGAAACGCCCTCCTAATACCCTTCAGCCACTACCAATCCATAATACCGACCCTCATCGCCTCTCTGAATAAACCACACCGTTCAAACACGCAAACGCACGTCGCAGCCATGTCGGCAGCCACGTCTTCAATCCAGGACCGCACTCCAGAGTTCCGCTCCATCCTCGCCCTTGCCCAAAAACGCCTCGCCCACACAAAGACACCACAGAGCCGACAACATCTACTACCCAACAATGCCCAACCCTCAGCACAACCCACGCGCAAACAGCGCAGCGAGTTTGCGCGCAAGGCCGCCGAAATAGGAAGGGGCATTGCAGCCACCGTCGGCAAACTCGAACGTCTGGGACAACTGGCTCGTCGCAAGACCCTCTTCGACGACAAGCCTGTCGAAATCGCCGAACTCACCTATGTCATCAAGCAAGATCTTGCTGCGCTGAACCAGCAGATCGGTGCCTTGTCGACGATAAACAAGACGGCGCATCCCAAGGGCGGAGTAGATCAAGAAGGCCAACACAATGAAAATGTCGTCGTCATGCTACAGAGCAGATTAGCAAACGTAGGAGGTAACTTCAAGGAAGTCTTGGAAGTGCGGTCCAAGAATGTACAAGCCAGTCGCTCGCGTCAAGACAACTTTGTCAATACCGTGGGCAGCAATGCTGGACATTTGGTTCCTCAAGGACGCAGTGACAGTCCGCTATATGCACCGCCATCACGAGGCCGCTCACCGCAACCGCCAATGAACCAAGGACAAGATCTTCTGACTCTCGAACCACCAAGCGCGTCTTCGTCAGCTTTAACACGAGGTGCACAATCAGAGCAACAGATGCTACTCCTCGAAGAAGGAAACCAGAACAACGGATACATACAACAGCGCGGCGAAGCCATAGAAGGCATCGAGCGCACAATCGCCGAACTTGGAGGTATCTTTGGTCAACTAGCTCAAATGGTCAGCGAGCAGAGCGACATGATTCAACGCATCGACGCGAATACCGAGGACATTGTCGACAATGTTGAAGGTGCGCAACGCGAGCTTATGAAATACTGGTCCAGGGTGCAGGGCAATAGGTGGCTTGTTGCTAAGATGTTTGGTGTTTTGATGATTNTGTAAGTTTGTCCCTTCTTACCTGCCTTCGCAATACTAACATAACTCGCAGTCTTCTTGTTATGGGTGCTCATCGCCGGTTGATGTGCAAGCACTGGTCTTCTATTGGCAAGGCGTACAGGCGTATTTGGGTATTGGGAAACAGACAGGCTGCATCACTTTTGCAGCAATCACAAGGCAACTTTTACAACGGGGCAACACAGCAAATAAACTCTCAGGAAGGCTTTGGAATGTCTCTTTTTACTTCATGCATGTTTTCGACAACTAGACTTCTTTGTACTAATACCTACTTCCTTCTTTCCTTTTTCTGCTCCTCTTCTTTCTCCGTTACTTGTTTTCTGCCTTGGAATGACAATGTCATTGTGACGCTGTCCCCGGTGTCACCCTGACCCTATATTCGTACTCAGTCATCAGTATTCTTTTCGAACCCTGGTGCTTGTTCAAAAGCTGTAAGCTTGACGACCTCTCTGACTAAGAGGCTTTTAGATTGGGAGAGCACATGGCACTCGAGAATGTTGGTCCTGTTACAATAAAATTTCTGTGTCGCTGGCGAATAATACAAGGTAACCATATGCTACATGCACTTCTGCTTCCTGCTACGTGTACCCTCTGCAAGCTATGCAGCGAAACGAAGGAAAACTAGACAGACGCCTCTAAAACGAAAAAGAAAGAAACAATAACAGAAAAGTCCTTTCCCTACATAGGAACGATCGAGTCCCCCAGACATTTGGATTATCTTTTCCTAGGTGAAGAGAAACTCCCCTTAGACGGCACACCCTTGGCCTTAGATCTTGCGACCCTTGACTGTAAAAAGAGGCCGCTGTACCTATTTGGACACCAACCACTCCTTGAATATTACAACAGATGTAGTTTTAAACCCCGCGAATTGAGAATCATATACATCATTTTTGCCGTAACTGTGTTGTTGTTTACCAGACGTACTATGAAGGAAATTAGTAATCCGGACAAGGAAGTGGCGCTGAAGCAGAAAAGAACTTACAGGAATGAAAAGGTAAGGGCAGCGTCTCTCGTACTCCNNCTTCCAAGCGTCGCCGTACTTCTCCTTGCAACGCTGGATGTCACGAGAAGCGCGGTGCACAATCATGACGGCGAAGAAAGCAGGGTAGAACCAAGGGAAGGGCGAGTTGAAACCGGTGATCAGACCCCAGCAGAGAGCAAAGTACATGTCGCAAGTGTAGTGGATCTTGCGAGCGTACTTGTACCAGCCATCGCAGAGGAGAGCATTGCCAGTGTCGGTCTCGATCTTCTGAGGGTTCTTGACAGCCTTCCAGGGGAGTTGAGGGAAAGTCTTGCGGTTCATCTCGTAGCCACGCTCTTGAGCACGGAACATGTTCTTCTGCGAATTACCAGTATCCCAGACCCAGTAGGCGAAGAGGTAGCTGCCGAAGAACCAGACAAGGACGGGCCAGGAGTGAGAGTACACTTCGGGATCGTGGTTGGCAAGGAAGATGGTGCAGTGGCAGTAAGACAGAGGCACACCAGCCAAGTTCCAGAAGATGAGCATGAAACCCCACTTCTCATAGTACATGTCCCAGGTGATGGGGATCATCTCCTCACCCTTGCAGCAGGCGTTGGCATACAAGAAGTGGGCCATGAGCAAGAAGGCCATCTCACCAGTGACATAGCCATACTGTTCGTATTGACGAGCGCAACCTCCGAGAGTGACGAGGAACAAGATGAACCAAGGCAGACGGACCTCGAAGAACATCTTGAAGTCGAGCCAGCCGAACAGACGAGGATTCAGCTCAGCACCCATGAAGAAGTCGTAGATGTGGTGGCCAGTCATTCTGTGCTGAGCACCGCGCATAAGAGCAGAGACATAGGCGACGACAGAGACAATGAAGCCAGACAGAATAGCGACCGACATCAAGGGGCCGAACTCATCAATGAGAGTGTAAAGCTTGAAGAGGCCGGTAACGTGGAGACCCAAAGCGACGACAATGGTAAGATAGAAAGAAGTGACGCCGGAGCAGTAGTAGAGGAGCTGCTTGTTGCCCAGGTGAGGAAGAGGCTTGCCCTTGCTGTACACACCGGGCATGTACAGGTAGCAGATGCCCTCGAAGATGAAGAAGGTCCAGTAGATGGCCCATGCCTTTGCGTGAGGGAAAGCGCCATTGTAGGCCAGGCTGAAGAGCTGCTTGCCAAAGTCGGACCACGACTGGTTGGAAGACTCGCGCTTAGGGAAGCCACCATCGTAGTAGGTAGCGCCAACCCACATATACCACATGAGAATAGGGAAGCCAATCATCATGGCAGTGACTCCAGGGCTGCCACCAAACTCGTAGTGAGGGTTCGCGTCCACCTTAGGGTCGGAGCCCTCGAGCCAGCCATCAATGATGCGCTTCTTCTCCTTCTTGGACGAGCCATTGGCATGCCCATTGGTCTTGACCTCGCTGGCAGGGGCGTCGACAAGGGGAGTTCTCGAGCTGGTGATTGAGGGCGACGGCGAGGCAGTACGACCCGAGTCTGCCGTCTTGCGCGTTGAACGCTTCCTCGATGGTGTTTCAACAAAGCCCTCGGGCAATTCTGGCTTTCTGTTGACTCGTGTTAGTGGACGCGATACACGAGCATAACACGCGCTTTTGCACTTACCTGGGNNCGTCTTGCCCGTCTGGCTCCTCGTGACGGTCATGGTGAGTCAATGGCAGCAGCAATTGATGTCCTAGGAAGGATGCCGGTGGCCAGTAGAGGGAAGTCGCGGAGGACTCGATACTCAATCTCCGTTGTTGTTTTCCTTGACCCTCGGACCCACTCCTGACCAAACTTTAGTTGTCTTTACATCATCATGCGCTTCCACCATCTGCCGGCCCTGAATAATTTTGACATTTTTCTTCATTTATTTCGTATCTGTATAGCTGTATGTATATGGACCTTCGCTATTCCGTCCAAGGTATAGTGTCAATGCAATGCAGTAGGAGCCCTCGTAAAACGCCTGATATCTCAAATCCACAAAGCCATCCATCCCAATCGTTATGCACCTCGTCTAGCCGTAGTGCTCATCAGCGTAATCTTCTTGCCCTTCTTCTTGCCTTTGGCAGCACCTGCAGCTTTGCTGGACGAAGATGACCCTTCACCGAGACTTGCTGCTTGCACTTGGGCGATCAGATCATCCTCTTGTGTCAATTCCTTCTCCCAGCCATCAAGCCACCTATCATCCATGTTTCCATGTTGAAGAGCGGCGAGTTCAGGACTACTCAATGCGATTGCAGTAGTGCCCCATACTGTCCTTGATGTAGCCGGGCTTGTACCAGGTGACGCAAGAGAGGCATAGGCAGATCCTTGCGGTCTGTTGCTGTTGCTCCAGGGCGGTGATGAAGAAGATCCTTGACCATCGAAGGAGCCTGCTGCGTCCGAACCATTCGCACCCAATGGAATGAAGTCGTCTGGTCTGAACTTGCTTTCGGTTGGAATGCTGACCCGTCTTCGCCGAGCGGCTGCGAACTCTCGATCTTCAGCCTTCTCGGCGCGGATGCGTTCCTTTTCTTCCCGTGCCTCCTTGTCATTGTTTCGCTTGCGACGTTTTTCGATCTCACCCTGGAACTGCTCAAGGATTGCCGGAGGAACTGTGTCAGTCCAGTCACATTCCAAGAAAGTGACCTCGCATCCATAAGGTAGATGTCCGAGGTACTTGACTCTNTTGCGCAAATCATCATCGACAATGTGGCCTGTTGATACCCGCTCGACACGGGGTAGTATCGAGGACGGGAAGTTGTCGTAGCTTCCGAATGCAGCCTTCAGAATGCGGATATCCAAAGATGACAGATAGTAATGCAGGAGCCCCTGGTAGAAGAAGTAAGTGTCCGGTTGCCTTTCTGCATGTTGTCGTGCACGAAACTCGGCTAATGATGTTGACAGAATACTAGTCGTGGGGTCTTCCTTCTTAGTACCAGTCTCTTTCTCGCTCGATGATGAATCCGCCTGTCCGGTGTGTCCGTTGGGTAGACTCTGTCCTGATTTGATAGCCTGCTGAATGGCATACATTTCCGGCACTCCATCGTCAGACTGGTTGAATTGTATGGCGGGCTTCTTGTGCTCAGGCTCTTCTGGCTTCTTAGGTGCTGCTGGTGGATTTCCGATGCCCTTAATCTTCTCTTTCGCCTCGTTCAAGGCACGTACGGCTTTACTGGTCCATTGTGTATCGTCTCCAAACATGACTTCATCCTCTTGTTCCATAGCTCTGACGTTCTGGATCTCCTCATCCAATTGGGCAAGCATGTAATCTTCGCCGCCCTTCATGACGCGAGCATAATCCATCACCTCGGCTGCAAAGTACCATGGGATGTCGTCCCCTTTNCCAAGGGCGTCGGGACTCTCTCTAGGCATGGCGAGAGTAGAACCTGCATGACGCTGTATCAAGCGCAGTACCACGTCATCTCCCNNCTCTCTCGGGGGTTCAAACTCAGCACCGGTATACCAGCGGACTGGCCTTGTCTCGGAAACGTAGATGGAGTCGTAGCAGATTGGGCATTTCTTCCAGCGTGCCTTCTTCTCAGCTCCAGAAGCAGTGCCATCATCCGAGTGCATATACCGAATCAAGCATGGCAGACAGAAAATGTGACCACATTTAGCCATTCTCGGAGCGGTGGGTGTGCCCAGGCAGATAGGACATGCAGAAGACTGAGACTCTGTCGAGACGAGGATCTGCAGTACGTTGTTCCAGTCAATGTGAACATCAGCATCGACGCGTTGAGGGCGATAGTCAGCCCTTGGGTCAACAATGAAACGATAGTTGGCGTGGACATATCTACACAATTAGCATATGTTAACATGCTGAATTGGGAGGCCGAAGAGAACGCACCTGGCCTTGTCCACAGCGTGGTATCCAGAACCTAGGCCCCAAGTGGGGTTGCGTCGAGGGCGGCCTGAGGCATATCTAGAGTTGTGTTGATGTGCTTGAGGACGTGGCGGAAGGGAAAAGTTCATCAAATGAGTGATAGAGGTCTGACCCTTGCGGCTGCTAGTCGAATGCATGGCGGCCNNTGTGGCAAAGTGAGCAAGGTGAAAGCTCGCTGACAGGTCGATAGTAACACTTACGGATTCAGCAAGAGCATCCTCATCCGCGAGTCTAAACTTCTTCGATTGCTTGTGCTTTGCTTTTGCACTTTGGTTGCTGCGCGGGGTCGATGATGGCTTCGAGCTAGCGGCGTTGGAGCTGCCTGAACCGCCACTTCTACGTTGACCGAGAACTTCTCCAAAGTAGGCGTTGGTCTGAGAATAAGAGGGTGCTGATTGATTTGAGAGGCCGACGGATTTGGAAGGGTTCGATGTTTTGGCCGAAAGAGCAGTTTGCGGGTTCGAAGACATGACGGGATGCAGGTGTGGAAATGATGTCGTTGGACGCGTCCAAGTAGAACGATTGCCGCGGTCGAACAAGCAAAACTCAAGTCGACGAAAAGTCTGCCAACACAATGCGAGTGGCGTATCTAGGATTCGTATTTGCGATCTGTCGACCGGCCCAGAGGGTGTCGACGGGATGGTCCAAGAGAAGCGAAACACGAGAAAGAGGAGGGAGGCAATTGCTCATCGCCCGAGACCCGACACCGAGATGGGCCCCTCGTACGTCACATGAACTGCTACAGGCCGTCGAGAATTCTCTCATCAGACATATGCCAAGCATCTGCTTTCAGCTATCTTCCATTATGCAATACACCTCTTTGCTTAATGTAAGGTCATAAAAGGCCAGTGAGGAGTGAAAGCAATCGTTGATGTCTACGCTTATCGAAGACTGTATCTTGAGTCAAAGAATATATCTACATCGTCGTGAATAGATCTCGAGAGCCTGACAACATTGAAGAGAAAACGCTTGGTAAGAAAGCACATCACGTTCTGTATCGGCTCCCAGCCATTCAGGGTTCAAAGTGCTTTGTATGCGCGTTGGCAGCAGATATCGAACGTACACACCACTTTTGATCTCCAAAATGCTGATTGAAGAATCTTACAGGNATGTGGCCACCAAGGATGGTGGCAACATGCGTATGTAGAAGGGATTCAGACTTGATCGATAGCTTCCATCTGCTGATTCTTTCCAGGCGNTGTTTACCTGGCACCCAACGGTCCCCAACTACCCTAAGGCCAAGTTCCCTGGTGTAGTCGTCTTCAGTGAGATCTACCAGGGTAAGTCGTTTTCTTCTCTATCGTCTCTGACAACGGAACGTAGTCTTTCATGATGACGCGAATTGACTTAACATCATTCATCAGTGACTGGACCTGTTGCTCGATTCGCTAAGCAAATTGCTGGTCAGGGCTACATTGTTGCTGCCCCGAGTAGCTACCACGAGTTTACTGGACCTGAGCCTCTTGCCTATGATGGACCCGGTACTGATAAGGGAAATGACTGGAAGGTTGCCAAANAGCTTGCAGCTTACGATGAGGACGCTGAACTCAGTGTCTCTCTGCTTCTATCTCTAGAGACTTGCAACGGCAGAATTGGTGCTACTGGAATGTGTCTAGGTGGTCACCTGGCTTACCGATGTGCATTGGACAAGCGTGTCAGCGCTGCTGTCTGCTACTTTGCTACTGACATCCACTCAAAAACTCTTGGTGCCGGCAAGAACGACGACTCCTTGGCTAGAGCCAAGGATATCAAGGGTGAACTGGTTATGGTATGCTTTCAATATGTTGTAGAGGTATTCCGTCGCTAACACATGAATAGANTCTTTGGCAAGAAGGACAACCATGTCCCTCCTGAGGGTCGTGATCTTATTCGCAAGACTCTGCACGATGCCGGCATCTGCTTCAGTTTCTTCGAGGCTGCTTGGGCTCAACGTAAGTACCACACTCAGTTGCCATTGCTCAAGCTAATTATTACAGATGCCTTCATTCGCGACGAGATGAGCAAGGGACGTTACGACCCTGGACTTACCAAGATCTGCTTCGAGATGTTGCTTGAGCTGTTCAACCGCACACTGAGATCTGATCTTGGTCCCAGAGTTGGAGGCGAGCAGGAGATTGAAGACGTCTGCTAGATGATTGGTCATGTGTATACGAACTGATCAAAGTAAATGTGCAGATATTAAACAAACGACATCTTCATATGTGTATCGCCTTGACCGACAATTAAAGCTCGATTGGCACTGTAGATGCTCCAAAAGCCTGACCAGAGATGTGAAGAGGCTGGTGAACTTGCTCCGAATGTGAAAAGTCGACAGCTTGCCCGAATGTCACACCATATACAAGCACTGTTGATAATTGCACTGTTCATTCTGTCTTCAATTCCAGAATCTTTTTTCTCAGAGTGAACAAACATTTATTGTTGGGCATCTGGACTCTCTGAAGTGAAGCGTTGATGGGCTGGCTCGATCGAGTTAGTCGAGATTTTGCCCCGGCTTGGCACACAGTCCGACCACCGACCGATATTCAATCTGCGTTTTCGCGCTTTCTCCTTCTTTTTCGAACTGCGAGCCCTTTCAACGTAAGCGCGACGACTGCCCACGCTCATTTTCAATCACTAACCAATTGTAAAGCCGACCAACGTTAATTCAAAGTCGACAACATGGCCAGAGGACCCGGGTAAGCATCCACCAGAACCGGACGGTGTCGAGANNTTTTCGCATTGGACCNGCGACACACGACTTGCGCAAACTTCTTACACAGTCTGCAGAAAGCACCAGCACCGCCTGTCGGCACCTTCGCACTGGCTTCTCGACAAGCTGTCGGGCGCCTACGCCCCCAAGGCCTCGCCCGGTCCCCACAAGCTCAGAGACTGCATGCCTCTGATCGTCTTCATCCGTAACCGCCTGAAGTACGCCCTCAACGGCCGCGAGACCAAGGCCATCGTCATGCAGCGCCTCATCAAGGTCGACGGCAAGGTCCGCACCGACGCCACCTACCCCGCCGGCTTCATGGACGTTATCTCGATCGAGAAGACTGGCGAGAACTTCCGCCTCGTCTACGACACCAAGGGCCGCTTCACCGTCCACCGCATCACCGGCGAGGAGGCTGAGTACAAGCTCGGCAAGGTCAAGCGCGTCCAGCTCGGCAAGGGCGGCATCCCATACTTGGTTACGCATGATGCACGCACGTAAGTCTGCATCTATCAGCCGTTGGATCAAGCTTTGGCGATACGGAAAAAACACATGTAAGGACAAGAACTGAATATTGGTGAATAGTNNATCCGTTACCCAGACCCCGCCATCAAGGTCAACGACACCGTCAAGATTGACCTCACCACTGGCAAGATCTCCGACTTCATCCGCTTCGACACTGGCGTTATTGCCATGGCCACCGGTGGTCGTAACATGGGTCGTGTTGGTGTCATCACTCACCGTGAGCGCCACGACGGTGGTTTCAACATCGTCCACATCAAGGATGCCATTGACAACGAGTTCGCTACTCGTGAGAGCAACGTCTTCGTCATTGGCCGCGAGAAGCCTTGGATCTCGCTCCCCAAGGGCAAGGGTGTCAAGGTTCGTAGATTCGGTCTGAAGATGTGCGAAACACTGGCTAACTCTCGTTGCAGCNTCTCCATTGCTGAGGAGCGTGACCGCCGCCGCGCCCACGCCATCGCTGGCAACTAAACTAGCTGACCAGCTTCTAGGTTCATGGGGTTCGTTGGTTGATGTGTTGGAGGGTTTCATGCATCAGGCAGCAAAAACAAAAGGCGTCTGGGGAGCATGTTGTTCAGAAGTTTTTACGCGATGTGCCATGCAGCACTTTCGTAGCTCTACGACAAAAGAAAGATATCCAAGCTCACAGCTTCGCACCCAAAATGATTGATGACTTTTCTGCATTCAAACCGTGTGAAATGTGATGTGTTTACTCTTACATGTGTCAGACTATTTGTAGATGATCGGCCTCGTAAGCTGTCTTCCATGCTGCACGCGGAGGCCCAGTAGAATGCCATTGTGGAGGTTGCAATTGTCTTGGGCTGTCAGGCCTAGCAGGGAGAAAGCTTGAAAGTTATGTGAGGGCCTGGGATGAATCTTGGGGCAGTCGCGTTCGCTGACGTTGCGGCGTTGGTCGGGCGTTGTCACGGCGGTGCTCGGCAAGTCGACGTCGATGAAGCTCCAACTACTGGATATTGCTGCTCTTTATTAAACACTCTCCTTGGTCCCCGCTTGTTCTCCCCTCATCTCCGGCACGAGCACGGTGACTTCTTTCGTTCTGGTTTCCCACTTTCAGTGAGGCCTCAGTACCACGCATCGAGCATACCGCGGCATCCACAGCCATCATGTCGCTCCACTCGACGCGCAATGTCGACATGGGCAAGTATGTAGTAGCCTGTCGCAACATCAGCGATACATGCTAACCAATTCTCAGGCAAGAGTCGGAGTTGGCCATCAACATTCGCAAGGCCACGAGTATCGGTATGGTCTAGACTTCATGTAGATGCCATAGATCTATGCTAACACGTTCATGTAGAGGAGACCGCTCCCAAGAGTACGCTACCCAGGCCCTCAGCTTCCCGACCCGACTGAACACAACTCCAGGAAAACACGTTCGAGCATGTATCGTCTACACATACGACCACCGCAGTTCGCAATCCTTCTGGGCTGGCATGAAGGTGTAAGCAGCAACCACTACCGAAGAGTGTCACAATTGTACTGAGTCGACGTTGCAGTNNCAACCGATCATGGCCGATGAAGTCCAGACCTTCAAGGCTCTCATCACCATCCACAAGGTCCTGCAAGAAGGCCACCCCGTCGTTCTGAAAGAGGCTCAGGCACATATTGGCTGGCTTGAGAGTCTGTCGCGTGGCGTCGCAGGCGGTGACGGCATGAAGGGTACGCCTGGATGTGTTTGCACTTGCAGTACAAGACTGACAATGCTTANNGGATACGGCTCTCTGATCTCCGAATACGTCTACTACTTGATCGCAAAGCTCAACTTCCACAGAAACCACCCCGAGTTCAATGGTGTGTACTCCGAACCATGCACAGAAAAGTCGCTGATGTAGGCATAGNGAACATTCGAGTACGAGGAGTACATCAGTTTGAAGTCGATCAACGACCCGAACGAAGGGTAAGAACCAACTAGTGGCAGCTCATCGCAAAGCGGCATACTGATTCGGCCAGATNACGAGACCATTTCCGACCTTATGAACCTCCAAGATCAGATTGAGACATTTCAAAAGCTCGTTTTTGCTAACTTTAGAGGCGGGCTGAACAACGAGTGCAAGATCTCTTGTCTGGTACCCCTGGTCCAGGAGAGTTACGGTATCTACAAGTTCATCACCAGCATGCTGCGCGCCATGCATACCGCTCTTGGAGACGATGAAGTTCTCGCACCTCTTCGCGGACGTTACGACGCTCAACACTACCGCTTGGTCAAATTCTACTACGAGTGCTCCAACTTGCGCTACTTGACCAGTCTGATCACCATCCCTAAGCTGCCTCAGGATCCACCAAGCCTTCTCGGCGATGACGAGGACAAACCAGCCCTCCCCGCTAGGCCGAAGAACGAGCCTGTCACCAAGCCTGCCAATACTCCTCCACCCCAGCCTTCCGTAGATCCTGAACCCATCAACGAATTCTGGAAGAATGAGCAAGCACGTCAGCAAGAAGAGTATGAGGCAGAGCAAAGAAGATTGCAGGCACAATGGGATGAGGCGCAAAGACAACAGCAACAGGCTGCTCTGCAAGCTCAGAGGGACTTTGAGGAACAACAAAGACTACAAGCTGAGCAGCAGAGATTGGCCCAGGAGCAGTTGATGCGTGACCAGTACTCGCAACAAACCCAGGGCAGAATGGCTGAGCTGGAGCGTGAGAACCTGAATGCGCGCGCACAGTACGAGCGTGACCAGCTTATGCTTGAACAATACGACAGACGTATGAAGGCTCTCGAGGGAGAGTTGCAGCAACTCCAAGTAAATTTCGGCCAACAGAATGCTTCCAAGGACGAACAAATTCGTGCTTTGCAGGAGCAGATTAACACCTGGAGAACCAAGTACGAGGCTTTGGCAAAGCTGTACTCGCAGCTACGTCACGAGCATCTTGAACTTTTGCAGAAATTCAAGGGTGTCCAACTCAAGGCAGCTTCAGCGCAAGAAGCCATTGACAGACGCGAGAAGCTGGAGAGAGAACTCAAGACCAAGAACTTGGAGCTTGCCGACATGATCCGCGAGAGAGACCGTGCTCTCCACGACAAGGATCGTTCATCTGGCGGCCACAAGGACGAGCTTGAGAAGCTCAAACGCGAACTACGCTTTGCTCTTGACAAGGCAGAGAATGCAGAGAGATCGAAGGGATCTGAGCTTTCGTCCCTTCTTTCTAGGCACAACAGAGAGATTGCTGATCTCGAGGAGGCCTTGCGCAACAAGACTAGAGCTCTTGACGATGCTCAAAACAAGTACGGCGAGAAAGATTCTGATCTTGAGAGACTTCTTCGCGAAAAGGAGGATGAGCTTGAAATCTTCAAGGCCGGCATGGACCAGACACTGTTGGAGTTGAACGAACTCCGCAACGGTCAAGGCGAGACAGACCAAGCTCTTGACGAGCAGATTGACACTCTGCTTCTTGACAGCGTTCGCAAGATCACTGACATCATTGACTCTGTGCTCCAGAGCGGTGTTCAGCGTGTCGATGATGCTCTCTACGAGCTGGACTCTACCATGCAAGCAGGAAACCAAAGTGCTTCTGGTGCATATGTTTTGTCAACTATTGAGAAGGCCGCGTCAAGCGCCATGGAGTTCTCAACTGCCTTCAATAACTTCATCGCTGATGGTCCCAACAGCACTCATGCTGAAGTCATCCGCACTGTTCACACTTTCTCAAACTCTGTCGCAGATGTTCTCTCGAACACCAAGGGTCTTACCAGATTCGCTTCTGATGAGAAGAAGGCTGATCAGCTGATGAATGCTGCACGCCAGTCTGCTCTCAGCACTGTTAGCTTCTTCCGCTCTATCCAGAGTTACCGTCTTGACGGTTTGGATGATCTGCAAAAGACCGATGTTGTCATCAACAAGAACAACGAGGTTCAGATCAACCTGAACAGCCTGTCTAAGATTGCTGATGCATTCGCTCCTAAGCACAAGCTGACCTCTGCTTCTGGAGATCTTGGAGATCTCGTCGACCGCGAGATGGCCAACGCCGCAAAGGCAATTGAAGCAGCTACCGATCGTCTTACTGCTCTGATGAACAAATCCAGAGATGGCTACTCAACTTACGAGCTCAAGATTCACGATGCTATTCTTGGCGCTGCTATCGCAGTCACTAATGCTATCGCAAACTTGATCAAAGCAGCCACTGCATCTCAGCAGGAAATTGTAAATGAAGGTCGTGGCTCTTCATTGTCAAAGTCAAGTTTCTATAAGAAAAACAGTAGATGGACTGAAGGTCTCATCTCCGCTGCAAAGGCTGTTGCCAACAGCACGAATCTGCTCATCGAGACTGCAGATGGTGTCATTGGAGGCCGCAACTCTCCCGAGCAGCTGATCGTTGCATCCAACGACGTGGCTGCTTCCACTGCTCAGCTGGTCGCTGCCAGCAGAGTCAAGGCCAGCTTCATGAGCAAGACTCAAGAGAGACTGGAGGACGCTAGCAAGGCTGTTACTGGCGCATGCCGCAGTCTCGTTAAGCAAGTCCAAGCCATCATCGACGCTCGTGCAAATGGTGAAGAAGTCATTGATTACTCTAAGCTGTCAAAGCACGAGTTCAACAGATCGTATGTATCATCAATCTCCTCTCATATGAACTACATGCTAACATTTTGTGAATAGANNCACATGGAGAAGCAAGTCGAGATTCTCCAGCTCGAGAACGCACTTGGCAGAGCACGAAAAGACTTGGGCGAGATGCGCAAGCTCGCCTACCAGGAAGACGAGGAATGAGCGGTTTTATAGGCCTCTTTTTAAGTCTTGTTGTGATACCAAATTGCGTGCTTTGTTGTATTGTATTTACATACGTCTTTTCTGATTCCAACCTTTCGACTTCTGTTCGCCCACGTGAGATAGTGATCGAACTGTTCATCGTGACGCTACTCACTCCTTTATAAGTCTAATATACACTCCTTCATAAGTTTGATCCGAGACGGAGACGTTGTCTCCCGCGTGCAGATATTTATCACGCTCAGCTGTCCCCATACACGATACCCTTATGTATCAGGAGGAGGCCAGAGAGATGTGCTTGTTTGAACACTCTATTTGGAACCTCTCCGTATTCTCGGTTTGTAACTTCCACCGTACTCCAAGTGTAGCTAAGAGCAAAATATGGACTTCCAAAAGGCATAATCATATTCGAAAGTAAAGGTGTGTCCACGGAGAGTCGACGAGTTGTTGCATCTCAGTGGATACTGGCGTACTCCCTATTACTATTGTGCATTTCTATAGGTACACACTACATACTTCAGTATATAGGAGGTTGTGTATGAGGAGGCGATCCACAGAGATGCACCATACTCCAACTGTGGCTCAGAGCAAGAAGTAGACTACAAAAGGCACAATATCATAGGAAGTAGAGGCGTTTCCATAGAGATTCGACGACATGTTGCCTTGCCTATTTAGAAAATGTATCTAAATATCAGATATGTACATAGTCCTAGGCCGGCGATTCATTCCACTGTGCTAAGATCAATGCCATAGGGCAGATTCTCAGGTGGAGGCAAAGGAGGAGCACCAACACCATCATAAGTAAGCGGTACGTTAGGGTTGTTAGGTGGCTGCACGAAGCCAACGCCGTTGTCAATCAGTTCCTGAGGGTTGGTGGGACGCTTAGGGAACACATTGGGCACACCCTCCCAAACACTAACGTTGGAGAACTTAACACCAGTATCCAGGGTCGAGTTCTTCATGGTATCAGGGAACTGGAGGTAGAAGCCCATGCGAGTGGAGTCCTTGTACCAGTAGTAGATTTGGGTGGAGATGGTGAGGACATCGTTGACATACACCTCGAAGAAACTGCCGTCCATAAAGGCACGGATGTTGAGGGATTGGATGGAGTAGGTTTGCTTGCCATGGGCGTCGGTCGAGGAAACGTTCCACAGGCGCAACTTGCCCATCTCGGGGTCAGTGTTGACGTTATCGCTGCCTAGAGCGACGTCGCGAGTGATCATAAAGGTCTCGTTGGAGGGGCGGTAGAGCATTGCTGCATCGTCGACCGAGTAATTGGCAGGTGCGGAGGCACTGGAGTGCAAAATGGTGAAGCCGGCAGCAAAGTCCTCGTACTCTTCGTTGCGAAGAGAGGATGCAGGGATCTGGACGGTGGCCTGGAGTTCCCAACGGCGACTGTGAGGGCTCTGCTTGAAGGGGATAAAGGCTTGGGTGACACCTTCCTTCTGGGTAAACTCGACGTTACTGCAGTTTGACTTGATCGACTTGACGTCAACGTCAAAGTCAGACTCGGTCCAGGTGTGGTTGGCATGCTTTCTGAAGGCAAGGATCTCACGGGCAGGCTTGCAACCCAGAGTTGCGAGAGTAACGGTATCATTGCCGTGTTCCTTAGCCATTGCAACACCGTCCTTTGCCAAAGTGGTATTCAAATGACCGGTTGCGACGGACCAGTAACCGTTCTCAGCAGCGAGATCATCGGCAACGACTCCTGAAATATCCTTGTAGTATAGCTCACGAGGAATAGAGTAAACACCACCAGATCCAATTCTGTAGCCTACTTGCTCAGAAATGGTCGCATTGTAGTCATCGTTGCTCCAGCAGAAACCAAGACGACGGTTGGTCTTGTAGTCAGGCATAGTTGTGCATGCGTAGCCGAGACCCCAGTCGAGAACACCAGTTGCATGATCCTCAAGGATAACACTCTCGTTGAGAGGGTTGCGAACAAATTTACCCATCTTCCACAGGGAATAGTGGAAACTGTGTGTCTTTCTGCCGGATTCGGCACCCATGGTAACGAAGTTGACACCGTTTTCGAGGTTCTCTCCCTCCTCATCGAGGAAAAGGGTGTTTGAAGTCTCGTAGTTCGAGCCATCGTTACCAGAGAAGTTGCCGGCGCTGAAGGTAGTGTTGACAGGGGTAGAGACTGAAGGGCCGAGGAACTCCCAGCTGGTGAAGTCTGAAGAGTTCTGTCTGTACAAGAGCAGACGAGGACCAACTTGTCTGATACCGCTGCTGACCGAGAGATACCAAGTCTCGGGAGTGTCGTTGAGAAGCTTGCTGAACTGGGGACTCTGGAACACCCAAGGATCGCGGAAGCCTGTCACATTGAAGCCCTCCGGTGGACTAGGAATGACAGCATCGATGTCTGGTTTGATCCAAGTGGCACCATTGTCCGAAGAATAAGCTAAGGCCTGTACCTCACTGCCACGGATATAAGGTTTGCTCCAGCTAGACTTCGTTAGCTAATCAATTCGACTACATCTATCGAAAATTTGAACACACCTGATGGGAACTNNAGGCTCTGTTAGCTCATCTATTCGACTACATCGATGAAAGGTTTCAGACATACGATAATGGACCCCAGTATAGATCAGGGTTGGCATGCCTTTGTAGCCCTTTGGAATAACCGAACCATCGAAGACCGCTAGAGGATCGTTTTTGTTTCCAGGTCCTATGGACACTCCATTTTCAAACAATGAAGCATTCGTGTAGTTGTGGACATCCACATAGCTGAGGAAGTCCGACGTCAAAGCCCCTCCGATGCTTGAGGTGATGGATATGTTTGGACCACGTAGGTATGAGTAGAGCCCAGAGACGTGGAATACTCCTTGTTCATCTTGCCAGAAAGCGGTTGGATCTCCGATATGGTTCGAGGACGGTCTGAACCTAGCTTTGGTTCGCCATTGGGTGAAGAGCGAGTTGTTGCCGTAGGACGTGAGGTTTTGAGGAGGGAGGCTGAAGTTGGGAACGGCAGTTCCATTCGAAGTATTATTAGAAGAATAGTCAACTGGCGATGCAACAGCCAGGGCCGCAGACAAGCAAGCCCCGGTAAAGGCTAGAGTAGAATGCATATTTGGACTTGTTCGCCTCTACAAGATATGGCTGCGAGGACCATGCTCTTTATACCCTCTGAGCTCGGGAAATGTTTCTACTGTTACGTAGTTTGTAAAAATCCACTGCTCGGCATTTACTCGAAGGTTGTCCATGTGTCTTGAGATCAGGTTAGTAGATGATGCCTTTCTCGGTCCGAGATCTGAGATCGACGTCAATTGCTTCCGTCGGTGTCTGATCAGCATTAGTAAAGGAACTATATCGCATGGCATGACTGGCAACCATCGGCATGGATGCCCTTCAACTCTCATGTTCGTAAGTGTATAGCGTAACGATTGGCTTGACTAGACTTCTTGGGGGCGGTGCTCAAGATCATACGAAGAACTTGGCGAGATTTGATGCGAGAAACACCGCGATTGGATGCTAGGATACAATCACCATTCCAATTCATGTCAGCGGGAACGGGAACTGTTTGAAGCAATGTACCACGGGACTTAAGATACATCAATCTGTCAGAATATGATCTGAGGTTGCGTTACACCTATGCGACGGGTGTGACCCTGGCTCTAATTATGAACTCGTCTAAACGTTGTTAGAATTACTTCCTTCAACACCAACGACGGACAAGGTTTGGACATGGTCACTAACTGGGTTAAACATGGAGTAAATAAAAGGAAAGAGACGAAAGTGTGTGATGGTATCAAGGATAATTCAACTCAGCTGCTTGACCTGGGTAACAATACCGACGTCCCAGTGCGCAGGTCTGTGACAATATCTCAACGGATCCCCTTCTCCATATCGAGGTATAAGGACAGTATGAGCTGATGAAATACACAGTTATGTCTAGAACTAGGCCTGTCCACTGAGATAGCCTTTGATATGGTGTCTCTGTGGAAGCAGCGCTGTTTGCAAAGAATTTGTGTATTTCTTCAGCTCCACTCGACAGTCTTCAGCACACAGGGAGGCATGACCAAGGCTACGAACAACACGAGATGGGAGCATGCCAATGCCGTAGACACGAGTCGAACAAGCTTCGGCAATGTCGAACAGGTGCATGCCGTCAAAAGACTCGTTACAATATCACAGAATAGCCGGCCGTCCGGATTATGGAGTTGAAGATCATATGGAAGGACCGATTGCGCGCTGGCAGACCGCTTGGCAGGTAAGCTCCAAAGCTGCGGCCGAGTTATGAGTCTGAGCAGACAATCAATTTTATAAGGCCACAACACGTAGTAGTTATGTGTAGGGGCACGCGTGTTCAGCAGAACAATATCGTTCATAGAACAGCAGCCGGAGAAGACAAGATACAGAGTACATTGCAATGACGATGGATGATAGCAATGATAAGAAAGTCGGGTGTGAGCCAATGAGAGAAGGCTGGTCGTTTTTTCGCGTGCATGACTCCACGGCGCCGACAATCGGGGGAAAGCTTGGGCTTCGTGCTTTTTACGCCCACCTCCAACCTGTGCCTCCTCGTCCTCCATCTACAACTCCTCCACCCCCATCAATCCACCCGGACTGCCTGTTAGCGGGCTGATATCGTCCTTATGCGTACTGCGCCCACCACCTACACCAGCCAAGGCAAGTCGATCGAGACGCAGACGCGTCCACAACCCTCCAACACCACTCTCTAACACCCTGCCAGACTACATTAGCGACCATCTCTGGAAGGCCAACGTGAATTAAGAATTCGCCACATACAAACCAATCTACGAACTACACACCAATCCATTTACAACCATCTACACGACAATCAGAATGATCCCCAGCCTCTTCAAATCCGCTGCCATGAGGCCCGCCTCTGCCAGATTCGCCAGACTCGGCATGCAGGTCAGAGGCAACGCCTCGGTTGTCTCTGGCAGCCAGCGTGCAGCTCCTCTCGAGAGCAGAAGATCCACTGCTCCTTCCTTTGAGCGTGCTACCTTCACTATCAGAGTACGCCAGCCTCATTCTCCGAGTCCATATGAGTCAGTGGCTAACAAGACCTGACAGGATGGTCCTATTTTCCACGGAAAGAGTTTCGGTGCTAAGACTAACATCAGTGGTGAGGCCGTTTTCACCACTTCCCTGGTCGGCTACCCCGAGTCCATGACCGACCCCTCTTACCGTGGTCAAATTCTGGTCTTCACCCAGCCCCTGATCGGTAACTACGGCGTTCCTTCGTCCGTCAGAGACGAGTTTGGTTTGCTCAAGTACTTCGAGTCACCCAACATTCAAGCTGCCGGTATCGTCGTCGCCGATGCTGCTCTCCAGTACAGTCACTGGACCGCCGTTGAGAGTTTGAGCGAGTGGTGCGCCAGAGAAGGCGTTCCCGCCATCTCTGGTGTTGACACCCGTGCCATTGTCACTTACTTGCGTGAGCAAGGTTCTTCGCTCGGCAAGGTCGTCGTTGGTGAAGAGTATGATGCCGACGAGGACGAGGCTTTCGAGGATCCCGGCAACGTCAACTTGGTCGCCAAGGTCAGCACAAAGGCTCCCTGGCACATTCCCTCGCCCGTTGGTGACATGCACGTTGCTCTCATCGACTGTGGTGTCAAGGAGAACATTATTCGCAGTCTGGTTTCTCGTGGTGTTTCGGTCACTTGCCTGCCTTACGACTACCCCGTCCACAAGATTGCCAGCCACTTTGATGGTGTCTTCATTTCCAACGGTCCCGGTGACCCAACTCACTGCCGCAGCACCAGCGACAACCTCCGCAAGCTGATGGACTCTTCTCAGATCCCCATCATGGGCATCTGTCTTGGTCACCAGCTTTTGGCTATGGCCATTGGTTGCCAGACCATCAAGATGAAGTACGGTAACCGTGCTCACAACATTCCCGCCCTTGACTTGATGACTGGAAAGTGCCACATTACCTCGCAGAACCACGGTTATGCTGTTGATGCTTCTACCATCCCTAGCGAGTTCAAGGAGTACTTCATCAACCTCAACGACTCTTCCAACGAGGGCATGATCCACAAGCACCGTCCCATCTTCAGCACCCAATTCCACCCCGAGGCCAAGGGTGGACCGCTCGACTCGAGCTACCTGTTTGACGCTTACGTCGACAGTGTTAAGCAGTACAAGAAGACACAGGCTTCTCTCTACCCCAACATGGCCAACCGTCCCAGCCCTCTGCTTGTTGACTTGCTTGCAAAGGAGCGCGTCGGCGTTGCTCCTGGCGTGCCTCTCTACCAGCACCCTGAGCCCGTTGTTGCTTGATCTGGCAGCGTCTGTTTCTTGTCTGGGTGCGGGATGGCGTTCGGTCTTGGGACGGGGATGTCTTTAGTTATATGAGCTTTCTTCGAATGGAAACATTTCTCAAATTCAATCAATGTCTTGATGTCCCGATCTGTGATGATGTGTTGTGCGAATTCCTGAGCAGTTGCAAGTGGCTCAAGAGTCGAGCTGGCAGAAACGGCATCTTGTGAAGGGTTATAATCATTCAAGCAGGAGGCCTGATGCAGGGCTGCACAGGCTAAGGTGGATATGGAGATAAATGAAGTCGATGAAACGACTTGGCAGGGGAATGCAGCACGCTGTAACGTGCGCCCCTTCCTGACGCGCGCGAGGGGCTGACAAGGTTCGGTACCCACGTCAGCGAGGTTGGTCCAGTGCACAGCCCACTCCTTGAGTAGAAACAAATCGTACTCGTATCGTGTCGCAAGAGGATCTAGTCGTGACTGTCAGACAAAGGATCGTGCTTGGAGGGACAAAGCAAGCCTTGGCCTCTTGTCGTTGTACATCTTGCATTCAGCAACTTTCGTTCACATCTGACGCAAGCGCATGCCGCGCCGACACCTTGATCTCTTGACCGAAGCGGGCTGCAGAACACCTTTCTCGAAAATCGTATACTCATACAAGAGACTGCGTTATGGTGGTTTGTAACACCACCGCTGAAGAGCAGACAAGTAACGTCGCCGTCTTCCTACTGTTAGTATGCTTGCTGACCGCCAACCCAGTCGTCGAGGTTCCTCTTTTCTCCAAAGTCACCTTCCATCATGTCGGTCTGGTCATATCCGCCGTCTTTGCCCTGATTTCAGTCATTGTCGCCTTCTTCCTCATTTTCAAGCACGCGACCCATTACTCAAAGCCATGGGAACAGAAACAGTACTTGCCCCTCGGTTGCGACAAGCCGTCATGATCAACTATGCTAACAACCATCTCAAGCATCATTCGCATTCTCCTCATGATCCCCATCTACTCGACCGTCTCCTTCCTCTCCTACCTCTACTACAAACACTCCATTTACTTTGAAGTCCTCCGCGACTGTTACGAAGCTTTCGCCATTGCCTCCTTCTTTACACTCCTCTGCAACTACATCGCCCCGAACCTGCACGAGCAANAGGATTACTTCCGTCAAGTCAAACCTATAAACTGGTTTTGGGGCGTCTTCGGTCTACAAAAATGCACTGGTGGANAAGAGAAGGGCCCCTTGCGCATACCGAGGAGCGGCTTGACTTGGTTCAATGTACGACTCTCTACTTTCTGCCATACTCGCCATGTCTGCTTAGAATCGATATACTAATCATCAATCGCAGNNGTCGTTTGGCTCTCAGTCTTCCAATATTGCTTTGTCCGTGTGCTGTTTACCATAGTCAGTGTCGTTACAGAGGCTTTGGATCGCTACTGCGAAGCTTCGCTGCACCCAGCATTTGCTCATATTTGGGTTATGGTCTTTGAAGGTGCCTCAGTCACTGTCGCCATGTTTATGCTGATTCAATTCTATCTACAATTGAAAGAGGATCTCGCTGAACACCGCCCTTTCTTGAAGGTCTTGTGCATCAAGCTGGTCATCTTCTTCAGTTTCTGGCAATCCGTAAGCTTTTATAACCCGCACGGTTGCGAATAACACTGACAATTCTAGCTTCTCATATCATTCCTCTCCTCGTCCAATGGGCCTTTGCAGCCTACAAAGCAAATCTCGTATCCGGACATCAAGGTTGGCATTCCATCAATGCTTCTGTGTGTCGAAATGGCTATATTCGCTGTAATGCATCTCTTTGCTTTCCCATGGCGCGAGTATGACCTCTCAAAGACTCCTTACGCAGATCCTGTCACAGCTCCTGGTTCTGGTTTCTCTGGCACTGCGCCCAAATACCATGGCGGATGGATGGGCATCAAAGCCTATGGAGACACATTCAACCCATGGGATCTTATCAAGGCAACCGCCAGAGGCTTCAGATGGCTCTTCGTACGCCGCAAGCACAGACACCACGACGTCTCATACACGACGCCAAAGATTGGTGTCAATATTGACGAACCAGCAACGTCGATACCTGGTCCTAATGTTACCACACACACTTTGCCGTCAGCGACCGAGCTTGAGCACCAGAGGCGTGCCAGAGCGGATACAGTCGACGACGCTGATACAGCCGGACTGTTGTCTAACGCCCAGCAGAATGGACTGGCAGCTCGTCCATACCCATACTCTCCTTCGCACTCGCCGATAAGAAACGCTTCGTATGACGATCGTTCAGATCATGGAGAGGCCGAGGCACCAGATGCTGACATGAGTCTTATGGGAGGATCGCGAGCACAGGTACCTCAGCCAAGTGCGTTTGGTGGGGATGATGCACCGCGGCTAGGCCTAAACCGATGGGATAGTGATACCGAATATCACAGCACGACAGGGCCAAACATGGGTTCATATGCTGGAGTTGATGGTCATGCTGAATCCTCGGCGAACCAATGGGATCACTGGGCTGGTGCAAACAGGCATCAATAAAACACGACTAGACGGAAGGAACGATCTACGGGTTAGGATCGCACCTGGTTGGGCTGGGATTTTTCGGGAGGTTTGTTACTATGATACCACTTGCGACACGGCGTTTTTCGAAAAGGGTTACTTGCAACTTTGATATTGGACCGCTTCTATTAGGATGTATAAACATTTAGCAAAATCGTCTTTCTCGTAAAGTCTGCCCGCAGACAAGGCTTTTGTTCATTATCGTGGCGGTAGATTTAACCTTGGACTTCGAGGCCACCGGTACCGTGCAGTGCCTCGCCAGTGAAGTAACTGCCGTAAGGGCTGGCGAGGAAGACATATGCTGTTGCGACCTCGACGGGCATACCAGGGCGGCGCATAGGCGCCTCTGCAACACCGATTCTGCGAAGAGCTTCCGGTGGGTTGCCCTTGGTGGCTGCTTGCAGAGGAGTCCAGATGATACCAGGGGCAACGGCGTTGACACGAATACCCTTGGGTGCTTGCTGCTGAGCAAGAGATCTGGTGAAGGAGGCGATGGCGCCTTTGGTCGAGCTGTAGTCAACCATCGAAGGGTTGCCCATGTATCCGGCAACAGAGCATGAGTTTATGATCGAGGAGCCTCTCTTCATGTGATTGAGAGCATACTTGGTCATGGCCATCATCTGGATGATGTTGGTCTGGAACGTCTTTTGAACGACGTCCATGTCGATATCGGCATGCTCCTCGCAGACTTCCTGCATACTCGCATTGTTGACGAGCACGTTGATCTTGCCATGCACCTGAATGTGCTCCTCAACAGCCTTCTTACAACTGCCATCGTCGCGAAGGTTGAGCGCAATACCATGGCCCTTGCGACCGGCCTTCTTGATCTGCTCGAGCGTCCAGTCTGCATCCTCTTGCTCTTCGGGCAGGTAGCAAATGGTGACGTCGGCACCTTCTCTAGCCATGAGGATGGCAACAGAACGACCGATTCCAGAGTCACCTCCGGTAATCAAGACGGTCTTATTCTTGAGAAGGCCTCTGCCTTCATACTCTTCCAAGTGGGGGTTCTCGTCGTCATCCCAGAATTCGAGCTGGGTCCAGTTGGCGGGAGGATCAAGCTGGCTGTCGAGACCGGCTCCAGGCGCTTGGTCCTGAGCCTTGATGTCGATGTTGTATGCGGTGTTGATCTTGTCGTCTGAAGACATGTTTGTGGTATTTATTGAATAAGATGATATGAGAAGATAAACAGAGAGTGGTATGTATAAAAGCAGAGACCAGAGAGAAACAAGAGGAGGAGCTCGTCACCTAAATACCTGTAGAACATGCATGAGTGATAACATCCCCTCCACCCAACCTACGTTCTAAGCTCATCATTCGAGCGTCATAGTGCTTAACAACAAGTGCAAGATCGTGTATGGTTGTCTAAGGTGATGTAGAGCCGCTACGTGCATGCGTATGGAGCCTTCTGATTAGCCGAGAAGCTCATAGCGCGGATTCACAATGCCTTGCTGAGGCGGCTTGTCGAGTGACCAGCTGGGACGGCTTGCATTTTAGCAAGGTAGGAGTGCACTTTCCTCGTTCGAAGCTGGAAAGAACGACCCTGCCCCGCGGTGAGCAGAAGGCTTGGCATCGAACCCCTCCGACACTCGGAGCAGAAAGTTTCTCCAACAATGAGCAATACCTAGCAGATCCATCTTTATAATATATCATTGTGTCTACAGATCTATCTGCTAAGTGAGTCTTTTCCTCATGTCAAACATGTGTTATGGGTGTTTTTGGTGCTTTCTTCCCTTCCAATTCTATTCACGATTTCCAAGAGTCCAATGACCACTCATTTCTTGAACATCTCTGAAGTTGTTCACATAGCACCACAAACAATCGAACAATCCTTCCAGAGTGCAAGGCTGATGATATATCATGGTCTTTCAAGTTGATCATACACGTTCTTGCATTTTCAGCACCACACCCCATCGAGCTTGATCGTTTGAACATTGAATTCAGACATAACAAACATACTGACAAAACAACCAGAGGAGAATCTATCCGACAACATGTCAACTCCTCCCACTGTAACCCAGATTGACTCGCAGGGTATGGATGTCCATATCNTATGAAGTCTGAACCATAGTCTGACAAATCATGCAGTCGAGCAACATGGCTTGAAGAAGATTGCCAGCGGCAAGGTTCGTGAGATCTACGAAATCGATGCTCAGAGCCTCCTCTTCGTCGCCACGGACCGTATCTCAGCATACGATGTGATCATGAAGAACGGTGTCCCTCAGAAGGGTGCTCTTCTTACTCTCATGACTGCCCACTGGTTCAACCTGTTCAAGGAGAAGATTCCCGATCTCAAGACTCACTTGCTCAGCGCCTCTGTGCCTGCATCGGTTGCCTCATCTCTTCCTGCCGAGGTCAGCAACCAGCTGCGTCTGCGTACTATGCATGTTCGCCGTCTCAAGGTCTTGCCTTTAGAGAGCATTGTTCGTGGTTACATTACTGGTTCTGCTTGGTCGGAGTACAAGAAGACTGGTACTGTTCACGGCATTGCCATGCCCAGGGATCTGCAGGAGAGCCAGAAGTTGGAGAAGCCTCTCTGGACCCCTAGCACTAAGGCCGAGGTTGGCGACAAGGATGAGAACATCAGCCCCGAGGAAGCCACCAAGATTGTTGGTGAGAAGTACGCCAAGAAGATTGAGGAGCTCAGTTTGAAGGTCTATCAAATCGTGAGTATCTTGAGGAGGTTTGATATGACATTGAGCTAACGATTGTCAAGGNCCAGAGACTATGCTGCCGAGCGTGGTATCATTATTGCCGACACCAAGTTCGAGTTTGGCCTTGATGTCGACACTGATGAGGTTATCCTTGTGGATGAGGTCCTCACCCCTGACAGCTCGCGCTTCTGGCCTGCAGACAAGTACGAGCTTGGCAAGTCACAGGACAGCTTCGACAAGGTAAGGCTTGGAAACAATGTATGACATAGCAGATCACTGACTACTCGATAGCAATACCTGCGTGATTGGCTGACCAAGGAGGGTCTTAAGGGCAAGGACGGTGTCGAGATGACCGATGCCGTGGTCAAGGAGACAGCCAAGAAGTACCGTGAGGCCTTTGAGATGTTGACTGGCCAAAAGTGGGACGAAGTCGTCAAGAGCAATGCCTAAAGCAGATGCTCCGTAGTTTCCTTATAGACATGTTCACTCCTGTACAAAAATTCAATGAGACATGACATTTGCTCTGCACATATGGGCCTTGGAAGTGAAAATGGCGTAGCGTAGAACGGGGAGTGGTATTCGTAAAAGAGCCCTCAATTGAACATGGCTCGAGGCTGGTATCTTTTTTGTAACGCCTCTATGCAGTCAAAGATCACGACCATTTTGTGCCATTGATTGCTCCTGCCGGGATGATTGTATGGAAGTGTTCAGAAGACTCGATGCCATTTTTGGTAAATCCATAAAAAAACTCCCCACCCACAGCTAGCAAAAAAAGAGGCCCCAGGGTGCTCATCATCATTCTCCACGCTTAGATGGCAGTGTCGTAGGCGATAGGAGCAAGAGTCTCGGGCTTGGTCTCCTTGATGGAAACGGTGCGGGCCTCACGGGGCATGGCGGGTTGACGCTTGAGGAAGACGGAGTTGCCGTCAGTCTTGGCCTGGCGCTTCTTCTCGGCGTTGGTCTTGACACGGGTCAGGAACTCCTCACGGGAGCGGGAGTGGCGGACGTGCTCGATGCGGACGTTGATGCGCTTCTCAATGTAACGGTTGCCGACCTGGCGGTAGAGGATGACACCGACGGCGGACTTGGTCACGTTGTAGACGACACCGGTCTTGCCGTGATAGACCTTGTAGGGCATACTGTTATGGTGTTAGAGTGGTTCTTGCGATTCGCGAGACGAGGGCGTGTTGGCGACTGACCCCTTCTGGACGGCACCGTTGGCGACGACATCGACAATGTCTCCGACCTTGTACTGCTTGAGGTAGGTCGAGAGGGCAATGTAACCCTTNTAAAGGTGTTAGTTGGCGTGCTCTGGGAGTTTCGGAGAATCGATCGTGGTGCTTGCCTTCTTCTTGAAGTCGCGCGAGAAGGCGTATCTGGTACCAGCTCTGTTTTTCACCGCATCAGCGTCTGAGTCGTCCTGGAGGGCGAATGCGTCTCGCTGGAGCGCATGACGAGAGGTTCGATGTACCTGAGACCTGCGGCGTGACCCATTTTGACTGTTGGTTATCGGAGACTGGGGGTTGTCGGGATATAGTGTCGTCGCAAAACTAGGAAAACCGAGAAGTTCGCAGTTAGGATTTTCGACAGCGGGCAGCAGCGTGGGCGTGCCAAGATCGCGCTTCGCACTTGCCATTTCGCACCAGCGCACGGGCCATACCCACGAACGCTCCTGCCTTTTCACACTTTGGAACTTCACAACTTCGTCCTTCTTTCTGCGCGAGAGAGACTTCACCGACGACAACCATGGCCCCCGTTCTTACTCCAAGACCTACAAGGTCCCCCGTAGACCTTTCGAGTCCGCTCGTCTGTTAGTATCATCCACTGGCCACTGAGCTAGAGCTTGCTCTGTTCATGTCAATGGAACTTGTGGTTAACACCCTGGAATAGGGNACTCTGAGTTGAAGAGTGTCGGCGAGTACGGTCTTCGTAACAAGCGTGAGATCTGGCGTGTCCAGCTCACTCTGTCCAAGATCCGTCGTGCTGCCCGGTACGTTTGCGCTCTTCCTTTTCTGTTTTGCTGATTTTGCACGCGACAAGAGAAATCTTCACCTCTGCGCACTCTTTGCGCATCTTCAACACTTCTCACCCTTTGCGCATCTTCAACACTTCTCACCCTTTGCGCATCTCCACTTCTTCCTGTTTACTGCGCAACCTCTTCCATCGACCATACCCACTAACGCCCTAATGCAGTCNAGCTCCTCACCATGGACGAGAAGGACCCCAAGCGTCTCTTCGAAGGAAACGCCCTCATTCGCCGTCTGGTCCGTGTCGGTGTCCTTGACGAGTCCCGCATGAAGCTCGATTACGTCTTGGCCCTGAAGGTCGAGGACTTCTTGGAGCGCCGTCTCCAGACCTGTGTCTACAAGCTCGGTCTCGCCAAGTCCATCCACCACGCTCGTGTCCTCATCCGCCAGCGTCACATCCGCGTCGGCAAGCAGATCGTCAACGTTCCCTCGTTCGTCGTCCGCCTTGACGCCCAGAAGCACATCGACTTCGCCCTGACCTCGCCCTTCGGTGGCGGTCGTCCCGGCCGTGTTCGCAGAAAGAAGGCCAAGGCCGCCGAGTCCAAGGAGGGCGGTGACGAGGAGGAGGAGGAGGAGTAAATCAATCGCTCCACCTCGGCGTTCTGAAAGGCTTTTCGGTACAGGTCACGGGTATTCGGGAATCATGCCAGGCCATGATAGCGCCTCTTCAAAAGCTCAATCTCAATTTGACGAGTCTCTTCTGCAAAAATACCCCCATTCAATGCGCACAGTATTCACGACCTTTATGTTACTCTTGTGAAATGTCCACCCGTGAACGTCTTCAACTGCCACTTGAACATGCCCGTCTCATCATCTTGATAGACCAACCCAGACTATCGTTCATCAATTCTGTTCAAATGCTTCTTTCAGCTAGAAGGCTCTTCTAGCATAAACATCATTGGGTTGAGCTTGGCCTTTCGCACTTCGCGCTTCCGTCTTTCTTTCAAGCACAACCACATATTGGCATACATCAGTCTGCCCCCATGATCCCTACGACAACAACACTTCGATTTCAGCTTCAGTAAATATCAGCATGGGCTGCGCCATTGCCACAGCTCGAATTGGCTAGAGATGGCCAACAGTAGACATTGATCCACATGCTTGGTTTCCAGACAGCTGTCGACCTCGACACATGTCCAATGTGACAGCACGACAAATCAGGCTGGTCGCAGCTTCTCGCCGTGTGTCTGTGCAAGGTCCTCAAGTTTACGGTCGACAACAACGAGATTTGTCTCCAGATGACCGACAGCTTAGCTACCAACAACGAGCTTGGGAAGTTGCTTAAGTCTCTGATCAGAATAAGCATCTCGATGGAATTGAGGCCGCTCGCGCAGTCATCGAGGCTAAGGATGTTGCGTCAGAGCTTGCAAACACCAAGCAGGAGCTTGCGAAGACCAAGCAGGAGCTTGACAATGCGTGCCAACAGCATTGAGGTAAAGATTTCGGCTCCCGCTCGAGGACCAAAGACTAAACCGGCAATTACTGCTGAGCGTAGATGTTCACAATTACCAGCTGCTTGTCTCGTAATCAACCGTGAACCCAACTATACCAAGTCAGCCCTGCCTTTGCTCGAGCTTCGTCACAGGCCCATTGCCCTTGATTAATTATCTCTACCAACCCAATCGGCAAGCGCAAGAGAAAAGAGTCAAGCAAAGGCGGCGATATGTACCTCTTCAACCCACAAGCTCTTCCATTGCATCACAACCGCTACGGTTGTTGTTCTTGCAGCATAAACAGGCCTTGCTTTAATCGCCTTATGGATTGGCGAGCACACGAGATCCTCAAGGTCTTCTCTTCCTTCCCATCCTAAGCACTACAGTGGCCGCGAGTGGGACCTTGCTAGTAGTAGTGGTCATGACAGTATGACCTTCGGCGTGCTTCTTAAGGGTGGCGACAGCGGCGCTTCACTTCTTCTTAAGCACCATCCTAATTGGAGGCTTTGGTTTTCCTCTCACGCCTCGCTTTTTTGCAGCGATCTCTCTCTTGATAGTCGCCCATTCCTTAGCTGCCTCCTCGTAACTTAAGGGTGTTTTCTGGGCCTCTTGAGCCTCCTCGTACAGACAGGAAGTATGGTTCCCGTTTTTGATTCTTCTGGCATCGGTCTCCTGAGCAGCTGCTTCAATCAGAAGAGGCCTCGCTGTGGAACCTTCTCTATGATCCAGAAATATCGGATATCTATATGACTACACTCCAGCGTGTAAGGTCCAAGAGAGCAAGCGAATGCACAGCAATCCTCGACACTCTCTGGTGTCGTCTCTATTTTCTTTTCCTTCTATACTTTCCAGTCTAATCACGACAACCCTTTTCTGGCCCTTCGATTGTCGAATCTTCCCGTGTGTTAACGTCTTTAATTCCACTATACTCCGACTATAGCTAAGAGCAAGATGTAGACTATGAAAAGGCATAATTGTTTGAGGAAGTAGAGGCATGTCCACAGAGAGTCAACGAATTGTTACATCTCAGTGGACACTACCTTGTTTCCTATTACTATTATGCAATTCTATAGCTATACGCGTTACATACTTTAGTACACGGAGAGGAAGAGGGGCAAGAACGATGATGGTCTAAGAATAAAGACAACAAGGAAAGCGCGAGATCGCTGCTTCCCAAAGCACGATTTCCAGACCAGTATCGCTCTTTCCCTCAACCACCTGACCGAGAACATAGAAAATCTCAAACTTTCAAATTTGTTCTTCTTACACCATCTTCCATCCATCCAACATCATCGTGAGCCACAGCGCATCTATCAGCGACGGTGCAGCCACGCGACACGCTTAACTCGGCTTTCCTCAAGGGGATCGTGAGACTCAAATCTACCGCTCAAGCATCCCTCTGCTGAAGCTTTCATGCCGATGCAAGTCTGCTTCTGCGCTGTCGAATTGGGTTGCGTGGAGAAGCGGGTTGCCCGATCAAAATATGATGACTTGCGTTCTGTTGATGTTGGTTGATGAGATTTGTCAAAGTCGAACTTGTCGAGATGAGTCTACAACATTTGTCTATCGTTACGAGCTGACTACTACAATATGACGCTAGTTGTACAGATGCCCATCAACCAATGGCATGACCTTCTTGCTACTGAAACATGCATGCTCGTACTCGTTGTCGCTATCGGACTCCTCAGAAATCACAACTCCATACTTCAGCGGCGACAACCTGGCGTCCTCATCTCCTGGAACCGTGTGGCAGGCGGCAGTGATGGCCAGACTGCAACTCGAAGCCAACGGCATACCAGGCTCAAGCTTCCTCGCACCATTTGCCAACAATGTCAGGATGATGGTCCCAGAGACGAAGAGCGACAGCACGATAGCCATGGACGAGAAGCCACAAGCAGAGATCCTCTGGGTAATTGCGTTCCCGTCGTAGTCAAAGACGTTGATCCCTACGACAAAGATGCTACGTGCAACGAGCCAATGCAATAAGGCCATCGTCGTCATGAGCGGTATGCTATATCGATATGGCAGCTGCAGTCTATACGTGCTTCGTTGCTCCCCTTCAGGTCTGCTCACTCGCAATGGCTTACGGTGTCTGGCGTAATCTGAGTACTCTTGTCCGAACATCATCCTTGTCAAGCAGTTGTTGTAGAAGACGTAGATGAACGAGATGGCGAGTTGAGGTGTGTTGGCCAGGAGAACATTCTCAATCAGCGATCTATCGTTAGTTGCGCCAACAAGGTAATTGACCGAGACAGTACCGACACCATCTTTCCACATGCGCGAGAGCGTGTATATTTTAAAATTGTTGCCCTTGTAGGTCTCCATGGATCTGGCCAGAAGGTATGCTCCAGTGGACCAAGCAAGTATGCACAAGAACATACAGACAGCCCAACTTGACGTGGACGAAGCCTGGTACCACCGAGTGTTCTTTATCATCCACTTCACTGGTGTCGCCTCTGGCTTCTCTTGGATATCAGGCGGTGTCGACGAGTCTTTGATGCCCCAGGTCTTGCTTCGGGAATGACTGGATAAGGACGTGGAGTGATCGACATACAGTTCTCGATAGTCATTGAGAAGTCTGCGCATCGGCTTGAAACGTACATCTATGTCCGCGATAGGGCCTCGGCCATGCGTATAAGGATCGTGATCGTCCAGGTATGAGCTGATCAGATCGCCAACTGTAGCCATAGGGTCAAAGTCCCGGACGAGGAGCGCGTATGTCAGACATGCCACCTTGATCAGATTGCAGAGCAGTACCGTGCCAAGTAACGGTGTACTTATCTTGACGCCACATCGTTCTTTGGCTTCTTCAGCGAGACAATATTGGACTGATGCTTCAAACCAGGGTCCCGTGGGACCTGATCCAAACATTGAGGAACCATAGAGTGACGACCCAAGTCCTACCACTAGCTCTTTATCCTGGTTGGTTTCCATATCTCTGATGGTCCAGTCTCTGGGATTGGAGAGCATGAGCTTAGTGTCGCACTCGCTCGTCACTGCTATTGCCTGCTTGCCACAAATCCAGCTCAGGTCATTGGCCGCAAGGTCGACATGGTGATAGTACGCCCTGATCAAAGGCCCTGTCACATTAGCGTCCGATACAACCAACACATTCTTCCAGCTGGATTGAAGAACATTTGTGCCGTATGCTCTAATGCAGTCTTTGTTCTCTAATCTTCGCAACTGGTCGGTGCTGTTCTGCAAACGCGCTAGTTGTCTTTGCCCTGTGGTTTCGCTCTCTTGCAAGAGGTCGAGTCTGCTATTGTTCCAAGCTGCCCCTTCCAGAAAGTCATCGGTAACTACTGCTGCCATATAGCTGCTTGCAGATAATGTCGAGAAGATGACTGAATTGTAGCTGTTTGTGGTCAGCAGAGCAAAAAGATGCCAAGGAATACAGTGGACTCACAGAAGATGCAGTGGTATCGAACTTAGGAATAGGCAAGCACAAAGCCACTGGCGCCAGCGACTCACAGCCAGAACATTACGCATGGAAGACACGCCCACGTCAAGATACTTTCCAGCAGCGTGAGCATCATCTATGTCCTTCCTGGTAGGTGCGACAAGAAGTTGGGTACAGTTGTTACTGGCTCCGAGCAAAAGCGTAGAGAGGATGTTGATAGCCAGGTCAACCCAGAATGTTATCCTCTTCGACTCCTTACAAGAGCCTTTCGTGACGGTTAGCCTCTAGTCAGTATCAGTATCCCTGTGGCTCTACCTACCTTCGAAGATAGTTGCAGACCCATCCTCAATGTCAAGGGTCGATGCCCATATCAAACAACCCAAATTTGTCAGTGCGACAAGACTCGTGATGAGAATCCCTGCTCGTACGGTAAACCGCCAGCTACCGAGTTGTTGTGCAGCATCTGAACTCTGAGCAGAGGACTCTTCTGATATGAGTGCTGTATGTGGAGTTTCGTCTGACGATGTTATTATCTCAGGCATAGTCGTTGGTACACATAGAGAGACACAGGACAGAGATGCAGAGGTTAACAGAATTCGATTGCGAACGCAGATAGTGAACGAGGAAATTCATGGTGATAAAGGGTATGCACCGCTTACGATTGAGGCGCATGATATGCATGTCGAAATGAAGGCCTTGCTAGGATTAGGCAGCACAGCCTTGTCGGAAGGATTATTTTGCACTCGCCAATTCTCTTGAGAATGTAGCGATAGAAACATACAATGTTCCTGAGGGGTTGAGAAAGTCTTACAGTGGTGGCTGGTCCTATAGGCCTTCTGGAGACATTTCTCATTTGATCGACTTGAATTTGAATAGCTTACACACTATTCTGTTGCCACTGAAGGAGGCCTAGAATGTGACACGCGATGGAAGGCTGCAACCATCCTCATTTGTCGTGCTGACAGCTCGGACACCTGTCTCGACACCGGTCTAGGAACCAAGTATTTGGGTCGGTGTCTGTTTCAAAGACAATCTCGTCATGGCGCAGTAAAGGGCCCTCTCCTGTCAATTTGGGCCGTCACGATGGCGCAGCCCATGATGAAATACACCGAAGTTGATCTGAAGTGTTTTCGTTGTAGGAAGACTAGAGGCAGTTGTATGCCGTGCGAAAAGCCATCGGCGTTCTTGCCTCTCTTCCGCCTCCGTACACATGGGAAAGAGAAAACGATCACACCAGAGTGACGAATATGATTTCTGAATAATTTTCATTCTCGTAGGTCTGTTGGACCTGGAAACATTAAAAGGCCGCTATTGCCTTGGGAAAGGGGTCGTTAAACTATAGTACAGGTGAAGGCATCTTTATCGTGAATAATCTCCGCTTAGTTGGCATCCTTCTTGGCCTTCTCGACGATATCTTGAGCCTTGTTGGACTGCTTCTCGAGGACTTTCTTGAGCTCATCCATGGTCTCGTGCAACAGCTTCTCGCCCTCGGACTTGTGCTTCTCAGCAACTTCCCTGAGTTGTTGGAGCTTAGGAAGAATCTCGCCGCCGTTGGGGATCATCTTGAGGTACTGGTCCATACCGCCGAAGCCCCACTGAGAGCTGAGCTCAGAACCCTTGGACTTGGCCTTGTCAACAGCCTGGTTGACGTAGCCCTCAAGATCACCAGTGTTGTCGGAGTCAATGCTGCTCTTCACCTTGTCGAACAGCTCCTTGGCGTTTCCTTGCTTGAGAGCATCGGCGTTGTTCTCAATGAGCTCCTTGACCTTGGGGTTCTTGTCGAGGTAAGGCTTAGCCTGCTCGAGACCCTTCGACCATGCCTGGTCGCCAAGCTTCTTGACCTGTTCGACCTTCTCCTCAACGATCTTGCGGGCCTTGTTGATGTTGGTAGCGCTGATACCACCAGCCATGATCTCCTTGACCTGGTCCCAGGTTCTGTCAACCTCTTGCTTGACCTCAGGGCCGTATTGGTCACCCATGGACTTGAGCTGCTCAATTCTAGGGCCAACGGATTCCTTCAGTTGAGGGTGGTTGTCCATCAGATCTTGAGCGGCATCGGCTGCCAGAGCACCAATCTTCTTGGAAAGGTTGCTGAGAGCCTCCATAGCCTTGTTCAGACTCTCACGGCTCAAGCCAGTCTTGGAGATGTCCTGGAACTCCATATAGGTCTGTCTGATAATCTTGTCGACATCGTCCTTGTGGTTCTGGCGGAGGGTGTCAAGGTCCTTGAAGGCGGTGTCGATGTACTTGCGACCACCGGGGATCCAGGCAACGTATGAGTAGGCAAACTCCTTGACGTAGTTGATAGCCTCGTCAGCATCGGGGGTGTTTGCTTGGATCTTCTGGCTCATGTCGTTGTAGTAGTAAGCAGCATCCTTGGCGGCGCTGTTGACCTTTCTGGACATGCGACCAGCGGGACTCAAGGCGTAGATGGTGTAACCGACAACGGCGACGGCAGTACCGCTGGCAAGACCAGTAACGACATGAGAGTTGCTGCCGGTCGATGAACCAGTGGAAGAGGACTGGAAACGAGCTTGNGTGTTGCGGGGAACTCTCGCTGAGCGAAGAGTCCTGGGGATGGAAGAGCGGGCAATTGGTCTAGCGGCGTACATGATGAAAAGTGAATTTAATTTGATAATGGGAAAGAGGATTGTCAGGAACGAGAGGGACTTAGCAGTTTTATAGCATCAAGAATGTTTTGCAACTGTGACCAAAGAGGACTGGAAAGTGAGAGCTTGGACCCCATGACGCATGTATACGCTAATAGCTGTGGCAGCCATGACGATTTGTGTGGACTCGTCCCCAACTGTGGGTATTCGCTTTGAGCCACAACGGGTCTGGCATACTCAGCGCATCGGATCGCAGTGGAAGATGTTGGAAAGGTTCAACATATGCTTCTTGCTCTTTAGGGCACATGAACGTGAACGAGAAATAAATATATCGAAGTGACGTACGCAGGGTAGCTCCCGCCGTCGAGACAAGCGCCTTCTCCACAACCCCGCGCACACCCGTTGTCGATCAGCGGAGGACGGAGGACGCCTTCTCAGCTTCAGGGATCTGGCGACCTTCTTTCTCTGTTTCCTGCACCTTGTTTTCCTTGTCATCCAACTTCCAGTACCGTCTAGCTCCCGAAACCGTCAGACTGCCCTCATACAAGCTTGCTGCACCTTCTCGCATACTTATCTCATCATCCACACCCCGCGTTAGCCATGTATTCACGTCGCCTCGTATCACGCTTGTCGTCGTTGGGCACCTCTAACTTGACACGCCCTCTGTCGACAAGCGTGGCTGTCGCTGCTCCCTCAAGAGCTCCCTCGCTTTCCGACGTCGAGCCCAACAAGGGTCGCCTGTTCGACCAGAAATCACAACAATTCCGCGATGACCTGGCCGCTGCCCAGAAGAAGCGTGAGCAAGAAGAGAGTTCGTCAATTCGCACATCCCCCGAGCATATTACACTCTAATTACGAATGGTGTTGACAGAATCAAAAGCTCGCGATCAATCAGAAGATGCCAAGAAGGGCGGCCGTCTCTCCAACCTGCTCTACGGTACTCAAGAGGGCCGTGAGATGGATAAGGAGATCGAGCGCAGCTTCAGTCAGGTTCTTGCCCGAGGAAAATACGTCCACAGCATTGTCTTGCACGAGGTAAAACCCGACAAGGTCGACGAGTATGTTGAGCTTGTTGGTACTTGGTACCCTCGCATGGCCAACATGCCTGAGAATAAGGTTCATCTGGTTGGAAGTTGGCGAACCGAAGTCGGCGACTGCGATACCTTCGGTGCGTCCATCTGAACTGCCCTTTGCCCCCAATTCTTTGCTGATTGAAGATTCACAGTACACATCTGGGAGTATCAACGTTACGAAGGATACCACGCCTCTCTACACGCCATTCAGCACCACCCTGATTTCCCCGAGTTCGACCGCAAGCTCAAATCGCTGATCAACTCGAAGAAGACATCGCTGATGCAGGAGTTCTCGTTCTGGCCCACAACTGCCCCTCGCAAGCTTGGTGGTGTCTTTGAGCTCCGTTCGTACACCTTGCACCCTGGCAACCTTCTGGAATGGGAGACACACTGGCGCACTGGTCTGCGTGCCAGAAAAGAAGTCATGGAAGGTGTGGGTGCCTGGTTTGTGCAGATCGGAGATCTCAACACCGTCCACCACCTATGGCAATTTGCCGATCTCGAAGAAAGACGTTCGCGCAGAGAGCAGAGCTGGAGCGTATCCGGCTGGGGCGAGACGGTGCACAAGACTGTCCCCTTGATCCAGACCATGAAGAGCAGAATCTTGGTGCCTATGCCGTGGAGCCCTGTAGCATAGAGAGCTAGCCTCGATGTGAGAGGATCCAAGACGGCGGACACAAACAAGTTACAGCATTCATCGGTTGGGAAACAACAGCATCCATATAGCATTCATCAGTCTTGCAGCGAAGGAAGCAGCGGGGTCACTGCGGCTGTACAAACCACATATCAAGCTCGATTGTCAGGTAGTCAGCTCAATTCATCAATTTTTGTTTCCATCAAACGGCCTTGTCTCGAGCGAGCTCCTTACAAGCAGCGGGAAACTTTGCAGTTGCACGTGTTCGGTCGTTGACCGATGACGAGGCGGTCTGACTTCAAAAGCAGGATCGTGCACGTCCTTGTCTCCATGCTTGCTTGGCGCGTTTTTCTCGAGACTCGACACCTCGCTGGCCGTCTTTACTTTTCATTGCTGTTTCTTCCCTTTGAGATTATATTATAGATTCGTGACGAATCAGTCAACCATGGTGTACATTCGTCAAGACCGGCTTCCCAAGCTCAAGGAGTACAAGTACTCGGGCGTCGACCACAGCTTGCTGTCGCGCTATGTCTTAAAGCCGTTCTACACCCACGTCGTCATCAACTGTTTCCCAATGTCTATGGCGTGAGTAAAATCGAAGCAATATGAGGTTTCTGAGATTGAATGTATCTGATACGTGATTCGCAGGCCAAATCTCGTAAGCTTCTCCTCAGACTCGACCTGAATTGAAACCTGATACATGTACAATGGGATGCTGAGACCTATACAAACAGNNATCACTTTGAGCGGGTTTAGCTTTGTCATTGCCAACTTGATGACAATGTTCTACTACACTCCTGGTATGGATCAAGATTGCCCTTCTTGGGTTTACTATTCCTGGGCCATTGGTCTTTTCACATATCAGACCTTTGATGCCGTTGATGGTAGTCAAGCGTAAGTTTCAAGCTTCGCTAGAACGTATTGAAGTCTCGTGGTGCTGATCCTCCCTTTGCAGANNCGAAGAACCAGACAAAGTGGACCCCTTGGTGAACTTTTCGATCACGGTGTGGATGCGCTGAACACTTCTCTGGAGGTCCTCATCTTCTCGGCAGCCATGAACTTGGGCCAAGGCTGGAAGACTATGTTGATCCTCTTCGCTTCTCTTNTGACCTTCTATGTGCAGACCTGGGATGAATATCACACCCACACTCTGACTTTGGGTATTGTCTCTGGTCCTGTCGAGGGTATCATCACTCTCTGCATTGTATACGCATTCACTGGCTACGTTGGTGGTGGCAGCTTCTGGCACCAGTCTATGTTCGCTTCTCTGGGTATGCCGCGCTACGATATCATCCCTGCCATGGTCTATGACCTGCCCTGGACGGACTGGTACATGGTCTACGGCAGTGTGGTCTTGATCTTCAACACCGTCTTGAGCGCCATGAACGTCATGGCTGCCCGCCGTCTGCGCAAGGAAAACCCCATCTTTGCTCTCTACGGCTTGGCTCCCTTCTTCCNNCTCACCTGGGTCGTCATCCCCATCTACCTCTTCCNNCTTCAACCTGTCATTTTGCGCCAGCACCTTGTGCCTNTTGTCCTTTACGTCGGTCTGGTCAACGCTTACTCGGTCGGCCAAATGATCACTGCTCATTTGACCAAGTCGCCTTTCCCTATGACCAATGTGTTGGTCTTGCCTCTGGTCTTTGGCGTCATCGACAGTCTGGGTCCTTTCTTGCACGAGCATGCTGGCTTTGGTTGGCCCAGCGCTCTGGGCGACGGACAGTACCAGGTTGCCTTCATGTTCTCGTGTCTGGGACTTGCAGTTGGTGTGTACGGCAGCTTTGTCGTCGATGTCATTGTTACCATTTGCGATTACCTTGATATCTGGTGTTTGACCATCAAGCATCCTTACGTTCCCGAGACCGAGGAGAAGAAGGTCCGTTGAAGAGTTGATGGAGGAACGAAAAACTGAACGCAAAGTGTCACCTGTGACACAGTTATTGGATGAATCAGTATGTTGAAGTAACGAAGTAGATGGAGGTGGGCGTGGAGGACTGTACGAGGTACATTATGGAAATAACGATTAGATAGACAAAGACACGAGAAGGAAGAGAAAACGATGTATGGTAATGGTATACGCTTTTTACGATAGAACAACCAACCTTTCCTTTCTTTGATGCCCAAGACGCCAATGAACGCCGCATATGGTGTTGATAGACAGGGGTATTGACAAACATATTGCACGTTACTCCGACTCTTCATCGCTTTCGACATACTCGCCAGTCGAGGCCAGCCTTGCCCATGCTCTCTCGCTCTTCTCATTCTCGTGTACCTCATCCTCCATGTTGTCATCAATGTCCTGCCTGATCTTGGCTAGCAGCTCAACCTTCTCTTTCCGTAGCGCTTCCATTTGCTTCNNCAAACTAGCTCTTTGGACACGCTTCAGTGCGGCAAGTTCGGCTTTGAGGGCCTCGTTTTGTTGTTCGACAGTTGGTCCTGAAGTAGATGCTGGTGCATCAAGAGACATGAAGTCGGCCGAATCCGAGGCTTGCTGCTCGGCGACCGGAGCATCGACAGCAACAGGAGCGACAGCAGTGGCAGGGGCAGAAGCAATAGGCTGAGGCTTCGCGGATCCGTTCCAGCTGGCGAGCTCGGCGAGAGAGTCGGCGAGTAGTGACTCGGGGAATACTGGATGTGTAAGAGCAGTAAGGAAGTCGGATTCGATCACAGCAGGTTGTTTCTTAGAGGCAGAGATGTGAGGCATGGGAAGTTGGCGCGAAAATTGCATGCTCAGGTTGTAGTTTCCTGGGACAGCACCGTCAAGGTCTGCCTTGTCGAAAGCGGCGTGTTTGGGCTTGACAATGGTGACTTGACTGAGAAGAGCAGGACGAGCGTCCGGGAAGCCTTGAACAGGCAATGAGACGAGATTCGTAACGGGACCCATCATGGGCGCCGAGGTGAAGGTGGAAGAATATCGGCCGAGAGGGACATCCCATACGAGAACGTTTCCGTTGGCATGACCAGTCATGAGCATACTTCCGTCGTAGCTGAGGATAGCACTCAATGCAGCTCCTTGATCAGCTGAAGGCGGGGTCCAGCGAGTTTGCGGAGGAGGCTGTACAGGCATGGCAGCTTGTGCAGGATCGTAGAGTGGGTGCTGTACCGAGGTGGGATTCGCAGCGGAGAAAGCATCGCTGTAGAAGTCAACCATCTGGACGCTTCCATCATCGTATGCGGTGTAGAAGGCGCGATCGGCGGGATCGAGAGCCAGGCATCGAGGGACTTCGGGCAGTAGGACGGTGCGCAAGAGCTGGTTCTCGTGGTAGTCCCAGACTATACATGACTGATCGGCGCTCGCTGAGACGGCAATGTTGCAGAAGCCAGCGCTGTGGCCGAGGACCAGAGATGTGATAGCGGCACGGTGACCTGAGAGGGTGTGTAGCGGAGAGTGCTGGCCTTGCAGGGCAGCATTGGCGAAAGAGAGCAACGAAGGAAGCGACCAGACGTGAATCGAGGCATCAGCCGAGGCAGACAGGATGAAGCTTGATGTAGGATCGACGACCAGGGCGGTGACTTGTTGCAGATGGGCTTGCGATGTGATGACAACGCGACCAGTGTGTGTCTCCCAAGCAAAGATGCGACCAGTCTGGGTACCCAAGACCAGCACGGTATCGTCACAGGCCAGAGCCAGACATGTTATCCTCTCTTGAAATGGCACGGTTGCCTCTTGATTTCCCNNCTTTTCGCGGTTGTAGACATTGACGACAGCCTTGTCGGCTTGGGCGGCGAAGACATGCGATGGGCTGACGGCCAGACAATTGGGTGCTGTGTTGCTCTTCTTGAAGCTCGCTCTTTGGCCCGAATGCGGTTGGCTCTCGAAGATGGAAATGCCTACATCCTTGACACTGTTAGATGCAGCTTTGGGCGCGACTGCCGCCGCCGACACGGATGCTGCGAAATGCTCACTGAGCATTGTACAGGCAACAGAAGAGAAAAGAAAGTCCAACGAAGATTGTTTCCATTTGCGCTCCGAAATCTTTACCAAAGAAGTCGCACAAATTTCAGGGTCCAGACCAACCCTGTCCGATACCTAGCTTCTCACCTACCCTCATCGGCTCTTCTTCTTATTAAGCCTCCTGTCACGCGAAGCCTTTCTTTCTTGCGCTCTCTGTAGAGTTCTGAGTACTGATCCTGATACAGCTGTATATCAACGGCTCATGCGATCGAGCATTGCTTTCACCGTCCTTTGGCATTGAAGGCAGCTGTGCTAGTTATGGCTTCGCACCTCCTCTTGCTGAACTTGACCATCGTCCATCCATGTAATCGATGCTAACCGGCGCTCTCTGCTTTGCATCTCTGAAGTCCCGCATACTGAGGCACAGATGTAACAAATGAATTGCTAATCAAGGTCAACGTCAAATCGTTTCTCAGTCGTTCTTGCGTCGACGTCACCACTTCCCCCTTCCTCTCACATGAAATCCAGATGTCTTTTCCTTCTTTGACACAAAACATACAGACATGTCACTATATGCGGAATCACCCCAGAGTACCGCTCCAATGGTCACACCCAATCTCCCTGCTTTGATCAGCCAACCTGCACCACCAATAATATTACCCACTGTGCTTCAAACAAGCCAATATCTCGCCTCTTTCTTTCCAAAACGAGCTCGCGATGTTCCATGGCTATATCATGAACCTAGGAATGCTCGCTACTCACCAGCTGCTGCCCCGGTCGCTCGCATAGTATGCAGTATCACGCCCACCGCTGGAGTCTACACTGCAATGCACACCGCTCGCACACCACCACCTCTAGTCTTTCTTCATCGGCCTTTTACTTTGGATCGGAAACGCGTGCCTAGAGGCGCCAATATCTTGAGCTCTCATGTTGGCTTTGATGAAGTCTTGACAACTGGCTGGAACGAAGCTTTAGCTCGGCGACTTGACTTGTATACAGGCGACGACGCTGTATGCATACAGGGCTACAAAGGCGACCCAGACCGTCGTATAGGCCTCGTCGCTACTTTCCACACGCCTGTGAATCTAGCATCAGTTTCTGATCGCATTAAGCGCGAATTTGGGCAGTGGGACGCTGTCTATGGAGCCAACGTTGAAAGCGAGACCGATATGGCACAACCTGTCACAGTGGTTGCCATCATGAATGCGTTCCACCCGGACGAAGTACAAAGAGTTGCGGAAGCTGCATTATCTAAGGGCTGGATTTCAGATATCAACGACGGGAATAGCATAGTCTACCTCACTGGCCAAGCGAGAGAGCCTGGACTTCTTGCCGCACAGGAGAAGAAGATGAAGGTTTTCTGTGTTGGGCATCGTAGCTGCGAGGAATGGGGCATCAGACACATTGCCTCTGAGCTCAGGCAGGAATTTCCTATGGTCGATGTATGTGAGGTGTATGAGGACGAGGAACCACGAGAGCCGAGGAAGCCGAAACCTGATCTCAAGAGGAACGTTCCTTCCTCGTCAGCGAACCTACCAGAGCAGAAGCGCAGACATGAAGGAGAAGCTACCACTGTATAGCGAATGAGTGCATCGAACAAGTGCTCGTAATATATCACTACCTGATCCATCCTTTTATTATTCTTTTTTCTCCCAAAACTTAAAAGCAGAGCGGACGTTACATGGAATCGGTGGAATTTCGGCTCCATGCCATGCCATGCCACTACTTCTAGCTAATATTCCATTCCATGTCAATTATCTAGTGGAATAATGCCAATTCCAACTCCGTCGTCGTCGTCGCAGTCACCCTGTCCTTCTTCTAGGTCACCCTGTCCTTCAACGTCATCCTCCAGCTCTTCTACGTGATCTTCCGGTCCTTCGTTAGTAGTAATTGGTAGGTCAACCTTGTCAAAACAAAGGTTCTTCTGCCAGCTCTTGAGGCACTCAATATAGCCAAGATTGTCAGCAGAGAGGCTTGCTCGGTCCCACGACAGTGTCCTTCTACAGCCACTGAACACCCTCTCTGACTCAGCAGACATTGGATTGATTGAGAGGATATCAATAGCCATCTGAGAGAGGTTTGGATAGTTGTGTTGCTGCGTTGGCTCAAGCCACCACTGTATAGCATCATCAACGAGTACTGGAGGACTCTTGGTAAACTGGACAAACTCCTCAGGTATGGTAACTGAGTTTGCAAACCGTATAGAAGCCTGCCACTTGGCCAGCTGATTCGACTCCTCTTCATTTGACAATGGTGCTATTGCAATAGGCTTGGTCTTGTTCTTGTATTTAGCAGTCCATAAAGCGCGTACAGCAGTAATAGCTGGTGTTCGCCATGACGGAGGCCAGTGTTGTTTGATATAGTTCTCGCGATAAGTTGGATGGAGGAGGAGCGCTGCTGCATAGGCAGGAGTATAGTTGTTGATAGCTTGCCACTTATTAAGTGCAAATTGGCTAGTTCGGATTGCGGCAATAAGGGCTTGGTCGGTAGAAGCATCTTGTTGTGTGTACTTTTCATAGTGCTTGCGTAAGAAGTCCATTGATATAAGCACTTGATCAAGAGTTGCGTTATCGCCTTCACATAGCTTTGTTACCTCCTGCAATGGTTCCATAAAGTCAACAAGCGCTTCAAGGAACTGCCAGTGGCGCCGCTGAAGAGTAGTGTGCTCCATATGCTCGTTAGCCGACTGAATAGCACGTATAGTTGCTCGAGACTGAATCCCTCGCTTGATCATGGCTAGCCAGCTATTCCACCTTGTGGTATTGTTAAGCATAGGAGATACACCAGCAGCTGCCTTGAACTCACGACGACGGCGAGCTGACCTCATGATCCACTCGAAAAACTGACGGAGGTAGTCGAGAGCTTCATGATCAGTAAGGCCAGTGCCTTGAGCGAGCGTTGAGATAGCTTTTAAGGGATCTTGACTCTGATCAATTACAGCAGCTATGGTGTCTGTTGAGCTCGCTGACATGAGTGCTTGACTAGCAAGATTGATCTGGTGTCCAAAGCAGCGAGTTCGATGTTGTATAGGGTCCCAATCGATAGACAGACGCTCGCTAAATAGAGTAGCAAGGTGGCTCATCATAGTATCGTTGCAAGTGGCATTATCAGAGGTGATATATCCGATCTTCTGCTCGATGCCATAGGTAACAATGGTATTAAAGAATAGAGGAGCACATTGAGCACCAGCATGGCCAGCTGACAGCTTATGGAGAGCTAGCAGTGCCTTGCTTAACTTGCCGTCTGAGTCGACAAATCGAGCTGTGATACTAAGCAGCTCATGGCTACCATAATTGGCTGTCCAAGCATCGCAGGTAAAGTGGATCAATGATCGAGATGTTGCAAGCAGTGCCTTGAGCTGCTCTTGATAGAAGTCGTGCTCCTTCTTGACGTGTTTGGCGACAGTAGAATGACTCTTGATCAAGAGCTTTGAGGCGCCAGGAAGCACCTCATCAAGTAGCGCATGGAGTAGAGGATTGCTAGCAGTACGGAAGGGGATGTTGCTTGAGGTGATGTAATCGATAAGACGTCGATTCAAGCGAGTTTTGTCGATATTGGCAATAGTATATGATGTCTGAGAGGGTATTGCTACTGCTAGCATCTTTGAAAGTGTACCAGTTGCCTGTCTCCAGCCATGTCTCTTCTTAAGGTGTGATCTGATGTTGTCGTAGTTGGTGGTGTTGTAGTTGCGAGGACAGTCTCTATTGCCATAGAAGCAGTACCAGATCTTCTTCTTGCGCTCACGCTCGCGCTCTCCAGGACGACGAGCTCTAGCATGAGACCAGAGCTCTTCAGAATCGCCACGGGTAGGAGCTGGTTTTCGAGAGCGCTGTATTGACGTACATTCAGAGTCATCAATGTGGTTGCTAGCGGTTGTTGGCGTCAGTAGTCGTCGTCGCTTTGAAGGAGGAAACAATGGCTGGTCGACATCAGAGGCGCTATCGTCAGTCTCAGAGTTGTTGCCTTCAACAAAGATACTGTCTAATTGACTCTGAGGAGCGAAGAGTCTAGGCCTTGGAGTATTAGAGGCGAATTTGAAGAGGGTACTCTGTTTAGAGGCGTATAGCGGCTGGCTCTGAGATAATCGAGAGTTTGGTTGGCTTTGTGGCTCTTGTAACTTGTGCTCTTGATTAGCTGGTGAATACATGATACAAGGATTGTAATTAAAGGTAGATCATATGCTCATGAAGATAGAAAGATGACAAAGAGCTAGGCTCTAATATTGAGCAAGAAGGTGGAGGATAGGATGGTTGATGAATTGAGAGGGAGCAGTTAAGACGCGTCGAAAAGGACGCGCGAGGCTTCGTATAAGCTAATAAAGAATTAGCTAGTCGGAGCTCGCGATCTAATCTCCGAGATAAGATCTAGCCAATCAGAGAGCTCAGATAGGTTACTAATCGGAAAAGGCGTCATAGCAAGTTTTTTGAACGCGACTGCTATGCCCAAGCGTAGCACACTCTAAGCTGAGGCTTACTATCATCAACCATAGCAACACTAGCTATACCAAGTGGTGGAATGGTAGAATATTCCACTCAAATTGACGATTCTATTCCATGCCAACTAGGTGGAATATTCTACCTCAAATCAGTGGAATATTCCAATATTCCACTTATTCCATGCCATTTAACGTCCGCACTGCTTAAAAGAAATATCCTCAATGCTGAAGGTACGACCCTGGCTTATTCTCATGCACTTGGTCACGATACCTATCACGAATTTATCCCATCAGTTCTCATACTCGAGGACAGGTCGAGGCTTGGGATCACGATCGACCATGCCGAAAATGGTCTTTGACGCGTTGGTGGTGGCGTTCCTGGCTGATGTTGAAATACTATTTTTCCTTCCGAAGCTGCAACCGAATCGTGCCTCTCCATGTGCTGAAGACAATCATAGTATAGCTGTAGGTGCACAACAAGCTTGTAAAGGATAGAGAGATAACCATTACAGGTTGTTGTAGTGACCCAACCTTTATTTGGATTGCAACTGTGCATTTCGATAGCTTATAATAACCTTATACACTGGGATGGTGAAGTGGGTAGTAGGGAGGTGTAACGCGTTTTGCGCAAAGACAAAAATCGCTCAAGTTCATTATCATATATCGGTCTAGTAGTTCTATCTATATTATGTAAATCGTCGCTAATATATACAAAAGGCAAACAATTTCTAGCATGGAAACCTTTGGACACCTTAATCCTCATTTTCCTCTCCCTTGTCTTCGTCCATACCAGGCATCATCATGCGCTTTGTAAGCACTGCCTTGGCATGGAAAATGATGGTCAAGAACCAGGCAATGAAGATAAAGATACTCATTATACTTCCCACCCACATGACTCCCTGGCTCTGGAATTGCTCACCGATATCGATGACTGCAATGGTGAAGCCAGTGTTAGGGAACACAAGTGCCCAATTGACAAGAGAGAAGGACATTTTCTTGGCACCATAGAGCAAACTGACGACGGCAATACAAAACCACCAGAATCCAATCATCCAGATGAAGACGCACACAAAGAGAGTGATGGCCTGCAAAGCTGGGATTGCGGTTGGGTTGGTGGCGAAGTAGCCATAGCCCTCAGGTAATGCTTTCGCCATGCCGATCAAGGCCAGGATTGTGAATCCAGGGGGTCCAACACAGATAAACATGCCAGGTCGTGCGTTCGGTGGTGGGAGTCCGTACTCCATTAAACGGACAACCATGACTGTATAGAGCATGACTGCAACCGTCCAGCCCAATCCTTGACATGCGACTCCTGCGACAATGATGGGCATTCTCTGATCCGGTGGTTGATTGCTAGCAATGATGCTTGCGAGTGTTCCAGTCAGCATGACAGGGAAGATGGGTAGAATCCAGGAGGGTGCCATGGATTTGACCAGTAATTGCTTTGCCATGAAGAGGTACCAATATTGGAAGATGGCGACGAGGAGCGTACAAGCAAAGTACAACCAGAAGAGTACGCGTAACACAACAACGAGCCAACCAGATCCCACACTGGGAACACCGTAATTGTTCATGCCCCCGATGATAGTTGGTAGNGAGAGCCAGAAAGTTGGAAANAAGAGGGCTTCTGTGGGGTGTTTAAGAGACTTGTGGAAAGATCCAGGATACATGATAAAGCGAGCTGTAATGGCCGTACAGAGGATGAGAAACAGCACGATGTCGAAAATGTATACAATTTTTCCGATGGTCAAGATGCCAGTAAAAGTGTGCGGCTGTACTGAGAGGAGGGTCGCGAAGCCTCCCGTGCTCATAGTTAACGTAAACCAAGCCCATGTGAAGNNCTATTTTTCAGTCAGCAAGACTTGTAAATGCCGTAAGAATAGCCTCAGCACTTACTGCTTCAATCGCTCTTTGAGTGTGATTTGTTTGTCTGTGCCTTCTGAAGGGGCATCTGAGATACGTCTATGATCATGCGCGTTCCGGTGCGCAATCTGCTTTTCGAGATCCTTCATTCTGCCTTCGAGACTCTCGTTGGAGCCATTCGTCGGTGTCGATCCATGGCTTGATTCGCTGGTTGCATTGCTTTCTGCTTGTGTTTCTCGTCTTCGAAATTCCATCTCAACTAGAAATGTGCTGACGTCTCTGCTTAGATGACTGGTAGCCGAATCGCAACTTCTCAGATGCAGTATCGATATTATAGTAGATCGTATATAGGAAGTTTATTGTTACAGAAACAAAATCTCGGAACCTAAAGTCAAAGAGGAGCGAATGGTTTACTTAAACCTCGACAGGCCCTTCGGCCATACTTTCACCAGCAACATGTGTATTTGACCGTGTGCTAGGGCGATTATGATGTCGCTGGTCCGAGGGACTTGTCGTAAGAAAACCGGCGAATATCACGTAACAATGGTTCTACGAGTCGTTCCACCAAAAAGTTGCATGGTGAGGTGGATCGAAATATCAGTTATGACGTGGATTCGAGCTGGTTTCAGTATTTGTCCGCCCGGACCTCGCAATGCCAAGAACGATCTTTGCAAGAAGTCATGTTAATTCAATGGTAACAATCGCTCCTAGTGACTGGTATTTCACACTGCTCTACTCGCAGAGGATTGCAGCATACGCTTTGCTCACGGGGCTGCGGGCTCAGCTTGTATGCGGTCAAGCAGGATTGCTCTTTGAGAAGTGTTGAACATTGGTTTGAGCGAAGCGACTTGGCATTGCGATTCTTTTCGAGGGTCGGAACGGCCGGGTTGAGAATTTGAACATGAACAGGAAAACTGCCTAGACCTGGAAGGCTACACCAGTCTTCTTGACCATGTTGTTGCCTCCGCCAGCGAAGCCAGTGCCTTCTGAGCTGATCTCTACTACACCTGGTCTAACTTTCTCCTTCTCCTCTTTGCCTTCTTTCTTCTCGCGCTTCTTCTCGGTGACGTTGGTCTGGCAGACGTAACATCTTACAACGCCGACTTCTGCTTTTGCATCATGAGCATCCTTCTCAGAGGGTTTCATGAATTTGGTAGCACAAGGCTTGCATATAACATGTCCGCAAGGCTTAGCCAACATTGCTTTTGTTGAGTTGGTGAGTGCCTTNTTGCATGATGGACATGAGCGGACGGGCTCGTTGGATCCCTCGGCCTTCTCTTCTGTGAACTGGACAGAGACGAGCGCTTTTAGAGAAAAGTCGTGGGGCTTGTCAGGGGTCGAAGCTGGACATTGTGGATTTGACTTTGTCGGCTTTGTTGCAGTAGTTGTGCTTGAGGGTGTCAAGGAGGGGATCCAGAAAGAAGTAGCAGCCTTTTGATCGATAGGATTTTGAGAGTCCTTCTTTGGTTTGGTGTTCTGGCCACCGAGACGCATGAGTTCGTCTTCATCAATCTCTAGCTTGCGCTTGGTGCCTTTCTTATCTGGGTCCTGTTCCTCGACAATGACCTTACCAGCTTCTCGTCCAATGATGTGCCTGGCAGCAGCAGCGCTGGAGCCGAGTTTGCTGTTCAAGCCTTGTTGAACACGCTCGAAGTCTTGAACGGCACGTTCCCTCTCTTGTTCTCGTTTGATCTCGTCATTTTCGGCTTCCTCTTGCTTTTTGAGGACGTATTCCTTGTCAAGGCGCTTGATCTCCTTCTTTTGCGCGAGCAGGTTCGAGAGGGCACATTCTCGGCAGAATAGATGGCCGTGAGAGGGACAAGAAACGGGATCGCGAGCGGGCAACAGACAGAGACGACAGGAGCCGAAGGGCAGAAATGAATCTCTGGTGAGTCGTGTAGACTGGCTTCCCCAAGTGTTCTTTAATTCGGCACGCTCGTGGGCCGTGAAGAAGGCGAGCGACGTATTATGCTTACCTTGTTCACAATCAGTCGAGCACTACAGAAAATGAATAAGTCGACGTACTATGCGACATGATGGTAAAAAAGTTGAGTCGGAAGAGATGCGATGGATCGCGAGCGCGAAAAGAATGCGGTCATAGGGTGTTGTGGAGCAAGGCGGGCGGGCGCTACACGTGGGTCAAGGTTGGTCTAAGTTTGGAATGCTAAATAATGTTTCTTCCTCGCCGATTGCTTCTTTGTCCTTCGCACTGTCATGCTCTGAGTCTTGTTGACTAGCAATGGCTGCTTCAGACGCCCCTGATCAACCGTCGATGCTCTGGCGAACGGGATCTTCGTTCATCACAGGTGCTACGGGTTTCCTCTGCCGTACCTTCCTTGTGGGCCTTAACAGGCTCGAAGTCAAGGGCTATGACAAGTTTATGCGCCTTCTCGATGAGCGCGCAGACGTGAATGGCAGGACCAAGGGCCTCATAACCGGTATGATCCATTCCACTTGCTTTGCGAGGAGCTCAAGACTGACTGCTTCCANNGTTTCAAACCATACTAGCGTGTACGTACGTACATACTTGCTTGAGATTCGTCCCAGCTCGATCGCTGACTGTAGCTCACAGTNNATGGATGATCCCATCATGTGGGGCGTTCTGCCATACAGCTATCATTGGAACCCGAATAATGTTCGTTGGAGTCTTGCCAGCCACGACCTGGCTTTCCAGAACAAGTACGTCTGCAAGACGCATCGCGTAGACGCCGTCTGACTGTCTACTCAGANNTTTACCTCATTGTTCTTCAGTCTCGGCAACACTCTTCCATGCCACCGACTGGCGCATTCTCCCTACGGCGGTCTGTTCCAGCCTACCATGACCCAAGCCATTCGTCTCCTCTCCAAGGGCCCATTTGACGCTCCCACCGCTACCGCTGCATCGCGCTCATTGAGGAGTCCCGATATCACCGATCCCTTCTCAGGCGCACACTTGACGTACAGCACTGACGGTCACGACACTTTCCCTGCTCCTTCGGCTTATGCTTCGAGAAGACACGCCTGGGTACACATTTTCCCTGAAGGCAGGGTTCACCAGAAAGAGGACAAGACCATGCGCTATTTCAAGTGGGGCGTCTCACGTTTGATCCTGGAAGCAGAGCCCGCACCAGATCTCGTGCCCATATTCATTGAAGGATTTGATTCAGTCATGCACGAGAGTCGTGGATTCCCACGACCCATTCCACGAGGAAACAAAGACGTTTGCGTTACATTTGGCGACAAGATCGACACAGGAGATGCATTCCGCGACTTGAGAGACAAATGGGCAGCCTTGAAGAAACAGGCAGTACAGCGAGGTGCAGAGAGCGATGAGCTTGGTGTTGTTAGCGATGAACAGTTGATGCATGGAGCAGAAGCTGTCCGCTTGCGAAAAGAGTGTACAATGCGCGTCAGAGAAGCAGTGCTAGCTGTGCGCAGAAGTAGAGGCTGGCCTGATGAAGACCCCAAATGTGGTTTGATCGAGACATGGGCCATGGAAGGCACTGGAGAAGGCAAGATGGCCGACGGATCTTACACAAGGGATACATAAAAGGATGGAAGAGCATAGTTAGACGCGACATGTTGGCAGTGCAAGGTTCATTCAAATGTTGGTTTATCTTTCAACACAGAATAGAACTGCGTTATGCATTGATGGTACGAACAAGTAGATATGCAAAGGTTATAAATCTGTTGTAAGCAGAAGTTGGGAAAAGGCAAGACAATCGCTACTGAGGCGCGTTGAAGCTTGAACGAACGCGTAGGATCTTGGAGGAACGTGATGACGGGGAGCAAACATCAAAAATTTAGCGGCCGGCGGAAGGGGCTTGGGCAGTCAGCTCCTTCCTACAAGTACAGCCTGTCGCACCTGCTGCTCGAGAGCTCGGCCTGCGAATTTCCCTCCTTCTGTTCTCGAATATCCGCGTTCATTCCCACATATTTCACCCCACCGCCAAGACGATCTGCCCGCTTATCGATTGCTGTCCGGACCTCTTCTTGCCCAATCAAGCAAGCAGCGCGTTTGGAGCTGTGAACAAATTCTGGTCGTCACTTCCTGTTTGCCAAACCAATTGCTGTCGCTCGTGAGCCCTTGTGGCCAGGGCTTCGTATCACATCGAGCTGCTGGTTGTTGCCCAATCTTATCCTACCAATCTCACATGGACCAGTCATACGCTCCTCGGTCTCCCGAATTGTCCGGATACGCGCCTCGCTCTCCAGACTTGACCGCCTACCAACCCGTCTCTCCTCAAGGCCAGGATCAGTACGTTCCCAAATCGCCTGATCTTTCTGGACTGCAACAACCCCAGCACTCTTACGCGTCCCAAATACCTGCTCACTCTAGCTTCGGCCTGGATCAGCACCAACAACAGCAGCAGCACATTCCACAAACATATCCCCCTCAGCAGTCAGGTTACACACTAGGCCACCCTTCTCTACAACAGCCCTCGCAATCATATCAATCCGACCCCTACCAACAACAGCAACAATTCGGCTTCGGTCAACAGTCTGCCTACCAACAGCAGTATCCTCCTTATCCCGAAATGCCTGTCCAGACCCGTAACAGGGGTGTGCGCACGCCTGCCGAGGTCGGAAGCTACAACTACGACAATGGCAACGTTAAAGAGGAGGAACCTGCATGGGAACCACAACCCGCAGCACAGACACCTGCTCGTCGCGGCAGGAAGCCAAAGAGCGAGACTGGCAACGGTGCTGCTCCTCCAACTCCAATGAAGAAGATGGACACCGGCGGTGTTGAGGTCAAGACAAAGTTCCCGACTGCGAGGATAAAGCGCATCATGCAGGCCGATGAGGATGTGGGCAAAGTGGCTCAAGTTACTCCAGTCGTAATGGGTATGTGTTTCCTGTTTTTAATTCCTACCACTCTATTTGCTAACACATTCTGTANNGCCAAAGCACTCGAGCTATTCATGATCCGTCTTATTACCGCCAGCGCAGGCGTCGCAAAACAGCGTGGCTCGAAGCGCGTCCTCTCACAACACATGAAGTCTGCAGTCATGCAAGACGATCAATTCGACAACCTCAGAGACATTGTAGGCCGCGTGCCTGATGCCCCAGCAAAGGGTGCCAATGGCGACGACTCCGAAGACGAGGAGAGCGCCCCCAAGAAGGGCGCAGGCAGAGGAAGAAAGGCAGGCGCAGGAGCTGGCGGTGGCAGAGGAAAGAAGAGAAGAGATAGTGACGACTTCTGATGAACCTCAAAGAAAGCATGAGCACATCTTTGCACGAACTGCTGAAGCTTTAGAGCAGGCATGATACTCTGAATGAGCCTGACAAAATGCACGATACCCAAATCACTTCTCTGCCAGCATTTTTACTCCTGAATCGAATCTTTGTGAATGTCAATGACAATTGCTTCGAATCTATCGTCATATTTCGTCAATCCTGCATTCCGTGATTAGAGCGCCATGGAAGCGAGACGACTTGGCTGAAACAAGACGTACAAAACAAGCAATGTAAAAACTATGTCATACCCTCCCTATCATCGAAAAGTAAGCAGCAATCAACTCGAAACCATGTTTAAAGTACAGTAGAACAAAAAGAAGAGAAAGCAATATAGTAATGGGAAGAAGCGGAAAGTAGATAATTGTAAACCTCAATATATTCAATGTAAAGTAGAAAAGGAGAAAGTAAGAAGCTATGGTATCTCTTGAGAAAAGCAGAATATATCAACAATGAACAGGGGGCAGAGAAGAAGATAGACAGGCTCTCTAAAAAGGGGCAGAAACAGAATACAAAGGAGATTGGCGTTTTCTCGTAAGATTGTGGTGATATGGTTCACCACAAGAGACAAATGAAATGTTGGTCTGGGATCCGCTGGTATGTCGGGCGTGTGCTCTTGCCGATCTTGATCTTGCTGGAGATATGTTGCTGGTTCCAAATTGACGGATCCAAAGAACGCCAGTGCGAGCGAGCTGTGTTGTAGGATCAAGCGTGTTGAAGGTTTAGTCGTCCAGTTCCAAGACGCGCTTGACGACATCGACTTCGGCATGACCACGCATGTTCTTCATACGATGACACCAGACAACCTGGCCGTCCTGGAACAAGAACTCGCCACCGATTTGGAGCAGGTTACCACCCTTGAAGCGTGAATATCCTTTGGGTGGCTTTGCCATTGTCGACCATTGTTGGACCTGCCACTTGTGTAGAGGGATATCCTTCATGTATTGCGGTCTCTTAGGTCCGGTCATGTTGAGGGTTAGTGTCATACCCAAAGCCTTGTAGAGCTTGCGTGTAGGGTCGGCGAAAATGGGGAAAGGGCAGCCAGTGGACTGCTTGTAGAAGGGAATCATGGATGGCGAACCACAGCCAATGACAACGATGTTTGTAGGAACGCGCATGGTGTAGTAAGCTTGCATGGTGATGGCTTCGGCAATGGCTTTCATGTAAGCTTGACAAGCCTGCAGGAACAGAAGATTAGTCAGGATCTTGCATGGATTGGGTTAGCAATGACTTACGCCGCAGTAAAAGTGTCGCACGAAGATGATGAACTGTCTGTCGCCAATGGCATCCAGACCTGTAAAGAAAGTGCTGAAGAGTCGCGAGTTTCCATTGGCATCGTATACAGGGACCTGTCCAGCGACAGAGAGTTGTCCGCGATCAGGGCATTCGTCAGAGATATCTAGGTCATCGCGGAAGCGTCCAAACCAGTCATCTGCATCGGTGAAAGAGTGGTCATATGAGGTTTGTGTTGCTGTGTCTGAAGCTGGCGCTCCATGGCCAGAGCTTGATAGCTGAGTAGGCGAGAAGACTGGCGAAGAAACAGGAGAGATATCCAAAGATGAGACAGCACTGTTCCTGCTGTTGACACGCGAAAGAGCAGGCGACGAGATGGGAGACACGTCGTGGTCAAGTGTTTCGACGGATGGCATTTTGAGGCTCGGCGATCGAAGACCGCTAAATTATGAGGCACAGGCTTGAAGGATTCGGATCTAGTGAGATCTATCGCGGGGAAGGATCCAACAGTCGTTAGATGAAAAAGTGCCGAAGGTGCAATTGGCCTTTGAACAGCGAATTGTAGCTGTGGACGCAAGGAGCAGGTAGGTATGGATGAGCAGGTGGAAAAGACGAGGTCGGACAGGAGCACAAGGGCGATAATAAGTTGGAGACAGAGCCGTGCGTCACCAAAGTTGCGGATCGGCGGATATGGCCAAAACTATATATCTCGGCGACGCAGCGTGCCATGCGTCTAGATCGACCACATTTCGGTACCTCACAGCGCAGCACTCTCGACGGCGCTGCGCGGCCCGTCGCTCTAATCCGCAACCGGCTCTGATGTGTGAATCGCGCACCAAGTGCCAAAGCATCGCTGAGAAAAATCCCGCCGATAGGGGCACCAACTGCCCTGCATTGCCTTGTACCAATCTTCCGGTCCAAGACTCTCTTTGGAATACTTGGTCAACGTGCTGTAACACAAAACTGCTCAACTTAGATGATACCCGTCTTCTCACGCTGCAGTGGAAATCTTGACATGGCTGCGTCTCACGTCGGTGGAGTTTAACCGGACCATATCCTCAGCGCATGCAACCAATGTCTGCACCTCCGGAACAGGAAAGGCCGCGGCTCAGCTGAGGGCTCTCACGATGAAAAAATCGATAAATCCCAACCTTGAGTCTTGAGGCTTGCCCCGCATGCCACGATGGGTGGACAAAACGTTTGGGCGAACGGCTCATCTTCTTTGCTTCTACGCGATCACCGAAGAAGGAAAACATGGCACGCACGTGAAGACCACCTGGCTGGCACGATGATCTTCGCTGTAGATAGCAATCTCGCAAAGTAGGAGAAGAGTTCAAGACATGACTATGCGTACTACGCGTTCGTCCGAGTCCTTGGTAGCAAAGCAACTAACTCCATTTCCCCAAGTTCTGCCTATCCCATGAGGTCCAGTCATGGGCTGAACATCGCAATTCAACAGTGCGCTGGCCCCGTCTGGCGGCGCGGGCGTCGACGCTTGTGAGTCTGCGCTGGCATCTTCCGCCATGGGATTTGTGCAGAGTTGGCCGGCCTTCTATCGTCTGAAGAGAGCAAGCCCCGAACGGCACTTCTGCGACGAATCCTTGTCGACCGGGACGAAGTTGGCTTTCTTCGAGTGTTTCCGATCCGTTATCCCAAGCACACGGCAGCGGCACGCGTACTCAACTGTCATGCAGGAAGCTCTGTCCAATCGATGGCTTTTTCCTATGCCCATCCGAGTGTGACAGAGCACATGTACAATACGAGCGCATCACTGTGCATGTACGACTGCTACAAGAAAAGAGTCTTCGGGAAGGCTTGAAATAGAGCTTCGGTCATACAAGACTTCATCGAGAGAATAGACAGTTGCTCGGCTTTCGTTGCGTGGTGTTGCTCAAGCTTGTCTTGCCATGCAATGAGTGTCTGAGATCAGCGGATCTCCGTCCGCGTTTTCGACGTCCATTCCCAACTCGATCGAAAACCGTTCATCGAATCTGGTCTAGTTCTGAGCCAACCCTCCCGACAGCAGAGAAAAGACGTTGTAGGTCACGCGCAGGTTGGTCATAAGGATGAACCATATGTTGGTTTGGCATTTCTAGATCTGATAATTCTTATATTCAGCAGGGACCCCCTGAGGTACGTACACTGTACGTACAAGCTTCTCCTGTCTGTTCGGACCAACCTAAACAACTTGAAGCTTTATCCCTGAACTGACTAAAATCTACGTACACGTAGGGTGCAGAAAAAACTGATATGCCATCTGTGTAAAGGGGATAACATTTACTTGTAGTCAACTATCTGAGCAGCTCCAAAGCTATACAGTATCCAAAATAGGGCCCAAGTCCAAACGACAATACAGCAAGTCATCGCTTTGTTCAACCTAGACTCTCAAGAGCTAAGAGCCAGAACCACCCTCCTTCTGCTGAGCTCCAGGAATGGCATCGCACCACTTGGGACGGTTCTTGGTGTAGATCTCGAGACCAGGCTTTCCCAAGTTGTCAAAGACATCCTCATCGTCAAGAGTACCCATCTTCACGATGTTCACACCAGTGATGGCTTCACCAGTTACGTAAAGAATGGTAGGACAGTTCTGACAGTAGTGGTATGTGATGTTCTTGCCGCTGTCTCCCTTCCTGCTCCAAGTTCTGAGAGAGCCCGAGAGAATCTTGTACTTGTCGCTTGGGATCATCAAGTTATATGAGTTGGTCGTACCTGAATGAAAAGCACAGTCAGCTTGGTGAGATTGAATGGCGCCAACACCACGACTTTGCTCGACAGATGATTGATGCTGCGCCTGTCATTTGGAACAATGTTGAGTCGACAATGCTTGTCCACCAACAACCGATTCGTACAAGGCATGACGCGAGCACTAGTCATTGTGTTCCCGAGATATGATTCGTTTCCACTGACCAGATGTCTTTCGGCAAGGAATGCAGTGGCAAGCCGCCTATTTACGATCAGTATGATACTCGGCTACAAGGCACCTGCAGCACTCCAAAACCCTTACTTTGGCTGCTGGTTCGCCCTCATACTCGAACTTGACCTCGCCGCAGGCACAGCTTCCTTTAGCCATTGCAATTTAACCGAGAGGAACTTGAGATTTCTAGAAAGGTTTCAATTGAGATTGAAGAATTCAGAGTGCTCGTAAATGAAGAAGACGTGTTCAGAACCATATCCTACATTCCCTCGGTTGTAGGCCGAGCTTCTCCGCTCCTCGTGACGACATGTCTATGATTTGCCAAGGCAAAGTGTGACCCTGTCACCCATTTGGGATATCGCATCAACAATCGGTCTCTCTATCTTCAACTCGTGATCTTGACTTTGATGATCAGCAGTTGATTTTAATGTACCGGTCTTCGCCAGCAACCTGTCATATACCACAGCATATCAATCCTAGCTTGCGGCGACATGCATATGAGCTGTAAAAGATGCCTAGACAGAGCCGAAGAACAGGTGTTCATGGAGGTTGCCCCGTTCCTCGAAGACGGCGAATCTCGATAGCTAGGCGCTGTAGACTCGAACAGGCATCAAACATGCACATAGTTCTCGAGACAAAGAGGCATTCACAATTTCGCCAGAAACAGTGATACGTATGTGGCGGCAGTAGACAGCCGTTTGAGCGTTGCACATAGAATTGTGTAGCGAGTTCGGAGTCCCAAGAAAACAACATCTGGCAACGACGAAATGTCATCGTGTCATCTTCTTTGGAGCCGCGACCTTGTCAGTTGTCGACCAGTTTTGGTTCTGGACAAATCCGACGTTGTTGTTTGAGCTGAGAGGAACGCCCCATGTAACCAGTGCATTGCCGAAATTCGGATTTGGGTTCCAGCATCTTCATGGACGACGAGATCAATGTTTGAAAGACTGGCCTGTAAAGCGGTAAGTCGCTGAATCAATGTCGTGGAATCTTGCAACTTCAGAAACACAGAGAGAACGCAATAACATCAGCCTTCACTCTCAAACGACAACAAAGGGCATGCATCGTGCTTATAAGAATTTGGTCATGCTAGATCGCAAGATCGCTAGAATGCCGAATAGGTGCTAACAGAGTCCTATCGCCCTATTTTCACATTAGGCAGTCCACCTTCCGGATTGGATTTGATTGTTGGAGTCCTTCCCGAGCGGCCCTCGGACGGACGATCTTCTTTAACGCCGCCACACGCCAGAACTCGCCCCGTTGGACTATGCAATTGTAATCAACAACCATTATCTGCCTAGGACCTTTTTTATTCTTCTTGTCGGTTACGCCGCTGCGACATCACCTTCTGGGCGCGTGTCTGGTTTGTTGTTTCCTGCTGGCAGCAAAGGACCATTGTTGTATCGATTTTGATCCATCAAGTTCTTCATGGATACACAAATCAACCTACTTTCGACATGACCACAATACAACAGCAACGTGAGCAAGAGGCTCTAGAGGACGATATCAAGATATCATCAGACCCGGACGCCGCTCCTATAGAACCTCTCGGATCCGAGGAANAAGGCACTCAAAACATCGTTTCAGCGATCGAACAGTCTTCCGATGATGGCCTGTACTCTGTGTTTACGCCAACGCAGAAGAAGCTGATTGTTCTCACGGCATCACTTGCTGGCTTCTTTTCTCCCCTAAGTGGATCTATCTACTACCCGGCACTGAACACGATAGCGGACGACTTGGGCATCACGGCAACAAAGGTCAACCTTACGGTCACGACATATATGATTGTACAAGGATTGGCTCCCATGTTGACTGCAGGCTTCAGTGATGGAGCTGGTAGAAGACCAGCCTACATTGCTTGTTTCGTCATCTATCTGGCTGCAAATCTTGGTCTGGCTCTACAAAACAACTATGCAGCACTGCTGGTCCTCCGTTGTTTGCAGAGTGGTGGTAGCAGTGGCACCATTGCTTTAGCGAACGGAGTCGTAGGTGACACCATCACATCTGCCGAGCGTGGCAGCTACGTTGCTTTTGCTTCTGTAAGCTCAATCCTAGGACCAACTCTATCTCCCATCCTAGGAGGCTTGCTCAGCCAGTACTGGAAATGGCATGGTATATTCTGGTTTCTGCTAGCTTTTGGAGGAGTGTTTNTTATTCCTTTGTTCCTGTTCTTTCCAGAAACCTGCAGGAATGTTGTTGGCGATGGCTCTATACCAGCACCAAAGCTCAACTGGAACATTACAGACAAGATCAGACATGAAAACCGAGAAAAGGCTGGTCTACACGTCGACGAAAAGAAACAAGACGAGCTCCGCAAGAAATACCGTCTCCGGTTTCCAAACCCACTATCAACACTGGTTGTCCTTACAGACTTGGAGTCAGCTCTAATCTTGATCGCTTCTGGATTGACCTTGTCTTGCTTCTACGCCGTCAGCACAGGCGCTTCCACAGCATTTCGCAGCGTATATGGTTTTGACGACATGCAAGTTGCTCTAATGTTCATCCCCTTCGGAGTCGGAGGCATCGTATCAGCCTTTACAACCGGCAAAGCAGTAGACTGGAACTATCGCCGCCATGCCAATGTCAACGGCTTCCCATTCATCAAAAACAAACAACAAGACATGACAGAATTCCCTCTGGAGAAAGCTAGACTGGAGGTTGCACTGCCTCTGTTTTATCTAGGTGCTTTGACGATACTGGGCTATGGCTGGGTTATGGATAAACATGTGTCTCTGGCTGGACCGACTATACTCTTGTTCTTTATGGGCTATGCGCTCACTGCAGCCTTTCAGGTCTACAATATCTTGATTGTGGATATTTATCCTGGAAAGCCGGCAACGTAAGTCAAGCTAAAAGTACAAATACCACGACTGGTGCTGGCATTTAGTCTCGGTCTGCATGCGAGGCCCTGTGCAGCGTATGTTAAGACGCCGTCCGGGATGCGACCTTACAGACTTGAGTCTACTTGTCTAGCCTTCCCGTGTGCTCAAGGACGTAACTTCTGTTACTCCCACTACAGCAGAGAGTAGAAAACACACTATAAAAATGCATGATTCTATTTAGGAACAAAAATATGGCCAAAGAGAGCTGATAAGATATCGCCTCTCAGTGGACACTATCCTGTTTTCCAATAGTATTGTGCATTTTTATAGCTACAAAGTTACATACTTTTGCACACGGAGAGGAGAGAAGTCGTGGTATTCTTGCCTATTCGGGGTTGTAAGGTTATGCTAATTGTACCTTCCTTATAGGGCGTCCGCCGCAAACAATATCGTGCGCTGTGAAATGGGAGCGGCAACATCAGCAGCCATCGTGCCCATGACCAAAGCAATGGGCAATGGATGGGCATACACTCTTCTCGCCTTCTTGTTGATAGCTTACTCACCAGCGCTGTTGCTGACAATGAAGTCAGGCGTAAAATGGCGACGAGCGAAAAAGCAAAAACAAGACGAGCAAACGGCAAAGCTGGCAATTGTAGAGTCTGAAAAGTCGTAGTGATTGTATCTGCCGCCACTGTAGAATAGCTAGAGAGGGTATCTTAATCTGCAAAAACTCCGCAAACCAACGCCAACTCCCAATTTCCAATTCTTCGCTGCTGCCTTCATCCTTCATCCTTTCTGAGGTGAACCGTATGGCGAACTGTACTATGAGTTCTTTGCATCCCTTCTCAACTCGAAGATATCGAGCACCTTTGCCTTCCACACGGGAATCATATCAAGATGCCTCTTGACCTCGTTCTCAGTGAACCACTGAACCCTTCTATCCGGGCTGATGCGTCTGAACTTGTGCGCGAATATTGGATCTTTGAAGTCGAAGGAGACAGTGACCGACCATCCATAAGAAAGTTCGCCGTTGGTCTTGACAAGATCGACTGCACAATCATGGCGTTCGTGATGAACAGAGCGCCTGACCTCGTCGGGCAGGATATCCGAGACGAGATTCAGAGCCTTGTAGATGTGTCGTTCAACCTGGGTGTTGGTAGTAGCCTCTGGTCTGTACAGGTCCCGCGTATGCCAAATACTCTGCGGTGGCTCCCAGCATGGAGGCTGCAATTCTGAAGGGCTGACAAGAAGCACAAAATCCTTGTGGAAAAGCAGGGCTTGCATGTAGAGCATGTCGAAAACTCTAGCCACTTCGGGCTTGAAACATGCATTGTGATCCCTGGTGAGGTGGTCGATGAACTCATGTGGATGAATGTGTGCTAGAGAGCGCTCTTGCGTCTTGCCGATCAGTGTCTCTTGATTGGGGTGGTTGGACTCTTCTTCGGGTTGCGCTTGAATTGGAAGAGAGACGTATGTGGCAGTTTTAATTTCGGGACACCAAATGCGCGGAGGAGATGGCTGTTGTATCGTTTGAGTCGGACGCGAAGGTGTCGAGTTGTTGGACTGCGGAGTTTGTGGTGTGCCTTCGACCGATGGCTGTGTTGTGCCATGGGATGGGGTCGAGCCTTGAGAGACAAGACGTGGCGCGGACTGAAGAACACTCGGGGTTGTTGGCTTGTTGGGTAGCGGAGTCTGTAGTGTGCTTCGAGGAGGAGGCTGGATTCTACCATATGACTGCACGGGACTCTGAACTTGAGAAGGTGCCGAGGGCGAACTGCCGACCGACGAGTTCTGTGACAGGTTATGAACATGCAGCTGAGCTGGATTGTAAACCCTGCCGCCAGGGAATTGGATTTGCNNGGGTTGACTCGATCTTGTGGTTGCGATGTGTTGTGGGATTCTTGAATTTGTTTCAACTCCTGAAGATAACGTAAGAATTCCTGGCGGTCGGGCGTCTGCACCTGAGTAGGAATATTGTTCTGTGTTGGAGTATCAGGGCGACTGGGCGGAGAACTTNATGGCACCAGGTGATGAAGTCATTGCAGTGTCTTGTAGATAGTACAATGTTACACCCTGAGAAGGACGGGATTGTGGTACTCCGTAAAGGTGATAGCGAGGTTGAAAGAGATGACAATTGTGTTGACCATAAGGTGGGCCAGGGTGCAATCTGGACGGCTGATACATCTGTTGATTGGCGCTGTTGATGGAGGATGAAGGGCTTGTGCTAGGCCTCAAGTGTTGCTGTGTAGGTTGATATACATGCTGCAATGCTGGGGATGATGTGGAAGATATAACACCGTTCGGATAGAAGATCGTGTTTGTTTGATGTGTATGCTGAGTGGGTGTGGATGTATGTGATTGAACAGTTGATGATGCTTGCGGCGAGAATATGCGGGTGCTTGATGCATTCTGGTTGGAATGGAAGGTGCGATCTGGTCCTGAAGGTTGTGATGCTTCTGCTCCTGCCTGCATATGATTTTGCGTGCTTGATGCGTGCTGGTTGGGAAGGAAGGAGCGATTCTCTGGTTGTCCTGAAGGCTGCGAAGGTTGCGATGGTTCTGTTCCTGGCTGCACTTGGTTATGTGCGCCTTGCGATCTGGTCATGTTGTAATGAAGCGCTTGTGTAAACGCACGTCTCATTGCTTCGTCCATGGTTTCGCAGTCGCAGTCGCTCTGGTTCTGGGTTGGTAGAGTGGAGAAGATGCGAGAGATCGTGGTCGAAGTTTGTCTCGGCGTTTTGAAAGACACAGTAGGAGTCAGACAATGGCGCTTGACAATAGGCGCGTCACAATAACACGGAGGCTGTCTGGAGTGAAGCGGATAGTAGGCAAGGGTTTCATGTGGTTTTCATGTGCGCAGTGGAAAGGGTTGGTGACAAGAGATCGTTGGATATGGAGTTGGTTTCTTTCATTGAGTCATGCGCAAGCACATGCTGTGCATTTGATATGTTTGCCTAGAGTCCCTATCAAGACCTAGGGTCTCAGGCAGAAAATATTTTAGCATCGGAGTGAAAGTAACGCAATCTGCCTCACGTGTTTGGCAACATCTTGCGCATCCTTAGCATGCGGATCTAACCTCCTATAATATTATGGCATGGCGTCCTGTGATGGTCACATGGAGTATAGGGTTATGGCATGCTCTCATTGATTTCCATACTTTTGATGCAGTTGGCGAATCTGTNNGTAAGGGTCAGTCTGAGTGCTACTATATCGCTAGATGCGTGTACTCACCTGCTCCTGTACATCTGTAGACTGGCTACCTGGTGCGCCGGGAGCAGCAGATTGAGATGGGTTGACGCCATCATAGCTGCTGAGCTCGATTCTCTTGCGCCTCTGAGCTTCTTCATCACTGACAGCCTGGCCAGTGACAGGATCGAAGACATCACTGCGCTGCGAAGCCAAACGTTTGAGGTTGTTGGCGACGTCTGCAGTCGACAAGTTGGTGGTACTAGAGCGCTGAGCAGCAATGCGAGACTGCTCACGCCATCTTGGGTCAAGCATTTCAACTNNATGGGATGTTAGTACAAGGGCGCAAAAGGGTGAATCATGACACGTACTCTTCATGTGTTGCTCGAGTTCGTTGAACGGAATTTGTTGCTTGCAGTTAGGGCAGAGAGCAGTGGCCGCATTCTGCCTACGGGCCTGTGCACGAGGAACGTAGTCGTTACGAATGCGCATAGGACCTTGACCTCTCGCAGCAGCCTGAGCCTGCTCGGCACGTTGGCGTTCGGCGGCTCTTTCAGCGATACGAGCATCTTCTTCTTGTTCCTGTGCTGTACGTGGCGGTGGTGCAAAGCCAGTTTGCTGAGCGGGAGAGAAGGCGGGAGGAGCGGGCGAGTATGCACTGGGAGGAGGCATCTGAGAGGGTGGTGGTTGGTAGTAGGTTTCTTGACCTGGCATAGCTTCTTCGATGCGCATGCCTGAGGGCGCCAGGCTCATTTGTGCCTTTTGCTCGAGCGATGCGGATTGGATATCGTTCAACGACGTGGGTGGAGGAAGTTCTGTCTGGTCGTCTGCTTCGGTAAACAGGATGGTCTCGACGACAACAAAGTCGTGCCAGTCGATCTGAGCATATGCGAGCTTTTCTGCTTCTTGCTCCTCCNNCTCTTTCTTGACCTTCTGTGCTTCCTGGTACTTGACCCACTCGGCGCGCTTCTTGGCGCTCTCTAAGACGCGATACTTATTGTCGATGTTCTTCTCCAACTCGGCGATGACGTCTTGTTGCTGCTGTCCCTGAGTGTTGAGGATTTCGGTGTACTGATCTACTAGACGCGAGAAGAACTGATGGAAACTGTGCTGAGGGCGAAGGAAGTCAAATTGAGGATTCCTGGCCTCGCGTTGCGACAGAGTAGTCATCCAGGAGCGACCGTTTTTGGCGACGAACATGGCGGTCAGTTTGATGACCTCGAGATCGACAGAACTGATATTAGGCATGCGCGCCGAGAAGTGGAAGTCTGGAGGAGGTGCAGGACCTTGCTTCTTCTTTGGAGCAGCGACATCTCCTTCGCGGCCAGCGGCGACGTCCGTTCCTCTTCCGTCTTTAATCTCCTCTAGTCGCCACAGGTAGAATGGGTGGTATGGGTTGTCAGGAAGGACGAATTGAAGCTTCGGATTGCCTTCTGCGCTGTCGCGGATACGTGCTTCAAAGGCGGGACCATTGCGAACGATGTAGCCGGCGGTCTTTTCTAGTAATGTTCTGAACTCCTTGGGCGGAAGAATGACTCCTGGCGGAGGTTTGAAATCGGTGTTGTCAGGCGTGTCATTGCGCTCGAGTAGCGGCGCGGGTGCCATTTTGAGGGAGGGCTCGACGAGGCTCACGCGCGGGCGACAATGTATGAGTAGGTCACACGGTGAGTGATAGTGGTTGTAGACGTCCTATAGTATGTACAAGAGTGGCGTCGTACGGAGCGCAAGTCGGGTAGTTCAGTCGAGTGACAAGCTTCACGACCTGAGATACTCTAGTTCTGTCGCATCAGACGGGCCTGTCTGTCGCAGCAGTATTCAGAACGCCTTGACATTGCATGGATCGGCTTTGGCTGCGGATCTTCGGCAGAAGTCTATCCCCACAAATCACAAATGTCAATATCCTGAACCTCATCTCTTGGACTTCATATCTTAGAATGCGAACGGCTCGCATCGATTTTCGGAAGCACTGCTGTCAAAAGTGTATATCAATATGAACTGGCATTGGTGGATGATTGCGGAAGCCAACATGGCTGTGAGTATCTCCAAAGTCAAGAACAAACCGGAGGCAGAGAGCATTTAGTTGATGAACAAACAGGAATAAAAGATGATCGTACAACACAAGCCTGCTCAAAAGATGTCTGCCGTCGGAAGAGGGTATGCCTTTGTATGCATGTATGAGTGCCAGCTTTGAGCAACTACTGTTACAAGAGCCAGACACGCCATTCGGCACAAGAAACATAGTCGATGTGCAAGCCCACTTAAACATCGTTCGACAGAAAGCCCTTCCGTGCTGTAATGCTTTAATTCCTCGTGAGATATCAGGTAGGTAGAGTGTGCTGTCTACATGTGGGTAGAGAGACGTCCATTTAGAAAAGGTCGAACACAACACTTTCTTTGGCCGATGAGGATCTCCTCGATTCTCAATAGAGTATTTTCCAAGCTATAGAAAAAGTGTTAGAGTCCAAAGTGAAGTGGTTTGTAAGGTCAGTGCTTCTTGGCAGTGCGTCTGACAGCACGCGCGTTGGTATACACTTTCCAAATTCCGACTTCCTTTGCGTCTCTCCTTCCTTCTTCATCACCACCACCGCCATCAACGCACTTTTTGCGCGCACCTTTCTTTCTTCTTTCTCTCCCTCTGCCTCTAGTTACTCTGTAACTGTTGGCATTTTCGTCTTCGGACACCTAGTCTGCTGTCCTGCTTTGTTGCGGTGTACGGCGTTCTAGTTTGCTGCTTCTGTTTGCTCAGACAGCACCCGGCGTTGAACTAGGTTCGGCGACCATCAATCTTACCACCTCCTCCCGCGTCTTTTATTAGACATGGCCCCCAAATCCCCCTTCGTCCAGCCTCCAAAGGGCAACGAAACTCCTCCCTCTCCCGCTCGTCCTACACACGAGCCTCTGAGCAGTCCTCCAGCTGCTGTCAGACCTCCTGCTCCTATCCCGAAGGCTCAGGGCATGGCGGCAATGAAGGCCGCGAGGGCACGGCGCGTGGCTGAAGAGGCCGAGAAGGAGAGATTGGCCGCCGAGAAGGAGGCCGAAGAGAAGGCTAGAAGGGACGCCGAAGAAGAGGTCAAGCGTCGAGAAGAGAAACAGGAACGCGAGAGACGCAAGCGTGAGGAAGACGAAGAGAAGCGCCGCGCGCTCGCTGAGATGCTCACCGGCATCGATGATGACGTGTTCGAAGAGGAACTGACACTTGAACACGAAGGCAAGCACAGGAACGGCATCGAGTACATTACTACGCTGCCCGATCATTTCAAGTTCAAGGAAAGAGGATACGACCCTTCTCTAAAGCTTGTTACCGAGGACTACCGTGGAGCTGATCTCCCTAGTTGGGCTACTGGCCTTGGTAAGAAACGTCCAGTCATCCTTAGCTTTTCTGCCGATGACAATGACCTCGACTTCAAGAACAGTGACGAGCTGATGAGCTTTGGCTCTATGATCGCGAACAGCTCCTCTGGCACCGATTGCATCCGCATGAGAATGCATCTCGACACACAGTACCCATCGATCGAAGTGTTCATCGAGCGCTTTGACAAGACTCAGGTGAGCTGGCGCGTGTTCCCGAACAGTTTCAGCTCTGTGGACACTGGTGCGAGTCTAGAATGGCACTTCGGTGAATCTCTGGATCAGGATTGGGTCGATGTCAACAACGAGGAGATCGTCACGGGCTACAACAACTTCACCATGTCTCAGACACTCATGCATCTCAAAGAGGAGGGATCAGCCAATTCCAGCGCGAATCTTCTGGCTCGTAGACCCATTTGGAGAGGCGATTTGTCGGAGACGCAGATCCTAGCCATCGTCGATGACTACAAGAAGGCCTCCTCAGACGGCACGCTCGAGCACTTCCCCTATGCCGACATCATCATTGCCAAGCTGCATATTGCCAAATGGGTCGGCATCATGCGCTTCCTGGAGGTAAAGCATCGCCAGGAGTTCCAAAAGACTATGGAGTTCTACAAGCGTTGTCTGGATATGTGTATGAGATACGGTAACCTCTGGTTCTACGGCAAGAACCTGAACATCAAGCGAGGTGAAACCATCCTCAATCGTCCTCATCTTTGGGTCGATGCACCTATGCCTCGATGGCTTGTCAAGGAGTGGGCTGTGAATCGCAACGAAGTTGGAGAGATCATTGAGGTTGTTCCGAGCAGGATGGCTCGATTCAGACACCCTGGAGTCTTCCCGGACAAGTACACTGCTGCATCCGCTCATACGCTAGCGTTGGCCCGTGGTTGTAACAGTATCATCAAGAGCATTCAAGACCGTCTTGATAAGGAGGCTTACAACATCGATGCTGTCTTCAGCGACTACTGGGACGCACCGGGCAAGTACAGCGTGCAGATCGTCTGTAACCTCCAGGACGCTCTTCTGACTGGTCAATCTCTTATTCCTGAGGCCGGAACTCCCATCACGATCCAGTTCCGCGATAGCAGCAACAAGACCTGGACGTTCCGCGGTGCTGTCGTTCCTACTTTCCTGAACACTGCCGAAGTCACGTTCTCGGCGATTGTACAGGCCGCTGGGGTCGAGCACTACGAGTTCCAAGATGACGAAGTCGTGAAGATTTCTGTCAAGCTGAAGCAAGACAACAAGTCCATAGGCCGTCAGTTCGCTGCCTTCAAGCAAGCTGCCGCTGGACCTCAGCGTGCACCTGGTCAAGGTGGCCCGGACTTCATGCGAATCCTCATGGATGCTCCACCTCAAGATTCAAGCGTTCCTACCAACCCTTGGATCAAATCTCTGACAGACGACGAGCGCACTGAGTTCATGCGTATCATGAAAGAGGACCGTGGTGCGAATAAGGGTCAGGCAGAGGTCGCTGAGCTTTTGTTGACTGATGAGAATGGTGCATGCGTCGTCATTGCTCCTCCCGGTACAGGCAAGACGAAGACCGGTGGTGACTTGCTCACAACCATCTACGACGTCATGCAGAAGAGGAACAAAGAGGGAGAGAAAGGCGTCGTCCAGCATCCCTTGCTCATTTGCGCTCCTTCGAACATGGCAGTCGATGAGATTCTACGCAAGCTCATTGCGCGCGACGCTAGTATAGGAGGAATGAATGCAATCCGCTTCAGAGGCGCACGCATCAGAGCACCCAAGAAAGGCGAAGCTCCCGAGAGTTCTGAGGAAAAGGAGACGCGCCAACTCCCTGATTACTGGTGGGATGCGATGGAGTACATGTCTGGTCTGGACTATCTTGAGACCGACTTCGGCGACCATGAATTCGCTGTCAACTTCAGCAAGACCCTCAAGAGTTGGGCGAAACACGGTTCTGCTCATCCATTCGCCGATCAAGCTCGTACCTACACTGGTATGCAATCTGAGATGATGACCAACCCGAAGGCGANNACAAGAAGGCTCTGAGGGGAGTCAATGGAGGCACTCGAGGGCACACTCCAGCAGGAGTACTTCAAGACTGTTGACGCGGTATTCGTCACTTTCAACTCCGCAATGCACCCGGCGCTGGTCGAATACTTCCATCCTAAGGGCCTCTTCGCCGACGAAGCTGCCATGGGCAACCTTGGCGACTACATGACGGCCATCACATCGAACTGGGACACGCTCGAGCACGCTATATTCATTGGCGACCCCAACCAGCAGCATGCACGTGCAATGGAGCCCAACAGGAATGAATTTGGTAATCTCCAATCCCATTCTTTCATGCAANAGGTGCAGGAAGAAGGTGGCAAGGACGTCAAATTCGTTCAGCTGACGGAGCAATGGAGAATGCACCCACAAATTTCTGGACCAGTCAACAGTGTGTTCTATAACGGCACGATGACTGATCATCCCTCCACAATGCTTCTACAGGAAATCCAGGTAACCGCGGCTTCGTACTTCCAAGAATTGTTCGGCGCCGCGTACAAAGGCTGGTACCGATTTGGTATCTCTTTGGATTACAACGAGCACAACAAATCCGAGCTCTTTATGCAGACGACTTCATCGTTCAATAAAGGCGAGGCCGAAGCTCATTGTTNNCAGATGATCAAAGGTCTTCTTGCACATCCTCCACCCCCAGGTGGCAGAAAGATTGAGCCCGAGGACATTTTGATCACCACGCCGTACACTGGAATGTCTACTCACCTCTGGAGGCGCTGCAAACAGGAGGGTATCTTCGGTTCCGGTAAGAACACGATCCGCATCTGGACCGGCGCTGCTGTGCAGGGGCAGGAAGGCAAGATACAGTTTCTTTCCTTTACCGTCAACACCGAGGGAGGTCTCGACAAGCTGAGGTTTCTTGGCGAGCAACATCAGTTCGACGTTCTGGTTTCCAGAGCCCAGTATTTGCAGGTCCTCTCTGGTCAATTCGTACCTTTGGTGCGGGCTGCGAAGAAGGGTGAGCTGAAGCTTTTCACTAACAAGAAGAGCGGCTTGTACCACTTCGGCCAGTACATTTCGACCCTTTGGCCGGACGAGAATATTGACAATTGCATCGTCATTGACAGCAATGAGGCATACAATGCTCTCTGGAAGAACAAGCCTGCGACCAAGCCTAACAGCTTCCCAGGCAGAATTAATTTTGTCCCCAAGCGCAAGACTCTTGATGGCAAGCCGACAGAACTGCAAAGGCCAACTACGGCCATCAGCCCGAGGGTCCG